ATCTTGCCTCTAGCATCGTTGCTACTTCAAGGATGCATGCTGCCGCCTCCCTCTCGTTCTCCCCCATGTCTGCCTTTATTAATGTTGCTACGTTCCTTTTTATCGCTGCAGCGAATTCTATGTCTTCCTCAGTCCATGTTTTCTTCTTCCCCGCGTTCGGTTTGGCCTTAGGGCGCGTATTCTCATTGTCCTGAGGTTCGGTCCTCGCACGCGTGCTTGACGCGTCGCGGTTTCGCGACCCTCCACCTTCTTTTGCCAGTGCCACCATTATCCCTACGCGCGAGGAGGTAGTGCGTTGGATTCGTCTCGTTCGTGCGATTCGTTTGGTATCGATTTTACTAGTTTTGGGGAAATTCGTAGAATGGTGTTCTTTTAATAGTAGTAGTATTAACTAAAGGTTATATTTAACATAAAATATCAGATAAAAGTCCTTCAGATTATCCTGACCATCGTACTACTAGGATAATTGGAATTTCTCTTCAAAGGGTGGTTATACAACGGAGTGATAGTCTCAAGATGCTTGACGTGATACTCCGACAGCCACCATGTACATGCAAGATCGTACTCTCATTCTCTCGGCCACCGATTCGTAATTAAAAAGCATTCAGATAATTTGGTCCAATAGACAGAGAGGTGAAATGAAAGAATATGGTAAAGATGAGTTCAGATTGACGAGTATACCAGGTAGGCAATTTCCCAACCTTGTTCTTTGACCTGAACCTTTCTGATGACGAATTTGAAGGACAATGCTTATATTAATTGACATTTAAGCGGCCGGACTAAATACTGCAAAGACCCACAAATATGTCCTTTACAAAAAAAAGGCAACCTCTTCGGCAGTCTGCATCCTGCGTGTGAAGTAACTATGTCCCGAGTGCGACATTTTTCAATTAGGGTTGGAAGCTGCACTTCAAGACGTTGGGGCAATCTGGTTCATGCATTAAAGGAATGTCGCTAGATCGACCCTATTTGATATCTGTATGGAGTAAGAGGATGTCACATTACGATATACGCATTCAGTCTAGGCACCAAGAATCCAGATTGAACTACAGCGCAAACAATAGTTTCGGGATATTAGAGTAGGCACTCCGCAGATATAACCGGCTTTCCGAAAAGTTTAGAGGGATAGTATTCTTAAACGTCAATTGATGACTCTATATGTCAATCATGATCTCTCGCTGTATGAATATGAACAAATCCACCTATCCTACCGGCCAGCAAACGATGCTCGCATTTTTTACAAGTATCTTCTTTGTTATCCAGCGTATTTCAGAGTACATACTACCGGGCCTATTCACTTTCAGCTTATCGACGGGTCTAATGGTCCATTTCCCCTTGCTAAGGCTTACTCCAGAAGAGAATGAAGCTGTGATAATCCGTCAAAACAATCGAAGATGTACTTGCGACTTTCTTTTACAAACGATCAGTGATATTCTACTGGAAATGTAAGTTGTAATAAATCATAGTCTGAAACACGCCAGAAGTAGTTCTGTTTGCTCCGTCTTGGTTAAATTTCATTAACGTGTGTTTGCGCTACTAGTATATCATTAGGACAGGATAGTGTCAATATGAATATGCAAGAATGGGTTGTTAAAACGTGTCAAATTGGCTTCGGAGATATGAGGCACACCTGTGATGCTTGGTGTGATATACAACTTGTGCTTTTGGAGATCTATCTAAGCCATATACCTTTGTTGCGGCAAATCCGTCTGTCTTTAACCCTCGCAATTGAACAGCAAATTCAGATTGCGGTGGTGTAATAGCCATCACTCCGACGTGTTGTTGATTTCGTGGGCGAGGTAATGCTGTACAGTTCGCTTGATGCCCTCCTGCATACCGACTTGTGGCTGGTATCCCAACCTCTCTTTCGCCTTCGAAATGTCAAATGTCCGAGTCATAGTTAGGTACTTGGCCATGCGGCGATTGACATAGGACTCCTTGGATCCAAGGCTAAAGGCCCAGACGGACCATTCTGCAATGACAGCGAAGGCGTAGTACACTGAGCTCGGTATCACTGTCACCTTGTCCTTGGGGACTGGATGGCCAGCCTCGGCGGCAATAGCTCGAACAAAGTCCCAGAATGGCCAGTGTTCATCGTTAGTGATGAAGAAAGCTTCTCCATTCACTTTTAGAGGGCCTTCACGGTCGGCATGACTGTCAGATTCGCGCAGTAACGCTTCGGCAGCGAGAATATGAGCATGAGCGGTATTTCCGCTATAGGTAAAGTCGAAGATGTTGGTTCCATCACCTATCTGGAATCTTGTTCGGCCAGTCCTGGCATTTGCGATCATTTGTGGTGTCGCAGTCGCGTCGCCTTCTCCAAACAGGAGCGAACCACGAAGCCTGGTCGTAAGTAAGCCGTTTTGTCGGTTCGCACCTTGGATCAAGTCTTCAGCCATAGCTTTGGTATGGCTATAGAATTCGGTCTGTTCAGGCCAGTAGAAAAGGCGGCCTTCCTCCGTCGCTTCCACGAGATCGGTTATGTTGTTGTGGATAACGGAAGAACTAGATGTGTAGACCAGAGCCTTGACATAGTTTGTCTCGGCAATGCATTCGATGAGAATCCTTGTTCCGCCTACATTGACATTTTCAAAAACCTTTTTCGTGTTTTTCTGACCCATAAGGGTTGGAGATACCGTATGCATGATAACCTTCGGTTTGACGGCTTCTAGCACCGAGCGCACGTCTTGCTGTGAGGCTATGCTTCCCTGCACATACTTTGCTCCTAGTACACGATTGACATCAACACGAATGTCGAAAGCGGTCACATCCGATGCCTTCTTGGTTTCGAGGAGCTGTTTGATGATGTGGTGTCCGAGGCCTCCGCAGCCGCCAAGCACGAGGACTGGGTCCATGTTTGTTTTTAAAGTAGGACTAGTGGACGACTTAGAAGGAAGATAATAGAGTACAAATTTGGGAGGAATTCGTAAGAAAGGGTCAGAACATGAAAAATAACAACGGTGAGGATTGGGAGCAATCCCTTTATTGATTTTGCCATAACGGCCGAAAGTAGACATATAGTAAGCCCAAGCACCAACTGAGGCGTAGCAAAGTCCATCTCTGTGGAACACAGCCAGTGAGCAAAGACCATTCTAATGAGCTTGATTAACAATATGCATATCAGGAAGCCACATACGTGTGTCACTCACGATCCAGACTGCGTTGCCTGCCTACTTGACACGTATTACAGGGTTGGACGCAATGTTCTAAGGCATTACTAATTTGTCGTTCTAACATCCCGCACAGCAAATATTATTCTTGGGGCTTGTTGCTTAGAAAGACAGAATTCGTCTTTACCATGATGCCTTCCAGCCGAGGCCACAAACCATAAAGCGCTAAAAATCCATGAAGGGAACCCAGTCTCATCCAAGTACCATCTCAAAATTTGAGATCTCGAGATGCAACAACTCCAACCAAATGCGAAGCCTCCAAAGTGTCCCTAGTTCTTCTCTTCAGACCTGATTTCCATCGGCCGCATCCCCTCGTCCTCTGACCCTGGAAACTGACCTCGCCGGGCGATCTCATTAGGATTGTATCCCACACAAACATCGTCTCCTACAATTCGATAACGGGAAGACGTGCCCAATATCGTAGTCAACAATGGAATGACCAGAATTGCGAGAACACGTCTGTCTTGAGCGTATACTCTCGTGACGGTCGTCTCGGTAATCGTGCGGACGGTGCCCTCAGGCGATCTTACAAATGCCACCAAGGTCCGCATTTCGAATATCCCCTCAATACGCGACGCCACATCCTCGGCTGATGAATTGGCCTGCGAATGAAGTAAGTGTAACGCGAACGGATTCGAATAGATGGTGTCGCCATTACTCCCCTTCACTCTACCAGCACTGAAGTTGAAGGGTGACCGTCCGTTGTGGTACATTGTTCGCATGTAGTTAAGAGAGCCGTCCTTCACTGACGTATTTGACAGGCCTCGAAATGAAGTTCGGTTGAGGATTGGAGGGTCCGCTCCTGTCTGGATTATCTCAACTGTGCCGAGGGTAAGAAGGCAGTCGACGGTGTTGGCGAAAAAATTGCTTGTTTCATTTGTGTTCTTGACAGATACTCCAAGTATTGTCGCCCATTCATACGTGTAGCACATCTTGTCTGTATCCTGACACGGTGGCCGGCCAGATCTGAAATCAGCATAGATATATGGTGAACCGTATTGGAGATTAACTGAAATGTTCGGGTTTATAGCACTAGTGTATGTTTCATTGAGCCAGCTGGTTGCTCTGGGTTGGAACAGATTTTCAGGATGTGGCGTGCTGGTATAATTACATTGCGCACGAATACTGTGGACGGTTGACTTCACAGTGCAGCTTGATGCCGAGCACACTGAAGCTGCAGGTGCCTCAAAGCTGCTGAGGTAGGCCAGACCTGCCGTGAGGCCGGGGACGTCATTGCCTTCTCCTCCACGAAGCCTATCGTTGGAGTCATCTAGCTACCTAGACCAAACATCCGCTGTTGATTGTAGTGTGTTTGTGCTTGTATCGATGTTGTTTTTCTGAGAAATGCCGCTGACTAGAACAGTGGACACCACGCCAGTGACAGCAAGTGCGACTCCAGCGATCTTGAGAGTCCATTCTTTTCCACTGAAAAAGTATATCACCCTTTGGAGTGGAGAAACTGTCCACTGTGCTTATGCACGAGTCTCCAAAGCCGTAAGCTTGATTTGGTGTGTAGAGTATAGAAACTTTTGCCAAAGAGCTTGCTCAACCGCAATAGTGACAAGTGCAGCAGTTGCGGCATTAAGGACCACAGCCAAAAAGTTGACTGCTGTACGTGGAGAGATGCCTGATGCGTCCGGCGTGAGGAGCGATTCCTGCTTGAGCAATTGTGGGGAGATAAAGATGAGAAGGAGTAAGAGGTAGCAAATAACGAGAAACATCACCAACAAAACGCAGACGCTTATGTTGATTGCGCGTGAATACGACCGTAGTCGGTTTGAAAAATCTCCTAATACCATGACTGCCGACGTCTACGACACAAAGAAAAGGGAGAAATTAGACTGACAGGACGGGGCATGGAAAGAGGATAACATATCCAGTACTGGGAAGCGGGGTCCTTCAATCCTCTTTCAACTTGCAAATCAGATGAAGGAGGTTAATCTCTTATTGATTGTCATCACTCTTTCTATTTCTGTAATTCTATACAGCCTTGCAGCATACACCAACCGTAATCACCGATCTTATTGGGCTACTACGTCCCGAACGCCTAACCTGGCCCGTATTACGCTATCTCAGCCTTGTCCCTTGCGCCCTTCTATGCCCTATTTTATTAGCATACAACCTGTTCTAATAGGTTAATCAAGCTGTAGGGATGACCCTCCATGTAGTTGCAGCTGTTAAAGCCTTGAGACAGAGGAAGAAGGATTGGAGCGTGCATCTAGACCGATTGATGGTTCCCGTGGCCATCTTCCCGTGGCCATCGAGGAGAAGAAGGCACGAATCACCAAATTTTCGACTCGCAATGTGTCTTTCGAAGTGTTGAAGCAATTAAAGGCCTAGCTCATTAGTCTTCCAGCCATTCTAGCTCACTGCGGTCACCGAATTATGTGATCATGGCTTAGTATACCAGTTCTGGAAGTAATCACGCCCGATAAGGATAACAAACGACGGTAGCTTGACGCATTCGATGACTGTAACCCACTCACGATTGGCCAGCTATAATCCTTTTAGGTTCTTTCGTCTTTCAGCTTCTGTTACGACTTTCATTGACGCTGTAATACCCGTTTAAAACTTAGTTTCGTCGAAGTTGAATGCATCGTTGTCTACGATGCCGTACTCTGCCTTTGTAATACGTACGAGCTCATACCACGCCTGCACACCCTCTGGACCTCCACAAAGGGCTCTTTTGTAGTCGTATCTGCGAGAGAAGTGCGTTTCAAGTTCACGAGTACGTTTAACAAAGTTTGTGCTAGCCTGTACCCTACTGCGCCGGTTGCGAAGATTGTCGGCCATACCTCGCACAGATCTAGGCGCAAGGAAGATTCCACGTAGATCAAGATTAAGTATATGTTGAATTATAACCTCTTCCTCTGAGGAACTTTTGGAGATGCTTCCAGTCGTGGTACTACCTATGAAGAAGTTGTGATCCCCAAATTCCTAAGTGCAAATATAAAATAATAGAAACATTCATCATGCTTGCATTATCGCAATGCCAAGATTCTTTCCTCCGAAGAGCCCTTTAGAAGGCCAATGCAAGGATCTACATTAAACACGTCTGCATAGCTCTTAAGCCTCGCTGCCCTTGGATGGGCCACCGTATCATCCAAGTCGAATGTTTGCTGTGGTGGCACTCGTTGACCAGCGCCGAAATCGATGCTGAAGTTTCCAGCCGTAGATCTCCCTGTCCGGCTGGCGAGAAGCCTGATCTTCGCAGCAAGTGGTCGTAGGGTTGAGCTCGAGGTGGCCATGACACTAATGCCAACCTCGACAACCGACCAGATAGCAATCTCGGCATTCGCATACAGAAAATCTGGATCCTCGAGAAAGTGTACGTAGGGAAGTCTAGCAATTGTTGCTACAGCAGCACTAGCAACATCCATTAGTCCTTTACTTTTAGCAAGAGGATAATACAGAGGATCGAATGGGAGAGGCTTGCTCACATAGATCCGATTGCAAGGAGGAGAACAACGGTAGCCTTCAGGCGGCGCGACATCTGAACCCCTTTCAAGACGCTGATAGGTAGCATTGCGAGAGAAATGTCGGCGAAGAGCATGACAGCGCCATGCCCGTAAGTAGCGGCCACCATGCTCGCCGGTTCACGGCAAGTCCCCGTGCCAGAGTGGGCAGGCAATAGGCGTTCCCAAAACAAAGGTATGGGACTGCAAGTGTGCAGGATGAAGAAAAAGTAAAAAATGGTGAAGATGAAGATAATGCTCAAGATAATATAAATGACTGTTTTTTCACCACGATTAGTGGTGACGCGGTATAGTGTCAGACAGAAAGATGTCTTGATGAGCCAAGTAGTTGTAACATAGATTAGTTCGCAAACAAAGTAGTACTGCCGGCAGAGCATTAGCCAATCATCCTAACACGAACTTCGATCGAACGAGTGCATGGGTTTAACTAACGCGAACACCATTCGAAAATTGTTCCATCGACAGATTAGCGGCATGTTGACCGATTCCAGCATCTGCTCCAAGGATAAGCGTGACGAGGAGAACAGTAAAGGTAAGCTGGCGAAGCTTTGTTAGCCAGGCTGTGAGCAACACAAGGCGAGTCAGGCTAGTATACTTGTGAACAGATTGCGAAGACATCGTCCAAGCCAAATATTCTTTTCATCTTACATCTGACATATACTCGCAGGCACATAGAGACAAGACTGATGATGTAGAATGAAATCAGGGTTGCAATGATAGTGCCGCCTTTCCCAGCGATCGCCATTGTGACAGGGTAGGCAGGAGGGTGATGTTCGAGAGAAAGCGGGGGCCGCAGAGCAGAAACAATGATTGTAGAAGACAGAGGGGGAAAGATGGAGCAGGAAAGGGCGATAATGTAGCAATAAAGAAATCGGTTAGGAATATAAGCATTGGGGACAGAAGGGGCAACAACTATGATGGGGGCCCGAACGGCTCGATGGCCTTGCTTTGATCACAACCCAGCCATGTCCGGGGTATTACCCCAGGTTTGGAAACATATGCCAGGTACACAAATGAGTTCTGAGGTGTTCTCTTGCTACCTCGTATGTACTTGGATATCTCACTCTACTGTGTAGCCGAGACACTGTTTGTTGGTGTTTGAGCAGGCATGTGGGCATCTCTAACCGACGCTTTAAACACGATTTCTTGCATGGAAATATGCTGCTAAACCTTTATCTTGCCTCACAATGTAAATCATGTATCAAATCAGGCATGATTTCCGACAATGAGTGCTACAGTTAAGGTTGTGTAGGAATCACGATGCGGGGCGGACAAAGCTTAATGCCACAATGCAGGGAAGACAAGTTTTAAGTTTGTACGGCTTCTTAATCCAAGAATAACTTATAGCTATAACTTGCTAATGAAAACACCTTGTATTGGTCTACTATACAATGGGGTCCCTTCAATAGGTAGGCAATAGCTGTACATGCTATTACAGAACTTGTGCCGATTTCTATGTAAAAGTCTACAGACTTCAGCAATTTGCTTATTATAACCCCTTGTATAGTTTTGTCAGGTACAAACAGTCCTGCTAATGTAGACATGGGCTACGCCATGATATTTACGAGATAGTTGCGCAGCCTTACGCTAGTGCTCCCGTCGTTCCGCTTATCGAGTCATTTCCTCTCTGTCAGTACGCCTCTTAGCCTGGGGTCTAGACGTACCCCGTAAAGCCTTCAGTGCATCGCATCGTATCACATCATTATTGATCGCCATATGTCACAAAGGGAATGGAATTTCTTGACAACTTGCTCTTCTGGAGCGGTAATGCCTGTGCTTACTAGATACCGTCGATTCGAAGCAAAGGCAGACAACGGCTTGATTGAAGTGACGTGAAGAGCAAATCAAATGCAGTTGAGAAGGATGCCCATCTACTTATCCCGATACAGGCGCTTCCTGTGCATCCCTAATTAGCATTGAATACCCAGAAAACGAATTTTAAGAGCCTATATCTACTGGATCGGGACACATGATGTATACTCTTTCTAGGACTTACCGATACTGCAGCAATACTTGCATTTACAAAGCTTACAATCATGACCTTTTCGTAACAAATGCATCTTTTACATGCGTAACGACGAACCCTTTACATTGTACGTAAACTCAAAGGTGTGCTGATCATGACGCAAAATGACTGAGTTTAGCAGAACCCGAGTACTTATTACGTGCAGACCTAGGGGGAATCATGCATCCCAACTCATCTCCCATCCGCCTTCATCAACATGCCCAAAATCTCCAAGTCCTTCCTTGCATCCTCTGGCCCCGTCTTTGGTATCTTCCCTTTCGCAACCCATTCCCACACCTCCTTCCACTCTAGCGTAAATGGGTCTTCATACGTCCTCCGAATCGTCGCCTCCCTATAAGATCCATCTGGTAATGCGTCCTTGACAACCATCGTCGTAGGTAACCCTTTGACGAAGGGAGTATCAATGCAGAGTTTAACAGTTTTATTGTCACCAAAAACTTCGATTGAAGCGTCGAATCGCGCCACATTATCAACACCAGATTCGTAGGATACGGCGAACGTAGGGTATTGGAATATTGCACTGAGGAAGTTAGATCTTTCTGACCAAGGGAAGAGCGACAACAAATTCAATACCTCCAAAATGGTGATCCAGTAGTAGCGCAAGGCGCAAATCCCACCACTCCTTTGGGCATTCCCAAAATCTCTCTCATCGCACTCAGATCATGTGATCCGAGCATGGAGAGGTAATTCCACATCATGTCCGTCTCGGGCGTCACCTCCACGCCCAGTTCCTTCCTCAAAGCCTGCTCTATATCATCCGCCGTCTTCCTCTGCAGTGCCTGGGTATCTTCTTCGCGGTAATCGCCAAAGGTTCGAGGGAAAGAGCCCGACTGCCCTATAAAAACGGAGTTCGGGCCTATGATGTCGCGGACACGGGCATAGCGGATCGAATCTATACTACCAACTTCCTTCACAACGTCTTCGAAGGCAGCAGCATAACGCCTCATGTATCCCACAAAAACCTTGTCCCCACCTGCCTTTTTGTTGGCATTGATGATGGTGTCAGTGTCCCGCAGAGTCAAGGCAATGGGCTTCTCGATGAAAACATGTTTTCCAGCTTGAAGAGCAACGAGGGCTTGTGATGCATGGAGCGAGTGATGAGATGCTATCAGTACTACATCTACGTTTGGTGCTGTGCATAGTTCTTCGGCGTTGAGAGTGGTCTTTGGTGGTAAAGCGCCGGCGACTTTCGACTGGCTGTGTTGAAGGGCATCTGAGGAGACGTCGCTCAGATGAGTGATCTGGTAGAGACGCGAGAGGTGGTTTAACGTAGGAATGTGGGTGACTTGTGTTATTAGACCGCATCTATCAAAATTCATTATAATGCTTATTATTAATAATTGTCATGAGTTGTCAAAACTGACCCAATGATACCTACTCGTATGATGCGATCGCTCTTCGCAGCTTCAGTTGGTTTCATACCCCACATTCTGGAATTATTTGGTTGCTGGTAACGGGAAGTTGAGGAAATTCAAGGAATTTATCTGGTGACTGAGTCCAAATGTCCAAACCTTTGCGTGGCAGTGATGCTATATATGGGTACCTAGACACGCACTTGAAGCCTTCGTTACGAGATAATCGTCGCTGCAGAGGCGGAGATACCCTTAATAGTTAGCCTGAATGAACCCCGCATCGGCAAGGACGATGCAGTCGAGATTGGTTCGTTTCAAAATCGATGCTTCTCGGGCCGCCTTGTGTCCAATCATGGGCATCACGCCCTCACTAATTTTCCGATAATAATCCAGAAAGAACCAACAGCAGAGCAGAAAGGCATTTCTGGGAAATCTGCATTATAGGCGCTGTCGGTAATTGTTAGATAGACGTTACCGGGAAGCATCTTAGTCGTATAGATCGCTCAACTCGATATACGGCAAAGAACTCGGGACATGGTAAAAAGTAATTCTATAGGTACTCAATCGTGCATATCGTATAGTTCTGCTTGATCCTCCTTATAATTTCACCCTCTGTTCATTAATAGGTACGTCAGATTGCTATATTGCTAACTGACATTTTGTTTTGACTACAGTAAATGCAAAGATTTGCGAGGAAGCAGCAGCAAGGAAGCGCAATTCCTCCGAATCCCTACTATACATACCTATACTTTCGATTAATCAAATCCATGACCTGAATATCGACCTGCAATAGCTATACAATTGGATAGCTCTTCCAATCAAAGCTCCACAAGCTAGTGGTAACCCGATTCGGGCCCATGTCCCGGGTTTCCAAAGATTCATCTTGGGGATCAGTATATCCCTTTCTGACGAACGGTTGCGTGTTTTTTGAGCGGTGCCCACGAAATCATCGATAGCTTCGATCATAATATCAGAGACCTTATCTGGTTGGCTTAAGAACGGTGAATGGCTGGTGCGCAACTCCCTATGTTCTACAATACCACCCATTGCCCTAGCCATACCTACTTGCATTCGTTGTGCGAAGACAGGTAGACCACGATCCTCAGTCGTGCCAATATACCACGTACGAACATCTTTCCAGCCCGCATAAGCGTATTGCCCGCCCTCGAATAGTGCTTTCAGACTTTGGGATTGGAGCTGCGACACCCAGTAGTTTGCTTCGTCTATTGGTAAATCATGGTAGAACAAGTCGCGAGGCTGCGCGACAAGCTCAGCAAAACCCGTCTCTTTGTTTACACGCCACGACGGCGGGGGTACCCCGAGGAAGGGGTCCATGAATGCAAGGCCGGTCAAAGTAAAACCGGATGCAATGAGTATTAGGCCCACAACATGTCCCTCCCTATGGCCTGGCGCAATTGTACCCTTGGCGGTATCAGACGGAGCATTGGGTGAGGAGTTTAGTTGAATGCTGTTGCGCGGCTGCGTGAACCCTTTGATGGCACTGTTGCCAACCATTCCGCCATAAGAATGCGCAATGACAACAACATCGCGTTTCTGGTCGATCTCGCGAGCGATAATCGCGCGTGCATTATCGATATCGTCCTTGAAAGTTGCGGTCGGATCTCCGCTTGCTGAATTCAATGTGACAACACGGCTTCGTACTCCATGTTTCTGCTCCATTGTCTGAATGACGTTGTTGTAGCACGTGGGCAGATGCCATGCGCCTGGTATAAAGACCAGCGTCAGCAAATTTGCCATGATTCAAAACACCATGCAACTTTTTGAAAGCTATAATATATTCAAGTCCCGGTTCCTGATGTGTAACAGCGGAGATGGAGACTATTTTAAGTCAGGGCGTTTGGTTTCACTTGAAGCGCCCCACTTCAAGTGTACTGAATACCTTTCGCGAGCAACGAACGTGTCGAGGAGAAGACCGAACGTCTAAGGAAGTTCGTGGGTGATCGAAACTCGAAGACTCCCACCCTGGGCGGTAGTAGTGGAATAATGCGGTATGTTCATATGCAATTTGTTGGGGTGGGGGTAAGAAATGAGAAAAGAAAAGAGTGGATGTGGATAAAAGAGGATGCTAAGATGATTTAGGAAAGCTCCAGCCAGCCACCTTCGCTGCTCCGCATGAGAAGATTACGCGACAAACAAACGAACCCTCAATTTGTTACACAGATTCATCATAACTTAAACCTTCCTTCATACCTATATATAACTAGTAAACTGAGTACTCTGAGATTACGAGATATCAACACCAGTGTTCAAGGCATGTCTCTTGACTTTCCAATTGCGTATAGCGTATTGTGTCTCTCCAGAGCATGCTTCCCTTTGCAGGGTCCAAAGCTTCAGGGTTTCGGATACCTAGCTCAGAACCGTTCAGGTATAGAGCCTTAGGTCTTGCGCTCAGAGGCGGAGGACTGCTCATGAGCGCTGCAGCAATGATATCGGACGCTGATTTCCTCGCCGATCGAAGGGGCCCGTTGGAGATGAAACAACCCAAGATCACTCTCAAAGCTGGCAACAGGAGCTGCCACAGAAAAACTCGCAAAACCCAACTCCCACTTTGACGTACTATGCCAGTGTTCACTAATCCAGGATCAATTCCAAGTACTGAGACATTATTAAGGGCAGAGTCTTGGTCGAGACGACGCTGAAGCTCGGAACTGTGCAAAGCGATTTTAGCTTCTGTAAAGACCAAACTAAGAAGGGGGGATTCAATTTACATGGCCACGACGCCGCAGAGTTTGGAAGCACCATATCGCCTATAACCAGCTGCCCACCCAGTCATGTCATCCTTGCTTAAACTCCACTGGCCACGTGCAATAGCATCGATATTATTTGAATTCAAGACAATATTGTACTTCGCCTCTTTGAAAGCCCCATTCCATGAATTACGAGGATCATGTGGGCTGCAATACATTAGCAGGTTTGGTGACTAAATAGACAGAAAAGGTGCAAACTTACTTGTGGGACCAACTACAAATCCAAAGCACCCGTCCTCTATCAGCATCTATGCTCTGCAACAACAACATTGAAAGAAGCCAATGGCCCAAGTAGTTTGTTGCAAAAGATGTGTCCAACCCATCTTCAGTCCATGTTTGTTTTTCAAACTCCTCATAGCCGGCGTTGAGGACTATGGCGTGAATTCGAGGAACCATTCCCTCTGCAACACGTCTATTGATCGTTCCCGCAACTGTACGAACATCGCTGAGGTTCGAAAGATCTAACGAAATCTTCTCGTGGGAATGCGGAGTGGCGCTACGAGAGACTTGGTTGACAATAGCAGTGTCTAGTGACTTCGCAGTAGCAACATTACGGGCAATATATATACCGTGGTACGATGCATTAAGATCTGGTGCCGAAATAATTTGCGAAACAATAGCAGTCCCAAGACCACCGTTTGCCCCTGTCACAATTATTGTGCCTCTTGGATCAGCCATAATAGCATTATGTAGAAGATGGTCGAATGCTGAAAGAAAAATATGCAGAGAAATATTCCTTCGAAAGAGGCGGAACCAGGTATTTTATCGGACATGGGCAGCGGAGGTAGTAGGTAATTATCAACCAGATATAATTATCCTTGTATTATTAAATGCCTCAGCACGCACCATGCAGGCAATATCAGGCCACGCCAACACCATGCACTGTGCCTCAATATGATGTGGCAAAGTAATCAAGACCATTGACCCAAATCGGAGGGATTCTAAAGTTTCCTCTACTCAGCACTTCCCCATTCCCAAACCCACAATATCCCACAAATTCAGGCTTGAGGAAGCTTAAATCCACCAGGAACCTGATATTGGAAAGTCCCTAGCGGGTCCTGCTCAGCTGCAATCTTACGCAACCGGCGGACGTTAGGCTCTGTGTAGCTAAGCAGAGGGTTTTGGTACGGTGCTGCATAGTTCAGGTACAAGAAGGGATCGAAGGCTTGGAGTTTGATCATGTCGACATTTATTGCATCCATTAGCGAGCGACCATATTGCTCAACAAGGTCGTCGTCATCTGGAGACGTATAACTGACGCTCAGCAAAGCGATTACTAGCGCGTTGGTTATATTCCCTCTGTTGTCAAAGCCTAGAGCATTGGATCTCCGGTTGCGTGCGTAAAGTACTGGTGGAAGTGGTTCCAAAGTGAGCGATGAAACAATTCCTGGAATTTCTCCTATTGCAAGGGAACTCTCATTGAAACGGAAGAATGTTGCATTGATTGCGGCCTCGGTTGATAAAAATGTAAGAGTACTCCAAAACATCCTGATCGCTACAATTAGAGTCACGTACAGAAGCCTAAAGCCAGTAAAGGTTTGCAGTACTTACCGCTGACCGGTTGCAGCCTGGCTTCTCAAGTCTCGGGAAAGCTGTGTTACATTGGATATCCCACCAACGCTGAGCAGTGCAGGTAAGCTTCTTAAATTCGCAAAAATGGAAGGATTATCCTCGGGTTTGGTATACTCGAGCTGATTCGCGACAATCAACCCAGTAGTAGCGGAGAAGCCCCAAGTCAATGTCAGATGCGCAAACTCGTCATATGTCGCAGGGTCGTTGATCTTGACAAATTCGTGAACCTCCTCAAGCCAAACATCAGGCTTGTAGTACGCATACCCACCGAAGAACGGCTCTTGCGGAAACGTTTGCATTTCGATGGAGGTGACAATGCCAAAGTTGTTGCTACCGCCCCGCAGAGCCCATAGCAGATCTGGATGCTCATAATCATTGGCGTTCACGACAGTCCCATTAGCCAGCACTACCTCATAGTTGATGATTGCATCCGCTGTCCAACCATAACGGGTCCCAAAATAAGAGATGCCGCCTCCGGTACTCAATCCTCCAATACCGACGCCCGCCGTACGCCCCCCATTGACGCTGCGATCTAAGGGGTCCAACTTGGAGTAAACCAAGTCCCAGGAGCCACCTGCGCCAACTGACACAGTCTCTCTATGAGAATTGACATGGACTGAATTTAGCTTTCGCAGATCCAAGGTGACACCTCCATCAATGTTGGCAGCGCCTGCCCAAGCAGTGTGCCCACCGGACCTAATAGCGAATTGGCATTGTCGTTTGCCATCGTCCTTGAGGTCGACATAAAGACTTGTAAGAGTTTTGACGGCGATTGAGACGTCATTAGTGCTCTCCGGGAAGATTATACACTGAGGCTGGAGACTTGCTTCTTGGAGTGAGAAGTAAGAGGCCAGAGACGAAATATAGGATGGCTCTGGGGGAAAAGCTGTTATGTTTCCCAGGAGGGTGGACAACGCCAGGCACTGACATTTATGTTAGCAACAGGTCTGTCACATACTTATTGTCTTATGGTGAGAACTGACGCAAATCCCAGTAGTTCCCGGATTGATCGTCATAATTCCTGTAGCTTCTCGAAATAGTTTGTTGAGGCTTGACTCGCGATATGAGCAGGCACTAGGTGCAATAGTGTTGGAGCGATGATGATGCTAGAAATTAGAACGGACTTTGACGACCTTTATTCTCCCTTGGTATTACGTTCATGCACGCCAAGTTCTTGTCATGAACAATTGCCCCTTGTAATTATTAGCATGTATGACTATGCAGTCGGACCCGGTTAGTCTGGTATCTTCTGGCACCTGCATACATATAATGATATTCCAGACAAATCCTTCAATAGATACAAGTAACCGTGCTTCATATGGTCTAACCGTTTGCTAGCTAGGGTGTATAGATATTTAGCACGCGAGGGTTATGGGTAGCAATAAATGCCGAGTTGGAGGGTGGAATGGTTTAGAGACTGCATAGTTACAACAGAAGGATGGATCACCTTGAATAGGACGTAGGAAATATGATATTTTCAACATTAGGATGATATTCTATGTATGATTCTCGTCATCTGTAGACGCAACTCCCTTCCTTATACGGAATACCAATTACACTATTTCACTTTGCTTATTTACAGACGTAGCCTTGATCCCGATTCCATCATGATGCGCAATATCCGGCTCCATGTTTGATGCAAGTGACACTCCAGCGCCTGGCCTAACAGTGAATTCTGACAATTCGTAATAAGACGATGTTTTCCTTGCCCTTTTTGGGCTTCCAAAAGTGTCTTGAGTCTTTTTCTGTTGCCAGACTTTTGGAGAGTACAGGTTGGAAGAGACCATCACTGCACGAATTGAGTGGTAGACGGATGACCCGGCAACATATTTCCGTAGAAAACTTGCAAAGGCAGGCAATGATCCTACTATAATTGCAACATTATTCTCGATGATTCTGCATACCGACGGTTAGCGTTTCTGTCTCATAAATGAGCAAACATACACCAATTTCGGACACTTACATCGGAATTGCTACAACGCCTGCTTGCCAGGTAGCGTCGCTGAGCCAGAGAAGCTTAATTCTATATACTAGACAAACAACGCTTGCAGCCACACCTCTGAATCCATCGTTAGAGATCATAAAAAGGAGGAAGGGGGTGACGTTCAGATAGCGTACTCACATGAATGCTGTGGCAAAGAGCGATATGACCTGGACGCGCTTGGCTAGTGGCAAATGGAGTCGTGCCAGTGTAGGTAGCGGCAGGATAAATATGTATATATCAACTAAAACTGACGCAGCCCCAATCGTAATGCCGCCTGGAATTCCTTTGTGTGTCATTCCATTGACTACCAGCTCATCCCACGATTGGCCTACGTGTGGAGCATTATAGTAGGATAGGACCAAGGATGCAGGAACGTAAGCAAAGAAGGCCATGATTATGCCAAAAATAGATCCAGTCTTCATGGCTTTGACACTAGAGAATATCTGTATGTAAAATAGAAAGATGGCGGCTTTTGGGAAAAACAACGCGGGTCCTGTCATAATGTCGACAACAAAGGTCATCTGTTTTGGTATCAATCAGTAAGGATTATAGGAACCTTCGTCATTACTGGGCAAATAGTTTAGACAAACCTTCATATAATCCCCCATAAGGTCGCACACTGGTGTATCCCAAATGTGGCGATAGCGGGAGGAAACTAGAGATTTGGGCGATAAACATCAAGGCCATGACAAGCAACTGTGTGACATACGTGCTAGTTGCGTACCCATTACGCCAACATCGAAAATGAATCCTATAACCATTATCCCTACCGATTCGTTAGATGCAACTGTTCAGGTAGTTGAGAAAGTATGTAGCTCAAACGAACAGTCCGGTATCTTAAGAGTGGACCTATTAACAAACAGTCTTCCTGCCAGCACAACAGAAGCAAAAGCTACCATAACACTTGTAATGACAATAACAACTGGTTGCAAGGACGGTGGGTTCACAAAGTTTGTTTGCAGGCCGTATGGAGGAGTTCCGGCAGGGAGAAGACACAAGTCTATACCTGGGAACATTTCCTGTATTGTTTGATGCCGTGCCTGGATCATTTTGTCGACTATGACTGATGTCGTATCCTTGAAAGAGATTCGTGTTCCTAGGTAGACAGCCCTCTTAAATGAAAATTATTGAACAAAGATATATCTACGCAGAGTAATGGTCTCTTTTCTGCTACTTCATAAATATTACAGTACAACATAAGAGCCAGAGAGAGCCTGCCACTTACACGAGCGGTGAACTTGTTCAACGGCCAGGAGAGTTGACAAGGGTGAAGGGCCATTCGTCCCGAGGGACGGAAAACGGTGATTTTAGACTTCGGTTGTTACCTTCTCATATTAAATATGCATGTAAATGCATGTATACGGCATCTTTGAGAGTCCGAAGAGGTCTGACATGCGTGAGGCACAGGTCCAACTCCGCTGTATGTACTATGAGCCGGTGGAGGAGGGTCCCCATACTATCCTAAACTATCATTCGGCGCTTGGAACTTGGTTTCCTTCTTCCCGTGACAATGTTCTAAGATACTTTAGGTATTATGCCGAGTTCATATGATCCAGGACGGGTGCCGCGGTACCCGAAGGTACAAGCGGATGCAGAACATCACCAGAACCTAGAATTGGGAGCCAAGATAAGAATATACACTCTTACACCAAATAGTGATATTGATACTTTTTTAGTATGTAGTTACATCAATTACTATTTAGATTTTCGAATGTCCGAATCCTTCCAAGCGCCCTTCACAAAGTCTACGCACCTTTCAGCAATCATCAGAACTGGAGCCATAGTGTGTCCACTGGTTATCTTTGGGAACACACTAGCATCAGCAATCCTAAGGTTCTTGAAGCCGAAAACCAAAAGCTTTTGATCTACGACTCCAGATTGCTCATCTAAGCCCATAGGACATGTACTGGTAAAGTGGAGAGCCGTGTGGCCAACTCTCCGCATATAGTCATCAATCTCAACATCGGTAACGTCTTTCCATGTCTTTTTCACCCGCTTTGAGTCTTTGTAAGATGATGTCCCCTTATGGGTAGACCCAGGCTGCTCCCATTCACAGAGAGACTCAGCTTCATTGCCAGGTGCAAATGCGAATGGAGCAGGAAACGGATAAAACTTCTGAAACTCGGAGGCTAGTCGCATTGAGAAACGTACAGCAAGTCGAGTTGCTCTCAGGTCATCTTCGTGGCCCAACATGGGATGCGTTATGCTCGGATTTACGAGGGGATTCCTACTTGTAATCTTGAGACGGCCTAAAGAAATCATGAGTACTAATTGATTAAGATAGGTAAACTTTAATGAACGGGTCACCCACCTGTTGCCCGAGGTTGGAGTATTGTTGGATAGATAGAAAACAATGAGCGCCCTGGCACAGCGCGTTCAAGTGAATTGAGAGGTATAATCATGACTTCAATATTCGGAACCTTAGATTCAGCTGTCTCATTACCTGTATGATTTGCTGTTACCTGCATTGTTTCTTCGTTAATCGCATCCGTATGGAGAAAGATTGCGGCTGGGGCAGAGCTCAAGCTCATTAAACCCTTCCCCATGAATATCCATACGAGAAAGTGCCAAAGGCCCCAAAGAGCACTCTCAAGAAAGTGCAGTGTCTCTTGGAGGGGAATTTCGAGCATGATCGGGATTGAATAGTGGTCGGAAAAGGTAGCTCCTACAGCAGGGAGCTTTTTGATGAGGGGAATGCCCAATTGTGATTCCACAGAGTCATCACCACTTGGTCCTATGCCGCTGAGAAGTAATAATTGAGGCGTAGTCATAGCTCCGCATGCTAGAATGACCTCTCTTCGAGCTTTTACGAACCCTTCAAAATCCGATTCGAGATCACTAGATGATCGAACATGGACTCCACTAACAATGCAATCCTTTCCATCATTTTGAATAATTTCCAAACGTGTAGCAACTGTACCTGTGCACACACTGAGGTGGTTTACCCTTTCTTGAGCGATTTCTTTGCTTAGATATGATGTTAAAGTCGAGACTCTTTCACCGTTCTTATCAATAGCAGTCTCTAGAGGAAAGTAGCCGTAAGAGGGCGCCGTGGGATCATTGCAACTGTCGAAAGTCGCGAGACCAACTCCGTGAGCTGCCACCTTTAAACTGTGTGCAATTGTTAGCTTAGCTTGGTGAAAAACAGATAAAGAAGGGAGCTCTACTACTGAATCCATTGAAACGAGTACAGTGGTTTGCGCAATTGGATAGGTCCGTGACATCCTCTTGAATTTTGGTGTGACGGGTGGGCTGACCCTTCGACACGCTCGAGGCGTCGAAAGTATGGCTCAACCTTTTCCCAGCACCAGTCTGTCAAGCCTAACTTGCTCCACATTGTGTAATCTCCTGGACTGCCTCGGGTCCAAAGCATAGCATTGAGACGAGATGCACCTCCGATGCCGTTAACTGCCCACAATCGATTTTTCCTCCCATAAGCGCTCTCTATAGGCTCTGACCATATTTTGTCTTGTACCTGCAGGGTCTTTGTCCAGAAAAGATTTTGACTCAGCAACGGCACCCGGGATATCAGATTGTTCTTAACATATCCTCTCTCGATGAGAAGAACGGAGACACTGGGGTCCTCAGAAAGCCGTGATGCGAGAACGCAGCCTGCAGTTCCACCTGAGACAATCGCCAGTCAGTAAACAAAGCATAATGAAGATATGAGTATGATCGTACCTCCTACAATAACATAGTCATATGTCTTTCCGTTAATATCAGACAGTGAGCGCTCCGGATAGACTGTAAAAGGCCACATTATAGCTGGTCGATGATGCTGCTTTTGCTGTAGAGAGTACGGGAGTTAAGCGGAATGGCTGCTGGAAAGGAATGAGACTTCAGGAGAAAACCTATGGCGTTGCTAATGAGGGAATCTCTCAAATCGAGATGAATGCTTCGTATTCCAGGTTACTCGGGTATACAAGGTGAGATCGGCGTATACAGGATAGGTTCATCAATTATCAAGGTGAGTAGTGATACCATCTGATTTAGTCATTACTGGCCTGTACATGTACGTATTTCGGTTTAATTAATTTCCGTTTCTTGCACATGTATCAAATTATGCGGCTACGCCGCGTGCATGCGTTTTCTAAAGATCCGGATGCTGTAAGAGAAGGACCATTTATGCTACGGAGTATCCATCGATAACTAGTCTAAACTCTTATAGGCCCGGAAATAGGTCCCAGGCTTTCTAAAACGGCAAATGCTGCCTTCGACATCAGTTGCAATGTATAAACTGACGAGGGGTAACATTCGGCGGCGCCTACCGCGTTACTGTGGTGAAACATTGGCTGAGGGACGATGCGGACAGGGGTTATGCGTCCGAGTACTTCGGCCCGCTCTACTTCTATCGGTCCCGCTGCATAGTCCTTCGCTCCAACCGGGAACTTATTATTACTGATCCAAATAGCTTACAGGACCAATGTCCGCTGTTTGCCTTCAGCTCTTGGTTTGATTGGCAGGTATGTAGGCTGTTTTATGACATGTGGTTCGGGTCACCAGTCGTCGTCTGCCCAGAACGCGTCGTCCCAGGTGCTATCGTGTTCTCCGGATGCTAAAATACACAAACGAAATCAGGACAAAGTTTAAGTGGAGTATGACTGCAGCATGTGTTGAGGCCTTCCGGCCTTCCATATTGATTGTCAATTCGTAGCATGTAACAGAATGCGAAAACTTGATATTATGGACGTATTGATACATTGAATTCTCTGTGAACTGTTTCTGTCTTCCAGTTGCTTTGGACTGGCCGTAGGTCTAGGCGCTGAACGGTGTATTTAAGAGACGCTGCTCACAATTGATACATTGTCCCAAGACCACCGGCGGACGAATTCGCTGAATACATATCAGTTGTGTGATAGGAATACCGAATTGACTATGCTACCCTTACTCACTGTTCTGGAGATAGGACTGTTATTGTTTGGTTCCCTTCACCTTCTCCAATTGTTGACTCAGAAGGCAGATGAGCCTCCAATTGCGGAGAATGTCATCCCATTCCTAGGCCCCATTCTTCAAATGCTGCGTTGCAGGTCCCAATTTCACCGTCGCATGAGGTCAGAGCAGCCTATTCTTTCAATGATTCTAGTTTTTATCCATCTAATTCCATCCAAGCTTACGCAAAATAGAGCAAAATATGGCTTGTCCGCACATACATTGCGTCTTCCTGGTTTACGAATCTACGTTCTGAACAAGGCTTCGCTCATCAATACCGCTCAAAAGCAACGCCATGCACTCAGCTTTGGGCCCATAATGAGCGACGCCATTGGCAGAATTGCCGGGACCAGCAAAATCACGAATGGGGCCATTTCAAAAGACTTGTTAACAGATGACGGATTTCTTCTGGGTTTCAATAAAGCAGTGTATCATACGATATCTCCTGGTTCTAGTCTGAAGGCTTTGACTACTCAGGCTGCTATCACATTTCTGAATCGAATTGATACATTGCAACTGGATATGGAAGGGAAATGTCGAGTTTCTCTATCGGCATGGATACGTTCTACTATTCTCCAAGGAACAACAGATGCTGTATATGGTGCTAGCAATCCCTTTCGCGACCCTATTATTGAAAGAGCATGGTAGTAAGTAAATGCTATAGCTAACTCGCTACGTGACTAACGGCAATAGTTCATTTGAACCCGGAGTGACCTCACTTGCTTTGAGGATCATTCCGGCCTTTGCGACTAGAAAGACTCGTCAAGCACGGGCTACTCTGGTAGAATCATTCACCGAGTACTTCACTATTAGTTATCCCAAAGGAGCTTCTGACTTCATGAAAGCTCGTTACAACCACATCATCCGCCATGGAATCACGAATGTTCGCGACATTGCAAAATTAGAGGTTGCAGGTGCTTTTAGCATTATTACAAACAGTGCTCCCACGGCATTGTGGCTGTTATATCATATCTTCTCAAATCCCATAGCTCTCAAGGACTGTCGACTCGAACTAGCACCTCTGATTCACGAGCGCAGTGGTGTTTGCTACTTGGACACTGAGTCAGTCAAGATTCTTTGCCCAATTCTACACTCTACACTCCATGAGGTTCTGCGCTACTACGGAGTAGCCCAATCAGTCCGGGCAGTTGTTGAGGACCACAAGTTGGATAATGTGCATCTACTGAAGAAAGGTGGATTAGTTATGATGCCGTCTACGGTTCAACACTTCGATCAGGCAGTATGGGGATCTGACGTTGATTGTTTTGATCATCGGCGTTTTTTGCCCATGTTGAGGAATATTCCAACAGCCGATGCCAATATCAGCATGCGCACTGCCTTTCGCGGATTTGGTGGCGGTCAACAGATGTGCCCTGGCCGGCACTTTGCAGTTACTGAAATTCTGAGCTTGGTTGCCCTAATGGTCCTCCGATTAGACATCATACCTGTTAATGATGGGCAGTGGCCACCGATGGATATCAACTCTGCAAAAGGATCGGCTGTTATCATACCGGATGATAAACTTGATGTTTACTTTGTCTTACGAGACAGGAAAACGTGGGCTCTTCTGTAGTTCTATGTTATTTGTGCAATCAATTCATAAACACTGTCCCTAGCCTATGCAAATTTACACATTTGAATCTTCAAATCTGAATCTTCAGTCAATCAATTCCTGGTAAAACATGAGATATTTACAGATCCATTGAATCACTATATGTTAATATAATACTTTCGTCCTAAGCAAAACAATAATCAATCTCGTTTGCAATTACACTGAAGAGACCATACTAATGCTATTTACATTGAAGGGTTTAGCTAGAATGCCAAAGACGGTACTCCAAGTAAACCTCCAAGACCTTTTGACACATCTTCCATTGATTACAACATGTCCGAGAACTTCACACACAAGTCCGTCTTTCCTCAATACTGCCTCAACGAATATATCGGCCTCTTTCTTCGTCTTGACAATGCGATGCAACACTGGGCGGTCGCGCATGATGATTGAGGAAATCCACATCGCTATCACACGGCCGAAGATGGCGCCGCAAAGGACGAGTGATGTAACGAGGATAGCTGGTTGGAAGTGTAATAAAGTCGAGCTAGCGAAGAGTGCAGTAGACACAACATATACAGTTACAGATACTAATTTCGAAAAGATGCGTAGTGCTGTACGTCCTTTGCGCACCCCCTCGCGACTGATGATAACGTAGAATGCATCATTAGAGGCGCACCAGGGTACAGTTCGATCCATAATCACACAACTCTTGGTATTGTATCCTTTTATAAGGCTGTCGATGACTGAGCGTTTCGGATCGAAGTTGTTTAGCAGTGAGATGTTTGCATGGGTATTGTTTTCGGCCGGCTCGGACGATTGGAACGATTGATCAGTGTATGACTCGATTGCGGGCTTGTCTGATGAGATGACCCATGGTGCGTCTGAGGCGATTCGTAAATCTGGTGCGCGAGAAATACGCATTACCCAATCTTTGGCGAAGGGCGCATTGGCGAAGTTTTCCAGAACCGATGCAAAGATGGTAATGCTATACCATGTAAATGCCCAATTATCCGCCTGGTTTGGCTCAGTGTGTGACCGCCATGAAGGTGATGTTTACTTACTTTACACCACCATACTACAATGCTACCAGCAGAAAGAATGTAGCAAGCGGTACAAATTGAGGCCATACATGCCATGAGCCCAAAGATACCGAAGGCGACTTTCAACGTCTTTACCGAACCTCTTGAATCCATAGCTCTAGCATAGACCTGTTCCGCAAAGTGTCCAGCGACCTGCTGCAGATCCAAGTCTGACTGATCTGACCATTTTCGATCACTCGGCCTGCGCTGTAACATTCCATCGACGGTGTTTGCGTTCGGCATACCGGTGTATGAAAAGTCTTCCAGACTAGCATATTCGCTGACTTGATGAGGTACGATATTTCCACCAAGTGCAAGAACACTAGAAAAGAATCCAGCTAGTGGAACAAGCTTGTACAATACCCAAAGCTCTCTTGCTGGTGGTCCTACAAGTGCGCCTACGGTAGGAAGCAGGGTTAGTAGAGTCGTCGAACCGTTTGCGCTTGCTTGATATGCTGCACCAACTTCTTCCAATGCCACCGATAGGTTCCCCGCACAGTATTCTGGAGTTTTCACGTCGCGTATCCTTTGTGCACGGCCCGCCCATTGCTGGAATTTCATGTTCCCAGGCTGGAAGTACGTCGAGTCGGCGAGAACCGTAGCATTGGTGGAGGGCTCCAGAGCGAAGTCATTGTAGTTAGGGTTTGGCGAATCTAGATGTGGATACCCCGGTGTAGGTACTCCAGCGGCAACGGGCAATGAGAAAATGACACTGATAATTATATAGCAACGACGGCTAGCATCCGTGATAATAGTCGCAAGCGCTTTCGAGAGGAAAGTCTCGGATTGTGTCATCTCGTCTGCTTAAAACGACAAGGCTGAGATCCAATATCGCAACTGACAATTCCAAAGGAATGCACCGAGATATTTATGTTAGCAGACCAGTATTCTGAGTCAGACTTCCAAGTCTCACAGTAAATATAGACTACCTAAGACCTTATCTAGATTCAAAGTGTTGGCCAACAAGAAGAGGGCAATACATTAGGTGCATGCTTTAAACGGGACAGCCAAAAAGCCACATTGGGGCCAGCCTGTTGTGGTAGATCCGAGTTTGGCTCGGGATTGGTCAGATCTATAATACTCATGCAGTGAGCGGTAACCATGGATTTGTTTTTCTGTTTGTTATTTCTAATATTGTATCACAGATGGTCGATGCCACATTGCGGCTTGAACAACATGTTCAGACTCCAAATCGATAGGGTTGAGTCTCTTATTCATGCGAGCAGAGAAGAGGTCCGTGTTATGACCAACTATCCTACAAGTGAGAATGGAATAGGAATGTAGTTGAGTGTCTTCGACAACATTTATCATTGTTGAAGGACCTACATCCACATTTCATCAAAGTTACAGCGATAAGGATTGTATGCAATCGAACTTGAAGAAAGGATTACCATGCATTAGACACATTGGCTCAGGCAGAGGGATTTCCAGCTTGGCTATGAAAATTCTATAATTAGCTAAACAATATGTAGCCTCCTAAAGGTTGCTTCAAAATTCGGTTTGCAAGGCTGAGACCGTGCTCCAAGAACGGAATTCTTACCTTTCTCCCAAGCTCCTTTTGTCTTCCTCCATCCTCATAGGTTCTGGTGTTGTAACACTTAGTATTGACGTTTTGTATGCATACTCTATTGCTCATGCAGTAAATGAGGTTAATCTCAGCCATCTTCGATTGCACCAATCGGACACCAGCAGAGAAAGACCTTTGTTGAATCTGGGGATGACGTCAAGAAAATCATCAGCTGTTGAAGGAGATTGCGGGGTTCTCGCATGACCTGCCATGTTGACATGCAGAAGACTCCATGTCCGCATGTACAGTAGATCCGTTTTCTTGTCAGAATTTTAAAGGTAGAGTATTAGATATACGATCTCCATTGCCAGACCCTATCTATTGCAACAAGCTAAACCTAACTGTTATTTTGCTTGCAATGTCGGTACAGAATCAAGGATCCCTGAGTATATCTCCGGATAAAGTGATCGGAAGCTGCTGGGTACAATCCCTTGTTTTGCCGACGATACTTAGAAGGCATTGACAGGGGCACAGGCGGACGAACGTACGTCTAATGGCGCCGGACTACAAATGGGTTCAAATGAGCAATTATGGCTCAGAAAAATAATTAGTTGCAGTCACCCATCAAGCTTCTGGAACTCATTCAACTTTTTCTTGTTCTCCTGGCTTCTCCATAACTCGATTCGTTGGATTTCGTTGGATATTTGACTGATTTTGTGAAGTCAGTTCAAAGTAGCATTTTAAGGCTTGACTTTTGCAGAGAAAAGTGCGTTGCCAGAAAATTGAGTTAATTACTTGCAAGTCACGTAAATCCTGGTTATCGAAAGGAATGCTTTGTAGAATTTCGATCATTTATTTTTTCAAATCCATTAACACCCCTGTGCTATCGTATTACTCTCTCTAGGTAACACAGGTTGGTGACATAAGGGGCAAAAGTCATGCAATGTAGTAGTGAACCACTGGTCAAAACACTGCCTATGATATATGTGTTGACAGTTCAACACTCGGATAGAGTCTTGTTCCTCCAACACCTCAAGACAGATAACACTTTAATTAAGTTAGAGGCGATTCTTATGAAGCTTGTCAAGTCTAGGACATACCAAACATGCTCTGCTTTGCTAACTTGTTGCTGGTTCAATGGATCTGCCTCGCCCAATTTGTGCCATTCCTTAAAAAGCATTGGTGGAAGCCTCTGGTTAATACAATCCGACCGCTTCGGTATATTTTCTACTACATTTGGCCTTTTTCTATCCATAATGCAGCAGCTGAGAATTCTAAGAATTGCTAAGCCTGGCTCATACTGGGGCGCTCTATAAGACTTACATAAGGAAGAAGAAGAATATGCAGCATCCTATTACGATTCCAAGGATGACTTTTGCTTTTTTAGTCATTTGGCTCCTTGGTTGGGCTATTACAGGATCTGCAAAATTTAAAGTCGCCATAGTATTGTAATACGTGTAAATTGCTTTGTATTTTTACAATTGATATGAAAGTTAGTCTGATTGCAACAAAATATACGCTGATTTCTTCTGTTATAAGTTTGTTCGTTTTCTTGTACAGTATCTCAAGATCACGCCATGACTCTACAACTATGTTCTCATGTGATATGCAGATGTTAAAGTTGTAAGACTCTTGTCGAGAATATGACCTAATGCCCTGGCCGCCCAATAGCATCTTAGTACCTTCTAGATCGTGCAGACTAGGGCACATGCTCATACGATCATCTTATACAAGTAGCACCATCATGAAAGCAATTATACTGTAAACATGTGAAAGCAGTGCCTGCGCTGGAGTAACGCAATCTGTGTAAATTTATAGTTTCACTGGAAGATAGAATAGGATTTGTCCATCAACAAATAGCCCACCAATACACTGGAATCCTATCTTGATAATGGCTGACGGAAATATCTCCGTTGTCAAGTGTACTTGCATGACCCGAACGGCCCAACAGAACCTTCATTTTATATTAGCCTCCTTGCGTCCGTACTGGCCTGAAGGCTGCAATGAATGAGGCAAGGACTACCTCAACTAAAAGAGCATACGAGCTAGACCTAGAATTATACGATATGAACGACGGCTCTGTAGAGCGGAAACATGGAGGCGGTATTTTCGACGATGAACAAGGATTATCCAAGGAGATACCCTATGGTTGGAATCTAAAACGTCCCTGATCTGCTTCGCTTGCAAATAGGGAACACACAGCTTGTTGAGAGGCCACTTTATCACGTTCTGCAAACCCGACCCGTGATAAAACATGAGCAGCGCTCTGGATTGCGGCGCTATATTGTTGTCGAAGATTAACTGTAGGGAGGCAATCTTGACAAATACGAGGACCATATAAGCCTTCTGATACAATCCAGACAAGTTGTACTATTACTGCAATGGGTAAACAATATCTCCTACATACGGAAAAGAGTTTCCCTATTTTCATGTTCCGCGTCAGCAATGTTCAATTTGACTGCAATAAAGCTGCTTGGAGTAACAGAGATTGAATCGATGCCGCATTTCACAAGAAAGGATGCAAATGACGGATCATTACTAGGTGCTTGTCCACAAAGTCCAATCTTTCGCTTCGCCTTGTGTGCTTTTGCTATCGCCTCTGCAATCATCCACTTGACTGCATCGTCTTTTTCGGAAAACAGAGACGAAAGCTCTCCTGAGTCGCGATCGATACCAAGAACCAGCTGTGTAAGATCATTAGAACCAATTGAGAACCCATCAAAATGATTCGCGAATTCCTGTGCCAGTATTACGTTGGATGGAATCTCACACATCACGTAAATCTGCAAATCATCCGCTCCTCGTCGTAGCCCGTGTCGAGAGAGCTCGTTCTGAACCTTGATCGCCTCTTGGATAGTACGGCAGAACGGAACCATGACCACTGCGTTCATGAAACCTATCTCATACCGCAATCGCTTGATGGCTCTGCATTCCAGGGAGAAGCCGTCTTTGTATGCCGAAGAATAATATCGAGAAGCTCCACGCCACCCAATCATTGGATTCTCTTCCTTCGGCTCAAATGAACTTCCGCCGATGAGATTTGCATACTCGTTGGTTTTAAAATCTGATAATCGAATAATAGCTGGTTTCGGATATACCAAGGCACACAGGCGAGCAAGGCCAAGGGCTAACTTGTCCACGAAGTACTGCGATTTGTCTTCATAACCTGTGGTAAGTTTGTTGATTTTCTGCTGAGTAGCCTCGTCGGTTATCCGATCAGGGTGCAGAAGCGCCATTGGGTGGATGCGAACGTGGTTGTTCCAAACAAACTCCATTCGTGCTAGGCCGATACCATCGCAAGGTAAGCGCCACCAGCGATTCGCTGCGCTTGGGTCTGCTAAGTTGAGCATAACCCTTGTACTTGTCGCAGGAAGTTTTGAAACGTCAATGGACTCCGAAGTGATATCAGCTATGCCTTCGTAGACATACCCCGTCTCTCCCTCGGCGCAGGAAACGGTGATGTCTTTGCCCGTGTGCAAAACGTAGGTAGCGTTACTCGTGCCAACAACAGCAGTGATTCCAAGCTCTCGACTGACGATGGCAGCATGTGAAGTTCGACCTCCGTGATCTGTCACGATGGCTAGTGCTTTCTTCATTATCGGAACCCAGTCAGGATCAGTTGTTTCGGTCACTAGGATCGATCCTTCGATGAATGTGTCAATATCTGTAGGGGATCCTATCATGCATACGCGTCCTGCCACAGCTGCATTGCCTACTGAGCAGCCAGTTGCCAACGTCTTGCCCTTGGCTTTTACTGAATATTCATGGAATTCCCCTACTCTTCGTACCGAGTGCACAGTCTCTGGACGAGCTAGCACAATAAAAAGTTGATTAGTGATACCATCTTTCGCCCATTCCATATCCACCGGGTATCCATAATGGCGTTCAACCGTGCATGCCCATCGACCGAGCTGAATAATCTCAACATCGTCAAGAACTAGAACATCTTGCTCTGATCTCGAAGTAGGCACATTCCTCGTTGCTGACTCCCCTTCGCTATACACCATCTTTCTCTCCTTCCCGCCGAGCCTCTTCTCGATGATCGGAATCAAGCCAGTCTCGTTAAGAAAAGGTTTGGAAATTTGATACTCGTCTGGATTTACAGCCCCTTGTACAACATTCTCTCCAAGACCCCAAGCTGCATTTATTAAGACGATCTTTTCAAACCCACTTTCGGTGTCGATGGAAAACATGACGCCTGAGCCACTGAGATCGGAGCGGACCATCTGTTGAACCCCGATGGATAGCGCAACCTTCAACTGGTCAAATCCTCTAGTTTGTCGATAAGATATTGCTCTATCGGTAAATAGGGATGCATAGCATCTTTGGCAAGCCTGAAATAAGGCTGACTTCCCCGAAATGTTCAAGAAAGTGTCTTGTTGGCCAGCGAAACTTGCCTCAGGAAAATCCTCGGCGGTTGCACTAGAGCGTACGGCAACGTCTACCGACACAATTCCGACTTTCTTCGATAGCGAATCATAGGCCGAACTGATGGTCTCTTTTGCTTCTTTTGGCCACTCTGCTTTGAGGAATAGGTCTCGGGCACACCTGCCGGTTTCTGCAAGACTAATCTTCCGTGCTTGCCAGTCCCGGATTAACTCCTCGAGTCTCTCGTTGATGTTGTTGTAGTGTAAAAACTCCCAGTAGCACTGGGACGTGGTCGCAAATCCAGGGGGAACAGCCACTCCTTCATTTCCTAACTCGCGAATCATCTCGCCCAGTGAAGCATTTTTTCCGCCGACGATGTTAACATCATTGCGGGAAATCTTCTCGAATTCATAGACTAGAGGCGTGTATTTGTTTGAAGGCCTCTGGTTACTATGAATAGTTGTCATGTTGTTCGAAGTACGCAAAACAAAAGAGATACACAAGAGGAAATTGTTAATAATAGTCGCAATTAACTTACATTCAAGATTGGCTCCGAGTTTGCAGAGCCATAGTTATAGCCCGAGAACGTCCAAACTTGAGAAGAATCTCAGTCACTTGGAAAACTTTGTCCGTCTATTTGGGAAACTATAATAGCCCACCTTTACAACAACGTCTTTACTGCATGATATTGATCAGATAGCTGATCAAATATCACAAAAATGGTACGAGTATCATGATATCAATGCAGATGGCGTGATGATATGGGGTACTGTACGTTTAGTCTCATCTATCTTGCGTGGCATCCAATTAGCTCTCCCGTTATTATGGAAGGGTTTTCTTTTAGAACCTACGTTGCGGGGATCTAGGCCAGAAGAAAGAACGATGCGGGGTTTGGGGTACCATGACTCTGGCATGCCATGACGTTAGCGCTCCCGTTATGACAGAACAAGTTGCTTCAAATCGGGCATTGCTTGATTAATGTATGCACTCGGCCGTGATCTAGACTTCATTAATCCAAAGATTGTAGGGCCAGATGCGGTGCTTCCCGATGGGCTACTTTGTAAAGAGGTTGTTCCTTGGTTCATGTGAGGTTGTGGAGCAATGCCAGCACCGTATAAACTAGAGATGGTCAAGCATAACACTCGAACCTTCAATCAAAGGCACCTTGAATTGCCTCATACTCATCAATAGTCGAAATACACCTTTATCACCCTTCTTTCAAACGCCAAATCAACAATCAAACAACCGAGAGCTTTTCCCAGAGTCTAGCACCTAACGAACTCACCACCAAATATTGTCTTCAATGACTCTGACAATTGCAATCATTGGCGTTGGTGAGGTTGGTGCAGCAGCAGCCTACGCTCTGATTCTCAATAATGTCTGTGCCAAACTACTCCTGGTCGATAACAGATCTTCACATCTGGACGGCCAAGTAAAAGATCTCAGCGACTCAGCCTTCAAGGAACAGAACGGGACTCGCATCGAAGCCGCAACGTATAGAGAAGCTTCACAAGCAGATATCGTTATCTTTGCAGCAGCAGCAAAAAGAGGTATAGGAGAAACGACCTTGCAATACAGGGACCGAAGCGCTGCGACGCTGCACAACGTCATCGAAGCAATAAATCCATTCAAGCAGAATGCAATCCTACTCGTCGTATCCCATCCTGTAGATACTTTGACAACAATAGCACAACGGCTTTCGCACCTTCCGCCTACCCAGGTAATTGGTACGGGTACTTTCCTTGAATCTATTCGGCTAAGGGGGCTGCTAGCCAACCAATTTGGAGTCAGTAATTGTCCTGTTCATCCAACGAAGGCAAATACTTATGCTGTTCAGGTGGCTGCAAGCTCAGTCGATGCTATGGTATTAGGCAAACACGGTGAATCTCAATTTGTCCCGTGGCACCTAGTTAACGTTGGGGGTGTGTCGATTAATGAACTGTCACCTTCTGATCCAATAGACAGGGACAAGATTACCCAGGATTGCAGACGCAAAGGAGAGCAGATTATTGAGGAGAAGGGTGCTATTGCCTATGGTATAGCGTCTGCCGTCTCTACTATATGCACTTCTATTCTTTTGGATCGGCGACAGGTATACCCAGTTAGTTACATGCAGGAAAACCTCGGTTGTGCTTTGAGTATGCCTGCTGTACTTGGGAGGTCTGGAATTGAGAGTACATTAGCAGTATCCTTGGGATCTTTTGATAAACAGAGATTGCAGTATTCAGCAAGTGAGATAAAGAAGAGAGTTGATAGTAACATACAGTAGACATTAGGATCCGGATAACAGCCTAATAAAAGCACAATTTGCTAGTAATAAAAATACAAGGACATGTTTACTATATTGAAGCAAAAAATCGGTTTCGCAGCGCAGGAGTAATTAAATCTAAACAAAACTATACTAACCAGTCTCAAGGTATGTCAGGAATACATGTCTTACTCTCAAGCCTAGCCAATCTTTACATGTGAAAAGGTGTCTTGACAATATCAGGTAACATCCCTATACCGAGACCTTTGCACAGCCATTGGTTTCATTGACTGAATGCTTGGAGAACAGCAACAGATTACCACATCATAAACGAGCTTGCAGCACTAGTTGCAAATTCTGCAACGGCAGGATGAAGCTATTGAATGTATATGAAGTAGTCTCTTAGATTCATGATTAACATCCTTAGTGAGGAAGAAGACGTACAATACAATAAGTAACTATGCAGCAATACATATTAGCAATAAGGTCAACTCAGTAGGGAATGCACTGGCATAGTTGTACCCTGCAGATGTGTCGTTGAATGGTAAAAGGATTCGGCCAACTAGTAGGTAGATTATCGATATAGCTTGTGAAAGAGCAGGATTACAATATCAGGAAGGTAAGTTTAAGTTGCCTCGAGATAACTTATAGTACTAAATTCGAAATATTTGGTAGTGATTATAACTAACGAACAAGTAACAACTGGGCTATTAGACATTAAAGCACACCTCTCTGTATCAAATCAGCTATTACCTAGTAGACTGAGAGTGTTGGGGTTCTTATTCCTCCCTCTCCCTTTGTTTTACATCTCAATAAGTATCTTCACCACTTTTGCTTCAGAAGCTTTTTCGACTGTTGCATATGCCTCTACTACATCATCGAATCTAAATCGATGCGTAATTAGATCCATGGCTGGTAATTTCCCCCTAGCTAATAGCCTCAACAACATCAAAGTTGACGTAGTATCTACTAGCTTCGTTGTAATAGCTGCGCTGCATTAGTACACTCAAGTCACTTGCTTAGTTCAAGCAAATATAATATACTTACTGATATTCCTATCCCAAAGATTTTCAAGATGCAGATAGGCCTTTGCGCCATGGACGCCAATGTTTGCAATAGTCCCGCCTATTGCAACCAGTTCCTGGCATTGATAGAAGGTAGACGGTATACCAACCGCTTCTATCACAGTGTCGCAACCTTTGCCTGACGTAGCTTCATTCACAACATCAACTGCTTTGGACGGGCTCGCGGTGTGTGTAGCTCCAAACCTTTGGGCTACCTCAAGTCTGTTTTCATTGCCATCGATCATGACAACTATGTTCGGAGAGTACAGTTGTGCAGTGATCAGAGCAGTAAGGCCAACTGGACCGGCACCGACAATTGCCACAGATGATCCGGGTACAATCTTTCCATTTAGGACACCGCATTCGAATCCAGTTGGGAATGCATCAGAAAGCATAACTAATGCTTCTTCGTCTTTGCCAGGTGAGACCTTGTACAGACTGTTTTCCGCATTGGGTATCCGAACGTATTCTGCTTGCGTACCATCGATCTTATTTCCAAGGCACCAACCACCCGTCTCGCAATGAGAATAAATCCCTCTCTTACAGTGGTCGCATGTCCCGCAGCTAGAAATGCAAGATATCAGCACATCATCGCCTTCCTTGAACGACTGTACCCCAGCGCCAACAGATGCAATCGTGCCGACGCCTTCATGGCCCAATATTCGGCCTGCGGGAATAGTAGGTACATCGCCTTTTAGTATATGAAGGTCAGTGCCGCAGATTGAGGAGTATTTCATTCTAACTATTGCATCCTTAGGATTCTGCAGCTTTGGGTCTGGGACTGCTGAAAGCTGTGGCGGATTGTTCGCGCCCTGATATGTGAGCGCTTTCATGGCGAGCGTTCGTAGCAAGACGTTTCCTCACAATGGCGGAAGGCAGAAAAATTGATAAGTGTGATACAATACAGTCCCTGCTAATTGCATAGATATAATTGGAGAAGATTGGGGTGAGGAGATTGGGGTCAGATTTACTAAAACAGGAGCCTCTCTCTTGTAGCTTTAAGAACAACTCTTCACATGCATATCTTGCATTCTTACATCATAATATGATCAAGTGTTTGCTCACTTGAGAAGTATTGTGGTCCCACAATCACCTGAGTCGGCAGAGCTGGTTAAGGCTAAGATCCAGCCACTCTTTAGCAAAATTTCACATGTTATTAGAACACCATTTGGAGAGGAGCACTCACACCAATCGTCTACCTATCAAATGCATCGGATATCTACAGCGCTACCCTCCCGATATACTCTACGGATTTTGGAGGCGTTCCAATTTATAACGCGATTATTCTCTTTCACTCATAGTAATGAGAAACTATCTTAGACATTAATTTCGATCCTCATTGTTTATTCGTCAACATTAGTTGAAAGCAAGTTTGCATCCGTGTGCGCTCTTGCACGTCAGCTTCAACCCCCCCTTCCACTCTCGACTATCCCTACTGTGAATTTTCTCGAGCTCGTATGCCATCCTAACAAGCACATAGGACGACTCAATCATTGCCTTCTGTTGCCCCAAACAAGCCCTATATCCTGCGCCAAACCCATAGAATTCCCATTGGGACGGTCGAATACTGTCCCACAGATCCGGTCTGAAGGCATCAATATCATTCCCAAATACAGCGTTATTGCGATGCACGGCGTAGTAGCTAATGATTACCATCGTCCCCTTCGGAATGAACACCGGATGATTTTGATCGGAACCGCCGCCAACAGGGAGTTGTGTGTCTTGGAGGGCTATGCGGCCCAGGAGCGGGAAGATGGGATACAGACGGAGCGCTGGATGAATCATTAGCTACCGTACTGTTAATTTTCAAATCGTATAATTACTTTCTAAAAGAACATTTCTGATTAGAGTTGACTTCGTAAATTTGTCAACCTGAAAGAATGCATCGGCTTGCTGGGTGACTTCGGTACGAAGGCGCTCCCAGTATTTAGATTGACGTGCTAGGAGAAACAAACTATTTGTTAATAGCTCTGAAGTTGTGTCCTGAGCTGCCATGAGGCCTTGTATGACCTGATATCGGATGTAGTCCCGGTCATTAGTCGGTGATGAAAGTGCCTGCATCAAACTCGGCAAATTTCTCATGCTGGAGCCCGCATTGTTTATCACCCCAGTCGTGAAATTGTCATCAAACATTTTCTCCACATAGTAATCTATAAATTCATGTGTCCTTACGCAGGCGTTGATATATTTGGCTTGTGGAAGAATGTTCCATACTCTCCCGAGCACTGTACGAAACATACTGTAGAGAAGACCATCATGAAACGACCTGACGAATTCATCCGGGGTGAGAGGGGCGGAAGCGGACACCTCGAATGGATGTGGACCGAGGATAAAAGACAAGGCCGAATTTGAAAACTGAATGATACCTTGTGTTAGCGTGAGGAATATCATGGGATCAAGACTTCTTACCATGACGTAAAGCATAGGTTGCAAATCTATCGTTGACCCATCCTTCGGCAACCTCTCCAGAAAACTATCAACCTCACGGGATAGTATGCTCAGGTCCTGCAGATTGCTTCGCTCGAACGAAGCTTGAGCAGCCTTCGGGATCGCTTCCAGGTCTCGCCGTCAGTTGTGATGAAGCCGCGGCCGCAAAAGGTCTCCATTCCAGCTAGTCGCATGGGTTCCACCCCGAAGACTTTGGATGTGTTGATGACTTTGAGGTTCTCTGTCGCGATGCTAACCACGGCGGGGTAGCTTACGAAGGTGCCAACCTGGAACTTTTTACCATATCGTCAATGGAGACGATAGAGGGAAGGTATGTCCGTATGGATTCTCACCTAGAAGTCTAATCCAGTGAGCGGCTCCATCGGTTGATGCTTCACTGGTATTGATGTTTTATAGTTGTGCGCAACAGCACCCCTGTGCCGTTGGCGTCAAACAAAGTACACGATAGCGAGAAAGAGCATGATAAGCCCTGAGCTTACCTCTGCACCCATAATGGAAGAGGTTTGCGAATCAGAACCGGGATGAAATTTTCGGTAACAACAACGACGTTCCACGTACAAGTCGTACTGCATGTATATAGTTGTTTACAAGCACAGTTAACAGCAGCATTTATCTGTTCAGGGTTATTGGGGTGGCGGCTTTCCGTTACTTCCGACCTGATTATGCGGCACAGCAGTCACATCCCCTTGAGCAATCAGTCAAGAGTTGATGATCAGTATTGAATCGCGACGAAATTTATTAAAGTGTTGACCCTACATATGACTAAGGTTTTCAACTCTAACGGATATGGCCACTGTATAAGTGATACCGTGTCACCCGGGTTTCACTGATCGCATACCTCTATTGTCCTCAGACCTTCGAAATATAACATCCGAGACACCCTGGAAGATTTCGATATTCCGGATGCTGGATTCTATATTACATTCAATATCATCCTTCAGATGATGACTGCCAAGGACTCATAAGCTTGAGCCGGTGGCGCAGTTTCTTTACTGCAATGTTGCAATTACATCTAACCTTGCTATTGCAAATCTCTATCAAGCTGAAACAATCAGGTTGTAAGGCTCATGGCCAGATACACTGAGTGGATCCGGATCGTATCTTGCGCTCGTGAAACCTCCAATAAGTTACTGCGTACCATTTGACTATGGTCCGTCAAACATAACTTTCGGTTGTTGCTATGAAGGTTACTTGCCTGCGCGAATGTTGGTTTGTAAATGCCGATGAGATGCACATCATTCATGTGGACAGAATACATTCTCAGCATGAACTTACAGGGTTTACAAGACATATGTAGAAACATTTATTTATCTCTAGTGTTCAATGACTGCACAAATATCTACTAAATAGGACATCCTTGTTATTTGACAGAACAGATTAATCGTATCTCTCAAAGTCTTCGTTGCCGAACCAACAATCATGCGCAAGTTCATAATTTGTACCTCGCATTTCCTTAATGCTCTGATGTTGCTCAATATCTCCTATCGCAGCTTTCATGTGCAAAGGAACTTACACATTCAAATTGTAACGAGGAAGAGCTTTACTATTTATATGTCTAAGTGATCTAGAAATGGCATGTCAATTTGAGGTATGTTCACACTGGATAGTTCATTCTGGTAAAGCTAAGCTCACCCTTGCTTAACAAATACAGGCATTGTTTCTAATGGGCAATTCACTTGCACATGCTGGCCACCGTTAAACGTCTTTCCTCCCTCCCAAGAACTCCACAACTGCGCGTCCGGCAAGTGGGGCAAGTATACGTCTATTGTCCGCAATCCGGCAGCCATGACAGGACAGCAAAGGTATTTACTGCCGTACATGTATTGCTCGTTCTTGCTCCAACAGATTTTGTCCTGTGGAAACTCATAGAAGAGGGGCCGTATGACCGGAGATCCTTTCTCATGTGCTTCTTTCATCAGCTCGCGAGTGTAGTCTCGCAATTCTTCGCGTATGAGAAGATACTTTTTGCAAATCTCGTAGACATCTTCTCCATACGACCAGACCTCATTAGCTGCCCCGGATCGACAGGTTGCGCCCCCAGGAGCTCCTGGGTATATTATGGGCTGGCGCGGTTCGCGGTCGCCATGGAGGCGCATAACAGGGCAGAATGTGCCCCATTGGAACCATCGCACAAACAATTCACGAAAACCCTGATCATTGGGATCACCTCCATGAAATCCCCCTATATCAGTTGTCCACCAAGGTAAACCTGATATGCCCATGTTCAGGCCTGCAGCGAGCTGATTGCGAAAACTCGACCACGACGAGGCAATATCGCCGCTCCATACAAGTGCACCATATTTCTGGCTACCAGCCCAAGCACATCTCAAAAGATTCACGATATTTCCATGGCCCATCTCTTCTTTCATCCCTTCGAAGAATCCTCGTGCATAGTCCCGTGGGTAGATGTTTCCGATAGTGTTATTGGAACCTAGATGGTATCTGTAATTCTCAAAGTCGTAGGCAGTGTACTCGGGCTCAGCCTCGTCAAGCCAGAACACCTTGATTCCTTTCTTGAAATAATTTTCTCTGCATTTCTCCCATACGTATTTGCGTGTTTCTGGATTTGTTGCATCGAAATGAACAGTGTCGCCTTCAAAATCCATCGCAGTGCGTATGCCACGGTCAACACGAATCAAATGTCCACCTTCAAGCATCTCTTGGTAGTTCTCCGATCGTTTATCTACCGTGGGCCAAACTGACACCATGAGCTCGATTTTGAGGTCTTGCAGCTCTTTGACCATGGCATCTAACGAATGATTTAGTCCAACTCGATTGACTGGCTAGGTGGGAAGTTTCATAAGCGTAGTCTTACCTGGATCGGGCCAGTAGGTTGGATCAAATTTCCACTCTCCCTGCAATGGCCAATGGAAGAAATCAATAACAATCAAATCAATTGGCAAATTTCTCTTCCTGTATTCTCTGGCCACTTCAAGTAACTCCTCCTGGGTCTGGTATCGAAGTTTACATTGCCAGAAGCCGAGGCCAAACTCCGGCATCATGGGAACCTTTCCAGTCGCGCTTGCGTAACCTTGAACTATCTCTTCCGGCGTTGATCCAGCAATGATCCAATAGTCTAAAACTGTAGTGGAATTTGCCTCGAATGTCATGACATTTGATCCTAGGACCGCCCGACCAATTGCAGGATTGTTCCAAAGAAATCCATAGCCTCGCGATGAAAGCATGAAAGGAACACTGGCTTGAGAATTGCGGTGTGCAAGCTCAAGATCATGACCCTTTAAATTTAACTGCGGTTGCTGGTACTGTCCCATACCAAACAATTTTTCGTTCTCGTCCAGACTCTCCAGCCTCATGGTCACATGGAATGATTCCGTACCGAGTATCGGGCGGAATTGCCGTGCTTCGATCTCAAGTGCACTGCATCTGGGATTTGTAGGATCACGACGATTGCGCGAGTACTCCTCCAGCAAAACGACTCCTTCGTGGTTCTCAATCGTGATCTTGCCACCATGTGTGATCGTAGCTTTTATTCGCCCATTCACTATGTTTGCCCCCTCGTCATTCATCGACAGCGATGGTTGCGTCTTTGCAGGGACCTCCAATGCCCAATTCTCCGATGGGAAAGTCGAAATTTTGGTTGCGCGGACACGGAATGCATTTTCTCCCCAAGGCTCCAGTCGAACTATTTCGGAGTCGTAGCGGTATACAATAGCGCCGTCGTTGAAGGTAATCATGGTGGGATCAGGATCTAAGAACTGTGTGTTGGTGGTCAAGAGTGTTTAAGCATAGAAGGTGGGGTTTGGGTCATGCTATCACTGCATGTCTTTTCGTATCCCCGCCGGCGGGAGATATTCCCACCGGAGACCCACCGGACCTCGGGAAAGTCGAGTTGATTGACAATTCACCTCTCAGATCTATACCATCAACTCCTTGTGTGCATGATTCTTGTAGCTAACTTGTTTCCATCAGGGTCACATTGACGCGAAGTTTAGTGTTGCAGGACAAGTCACGTTCACTAGACAGGAGAGAATGACGAATCGATACCAACATACACATGACACACTTCAGAATTCCAAGCATTATAATTTAAACGTTTACAATGGCACGTTTCTGCGATAGAAATGCAACAATGGTCCGTCGTGTCTTGATCCTATTTGATCCCACATTTCGAATTCAGGATGCTGTGGTTCGGCTGTTGTATCTGCTCTCTGGAAGTCGAAATGCCACAGGGTCCTAGCCAAGACAAGAGGAACTTCAAGATAAACTACAGCCTTGCCGGCACAATTGCGAGCACCAAGAGAGAAGGGCATAAATGCTTCAAGTTGGAGTTCCCATTGCTCATCCGTTAAGTTCGCTTCCTCCCTTATCCATCGCTCTGGGCTGTGAACATTCGGCTTGGTAAAGTAGATTGGATTGCGATGCATGCAGTAGACGTTTACGCCGATCTGTGTGCCTGTAGGAATTACATCGCCGTCCACGATAACTGGTGTATTTCCGGCATCGGCTGGGACATCGCGCCAGAGTGTCGTATTTGACGGCGGGCTAATTCGCAATGTTGCCTCGATAAATGCACGAAGAAATTGGCAAGCCGCCAATTTTGGGCCATTCGTAATGTCCTCAGCCCTGGAGAAACTTTCACGGATCTCTTTAGCTAATCTATCATACGTTTTTGGATATCGCGAAAGATAGAAGAAGCTCGCTGCTAAAAGTGAAGCTGTTGTATCACCTGCAGCTGGTATGAGAAAGGTCGACTCGGACCAAAGCTCTCGTCTACTCATTATTGACCCTGTCTCTGGGTCTTTGAAGTCGTGAATGGCCGAGAGGAGGTCGGGTCTTGAGTGTGTATCCTCTTTAAGGCGAGCGCGAATCATATCTCGGACCATATAATGGAATCGCATTACCTTCGGTAAAATGATTGGGAGGAACAACCTCTCCCAGCCAATATCTTTCAAGACAGGGGACTGTAAATACACATTGAGCCTGCGATTAGAAGTTGAGATACCTCCGGGCATCCAACGATTCTTTTCGTTCGTCTGTAATTCAAAGCTGTGTCCAAAACCAATTTCACCACTGATGTCAAGGCCGAGCCAGCAACACCTTTGAGTCATGTTTAGTTTTTCGTTGGTGTCTGAGGCTTTCCCAAGTTGATCCAGGAAAGTTTCGATGTGCTCTGCCATGACAGGCTCGAATCGTCGCATTGCCCGTTCGTTCAGGCCTTGTCCAATAATGCGACGCTTTGTGCGATGCTGGCGTTTATCGATGACGTTGAAAAGATTAAACACTGTCGGGCTTGCTTGTGTTACGAGATATGCCCTCGATTTGGGAAGTCTGTCATTCTGAAGTATGTCTATGAACATCAGCCAGTTCAAGTACTCAGTTGGCAGGATAGGAATACCATGCATTGCTTTTGCAGAAGCGAAGACAAGTTTATTTGGTCCTTGACGGATGACTGATCCATATCTTTGGTGATCACTATACGTAGTCAAATGGAGCTGGAGTTTCGCGGCGTGATAAACACCATAAAGGTCTGTAAATTTGGCGACGAAAGGGCCCGGGTACTTGTGCAGAGGATGCAGGAGCAATCGATATGAATATACCAAAATACACTATATACAGTTAGCAACAACTCTGTCCCTGGTAGATGATACGAACCCTTATCAAAAACACAGAAACAGTCCATTTGCATAAAGGAACTAAAAGACTGAAGACCATACGTATAGTCTGCATTTTCTCTATCGTAGACTTCGGGTAGCTTGAAGGGACACAGGACTGTACCAGTGATGATATCGCGTGAACAAACCGTACGAGATTACTACATCTTATAGTTGCAAGAGCGGAAAAAGTTAGATGCATCAACCCCTCTTCATCTTGCTATGCCACAAGGCTTCCGATAGCGTAATTTAATGTCGGGCTCGTAAAATCAACAACCGTAAGGTCTTGCGCATCTCATAGGCCTATGCTAGAACGCACCTAGCCCAAAGACTACTGTGCCATATGCAGTCCTTCGCAAGATGATGGCTACGCTCGTTGCCGGCTGACCGACCGTATCTTGAGGCAGCATCACAAGTTCAGGTTCTTTTATACTGGGAGACATCTGCTTGAAAAAGATGCAGCTACCTCTAAAGTATGTATTTAATCGAGGAGCTCTTGACGCCTTCTTGATGACTACGCTCTGAATCATGACCAGCATCATCGGAAGCGATTTCAGTCTACATTCTTGCGGCGTAGTACGTCCTGGAAAATATATCAAGTTTGGAGGCGACGTGCCACTCAGACACAACCCAATCTTACGCAGGAAATTATCCGGGAAAATATGCATATAAGCTAACGAAAAGTCAACTAGATTGCTAATTGGAATCTTACTGACTCTTGCATAGAAAGAATCTTACTTACAGCTTCGTTTTTCTAAAATTTGAAGATACGCAGAGATTAGAGGCAATTATGGTCGAGGTCACTTCAGAAAACTTGATCAGGTCGGCCGAAATTCCCTCTGATAGGGCAACACTTGCACATACCGTCTCGGAATTTGAAGGCAGTGCTACTATCTCTAACGAGGTAGACGAGATTGTATACCTAACAGGCGTACGATTTTGGCTAGTAATCACTGCGTCTGTTGCGTCCTGTCAGCACCAAGATTGGTACTTACGATGATCAGGCTTGCTTTATCACTTTTTCTCACCAACCTTGAGATACCAATAGTGACTACTTCCTTGGTAGCGATTACCAACGATTTAGGTCAATTTGACAAGATTGAATGGGTTATCTCAAGCTACCTATTGGGTTACGTAGGAGTGCTTGTTATACTCGCAAAACTAAGTGATATCTTTGGTCGGAAGCTTCTGCTAAGTTTATCCATATCACTTTTCATCATCTTCTCTGCCGGATGCGGCGCTGCTCAGTCATTGGCGCAATTGTTAGTTGTTGCTTTGCTACCAGATTTGCAAAAGCTAATCCCTCAAGAATAATTTTCCGTGCGTTCCAAGGCATCGGTGGTGCCGGTTGTTTCTCTCTTGCGACTGCGATGATGACAGAGCTTGTACCGCCCGAAACGTATTCCAAATACGTCGCAAACCTCAGCACAGTCTATGCGCTCTCACTTCTCTGTGGACCAATTCTTGGTGGTGCTATCAGCTCTCGAGCATCGTGGCGATGGATCTTTCTCATCAAGTTCGTTTCTGATCACAATTAGACAGTATAATACTAATGACCGGTAGTGTGCCAGCTGCTGCTCCCGCTTTAGCATTGGCAATCTTTGCTCTCCCAAGTAATTTTCCCTTTCACGGTAATGCAAGCCGTCCACGTAAAACTGCCCGAGAACTTCTTTCAAAAGAGACCATGAGACGGGTTGATTTTCTTGGAGCATTTCTACTTCTTCTAGCATCTTTGTCTCTTACAGCAGCCTTCGAGGAGGCTGGGTCGCGGTACCCTTGGAAATCGGCTTATGTTATCACCCTTCTCGCAGTCTCTGGCGTCTTGTGGACTTTACTCTTGATATGGGAATGGTATATTACGATCAAAGGTGTCTATGTTCAGCCTGTTCTTCCGTGGCGATTCATGGTCAATCGAGCAATGCTCAGTTTATTACTGTAAGTCACTCGCTTGGGCGAAAACATGTCAGTCACTGAGGTACACAGCAACGCCGTTTTTCTTGGGGGCCCTTGGTTTGTAGCCATCTTCCAGCTGCCGCAGAGATATCAGATAGTACATGGATCATCAGCTCTTCGGGCCGGCATTCAGACAATGCCATTCACATTCGCCGCGCCTGTTGGCTCTGCATTGTCCTCAATGTGGTCCAAACGGCTCAAAACGCCAGGAGTCTATACTGTGATTGTTGCAGCAGTGCTGCAGACAGTTGGTTTCGCACTACTTGCATCTTTACCGACGGAGTCACAGATATCGTCCCGTGCCTACGGATATCAAGTTATTGCTGGTTTTGGTTGCGGCATCAATATCTCTACATTGCTATTAATTGTACCATTCGTGGTGAACTATAAGGACAAAGGTAAGTTCTGCAATCAACTTTCTACTACTTGTAATTGATAGCATAAATAGCTGTAGGAATGGCAGCAGTCTCACAGTTGAGAGTTATGGGAGGAGCAATTGTGCTTGCAATTGCGACTTCCGTTTTCAATAGCCATACTCGATCGAGAACAGAAGAGATCCAACAGATGACACATGTCAGTGGCTCGCCGATTGCACCTGCACAACTATTAGATTTAATCGATGAGCCATCCAAGGAGAAGATCAAAAGTATCCTTGCACATGGTTATAATCTACAAATGTATGTGTTGTGTGGTTTTGCCGTTGCGCAGACGCCCACAGCACTACTTCTATGGAGAGCCAAACATATTCAGGTTTAGTGGAAAGTCAAAAGTGGGCATGCCCTACCTTGTACTTAGTCCTTCACTCTAGCTATCCAAGTAATTGTGGATGAATCAAATAAAAATAGCTACTTTTATCCTACCATGATTGATGTTAATTATAATACTACATAATAGGCTGGCCGTTCACGTAACTTTGCCCGACAAGTGTTGAACATTATCAACAATGGACTCGCGTAGTCAACATTTAAGCCCACTGTACGTTTCAGCTGGTCACACAACATTACCACCATGCCACCATAGATGTGATCGCGTTGAATAAGGTATCATACAATGCCAACTAGCGGCCACTCGACCTAACCCCTCCGCACCCTCTTAAACAACATTTTAAGCCATCCTACCCTTAGAAGATCTGCCACGGTATCAATTTAATGAACAAACGGTATGTTATCTTGAAGTATGCATGACTATCTCGATAATTATTAAACTCATTCATTTGAAGGTTCTGTATCTGCACTTGTGATTTATACATGTCTACGAGACTGAGTAGTTCTATATAGTATCAAAGCTCTACATGATTCATAGGGAACAGAGGCTTTCAACGGCTAGGATACAAGAGGGAAGGCATCATTCATATTTAGACATAATGATCATGGTTTCTCAGCTGTATAGCTTCGGCTTGAAGGATCAAGAAAGGATGAAGGTGTATGCATTTCTGCCCTCAGTCAAGAAAAAAGCACTTATGGACACATTAGAGAGTCATTTTTTTGAAGTACAACAACTACGGATCCTACGCAATAGACTTAAACACTCGATGATTCGTACGATCGTATCAATGAGAAATCTGAGCTAACAGTAAGACAGACGGTGATACTTTGCAAGCTGTACTTTCAACATGAGAAATAGAGGTGCAATAAGACGAAGCCCAGAAGACTACGGATACTACTTCAGATAGGAACAAACATCGCTGTTGATCCCCCTTCGCGTCTTCTCATGATGGCATCAAAATCCTCCGATTTAATTAATCCGCTGCTTGATTATTGTCCCGGTTTTCCTAGAACACCCAGTGCTGGGTTTGAAGCAGGTGCAAGGTACATCTATCTAGTGCCAGGTTCCTCGGCCCAGGGAAGAACCAAATGGTCTCCGTGCCTGAACGGGTAAGGCCGTTCATCGTTATGGCACCAGTTGTGCTCCATACCATTAACGTACAGGTATGGTTTTGTCCCCGCGAAATATATGAAAGATCGACTTTCTAGATGCAAACTTTGTGCGATGTGTTTTTATCGCCTCAGATTCATGCTTTATCCCTGCTCCAAAACCCGGAAACCGGGGCCGAAATCATATGTTCTAAATTCAAACTAGATGGCAGTCCATATTACCTTGCAGCTAGATTTCATCGTTCGGTCTCTTAATCACTCCAAGTCAGAACTCTTAAAGGCAGTGTCTTCCCTCGCTCAACATCTGCACGTTGTGGGTCTGCATTCAAATCGGCATCATGGTATGCACAACAACAATCATCACTTTTCTTGCAACATTGAGTCATGCTCAAGCTATTCGATTTCTGGGAAGAGTTAATCCCACAACTAAAGAACTGACTTGGCCGGGAACTGGCGTGTCGTTTACATTCACTGGGACATCCGCTGTTGTTACCCTCGGCGCTGTAAGTGGCACCAGCAGCTTCAACTTACGCGTGGATGGTGGCGAACCTACCCTCATCTCCGATCTCTCAAGCAAAAAAATCTCTACAACTGGATTGGCTCAAGGAAACCACACAGTCGTCTTGCGGAAACGATCGGAAACAGGATTCGGTACTGTGACGATCGGCAACATCACAGTTGACGGTTCATTCGGTCCAGATGCTATCCCCAAACGAAAAATCGAGATAATTGGCGATTCCATTACCGTAGGGTACGGCCTTGACGGAACACTTCCATGCACAGACAGTGCTATTGTGCAGAACAACCCCAAAACCTATGGCGCGCTGGCAGCGGATGCACTCGGTGCCGACTATAGTGTCGTAGCTTGGAGTGGCAAAGGGGTAACAAGAAACTACGCATCCGGGCAACCAGATGATAGTCCGATCATGCCACAGCTATGGACACGACATGGTGCGAACGACGCAGACAATAGCTACACGTTTCCCGCGACTGCAACCCCCGACGCCGTAGTCATTAACTTAGGCACAAACGACTTCAGCTACCTTAATGTACGCCCAGCGCTTAATGCTACCTTCTTCACAGACGCCTTCATCGATTTTGTTGGCAATATCCGAGGCCATTACCCAGATGCGGAGTACTTTCTTGTCACATCCCCTATGCTGAATGACAATTATCCTTCAGCAGAAGATGCGCAGAAGACAACGCATAGAAAATCTCTTGAGTCGGTTATTACGCACTTCAATAGTACCAAGTTTCATCTCGTGGATTGGCCGTCGCAGGGTTCAGATGTGGGGTGTGATTATCATCCCAATGAGGCGACTCACGCAGCTGGTGCTAAATTACTTGTTGATGCAATCAAGGGGGCTCTGAACTGGTAGGGTGGAAGGGATGATATGATGAATAAATTGTTAAATAAAGTAATAAATAGCCATGTAGCTAATCGTTGAAGAAAATAGGTTCACGATGAAAGAATAGCTAGATTCTTTGCGTGTTAAGAGTCAGTGTTACAGTCAAGCTTCAAAGCTTATGACATGAAGTTTCCGATCGATAGTCTAGCACCTAGGAAGAGTGATGAGCTTGCCCTGGGCACCGAGGCAGCTACCCTTAGTGGTGAGCTTCTTAGAGTCGCCTCCGCCCTCGCTCTTCTCCTTGCCGGCGAATTCCTGGCAGACATCGCCCTTGTTGGTGCCGCAGGAGCCGGAGATAGTGGCCTGATCACCGTAGTTGCTGTTGATACCGGCGATGTTGGTCTTGACGTTGGTGGCCCTGAGGTTGGTGATGATGACCTTGCGAGGAGACTTGGACTTGTTGTTGGAGCCTGGATCAAGGGTTAGAAAGCTGATCTATGCTGAAAAGAAGCTCATTGATGCAAACTCACAGTTTCCGCAAGAGCGGTACACCTTGCCGACGTTGTCGACGGTGTAGTCCTTGATGGTAACGGTACCGGCACCGTTGTGCTGGATGACCTTGTCCTCACCGTTCTGGGCACCGCCACCCTCAATCAGAGCGTTGCCGGTGCCGAGGATGGAGATGGCATCCTCGCAGATATCACGGAACCAGGCCCTGCGGATAGTGCACTTGCCCTTGCAGTGAATACCCTCGAGCTGCTTGGGGCCGATGATGACATCCTCGATGGTAGCACCGTCCTCCAAGATGAAGACAGCGTTGTCAGAACCGGTGTCACCATCCTTGCAGGCCATGCCACGGTCGAACTCCTTATTTCCGAGGTTCACGGTCTTTCCCTTGGGGATGACGCTAGGCTTGCTCAGGGCCACGACATTGCCGACTCGGGACGGGATCTTGAGGTTTTGGGCGACGGAGCAGCCGAAGAGGATAGCGATAGGAAGGAACTTCATTTTGATGGATTGGGACTGAAAAAATGTACAGTTGAAAGAGTGAACAGGTCAAAAAAACGAATGTAAGTAAGTGAATGTATGTTTAGCGACAGCTGAACTCTGTAAAGCGAATGAAGAAGAATGGAAGATAATGTGATGAGGAGTAGGATCTGAGGAATCCGAAAGGTATATATACATTCTGATAAGGTTGGTACCTGTGAGGCTACCGACCATGAATCGTAACCTATCCAAGCTGTTTTGACGATGTGGAAACCAAAGGAGAATTCACTATCCATCTTACGCCCGGTCCATTTCCCAACCAAGCATGGGATCGGGATGACAGTGACATACCGGTAGGAGTTTCATTTGCAGGATCGGTTCTCGAAGCGTCATGGATCGATCCGAAAGGCTAGAAGAGAGGATTGGAGGGCTGGAAACGGTGGAAAATTTGTTCCGTAATCTATTGTGGTAGTTAAAGGAGAGAGGATCAAGCGGGGCGTCATGCTTGAGGGCGGTAGCGCGCGCAAAAATCGACCCAAAACGGGTTCTAAACGCCGTGTTCACAACATTCGGTCCGGATGTTTAAGATTTCGAAGGCTCGGCAGGGAGCTTGGCGGGCCGACGCTTGGTTCAATATTGTTTGTATTCGAATTTATCGAATGCTCGCTTCATGACTCCAAAACACGCTGGCGATGTTAGTATCCTTGGCGGACGGGGTATGCAGGTGCACTAGATATACACCAGTAACACCACACCTGTCACACTGTCACACACCACACCATCCTCGCCACCTCCTTCGACCTTTCGATAATTCTTCCGTCGTATAGTAGACAGTAGTCGTATACTCAACGTTGAATCTCGACTCTTGTACTGCTCGACGGACAAATAACAAAAACAAATAAGCAAAGGGGATATCCCGGATCTCTTGCTGACCGACCGGCCAGCCATGTCATGTCCCTTAGAAGTTTAGAACCTTCACAAATATATCCCCGAGGCCAACCTGCTCGAACATCTGTTTCACCTCGCCCATCTCCCCACGGTTACCCCTGTGGCCGCCTTTCGATATCTCTCCCGTCACCTCTCTCATTTCTTTAAACACTCTCTGGACATCTTGGCCTTCCTCCCTATGCCGCTCGGATATCTTTTTCTGGTGTGGGGGGATGTCAGACCAAGATCTCGTCTTGATTTCAGACATGTACGCGGATATGTTGCTAGACGTGCCTTCTAGGCAGAGAATTCCAGGCTTCCCAGCGAGTACAAATCCAGTAAGACCGTAGTTGGGGGCCCAATTCACCATGTCATCGCGTTTAGAACGAGTAGATAGGGATTGTAGGTAGAACCAGACTCGCATCAACGCTTGATCCTCCTGTCCTAGCTCGCCAGGATCTGTTGATGCGGCTGACGAGGTGAGCCATTTTGCCACTTCCTCTTTCAAGAAGTCCACAACCGTGAGTATCGGATCTGGAGATTGGACCGGCAGACGGCGAACAATCTCAGCATGGCTTTTGCGATTCATCCATGAAGGGCACCGGAAGGATATAACTGGAGGCGGAGGTTCGGTAGAGTCAGCTTCTATTTTGCTATCATTCAAGACCTCCAATGGAAAATGCACGTGCAACTGCACTTCGTGTCCTGCCTCGATCGAAAGGTTGATTGTCAAATCGATCGATGACGGCAACTGCGAGGTCGATGAGGCAGGATCCTCGATATACCGTCGAAGCTGTTCAGCTGAATCTTGGGTAGACTCGAGTCGCTCAATCTCTCCTGGAAGACTGAACATAGATAGAACAAGATCTATTGCCAAAAGTTGTTCTTCGAGCTGCTCTGGCGATAGTGATCGCCGTTCAATTGCATTCGCCATGGTGACTGTTCAGGTGGAAGATAATAGAGAGGCTCTATTCCATTGCGGAGTATCAACAAGTCTTAGGCTTCAGCAAATGAGCGACCTGCATGCTCTAGTAGGTAGGGAACGTAACTCTGAAAAGGGTTCCAACGCAGTGCAACTTACACCGGAGTTTTCATCGGACGGGGCATGTCGGTTTTACCGGTCGCGTTTTCTTGAAGCCAATGAAAGGGGCTAGTCCTAATGAGGATAGACTGATCTGTTTGCCCAACTCTTTCTCTGATATGGTATTGAGAACATACACAACATCCTATACATACATCCCAGGTACTAGGTATATCGTAGATTTTACTGCATGGTGCACATTTTCTTCGTATCGAAATTGCGACAACTATATGTCTGATGATCAAGACATTTTTGACACTTTTTTGGTCAATCAATAAATAAATTACGCCTAATTAAAACGATAATTTTTGTTTTATTCAACCTTGGGTCAGTAGATAGTGACCAGCTATACCTATGGAGATGCAGAACTTCGAACTCGTAGAATAGAACGTCATGTAGTTCGAAAATTGCATTTCATTCATGCCATTTGATCAAGCAGGCCATTGGAGACTCATACAACCACAGTGACTAAACTATTACAATCGGCTTTGAATCTTTTCCAAGGTGTCTCCCAATGCATACTCACTTCTTACCTTCTTACTCCTCACCTTTTCTCCATCCGCTTCCGTCACATACCGTGCCTCGACAGCCGGATTGTAATCAAATTGACTCTCCTTCTTGACTTCAGAATCGCTCCTTTTCACATTCTTTGCACCATCCGCTCGCTTATAGACAGTGACGACTACGGCACCGCCTAGACCCAAGTTGTGCTGCAGTGCGACGTCTGCCCCCTCAGCAAGACGGTTGTTTGCCCATCCGCGCAATTGCCATGTCAACTCAGCACATTGCGCGAGGCCTGTTGCGCCTAAAGGATGTCCCTTGCTGATAAGGCCTCCAGATGGATTGACAATTGGACCCTTTCCGCCGTAGGTAATGTCTCCGTTCCGAACCATGTGATGTGCTTTTCCAGGTTCGCTAAATCCGAGACCCTCCAGGAGAATCAATTCATTTGCGGAGAAGCAGTCATGAAGCTCGCAGACCTTGATGTCCTTGGGGCTGACACCGGCTTCCTTGAGCGCGGCCTGCGCTGCTCGTCGGGTCATGTCATATCCAACGAGGTCCATGCTGGACTTTGAATACAACTGGGGAGAGTCGGTGAAGAGCGTTTGGCCGGCCATAAGAATCGCTTGACTCTTTAAGTGCGGTCGGGCGTCTAGGAACGCCTGAGACACGATGACGGCAGCTCCTGCGCCGTCGCTTGTGGGCGAGCACTGTAGCTTTGTGAGTGGGTAGTGGATCATAGGTGCCTTCTCGATCTCTTCCAGTGTGTATTTCTGCTGGAATTGGGCATAAGGATTTCGCTGGGAGTGCTCGTGACTGATTCTAGCAATCTCGGCGAAGTCTCGTGCTTCAGCACCGTACTTCTCCATGTATTCCTTGCCAGCATTGGCGAAGTACTGTGCATTGGGAGGAGACTTGTCAACGCCGCGAGTGTCTGCCATCATGCGCATGGAGAGACCCATGGGTGAAGGGCGATCGTGCCAAACGGATTTAATAGAACCAGGTTGCATTTGCTCGAAGCCGATGACCATTGCGCAGTCGATTGCACCATTCTTTATCAGCGTGCGGGCAAGGTGGAGTCCGGTAGAGCCAGTCGCACAAGCATTGTTGGTGTTGTAGATAGGAATACTACCATTTGTTAGTGGACAAGGCAAAGTGGATTAATCGCATCAGCGTCGCTAGAAGAAGAGCTACGTACGTGCTCATGCCAAATTGATAAAAGATGCGTTGTCCAGACGTAGTATCACCATAACAGTAACAAGCTACACCCGTCTCGACATCATCGTAGTTGATTTGTGCATCTAACAAAGCCTTCACACCTGCTTCGTAGCCCATCTCTGGGTATGCCCTTTGCGCTCGCGGTTTGATGAACTTGGTCAAGCCAACACCAAGCACATAGGCAGGAATATCGTTTTTGGGTGCCATGGTCAATTGATTCAGGTTTGAACAATGTAAAAAGAAAGCTACATTCACTGGGGAGGCAACGCTTCGAGCTTGAGCTTCCAGGTCATCTCAACTACATATTATACAAAGTCTGGGTATGAACGGTAAGATCAACCTTGGGGCTGCGGTAAGTTCAACCGAGGCTATATGACAGGGGGCCTACCCCACCTTTCGCTGCCCCGGCAGTCTTGACTCGAAGAAAACTAAACGAAAACATTTGTTGTTGACGTGAGCTTTCATTTAATATCGAATGATACTAATCATGATGATCTGATTACATACCGGTCAATTCTACAATTCGAGAGACCATCGGCCTCACACAATGCCTACAATACAGCCTACAAGAGCCTTGTCATGCCCAGAACAGCAACACGAGCAAAGTCAAGACATCTCGAAGATAAGATAATATGAATAGTCACGATACGGATCGGCTTGATAAAGACAAAACTTTTTTTTACATAATGGAACTTTGTCCACAAGAAAATTTATATACAAGAATGTGGTGATGACTATAGATCATATCGCAACATCTAATATGCCGAATCCAGGAAACTCGCCCTTTCCATCTGGCTTCTCTGGAACATGGTGTCCTCATCATCGAAGTATTCAACCTTCAAAGGTGCTCGACCCTCGGGAGTCCTCTTCCTCAAGGACCCGTTCTTGTTACGCCTGAGCTTGGAACCCGCAGGTCGACCTGGCCGATTTGGCCTACCAGGGCGTCCGCGTCCAGGCTGCTGAGTAGGCTGAGCCTGGGGAGTTGTCGAAGTGGCTGATTCAGTAGGAGTTGAAGGAACGTTTGGCTGAGCAATGCTCGTCTCAGTCGATTGAGGGATGCCGGTTTCGGTAGCGGGATCGACGGTTGTTTCGTTGGCTGGAGTTCCGAGAGCGAGAATCTTCTGTGCTGCAGCTTCAGCAGCGACCATGACAATGGCTTGAGTGTTGCCAGTAGGCAAGTCAGGGTGCATGGATGCATCAACAACGAAAAGGTTGTCGGTGCCGTAAACTTTGGTATCAGTGTCGACAACGACGCCTGCCTCGCCCTTGGCTCCCATCTTAGCAGTACCGACGTAGTGCAGACCTGTCGTGAATTGCTTGATGAGATCAGCTCCGGTAACATTAGCTCCAGTGGTGGATTCGGCAGAGAGGTAGGTCAACGTCGAGTTGGGCTGGCGAGTCATGTCGAGTAGTCGATCCATGAAACTAGTGATGGCTTCAATATCGTGCTCAGTCTGAAGCCAGGGGTCCTTTGTAAGCTCTGTGGCACCGGTCGCAGTAATTCCAAGGCTTCCAGTCGATGTTAGGCCGTGCGTCAGATATATCTTCATCTGGATAGTATTATTGGCAGGACCATTGCATGTCCCTTGGATGAAGACCTGGTTACCATCGGTAGAGTTGCCAGAGCCGGTTGTGTTGACGGCAGTCCAGAAGTTGAAGCGCTGGCCGGATTGAGAGAGCAAGCCTGAATTCTGGGCGAAGAGATCAACAGTCGTCTGGTCAGGACTGGTGAAAGCAGAGGAGCTCAAGGCAGCCAATGGTGTAGAGGTCTTGAATTTGACAGTGAAAATAACGTGATCTTTGATCTCAGATCCAACGGGCAGGTCGATCCAGTCAGCCTCCGCCGGAAGTACGATGCCAGAGGAGCCAGTAGCGACGGTCTGTAGCTGCTCTGCGGGACCAATGCCACTGTTGAATAGAATACGTGGAGTTGCAAGTGCTCCGGCGGACAATATGACCTTGCCGCCAGCATTGACGTTGTAGATGACACGCTGCCCAGAGGAAGACAAGGTCTCGACACCTGTGATTGTAGAGCCGTTACGAACAGCGCGGAGAACCTGGGTGTTCAGCTGGAGTTTGAAGTTGGACAAGTTATTGGCAAGAGGGAGGTAGGTTCGGACTGGCCCCGCACGCATGCCGTCAACGATATTCCATGGTGGATGAGTAAAGTAATCGATTTTGTCGTTGGGCTTTTCAATGGCATCAGTCTCACTGAAGCCTTGGCTGGAGAAAAACTGCGAAAGAACGGTGTATGCTTCATCATTGTATCGCTTGCCATCCTCGGAACCGTACGTTTGGCCCGGATTTCGCTCATAGACACGGCTAGCAGCAGCGGCGACATCGGAAGATTTCCATCCTTCGGGCCACTTGGCATCAAAGTCACGATCCTGAGGTGGGACGAACATGAGCGCGTTGACCATGGATCCTCCTCCGAGCAAGCATCCAGCTTGGTCGGCAGTGTCAGTGCAGAAGGCAGGCTTGCCAACCTGGCTCAGGTAGTAAGCGAAGCCAGGTACATCATACATCGTGACGGAACTGTTCCACGACAAAGTATCGGTATTGCCGCTCGAGAATGTAGACGGACCGCCTCGCTCGAGCAGGAGAACCGACGCGCCACTCTCGGCAAGTCGCTGAGCGGCGACGATACCAGCAACTCCTCCGCCGGCAACAATGTAATCGTATGTTGAGTTTGAGATGGTAGCATTGGCGTTGCCACCACCGATAGGTGTAGTGGAGTTTCCTCCAGGAGTAGTTCCATTACCAGGGATCGTGCCATTGCCAGGGGTTGTCTGGGCAAGGGCAGCCCACGTATCATAGTCTGAACTCTTAGCATCTGCGATTGAGAGTCCAAACATGCCAAATCCGGCTGAATGGTATGAGAGCGAAGACGAGGTGGAGGAAGGATCAGTGACAGGATCCTTTGAAAGCGCCCAACCGAAAACGTTATTGGTATCGGACACTACCAGTCCATTCTCACCGATGCAGTTGGAGCACAGAAAGGTATACGAAAAGGCCGTATCATTGACAAAGGTACCATCTGGAATCGTGGCGAGGGAAAAGTCGCCAGAAACAACAGCAGGAGAAGTGTAGCCGCTATCGTCTAACATCAGTCACGTTCGACTAATTAAGAATAGTACTTACGAGGTCTTCCGGAACGATGACACGATCTCTTCACCGTTGGGCCAGGCTACGACGAGCAGATTGTTCCTCATGGTTTGTCCTAGAGAAAAGGCGCCATATCCTCCCCCAGTGCTGTTTACAGGTGCCACGATCTGTCCAATGAAGTCTGTTGATGGATCTTCTGGGAGTGCAATTCCAACACGGAATCCAGAGGAGTGAGCGATTCCATTGAATTTGATGCCACTCACTTCATCCGTGAATGGCGAAGAGACCTGTGCGACAGCCTGAAGCGCGAAGAGCGCCGAAGAAAGAAGGATTGATCGAGTCATAATGTCAAGATTGGAAATGAATGTATGTGGCGCTGCCAACAATCAAGAATAGCGAATGGAAAATGCCTTCAAGGCAAGAAGGAAATGAATGACTGCTCGAAGAGCGAAAGAGAGAAAGAAAGAAAGAATGCGAATTGCAGATGCAGATGCAAGCAAACCACAATTTCCAGAGGATTCTCATTCCCTTTGTATCTTGATTATTCTTGAATGCACTGTATAATTCTCCTCGGACATATTGCGGGTCCTTCCATCCCCAATTTCGAGCATATCGTACAGGCGACAGGGGTCTCGTTCATTACGGCAGGCAACTGACTGCCAGGCCTGGGAGGGTGGACTCCGGAACCACCGCCAGCCAGGTGGATGGTAACGGCTGTGGCTCTTTCTAGACTCCTAGTATGTTTACCGTGGGTCTGATTGCAGGAAGTAAATTGGGTGACGTTGCAAGTGGGAATGAATGTGCTGGTAATCAAATTGAGGCTCCCGCGATAGGGTCGTGGTGGAGCGCAAGGCTGTTTCAATTTGATTCTTAGCTTATCTTAGCGAACGGACCCGGCTTGTTTCGAGTCTCGAGTCTCGAATCTCGACATCGTTGACTGTTAATTTGAGAGAGCATGATGTTTTCTTGTTTACTACTGCTTGATTCACGCCATCGAGCCATCGGCGTTGCAGCTAGTGAGCGTCATGAAATGTCAAACGCCAAAGACCCACAAAGCGGCTGTTGAGATCATGCAGCCGCACAACAGTCTGCTCTCCATGCGTCATGTACCAATTACGAGTTAGATGTTTCCGACCAACCATGCGTTTTGTCTGTTTCTTATTAGATGACGCGATGCACCTTGGGTAATGAACAGATTCGCGTTTGCCTTCCAAGCATGGGTTTTACCATATCTTCGACCCACCGTTCCATAGCGGAGCCCGAAACATTAGTAGGTCACACGGCTTACTTACTCGACATAAACAAGTACAAACATTGACGGCTCGGCCATGAGCTCTCGTCTCAGGGAACGTCCAATGGACCAATCGCAACATTCATTATTGCTATGCTGTAACAGGTTCTTGAATCAAACATTCCAGCACGTCTACGTAGTAGGGTCTATAAAACTTGCCAGCCACCCCAACGAGACATATGGTCAAATTGACCAAACGTTTGGAAAAGCATCCGCCATTCGATTTCGAGAAACACGTATACGGGAATTTCGATTTCGCATCCCAGGCACTTGCGAGTGTATCTACGGAGTATCAGATGTGGCTTTCTCTCTCTCCAAAAATGCTCCCGTTCAGCCTGTATTGATCACTTCAAGGACAGAAGCGTTGCACTGTGTCAGTTGAGATCCAAAAGTGCAGTCAAGTATTTTCTCTATACAACCAAAATCTTCACGGCTACCTTTCGACCCCAGAAAACGGCGAATACCCGAACGCCTCAGAAGCCCAATTTGGAGACATTCATTCATGGGGTGAGGCAGGGGAAGTCTTACCCATAATTGTCTTAGTAGTGAACGTCCTGCAATCGTTTCTAATCGCGTCTAGCTGTCCTTGCTAGGGAGAATGCAAGCGACGCGTCCCTGGAGCCACACCAGAGATTATAGTTTAGATCCCCTTCATAGGCGCATTCACAGATTGTTGATCCTCTCGCAGTGGGATATGTCAGAGTCAGGATGCAACAGAGACACATCCCAGAGACCAGATCATCATTGAAGACTAAAGACGGGAAAAGCGTTCGGCTACAAAATATGCATGCGGCTTCGCACCCGTTCATGATTCGAACTGCCCTTGTCTAAGATATTCAAAATCGACGGATGACGCACATTGGGATCGATCATGATCGTGTAGATTGTTTGGGTATGGGGGTGTCAAACATTACAATTAGTTAGTGGTGGGTGTCTGGCAGTCTGCTGCGCCTGGTGGCAGTTTCGTTCCTTCGCTATCAGCATTCCTCCCCTATCGATCTGGGAGGAAAGTCCATTTAGCTCCTACACGTTCCTTTCGTTGTCAAGTCAATCATCAGAGCTCTCTCCGTTGTCATTAACGCAGCTCTACTCGCAGCTGGATGGTTGTAATCCTTGAACATCTTCATGGGCCTACTTCCTAGTGTTGCGCATCCGTTATGTCTCCTTCAGATAAAGACACACCATCCACGATATTATCGAGCTCGCCAGCCACGTTTAACAAGGACAGCGACCAAGATCTTCAAAATGAGCAACGGCTGACAGGCTATGATCCTAGAACTTGGACGTGGAAGATATGGCTAATAGCGGGTATCGTCTTCATCGTTTCTCTTTTGGCGGGACTGGTTGGAGGGGTGCTAGGAACGAAAGCAGCGGCATATCCAGACTACTACAAAATTACCTATCGACTGCGGGACACATGTAAGTTTGCACCTCTCACTGTATGCGACGGAGAGTAATCACTTATTGGTACCGGTAGATGAGGGTGAGACGTTCTTCGATAACTTCAACTACTTCTCCGCCCGGGATCCAACCAACGGTTTCGTACACTACATGGACCGGAAAAGTTCTGAGGCATACAACCTCACTGAGATCACCAACCACGGCGCTTCCGCCATCATGAGAGTTGATACTGCAGACAAGAATGCCACCACTGGCCGTCGTTCCGTACGGATCACTTCCAAGAAGACGTACAACTCTGGACTCTTCGTTTTCGACATACTTCACAGCCCGCATGGATGCGGAACCTGGCCCGCCTTGTGGATGACAGACCCGGATAATTGGCCCGACAATGGCGAGATTGACATCATGGAAGGAGTGAACGCCTTGGATACAGGAAATCAGGTGGCACTGCATACAAGCAAGGGATGTCAGATTGGCAAACACAGGAGGAGGAGACAGACGGGCAGGGCCTTGTCCTACAACTGCTGGAATGCAACAGACGGTAACGTGGGGTGTGGGGTGGAGGGAGCTGTCAACACGAACGGGAAGGCCTTCAATGACATGGGTGGGGGCATATATGCTCTTGAGCTTCGATCGGAAGGCATTCGAACATGGGTGTTTGCAAGGGATGAGATACCTAGCGACCTGACCGCTGGAAACCCGGACCCATCGCAATGGAGTAAACCGCTGGCTGATTTCCCAAATCTAGAGTGCAACATCAGGTCGCATTTCGGAAATCAAAGCATCATTGCGAACATCGCATTGTGTGGGGACTGGGCAGGTCGACCAGAAGTATATAACACAGATGCAATATGTACGGGATCATGCAAACGTTGGGTAGCTTATGAAGCGGATAGCTTCAAAGATGCATACTGGGAATTCGGCGGATTCTGGGTATATGAAGCACAACTATATAATTAAACACAGGTTTCATCACGAAGTATGGGTTGGTGGTAAATGAACGGAAGTATTGTCCATTTTGTAGCGTTTCGTGAGGTGGTAGTCTGAGACTAACCACTTCTTTGGAGACATTTCCGTAGGATTCTCATTCAAGTAACAAGTTTATCAAATGATATCCAGTTTCCGTTATTTAGCTTCGGAATAATGTCAGTCCTTCCTCCTCAGCATTTACATCTTCATCGTCAGTGTGGTCAGACTCATCATCCTCACCAAGTCCACCCTTGCGACCAAACAAACTCGAAAAGAGCTCCTCCCTCTGCCGTTCACCCCAGGCATTCTTGTCCTCCGGAGCCATGAAATTTTGGAGTTTTTCGTGTACGGTGTAACGCATCTTGCGCCCCTTCGATGCTTTCGTGTCGACAACTTTCTTCGTTTTTGCTTGGCGCATGAGCTCGTAGGGTTGTGATACAACAAACTCGCCAACTCCCTTAGCGTTGAGCTCAGCTGAACGATTTTCAAGGAGCTCTTTTAGGAGCAGACTAGGCAACTTATTAGAATATCGATGTGGGATATGCGCGGAGAAAATGACTTACGAATAAAAGTCTGCGTCATCGTAGATCGCCGGCGATGACTCTACACTGGCAGCTGCTTGTATGGGCGCACAAGAACGAGGAACCTGGGTGCGTTCGACCAAGCGACCTGTATCACGCAGCTGGTTCCCGAGGACGTCCGTGATGGTCTGCGCTACACCACCTGTAAGTTTTCCAGTGGTAATCGTTGCTCCTCTCGTTTTGGTCGACCACTTGTCGAGAATTGTATTTCGGTGAGGGACGGCACTGGATTCTGTCTGCGTGATAGCTGACCAAATTTCTGCGTCTGACGTGCTCGATGTGAAAACTGCTCGTTTTCGTTTTTGTCCGGCTTTAGACGAGTCTAAACTCTCGCGCAGAGCCGTTAAATGGTTTAAGAGTGTCAAGGCTGCCGCCTCTGCCGCTTCAATTGCATCTTGGGGCGCAATGGCATCGGCGTTCGTGTCCGCATTCATAGAATTTGTAGCAATCAAGCCGCCCTGGAGCTTGATGCGTGTGTTGAGCAGCGAATCGTACGTCTTCCGTTGTGTCTTTATCGCTCGGCCTTTCTCCGCATCTGCCTTCGCAGCTTGCGAGATTGCAGAACTCATGGCTGTGGTGTCAGTCATCATGGATCGAATTTTATCCGAGATATCAGCAGTCTCGTCTTCATCCTCCTCCTCCTCTTCATCTCCATCGTCTTCTTCGGATCCAGATTCACCGTCATCTTCGTCCTCGATTCCCTCCATGCCCCCTTCGTCGTCAAAAGAACCCTCTTCTTCCTCATTGTCCTCTCCCTCGCTACTTTCGGCGGCTCCATGACCATTGAGAGCAACTCCTCCAATGCTGTCATCCTCACTATCCTCATCATCATCTTCTTCTCCATCCTCGATACCATAGCTTCTAGCAAATGGATCATCGCTATCCTCGTCCTCGATCTCGTCCCGAGTGACTCGCGATCCAGTATATTGCGGTCCTAAAGGCACAACTTCCTTCTTCCTGAGTTTACTTTTGCCAACATCCTGGTAGTGCTCGCGACCTGCGTTTGCGTCTTCTTCCTGTTCGGAGTCGGAAAATGCGGAGCCTTCTTCGTCGCTAGAACTTGGGTTCGGGTCGAGAAGTGCTTCCGGGTCCAAATCTGGAGAAAATTAGCATGCTCCTTTTTTATCGCACAGTTCTGGATCGCATCAATTACCTTTGAGCTTTGACTTTGCCATCTTGCGCGATGTTGTCGCAATTGAATTATTCGCGTGGAAAGCTTTGAGGGCAATGGAACTTTTTCTCCGCGAAATCATCGAAACTTTTTTGATCGGTCCGAAGATCATCCGAACCGCCGACCAACAGAACGTCACAGCAATTGCGGGCGGGAGAGCTCCATTCCAATTGCTTCTCTGCAGCAATGAAGCCGCGATTATTTTCCACGCTTCGTTGCCTGCGCCATGAGAATCCTTTGGTAAGTACTTGTGATGTGATCAAATCTTTGAGATTGACCACGGACTTATGAGAAATTTTGATAGGGTCTCCCGCGCTCCGGCGCACCGCCGCAGATCCCACGAATGCAGCGCGGACTCCCGCAGAAGAGAAACATTCGCGATGTGAAGAAAGTGATCGCAGTTTCCTCGGCCAAAGGTGGTGTGGGTAAATCCACGATTTCTGGTAAGGGCTCTCAAATCAATATAGTATATCCAAAATTTCTACAGAGGTATTCTAATTTCGATGCAGTCAATTTGGCCCTCTCTTTCGCCCGCGCGGGCTATCGCACAGGAATCCTCGACACCGATATCTTTGGTCCTTCGATCCCTACGTTGCTTGACCTCTCCGGCGAACCGCGCCTCTCGTCCTCGAACCAGCTCGTTCCGCTCTCCAATTATGGCCTCAAGAGCATGTCAATGGGTTACCTGATTCCGGAGTCGTCCCCAGTCGCGTGGCGGGGTCTGATGGTGATGAAAGCGCTGCAACAACTGTTACATGAGGTAGATTGGGGTGGCCTGGACGTCCTTGTATTGGATATGCCACCGGGAACGGGTGACGTACAGCTCACCATTACGCAGCAAATTGTTCTGTCTGGTGCTGTCATTGTGTCGACGCCGCAGGATTTATCGTTGAAGGATGCTACAAAGGGAGTGGAGTTGTTCAGGAAAGTGGATGTGCCGATTTTAGGACTCGTGTGCAATATGAGTGGATTTCAATGTCCGGACTGCGGAGGCCGGCATGATATTTTTGGACCAATGGGCAAGATCAGGGACATGTGTGCGAAGTACGATATCAAATTACTCGGAGATATCCCGTTGCACTCGAAGATTTGCGAGGATGCCGATCGTGGAAAACCTACTGTAGTCGCGGAACCTGAAAGTGAGCGGGCGAAGGTGTATACCGACATCGCGACAACAGTTGGTGGTTTGGTGGGATTATAGACGATATTGTATAAAGATTATGACAATTGCCTGAAAACGAACCAGGACTATTTCTTATCGGATATGCAATGTTAATGTACACATATTGTATGCTATAAAGTAATGGCCATGTACGCAAGAAAAGTAATACAGCTGTATACGTGTAAAAATGAAGAATGGGTATCAATAACGCAGAACAATCTTCCTCCACCTATGCCAACTACGCTTCCCCCCTGCTTTAAACCTTTGCAGTGCCATTGGCTAGCGTATTCAGGTCCTCTTGTGCTGTCTCAAATCTCTCCACCCCAGGCCTCTCCAGTTCTTGTACATTTTTCTCGGTGTTGGGCATATTGGACAGCAATTCCCCAACATCTGCCGTTACGAAACGCTCCATACCAGGGCGCTCCCCGGGCTCTTGTTCTATCTCGGGTGTCTTTTCGTTCTCAATTTCTAGATCGGTGTCGTCTGCCAGTGGCGTGGCAACATTGAGACTTTGCAGGGTTACCGTACTAGCATTGACTTCCCTACCATCACCCTCTACCCTCAAACTGAACGGGTATGCTATTCCACCTCGAGTTGGTCTTGTGCTTAGTCCATCTGTAGAAGGAATCAAGGTCTCAGGTGATTGTGGGCGCGACATGTCTTCTACACGTATATCTGGCGCGGGAGCGGCGAACGACTCAGCCTCACTTCGCGGCGACGGCAAGGGGCTTGCATGTCGCTCGGGAGCGCATTTCGTCGCCTCTGCAAGGTTAGGGTTCGGAGGTGCGAGGTGGTTGAGATGATTGAGATCTTCCACCGAGTTGAGGGCTTGACCTCTATCAGTGACGGTGCTGTGGCGTGATCGAGAGCGCGAGCGAGATATATCCTTAGGGATCGAGAGGCCTCGTTTTCGCGAGAACGTGCGGCGCGGCGACTTAGCAGGTAGTTTGGGAGCTGGTGTGTCGGTGGCAGTAGAGACATTGTCAGTCGCGCCATCAGTGGGCTGGGCGGTTGTCGTTGACGCCTCCTGATCAGGGCCGTGTTCAGCCTTCTCCTCGCGCACAATCTACACAAGTTAGATCCGTTCAAACAGCATGACGGCATCTGAGCAACATAGAAAACTTACGGTCATCTCATCGTGCTTGCTACCCCACAAGCTCCAAAGTGCCATTCCCCAACTCTTCTTCTTCCTGCTCTTCACGGCCTTGAAGCCCTTCACCCGTCTTCCAGCCAATGCAGTCGGAGGTGGCGTTTCTCCATCGAAGCCCTCATATCCTTTTGCGAGGTCTTTAACTCTCTTCTTTTGAATCTTTAACTTCTCCTTCGCGAATTTGCCGTTCCACGTCTTTTGGGCTTCCATCCATTTACCGACGGGCCCTGGCTTTGGTACGCCAATCTCGATGCAAGCCATGTTGAGTGCGGCAAATTCTTCGCGAGGTGCAAGTGGCTGGATGTGTCCGTGACGATCTACTCGTTGTCGAATCATGTGATTTTCAAAAGCCGGAAGAGGATCGCCAGCTTTACCCACTCTAGGGTCCTTGTCTATCTTGTTAACACTTTCAAAGCCAACGTGCTGAGCGCTTTGCGGCATTGATAGCTTAATATCTTCTGCTGCCAGCTCGCTGTCGGCCTGTGTGGTAGCAGAGGATACCGAGGAGCCACCACTGACAAATGAAATACTGTCATCGTCCAGGATATCGATAGAGGTCTTTTGCGCTCGAGCAAGCGCCCACGCTCCGAACTGAGCAATGCTGCGATACATGTATTTCGCAGGGCGCGTGAAGCTGAGGGTGGGTGCAACATGGCATAGGTCATCCCATACCTGCAGTTGTACATTTGTTGGACGATATCGAGCGGCTTGGGCTTCGATAGCCTCCGCTGTCAGGTGGTTAGAGGGTGGAGGCAGGTATGCCAATGGTTGAGCGGCCTTGTGCGCCAAATAGATCTGTTCATCACGCAGCAGTTCTCCACCTCCTACCTGGATCAGCAGCGGCGGAAGTCCTCCTAATGTGGGTTGCAGAGCGGGCGACACTAGCGGATGTGTGAGCAGATGATTGGAGGCGTACATCTGAATCTGGTCTTTGATCTCGACCCGGGTGGTATCAAGCTGGACGGACAGAGTAGATCCCGGGCCTATGCTATACTTCCCGTCTGGAGATACGTAAATGTCTTCAGCCACCTCTTTGGCTTTTAGAGCATCCATATCCGGTCGATCGGACTCAGTCACTGAGAAACCATGGACACGCTGTGCTCTCTCTTCCTTCTGCGCCTCGCGCTCTTCCTTGGGGGTTCTGGACAAAGACATGCGCGGAGTCTTTTCCTTATCTCCGATAGCGGGCTGCCCACGTTCAAGTGCAAGTAGATCATCTACGTTCGGGGGTGCTATGATTGTGTCAGTCGATGTGATAAAACCATCATCTGCATTCACTTACGCCAGCTCACGCTAGGCTTGTGGACAAATCCATGCGAAGGGATATAATCCATTTTCCCATCCCCTCCGAGACTGGGGAACGAGTGCGTCAAGTCCACCCATGGACTGATCAAAACGGCGCCTGCAGGAAGAGGCACTCCTTGATCTCGCAGAGTAACCAGCATGCTGACTACCATTCCGCCTCCAGCAGAGTCTCCTGCTAATATAATTGTAGATGGACTAAAGCCTTCATCTAACAAATACAAATATGCCGCGAGACCTGCAGTTTATCAATAGCTGCCTCCTTGGTTCCTAAGTGCATGTAATACTCACAATCATGAAGACCACAGGGAAACGGAAATTGCGGCGCAAGTCTGTACCTAGGTGCTAGTACTCTCGCCCTCAACTTGCGTGCATGTCTCTGCATCTGGTAGCGATGTTCGTCCACACTTCCAAAGTAGTACGCGCCTCCGTGGACATAGAGCATGATGCGCTGACCCTTTAGCTGGCCAGCCTTCTTGCGCTCATCGTGGTCCTTTCGCATCTCTATCCATTCAGCCTTGAGAGTTGATTTCTCGCGTCGCCATTGCCACCATGCCTTTCCTCCGACCTCCTTGGTGCCCTCGGGTCCGAGTTGCGCTTGGATGTGTTCGGCTGCGCGGGTAAGCTGGGCTGACTGGATCTCGACCTCCTTGACATAAACCCAATGCGGGACCGGAACCCATTGTGAGGTGAAAGCTTGTATTTCCTCGACGGTGTGAAAGGAGGCATAGTGCAGGAACCGGCGAATAAGCGCGAGGCCCTCGTGGTACGAGATATGCGCGGTTGGTTTCTGTCGCAGCGGCCTGCGATTCAGATAATGCGAGATATACGTTTCGATTACTGTTGGGGTGACGGCAGTAGCTACTGAGACAGTGTTCACAGGCATGGTGTTAAGTATGCGACTGATCGGGTACTCAGGTTATCGATTCGTCTTTCAGGTAAGCACAAGAGCTGCACTCGGCGAGTTATGGTCAAGTAATTCGAGAATTGGTGCGAGTAACTGACAACTGCATACTAGGACCACGTGTAACGACAATGGAAAGTGGTGATTAAGGAAAGATGTATATAGGACAGACTCGCAGTCCGACTGAAAAGTGGTCAGATGTGAAAAGGACTCAATAAATAACAGTAGTGAGACATGTGGAAACAGGAGGTATTGAGGGCGGGAGAGCAGAAGAAGTAATGGGGATCATCTTGTGTGGAGACACGCGTGTAGATCTAATGAACCCATGCAGGGAGGTCGGCCCGTGCCAAAACGACGTCATTGAACAGGTTTCATTAGCCCAAAAGGGGAATTGGCCATTCATCCAAGCGATATCCAAGTATTTTGGTGACAGGTTTCGGCTTCATCATGACTATTTGGTCCTTTTCACCTTTTCCCATTGCGATGAACACTCCGAGGAGCGGAAACTCGTCCTTCGGAGGTTAAAAGATCTACTTCGATCTATTGCAAAAATTGTCGATCGACGTCACTACCGAGTTAACAAAGGTAAGCTTAGATCACTAATGCCATTCAGCTATTGATTCCAAAACATGTCACCTGGATATACGTATGTATCTTTCAATCGCCATCATACAAGAACAACTCCAATCGTGTCCACGGACGTTTCAAAGATGATTGATGCCATTCGTTTACGCATCGCCAGCTCCTTCAACAACCACAACCCATTCTAGAAGATCCTCCTCATCTTGGTCTTTGGGCTCGGTTGTCACGGGGTCAACGATCCCCTTCTCTCCCTTATACTTCCTCGTAGCTCGGTTCCACGTCTTTTCCCAAGCCTCAGTGTCACACCTCTCTCCCATCTTCTTAATTCTCTGCAAGTACTCCTTCAAACCAACTATCTTTCCAGTCTCGGGATCGACAATCTTGCCCTCCTCCCAGGCCGACAACTTCCTCTCGAACCAATTCATGACACACCAACCGCAGGTAGTCTCGTTCTTCGAGGGGCCGAACGATCGTTGACCAACCATGCGAGCGTTGGAATAGTTGATGTTATCGCACTCGTCGTTCTGCACAAGATGTTCTCTCCGCTGTCTATGCTCGATCCGAGACCTTTCAGTCAATCTATCAAAAGAGGACAGGCCTTCGAGATTCCCTGCGTTCATGCCATCTACGATCTGCCAGTCTTCCCAAAGGATTGCCGAGCAGTACCCCGGCGGCGTCCAGTAGTATCGTGGTGTCTCCTGAGGATCGGGATCTATGCGACAGGTGTGGGAAACGCGTTTTGCGATCGTCGATACGACGCTTAGGGGTCCGGCTTCGAGGCCTGGGTCAGCGATGAAGGGGCCTCGGTAGTTCGTCATGTTGAATTTGTCGTCCTCTGTGCACTGGGAGGAGACTAGCTGCATGGCATTGTTAATCGTTACCATGCACTGCGGTGTGCACATTGATTCGGCGTAGAGGCCGACATCAGGGTCGAATATCGAGGCCCGTTTCCCGTTGTCCCAGGATCTGTTCCAAATTTTCTCGTGGCAGGGTACATATCGTTGGGCACGCCATGCCGCTTGACAGGCAGGTGATGCGGAGGACTCGAGCGGCGGGTAGACTTCGACGAAGTTGAGTCTATTGTTGGCCGAGAGCCACCAGTTGTTCAGTGGCAATCGGGTCATTGGGTTTCGGTACCTTGGGTACCATGATCGTGAACTAGAACGGCATTGGTTCAGTTGAGTGGCAATGACACCTGTGGAAATGGAGAGTCCAGTGATCGCTGCAACGGCGAACACACAGAACGAAACTATGATAATACGGCGCCATGATCGAGGTTTCAAAGGAGGTTGCCAGGCAGGTGTGGTAGTGCGTTTACGACTCAGAGGGTTCAGGGCGGCGATCTTGTGATACCAGCACAACTTATTCTGTGCCTGAGGGGTCTCATTGCCACGCGATCTGTTAGAGAGAAGGGGAGCCGAAGTCGTGTAAAGTTCGTCCTCGGAGACATCGTCGTCATTCTGGGGGGATTCGACGTCGTCGTCGATTCTCTCCTGCGTAGGCACCGGCGTGTAGCCGCTCGTTGAAGGCTTAGATGGAGCCGCCATCATATGAAAACACGATACCAAAGTAACTCGCCAGAGACTTTAGAAAAAGGTAAGAAATCTGGTTAGTTTTGGAACCTTAATAGCACATAAGAATTGTATGCAGGACCGAACAAGCGAGGACTTCAGTCTAATGTATCATGTTGAAAGGCTGCCTCGCATGGATCGTCGCAGGGCTGTGACGCGTATGTGCCGGCATGTCCAGGCTCGCTTTTGGAGGCTGTGCTGGTGGGCCTGAATCATTCACGGCATTGTCCCACTAGATATGATTAGATTTGATTGGGCTTGACGCTGAAGGATTCAACACCAACTCAATTACTGTGGTCTCTCACATGGCTGAGTTCGGTAATAGGAAGTTAGGCCCCAGGCAGCATAATTGTTCTCTGATCAACGCTAAAATGACCTTTGACAGGCCGTATCTCAACAACGAAATAGATAGCAGAAAACTCAAAATTCTGTAATTCATCATTGCGCCGTTAAACATCATGACGATTCAATCCGCGCCATATGCACATTACTGGCTACGTAGTATATCGCCGCGTGTAGACCAAAACATATACGAATCCCTAGACGTAAAGGTTACTTACTCCCAGTCCTCCTCATCGCTACTGTCACTCTCCTCTTGAACAACCTTCTTCTTGTCTTGTGGCGATCCTGGGGCGCGGCTTGGGGCTCGACTGTTAGTGCCGCTGACGAGGTCGTAGCTTGCATCACTGTCAGCGACGGACTTCTCATCATTAGATCGACGTGGTTGTGCGGGCTTCAAGGTCTCGGGCTCGGGCTTTAGTGTTTCTTTCGAGGCGTTCATGTTTGTTGGTTTCGGCTTGACAGGAGTCGTAGCCACTTCATCTTCATCAGATGATTCTTCTTCTGACTCTTCCTCGGATTCTTCTTCCGATTCCTCCTCTGAGTCCTCATCCCAGCCAACTTCTTCCTCTTCGGGAGCAGATGCTACAAATAAAATCAGTATTTCATTCATACATCTCTTCGAAGCATTGGGTACTTGCCTTTCAACATCTCCCGCCTACGCTGCTCCTCGGTCTCGATCACATGTCGGAGGAAGTAGTATCGGGTCCAGAAGTCCTTGTATTCCACCTTCTCGGGAACCAATTTCTCCATTGCCCGTCTGAGTTCTGGGTGTTTCTCCAAATCCTTAGCTATAGCCTCTGTCTTCTCCTCCGTGTTGAATTTGGCTTTCCAGGTCGCCCATTCCGGCGATTGTGGGTCCTTGAGGAAGGAATCGAGTGATGAATGGATGACATGCAGCTGTGCATCGAAGCGAGTGGTGTGAATGACGCGCTTGCCCTCGCTATCCTTTGATTCGAAAAGTACTTTTGAGGGATCGTCAGCGGATGTAGGGGATGTCGGGGGTGCGATGGTGACCGCATCACGGAGGAAGTTGCGGATGTTACTGCCGAATTTGAGCAGGGCCTCGTCGGCCGCATCTTCTGCCTTCTCGATGTCTTTCAGGCGCTTGGAAGCCTCAGACTTGAAGCGCGATAGCATGCCCTCTGCTTCTTTAACTATGTCCGCAGGCAAAGATTCCGGGCGATCTGGGTGGGCCTCAGTCTCCCCCTCTTTGCTTGTGGCATCTTTGGCACCTGTCTGAGCCGCCGAAGCCTCTGCGGTCTGGACGCTGAGCGAGCGTGTATGGCTTATAAGGGAGGAGATACTGGCTTGGGCGTTGGCGGTCACGGTAGGGAGCTGCTTATTGGCGGTTTCGTAGTATTGCTCGCCCTGGAGATAGCTCAAGTTAGTTGAGCTCAAACATGGCCGCGCTGGAGAGTGCTGACCTGCTTCTTTACGGTTCCAAGGAAGCCTCCCAATCTCGCTGCCCAGGGACTGTTCGAGATTGCCTTGTATGCATCTTGAATTTCGGCATTAAATGTGGTCGTCTGAGCGGGGTCGGCAGTGTCCTTGCCCTTGTCTTTGTCTTGTGAGGGCGGATCTTGCGGGTAACTTTCTTCTGTGATATGGTCGTACGCGGTATCCATAGTCTTGTGCTTGTAGTATTAGGTGACTTGCTGTTATCGCAGCGTTGACGAGGTAGTGTGCGGTGCGGTGTAGGTGGAGAGTGCGGAGCTGGCGTCGATCAATGGGCGTTCCGGGAGTGGGACAATCCGCCGCAAGCAGGTTAGTCTTGGCGGATGAGGTCAAGCTTTTAGCATCTTCTTATTCCTGTTCCTCATGCATTGAACTATGCCTCATGCAAAGTGTAAATAATATAGATTGTAGCATATAGGAATGTGTTCAGTTTATGGCGCTTGCGGTGTATCCAAAGCTATCTATTCTAGGTACATACGGGAGACCAAGAGAAGAGTGGGATGCTACGATTGGCTCTCCCGACCATCAGCACGAGGCTACGGCTTGTGGGGCTTGCTTAGCCGTTCTGCCGCATCGTCTGCTGATGATGGGAACACAAACACAAATGGAATTGTGTGTCGACACAATTCATTTTGTGTTACCGGTGCTCTGATATGTATGCTTGCACAGATGAGGGGTAACCGGCATCTTTTCTTTCCCATGTCCTGGAAGGGCTATGAGGTGAGGGGTATACGGAGTCGACTGGCTTTTCCATTCATCCATGCCTCTTCTTTCCAACCACCTTTGTAAATCCATCCTCATCCACCTCCGGCGCGGGCTTCTCCTTGGGCGCAGCGAGCGCGGGTGCCTCACTCATATCCACATCACCATCCTTGTCGGACTCCTCATCCACACTGTCCCATTCTCCCTCCTGATCCCTCTCCTCAACCTTAACATTCCCTGTTCCGATCTCCTTGCCCTGTCTGGCAGCCCATTTGGCCTGCAACTCCTCTACAGTTGAGAAGTCACCCTCTAATGTCTCCTTACGTATCTTGATGATATCGCGCGCGACAGGTACCTCGGTCTCGTCTTCGAGGCGCACGCCGAACTCGTCCTCGAGGACCTGGAGGAGCACAACCTCAATGTCCTCGGCGTCGGTTTCAGGGTTCGATGCGAAGATCTCGGATATCGCGCCTGCGAGCCAGTCCCGCTTGTCTGAAGAATCTGGACCGCCCCAATCATTCTTGATGGCGATCGTCAGGTTGGCCCAGTTGAAGAGCGAGTGCCATATTCCCTGTTCGAATTTGTCCTGGATTTCGGCTGAATTGCTCAGTCATCATATTATCACTGCCTTTAAGGTAGGAATCTTACCTTGTGAAGCCGCAACAGGCTGTGCTGCCGTGGAGGTAGACATTTTGTGATTTGTTATTGAGGCTCAAGATTTTTTTGATGCATGCGGGACACTTTACGTCGATAAGATAGTGAATCTGCGCTAGCCGTATTTGTTTAGTGTGTCATGGAGTCGCGAGCATCACCGCTCTCTAAAGCATCCAAAGCATAAAGCAAAGTTGCAATAAGACAGACAACCGAGCAAATTGGTGCTCATGCTTAATTTTTCGATACTTGCTCATCTATTCTTTGAGCTATCTAGTAGGCTGTACTGTAATTTTAACATAAACATGTTGGTGTATCAATTGAAACCGAAATTGAAACTGTAAATTCATTGATGGTATCTTGGTCTATAAAGCAAAGCTGAACTCTCATCGGCCAGCAACTAATCGCCACCCAAAGTCTTTGCAGGGTAGTGTATGCATAGTCAATTTATAAATTTGTGTAGTTCTCCCTATTTCTATGGATACTCAAAGCCGTTTACCAGCGCTGCTCGGAGGAGTCTCGGGAATTTGACTTCCCCGGCCTAATTGCTGTGCACTTGGATGTGCATTAAGTCGAGGGCTACTAGAAGTTGGGGGAGCCGTAGGAGGTCCACGGAATTTTGGTTGCTGAAGTCCTAATCCATGGCTAGGCTGGGTTGTAGCCCTCCTCAACAGCGGACTTGCAGAAGATACATTTGCAAGGGAAGCCCGTCCCTCCCGAGATGGCAAAGGAACATCAGCAGAAGATTTGGACCGAGGCCCCGTGATAGGAGATGACTGACGATATGGGGATGAGCGAAGTGGCGTCGCGGATCTGGAGCGTGTCGAGCCATGTGGAAATCCTTGGTAGTCAAAAGCCTTACCTTCCCCAGGCGAACGATCGTCGTAGTCATGGTCTCCATCATGGAATTCATGTTCCAGATAATCCTCCCCTCGACGTTTGATTGGACTTTCGTCATATGGATCAAAGCCTACCCTCATCCGCGCTTCACGTCGTACACGTCGGCGAAGCTCCGAGTCACCACCGGCGCCGACGGTGCTGCTGTCTGACAAGAAGAAGGTCAGTAGTTCGTCCGGAATAGCAAGATGTGAAGACTGTTGAAATTGTTGAAGGGCTGTCAGGCGAATGAGCATCTCCAATAATGACAATGATGTCTTGATGGCTGGGAGAGCAGATGTTTGATAAGGGCTTTGGTGAGACGCTGGAATCCGCTTCTTCTGGGGAGAGGGAACCAGCTGTGAGTTGGGAGGAGTTGGGGTAGAGGGTGTGGTAGGGCGCAAATTTATGTTGGAAAACCGATCGGTTAAGCTTGGAGAGACAGGGCTGTCTTGTTGCGGAGTGGATGGCCCTGAGGGGGATAACGGATCCAGCTCCGACTCTTCAAATTCCGACTCGGAAGGTGGTTCTTCCACGTAAACTTCAAAAGCCATCCATTCTAGATCAAGATTTGGCGGTAATCGCCACGGATGTGTTTGTGTTTCATTGTCTTCGGGAACCTCTTCTGGCAAATGGACGGAAGACTCTCGGCGGAATTGCTCGTCCAATTCTGATTGTTCGTCTGCTGATTCGGAGTCGCCTACGGTATCGGTACTATCAGACTCATAGTCTTGCGATATTGCGTTCCTTTCCATCATTCTGCGCGGAGGTATGGCGTTAACATCGCGCTTCAGCAGGAGTATAGGGTTGTTGGTCTCCCCATCAGCGCCGATGTTGAGGATTTTCCCTGTATCAGCATAGAAAATCTTGGATATTTCATGGATGGGAATAATTTCACGGATTCCGGCTAGATCAACTCCTTCATACGGGCCAGGCTGGGCCTCATCAGCCTCGAAAGTATGGACACGATCGTCGTCAAGGTCTTCAACAACGAGCAGCTGATACGCAAACTCGTGGAGCTTGCTTTCGGAGGGAATGTGGCCATGATTCCCCTCACCACTATGCCTATCATCCCCGGTGAAGGGCGCTGGGTAATCGTAAACATTGTCGAGTGGAACTCTGAGGAGGGTGACTCGGGCCTTGTGCATGACCTCTTTCCAAGTTGTCTCGCGAATGCCTTCTTCATCCTGCGGACGATATGCGTGTCCAGAGAAGAGCATATACATGGATAGAGTGAATGCAGGTCCGATCTGCTGTGCACGCGGGGTGGAACTACAATATTGCGAATCTCCCGCGGTAAGAAATGTACTGGCCTGCAGCAACCGGGAAGGAGAGACTGTAGCTGGGAGGTTTGTCGAGAGATTTACGCCAGATGTGGTGATGGCAAGGTTTATGAAGTCTACTTCGTCTTCTATACGATTGAGTAACTTCTTGATGTCGGCGATGATGAGCTTCAACTCGAGGTCGTTCTGTGCACGTGATTTACTCCTTGAACTTCCCCTTCGAGCCAGCTGTTCTTCACCGACGGCCTTGGAGAGGCGAACTCCAAGGGCTTGAATGTCGTACCGGAGAGATTTGGTAAGAGTCACGGCTGACTCCAGTGATGTATTGCCGCGGGCTGCGATAAGCTCGATCATGTCAATGGCTGGGGACAGAATGCGGATCTTGCTTTCCAGTCGGCGTTGTAATGCAGCCAACTCCTCCTTCTCTTGGCCTTCGACTGTCTGGAAAGTGCTATCAGCATGGTTTCGGTGCGGAGAGTCATCGTTGAGTCACGTACTTTCATCAAACGACCACATTGGCGGAGAGCGTACGTGCTAGTGATGGTGATGCCCGTGCGGATGGCATAGTTCATCGCCTGCTGGGTCACCTGGTAAAATGGTAAGCTGCTTCTCTTCCCGATAACGACTTTCCATATTGGCCTTACCTTGCCGAGTAACACCTCCATTTTTACTTTTGTGAATATAGTCTCACGAGAACCAAGGTGGAAGCGTCCGGGACAGGGCTGTACTGAGGTAGTAGGACAGGCACAACGTCATTCATTAGGCACCAACAGCCCAAGCCGTGAACATGACTCTAGGTGAACGTATAGCGGTGGAGTGCGTCTGAGTGATTCGAGTCTTGAAAATCAAGGAGAACCATGCAGTGAGAGGCAGAAGGAAGTCGTTTGGGTCAAAGATAAACAAGTGATGAAGTTTTTAGTTGGTTGAACTTATTTGTTGTTTGTATGGATGTTGTTTCGTACCAGGTTATACGCAGCCTGTGCTCGTCCGTACGTAGTTACCCGTATTTCTTCTTTTTGCCCCGCGCTAACCCGTCGTGCCTGCCCACACTGCGGACAGCGACAATACCAATACCAATACCCACTTCTGTTGGTACTCACTAGCGCCACCGTCACATTTCATACTTTTCGCCCAATCTCTTACTATTAATCCATCCATCCTCTTTCCCTCAACGACACCCGACATCGCCTTATAACAGGCCTACTCCCTCGCTCCTCTCATCCGGCCCCTTTCCCACCTGTTGTCTCCATTATATTCGATTTTCGACGATTCGAAATCTCACCTAATCCCTCCATCGACGACCACCGCGGAACCCCGCACCGGCATCGCGAATATGGCCGACTCATGGGAACAAGAGGAGGATAAGCTCTCGCAGCAGGCTCAGAACTTGAACATTGGAGGCAACCCTCAGGCCCAGTCGTTCAGGCCCGGCGCATCATCTTTCACTCCAGGCGCTCAATCTTTCACACCTGGCCAGCAATTCCAGCAGTACGGAGGGGGCTACGGCCAGCAACAGTACGGCCAATACTACAACCAGCAGCAATACGGAGGATACCCCCAGTATGGTCAACAACAGCAGTACGGCCAATACCAACAACAGTACGGAAATCAATACCAGCAGCAGCAGGGCTTCGGAAACCAGTACGGCGGACAGTACCAGCAGCAGGGTTTCCAATCCCAACAGCAGCAGCCTCGCCAGGCGCCCGTTCAGATTGCTAAGAGGCCGGCGGCCGGCGAGTCCGCAGACCAAGCAGCTGCACCTGCAGCTGCGCCGGCCGCAGAGAAGAAGGATGCAGCACCTAAGGCACCCAAGGTCTTGAGCATCTCTGGCGACACAGCTGCAGCACCTAAGGCGAAGGTACTCACCATCGGTGCGGAGACCGCAGCGCCTAAGGTGGAGAAGACTGGGGGCACCAAGGTCCTCTCGCTCGGCACACCTGCTGCTGCTCCCTCGGCAGCAAAGGAGAATGCCGACAAATCGGCCCCCGAGGCTGGCAAGAAGGTTACCGCCACCAAGGCCATCGAGAAGACCGGTGAGCCCACAAAGTCATCCACGTCAACCGGTCGCACATCCCCTACCCCGTCCTCCGGGCGCAACTCACCAGCTCGCGCACCCGAGAACCGAGTTGCTACCCGCACCGATGCCGTCGAGAAAGAGCAGGCCGAAGAGGTTGAGGAGGAGTTGCTTCAAGAGATGTATGGAAAGGAGCACGTCAACGTGATTTTCTTGGGCCACGTCGATGCTGGAAAGTCGACTCTGGGCGGGTCCATCCTCTATGCGACTGGTATGGTTGATGAAAGAACAATGGACAAATTGAAGCGAGAGGCCAAGGAGGCTGGTCGTGAAACATGGTATCTCTCATGGGCTTTGGATCTTACCAAGGAGGAGCGTATGCAGGGAAAGACTGTCGAGGTTGGTCGTGGATTCTTCGAGACAGAGAAGCGACGATACTCCATCCTGGATGCCCCTGGTCACAAAACATTCGTCCCCAGCATGATTGGAGGAGCCTCACAAGCAGATCTTGGTATTTTGGTCATTTCTGCCCGTAAGGGAGAATACGAGACTGGATTCGAAAAGGGTGGTCAGACCCGAGAGCATGCCATTCTGGCAAAGACACAGGGTGTTAACAAGCTTTTGATCGCTGTCAACAAGATGGACGACCCAACAGTCGAGTGGTCAGAGGAGCGCTACAAGGAGTGCTTGACTAAGCTCACCACTTTCCTCAAGGGTGTTGGCTTCAACCCCAAGACCGATCTTGCCTTCATGCCCGTCAGCGCGCAGACCCTCACAGGTATCAAGGATCGTGTGCCCAAGGATGTGTGCCCATGGTACGACGGTCCATCGCTATTGGAGTACCTTGACAACATGAAGTCGCTTGAGCGTAAACTCAACGCACCCTTCATGATGCCTATCGCAGCCAAGTACCGTGATCTTGGAACCATGATCGAGGGCAAGATTGAGTCCGGCCTCATCAAGAAGGAGAACAAGTATCTCATGATGCCAAACAGACAGACCATCAGCATCTCCGCACTCTACGGCGAGACAGAGGATGAAATCCCGGCAGCCACCTGCGGTGAGCAAGTGCGCATCCGTCTCCGTGGTGTCGAGGAGGAAGATATCTTGCCCGGATTTGTTTTGTGCTCTCCCAAGCGACCGGTGCACTGTGTGTCAGCCTTCGAAGCACAGATTGTGCTGCTAGACATCAAGTCGATTCTCAGCGCCGGATTCAACTGTGTGCTTCACGTGCACGCCGCACAGGAAGAAGTCACATTCACTTCCCTGCTCCACAAGCTCCAAAAAGGTACCAACAGGAAGAGCAAGAAGCCCCCGGGCTTCGCCAAGAAGGGCGACAGCATCATTGCTCGATTGGACGTCACGGGTGCTGCTGGCAACATCTGCGTGGAACGATTCGAGGACTACCCACAGCTTGGTCGTTTCACATTGCGCGTACGTTTGGATAATCCCTCTGAGTTATTTGCTATACTGACTTTCTATCTCTACAGGACCAAGGACAAACCATTGCCATTGGAAAGATCACCAAGCTCATCACCGACGCTGCTGCCGAGGCTTAAGCAAGTCATTCACCGTATTTCGTATAATGTACGATTTATTATCCATCTACCCTTGGGGCTCTAAGCATAGCATGTGTGTATGTGTGATATTTTGGAGAGTAAGAAGACATGCTCCATTACGAACGGTAGGCATCGACATGACGATGTTACGATAAAAAGGACGTAGGGAGCGAGCAATCGGTCGGTCAATCGATCACGAAAGAGGAATGGGATGTATAGACTTGTTTTGCGGACCCAAAAAGAAGAACAAAAATGCCAATTCGTTGCACTTTGATGAACTTCCGCAGTTGTTCCCGTAGTGATTTGGTCTACATTTGAATCCACAGACAAGATCCCAAGAACAATGAGAAGAGCTTAAGTTACCACGATAGGAAACCCATCCACCAAACCGTTCGTTTGTTAAATCGGTCGGCCAGCCGGTCGGTCGGTCGGTCGGTCCTGAACCAAACGATACGAATACGAGCAATTGCTTTTTGCCTCACGGGTGACATGATTGATGAAGATACCTCGTAATACACAGGAGAGCGACAAGCCTTTTTAGTGCCGTCATCGACAGGAAACCTTAATTCGATTAGAGTTATAACTTTCTCAATGAGGAAATATCTTAAATTTTCCTTGACCTTGGTAGCATCTTAAGCATCGAAAATCAAGACAATTAATGTGCTGCGAGTTTCGAAGGGAGAACATGTTAGTCTCATCTTTCCCGACATGCTTTGTTTCTCATAGATGGGATAGTGTAATGTTATGGTGAGGTGAGCCAGAGCGGAGATTGTGAAGTACATTGCTATCTACATGAAATTCACTCTTCTCCATGAGGAAACCGATCATGCGTAAGTGACAGAAAATCTCTTGTGTACTAACCTGCAATAACTGATTCAAGATCCATACCGACGTTCGCATGAATTAGAGAACAAATGCAATGACGACTGCGGCTTGCCCGTCGATAAAGCCGCTATGCCATCTTATCGATAAGTCCCTACGCCACAACAACATCCAACGTCTCAACTTTCTTTCTCACCAGCCCTCCCACTCACCGAGCTCTCAAAAACACCCACCAGCCTTCACCTTCACCTTCACCTGATCAACCCCCCGCACAGCCGCCCGCTGCGGCCCACCCCAAATCAACGATGCAGGGCTTCAACATGGGGCGGTACTACCCGCCCTCCACCGACACAGCACCCACCTTCAACCAGTCCTCGCACCCCTTAGGCGCCCGCGCACGAAAAATCAGCTCCGGCATTCTCACCGTGCGCTTCGAGCTCCCCTTCGCCGTGTGGTGCGACACGTGCAAACCCGCGGCCATCGTCGGACAGGGCGTGCGGTTCAACGCGGAGAAGAAGAAGGTCGGGAACTACTATTCGACGCCTGTGTGGAGTTTCCGCATGAAGCATACGGCGTGCGGCGGGTGGTGGGAGATCAGGACGGATCCGAAGAATGCGGAGTACGTTGTTCATGCGGGGGCGCGGAGGCGGGAGTACGGGGATGTGGAGAAGGGGGAGGGGGAGATGGCGATGCTGACGGAGGCGGAGAGGGAGAGGAGGAGGGAGGATGCGTTCGCGAATTTGGAGGGGAGGGTGGAGGGGAAGCAGAGTGAGAGGGTGGGGAGGGAGAGGGTCGAGGAGTTGTTGGATGCGAGTAAGGTTTGGGAGGACCCGTGGACCATGAATCAGAAGTTGAGGCGGGAATTTCGGGGGAAGAGGAAGGCTGCTGAGAGGGAGGATGGGATAAAAGAGGGGATTCAAGAGAAGTTCAGCTTGGGGTTGGAAATCGCGGATGAGGTGGAAGGCGACGCGGCCAGGGCTAGGCTTGTGGAGTTTGGAGCGCATGATGGTGGTGATAGCGAAGCGGAAAGGAAACCGGTGTTCGCCATTCAAAGGACCAATGTCAACGGAGCAGCAGATGAAAAGTCTCTCTCCAAGACGAAGAAACTGAAGTCGGAGATCCATGCAGAGAAAACCCGCAACAGCCTTCAGCAATCACTCGTCGGCAACACTCGCGCCAGCATCAACCCTTTCCTCGATAAATCCAAGTCCTCCTCCGCAAAGGTCGACCTCGGGATATTGAAACGCAAGAGGAGGGCATCGAATCCAGACCCCCCATCAACTTACCCCACCACAGACCTCGAAATACTAACATCCTCCAACGACCCCCAGCCTAGCAATCCTCCCCCAGCGGCGAAGAAAGCTTTGTTACTCCCGTCAGCGCTCGTAGCTTATGATTCCGATTGATACCATTTCAACGGAATGTTTCTCTTGTTCCATGTGCCCTTCGAGGCGTAACTCCATAGCATCACATTCACGGCGTTATATACCCCTCCTTCTTAGTAACAGGCACTATCAAATTCATTATTTGTTCAATCATGCCATGAAACCTGAGCGACTTGCTCATTGCACCGCATACGGCTTTCATGTCTAAATTAGCTGAAGATACACATCCCAGGTACAGGTGTAGGATGTTCGTTCATTCGTTCGTTGATTTAGTTGATCTATTGATTCATTCGTTCATACGTGCATTCATGTTAACTTGCTCTTTTATCTACATCACAGGACACATTCAAATGGTAGTGCGTGAAAGAAGTCGGCATGAATAGGTGGATAGAATCAGTCAACTAGCAGGGAGACGAAGTCATATTCGTTGCTTACCCCGAATCATATGTCATTAATTCCATTTTAAAAGTGTCATTCGTGTGTATATGGGATAGAGATGTAAAATGCCTTGCTTAGGTCATAAGAAGATGATATAGACGGCCAGATGGCCATGTATGACGATAGGAATTCTGAGAAATGGCGAAAATGGAGAAGATGATGGAGAAGGACTAGGAGAGGAAGAAGAAGAAGAAGACGAAGAGGTTCATTGTTCCAAGTATCATACAATAAGATAAGGGAGGAATTAAGTAGGTCGTCCGTCCACTGGTATGTCGATTCATTTCGTTTGCCGTTTCCCTCTCTCCGTGCGCGCGTATGTGTGTGTGAATAATAGAATAATAGGCTAATGGAGCGAGTAACATCGACAACAGAGGGTGAGATGAGTAGAGGAGAAGAGCACACGCTCAGAACGCTCCATGGGCCAATCCAAACCAAGGCCCGACCATGTACCAGACCATATCCAACCAAAAACCTCTTTCGGACACCATCCCATCGTAGCAACAGACGGCCACAGCCGTAGAACCTCTATAAAACCTCTCTCTGATCTGGTTCGCAGCGTCGGCCTTGCGTATATATAATAATGGAAAATACGAATCCAAAATCGTGACATGCTTTCACCACATGTCGTCATCCCTACTGCTCTGATCCGATTCGTCATTGTAACCGCCGCCGCCGTAGTACGGGGACTGGGACTTGCCACCGTTCGGATGGCCGAGGTAGCTCTGCCCACTGGCGACGCTATATTGGCCGTTTGATTTACTGCTATATTGCGAGTGGTGTGAATCTCGCGGTTGATTATACTGTTGTTGTGGTTGCTGTTGCTGATAGTCTTGAGAACTTGAGCGCTGGTGTTGCTCTTCATCTGACTGATCTCGATCTGAACCATAACCTTCATATTGTGCATTCGCACCATTGCTTCCCCGTTCGTGTTGATCCTGTTGCTTCGCGCTAATCAGCGCATGTCTATCTGAGTCCGCCGATTCGCTTACCTGCTGATATCGTTGATATTGCGAGAACTCCTCCGGCTGGTCCTTCTTTTGCTGCGTCTGCTGATGATGCTGCATTTGCAATTGCTGTAACTGTTGCGCTTGTTGCTGCGCCTGCTGCTGCTGCTGTTGCTGCTGTTGCTGTTGCTGCTCGGCCTGGCGCTGGGTTTGCTTGGCCTGCTTAGATGTACCAATCTGGATTTGTGGGTGCATCTGTTGGACCTTGGCGAGATAAGAGTACATGAAGTTACTCAGTAGCACTTGGGAGTACAATTCGCGGCGTGGGTTGGCGAGTTTGATGTGTGCCATGCGGTAGATGGCTCGCTCTTCGAGGATCGAGAAACGAGTCCAGTTGTAGTCGATGTCTGGTTTGAGGATTCTAGGCGGAGGCTCGGGGGAGAGGCCTCGCATGGAATTGCCCTTCTTGTGTGACGATTCCTTCTCGCCCTTCTTCTTGCTGCCGCCAAAGATGGATGAGAACAGGCCAGATTCTTTCTCTTTCTTTGCATCTCCAGAAGATTTCCTCGAACTCTCCTTTTTCCGCTCCTCCTCGAGCTTGACACTTTCGCGATCAATGACGATGCTCTCCCGCCCACGAGCCTGGCGCTGTGAGCCCTCAATGGACGTCTGGAGCACATCAAGGCGGGTGTTATCGTGGCTCTTTTCTTGCGTCTTGCTCAACTTATTCTTCACCTTCTTTGCGAGTTCCTTGTCCCGTTCTTCCGACTCTCTCTTGCTCTTCTCCTTCTCCTTCTCCTTATCGTCACTACCCAACAACCAACCCCAACTTGTCTTTCGCGATTTTTCATCGTCATCCTTCTTCTTACTCTTCTTATCCGATTTCTTCTCCTCGGGAGCGCTGGGGATGATGGACAGTTGGTCGACTCGAGTTCCATTGACGGGAAGAGGCGAAGGGTGCGAGACGAGCTCGTCGAAAGTTTGAGCCGGCTTGATGGGAGTTTGCTGTTGGCGAGGGTCTGGCCGATTTGAAGATTGCCGAGGTGGAGGGTGTCGAAGCTGTTGCGGGGCAGAAGGAGGCATTTGCTGCTGCTGTTGGCGAGGTGGAGGCTGTTGATTAATTTGCTGCTGTTGCTGTTGTTGTGCCTGAGGCTGTTGTTGATACTGTGCGTTCGGAGGGGGAGGTTGGCGTGAGGAGCCGCGTTCCGGCAATTGCACCTGTTGGTGCATCCATGGGTCTTGCCGTGGTTCGGGCGGAGGTGGGGTTTCAACAATCTGTGGCACTGGGTTGGGGTTGTATCCAGGTAGAGGGGCGGTCGTCCTTCCATTCGACGCAATTCGTGAATGGAAAGCCCTCGGTTGCTGGGGTGTTTTTCGTTCTTCAGCGGGTTCTGGCTGCACGAAATCATCGACAGACCCCGACCTTTGGGCAAGCGGAGGCGAGCGCTTGCGATGTGGCCGTGAGAAGTTCTCAGCAGCGTTGACAGGCTCAGACTGGACTCTAGTAAGCCCACCGTGGGTAAACTCTCCCTGTTGCAGTACCGGTGATGAATTTGGAGAATCGTCTGCGTCGGTCTCGGCCGGCCGTGTAATGACGCGCCTCGAAATGGGCACACGCTCGCCCTTGCGTATACTGCCTCGTCGATAATTCGTTCGAGTCGACCGCTTGAGAGTGCCCATTCCGGCTGGCTTGACGGGGAGGATTGGCATATCCTGGTTCATGGGATCCTCTGCGTCCGCACCGTCGATGCTCATTCGCCGAATCAGAGTCGTCGGGTCTTCCACGATGTGTTCGAGCTCGTGAAGTTGGGGTAGCCCGCCATTTGGCTGCTGGTGACCGGATCGCTTCCTCTCCAACCGCTCAGCGCCATCCTTGTAGCCGCTCCCACTGTCGATCTGCCTCGACAGCATAGATTTCTTTCTTCTTAAGCCTCCCCCCGTCGAGCCCTGGCGACTCATACTATCCGGTGATAAGGAATCTGCATCTCCCGAACGCCTTCGGATCTTGTCCACCTTCTCTTCGATGAAAGTCTTGAATTCCTTGGGCGCGAGCTCCGGATGTAATCGTGCGGGTACCCAAAACAGCTTGGACGGGTCCTGTTCCTCCTCGTCCTCGGAGAAATGTTGCGGCGCGGAGGCGGGCAGATTGAACGATTTGAAGGAGGGTAGATCGGGGTCCGCGGTGTTCACATCCATCGACATACGCCGTATAGCCTGGAGATTGCTCAATTCCTGGGCTAGACCGGCGGGACTGGATTCGTAGTCGATGTCATTCAGCGGGAACTGCTGGACAGCAGTGTCTGAATTCGTGCGAGACAAGGGAGGGGAGCGCGGGCCGCTGCCCATGGAGGTTCTCCGCGAGGCAGCATTGGAGCTGCCGTTGGAGCTCGCCGGTGTTCCAGGCTTGTGTTCGTTGTGGTTGACTTGGGCGCGGAGAGGAGATTTGGGAGGAGCGGAGGGGAAGGGATCGAAGGGCGAGAGCGGCGGCTGCTGTTCGAGAGTGAGATTGTCGCCCAACGGTGAACTGATAAAGCTCAAGGGCCGGGAGTTGCGCTTGGAATAGTGGTCGTCGCCGCCGTACATGTCGCCGATGGCTTCGGTGACATGGTGACTCTCATCGCTTATGGAGAGTTGCGGCGCATGGCCGCGCCGGCTCTGGTATACTCTCTCGAGCTCCCGTGCTCGGTCGGAGGCCTGTGGAGGGAGACGGGGCCTGGTCAGCATTTGCAAGCCTGGTGTGGTATGGTATGGGAGAGGTCAAGAGAGGCGGGAAGGTGTGAGGAGAGGAGAGGAGAGGAGAGAAGAGAAGAGGAGAAGTGTGAAAGTCGAGAAGGAGGAGAAGGAGTAGGACGATGTCCTTGGGGGTGAGGGGAGGGGGGAGGTGTAGGGGTCCTGGTCGTGGAGTGCAGGTGCCGAATGGGGGAGGGACAGAGGTATGATGGTGGTTATGGCGGAGGAAGAGTAGCATGGCCGACAAGATCACTCTGGGTGTTGTCGCATGGCATTTGGGGGGGAGAATTTGGGAGTATGCGGAGGTGGAAAGAAGAAGAGGAAGAAAACAAATAGGACAGGACAGGACAGGACAGGATAGAATAGGATAGTGTGTACGTGGAGATAGAGACGTAGAGGTGGAAGTGGGAGCGGGAGTGGATGCGTGCTCACCTGCATGGTTGCTCGAGGAATGTAGACGGTAGAGAGGCCTGTGGCGAGCAGCCGAGACTGCCACGCTCTTCAAGGACAGCGCCAGGGTCGGCACGCTGCCACCATGGAACGGCAGGATGGGGGGTGCCAGATATGGATGTACGATGGGCAGTGTATAGTGTATAGTGTATCGTGTAGGTGGCAGTGACAACGAGTGCGTGACGAAGAGCGAAAGCGAGAGAGCGAGAGAGCGAGAGTTGGTGTGGGGCGGGCGTCAAGGAGGATGAGCAGGATGAGGAGGAGGAGGAGAGGCGGTGGCCGCGGGGAGATGTGTAGGTGTAGGCGTAGGCGAAGACGAGGATGCAGGCGAAGATGGCGTAAGGATAAGGTTGAGCATGACCCGGCGGGTAGGTGGATGGATTGCTCAGAAGACGACGGCAGGTGAGGAGGAGGTCGTGGGTGTGCGCATGTTCGGGAGAGAAGAAGAGGAGGAGGAGGAGGAGGAGGAGGAGGTGTAGAGGTGTAGATGTGTTGGTGTGTTGGGTATTGGTGGTTGAGGTTGAGGTTAAAGTTGGATGTTGCTGTCTGTGTTGTGTAGTCAGGAAGTACTAAGAGACGTTAAGGCGGGCTAGTATGCATAGTACTGTGTATGGTAAGATATATAAAGTATAAAGTATAAAGTAGAAACGAAACGATACTCTCTACTCTCTCGTAGAGGACAATAAGTATAACTATACGCATGTAATAACAGTTGAGAGTAAATAAGAGTAAGAATAAGAACGAAGCCAAAGTAACATATAGTTCTGTTCCACTCCATCTTCATCTATTAATCAATTTATCCAGCCCCAACACACAATCATTATTGAAGACCGACATGCAAACCAACATCTACCGTATACAATCTACGGAGTATTAACTGCAACAATTGATGATTGACTCTGTCTTCCTCTCTCTGTCACATAATAATACTATATGTATCAACATGTCACACATTGCCCAAACCAGCCTGAAACAAAACCCACTTCCCAGCCAACAACCACTTCCTGAGTCTTCCTTTACAGATCAACAACACCATCTCTTTCTAGAATTCTGCCCCTTTCCGTCTGCTTGATGCATTATTGAGTCTACTGTGTACTTGTATTCTAGGTCTCCTACTCATACTCTGCCCTACGCTATTCTGGTCTACCTATCTCGTCCCATTCTCCGTCCGCCCAGACCCCTTTGCGACTCCACCAACCAATCACCGCCCGATCCTTTAGAGTGTAAACCATCGCACCTCGCCTCTTTCGATGGAAACACTGGAGACGACGACGACGGGAACAGATTCAGGTCAGGTACCGGTGATGCCGTATTGTGTCCTGTCGTGTCCGTGTCTTTTGTGTCTTCGCGCGCCCCTGATCTATTACCCAGTCGGAGCACTGTCCAGACAACCTCCTCTCTCTCCCTCTCCCTCTCCCTCTCCCTCCTCCTGTGTACCAAAAACCTAAGTCATGCAGCTAACAGGACAGCCTAACACTCACGAACCTCAATCCATTCGTTCGCCACCGTCGCTTACCTTCCTTTTTCCTTTCCCCTTTTTCTTACATTCTTCTAAAGCTTTAGAGTGCTTACTGTCGACTCACATTAACTATCTGGTAACGAATCATCCTCCCATTCTTCCTTGTTCCTACTCTTGAGAGACATGGCGATGGAAGAGTCAAGACATTCACGCACGAGAAAATACGAGCAAATCCAAACCCACAAAACAAACAGCAGACGAGTTAGTCCAATCCAAATCGGCCCGTACGAGTAAGTAGACACGGTAGGGTATCAGATATCGGTTAGAACAAGGCACTGTAACTTGTAACTTGTCGTGTGCGCGCGAGCGACTGGGAACCGATGCGTTCTAGCCGCCGAAATCCAAAAGCTTGTACCTCTACCCTAAGCTTCTATGGTCTACCAACACAGTACACAGTACACCATAACTAGCAGATGCTGGACAAACAAACAACATACCAAGTAAACAATGAATTGCTGGACTTTACTATTCCTACCGGTTATGTCGTAATTATTACTCGTCCGTAATCAACTCCAAATTTTCGTCCGAAGGTTGGTCGGGATGATATCATGATCAACCTATTCATTGCCTCATTGCTCTGTTGCTATATACAACTCAGCCCGTAAACAGTAGTACTCTGTATACATTCAACGACGATCACACACCTCTGATACTCTGCTCTGCCTCATCTATCACCAAGGACGAACCTCTAACTATCAAGATGAACATATCAACAACCATGTACACCCATCCATCTAACCTATAGACCTACCCCATAGGCATAGACCACGAAGAAGCAAACCACAGTCAAACCAACCCCGTCACGCACGCCTGTCTGAAAGCCACCGTCACACAAACCCAACCTACCAACTGACTGACCAACAGCAACATCAACTAAGGTACATATCTTGCACGCACGCACGCACGCACGCGCCCGGAACACAAAGCAAGTCATCCGGCGCCTCGGCAGTCAGCATAGCACGCACGCAGCGCAGCGCAACCACGCGAACCGCCGTGTTCGATGCACGCACTGCACGCATGTTCGCACGCTTCTACCCGCGCCGGTCGGCGTCTATTGTATACTGTAGAGTACGCACACTTGCACATTTACCTTGTGGTTTAGACGTTGATAGCGAAATCCACGATAATATGAATATATGCAAATGCAAAGATGGACTGTGACATATGAATTTATTGACGTACATAAGCAACGGTTGGTGATACAAATCAACGAACAGCTTCACGTCTTCAAACCCGAAACATCACTTGAAAAGTCAATGAAGGATTGGGAGGGTAAGTGTGGATATCATTTCATGTCGGACTACTTTTTTCATAAAGTTCTGAACAGATGTCGTTATGTCATGTTATGTCATGCCATTTAGAATGTGTTGAGTTGGGTGAGCGCGTCAACTACAGTGGACTACTCTATAGAATGGTAAATCTACTTCAGGGTGGCTGTATACGTGGACACTGCCTCGTAGTAATGCGCCGACCAGACTGGACTTTTGGTGCATTGGCTACTCCTTCAGCTACTGATGCTATTGCACCTTACACCCATCAGACCGAAGCATTGCGCTTCCAGATGAAAACCACAGATGCAGCTGCGCACGCTATCGCTCCCAGAGCTAGGTAGAGGTTGGAGTTGTCTTCGGGCTCTTCGTCGTGTTTTGGGAATGCCGTCGATGGGTACGTTGCGCATTCCGCAAGCTATTCCAATGTTAGCAAACTTAGATCCCATGCAGAATCTCATGAGAGAATCATCGTCACTTACATGAACAAACAACTCCTGGATGCTGCTCCACCTTGCACTGACATGCAACGGAGCAGCCATATTCAAAGCACTCGTGTATTCATCCGGCTGCTGCTCGCACCTTTGCATCGTCTTGTCCTGGTCCGCCTTGAGTGCCGTGTAAACGGCTGGCAGGTCGTCGAGATGCGGGTGCTTCTTCCGCAGCTCGACGATGTGTGCAAAGCTATCCGGCTCGCTCGAGTCGTACGTGTAGCACAACAAATCGCACGCATCCAACTTTGCCCGGTTCTCCAATATCGCAGGTTCCAACTCTCCCAACTCCTCTAAGATCAAGTAGCATTGCTTTCCTCCACGCAGCTCAACGCTGTTGACTGCCGATCGCGGTTTGATGGTCGGGTGATAGGTATGGCTGAAGGGTCGTTGCAGAAATGCTGACAGCAGTGCGCTCTTTCCGCTGCCACTCGAGCCCAAAACGTAACACAAGAAGACATTCCGTTCTACCCTGCCAGGCTTCTTCCTACGCTTTCTGGCCTTGGTGACTTTCAGTGCCGCTGTCGTCCCTCCCTTCTCTGTACTTTCGAATCCGAGATATGCCAGATATTCGAGTGTCGTCTTGGGCTCCTCAAATGTTGTCATGCTCCATTGGGCTAGCCAACCTTGCAGAGTGATGTGCCCAGCCTCGTTACGGACGGTACAAGACGGGAAGGCAGAATCTATCCATGACGGAGGTATACCCGGAGTAGGTGCAAAAAGAGCCAGGAGCTCCCTGTCATTCAACCCACCATCGTTGTCTCTGTCAAACTTGACAAATAAGTCGACAAAGAAACGGTACCCGGCAGGACTCAACTCAGCCGAGGAATGCTGCGGAACATCGAACTTTGGGTGCAGGAACGTCTCGTTCAGACTCAGACTGTCGGTGTACTGGAATTTTCGCAATATGATCCATATCGTCTCGTGGCGGCCCTTCTCCGCGAATATCTTGTTTAGTAGTAGGAAACCCCTCTCATCCATGCCCCGATCGTCGGCGGCATCGGGCACAAATCTCTGGATAGAACGTTTGATGTTGGGTAAGTCATCTTCAGCCAAAGGCTTCTCGAAGCACTTGATCTGGAAATCATGGATTTCCTGGTCATTCCAATAACCGTCTTTATCCTGGTCGCAGAGATTGAAAACGCGCTGAAGGGCGGAGACGGCGGCCGGCTTCAAAGCAGCTTCCTTCGAATCGTAAAGTGGCGCAATAGGGTGGGTGACGGCCTTTTGGCAGAGGAAGAAGACCTCGTTGATGTTGTGGTGTTCCTTGGCGCTGGTTCGAATGCATGAATCAATCTCTTTGAACTCGTTCATAACAGGCAGCATCTCTTCCGCGACAACATTAGAGGCCGTTCCCTTCGACTGAACATCAGCCTTATTTGCGCATAGCACCACGGGTATGTTCACTCCCAAAGAGCGAAAGTAGGGCATCCAGAACAGTGCGACACGTTCATAGCTGTAGTGGTCCGAATAAACCAGTAGGATAACGTTCGACTTCCGTAGTTCCTTCCGCAAGTTCTGGCGTTCGTGAGGCAGCGCGGAGGTATCGACGACGATTGTTGTAACATTATCGGGGGTTCCGAGGGTTGGAGGGAGTGTTACTTGTGGGAGGACAGATTGGATTTTGCCGGTCACGAAGACATCTTTGACGAGGGAGGTTATGAGGGAGCTTTTGCCGACGCCCTCATCGCCGCATACGCAGATCCGGACTGTAAGACATGTGGGTCAACGATGCGATCATTAAGAAAGAAGCGGAGGTGGATAGTATATGCTGTGAGAGGGTAGTAGAGGAGTGAAGAGCGGTGGCGCACCAGTTGCCATATTGATGCAGCAGCATTGTGTGTTTAATGCATGCTAGGAGAATGGTCAAGAGGTCGTTGAGTTGTTGTATGTGGAGGGTGTTATTAGCACTGGTGGTATCTTTTTATTCATCCATTCATGAGGTCGTTGTGTTTGTTGGATGAATGTCCTCGACTGCCCGCTCGGAAGCTGTGCTGAGTCTTGGCACATATGTAAGGGCCTATGCGTCTCAATTATGTACCCTGTCCCTGTCCCTGGGTCCCCATAACTACACAAACACAATGACATAAGAGCTAGTTACGTGTTTGCTACTGAAGTCGAATCGGAGTGAACGGTGTGATAAAGCAATCGGACATAACACCCCTTGGGCAATTTAATTCCATCTTCAGGATGCCACAAATGTAGAGCTCAGTGGTTATGAGGCACGATTAGTGAACATATACTCATGCAATACTTAGATATAGGTAACTACCTTCCTAAGGATACCTGACTAACATACGCCTCTCTCTTAGAGTCTCTCTTCACTGTATATCTGCGCGCTAATCCTCAAAGTATCTGGCATCTCCGCCCACCGCCGCCGCCGCCGTATCCTCACCTTTGCCCAGGAAACCCAATATTTCCCCACATAGGGACGGAATTATTAGATAGAATAATTATGGAACCAGCTGCTTCATGTCCCCTTCCTTCTTCCAACTTGTTTCAGCATTCCATTCACACGTTCTTCTCTAACTGATTCAACCGTGACGGGACGGTAGAGGGCAGGCGCAAGACAAGCGCGCGCGTGCAACCCCAATTACAGGTACCCGATCCCAGGTAGAACCCCAGTTCGGGTCAGGTCAGGCCAGGCGTTCGATCGTTCCTTCCCCAATTTCTCCAGGTTCCGCCGGCTGAGATTCGGTATCGTTCCTCCGCCTTCCGGCCTCTTCTCCTCCTCCTCTTCCTCCTCACTCGACCACAACACACAACACACCGACACATATTACACTACACTTCCCTGTACGACATATCTCTCGCCCTGCCTGAACCCATCGGTATCAAACATTGCTCCATTTCTCTCTGTCTCGTGAGGGGACAACCATCATACTTCTTCACAGCTATTCTACGGGATCCCCCCTCTATGCTTTGAAGATCAGACAGACGCTCGGCCTTGCGATCTGGGCCAAGCACCAATCCACCAGCCATCAACCCCATCTACCACTGGAGAGTTGAGCCGAATTTGGTTCAATTCGATCGATTGATTGATTGGTAGCATATTGCACAACTTCAGCCATGTTGTGAGTGACCACCTTCCACCCACGCCCAATCACACTCCCCTGATAACTACTTTATCGCGCGTGCATCCCCGAGCTCGACTGATATGAATGCCTGTCTGGCTCCACAGTGTTCTCCCACCACCACCCAGATATCCTGTCGGTGGCTACCCCGGCGCACCGGGTGCCGGGCCTCTTATCGAGACCAACAACACCCTCACACACCCCACTGGTCCCGAGCACCAGTTAGTCGTTGGAGAAGGTATGTCTTCTCGTTTTCCTCGAGCCTTTTGAGAAATATTCCCCTCACACCGGACCATGACAGGTACATATGTGTTGCGCGATGACCTCCACCTAGCTACGCCGCCTCCCCACCCCTCAGAGGCTCCCGTTCACAATCCAAACCCCCTCGCGACGACAATTTCTCCTCCTACCGCCGGAACGAAGCTCTCCCTCATTCTCCTTGCGCCACGGCGCCAGTCCAGTTCGCGCCTATACCGATTCGAAACGGCTACAAGCACACGGTCACAAGTTCCTCCAAGCATACAAGAGTCACCTCACGAGGCAAACAGTGATGCTGGTTCCCACAGTGTCAATGGAACGGCATTCCCACCCTACGAGAGTTCGATTGCGCCTGCGTTCGGAGCCTCCAATCCTCACCTGGCAGTCATAAATGGAAAAGACGCAAAGGACCCGCTCAAACGAAGGAAACCAAAGAGCAACATTGTCAAAAGTAACTCGTCCTTCGTGTCTCGAGTCATTCCGCATGAAGCGTTATCGAAGAGGTTACAAGAACACAACCCCAACGGCGTATATGCTTTCGCCAACGTCAACCGCGCACTCCAATGGCTGGATCTCAATTCGCCTATCAAGGTAGCTTTTTCTGCTGGGGAGTTCGAGACATTCAAACTGACCCACACCTAGGAAGAACATATGACCAAGATTCTATTCACCAAAGCTCATGCACTATGTCACGACATAAACCCAATCACAAAGGGTCCAAACCACCTGGATATGATTATGGGCTTTTCGACTGGTGACATCATCTGGTACGAACCCATGTCGCAGAAATACGCACGAATCAACAAGAATGTACGTAGTTGAAGAACCACCCAGGACTAGTAATTTCGCAGGCACGGTAGCTGACTGTTCGATAGGGAGCGATCAACAATGCTGTCGCATCGGCTGTGACCGACATTCGGTGGATTCCAAACAGTGAAAACCTTTTCCTAGCAGCGCACATGGACGGCAGCCTGATAGTCTATGACAAGGAGAAGGAAGATGCACCTTTTGTGCCGGAGGAGCAGGCGCCAGCCGGGGAGTCGGCCAAGGGCAAGGAGGCCATGAGGTCGTCGTTGATTATCAAGAAGTCGGTGAACTCGGTTAACCAAAAGACGAACCCTGTGGCATACTGGCAAACGAGCAACTCGAAGATCAACGCGTTCGCCTTCTCGCCTGACAACCGGCACATTGCAGTGGTGTCAGAGGACGGGTCGCTCCGCATCATCGACTTCCTCAAAGAACAGTGGGTTTCCAATTGAGCCTCAATTGCTGAGGGAATGCTAGAGTGCATTCGGCTGACATCGGACAGATTGCTTCACATTTTCACAAGCTACTACGGAGGCCTGCTTAGCGTGTGCTGGTCGCCTGACGGTCGATACATTGTTACAGGTGGACAAGATGATTTGCTATCCATCTGGTCCATGGAAGAGAGCCAGCTGGTTGCGCGATGCCAGGGCCACAATTCATGGGTTACGGCAGTAGCCTTTGATCCTTGGCGGTGTGATGAACGCAACTATCGGATTGGTAGTGTAGGGGAAGATTGTCGGCTTTTACTGTGGGACTTCAGCGTGGGAATGCTGCATAGGCCTCGGGCGGTGAGTTCTAGATTTTTTTCTGTCTTTTTTCCCTCAACTTCTCTGCGCACATTTCTTATCTTTAGTGGGACATTTGGCTAGAGAGGAGGTGAGTTGCGATATGTTGAGCTATGCTGACTAGCGTGTTTTTGACATGGCAGGCATCGGTTCGACAGCGCGGTAGCATTGCGTCGACGACCCTGAAGATGCAGCGTAGCCGCACGGATGGATCCACCACGCGGTTCCGATCCAACTCTAATCTCACATCGGCAACGACGGTGGAAAACGACGAAGATGAGCAGGTTATACACGCTGTAGAGCCGCGGGCGCGGACGGCCATGTTACCGCCCGTTATGGTGAGTTCTATCGCTATGCGGCAATGTTCGGAGTGTTGGGTGTGCTAACAAATGCATCAGGCGAAGAAGGTAGACGAGCATCCACTGTGTTGGCTAGGATTCGAGGAGGACTGCATTATGACATCTTGCAACAATGGTGAGTTGAGAGAGCATTTCCTTGCACAAGATCAGAAACGTGGTCGTTGGAGGAGTTTTACTAGCTGCGACATGCATATCTGTTTTCGGTCGCCTTTATCTTCCCATCACTGTCCTAGCCTGCCTATCCTGGTGGAAGGTTGAACCTCAAAGGTTGTGGGCTTTTGGCTGCAGCACACGCAGTGCACGCAGGAAAAAACCCGCTTGGTTGCTGGCCTTTTAGTGTGTGATTGCACGACGCCTATCCCGTCCGTGGATGGGTGGGCGTGCGACATGCGTGCGTTCGTGCGTGTGTGCTTGCTGCAAGACACACACAAAGCCTTGGACCAGGGCCGGGATAAGGGATAAGGGACGTGGACGGGTACGGGACCCACTGAGGCGGGCGGCCAAAGCTCCTGTTGAGATGCACAAGAGCCTCAAACCATCCGACCTCCGACCCATGGATCATGCATGGGAGCTATGACGAAGACCATTTTCGATGACGAAGATGATGTTGGCCGATAAGGGCATGACGCTTTTTAGATCTTTCCTGGACGTTTCAGTTCGTGGCGCATTTAGCTAACTGTTTATCTTCATGCAGGGCACATCCGCACATGGGACCGACCGAAAGAAGGCGCTGGTGGTGAAGCCAATGGCATCAACAACAGCAGCAGCAATGGAATCGGAGGAACTGCACTGGCTTCGACAGTGTCGATGGGTGGTACCGGTAGTCTCCCACCCGGCAGCAGCGGCGGTCAACAAGAAAAGCTGAGGCAGATACGATCGGCGGGCGACGTCCTCAACTAGAGCTTTTGCGGTTGTTGTTTGTTATTCTCGTGACCGTGCTGAAGAGCCATTCACCACTTCGAGAATGTAGGAGAAAGGCTGGGTGGATAAAAAAGACGAATGATGAGAGAAAGGCATTGGTATTATTATCAATACTCTGTTAATAGGTGAATACGTCAAAACGCAAATCGAGTTTCAAATCGAGTTTCCAACCTCTTTCAAGTGCCAAAGCATTCTCGAATCCAATCGTCTTCTTGCATACGATACAGTGTTGGTGTTGTTGATTGTTGGTGTCGTACCTATTCAGGGAGGGGAGGAATTATCGGAATGATTTATTATTAGATCTGCCCTACTCCGATAAACACCGCTTCCCCCTTGGAACTCGATGTTATGATACACGAAAACAATGACGGGATCCGAAGTGAAAAATTGGAATCGATATCGTCATCATTATCCTATCAATTATCGCTGCAGTCGCCAGGTAGAGATAGATTCATGACCTGGCCCTATCGGTGACTTACATTACGATACAGCAGGAATGAATACATGAACACTCTCTGTTCCTTTGCAATTAATTTCTGTACTGTTTTATGAATGAATGAATTAAGGACTGTACATCAGATCATCTGCTCTCGCAGTAGGTGTTCGCAGGCGTTCACGGTGCACCCAAGAGTACCTTAATCGATAAGGGGAATGGAGGGGCGCAGCGGTTGGTGGCTGAAAAGAGTACTCGTAGGCACCTTTTTCCCTCACGAGTACGACGTTTATCAACTGCAACCTATTCGCAAGGCTTGCAATTTCTATAAAGCGTATTCCGTAGATACTTCTCAAAAGATCCATGTAGAGTTGGAAACAGAGTATGAAGATGATGCCTGCATGGAACAAGCAGTATCATGGTACCCTCGATAACCCAACTAGTACATGGTGATGGTTTATCGATCTATCTAGGTACTCGTAGCTTTTCAACTCCCTGATACTCACTAACCTCTCTGCATATACAATCAATCGCCATATTCCGTAGAAGCACATCTTCCTCCTACCGTGTAAAAACATCTTACCCGAAACGTTCGGCACAACAATATCACATCCACACACACTCCTACTGTTACGCGTGCGGTGCGGTGGGTCCTGCAATTCTGCCCTAGGCCTCTCGGCCCGAGATATATTTTTTCTTCCATTTCCCTTAGTGCAGGGATTGGGTTAGGTTAGATCAACAGTAGGCGTTTATCTTTTTTTCTCGAAGGGAAGATCATGGAAAAACTTTTTGGAAGGGAAATTTGGATTTGCATGACGGCCGGGCAATGGAAGGCAAAGGGCAAAGGTAAAAGGGTAGGGGTAGGGATGAGAGGAGTTGCGCGTGGCGTGCGTGGCTGGCAGAGCGAACGTAGTGGTGGTGGCGAGCGTGGGAGGGAAAAAACGTGGGCGTGGGAGAGGCGTGGGAGGTCCGGTTGGTGGTCGTGCCTGGGTTTGGGATTCCCGTTGTTCGCGATACGGTACGGGTACATTAGGTACGTACCACTAAGTGCAGAGCGCCTGGAGTTCGTGTGTTTCGAGACGAGGGATTTGGGATGGTATGGATGGTGTGACTCTTGAGTTGACGTAGATGTGTTATGTGTACATACATATATGCACATGTGAAGGTATGAATGTACGTATGTATGCATATGTTCCACAGCATGAAGACTACAGGAACAGTACATGTGAATATGACGATCAGGCGAGATGTTCTTGTGACACAGCCTGTCCGCCAGCGAGACAATACATCCATACATACAGACATTAGACATGCATCTGAGACATGGCGGACGTCAAACACATGTAGATAGTACCGGATTAGTGCGAATCTGATCTGGCGTTATCTATCTGTTTCAGTTTTAATATTGTTGGGATGATTATGGAACATGTTTGTGCTGCGTGCAAGAGAGAGTGTGAGCGATATGATATGGGTGAGATGGCGGGTATCTATTGGTATGAATGCGAATGTGAAAGTGGATCTAGATGTGTTGATACACAGTTGAGGTGTGTGTCTGGGCGGGAGTGGATGGATGATTGTGGAATCCAGGGTCTATTCTAAACCTGCATCATGTACCAAATGTAGGTAAGTGCAAGCGCAGTACAGTGCTGTGTATCTACACCGGTAAGAACTACCTCGTAGGAGGGATGTAAGAGTGGTACTCGTAACTACAAGTAGGCTGAGTGCTGAGTGGGATAGGATTGGGCTGGGCCTAGGCTGAGCTGAGCTGAGGAGACGTGGGACGGGATTGATGGCTGATGATTGATGATTTGAGTATTCCGTACCTAGTGAGAACGATAGAATGTAAGGAAATCATAGGTGAGTTGGATAGGTGGAGTGGGTACAGTTACTAGAGTAGGTGAATGGTTCCGTCGGACCATGGCGAGATACGAGAGACAATTGACAAGGGGCAGGGAGAGACATGGGATGAATTCCGTAATTATTGGTTTCTTTGAAGATGAGGCAGAGCAGAGACAGACAGACAGCCATACACAATAACAGGATGCAAGCATGCATGGATATTAAACGGACCGTGGACGTATGGAGACAGCTACGACAATTAGATCAGGCGATGGGAATAAGCAAAAAGGCAGGACAGGACAGGCAGGACAGGGCTGGGCCGTTCGCGGGAAGAATTTATTATGGATCGGCAGTTTCGGTACACTTCCTTTGTGCGTGGGAGTAGTTACAGGTATGTGCAAGTATTTACTTTTTACCAGTTATTATGTAAAACCACGAGTGGATACAGAGTAGCATGCAACAAGTCACAAACTAGTATTCTGTATTGGATACTTGAAGACTCATAACAGTGATAGAACTGGATTTTGAGTTTGGCCATGCCACTTGCGTATTCCCGAAACGGTATCCCAAATCTGCGCTGGGCTGCAATCACTACCTTGGTAATTATGCCTTGTGACGATGCATTCCAACAACGGGAAAAGCAAGAGGGAAAACGAAAATGGAAAGACGGGTATGGAAAAAGGAGGGCGGGAATAGGATCGCGGAAAAGTGTTTTGAAGATCCTGTCCTGTATCACGTATCACAAGATGCAACAAGTGGAAAGTAGTCGTTCGGTAGTAGATACAAGTAGCGATTGGCGTTTCTTCCCTCGGCTGTAGGGAGAACATTGCGTACACCACCAATGGCCATGATCATTATCGAAACGACGACGATCGTTGACGACAACTGCTGCAAAGCCATCGGCATCGGAGGTTGGTTGATTTTCGTGCTGTTCCCTGTTTTTTTTTTTTACTTGTGATTGTGGCTGCAATCATGAGCTTGTCTTGACTTGACTTGCTGTGAGAGACCTGTTTCCACCGATGTCGTTCCTTTTCTCGCCGGCCGGTGGTAAAAGAGAACAGGGCAACAGGGCAGTAACAGGACCCACAGTAACGAAGAACTAACCAGGTCGCTATCTATGGGCTTCCCGCCGGGTGGATCACATTCGCAAGTTGGACAGAGACGAGACAGGAAAAGACAAGACAGGGCAGGGATTGGCTTGAAGAAAGGAAATAAAGAAGAGGAAGAGAAGACAGTCCAGAAGGTTTCCCTTTGCTATTTAGAGACATGCAATTCATTCTATAGACTGCAAGTAAGGCAGAACAGGGCAAAGCATAAGATCCCGAAGGATCTATGATGAATGATGAGCGTGAAGCTTGTTATGGCGATGGTGACGGTGACGATAGTGGACCATGATGATTTGACGATAGAGGATCCGATCTTTATCCATGGAAGAGAAAAAAAGGAAAAGGAAACGAGAACGACTCAAAACGAGTGGCCGATGGATGGCCGTCCTGGCCTGTCTGCCCGCCTTTCCCGCCGAGTTTCTCGAATCCCCTCGAATCCCTGCCTTTGCCATGATACACAAGAGAGATATGCTAACCTGATCCATGATGGCTTCAAAGGGCGATGATTGCGATGATTGCGATGATTGTGAGTTTATGATTAAGATCGGGTTTTAGAGTTGGTTACCTCTAGTTATTACAGTGGACTACTGTGTACATGCAGTACTGGACTACTGTCTAATGGTTGTGGTCAATGTCAAGCACGCCATCCCCCTGTGAATCTTCCATGTCCATACACACACTCCTTGATCCTTGTCCCTGTCCATGTCTCTGCCCATGTTCGGAGCTCATGCGAGGTTTTTTTAACATTGCCTTTCCGGGTAGTGAGCGATAGATACTCGTAAAACAGTTGTATCACTGCTAACGTAGTGGGTTCACGGTGTTTTACCTTTAGTTATGCTCTCTCATTAGGCACTGTACCAGTATACTATCGTGTATCTCTCTTGTAACAGAAAGTATATGATATCAACCCAACCCGGCCCATTCTCTTCCCTTTTCCCCCTCTTCTTCTTTTCTTTTTCTTTCTCCTCTAAACCAACCATCCCAGGTACTGTGTACATACATACATACATACATACCTACATACCTAGGTATCTACACATTATACCATCGCCTGATCTGACCTGACCTGGCCTGGAACCTTTCACTCTACCCTGCCCTGCCTTCTATCAGCACTACAATACTCCGTCCACTACCTTTACTCTCTCTCTCGCTCCCTCTTCTGCCGAACACGAATCCATCCTGACTCTTGGCCCCGTCCTTCTAAACATTCTTCCATCCTTCCACGCCATCCACGCCAACCAAAGCCAATCAAGCCCATTCACGCCATCACCAACCTTAACCTTCCTTCTCCCGCGCCATAACCCTTCTATCTATCTATATCTCCCGTATCGAATCCCGCCGTATCGTATCTTTGTCGAATCGTATCCTCGCAATCCCATACCCGACCAGAAGAAAAGAAAGAAAAAGAAAAAGAAAAAGGAACAAACACTACTGCAGTTGCACAAGCCATAAAACCATCGCTCGCCCTGCATTAACCTCTACTCCTCGCTACCAGTTCCAGTAACTATCTATTACTGTCTGCTTTTGCTGCTTTTGGGGAATCTGCCGCATTCGACCATCCAGCCGCGCAGCCGCATCTCACCATCCATCCGTCATCCGCCATCCATCCCATCCCATCATCTGTCATTCATCCTCCATCGTCTAACCTCCTCCACCCCCTCCCACGTCCGTTGCTGCGCCATCGTCATCTCTACCACCCGCGTTCGACTAATCACGACTACTTGCGAATACCACCACCGCTACCACCATTACTGGGAATTAACTAATCCCTTCCATTCATCTTCCTCCCTACTCGTACTTTCTAACAGTATATTATCCTGCCTTCCCCCGGACCCTGCCTCCCCAGAGTGATGCCATTCTTTTGGCCCTCCTACTTATAGATAGTATCTTCTTTCTATACAGCCTCGCCCACCTATTCCTACCGCAATCATGCCTCACGCCAGAGTCCCCGTCTTTGGCGGCAGCTCAAAACCTACCCTGGAAATAAAGTATGTTCCCTCTCTTCTCTCTTCACCCACCTACACTGTATTGCTCACCACAGTGCTCCCTCTTCTCTTTCCTCATTACTGCATTCATTTATTCGTCCAATCAACAACTATACGCGCATGCGCAAAGGCTAACATTTCTACTACCAGACCCAACTCGCCTTTCGTCGTCTTCTATGGAGAGCCCTCTGAGTCCCAGCCCACCGATCTGGCTGGCAAGCTGGTCCTCAGCAATCCAGAGTCAATGTCTGTCAAAGGCATCAAGATGACCCTCATTGGCATGAGGAGAATTGCGTACGTCCAGTCACTTGCCTTTTTTCTTTTCTTTTCCCTCTTTTCCGTCCTCCTTCCTCCGTGCTCGTAACGGTAACACCACCTCCCGCACTTCCTTCCGAATTCGGTCACACACACCTAACACCCCCTCCCCCCAAAAGCGAGATGCAAAGAAGAGAGTCTGTGCTAACCCTACGCTTTTGCTTTTCCGTGTAACAGTTGGCATACTTCCAATACCGTCACCCCTCAGCCTATCATGAACAAGTGCGAATTCATGCGCGAGACCTTGAACCTCTTCCCCGCCGACGGCAACAAGAACAAACCTCACAAAATCAACGCTGGCTATCATGAGTGGGACTTCAAATTCACCCTCCCCGGTAACACGGACGAGAGTGTCGAAGGCATCAGCACCAATTGGATTGTCTACAACCTCAGCGCCACCGTCGACCGAGGCTACATGAGCAAGCAATTGACTGCGAACCAACACATTCGCATTATCAGGACCCTCGGTCGCGATCTCCTCGAGACGGTGCCAATGGAACAGGTATGACGCAATCACCTCTTTTCATTTTCTTATCTTTGGGATCCACACGCTAACAAGGGTTGTTTCCTGCAGATCAACGAAGATATCTGGGCATCGAAGCTGGCCTACAAGATCACCATCCCCCAAAAGAACTACATCGTCGGCACCGCCGTAAGGGCCGATTTCATCCTCGTGCCCCTGCGCAAGGGCGTCGCCATTGCCACAATAAAGATGGAACTACTCGAGACGCGCCAGATGTTCATCAACTACGCCGGTCGCAGAGTCAGCCATACCCAGGAAGTCGTCATCTGCCAGAAGGAGGGCAACATGCCAGAAAACTCCGCACGCCTCGTCCCCGAGGGTGTCGAGAACGTTGATGAGCTCTTCGATGAGTCGCATCGCTTCTCCATGTCCCTCGATCTTCCCAAGTCGCTCAAGAACTGCAGGCAGTCGGTCGACACCGAGTGGTTACGCGTGACTCACAAGGTGCGCCTGTATGTCAACCTGCACAATCCCGAGGGCCATACCAGCCAGCTTCTCGTGAAGAACCACATCCACCTGTTCATTTCGCCCAATCTCCCTCCGAACGAAGACCAGAGCGTGGTCGTAGATCACAATGTGATCAACTCTGTAGCCATGCAGGACGAGGCCAATCGCAATGCCCCTCCTACGTATGGCCTACACCAGATGGACGAGCTCTACCACGATATCGACCCCAGTGGTTTCATGACCCCCGGCGGTCTGCGCAGTCTGGGCACTAGCGGAGCCAACACACCATTCTACGCACAGAGTCGAACAGGTTCGGCCGAGGATCTTGCTTCGCTTGACGCAGTTGCCAATCAGAATGGCGGCGGGGCGTCTGCGACTGCCTTGCAGCACCGACTCCAAAACCTCAGTCTGAACCAGCACAGCTATTCGTCTGGTCGCTATGCCCCTGGCCGACAACATTCGTCCGGTGGAAGCACACCGCACAATGGCGCAGTCCAGGCCGAATCATCAGGCAGTTATTTTGGGAATGTCACGAGCGGTGCCGACTACGAGTACGACATGGATGCTCTCACCAGAACCCCCTCGTACAACACTGCTGTGCGTACGCCGGCTGCTGAGACTCCCATCTCCGAGGTGTTGCCAACCTACGATTTTGCTACTTCCAGGCCCTCCAGCCCATCGGGACAGAGATCAGGACGCGGATCAGGCCAGGCGAGCCCCGCCCGAGGTGGACTGGACCCTCTGCAGGAGGAGACGCAGCGGAATACAGAAATGAACTCGCGCCGAGCGAGTCCTCGATTGAGCCCGAGGACCAGCGACGAGGAAGGAAGGTAAAACCTCCCAATTATCACTGTCGGCCTCCTACCGGCTTCCATTTTCCTTCCCACTTTTTCCCCCCGTATCCATCTCCACTCTCATCAACATGAACCCGTACTTAATGTTCGATTCTACCCAATAGTCTACACCTGACTACCACCTCCTCGTCCTCGTCCTCGTCCTCGTCCTCGTCGAATGCATCGTCGAGTACGACGACCGCGCCGCCAGGCTCCAATCACAATGGCGAGAGTCACAAACCGACACATCCCGAGCATTTCACGTTCGCATCGGTCGCCGAGTTTCACGCTTCGGAGGGAGATGAACATCATCATGGCCATGCCAATCCTTTCATCCGCATACTGAGGACGATCCATTGAGGCTCTTTCCTAAACACAAAATCTTTTTATCGCATGGCATTGCATTTGCATAGGACGGAGTTGGACTCATTTTCTTTTCCTTTTCTTATCGACGGACGAGACTTTTAGATGCACGAATAATCTCTTTACGCAAAGCAAAAATCTCACTCAACATATCAGAGTGGTAATGGGCGGTGGTCTCGTTGAGCCGCACGACCCACCCATTTCATTTTTATATTTCTACCAATCATCTATGCCCTCTTTCGTAGAGGCAAGATTGCCATATATGGTCTATTTGGTTGTTATTGGTGGCATAATCATGTCGCAATACTTAGGTACATTGTTTGCACTCAGGATACCCAACGATTGCTTTTTTCCACAATAACTACACATTTCTTCCCTTCATTTATCACATGGGATACAAATTAGACGGTTTCCACTCATCAATAATGTACAGTCATATCTCCACTGGGAGTTAAAAAAATAGTTCCTATGTTTATCTTGCCATATGTCACCATTTACAGGAAAGGATATAATAAACAAACAAACAAACATCTCACCCAAAACAACGGGAAACCTAGTTGGCTCAATTCTGTCTCGTGATAGTTCGTTCATTCGGCGCATTGACTATGGAATCACATGTCGAATCTATGTATCTACACCTTTAAGCTACTCGTACGAGCGAGTTAAGCTTTCTATCACATGCGGCGGCACTACATCTATTCATGGAGGTACTTGCGAATCTATGTCTATGTGCATGTGCAGTACATGGGAATCATATGCTGCTCCTTCCAGGTCTAGAATCGGGATCGAGATTCCCGTTCATGCATGTATACAAGTGCCCGCTAGCGCTGTGACGTATCGTCTGTGGAATTTATTGTTTCTCCCCTGCCTTCCTCCTCCGTAGACGTCAGTCGTCTGTCTGTTCCTCGGGATGATCGATCGGAATGGCCTCTACGAGAATTTGCTTTGTCTTGCTTGCTCCGCGGCGCTTCTTCTTTCTCTTTTGCTCCTAGAACAGGTGGCGACTGTAACTGGCATGGGTGGTAATGGCCCGTGGCGCAGGTATTGTTTGTAATGTATGTATGCAGATTGACAGTGGTGCCTCTCCGTTTATACCTGGCGTGATATCAGGCGCTGGGTGTACCGTCCGCGTACATTGTGTGCATGATTCGATTCAATGCATCATGGCGGTTTCCACTTCCTTTGGAGATTCCTTCATCCGCTCGACCACTCGCTCAGTCGAATAGAAATCCGGCGGCGAGGTCGACGTTGCCGTCCGTGGCGTCCAGGGCTGCGATCGCGGACCGTCTGTCGAAGCCTAGGCTTACGAGGGAGGCGACTGTTTCTTCGGGCCATTTCGTGTCGCGGTCGGTCGTCGTAGTCGTGCTTGATGTGTCTGTCTGTCCGTTGCCTCCCTGTGTCTGTGTTATGTTCCGCTGCTGCTCTTGTTGCTTCGGCAGGACCATCTGTCTGATCTGTTCGGCCGTGTATCCCCCAAATCCTCCACCAGCACCACTTTTCGATTGCTGAGCAGCAACAGGAGGGAGACGATTTCTCAGCACCCTCCCCAGAACGCTCACCCACCCAGCCGCTACGACATCGACGTCTGGCACAATATCCAGCACATGGCACATATCCTCGTCCGTACCCATCCCGGTATTAAACCACTCCCAGCCCATGACCCCACCAAACCTATCCTCCTCCCCATCCCTATACCTCGCCCTCAGCGCCCGACACACCTCCGCCAACTTCTCCACCCCAACATGGCCCGCCCCGTTGGCAGGATTCGTCACCACGCCCAGCACCACGCGCTGCGGATCCCACCCGCCACTCGACACAATCGCCTCGTACCACTGCGTCGATCCAGCGTCCCCCCACCCGCAGTAGAACTGCGCATTATACCACGCGACCTCCTTCCCCCACGCACTCGCCTCCAGCTCCGCATACGAAAACCCAGACAAGTGCGGCAGACTCGGGTGCAGAGGGTTCGGGCCCGGCGGCGACGATGCGAGCGTGGGTCGCGGGGCAGCGGGCTGCACGCGCGGGTCGGGGATCAGGGCGGTGGCCACGGGCGCCATGGTGATGATGAAGGAGGGGCCGAAGTCGGTGCGTAGCCGCGAGATCAGGCGCGTTATGGTTGATAGCGAGGTCTCTTCTTCGACGTCAAGGTCGAGGCCGTCGAGCTTGTGGGCAAGGATCATGGCGTGGAGGGGTGCGTAGTAGGCTTCGAATTGGGAGGTCGGGCCTGAGAGACGCTCGTAGGACCCCTTCGCGGCGCCGCCGAGCATGCCGAGGACTTTGACGCCGGCGCCTTGGAGCCATTGGGTTTCGGTCCAGAGGGTTGAGAAGCGTGGATCTGAGGGCGGGTGGTCGTTGAGGGTGAGGGCCGAGGGGTCAGAGTTGAGGTGGATGGCGGCGATGATGAGGTGCGTGAGGCCGGAGTTGGAGGTCAGGAGCGGGAGGAGGGAGTGGTATTCGCCGGTCGGGGAGTGGAATGTTTGCGCGTAGATGATGAGGCGGGGACCTTGGTCGTGGGGGAGGTAGGACGTGGGTGTGGGTGGCATTGTTGTTGTGTGTATGGAGGAGGAAGAATGGGAGGTAGTTATGTGGTAGTTATGTTGAGCGGGAATGGAATGAAGCTCCAGGTACTTCCAAGTGCTAGGCCGGGACGTGCTACGCTATGTACCTGGCCCTTTGCCCCTCGTAGGGCTGAACCACCGCGGAGGCGGGGCTCCCGCGTGTTTTGTCCCATTCGACGGGTTATCAATTACCATCAATTCATCAGTATCAGGTGTAGGTATCATTGATTAATTACTATCACAAACGAAAATGCAAAAGCAAGTTGAGTTGGAAGTTCAATTCATCTCTCCCTCGTCCTGATGATTCCCTCCCATGTATGCATGCAATGAAATCTCGATACTGCCGTGAAACGCCATGCAAAAAAATCGACCAATAATGACCGGTCATCCCTTTAATCCACCACCACGTTAATAGTGTTATATACACACCCTCATTACAGACGAAAGAAAAAAGGCCTTGTCAGGCTCAAATCAGACAAAGTAATGGGAATCACAATTAACCACGCCTTCCCACCTCCTTTTCCTCTGCCTCCCATATGCATCCTGTTTTCCCAAATTCCATTACCGTCGTAGCGTGACATCCTCCAGGGACCATCATGCGCTCATCTAATGAAAGCCGTTGTTGAAGAAACCGTTCTGGCCCGTGAAGTAAGGGTGCTGAACGGCCTGCTTTGCGGAGATACGTCCCGCAGGGTCGTACACGAGCATGGCATCGAGAAGATCGAGACCAGCGTCGTCCAGGTTGGTCACGATCGCTGCAATATCCGTTCGCTGCCACTTGGGGAAAGAGGGCTTGAAGTCGGGGAACGACGTCACACCAGGCCAGTCCTGTTCGGTAGGTGTACCGAGAATTCTAGAGGTCCATTAGTCTAGAATATCACGCAAATTGAATCGTTCGACTTACCGGAAGATCTTGAAGATCTCGTCAATCTCCGAGTCACCAGGGAACAATGGCTTGCGGGTGCACATCTCGGCGAAGATGCAGCCGACAGACCACATGTCGACACCTGTGGAGTACTGGCGGCCTCCGAGAAGAATCTCAGGGGCACGATACCAGAGCGTGACGACCTGCAAACAATCAGAATTACCGCTCAACTATGGCTAACAGTAGCTGTTCATTGGAACCGACCTCGTGAGTGTATGTTCGCAGCGGCACACCGAATGCACGCGCCAAACCGAAATCTGCGAGCTTCAGATTGCCCTCCATGTCGATCAGCAAGTTCTGGGGCTTGAGATCGCGATGCAATATCCGGTGAGCATGGCAGTATCGCACGCCCTGGCACAGCTGGGTCATGAACTTCTTCACAATCTCAGGACCAAGGCCCAGAGTCGATAGTCTAGGCCCCGAGCCTTCTGGCAAAGGCTTGCCGCGACCACCCTGGCTGACAGGTAATGCCTCCATGTACTTCTTGAGATCAAGGTCGAGGAACTCCATGACGAGGTAGAGCTTGTGGCCGTCGGCGTGGACAATGTTCAGGAGGCGGACAACGGTGGGGTCATTCATCTCTTTGAGAAGCGAGATCTCACGAATGGCGGTAGAAGGAACACCTTCGTCTTCGGCTTCGAGACGGATCTTCTTGAGGGCGACGATACGCTGGTCCTTTGTTGTGAGGTCGCGGGCCTTGTACACAACACCGTACGTACCTAGGAGAAGGCATGTTAGTAAACGTTTAGAGTAAGGCATCAACAATGACACTGGCAATATCCAGGCTCAGTAACGTTTCCACTTACCCTCTCCGATCTTCTCCATCTTTTGGTAGTTCTCCATCGTTAAGAAAGGGCGGTCAGAGCCTCCTCAGGAGCGAGCAGCCAGGGAGTTATGTACACGGTCTGAAAAGAAGCGAATGGTTGCGGAAAAAGTGATGCCTGAAGTATGTTCACTCGCAGCTGAAGGTATAGAGCAAACGAGAGGATCTGAAAGTACCTGCTGGTTAGTATAGAGGGTAGTAACTGGGTAAGTCGAGTATTTGGGGCGGGGAGGTTGAACGGCGGTGTCTATGTTGTGGAAAAGCGATTAAAGGTAAACAGCGCACGGCCCCTTTAGGATCCCTGTCATTTTGGCGATTTCGCGTTGACCACTCTCCTCGCGACAACAACATTCACTGTCCACCATAGATCCACCATCCACCACCTTTGAACAATACAATCACTATCGGTCGCCTAGGGAGCAACCAACCTTTGAAACAAGGCTCTCGTGCAACGCATCAAGGAAAGCTCACCGTCAGCGCGCACACGAATGAATGGAGAATCTTGACCCCCACCAACGTCCACCAGACGGCATCCGCAATGTATATAAAAAGTACCAGAAGCTGAAGCTCGAGGCACTGAATCGAGATGCCGAGATCGTAGATCCGCACGATCCATCGGACGCCCAAAGAAGCAAGATTGCGATTGTCCAAGAGCTCGAGTCAGATGAGCTTAATCAGGCATTTGCATCACTCGCGAAAAGTGGTCCCTCTTTGTCTCATCTTTCCCCAGCCGAAAAGGTGTCTGTCTTTGAACATGCGGATATGCCAGGTAAATACAGTCTTTCCGACATCAGCGATGCACAGCATGTTCCTAGGAGAGTGCGTCTTGGTTTGGTAGCGGCCCGTCCAGTAGAATTGAATTTTGTCTCCCCCAATCTTGCCTTCTCTTGCTCGTTCTCTTCGCCTCTGACAAACCTCTACATATATTCAATGATAGAACCGAATTTATATTCAAAATCACGTCTAATACCTCCACAGGCCTTCACATAATCCCCAATCTCCTCCCCCCAGAAATCCAACAAATCCTCCTCCATCGTCTCCTCCACCGTGACCTCTCCAACCCCTCACATCTAACCAACATCCACACGCACTACAAACTCTCCTATCCTCCCCATGACTCCTCATTCTTCTCCTTTCCCCCCTCATCCCAGGACCACATAGCCCACCCCCTGGACCCATCCGTCCACAAACCCCTCACCGTCTCCCAACTCCTCAACCGCAAGATGCGCTGGACGACCCTCGGAGGCCAATACGACTGGACCGCCAAACGGTACCCCGACGCCCCGCCTCCAACCTTCCCACCCGACATCAAAGACCTCCTGGAGGCCATCTTCACAGACACGAAAGCCGAGGCCGCGATCGTCAACCTGTATTCCGCGGGCGACACGCTGAGCGTGCATCGCGACGTCGCCGAGTTCTGCGACACGGGGCTCGTCAGCGTGAGTCTGGGCTGCGATGCTGTGTTTGTGATAGGGATTCAAGAGGACGGTGGGGAGGAGAAGATCTTGACGTTGAGGTTGAGGTCGGGGAGTGCGGTGTATATGAGTGGGAAGAGTCGGTTTGCGTGGCATGGTGTGCCGCAGGTGGTGGGGGGTACTTGTCCAGAGTATTTGAAGGATTGGCCTGCTGGGGAAGGGAGGGAAGGGGGGTTTGAGGAGTGGGCTGGGTGGATGGCGACGAAGAGGATAAATTTGAATGTTAGGCAGATGTGGGCTTGATATCATTGGAGTGTTTACATTCGAGTGGTTGTTTTGAGTTAATGTGGTGATGCTATACGTAATGTCTGATCCCACGTCAACATGAAGATAAAATTAAAAATTATAGATACATGAATCAATTATATAGTATGCTGTATATAGGAATCAACCTATTGGCATGCAGGTCAAACGAAGCTTTTACCAAAGTATCATAAATGCGGTACTTGACTTTGTTTTGTTCATACAGAGAGAAGTTCCACAAGTCAGGCATTGTATGTATATGTGGTTAACATGTTCAGAGAACGTGAGTCCTGTGCGATTCTGGGAAGTGCATAAGAAGGTGCAGGAGTCCCATTGATGAACAATCCGGTGGTCATTGAGTGGAGATGACATGTATTTCTTGTGAGATTTAGGAGTATTTCTTATCCAGGTTTTTTGGAATGATGATGATTGGAACTGATTTTGGTATTGGCAAGTATTGCCATTGAACTTTTAGGGGTTTATTGTACGTTTTAGGATCGAGAATGTACCCTTTACAGGAAGGACCATGTTTCTGGGAATACTTTTAGAGACCAAGTCCTTCATTTTTCAATCTCTAGAGCCTAGGTATCCATCAAGAAGCAGGAATAAATTAATAAATAAAAATGCAACTGCGTGATTACCATGATTTTATAACGTCACCATATGAATCTGCTTATTGTGGGTCATCCGCTTACACCCGCGGGGCAGATAAGCTAAAACGTGAGATATCTGGAATGTTTCCTCAAGAAAAATCCACATCCTCAAACAAACAAATATTTCCTCAAAATACACAGATCGCTTCGCCATGTCTTCCAAAACCGAATTCCCGATAACCACCACCCGGCCCTTAAAGCCCAGCGAATCAGAAACCCCAGAGAACCTCAGCTTGATCAAGGCACTAGGAATGCAACTCCACATTGAGGGTGGGTACTTCTCCGAGATCGATCGAAGTCCTCTGGAGATCAAATCGCCCTTCCAGCAAGACGAAAAGCGCAAGACAAGCGACCAGCGGATCGTAGGTGGAAACATCGACGAACGCAACCTGTCGACGTCGATTTACTACCTCTTGACGGCGCATTCTCCGTTTGGCTGCTTTCACATCAACAAGGGTCGAACAATACATACCCTCGTTTCCGGCCGTGGGCGGTACATCCTACTTCATGCTGACGAGGACCGCGAGAAGGGGAAAGTGAGGGTGGAGACGTTTGTAGTAGGGAAGGATTATGAGAAGGGGGAGAAGATGTGTTGGGTTGTTGAGGGAGGAAAGTATAAGGCTAGCTTGTTGCTACCTGAAGAGGACGGGAGTGATGGCGAAAAGTTGTTGATTACGGAGACTGTGGTTCCAGGTTTCGAGTATATGGATCATGATTTTCTAAGGAGGGAAGAGTACGAGGGACTGTTGGGCGGGAAGGGGAATGAGGAGGTGAAGAGAGAATTGGAATGGCTAGTCCGACAATAAGTGAAATGGCAGCTGAATATCTACACAATAGAGGTAGAAGCTTGCTAACGGATAGAAGTTATGATTCGAAATGGGAGATAATAACCGCAGATGGTGGCAGCGATTGTTGGTTCGGAGTTGCAAATGAATCATTGATCTAGTAGTGAGCAGAAGAGGCTGTGTGAAGAGCATTCAACCTGCTTCGGCGTTATTATGGATGAAAAGCAGAATCTCCCACAACACCAATAACTGCCATCGGAGCAGTAAGTTGCCAGCACTTAAGTGCTTTGGGATAATGGTACGAGCATAACGGTACGAGTATAATTCCATTTAGGCAGCTCATCATGTAGGGAAGCCGACTACCGGTAGACCATTGTGAAGATCCCAATCTTTCGAACACCCCATTACGAGTACAATATTCTATACATCTGTTACTGGTAGCAATTAGCCCTACTTGGTATGAGTTGGAGGGGTGCCTCATACCTCGTAGGAATGGTGCGAGCAGAACGCTGACATCAAAAGTGACCCTGGCCTGGCCTGGCCTGGACATTTGACAGAATCGACAGAACCCTGGTGTTGATCGTCCCTGGTTACTTAGCTTATACCTCGTAGCTTATAGTCCTTGTGGCATGATCGATCGGACTCAGAATCCAGTCCTATGATTGGTTCCAGGGGCGGATAATGACGTCAAACTCTTCAAACTAACGAAATGGTTTTTGGTTTTGGTACTCGGGATCTGTAACTACAGACTACAGACTACAGACTACAGACTACAGAACCCTGGACTCACGCAATCGATCCTCAAGCGCGGCTCTTTGGTGGGCATGGTAAGGGTTTTGACCGTCGTATTCATTAGTGAATCTTATCAAATGTAACCCCCAATATTATTCTCTTGCTTGTCTTTCTCACGATACTCCTCTCTGGGTTGGAAATCTATTGGGAAGCATTATTTATTATTGATGCGCTGCCAACCACTCAGGTTTCTCCGGGCGGTGTCGTTGTATTTAGCGTTTCAGCACTGACATCACTCTTCACGGGCGGGCTTGTTGCGATTAACCTACCAAGTACCAAGTAACCTTACCCTTTTCTTGACTTGGACCACCCCCACACGCTCTCATCCCCCCAGTCCACCTGCTGCTCCCAACATCATTTATTACCCACCTTTTCATCCTTCCATACTCAGTCAGGACCATTTCCTCTTGGTCTAACACTCTGCTCTATCGCATCGCACACCTCTTTTCCTATCCATATCCTTACCGAGTCGCATCCTATTTGACCCTCGCAAGCATACACCGACATGGCCTCTCCAACGTCCCCTACCCTCCCGACTCGTACGACTACTCTAGACGAAGATGCAATTCCTGGAGAGGATACCAGCGAGGTCAGCCTAGAAATGGACGCACTTCACATGTCCTAGAGACTTATAATTCGCAGGTCACAAAGCTTTTCCATGAGCGCCTGCAAGCTTGGAAACACGCTGTTGGCTATCTCGAGGACTACCTCACCGTGACCGAGAAGACCCACAACGCCCACGGAAAGGAATATGAGAGAGTCCTGAAAGTGAGTGGCTCTGACACAAAGTTACTCCGGCCGGGATGGGACTGACTGGCTTTACAGACGGTGAAGGATCCCCTTAAGGAGGGGCATCACTTCGACCAGTCGCTTGGCGGTATCGCAGGCATGTTCGAGAACATCAGGTCGAACACGCAGGGAATCTCAAACTCGCATTACGATACCGCGAAGCAACTCAAGACGGCTATCCTCCCAATCTTCGAGCGCCTCCACACCGAAATTAAGAATAAGACCAAGGAGCTTACAAAGGGTGCGGGCAAAGGCAGCAAAGCCGTGGACAAGGCACGAGCCACGACACAGCGACATATTGAACTTCTTGGTCAGCGTGCCGCCACATTCGATTCTACGGGAGGCAAAATGGTTGCGAACGACGATCCCTACGTTCTCCAGCGTGGAGTTATTCACCGCTTGCACAAGCAGATCCAGGAAGAGAACAACAACAGGCAGGATCTAATCAGCGTGCAAAACAGCTTCGCGCAGTTCGAGGCGCACATTATTCAGACAATCCAGCATGGGATGGGCCAGTTCATGCAAGTCGTCAGCACGCAGGCTGAACATACGAAGAACATGTACGGTGACATGGTCGGTACCGCCCAATGCATCCCTCTCGACTTCGAGTGGACAGGATTCGTTCAGCGCAACAACACGGTTCTCATTGACCCCAATGCCCCCGCCCGCACAGTCGCCAATGTTCGCTTCCCCAACCAGGACCACCGGTCTACGCAGCCAATGATCGCTGGATCTCTCGAGCGCAAAGGAAAGATCATGCGCAGCTACGATACCAATTATTACGTTGTGACCCCTGCCAAGTTCCTGCACGAATACAAGAGCGACGACAACTTTGCTAAGGATCCTGTGCCCGAGCTGTCTCTCTATCTACCAGATTGCGTTATTGGTGCCGTCTCCGGTCAGAAGTTCAACGTGAAGGGCAAGGATGTCAGCAAGGGCAAGGCATTGAACACCTTCAGCATGTCCCATGAACTCCAATTCAAAGCCCACACAGCACAAGCTGCAATTCAATGGCACGACATCATTGGCCAGGCTGCCGGCGGGTCCTCGAGCTCTATTCCTGCCAGCCCTGCCACAGACAAGGGCAGCACGCCTGTGAGCCCAGTAGCAACGAACGAGAAGCAGCCCGCACCAATACAGACGCAGGGTCTCGAGGGCCAGAAGGATGTGAAGAGTCCTGGCGGACCCGCAAGCGCGGGTGGCAATGCCGACCCTACGCCCATTAGTGCTGCCCCGGCCTCCAGTGTGCCTGGTGAGCCCGGAAAGTACTAGACCTCGTCTTGATCGATCAATCACCTACGAGTACCTGATGATGATGCGAACCTAATAATAACATCGGTCTATTTTCCGTCCAATGCTCCTTTCTCTTTGACTTGCGATTTTTGGCGGTCCTTGGTTTTTGCTTGTAACGAGATGATACCATAGCCCACCCTGCACATACGATAATAATTTGAAATAATTGTTGACCTATGCACACAAGTGGCGACTATTGTGAGTCAAAATGACAACAACAGTGATGAGTGAACGGCATTGTGTATTGATCCCAAGTCAAAGAATTCATAGCAATGCTGAAGGTTCCGTATTGCCGATTGCTTCGTAGAAACCTGTGCTTGATATCCACCCACGGTGGACCAGTCTAACACACGCTCCAAACGCGTCTCTAGGATAAACATGATCCAATCACCGTCTTCTTCATGGATCTCAGTCTAGAATATTCAACGGATCATGACGAATGACTGCCAATGGCTGTTCAGAAATGCCGTTCGGCATCCCTAATTGGGAAAGCCTTCGATCCCCCGCAATCTGCTCTATATGCTTGTCGCTAAACCCCTTTCGTATGCCTCGGATAATCCCAAAACCTACCTCGTATTCTTCTCCGCATCATTCATCATGGGCACTCGTCCCTCCGTCTTGTACACCTTTTCCGATATTTTATATCATTTTATTTCAGAGATTGAACCTAATTGACCGTTCTCCGTGATAACAGTCACAAAGAAACGCATATTCCAAGGAAAGAGAGAAACAATCACATTCAACATGCCTGGTGCGGTCCGCATATCCCCCACCCGCGCAGCTCGCGCGGTCAATCTCCTTCGAACCGTCCAATTCACACACCCCCCTTCCTGTCCTTGCCATTCGAACCCTTCGCACCACCATAACCATGGAGCTACGACGATTCACCAGGCCAAACGGGCTCTCGCCACACCAATCGACGCTTCTCAGCAGAAGGAATACGCGTTTGAGATGGCAGCTTCATCTATACGGTTCGGCCCCGGTGTTACGAAGGAAGTAGGCATGGACTTCAAGAATTTGGGATCTAAGAAGGTCATGGTGGTTACAGATAGTACTGTGAGGAGGCTGGATGCTATGAAGCAGGTCATTCAGGGCCTGGAGGCAGAAGGTGTTGCATATGACGTCTTTGACAAGGTCCGCGTGGAGCCAAAGGATAGCAGTATAAAGGAGGCAATTGCGTACGCAAAGCCGTATCAGCCTGATGCGTTCCTGGCTGTGGGTGGTGGCAGTGTTATAGATACTGCTAAGCTCATGAACTTGTACACCACGTTTCCCGGTACGTTGCTCCAACTAGCGATAGTGGCGTCAAACTGACACTCTGACAGAGGCCGACTTCCTTGACTTCGTCAATGCGCCGCTCGGTCGTGGTCTTCCCATCCAGGGTAAGCTCAAGCCTCTCATTGCTGTGCCTACAACAGCCGGAACTGGATCCGAGACGACTGGCACGGCTATCTTCGACCTCGTTTCAAAACGAGCGAAGACGGGAATCGCCCACCGAAATCTGAAGCCTACACTCGGCATAGTCGATCCCCTGAACACCCGCACAATGCCATCTGCAGTTCACGCATCATCAGGCCTCGACGTGCTCTGCCATTCACTGGAATCCTGGACCGCCATTCCCTACTACGAGCGTACACCACGACCCACAAACCCCATCAACCGACCCGCCTACCAGGGTGCAAACCCAATTTCAGACATCTTCTCTCTCAATGCACTGCGCGACACAGTGAAGTACCTCCCCCGAGCCGTGAAGGACCCGGAGGACTTCGAAGCGCAATCCAAGATGCTTCTCGCAGCCACCCTAGCCGGAGTCGGGTTCGGCAACGCAGGCGTGCATCTCTGCCACGGCATGAGCTACCCCATCTCGGGCCAGAACCCCGGCTACAAGCACGCTGGATACGAAGTGGACACGCCAATCATCCCGCACGGCGTCTCTGTCGCAGTCACCGCTCCTGCTGTGTTCAAGTTCACCGGCGCGTCGAACCCGGAGCGGCATTTGGCCGCTGCAGAGGCCTTCGGCGTCGACATCTCCAACGTGAAGAAGGAGAGCGCGGGAGAGGTCCTCTCAGAAGCACTGGCAGAGTTCCTCCTGAAATTGGGCGACCAGCCACGCGGACTGAAGGATCTGGGATTCACGCGGGAGCATGTGGATGGCTTGGTCGAGGGCACACTTCCCCAGGCCCGAGTATTGATGCTTGCGCCGAGTCTTGAGACGCAGAATATCGATGCCGAGAGAGAGCAGCTAAGAGGATTGTTCGAGGAGGCCTTGGACTACTAGGGTTGTACGCAGCAATGTAATCTGCAAACTATAATGTTCGGAAAGCGTAGCATGTATAGTACATAAGCGACGAACGCATATAGCTTTCATCGTTCGAGGAGCTGTTGAGATCTATTGCGTCCAAGTGCATGCACATGTATGTGGTGACGTTATCGTTACAACCCCAAATACAGCTGATCCATGTGTGTGGTCGCACTACCGAAACCTGTTCCATTGTTGCTGCATTGTCTTGTTACATACGGACCCCGTGCAATCGCGTGCTGCCAGTCACCTTATCCGATTTCCAGACCGTTTATGTTCCGAGCCACTTGTAACATCCCAGGCCGAATGCACATGCAAGTCAATGTTGATAAATTGATGGTGGACGCCGCACAACCTTCATAGAGGCTTTCCTGATAGATAAGTATGTACCGGTCAAGTGAAACAAACAGGTGCATTTGTCAACGGGAATTTCACCAGATCTTACGCGCTGGACAAGGTGGGTTCGGCATTCACTCTTTATTCTTTAATATGGCTACCCTAACCGTTAGCAGGGTGGACCTTATGACCTATATAGGGAACGTACGTTACTGTTTACCTTACCAAAGGCAAGAAAGACTCGCGTCCATGTTTTGCTAGGTAATCAACCCATGTCTCTAGCCACATCCTCAAGGTAAACTCCCAACAAGTTGTAACCATAGACAAAAAGTGCGCGTGGACAATCAAATTTGTTTTGGTTCCACTACTTCGTTCGACCCCGCCTTGCTCATGGACAAAGTTGTTTTTCGCACGCGCCCGAGCTGCAGGTTGACGCTGGCAATCGGATATTGTACGACACTCCGGACAATCCAATGCTCAACCCTCGGATAGCTCGTCATACTTGATGGACCTAGAGATGTACGCTCTTGCATCCAGAGATAAAGTACCAAGACTGTGTGGAACATGGTCCGGGTTATCAGCCCACGCACTGCGCGAAGCGGCTCGAGGACAGAAGAACGTTGGGATGGAACCACATCTCGAGAGGTCATTTGAGGGGGCTTGTACTCATCTCTCTCACATCAGTCCAGCGTGCGTAGAATGCTCACAATCGTGTTTTTTGCTGTGTTTGCAGCAACGTCTTCTGCGAAGATTGTCACATATAACTTTGACATCGGGTGGGTCAATGTAAGTTACGTTGAACCCATTCTCTAATCATGTGTTGACAGAGGATCTAGATAGCGCCAGATGGATTCAGTCGACCTGTGATCGCTATTAATGGCAAATGGCCGTAAGTTCCACAATATTTACTTCGACTTCAAGTTCTGACATCGCCAGTATTCCCATTATCGAAGTGGACGTCGGCGATACGGTCATCATAACGGCAACGAACTCCCTTCGAAACCAGACAACGTCTCTCCATTTTCACGGCCAATATCAAGGAGGCACAGCTAGCGCGGATGGCACGGCTGGAATCACTCAATGCCCAATATACCCTGGAGAGTCATACATTTACAATTTCACGGCATGGCCAGCGGGGACACACTGGTATCATAGCCATGTCAAAGGTCAGTATGCGGACGGCCTTAGAGGCTTGATGATTATACATGACCACGATTGGGAAAACAGTCTCGATGTCGATGAGCAGGTGTATCTTACAATTTCTGATTGGTAAATGGTTCGATGCGAACAACAAATGCCATTTGCTGACCCTTAACAGGTGGCACGAGGAACAACCGCCGATAATCGATCGTTATATGAGCCCAGACAATCGTGACGGTGATATCGAATCACCAGATACCCTTCTGCTCAACGATAGTCGCAATGCGCCAGATCTCCACTTTGATCCCGGAACCAGGTATCTGCTACGACTAGCCAACATCGGCGGTCTTGCTTGCAGTAACTTTCATATTGAAGGGTACAATATGACAGTGGTTGCGATTGACGGCTCAACAGTCTGCCCTTACGAGATCGGAACAATCAGGCCTTGCGCTGGACAGCGTTACGATGTCATAGTGACCGGACAGGAACATGGAGCCAAAGATTTGAGATATATCGCAAAGATGTCAGCCGACATAACGGTATCGGACCTGCCACCATTAAATTTGCGCTCTGTGATTGGCAATGTGATTCGCAAGGGAAACCGAGATCATTCTTCTAAAGAAGGTACTGTTGCCTTGTCCGAGACGTTGACCCCGGATTGGACGCCGGTAAAGGTCCTCAACGAATTCGACCTTAGCGACCTGGACGAAGTTCCCCTTTTCGAGCCAGTGAACCACAACATCTACCTTATTTCCAACATGAGTTACTTTGAAGGAATTGGTACCCGTACCGCATTGGGTATACTGCCTTGGGTCAATCCAAGGGTCCCCACACTCTACACAGCCTTGACATCGGGACCAAAGGCAGAGTACGCGTCCACCTACGGCGCAGGTGTTGATCCGTGGGTACTCGAGTCGGACAGTGTCGTACAAATTTACATGGAGAACCCGGATCCCTGGCCTCATCCCATGCATCTGCACGGTATGGTTACACTAGCGACTATGGATCTAATGGAATACTGACCACGTGTTACCAGGTCACCGTTTCCAGCTTGTTCGTTTGGGTAGCGGAATTTGGGATGGCGATGAATCGGATCTACCAGCGACACCCGCCAGCCGTGATACCGGTAAGCTCCAGATTATGGGGTCAAAGAACTTTTGTATGCTAACAAACCCTAGTTGTCGTCCCGCCCTACGGTTACGTAGTTCTTCGATTCCGTGCCGACAACCCAGGAGTATGGCTCTTCCACTGCCATATCGATCTGCACATGATTGGCGGGATGTCCTCCACCTTCATCGAGGCGCCTAAAGAGCTCCAGGCTCAACAGGCCATCAACAGAGACAGTGTGGATGCGTGCAATCGCGCGAAAATCCCTACTTTGGGGAACTGTGCCGCAAAGCTCGAACACATCTCTTGGGAACAGAGCCTTGAATCTTGCTATACCGTCTTCAACTTTAAGCCCAGATCATTCAGTGCGATGTTCTTCGAGGGCCAGGAATAAGGTTGAGGCTACGAAGGAATTCAAACATATCGAGAAAGAAGGTATCGAGAGAGAAGACGCCGTCTTTCATTGCTCATTATGTCGGGTTCTCAGCTTGGTCTACATAATGCTGTTACTATGATGGGTTCAACACCCAATGTTGATTGGTCCTAAATAATGACGTTCACGAATCGAAAGTGTAAAGTTCATCAAATCTGAGAGATCCGTGCAGTTCACATGGCAGCCACATCGTGAAAGGAGGCTCAGCGTCAAGTTGCTAGTATGAGAGAGTGGCAAGGGGTCAAAGCCGCTAAAGTGACGGCTTGGTGCATGTGTTACTTGCATAAACATCTGTTCTGTAGATTAAATCGCTTTAGGCTGTTACATAAATGGCAAAGCATCCGCAACTGGAAGCGACAGATTTCTCGGTTGCTTGATTGCTACATTTTCAGATGGCCAGGAACATAATCTTGGCTTTGAACCTCTTGACAGGTAGTGTTGGGGATTGATGTGGTATTTCGGGTGATTTATTGTAGTTTTCGTAGTACTGGCATTGTGTGCACCATGGCAGTGAGCCAGTATTTGACAAATTTGGAAAGAATTGGACTCTCTCAGCCGAACACTTACCCGGAACTCGCAGGGACTGCACAATACTTCCTAGAGTTACCATCGGTCATTACGAACTCCTACCGCGCTCTCGAAAACAGCCCGCCTTCTATCAAAGAGTGCCTCGAACTCATTGGAAGACCAAGAGAAGATGGCATTACGATATTCGAAACAGGCTTCGAGGATCTTAATATCATCGATGACTTCAAGTCTCACCTAAGTCACTCATCTGGACCATCTGTAGACCTTTTGGATCTGGTAACTTACCATGACCATTTCCCATTGACATGGCTCGAAAGCCAGATTTCGAATCTGAACTCCTCCAGCGCCTGGATACCTCTTGCTCGGTCATCCTACGCTCTCGCATCCGTCGTAACTGGCTCTGTCGCTCTTCTTATGCCAATACGCCGGAACGAGAACAAGCCATACCCCGATGCTCGCGCCAATCCCTGGACGCAGTACATCTACCCTACCCTCACTCGCAACCTTGACATAACGTCCATCACAGTCTTCGACACGAACAATTTCGATCGCAAAAGGACGATATGGAGACGCGGCCACGACCCACCATTCTCTCGGCCGGCGTATCTTGGCGAGCCAGTCCTCCGAGCAAATTCGTCTTCTCCAGAGTATCTCCCGTCGCTTCTACAGCGCGGTGATCCGCTTCCTTCTACAGAAGCGCCGAGCGTGTTCTGGAGCTCGCTTTGCACGGATAGCTCCGAATGCTTGGACGCTACGGCAAAGCTGTTGGATACTTTTAGCTCGAAATACCTCGATACCCCTGTGATCCACTACCTCAATCTTGCGACATATCTCGGCAGTGACCCTGCCTTGATCTCACAAACTCTGCTGGCGAGATACCTCAACGTGGCTTCGAAATCCATATGCCACGAGGATCCCGGTCTCACAGCCGTGCTGGAAAGTGAGATGGCACAAGGGACAGTGTATTTACTACTTCCGAAAGGAAAGGACTGGAAGGCCCCGAACGAAGGAGTCAAGAAAGCGTGTTGGTGGTGCGATTGCGAACTGCCAGTGTTGACGAGAAACCTACGGGTTGGCGAGATCGTTGCTATTGAGGTTGACGACGATTGGAATGATGCAGGCGGTGGAGAACCGGGTTTCTTGAATAGGAGAATTGTTTGGAGGAAGGATGATGCACCAATCGGAAAGAGCCCTTATGATTATAGTAATAGGAAATGATTACGATGAGATGGCTCCGAACTCATGGGGACTACATGTGGACTCTGTTTAAGTCGAAGCTTATCATGCGGACCGTTGAATGGTGTAATACTGATTAGTGCACGCATCAATATTCCTGAATGCGATGGTGAATGCTGGGAAGGGTGGTTTGTGAGTGTCATGTCTCTAAAACGTGCATGCCAGAGTCTCTGCTACTCATTCATTTGCGACCGCTCATTTGGCATGTGTACTTGATTGAGCTTGACATGATCTTGTATCAAAATTCGAAGGAACTGATGTTCAACCTATGGACGCATATTCATGAAAAACCCGCTGTATGTATACGGGGAATCTGAGAATGTATGTTTGCTTTGAGGACGACTGACCATCCAACCCTGATTCTTGACGGTCTCAAATCTAATACTGGGAGTTGACATGGCTGGAATTCAAATTGAGAGATTGTATACTTCAAATGTGGCCCATTAATAACCCCCGATAGTAAGTCTTTTTATTTTTAAACCATTGCAAATGCACATAGCCCCATCGAAGCCTAAAGTTTGGCTGTGTTCGTCAATCTTTCTACAGTTCTATACACCAGCCTACCGAAAGTGATAACAGAATGATATAATCGCGATGACTGGACTGATGCACCTGTAAAACCTCAGCGCTCTCAGCGAAGTAATACTTACCAGATATGAACTCAGGCCGAGAGCAGGCTAGGACATACGACAATCATTGGAAATCCATTCAACTACTGAGCGCCCACTTCAGCACTTCCAGCCTAAGCTTGATCGATGCCAAAGAATTGACTATTACTATCTCAGTCCAGGTCGTGCGACAGCATCACAAGCGCAGCATTGTTATTTAGACATCCCCCTTCCACTTTCCCATAGATGTTAAGCATCATGTCGATCAGGTTAGTCCTAGTTGAGAAGAAAAGCTAACCGAATTTGGACAAGTCCTGTGAATGAACATTACCCACACATCTTGATGAAACTTGACGATGGGAAGAAATTGCAATCGCGCTGAAAGTGTCTGCAAAATAATCGGTCACCCTCTGGCTCGAGTTCAGATTGGAAATTTCCGATTTTTTTACATCAAATGGTTGAACACTACTATTGAGGTGTGCGGTTATTTTTAGCCGGCGAGCCCGAGAAAACTGATTGCAAAAACCCCGACCGAATCCGGTTAGTAGACCGTCCTGCACATATCTGAAGCAACGGTACGGGCGACCGTATATTCATTCTATAGATTCAATTGGATAGTGCCAGCAATGGCAGGCAATCTCACGTTACGTTTTAGATGGGAGGCTACGCAAAATGAACAGACGTTGCTGGGGCTGGTTTTGGGGCTGATGCTCCCTTGGACCTACCTAGTAATCTTGTTTCGCCATGATGGTCTATCGTTGCATTGACTCTCCAAGGAGAAAACAGCCACGACCTCGCTCCTGACATAGAATCTCCTAAGTTTACTCTGCTTTTCATTTTGACCTTACACCGTTGATTCCAGTTTGTCACTTTGCTGCATTTGCGAACACCGGTGCACCACCGAATTTACGACACACATTCGATTTACCGCAAAAACTGTGAAATTTTAATGCAGCATACTTGAAAATGTCCCACAGCAAAGATCACAGTGCCAATGAAGAAGGTCACCAATTGGAGGACTTCGCACCTATCTCACCCGTTAGTCCAGAAGATCAGCAGAGAAATAAGATGAGTTCCTAACATGTATTGTCTTAGTACCGATCTCGAAGTCCAAGACATGATGAAGCCAGTCAAAACCTTCTAGGCAATACGTACTCTCCATCATACGACACACCGCAAAGTCTTCAACCCGGTCCGCCACAGAATGTTGGTGACGACCGTCGGGGAGCACAAAGTGTGCAATCCTATACATCGAGCTACAGCCTCACGAACCCAAATCCCTTTGATGGCACAGATACGCCGCCCCCCAGTAATCATTATTCCGTACACAGCCAGTCCGATGAATTCCTCCCTTATCGTCAAAGTCATTACCAACACGGCATGAATCCTGGAAATCAAGAGGAGCACTACACTTCAAGGGAAGATGCGGACGACAGCTGGGTGCAAAGACAGCAGCAGCAACAAACCGTACCGCCAAATGGCGGAGGCATGAAGCGATCTAGGACACGAAGAATCAAACTTCACCAGGGCGCCATTCTGAGCACTGATTATCCTGTACCGAGTGCTATTCAAAACAGCATTGAGCCACGCTATCGGAACGCGCCAGATGCAGTGGACGAAGAGTTTACCAAAATGCGCTATACAGCTGCCACATGCGATCCCAACGACTTCACTCTCCAAAATGGTTACAACCTGCGGGCGCGCATGTACAATCGCCACACGGAACTTTTGATTGCGATCACTTATTACAATGAAGACAAGGTTCTTCTAGCAAGAACGCTGCATGGCACAATGCGAAACATTCGCGAGATCTGCAACTTAAAAAAGTCGAAATTCTGGAACGTCGGCGGCCCTGCCTGGCAAAAGATTGTGGTTTGTCTGGTTTTCGATGGCATAGACAATGTCGACAAAAGCGTGTTTGACGTTCTCGCTACTGTGGGAATCTATCAAGACGGGGTTGTCAAGAAAGATGTGAACGGGAAAGAAACGGTGGCACACATCTTCGAATACACCAGCCAGATTTCGGTCACACCTGAGCATCAACTAGTCCGGCCTGCAAGCAACGAATCGGCCGATAATTTGCCGCCTGTCCAATTTATTTTCTGTCTGAAACAGAAGAACAGTAAAAAGATCAATTCTCATCGTTGGCTGTTCAACGCGTTTGGCCGGATTCTAAATCCCGAGGTCTCGATCCTTATCGACGCCGGCACTAAACCGGGCCCTCGTGCCCTGCTGTCGCTTTGGGAAGCCTTCTATAATGACCCTAATCTCGGCGGTGCTTGCGGAGAAATTCATGCAATGCTTGGGAAACGAGGTGCGGCACTGCTCAATCCTTTGGTTGCCATTCAGAATTTCGAATACAAAATATCAAATGTCCTGGACAAACCGCTAGAAAGTGCGTTCGGCTATGTCAGTGTTCTTCCGGGAGCATTTTCAGCGTATCGATTTCGAGCGATTGTTGGGCGACCTTTGGAGCAATACTTTCATGGTGATCATACCCTGTCCAAGGTGCTCGGCAAGAAAGGCATCGACGGAATGAACATCTTCAAGAAGAATATGTTCTTGGCCGAAGACCGAATTCTCTGTTTCGAATTGGTAGCCAAAGCTGGTCAAAATTGGCACTTGTCGTATGTGAAAGCTTCGAAAGGAGAGACTGACGTTCCAGAGGGCGCGGCAGAGTTTATCAGTCAACGACGAAGATGGCTGAATGGATCTTTTGCCGCATCCCTATATTCCATCATGCACTTTGGCCGACTTTACTCTTCAGGACATAGTTTTGTGCGACTGATCTTCCTCCACATTCAGCTCGTTTACAACCTATTCAACGTCCTCTTTGCGTGGTTCTCGCTTGCCGCGTATTATCTCACAACCATAGTCATCATGGACCTGGTTGGTACACCACAGCCAAAGGCAGACTATCATGGATGGCCGTTCGGAGACAAAGTGACCCCAATCCTTAATGTCGTTCTTGGATATATCTACGTGGCATTTCTCATCCTACAATTCATCCTCGCACTCGGTAACAGACCAAAGGGATCAAGATACAGCTACATGGCATCTTTCGTCGTGTTCGGCGTCATTCAGGCCTACATTCTTGTATTGACAACGTATCTCGTCTACCGTGCGTTTACCACCAAGCCGGTTGAAGAGCAGATTTCGTTCGAATCGGGACAGGCATTTTTCGACAGTTTCTTCGGCGGCAAAACTGGAGTTGCGGGACTCATCATGATCGCCCTCGTTACGATCTACGGGCTCAACTATATCGCATCCTTCCTCTACCTGGATCCCTGGCATATGTTCCATTCTTTCCCCCAATACATGATCTTGATGTCAACATATATCAATATATTGATGGTCTATGCATTCAACAATTGGCATGACGTATCGTGGGGAACCAAGGGCTCTGACGTTGCTGAGGCACTGCCGTCTGCAAATATCGTCAAAGAGGAGCGAGAAACCGTAGTCGAGGAAATCGAACAGGAACAAGAAGACATTGACAGCAAATTCGAGAAGGTAGTGCGTCGCGCACTCACACCTATCAGCTCCGCGGATTCAGATCAGCCAATGCGGAAGGACACTGAAGACTCGTACAAGTCTTTCAGAACCGGTCTCGTCTATTCCTGGTTGCTCTCCAACATGGCGCTGATTATTCTGGTGACAAGTGATAGCTTCAATTCGATCGGTGTCGGAGTAAGTGGAATTTGGTGTTGACTATGTTATGCGTCATGCTAATCAATCTTCTAGGCTGCTGCCACAACTCGTACGCCCTTGTACTTCCGATTCTTGCTATACGCGACCGCAGTCCTCTCGATTATACGATTTTTGGGATTCTTATGGTTCCTAGGACGGACTAGCATTGTGTTCTGCGTTTCAAAAAGATAACACAACCATGAAGTATTTACTATACGAAGTCAAGTTGGTAATGTGTGGGAGAATATACCGTGGATTCCTATAGCGTTACTTGGTTAGATTTTGTACTCCGTAGACTTGGGCGATGTATTTTAGCGCAAGTGTAGACATATTGTTGTTAAATAGTATCCATGAGAAAATAAGAGTCGAAAGCTCCTATGTGCCCAGTGCGATTGCTCAGCGATAAAAACTTCTAAACGCCCTTTCTTTGCCTCATTATGACGTTCATTTGACTTGGTAGCGGAGATGTCTAGATCTATCGGTAGAGTTTCCAGGAAAGACGCGTTTCTACTAAAAGGCGTACCAGCTTTCAGGTGCTTTCTCGGTGTTTCGGTCCTTTCGGGAAGCGTGGAGCAAGCGCATCAATTTCTGCTCTTACTAGCCACACCCTGCGAGAGCTGTATTGACGCTGCTTCACACAACGATTATATAGGCCCTTGCGTCGAATCAATTGAAGGACCAAAACACCGTTGTTTACGACTCTACCTAGTCAAAACTCAGCTGAGGTTCGAGCAGTGGCTGTGAGAGGGTCGGGTTACACCCGCACCCGCCCCTATTCGGTAGTGCGCTTTGGCCGTATTGGTGTATAATAGGTGACCCCGGATCCCTTGCACGCTGGCTTCCGGCCCAAAGCATTATTAACTATTATCTACTTGTACCTGGCTGTCTATGCTGGATTTGTACAGACAACAATCCCAAGTCCTTTGAATAGACATCCCCATTTCTCACCAAGAGCTGTTATTCAAAAACACCCAGTAATGACTTCCACAATATCAGTAGCAGCCGTAGTAAGCAACTTTGATTCTTCGCCACTCAGATTGGACAATGTAACTGACGATTTGTAGTGCGATACATGTCGAGCGCGAAAGGTTTGTTACCAGTCGCTAAAATCCTGCGCTGGTCAATGTAGCTGAACTGTTCATTTCTAGGTCAAATGTGATCGTGACGATCCATGTGGTAACTGCGTCGATGGAAATATTGAATGCACTCGCACTTCTTCTTCCACCTCAAGAAGTTCTCTCAAGCGCCCGAGGGCCAGCGAGGCATCTGCCCAGAAGGGACTTCATCGTCTCAGTCTGGAGACTAAAATGACTGCCTCGCCACCCAAGACAAACAGCACACCTCAGTCCCCTTCGATCGTGGAGGCTCAGGATTTCATCAGTCGTGAAATCTCAGTTGGGAAGCAGATGCCAGCCGACAGACTAGCTATTTTGAATAATGCTATGTCATTCGTGAATCAACTCAGCCAAGCACCAAGACATGAAGATGTTCTGCCAACGAGAGGGACGCGGGTTGCTGACATACTCGACGATATTCGTTATCCGCCGATTGAATTATTGTACTGGATGCTTCGAGGTACGCACGCTTTACCGCAATCTTCCTTGACCACGACTGACAGCCACCAATTAGAGTTGAAAGGAAACAAGATTGGCCCACATGTCTTGGACTACTTTAAACATGTGTCACCCAAATCTCTCAAGGCCATGGGCCTGGCTTTGATCAATCGGGTCGGCGATCCAGAAACTTTACTGCTTTACTCGATTTGTGTTAATGCTGCTGCGTTCAAGTTCATCAACACTGTCTTGTCCGACAGCGAGATGGGCGGCGTGGAGGATGGAATGCGTGCCTGTGCAGCCAGATACCTGAACAGTGTAAAGCTAGGAATGGCACGCATGCACCTCCTCTCCACTCCATCCATGTTGTTCTTGCAGGCACTTCTTTGCAGTGTAAGTATAGACTTTCGCCGAGCAAGAAATCTTACTGATTGCATGGCAGAGTTTCATCGCGCAGGGCTCCGGTGACTCGGTTCATTGTTGGGCGTTCATCTCCGCCGCTTGCAAGACCTGTGAGGATATTAATCTGGAATCCCGCGTCAAAGCATGCCGGACAGAGACCGAAGATGACGAAGAGTTGTACTACTGCTATATCTGGTGTCATATTCTTGACAAGGGATACTCCATGATGCTGGGTCGCAGCCGCTGTCTGTTAGAGCATCATGGTCTCGATTCGGTCTTTGCATCGCCTATGGTCAGATCGGTATCATCACTTCTCTCTACCTATCTACACTTTGTGCCCATTCAAGCGATTTACATACTGGAGCTTCACCCGGACCGGATATCAAATAACAGAGGACTTCTCTCGCGGGTCGAGTACGTCGTTCTCGACCTTCTTGAACGAATGAAGCGTGTTCACGCTAGAATCACAGAGGTGAACTCCACAACTGTCACGAACATTGACTGTCACTAACTTTTATCAGCTACATGGTCCATCAGACTCATGGAGCGGGTTGCATATGGGTAGCGAGTTGACTACGATTCAGTTCACCTATCACTGCCTACGCACATCAATACTTCGCTCGAAGCAGATATGCTCACCGGCACAGTCTTATGTTGATCAGGAGTGTTTGGAAGCAGCAAGAATGGCCATGTCAACTTTGCGAAGCTTGCAAGAATCCTCTTTCGCACTTTCAGACATAAGAGCTCATGTGAGCTATATGCATTGGTTTGTGGCATGCTCCTACACAGAGATCGACAGAAAGACTGATTTGAAAACAGGACTGTCCTATATCATCCATTGACGCCATTCTTTGTGCTCTTTTGTAATGTTGTCGCTTCTTCAAACGAACAAGATCTCGCAACATTGAAAGGTGTTACAGAGGAGCTAGGTAGCCTGGCGAATCTATCAACGCCGATTGCGAAGCTGCAAAACTTATTCAAATCGTTCATCGACCTTTGCGAGGGACTAGTTTCAAACACAAAAAGACGCAAGAGGAATGAGATAGAGCAACATGTTCAAATGAGCGACCAAAGTCAACAATTGGCCCCCCCTGCACTTCAATTGCCTGTCGAGGTGCCAGATGTCTTTGCTCAACAGAGTGCGACTCCGTTATCTCAAGTTACCTCAGCTCCTATGGACCCGATGACTTCATTGAGCTATACCACGGATGAATCACTTGGAATGATGGACCCAGGTTGGGGACTTTTTGATGTTCAACCTACGCTAGACTGGCTAGATGCCGATTTTCTATTCTTGGATAACCCCCAACAATGAAGATCATGTTCGAACACCTGCATAATGTATTTCATGTTCCATGTGCTAATTTGTCTTGCCTCCAAACTCGAAAAGTTCGGAAACATGCCAAAGCCGGTGAGGCGGGTCACGTGCGTGATTCACTCGGTGAAGCGGACCTGCCGAGTGAAGAATGTTATAGTCGGGTCTCCCCAGCAGCACGAGATGAATTCTCATCTATCCGTGCCATCAGAATTTTCCCGACTAAATGCGCTCGTCTTCAGTGCTGGTGCGACGAGAGCTTCAAGGCGGCGAGCGTCTTGTTGTCTCTTTGGGAGTCCGGCTAAAAATAGCCGGCCCATTCGGCGGGTTGGAAATGAATTGGTGAATCGTCTGAGCAGCCCGAGGACATTGGTATACTAGGAGAAAGGAAAATGATTTGATATGTTAAAATCAGCCTATGTTCGTCTGCATCTTTACTCTTTTAACGAAACCCGAAGCCTAAAACGATATCGTCATAGTGGTGGACCAACAAGAAATATCACGTGATAACTTTCCACATTCAGGACCTCGCCTTCTAACAAACCTCGAAAATGGTGTCAATGAGTCTGGATATTGAGATTAAACATCTGGAATCAGTGTTTACGGAGGGAGACAAAATCACTGGGAAAATCAACTTATATTGCGCACAAAGTACAACCATACAAAGCATAAGGGCCCGGCTTGTTGGAGAGAGCACTTCGAGCCTCACGGGCATGCCTGGGCTCTTATTTTCGAGAAAGGAAGAAGAAAAGCACATTTTCCTACAACAAGAGCAAAAAATTGTCCCCAATCCAAAATCGAGGAAGTCAGAAACGAGAGAACTTTCAAAAATAGGGGCCGGTTATCACAGCTTCGATCTTTCACTGAAAGTTCCTCGGTCTGCAGAATGCTGTTCTTGCGCATCAAATATTCCACAGAACACGTTGATACAAATTGGAGAGGATGAAAAGCCACGCAGTCCCCATAGGCTACCTCCCTCTATGAACAATCTCGGGAAAGGCGCAGAGATTTCTTATCGAGTGGAAGTCATGGTCACATACATCCGTAACATGTTCAAAAATACGTTGCGAAAGGTAAAGCCATTCGACTACTGAATGATTGAAAAACACACTAATTCATTGCGTATAGACCCAACCAATTACTATCTGGCCAATTGACATCATTTCATCACTCGACCGAAGGTCAATGGCAAACGCAGGTATCGCAAAGGCACGAGCGACTGTTTTAGGACCTTCGACCGGTTCTTCGAGGTCTTCGGTACACTCGCAACAGACCATGTCTTCTTCACGATCGCATACTCCTGCTGAGATCCTTATGACTGCTACATTTCTTCCAGACTTCCAACTCATTCGGCCCTCTAAACGGAATCCTAACTTGCGAGGGCTTCAATTGGATTTATGCATAGAAAAGCTAAATCAGAACCCCCACGACCTTTACCTCCAGTCATTCCAGATGCTTCTGGTTGGCTATACAGATATCCGCGCCGGCCCCGCTACACACGGACAAATGACCTTCTGGACCCTGCAAAGCTTAAGCAATCTTGGGATCAAGGTGTTCAACGGTGAAGATCCGGAAGGTTGTAGACGAAGAATAAGTCCCTCACTGTGGGAAGGCGTCAGTGTCGAGGATAGCATTGTTCCAAACTTCTCAACTTGCAACCTTGAACGCAGATATGAGGTTGAGATCCTCATGGGCTGGCAGTGCCATTCGGGAGTGGTAGGCATCCCTAGAAACCTCCTTCCTCGGGACGCAACTAACGAACAACAGGACGCCGGTCGCGTGTTCTTTGTTCAAGTTCGAACTCCAGTAAAGGTCACTTCTGGTATTCTGCCGGGGCGCGAACTTTCCGAACTAAGAGTTACCCAGATAACTACTAGTCATCGGGAATCGAGTTCAGTACTACCAAATGTGAATACTGGCCACGATTGGAACTTTCAGATGCCACCGACATACGATGAAGCGGTGAAGAATTTTCCTCCAAACAGACTCAGTGGTTTGAATTATATTGAGAGGTAACGGAACTGCGGCCATGACGTTTTTTTTCTTCATATTTGGAAGTGACTGGCTTGCATTATCAATTGTAGCGCACAACATGATTTAGCGAATTTCCTTTGTAGTTTAGAAGTCCAATTGTTCCACCAATTCAAAAGATTGATACTATTTACCATGAACTTTTCAAATTGGAGATCTTATAAAGTTTTCGCATAATGTTAAAAGTTCCCGGACAAAGTAAAAGAACCTGCGCGCTTGCTATCTGTAAAGCCACTTTCGCATGCAGACCAGTAACACTGAGATCACAACATGAATATCAGTTCCTCAATCCTGAAATGATGCGTTAGAGTTCTAGGGGAACAACTTTTCAGGTGGCTGAACGGCGTCCATTTCAGTGGTGATAAGCACAGACAGTGAAGTAAACTGATCTCGACGCAATATGCGTAATTCGTTGTCTTTCTCATCGTATGGAATATTGTGCTCTTTTGTACAGAGCGTGATTAGGCGAAAGATGCAGTCGAGTTAGTAGTCATAATTCACTCAATCCAGGAAGCTTCGCCATATATGACATGTATGAGAGAGCAGGCTTGGAAATTTGAACATCCAAAATTACACATCAAGACGTTGCACACATTTCTAGTAGCATTACCGGCCCAGTGGGTCTTGTGGAGTGCTAGAACAGTGTGAAATTATGTCGAAGGGCATGTGAGTTGTGATGAACGACAACTTGGGAATTGCCTCACCTATCTCAAGGGGCTTCAACCAAGTGCAAGAACACTGCGACGCATTCCACCTAAAGCTACCAATCATAGTCGTCGGCTACACCTGACGTTCAAGGTATCTATGAAAGATGCCCCTATGCAACAGGGAAAGACTAAAGCTTTCACTAAAGCCTTCACTAGGAAGCATAGCCTTGAGCCCGCTCTTAATCGACGGGTGAGTCCCCGTGGGGATACAAATGAAACATGCATTGTCCGCGGCCGCTGCACCCACAAATCGATATGCGACCCGGGGATGTGGAGCAGGCGCTTCTCAAGGATGTCCATTACAATAATCATCGAGTTAGGAAGGCAATGAATTACAGTGGATTCTATTAGCTCATAGCGTGTTTTCGGAGGCTATATGTGGGGAGTAAGGTACAATGACTCCACACGAATCGTGGCTGTATGCTCTTTAAACAGAGGTGTTGGGGAAGTAGCTTGTCGGAAGGGTGTTGCGGGGAAGGTTCGTTGGGAATAATAATAATAACTGGAGTCGCGGTTTGCTTCCGGGAGTTATCAAATGGTTGTAAGAATTATTCATGATTTCTGATGCTGATGCTTTTGAGGTGGTACTCCGTCTATATGCCCGACACAATGAACGCTAAGATGCTAATCCAGCCTATGCCCTCGTACCAACTCCTTTGTTCTACTCTATAGAACAGGGTTTATCTATTTCTAGAAGCGCAATCGTCCATCTAGGTCGAGTTTGAATTATCCGCGCACGACCAAGCAGTTGGTCCGTTGGATCCACTGTAGGTATCCTTGATACCAAGGACAGAACCATATGTACCAGCGATCATGAGGAAAGTACCGGAGGCAATGATGAAACCAGCCCAGAAGACGAGCGACATCCATCGTGTAGATTTCTCTGCTTTGCCTTTAGTCCAGTGATCGTAGAACCACATCATACCCATAGACTGGAAGGTCATGAGGGTTCCGAAGAGGGCTCCGATGAGTGACACGAGAGCGCCAAAGTTGGGGATTGCGCTGGCGATAATGTAGGCTACGATGCACACAGCTCCGGTGAGACCGAGCCAAGACACCCAGTGGATCATGGTATTATGGTTGAGATGCTTGGTGCCACGGAAGAAGCGAATGAAGAAGTATTTGGCAGTAATCTGGCGAGTGAGTCAGTACAAGCTTCGATCTCAGGGTGTAGTGGCTTCTTTGGAAAACATACGTGGCAGACTAATGTCATGGAGACAATGAGGCCGGGAAGGGCCAAGCCGTAGCAAACCTTCTTCAACAATGGTCCAGCGGATCCAAGGGCAGGAGAAGCGACGAAGGATCCGCAGTAGTAGTAGACGACAACTCCGACGACGATGTAGAGCACGGTCATAACAGTTTGGCACACAATAAGTGCTCTCGTGTAATGCTCTGGTCTTCTCATCTCTGAGACAATGTTAAAGAAGGCGGGGACACCACCGTAAGCGAAAATGAGGGTGCATAGTGCTGCTGTCGCTTCTCCGAAAGATGGGGAGCCGAAAAGCTTGAAGTCGGATTTCCAGGGCCCGTCCTTTGGTGCAGTGCTAGGTCGACCTTCGACGGCCACAGCGATCGTGAGAGTCATGACTAATTCTCTATTAGCGTTTGAATCAGGAATTTCAACACTGTCAAGATAACGTACCACCTGACAAGATACCAATCAAGCCTACCCAGGCTAGCCAGGAAATGCGTCCGAGGGTTTGGATACTGCAAAGTCCAAAACCGATGACAGCAGCAACGGCCACATAGACAGCCGTACAGGTCGCATGAGTTGATAGGGCGTTAAGTGCGATGGAAATGCCGAGCATAGCAGAACCTCCAACGAACGTCCAGTCTGTCGAATGTTAGAGGACGAGTATGCCAGAAAAGTGTGACAGTAATACATACACAAGGCAAAAGCAAGACCGAAGAATTCACGTCCAACGCGACCGAATAGTTTCTCTCCAACATCTTCGATGCCGTAGACTTCGGGATGCCTTAGCTTGAACACACCGACGATCCAGCTGGACCATCCAGTGATGACAGCGATAGCAATCAGGCAAATAACACCTGGGATCAAGCCAAGAGTGTCAAAAGCAGAAGGCAACGAGAGGATACCAAGGCCGATCTGGGTTTTCATCATGAGGACAGACGTTCCTTTCCATCCAACCTTGTTACTTGTTAGTCGGGTAGTTCGTTTCAACGTCTATCATGATCACAACACTTACTGCACGATAGTTGGGACCTCCCTCGACAACTTCACCGAACACGGCATCCTCTTGTGGCTTCTCAATATCATACTTCGGATCGAGCTCCTCATGTTTGGGGGCGTAGTTCACGTCGCCATAACCTGGGCCTCTGTATGCTGGTGGTTCTGCCATTGTGAAGTTGTTGGAAGGATTGAGATGTTGAACCCCAGATTTTGATCAAGAGAGAAATCAAATGATGGAGTAACTATATAGATACTCTTCAGATTACAGGGGCAAGTGGGAGATGGTGGTGACTATTTACGTAACTTAGCGTTGTCGGTCGGTCCGCTCATAGGAACCAGTAGGCACCGGTGCCAAACTTGTACTGCACCCCAGATCTCGGCCACACGCGTCATTTACGTTTTTTTCGTGGCACAGACCGAGATGAAGCTCGAGCAACGCATAGTCCGAGTTAGGTATGTAAAATCTACTCAACAGCAGTGGAGCATGAGAGCATCTCGACCCTCAATACTAATTTGGCTTCCGATATTCGGAGAGACGTGAGGTATTGAGGGCATACTGACAGTGCGAAAGCTTCGCGCAATCGAATGATTTTGATACACATATTGTATTCACATATTGGACACCTAGGTGCTTCGAATGGTGAAAATCTCGTATCGTTGAGGCTCAACTTCGGACGGAAAAGAGCATCGGAACGGAGCGACGGGCAAGCTGCTGCTGGCACTTCGGGCGACGCTAGAAGGTCTTGGGAAGGTCTTGGGAAGCACTGAGAAGGTCTTGGGCAAGGGCTTAGTATGGGGTTTCGGCTCTTTTAGGGATTCTATGACATTACGCAACGTGGTAATCCAACGGAAGCTTACTGAAAAAGTCATGATAGCTCGTATTGGCTTTCGAAGATCCGACCACACACGTTGACTCCACAGAATCTAGTTCCTGGGGTAAAACATCGCCAAAACATCAAGAGGTACCGACAAATTCACTTCTCCGCATCTACACGCCGTCTAGTGCATGCGCTATACAACGGCCAGATCAGATTTTTATGGTCTCAGGCACTTACCAAAGAATGTAGGAGGCGAAGGGTCGTCCACCTGGGATCGCCGAGCCCGCCGCTTGAGCATTCTTTGTTAGGACAAGCTTCGGGCCGAGGAAGAGGCTTTTTTAAGAGAACCATGCGCTGCAACAAGCTGTTGAGCCTCTTTTGCTTGTAGGCTAGCCAAGTGCACACTATACTGAAAGTGAATGGTGCCATGAACATAATTTTTTCCTCTCTCGCCATGCTCATGTTTCAAGGTCCCCAAATGGTATACGCCCCCGGCGGAATGAATACCGCCGTGACGACACCACTGGCCCAGTTGCTACGGTTTGATCCGACGGAAGAAGGTAAATAGCGTCATTTTTTCAACTCCCAGCCTTCAATTCCCCGCACGATTGCTAATAGGGCTGCTGAGTTGTGGAGAAAACATCCACACCCCAGATGTTGCTGACCTGGAGTCTGGAACAAGATGCTCTACTGTTACGTAAAAGGGGTCTATTAAGATCAGGTACTCGAGTAGTAAAGAAGTTGTGATTCTGGGGTGGCCTATGCATCCAGCATGTGGAGAGAGTTCCCACTTTCTTGGACTGTGTATGTCGCCTGATCGCAACTAAGGAACACGCCAGGAGCATCAAGTATTAAAGTCCGTAGACGTAGACGTGGGAACCTTGCAGGCTTCTATTGGCACAGATGACACATATCTGCTAACCCGGCCCTGGTTGGCTAGGTCTATTCTCCAGCGCGCATTATTGTAGCCCAAATTATAAACCATCTCGTACTCACATGTATGCCCACACTGAGCTGAGGGTCAGCCCAGACTGCCATCACAGCTAATCACATGTACGATATCAGAAGTTTCAATAATTCCCCAATCACGTTCGAAACATGATGACAAACAATATAGCAAAGATGAATTCTACGAGGCCAGTCTTTACTCCTGCTACGAGGTACCTTGAAACGTTTCTGCTCCACAATCTGGCCATCTCCCGCGAAATGTATCTTTGATGGTTTTAATCAATTACCAAAAAAGCCCTCCAAGGTCAATTTTCATCACATTCCTAGTAGATAAGCACACTACTGTCCTGCTCTCTACTAATCAACGTATTCTCCCTTTTCAGCATGATTCACCTCCTTACCCGCACGCGCACTTACGGACCCTGTTCTTCCTTGCTCTTGGAGCCTGGCGAAGTGTTTCTCAGCCTCCCAATTCCAGATACTATCCGAAGAGAACAACAGATCAATCTCTTCTAGTGTTCGTTGATTCGTCTCAGGATACAATGCCCACACCATTGGAAGCGTCAAAATGTTACAGCCGGCGAAGATGTAAAGCGTCTTCTCGTTGAGTGTGGAGAACATAACAGGACACAAAAGGGTAAGCCACCCATTTCCAATGGACCAGCCCACGACACCCCAGGCATTTCCTTTCGCGCGCACTTCGAGTGGGAATATCTCGGCGGGGTACAGCCATGGAACTGTTAGCCAAGTGGCGCCGAAGATGAACGTGAAGATAAAGACCATGGACACAGCAGCGTTGCCATAGCTTGATGCTTTACTTAAGTTGCCCTCGTTTGTTGCCTGTGACGCAAGGTATGAGAAGCCTCCTGCTAGTGCCATTGCGATGGCTTGACCAGCGGAGCCCCAGTACAGTGTCCACCGTCGTCCAATGCGATCTAGTGTGAAGACGCAAATGAGGGTCGAAAACATGTAGAAAATGTTGTTGAGACCTGATATCCACTGTCGCTTGGCGGGACTCATGCCCGCGATTCCAAAGATCGTCGGAGCGTAGACGGTCACGCCCGCGATACCGATCCATTCCTGCATAATCTGCAGCCAGACGACCAGTTGGACACGTCGCCCAGTATGGAGTGTCCCAGATCCGATGCCAAAGAACATGTGGTAGTAGCTTTGATGGCGGAAGTTCGCTCGTTCGTTCTCGCAGGAGCGCACAATGTCTTGATATTCGTTTTCGGCTCGTTCCCTATCTGCGCCCTCATCTCCGCGAAGCCTTCCCAGTATGTATCTTGCTTCTTCTTTCCGACCCATTTTGAGTAGCCAGCGCGGCGATTCGGGGAAGAAGGTAATACCGCTGAGAAGCAACAGTAGCATGGGGATTTGGAAAGCGACGGGGAATCGCCAGATGAATGATGATGTTCCGTCTCCATAGAACGAGCAACCATACTCGAGCCAGTAGGCGAGGACGACACCGAAGATGTTGAGCGTGAATTCGATCGCGATGAACTGTCCACGGGAAGTGTGCTCGGCAGTCTCAGTAGCCCAGACCGGAATAATAGCGTTTAAGATACCCGTACCCCATCCGTTGATAAGTCGAGCAAAGATCATCCAGATATGATTCATAGCAGAGGCTTGCAGAGAAGCACCGACGACAGCAACGGCGGCGCCAACGAATATCGTTTTGATGCGTCCGAACCGATCGCCAATTGATCCTCCAGCAAGGCATCCGACGAGTGTACCCAGATAGTATACAGAGACTATGCCTCCCTGGAGGAGACTATCGTCAACTACAACCGCGCCATCTGGGCCCTTGTGTCCGAATCCCATGCGAGTGTAGTAGTCGTATGAGGTGTTGACCCCGCCCATCATACCCTGGTCGTAACCAAAGAACAGAATAGATAGACCGGCCATGCAATTGATGCTATTCTTGTATGTTAGATACTTTCACCCTCGTTGCAAAGATTCAGTAATGTCCGAGGTATACTTACGCGATGAGCAGTTTCCGCTTCTGCAGGCGGTGCACCACATTGTATCGAGATATCGTGTCCATGATGTAATACAACAACCGACTAGAAGAGTGTCTGAAGATTGGTCAAGCCGATTAGATCGTTGATGAGCTCATGGAGGAATGATTGCATTACTGCGAAGGTTATCTGAGGCGAACGAAGATGCACGCGAATAGCAACACATTTATATCTTGTTTACTGCCCCAGATTGAACTACATCTTCATGGGGAAGCTCAATTAAGCTGTAGCCTTATTGGTCGCGGGTATTCGGCCGACCAGATTTCGCAGTCCGCGTCTATTCGGAGAACCGAATGAGGTTAGTAGATCGGCGGCGATGATGGTTGCAAACCATTTGTGAACCAGACATTGCAAAGAGAGGGGTAACAGCCACCAACCTCATCATTCACTACGATCCCAGCCTGATTCAGGTGTAGGGTATTTTTGCAGAGTATCGAGGTCATCTAGGCATGGCTCTCTATTGACTCTAATTACTCGTACCTCGTACCTTTAGTAGAACACGATAATATATGTGGAACAGTCTGCTTAGATATATGTATAATGAATGGGGATGAGGGTCGTAGCGAATTGAACGTTCTCCGATCTTCCGCTCGGATGTTCAAGCATGCCGCATCTTCCAGCCTTGTGAGCCGAATTGCAGGAGTTTTAAAAGTTATTTGGTCAATAGCTATCAAAGTGACCAACTGTACAAAAACATTTACCTGGCGGGAGCGACCAGATCGTATGCAGAACCAGACACATAGAACAAACTTGTGTATTCTGCCTCTTGACTTATGTGCCCAGGTAGTAGTGTGCCATATGTCTTCTTTGCTACTATATTTAAACTAGAAAAAGCAATCTTGCCTTTCTGATTCAGCTCTGTTGCAGCTTTGCTCTGATTGCTGCGCTCAATGGGCTTTTACCCCAACACTTGCATTTGCTCCATATTTTCAGACATAGCTTCTTTGTAGTTTTGATACACGAAGTACCTGAGAAAGAACTGTTCCATCTATCCCGTGGTTAACCTTCTGTGCGCAACCACCTCGCTGATTCAGTCCTCCCATTCTATCGAGCGCTCAAATACTCAAATACTTAATATGGCCAATCAAGCACGGCAATGAATTAACTTGAATTCTACGTGCACTTGGGGGCCAACAGGTCCTACTTTTACTGGTGTTCAAGTATAGGCCAAGATGCGCCACACTTTGTACTGTTTTCGTTTATCTTCAGCCTTGCCCCCTTTGTTCCTACAAACAAGCTCGTAACTTTTTCATTCAACTCATTACTTTGCCTTTTTCCAGTGTTTCAAAGTCCCAATTTCCTAAATGCCAGTCATCACGTTAGTCTCTCAGGTTAAGACCTTAAATCCGGATCCAACTCGAACCACGCCTGCTCTTACGACCGTTTTTACACCAGAAGCATCATGCTTATCACGATGGATTTGGATGGAGCACTCTGATCAGATTATCGTTACTAGCGGATATTATAAAGACACAAAACTGGCCTCTGGTATCGATCTTGACTATTGGAAAACCTGCTATGCGTCTGCAACTCAGCCTACATACAGTCCGGGAATGTGTTTTGAAGGGCAAGCACTCAACGTCATACTCCAAGTGCCGATCCAGGTACCTGGCATGTCTGAAACTCAGACTCAATGGCAAGCATTGTGCTGTCCCAGGTATGTAACATTTTGATGTATAGACGTCAAGTTCGCATCGTTGGTGCCTTGCTGAGCGATCTCCAGTGGCATGATACCTTCAAATTATCGACAGTGCGAGAAGGCAATTTCGACACCGTTTACCGTATTGGCACCAGTTGTGCTAGAGGAAACCACCGAATCGGGTTGGAAGTCTTCCACAGTGTGGGATTCAACTTCAACGTGGCTCTACACAACCACCAACAGTGTCGGTCAACCACTCGTAGTAACGACCGAGACATCTATCGCTTTGCATACGGCGATTTCAGGAGCAACTCTCTTTGCAGATCCAGTGACTGTATATTGGCAGTCAACCGATTTATCGCTTTTCCCTAGCAAGTACGCTTCTTCGCTTGCCTCTGCGATTGGAATAAGCGTTGGTACACAGACCCTGACCCTCGGCCCAAAGACATTGTCCTCTACAACGTCGTCCTCTACATTGAACCAACAAGGCGTGCTAAGCACGGGTGCAAAGGCAGGTATTGGTGTAGGAACCGTGATTGGTGCCGCGCTTCTCGTCGGGGTGGCCTTCATGTTCTTCCTGCGCTTGAGAAGGAGAAAAAGACAAGAGCCGGCGGTAGCAGAACTGTCAGGGCATTCATCTGGCTACAAAAGGTTCTTTGGCGGCAAGTTGAGGGCCGAAATGGAGGGAAAAGCGCTTCCAGTCGAAATAGACTCAAAAAGTGTCTGTGTGGTCCCTGGCCCGCCTGCTGAGTTGGAGGGTTCTTCACATCTATCACGATAATATCGAATGCAAAAGCAGAATGTCCACACACTGGGTTTATGTTACGTTTAGTACACAGGTATGTATTGGCTCGGCAAGATACAACTTAGCTCTCGAATCATCCTAATATATCACACACCACATATATTGCAATGCCAGCTCAGAGTATGATCAATGAGGAAGGGTTTGTATATCCACTACGACCAATATGCTGCAGAATTGTCAACAGATGTCGACAGGCCAGCATCATATACGACCTCCTGCAAAATGACGCGAGATGCCTGGAGGTCAGGCGCCTCCTTCTCCCAGAATTGAAGCGTAGCGATGGCTGAGCCCAGTGCATCCTGAAACTGTTCGTCCGTCAACGACTCCACAAGGCGCGCTTTGTACGCCACCAACAGTAGCAGTGAAGCCGAAAAACTTTGTCGGACCATCAACCATGTTCCATGATGACGGTGCTGAATGTTCCATTGTCTGATCAGTTTCAAGCAGGTATCCGTGTGCTCTTGCACGAATGGGAGCAGAGAGGCTCGCTCCGCATCACCAAGATCCATCTGCACAGAAAGGTACAAGAATGGCCGATGTATGCGCTCCCTGATCTCAATCATCCTGGCTTGCAGGTGATACGAAAGTTCTTCTTCCGGTTGTTGATAAGCCTTGAAGGCTACTTGATCTGGAAGAGTCGATTCCCTAGAAGATACTATCAGCGTCTGCAACTCCGACTTGATATTTCATAGTCCGTCGTACCATTGATCCAATTGTCGATCTAACTCTGTAGCTGTCTTCAAAAGTTCTGACAAAGGTATTTGGGTCCAGGAAACCTCGCTTTGCCTGTAAAAGACGTCCATAACCCGCTGCAAGATTCTTCGTGCTGCAATGTCAGCCAAATAGTAGTACCATGCCTTCTCAAAATCATGGTGAAGCGTGTTCATAGATGCTGCGGTAGGTGATGTAGCACTGCCATTCAGAGTCGGTAATTCGTATAGATCCTCGTTGGATGCTGCTGTTGGGGGTGCAGGAAACGAATTCGTATAATTGAGCTTTGTCAAGCCAGAGGGCGGGCATCTCAGCTCCACCGAAATCTCACTGCCAATAAAATTAGTATCTAAACTTCCCGCAGACATTATTTCAAGCGAACATACTGCTCCGATTTCAGGCAAGACCAGTAAAGGCGGCTAGCACGAGCCTTGGTCACTTGGCCATGCGCTATGTAATCTTCAGATCTCATCCATGTCAAGGTTTGAAATGCGACACAAGCCCTGTTGAAGGAGATAGATGCCTGCATCGGTCTAAGCGAGTACATCTCGTAAACACCTGCCAAGAAGTGACATTCGGTAGCCATTAGAGTATTTGCGAGTAAACCCATGCGTTTACGGCTTGCATTGTAGTAGGCTTCGGCAGTAGAGTAGTCCAGCGTTGTACTCAAACTGTCCATTTTTTCTGAATCGTTGAGGCCAACTTCGGGAGCGAGTTTGAACACGAAGGGGGAAGAAATGGCGGCGAGGGCGCAAACGATTAGCTAGGCAAGGTGAGAGAAGTCATGGATATTAGGCATTCTTGGTGACATACAACGAGACAGCTCGAAGCCTCCCACCCTATTCCATTCTCCACAACAGACTTTGAAAGTGTTCGCAGATATTCCGGTTCGAAAATGGGATTCTTGGTATGAACATTCGTGAGAAAACGCTCGACCAATGCCGGGATATCTTCCTCGCGCATGCCTCTTCCACTGTGAGAATCACTCCGAGGGTCTACATAGATCTCTCTCAAAGTATCATCATCCACTTTTGGAGATGTGGGCAGCGATCCTAGTGTACCAAGGATCAAGGTAGGGTCGTAAATCAGAGCTTCAATGCGATGCTGGTCATATCTTGCGCCGAAGATAGGCCAACCCAAGATCTCCTCGCTAGACCCGAAATATGATTGAATTGATGATCCGAGGCGTTTTTCGCGCTCCACTTCGACTGGCGAATGTCTCAATCGTCGTGCACCATCATCTTGATGCCCGTTCGTACTGGGTAGGATCCTCCTATTCAAAAGAGGCGATTCGACGGAATTATGAACTTGGGGTTCGGGTGCGTTTTCTCCAACATGTTTATTTGTTTCTACAAGACCAATCAGATATTCCAGGCGGTCCAGTATGTGGGTAGCTGGGTCAGACCTAGTATGACATGTCAGCGGTTGTGCTAGGTAACTTGAGAACCGGCTTACGGATTGGTATCATCAAGATAATTACACGTAGCACCCAGTTCTTGACATTTCGAGCATCCGGGTCTTTTGTTATCGCATTTCGTCTTCCTGTTGCGACAGAGCCGGCACGCGGTTACTGATCGCTTACGGGTGAAGGATGATGTCAGAGAAGAGTTTGTGTGTAGCACTTCAAGTCGCCTCTTCTTGCCGATGTGATCCGACTCCGTATACTCCGACATATCAGCGTACAACCAATCGCCCAATAGGCGCAGTCAATAAAAACTGCTATTTAGCAAATAATTAGAAGGTATTCGAACAACGACATGGAGAATGGATGAGATAAGTGGCGTGTTGAGGTATCCTCGTAGTATGCCCAAAGTGCAACTAGCCGTATGTTTGGACTTCATTAGCGTTGACCACTCTTGCTTTTCCCGTCCCGCGTTTACACGCTCACAATCACGAAACATGTTAACGCTTTATGCGCAAGACGATGGTATTTTATCATTTTTGGAGCGGTATCCAGGGTTCTCAGATTCATCAGCGAGTAGAACTCATCTTACCATCAGGATCTAAAGCATTGTTCGTGAAACGTCAAGCCTTTAGAAATGCCATTTATAATTAAAGGATTATCCAAATTGAAGGTGTTCGGATAATTTCTTTCCTCGCACTCTTTGACCTAGCTTCAACACAATAAGAGATCAAGCTTTAAGCCAGGCAAGCGGAACGATGAAGTGTTCCATGAAGTGCCCCGTTTAAAGCACCGCGGGGATAATTTCCCGTTCCCTCTCTTTCCCCACTTCCTTGTTCCCGGGTTTAGGCCAATTGTGGAATGATAGATTTATCGACTTTGCTGCAGGGACCTCTCAAATACTGATCACATCGCCTTTATGATGTCGATACTGTCCGGCTGTGGCGTCCGAGGCTGCATGTCTACTGTCTTATTTACTATCAATGCACGCGGTAAAAGGTCTCTCATATGAGATCGAAGCTCTTTAAACATTAGTATGACCTGAACTACTGTCGGTTTGGTCAATTTGGCTTCTTTTCGAGAGATTAGACAATCTCGTCCAAAACGACCGAAAGGATGATGTAATCGGTTCGTGTCGAAGGAAGATATTTAGAACCGGGAGACAGCAAGCAACAATACTCAATGGTACTTCAATCATGCAGCAGAATAGCAGCGTCGTGATAAGCACTATGTCCATTAAAAAGAGGAATTAAAACCCGGACGAGCCAGATAACTTACAATTTTGATCGAAAGAGGGGTTAAAGTTGGCTTGACGGCGCCGGATAACCGAGATCATCCTGATCATTGAAGCGACGGTTGCACTATAACATCAGCATGATTCCCATAAGTAGTAGGAATGAATATACATTGCGCCGAGTAGGAATATTGCCAATACACCAATTTTCAACTTTGTTGGCAAATGGAGACTCAGGATCTGAAGCAGTCAGTAGTGACACTTATTGAGTGCTAATACACGTACGGCTGAAATTGGTAGAACCAATATGATGAAGTCCGTTACAAAATCTGATATAGCAAAGCCGTAAAGTAGTTCAAACATATTCACGCAATTCGTGATCAGTGAAATGTAACCGCCCCACCATGCTTTGAAATTTCCTCTACAGGCAAAAATGAAGGCCAGCAAGTATGCAGCGGTCCAAAGCACTACAATAACCATTATCAAAGTATACAAAATGTTTCTAAGGTCACGGCAATTCCCTTTTTCGACGACAAAGATGCGACGATAAAAACAGAGGACACTCAGTTTGATAGCCCCAAGTGCAGCTATCGATAGAACTAGAAAAACGTAATGTAGCTAAAGACATTAGCTCTCGGCGCAGAGATCTTGACAAATCCCGTCGTATTTGCATACCCGCATTGAGATGACGATCTTGTTATCCAGTTCCGTTAAGGCAGTCCGCAGTTTAATGGAGCCAGTCGGTGTTGGATAGGCTAGAGCATGTTGGTGAACTCCTACATTGCCTCAGAACGCACTCTGGATATTGTCTAACATGTGAACTCACCGTGAATGAGGACAACATCGAGTCCGATGGCAAGGGCCTAATAATCATCAAAATCAATCGCAACGCTATGACGTGAGATAGACTAACAAGTGCTAATAACGAGAGCCAGTCATCAGCCTTGAAAGGTTGAGATTTCATTCTCCTAGCTTTGAATCTCATCGACACCGCGATAGTATCGACGAAAAGCATGACCATGGCGGTGCAAACCATCGTAGTAGGAGATTGCGTTGCCATCAGCATTTTGAAAGACTTGAGTCTTCCGAAAATTGTAAGGATATTGTTCTTGAGAAAGTAGATTTCCTGGAAATGATTCCATTCAATATGAAAATGATGGTTATTATCATAGTGGACCCGATTAGGTGCTCTTATGGTTTCTCTGCACATTCCTCTGCAGAAACAATGGAGCAAGTGAGCCGATGTTGCAACAAAGCCAACAATTCAGGTAACCTATGGTAAGATAGCGAAACGAGGCAACTTCATGCACGCGTCCCTCACACTTACTTTTTGGGGCAACTACGGCAAGCTTGTGTACAAGGCCATAATGTTTCGGAAACCGTATGTTGTGAAGGTGTGTATCGTTGATTCACGTTGATAACGACTATTGGACATCACCAGTGGCGTGGAATTAAATAACGTACTACGCTCAACGGCATGTGGCACGTACGGCGCAGCTTGAAAAGACCCATGGACACCAAATAGCCTTACCGCCTGTTTGGAACCAATCATTATTATAACTTGCCGTCATCAAGGCATATAAAGGCGTGCGTCATCTATTCTATCTGCTTCGCTACATCAGTCCCTTTTCGTTAAATCTGAGAATACCCTGAGGCCTTTGTTTTTGTTCTAGCCTCAACATCAATCATCAACATTGCATACAAGGAACAATGGCTTTATTTACTATATTTTCAATGATAGTTGCTGTCTTGACAATATGCCTGTATCATGTGTATAGGCTCCTATCCTATAGAATGATTTTGCGGCGTCACGGCTGCAAAGACCCACCAGCTATCCACACAAAGACCCTTTGCTTGGACTGGATTTTTTCTTCAAGTACATGAGCGCATTCAAATCCGGAACTTTCTTGGACTTCAATAAGACCATGTACGACACGTACGGCAAAACATTCAAAGCCAACTCGTTCGGAACTACACTAATCAGGACCATCGACCCGCAAGTCTCCAAAGCTGTTCATGCAACCTACTTTCAAAATTTCGGTTTGCAGGGTCTGAGATATGAGACGGCTAAGCATTTATGGGGAAATGGAATAATCGTTGTAGATGGTCCGCACTGGCAGCATGGCAGAAGCTTGATTCGATCCTCGTTCGATATTGTCCATATCGCGAACTTTGCGCGATTGGAAAAACACGTGCAGCGTATGATGGAGTTGCTGCCAACTGACGGCTCTACCATTGATCTTATGCCTTTGTTCAAAAGATTGGTAATATTCTCACGCCAGTACTTCACCCTCCCTTCAGCTAACGAATAAATAGATACTAGACACCTCAAGCGAGTTCATATTTGGGGAGTCGATGGGTGCTTTATCCGAGACCACCGACTACAAGCGCTTCATGGATGCTTTTGAGCGCGCGCAACGAGGGACCGGAATTCGCGCTATCCTGGGTCGATTCAAATTTCTCCATCGGGATAGAACTTGGTGGAATGCTTGTCAAGAGGTAACTGACTATGCCGACACGCATGTAGAGGCCGCCCTTTTGCGTCAGAAAACTATTACGAATAAAGATGGTACCACAGATCAAAGTGCCCCATTACGTCTAGTAGATGAGATGGCAAAAGATACTCAGGATAAGGTCACCCTCCGGTCCCACATCATCAGCGTCTTTAGCCCTGCGCACGATGGCGCGGCGGTGACACTGACAAATGCGATGTTTCATCTTGCCAGAAATCCAACAGCATGGGAACGTCTTCAATCCGAAATTGGCCCTACAAGCTCAAAGCATCTGGACTATGAGCTATTGAACTCTTTCAAGTATCTTAAATGGGTCCTTCAGGAAAGTAAGTTAACTCACTTCAAATATGTTATAGTCGTTCACCGTTCTCATTGCATGCTTTTAGCGCATCGTCTCACGACCATTGCGACTATCAATCAGCGACAATGCACTCAGTCCACCGTGTTGCCATGTGGAGGAGGAATTGAAGGAAAGGATCCCTTATATGTGCAGAAAGGCGATATTGTTGAGATCAACTATCGCGCCATGTGCCGTGATGAAATATTCTGGGGTGACAACGCAGACCAGTTTATGCCTGAAAGATGGGAAACGATACGGCCTGGCTGGGAGTACACTCCATTTGGCGGCGGGCCGCGGTCATGTCCAGGCATGAGGTTGGTCTACACAGAGAGCGCTTATGTTCTCGTTTCGCTTTTGAGGGCATATGACCGTATTGAGAATCGTGATCTCGAATTGCGTTGGGTTGAGGAAATGCGTATGACTGCACAGAGCAAGAACGGATGTCTTGTAGGGCTGATCAGGGATGTCCGCAGGTAGATTGGTTACAAAAGACGAAAGAAACATATAGCGAACTTCATTGTCCTATTAATGAAAGGGTTCTCTCTCTCCGAAATCATGCAACTGTTATATGCTTGGAGAATTCCTTTCGGAAGATTCCTTCCGACATCGATTGTAGGTTTCATTGAGTTCTCTTATCGTTTCCCGGATGTCGAAATCTTGTACTTTTAATGACTGCTCTTTACTTCTACTCCAAGCTCTTCTCAGTATCCAAAATAACGACTCTATCATAGTGGCCGAGTTGGAGCGTTTGATTTCCCCAAAGATTCCTAATGAAGTTTGGATCATTCAAGTTCTAGGAAGGTGTGATGAGAAGGACGGAGCACATGGATCAACCATTCTCGTTACATTACGGCGGAGGAGTCTTGGAAATATTTTGATGCTGAACGTGATGACGCTGTTGATCCATGTTCTTCTATTCTGCTCATACAATACCTGGATTGATGCCAATGATTTCGTATCTACTGTAAGTGGAGTGCATTATCTCAGGAAAAATAACGGAGCACCATAGTAACACCATGCAGCTCCCGCTGAATCTGCAACGACGTACATAGCGAGATCGGAACATGTCACGGATCATTACCACTATAGTCCCTTCTCCGGGCCTCCAAATGATGAAAACAACAGGGCATGGGCTAATTTGATAACACATAAGTTTCGAGCTACTAAGGGAAATAATATTAATAAGATTCACAGCAACCTTTTTCCGATACTTCATCCGAAGAAATCATGAAAGCCGGCGATACGCCTGAAGACTCCATCGAGGTCGCAGGTGGGGGCTATGTGGTGGCCTGGGGCGTGTACCACGAAATTTACTGTCTAGTAAGCATGTACGATATGATCGCGTTGTACCCAGTAAATCACCGTACAGAGACGATTGCGATTGTACCTCTACAAGGAAGTGTACTATCCAAACCTTACCCAGGCTAACGTCGAGTACCTGCATGGGCATCTAGGTAAATTATTGCCAACGCATAATATATGTAGCCTTTGTACTGAGCAATCCTATCAAAATCACTGTTTAGAAACTCTACGTGTTTCAATAATGTGCAGTGCTGACATCACTCTGTACACGTTTCGCTGGGGCTCGTCAGACGGCGAAAAGCCCTTACCAAAATCAAATTCGAGTAAAAGGTGTGTTGATTGGAAGAATATCGAAGCGTGGGCCAACATAAGAAGGGTGCCATTGGATCCGACATTGATCAAGAAGGATGAGCAGGCTGAGGTAGTTCATAATTAGCCCAACATTCGACTTGAAAATATGATGCGTGAGCGGAAGTCGGGAAGTCGATGATGTGGAGCAACGGTGGCTCTTTTGGTCTCTCGAATTTGAGGGCTGAACGTGTTTAGTGGTGAACATTCACAGAGCTGTCATCAATTCTGGTCAACCCTCTAGAAACAAATAGAACGTTCTGGTCTAGATGCAACCTTTTCAAATACTTGATTACTATTATTCAATCAAATTGTGCAGCTATATTATGGTGATACGATGATTGAAGGCCACGGTCTTCATTCCAAGACAGTGGCAGTTTCTTATGTTTCTTCTCATGGTATCGCTTGCCGTGTAAAGCATGTCGCCAATGATAGGGATCATCGTCCGTTACTGCATGGGTGTCAGATGAGCATACTGTAGCCAATCCCGATCAAGTCACTTTCTAAGAACGTAGTATTTCATGACAAAAGAATTGATTGCTATTTGCATATGTCGACACGACTTCGAGGGGAATAACCCATCCATTCTACTTCAAAGTATGATTCTAAAATTCCCAAAATACCAAATCCAACCAGGATGCTAACCATGCGGTGCTAGATTCCAATAGCACCACCGCTAAAAAGACAATATAGACAAGGAGATGATCGGTCGTTCTGCTCGACCCTCGAGTAATGAGAGGAGCGAGACTGTATGTGTTTTAAGTATAAATCCTTAACGGCGGTTGGCGAGCTCAACGTCGCCGCTGGATGTGTCCTCCAAGTACTTTGAAGCCGATGCGCTCTTAGCATTATTGCTCTTTGCGAAGGTGTTTCCGAGAACTGGGAAGCAGAAGCCAGGGTGAAAGATTGTGAGAGCCCCGACAGCAATGACGATCATGACACCCTCGAGGACGATGAACTCGGGCTCATTGCGCATGAGCTCCGATCGCCAGCCACCAGTGAGTTCGGGAATACGGTAGACGCATCGGACGAAGACAGCGACGTAGGCGGTGACAAGAGCGATCATGAAGGCACGGAACTTGGTGTCCTTGAAGAGGGCCCAGGCCTCAGGATCAAGCTGGGAGCGACGACGGTTGGTGCGGATGCCGTACTCGGCGAGGAAGTATCCGAAGATGGCGAGGCAGACGACTTGCCAGATGACACCGGCAATCATGAGGTTGGTACCGACATCCTGGAGGCTGGATCCGGGGTCGGCAGTGGCAGCGAGACCTCCACCAGCACCTTGGAGAATGAGGGAAAGGAGATCACCGGCGATGAAGATGTAGGTGTACCAGGCAGGTCGGAGGCGAGACCATTCCGCGCCAAAGGAGAGAACGATGTGCTTGAGGGTGAGGTAGATGGCGCCGGAAACGAAGGCGGGTGCGATGATGAGACAGCAGATCTGGATCTGAAAGCCTATGTCGTCGAAGGGGTTCTTCCAGAGCATGATCCGACCAATGTAACCGATTAGCTCACCGAGGCAGCAGAATCCCATGGCGATCATGTAAGTCCATGTCTTAGAGCGGACACCGAGAACGAGCTGGATAACGAGGCAGATACCGAAGAAGGCGGCGAAGAAGGCATTGGCACCGATGTTGGGGGCATATCCGTAAAGAGTACCCTCGACTGGGCACTCGGGAGTGACCTCAGTGCAAAAGTCGGGAGCGGGAGGTGCGACAGTCATTGTGGAGTATTGACGTTGGATTTAGGTTGAGATTATATGAGGACGTGGTCCGAAGCCGATTGGGGTATCGAGGAAATCCGGGGCTTTATAGAGAATGAAACAAGGAAAGAGGAGAAGGGTAGAGAATCTTCTGTAGAATGCTTGAGGCTTGATGAGATGCAAAATGACTTATAGGGGACACCTGGGAGCCTTATATCTTCAAACTATCAAAGGATGAGTAGACTTGAAAGACATAAGCCCCACAATCAGCTACGTACTCTATGTGGTAGTCGACTGTTCATGGCGCTGCCCCTACCATCTATTCTTGTCTCACATCATGGAATGAACGAACACAAGCGAGTAGGAACGTGCAACGGGGAGCATGTCGGAGTAATCTTGCGTCCGAAAAGAGAAGAAGACGCGAATATCAGGCGTAGATGAGCCCTACCAAAGAATAGAGGCCAAGCTCGCAACACCCGCTACGAGAGGCATAGTGCAACGGGAGGTGGATAGATGTGGCTTGAAGGAGTGAATGCGATTGGGGCGCATTTCCTTAGTCGGGACATGCAAGTCCATGCGTCATCCACGAGGGGCGAAGCACGTTGGAAAGATTGGAAAGGCTTGTTCAATCTGCGCCAGTATTGTATTATCGGCTCGACTCATACGTGCGTTACGCCGTACCGCGCTGAAAGGATTCGAAGCGCAGTGATGGGATACGCCCCAGCCCAAGAGCATGGCGAAGTGTCTCGTTGGTCGCTACCAGTTGCATAAGTGCCATGGGTGTGAGATGGTTAAGCCAGCACTACGGCCATGGCATTCGATCCTATGGCATGGGGGTGACGTGGAGGCCATGGAAGCATCGCACTCAATTCCCCATTCGACCCAATCGTCACACCGGAATCTGATGGGCTTGGACCTTTTCGGTTATAGCTGAAAACAATGTGGGATGTCAACTGTACCTTAATCGTGCGAAGCGGTGAATTCGGCGTTTGCAAATGTCGGAGTCGGAGGAATTTTTGCCTTTGTCTCCTTGCACACCCCCTCCACCATTCACAGCCCTACAGTGAGTACTCGTAGTCGTACATTTAGTTCTACGCCAACTCAACAAACTTCTAATGGCTTACCATATTAGGACGCACGATGCGACTCTCCTCGTCAGAGGATATTTGGCGGAGGAATCACTAGGTCCAAAAAGAATGTATGATTCCGTCATACAAGTCGTCTTGGACGGTTGAATAGGATGTCAATATTGATTGAGAATCTCGTCGTACAATTATTCTGGGACTGATTCTGTATCAACTCCATTATTCTTCAAATCACATCAATTTTAGTTAGGTCCCTACTGTGTAGGTATCTAGCTCAATCCTACTCTTCGTTCCTCTCTCTTCGTTCATGCTGACACGGACCCTCCCTCCCTTCGCGAAATTCGACGATCCCTAGCCGACTGCGCCTGGATCCGTAGGTAAGGTGCTGGGCGCCTCACCAACACGCGCGTTCAGGTCTGCGATCAGTGCGTTTGCACTGTGCAATGAACGAGCTGTCACGTGATGGGAACGAGCGAACCTATAGTAAGCACAAGTCATTGTTGACTGGGTAGTTATTTGCGACGTGGAGAAAGCCCAAAGCCACCAACCGCTTACGGGCCATCGCGCGAAGGCCCTTTCTCCAATATGAGGATATACTAAATACCAGGATTGGACTGTACACACGAGAACCCGAGAAGATCAATTTTCTATCAAACTTTAAAATTTCAGATCTTTAGGGCAGTGCATGGTTGAATAATATTGTGACAGGGAGCTTATGATTTGCAGAACATTATCTTGTCCAAAGATGATTTTTATGAGAATCTGTAAGTTCATCACTGTTTTCCATTAGATCACGATAATCTATTGTCTTCGGATATCTTGTTGACAATGTGATGTCGAAACCCGGATAGTTACTTGAAATTGTCAGTGGAGCTATGTCGCCGACAAACTCAACTGTACCCGGCGGCTACTTGTGAATGCGCTGATGTTAACATAATCTCACAGGTACCTATAACCCATTTGGCCCTTAGGATGATGCGTTGTACTCATGTATAGATACCGTCGTGCCAATCATTTCCTGCACTCATCTGTTATCATATCCTCCCTGAGCCGGGTTTCCGTCTTTCGGTCTACGTCTGAGACAATGTAATTACTCAGTTGCACTCTCTTCGCTACTCACCAATCATTTTCTATAATCCCCTGTGTCACCATCTCGCCCACTTCAATGCTTGTCAGCCACTTATTCACGAGGCTTATGTGACCTGAGCCTGGTTGTTTCGTCTTCTCATTGATTCATTATCAACAAATCTTGGCCCTTCACTTCTGATCAAATTCAGAGAATGCACCTTTGGTCTTGCAGCATTTTTTACTGCAACTGCAATAGCTTATCGGACTTCCAGGACTGATTCTTGTGGATTCAGTAATCAAGCGCATTCTATCAGTCCACTGCTCGAAATCGCCGTCTCCAGGCGGCGATTCCTCTGCCGTCTGTTGCTAATTTAATCACTCAAGAGACGACCATACCATCCTACTCAACAACTGATGTAGTATTCGTATCCACCTTCTATTAAGTAGCATCCAACTTCATGAAGAAAAGATGTTCATTGGGTCAATATTCAACCTACGTCGATCGACGCAGGCAAAATTCGCTAAATGGCATGCCTTCCGCTGAGTTTCTAATTTATATTGTCCCGGGAGAATTCCCTTTATCCTTCCAGGTCAACGCACTTAATATTCATACAGACTTGCTATATTTTCGTGCACCCAATTCCTCGTATGCTGGAATCGCACTCTATATTTCAGCATGCGAAACTATCTATCGCAAAGCATCAACGATGCCGAAGGTGGCATTCTAGCCGCCGATCGCCCTTCAATTGTCCAAAGCATCGCACAGATCGTATAGAAAACTACCGGGTAGGCAACCATTCTAACAGCCTTCAGTGATCTTAAAACATGGCGACCCCTTGTGGTCGACTCTCCGTTCTTGCTGCTCCAACTAGGAACGATCTAGAGATTCGTAAATTAAAGTGCGATTGCAGAGCAACATGGCGAGATTCCTGCGCTTTGCATCTGTCCTCGGGGCACTAGCATTCTCAAATGCCATTCCCACGGGCGACCTCCCCCTCTCTGAGCCCATAACTGCCGAGCGAGTGTCCGTGGATGCGCGGCAAGCATCGTACTGGAAGCCGCCTATGAAATCGAACATCCAATTCATCCTCACCGGCATCCCAGACGTTGACGATGACTTCATCCGACCGCTCGCGGGAATCTACGAAGTCGACATGTTCTATACACCCGCAGAGACGATCAAGAAGATGAATGAACTGGGACAGAAGGTCATTTGTTACTTCTCAGCTGCCACGGCAGAGAACTGGCGAGACGACTATAGCCAGTTCGCAAGACAAGACTTGGGTAAGGAGCTCCCAGACTGGCCAGGCGAGCGCTATCTCGATATCCGCCGACCAAACGTCTTCAACGTGATCAAGAAGCGAATCGATCTTGCCGCCTCAAAAGGCTGCAACGCGGTCGAGCCGGACAACGTAGGTGAGTAACGAGCAAACGAACCCCCCGTCTACACTCTCCCTTTACTCACAAAACCCCCAAACCAGATGTCTACTCCAACGACCACGGCTTCAGTCCCGAAATCGTCCCCGGTGACACCGTAGCCTACCTACATAAGGTATCTGAGTACGCGCGCTCAAAAGGCATGTCCGTCGGCATCAAGAACTGCGTCGAGATCCTTGGTGACATCTTCCCCGACGTCGACTTCGCCATCTCGGAGGAATGCGTGCAATACCTCAACTGTACCGCGTACGCCAACTTCACCACCGCACCTCGTCCGGGGCTCGAAGGCAAGCCGGTCTTCGAGGTTGAATATGTTAACTACACGTATTCGGGCCAATGGTCGGATGAGGGTGTCGCATTGCAGCCAGATCGCTTCAAGACGAACAATGTCAATTTCCCTGGACTTACGAATGAGAAGTTGAGGAGGAAGTTATGTAATCTTGATGAGCCTGGTGCGTCATTGACGAATCCATATCTGAAGATCAATACCATTATAAAGTCGTTGGAGTTGGACGGATTTATCATGTTCTGTGATGGGTCAGCGGAGAGGACAAGGACGAAGGATGTTGGGAGAGGGAAGAGTGCTGTCCTGGATGAGAGAGGGGCCAACGGAGCGAGGAATGGTATGCTGAGGAGGAACTGGGCAAGGGAGAAGATGTGGAGGCGGATGGGTGGGCGGCCGTTTGATCCTTGAGGTGGTGGAGAGGGCCAGATTTGGGAGTGTAGGCCGTAGGATCGTCTCAATTGGAATGTAGATGTTGCTTTCAAATTTATATGGATCCTGAACGTTTTGTTTAAGTGACACGAGCTACCTGAAACGCCAACGAATGAAGCCCCAGACCCTCATGAGCGCCCTCCAATGCCATGAACTAAGTACTCCTCTATATTGACATGAGATAAACCCCTCAATGCTGATGTCCGCATCCACAGCCAGATTTCTTCAGGCCAAGTCGCTTGCCCCAGGACCAGGTCCTCTCAGGCTCCTTCAACATCTTCATCATTTCCTCCAGATCAGGATGACGCCACCCCTTCTCCAACATTATATGCTGAACCGCCAAGCGTGCATACTTCATCGCCAACTCCCTGTTCCCATAACTCGCATACACCGTCGCGGCGAGTCTGTAAGGAGTTGCCATGTTGACATGAATTCGCTCCTGGATGTACAGCGAGATCAGTCCCTCCGCCATATCTGGCGTGGCCTCGGATTCCAATGACCAGTCCTCGAGTTTCGCAACCATTTCCTTGATGTCGCTGATGCGCGCATCACTTTCTGCGGCGAAGGCACGCTCCGCGCTGCAAGTCGAGCAGGCGCAGTCGAAACCCCATGACCTCTTCAGGCGGCCCATACGTTCCTTGCGGGGCTTCTCGACGTCGATGTAGGTGTCTGAGAGCTCTTCTCCTGGGAAGATCGTGCGGGTGGCATGGACGTAGTGTGTCAGTGTTTCCTGGTCCCAGAAATAGGCGGTGTTGGGTCGGCAGTCATGGTTGATCATGGAGACCTCGGGAATAACGGCATAGTATGAATCGCCGTTGATAGTGACATCGAAAGCGTTGGTGTTGATGCGACCTTCCGGGCCCTTGTCCTCATCGAAGTGGTCAAGGAGGGCCCAGAAGTCCTTGTTCGCCGCTTCAGGAAGACTATCCACGCCCCTAGCGATCAATGCCTTGCGTTCCTCATCGGCGAGGACACCAGAGTCGGAATCAACCAAGACGATGGCGGTGTTGGCGAAAATTTGTTCCCCCATCTGGATCACTCTGGTTGCGAAGAGACCTCGCCCCTTTCCAGGTACCTCGCGGAGTTCAAAGGGTAGGTCGCGCTTGAGGTTTGCCCGTGACAATGTTTCAGGCGCTGCCATTGCAGGTTTTTTGAGTATCCTTTCCGCATTTTTTGAGTTGGTGATGAGGAATATCCCTCGCCCTGATGCGAATTCTTGAGAAGAGAACACACAGTAAGGGCTTGTCGTGTTGACATTTTCGAAACACTCCGGCCAGTGGGTCCACTTGAAATCTTCGGTTTCTTTTGCAAGGATCGATGCTTCTTCCAGAGTCCGCGTAAAGTTGACTTGCACGAGTTCGGTTTCTATTGTCGATTGAAGTTGGCATTCGCCATCGATTGATATAGACCCCGAAGGACAGGCCAGAGGCTTGAATAGGAATTGTTCATCGACGGCCGTATCAAGGCCGAAAGACGCTGCTGCGCAAGTGAGCAGGGGAAGCGAGACGAGCCAATTCATTGTCATCATGGTTGCTGGCATGTGGTCAAGGAAAATCGAGAATGGTTTGATGAATTTCCATCACTTCTGTGGGCATTTGTGAGCTTTTTCTACAATCGGAATGTGCTGCACTGGTGGGTAGAGAACCTACCTCAAGAGGCGTGTGAAACGCGGGGCAGCAGTCCCACGAAGGATCTTGAAGCTACATTTGAAACGAGGGGGGCCTGAGATGACGATAACAGGCGATTGCCCCGCGCAGAGTGTTCTAATGCGTTGTACCTACAAAATAACTGTGAGCATACAGTTTGTTAACAAGTGATTTGCTTGGTAACAATAGAATACGGCGTCTAGGCGGGCGACTTTCGGTGTTGGTCAGCGTCCGCCGTACGAGTAGTTACAATTCATATAGTTAGAGATGGTCAGCCTCAGTGGAGGGGCGCAGCAGTTCTTAGCTGATCATTGAAAGGAACAGATGGCATCTATGGCAGACAGAGACGGATGACATGTTGCCCAAGGGGGAGGCGCAACATGTTGAGGTTCATTGCAAACTTGAGCGAGCGGGTTCGGCTTGATTTGCTGGGGGCTGGATGTATCAGCCAGTTCTGAGGCATCTCAAGCTCCGCCTCGGCAGACAGCTGTTTGAAACGAGCCAGGCCCTCTTTGATCGACCAAAGGGTGCTGGGGTAATGGCATACGAAAGCCATCATGGGAAAAATAATAATCCAATTCATGCTTTTCTAATTATACAATAACTAAAATACATCGCTGCGCCCAGCTTGTTGAATTCATATCCCAAGAAGAAACATCCGTAGATAAGCAAAACATCCATACATGCGCATCCCGATCAACGTCGACTGACATATCTAAACAAACCCATGAGACTCAAGCTATTGCAGTTCTTCTTCTCACTGAGCCAGGGACGCTGTATCGCAAACCACCAAGTGTACTCTCTCGTCATCCAAATAGCCCCCTGGTGCACTGGGGGGGTCTGTGAAAGCTGGTAGGGAGTGGCATAGAGAAATGTACGTTCAAAATGCACCCTTGACATTGACCCGCGGTGCGATAATGCACAGTAAAAATCCATACAAAGTAGACCACAAATCAGGCTAGCCTCTATAGGTCCTTTCGCAAACTCCCGCCTTCTTCCATATTTTCGATACGTGTCAATTCTTCTTCATTTGGCTCTTTCCACCACTCCTTGAACGATTTTCTTTCAAAGCCTTCATCCCGCCACTTCATGATCTCGTCTGGTCCAATTTGATGAAACGGGATGCTAAGATCCTTTGAGATGTGATCTTTGACGAAGCCCTTGATGTAGTATGGATCATCGAGGCCCAATTTCTTCTTGTCTTTAAAAAAGACCCGGAACAAGAGGGCCTCTTCCTTCTCGCTCTTATCAAGCGCTTTGTCCATATTCCGCACCATACGATCCTTGTTGTAGGCTTGTGGCTTCATCCACCTATTGACCTTCTCCCAGTCCAACTGGTAGCCTGCACCATCATACGTCGGCGACCCTTGGCGGCCCTTTTCATGACATCTGTAGAGATCATGAAATGTCGTCAGCGGGTTCAGGAGAGCATTACGTTTGAACAACTCATTCTCTTGGCGCGCATTCGTTCGGCCTTTAGGCTTTTCTTCCTTTGGGATAGTGAAGTTGAGTTCAAAGTAGCCCAAAACATCGTCTGGGATGTTCATATCCTCATATCGTGGGCGCTTCACGCGACCCGGTGTGGCGCGTTGATCGCGAAGTTTAGATCGATCATAGTTGTACTCAATGTCTGGCGTGCGCAGCCGTGGTTTCTTGTTGGGGGTATGATTTTCAATTTTCTGCAGATTTGGTTTCTTCTTCTTTTTCTTGTTCTAGTCTTCTTCCGCTGCATTGTCTGATTGTTGTTTCCGTTTGCTCAAGGGGGTTGGACGAGTCTTTGCCGGAACCGCTTTGCTCGTGCGTCTTTTCACGTCTGCTGGGGCAAGGCTCTTATCAATTGCCTATTACATACTGTCAGTTGGTATGTCTTTCTACACTTGGTCACAGGCTGTGTTTGTGGCCCTTTGTCTAAGGAAAGCTATTTAGATCCTCCTCATCATCATTGATAATCAATGCTGGTTTACACTCTAGTCTTTCTGGACAGGGGAAAGAACCTACAAGCTGTTTTCGTTTCTTCAGGTCATCTTCTTCTAACAGGTCAACAAGCTCCTGCTTCCGCGAGGAGTTTTCGAATGGTATTGTGCGCTCCTCCAAGATTTTGTGGAGCTGCCATTTTTGTCGCGAAGAATAATCTCTGTCGTAAGTCTTGATGAGTGAGTACTAGTCAGGCAATTCCAGGATTTTTGCATCTGATATCTGCAATTCATGAAGTAAAGAGAGAGTATTGCGTTGACAGGATGAAAGGGGAGCGTTTCGTGTGACAACGCTATGACATCACACGGCCGCCAACGCGCCCCAGACGCGACGCGTTGTATGTAAACACACACACAGAAACACAACACCAAATCCTTCTACAGTACGTACTTATAACCACATTAACTTGGGCACGGAACACTAAAAGATAGAAGGAAGATTCAGACTTTGAACATTTATATTGTTTGGATGAAAGAAGTCACCTGAAGTCTTACCACCTTCGGCGCCTAGGTATGTGCGTACATATTTGGAACAACGGCGTCCATGAGAGACAAGATAATAAGGCGGACATAGTTCACCTACACTCTAGCTCGTATAATTACTGCACGTTCTCCATTCAACTTTTTGCTCTTCGCCAAATCACTCCCTTCGACTACCTGGAACTACACACAGCCTAGCCTGCCTACTGGAGTACATAATTATTTAGTCCGTACAGGATTATTGATTTGGCATCGCAGCCCCTCACGCACTGCGGGGAACCGTGACACAATGTGCATACAACTTCTCGCCGTGGACACGAACTGTTATTAGGAGTACGAAATTGATGCAGCCAATACCAAAAGCAAGAAGTCATCTGTCTCATCGAGGACACATATCAAATCCCGTTCATATCGTGACTTAAGCATGGAGGTGAAAGCCCAGTGCACGTGACCGCCAAGCCTTCAGCCGCCCAACTTACCAGGCTGAACACATAGGCAACCAGTTCCTTGACCATGACTCACTGTAGCAGTCATATAAGTAAATATCAGACATTCATTAAGAGCCTTACTTTCGAGATAAACCGCTATAATTCAACCGGAAGTAATGAAACATGCCGAGTGTGTATCCCGGCTCTTGTTGCATTCATGTCGCTTACTCGAATCGCAGAGAGACATTGGATATACCGATTAGATGTCTTACGACCAAGCTTGATCACAACATCACTTTAAGTGATAGTCCAGAAAAAAGAGGCCAATATGCCGATTCGAACAGCAATAATGGAGACAATCAGGTTCGACCCGCCAATCCTATCGATGTGAAGGACACAATCATCACTACCACCAAAGGACCAAGAGATGGTGCCGTGAATGCAGCACAGCAAGTCTGCCGCTCTCTTTGTGATGGTATCTACACCCGTTTCCCCCGCGAGGTTCGGGACATGATCTGGACCCATCTCGTAGCCGCACCTTACGTCTTCGTCAACTTCACCAAGGACAAGGTCTTCGAACATTACTGGAGTGTCACACCCTACTGGCCAACTGGTGACGGACAAGTTGAAAGCTCCTACTTCGGTGCTCACTATTACAAAGAACGATGCGTCGGTCCTCACGTCCAATACGAAATCATCGAGACCTGGTACAGCACACTAAACTTCTACATCAACACCTACAATCACGACAGCATATACCGACTCCTGCACAAAGACCGCTGGAACCTGGGAATCCACCCCTTCAAACACATAACCCACATCTCGATCGTAATCTCCGAGCGCAACTTCGACGACAACATCAACACCGGCAGCAGCACCACCTCAGATTCCTCCGCCTCCACCACCTCCCTCACCTCCCTAAGATCAGAAAACATGACCCTCCGTGTGAAAACACTCCTCTTTTACCTCAACGACCTTTTCGATCTCAAATACGGCTCGCGGATCACCTTCCTCCTTGAGAAGAAATCGGACTTCTCGTGGGGTCCCGACAACTTGCTCAAAAGGCATCCAAATCAGTCTCCCCGCGTCTGGCCGTGGCGGGCCGAGCCCATTGACGCGACACGCGATTACGATGGTATGGTTGAGTTTTTCGACAATTGCTATGCAATCTTGCACAACTTGATGATTAAGCTGCACGAGGCCAAGTATAAGGTCGTAATGCAGTATGAGGGCTGTGTGATCGGTCCCGGCGAGGAGGGTCCAGCATTTACGGCGGCTGGTTCTAGGGATAAGTTAAGGGCTTTCCTCAAGGTAAGTTCTCAGAGGTCATTTGGGGAGATGGATAGATACTAATGTAGAACAGGCGGACATCCCTCGGCTTGAAGAACTGGGGCGCCAGATTAGGGCTCTGATGGATCATCCTCCTGCTCCTCCCCCTCCTCCTGCCCCCCTTGGTGAGGAATCGCAGGACAATGGTACTACTGAGATTTCCGAGGTGTAATTGCAAAATCAGGACATCAGCGATATTACTCCCAATATCCGTCTCGTCCTCGAAGCGTAGAAGTCTCAAAGGGCTAGCAACTCACTCGAAGCACTGAATGGCGTCTTAGGGAGTTATTGTCAAGCCAAGTGTTCATGAAATACCCATCAGGATTTGTTTTTGTAGTGTATAACGAGAGGCGTTACATAGAATGATCATTTCTGCTTGCTATTCGTATGACTGGCCAATACCTCTTGTTACCGCATCAAACGTGTGATTAATTGGGTGGAATAAGATATGTGAAGAAAAAGATATTGATATTGGTCTGATAGCATAGCCTAGTTGATAGGAATGTAATCATGCCATAGTATGGATATGAAAAATCTATAGAAATCGAACTTTAAATCTACGACCAAACACACTTCTTGAAAAAAGAAACCTTCTAATCAAAGTAACCAGGGAACAACCACTGAAGCTTGGTCAAGACCTCCTTTCCACGTCCCTCGGGCTTGGTGATTCCACCCGCAAACCTCATGCCTCCCTCGATGTGCTTAGCGAGCACCTGCTCGCTGTGCTCCTCCTTGCTCAACTCGTTCAGAACGGCGCCGACGAACCTCTTCGCGTTCTCAGCATTGGCCTTCATGTGTCCCATGACCATCTCGACGTTGACGTCCTCGCCAGCCTCGCCCCTCCAGCAGTCGTAATCCGTGGCCATGCAGATCATCTGGTATGCAATCTCGGCCTCGCGAGCGAGCTTGGCCTCAGGAAGCGCAGACATGTTGATGACGGAACCTCCCCACGAGCGGTACAGGTTCGACTCGGCGCGCGTGGAGAATTGTGGTCCCTCCATGCAGATCAACAAGCCCTTGTCGTGGAGCCTGACGCCCTCGCCTTCGAGCGAATGTCCGCACTGCTGCACAATCTTGGCCAAGCGAGTGTCGAATGGGTCGCCGAAGCCTACGTGGCCGACCATGCCGCCTTCAAAGAAAGTGAAGGGGCGGATGCCCTTTGTACGGTCGATGATCTGGTCGGGAATGACGAAGTCGCGGGGTCGGATCTCCTCCTGGAGGGAGCCGACGGCGGAGAAGGCGATGATCGTGCGAACGCCGAGGGAGCGGAGGGCTGCGATGTTGGCTTGGTTCTTGACCTCATGGGGAGCGAGCTCGTGGTTGAGACCGTGGCGGGATATGAATGCTATGGGGATGGGCTTGCCGGTGGTAGGAGAGGGGTGGTGGAGGATGGAGATGGGAGAAGACGGTGCACCCCAAGGTGTTGTGGGAGTAAGTGTAGCGGCAAGAGTGAATCCATCGAGAGATTGGATGCCAGTTCCGCCAATCACGGCGATGTGAACAGGTGCTGGAAGACTGTCAGCGGTTGCGATGAGGTTCTGATAAGACGGGGGAATTGCGGACCATCATAGGTGGAGGGGATGCCGGCCATTCTGCGATATGGGATTGTGATGGACCGAGAAGGAACTACAGAAAAGTTTCGCGGAGATAGGAAGCGCTGGAAAATTCTCGTAGTTGAGGCACGAATGACCATATACACAGCAAGCGAGAGAATGTTGTCGTCGATAGATTTATTTGGTGTTGACTGAAACTTTTCGGCGGCATCCCACTTTCGGAAGCACGGACCTTTCCAGTTCCGAGACCCAATATGACGCCATAGCAGCCATTAAAGAACAGAGGAATGTGTTTATTATTCTTTGCATCCTTCCTATACATAAGTTACATAACTATACTTTCTTCCTTTGACTCAATCTCCCATAACGTCTTCCAGTTCTGTCGTGGGAATAATGACTGGATGAATTCCCTCACGGTGCCTGGTCCTCTGCTCATATGCATAGGCCAACCCAATCAACTGCGCCTCGCTCCAAAGACGACCTGCAAATGATATCCCAATGGGTATATTTGGACCAACAGTCACCAGGTTTCTCGCATTCCTCACCACTGTCGTATTTGCTGGAAATGCACCCAACGGTACTGTTACCACCGGCGCTCCGACTATAGCAGATTGCGTTGAAGACCGCGCAGACGGAAGAACCACAGCTGTGAGATTGTTCCGTTCGAGAGCTCCCAGCAATCCTCCTTCTCCGCCCAAATATTGATTGAATTGATACATGGCCCACTCCTCAGCCGACCCCAGAGTAATGTTGATAGCTTGAGAGTTGTCAAGGTTAATTGTATTTCGGTCAGGGTACTCCTCTGGTGGAAAGGTTCGCGTAAAGTTGATCACATCCGCAAGCGTCGTGATGTTCTCAGGGTTAACGGTCAGTTGAGCAAGATAGCTGGCTAGGTTTGGTTTCAAGTCTGTGTATAAGATGCTGACTTCGGTGTTTCCCTCATCGGCCACGAACTGATCCCAGCCCGTATACGTGACATTGACGAGGACAGCACCTGCTGCCTCCAACTCCTTGAGTTCATCTTGGAACTGCGCTACGATCTCCGGGTTGGGGTTTGCATACAAGACATTCTGCCATGGGATCCCGAGTCGTGCTCCGCTCAAGGCATCTGGAGAACATGCTGCAACATAGTCTGGATACGTTCCATTATATGGTGCAGCAAGGGTATAGTTATCTCGTGTGTCCTGTCCGACGATTGCCTGCAAAACGTATGCGGCGTCCTTGACTGTTCGAGCCATGGGCCCGACAGTGTCCTGGTGCTCGGAGATAGCTAGGGGTGAGGTCAGTAAGGTAGAGAGCAAGTTAGGAGCAGGGCCAGTTACGGATCACGAGATCGCGGGACACAAGCCCAAGAGTAGTTTTGATCCCCACAATGTTGTTTAATTGCGACGGACAAATAACCGATCCATCTGTCTCTGTACCGATAGCAGCAGCTGAGAGACCAATCGATGCTGCCACGCCCGAGCCACTAGAGCTTCCACACGGGTCCTGATCAGGGTGATAAGCGCCAAGTACCTGGCCACCATGAGCAGACCATCCGTTGGATGAGTTGGAAGATCGAAAGTTTGCCCATTGACTAAGATTTGTTTTTCCTAGGATGACAGCACCAGCCTCCCGAAGCTTCTCTGCAACAGCCGAATCGCGTGGGGTTTTGGCACCAAGCAAAGCGTACGAGCCCGCAGTATTGTTCATCAGATCCGCTGTGGCAATGTTGTTTTTAAGCAAGATAGGCAGGCCATGAAGAGGTCTGAACTTCGTCAGAATGTGTATTCGTTCCGTTCTAGATACTGCCCTACCCTCGGACCTTTCCTGCTGCTCTCTCCGCGTCCAACTCCTCTGCAATCTTCCACGCGTCTGGATTGATCTCTGTCACCGCATGGAGAGCCTCATTTGTCTCCAAGATTCTGCCAACATATGCCTGACTAAGATTCAGCATGCTCTACACGCGTCACCGGCACGCGTAACTTACATTGACGAGATCGGCACTCGTGAACAAATTCCCTTCCAATCCAGCCATCAATTCCTCAACCGTAGCATTCAACAAGGACGGAATTTCCACCCCAGGTTGACCATACTGGCCAACAACATTCGAAATCAATGGCGCAAAGACGAAAAATGCTCGCAGCGAGACACAAACCATGATGGCCGCAGCAGAAACAATCGCGAAGAAAGGAACAGAGAATCGTCTCTTGACATCACCCGCACCAAGCTGGGAACCCTTCGCACTTATCGGTTTCTCCCATCCACGTTCTGCCGCCTGGTTGCTGGCGTGCCGAGAGATGCAAGACCCCTCCCGGCATATGCCAAAGCCATGCATGCACACACCCATACCCGTGCCGCTTATAGGACGCCCCCGTGCGGGAGCAGCAGATGCCGATCTACTATTGCCTGGGATTAACTGATAACAAGGGAAAGTTGCGTACAACGAGCCGTTAGGCCTGGTTCTTTGCTGCGACCGTCTTTCTTTGAAAAGTCGCGCACTGGGCGCCGTGCCAGGATGGGAGACAAGGTCGTACGTACGTTCATACGAGGGGGTTTTTGTACCTGCCAAGCTGCGCAGACCACCGTTCAGGGTGAAACGTGTGCGTGTGCTACACCATAACGGTGCTCTCATTCAGCCGGTCTATTTGACGATGGATGCATGCTCAAGTGGTTTCTTAATAAAAATAAGGCAAACGTTGAGAAAGAGGGGAGATCAGCATGCGAGAGGTTGTGAGATGAACATGCGTTGGACTGCGGGATACCTAACTGAGTTCTGTCATAGACATTTCCCGATCGGGAAGGTCGATTTGAATGGTGACGATATGCTTTTAATCCTCAAATCCTCCCGCAGCAAGGATGCAGAAAATAAAGTAAGAAAATTACAAGACGAGTACAGACATGTAAGTTTTTATGCAGCTGATCATATATACTGTCAGGCTACATGCGCAGTACAGATAATGCTCAAAAATAACTCGCAACGAAGGACAATATGTCTAATCAAGTACCAAGACCAGTTTTTCATATTCTTACATTATATCCAAATGCCATTCTCCCTGCACAAGAAAAAAAATTTCCGACTCCAATATCAATTCCCTCTCCACCGATACAAAAAAGAGAAGTGATCAAAAGATCTCAAATATATGTACACGAACACCGCCGCTGCTATTGCTCCTGCCGTACACCCCTTGCGTTGCCCAATTGTCCCACAAGATGTCTCCATATGCATGTTACCAGCAAAGTTGCATACGGTATGACCGTTTCCCCACATGCATAGCCTCGTGTTACCAACAATATGCAATGAAAGATTCGAGACCCAAGCTCATCTGATCGACAGCCGGATCACAGAGGGAAAAGTCCCGGGTCGCTCTGATCCGAGATCTGGACTGATCGGACGACCAATGCAGCTGCTCCTCGCTCTAAACAGTCCTCAACACCTTGGGTCCCATTGCTTTTCGATGACCACCACCATAAACACCTCATTCTTAGCCCCTCCTGCCAAAGCAACCCCAATCAACCAATCAAGCCAATTCCTCACCTTCTGCACTCTTCCCCTCAACAACCTCCCACTTCTCCATAAACATCTCCAACTGCTCCCAATTCTTACAATGGTGCACCGCCGCGCCACTCGATGACGCCAACCCATCATCCTCTGACGAACTGCTCCCCGCCGAAGCATTGGCAGGAAGCGTAGTCAAGTCAGGATTGCACATGAGCGCCTGGCGCATCATGTCGACGCAGTACCGCACGTTCTGCGGCGAGATGTCGGAGGGGAACTTCGCGGGCGTCATGGTGGCGGACGAGAGCGCGAAGTCTAGGGTCGTCCAGTAGGCTTCTCGGATCGAGTTCTGTACATACATAAGTCGCTTCGTCAGTACAATCCTTGCTTCAATCCCCTACACGAAAAGGAAAGGGTGACCTAATTCAAGGACTGGCCATTTGATGGAAGATTAGAAAAGAGAGACGTACCAAACAACTCAACTGCTCCCAAACCGCGAACCTCGCCCCCTTGGGCGCGATCTTCGGATGCGCGAACACCCCGCCATTACTCGGGATCAATTCGTCCCACGCGACGCCCCCGTGCTCCTTTCCCCCATAAACAGCATTGTACTCGAACGCTCGTGGTTGGAATCCTAGGATCAGGGATGTCGAGAAGCGGTTGGAGAAGCTGCCCATCAACGCGTTCTGCGTGAAGGATTGGCCGAGGAAGAATCCGACGAGGAGGAAGCCGAGGGAGCAGAAGACGAATTTGACGGAGGTGGGGAGGTGGGATGTTAGGTCTGTTGCTGGGGGTGGTGGTTGTCGGTGGTGTGCGTTGCGGTGGTGGTAGTATGTATTTGGGTGGGTCTTGAAGGTTTGCGTGAGGGGGATGCGAGTATCGACGGATCGTTCTGAGGAGTTATCGTGGAGAGGTTGGTACGAGTACTCGTTCTGTTTATAGAATGATAGACCCATCGTTGCGGCAGCTTTTGCCTTTTTCTTAGTGAATCCTTTTGCTGTACTCCCTCCTACTGTATATCTGCGTCGAAGCAAGAATAGTCGTTATCCAAAACAAATAGAATCGAATTCGACCAGCGAAACACACGAAAGGAACAAAAACAAGAATTCTCCGAAACCCAAACACTCAAACCACCCAAATGTATATGAACGGATAGAACCAGAAGAACCAGACTTTCGCAGCAAGCACAGCGTGCGTGGCAAGTAATGTAAGTAGTCGTCAGAAAAGCAGATCAATCGTCCCGCAAAAAAGCTCACTCCTCCAAGAAAAGGCATGCTAAGCATTATAACCCCCAACGAAACACTTCCCTACCCATCCGAAAAGGCGAAAGGTAGATCATTCGTTTTACAACACCGCAATCGTGCGACATTCACAATGAAACGGAAGCTTCTACTTCCCAGGAAAAGGCGTCGATCGAAAAGCCCCGATTTGATTGCTCTACCAACATTCTAGGACATTTCGTCTGTGCAGAGATTCTTGGATGTAGGATGTGAGCAGTGTTGCGGAATCAGCTTACGGCTGCAATGCCCACCCCGGCCTATTCCCGCATCCACCTTTCGCTTGCTTTGCGAATCATCTTCAAAGGAGCATATCGAGGGAGGTCGTAGTGCCTGGCAAGAAACAGTGGTTCATCGGACTATTTCGTTGCGATACAAGATAACTACCTGTTCCTGTGTTCGGCTGTTTCGAAGCAATGACCAATCCTCTTGGCAAACCTTTTGATTGAATGAGACCAAGACGTGAAAGCAGTAACTGTGGCATTATAGTATGTGCTACAGTGAATGGGATGGGGGGTGGTGGTCTTGAGGGGAAGGGAGGGGTGTTCGGTGACCGAGAGATCGGCGGTCGGAACTACCGTAATGGAATTGGATAGCAGCGCATGTCGTGTATGGATTTTGGGAATTCGATAATTTGATGGGAGGAATTTTTTATTGATAGTTAGGTTGTTATGCCATTGTTGAGAAAATATCTCTATTTTTGTATGTAGCTATTGTATAGGTACGTTGATTGAACGCAAACCATAGTTGTGGACAGCCAACCTCAGATACATTGCGCGCAGAGTCGCGCGCACAGTTGTACAATAGTTGCAAGCATCGGACAATTGATGTCATTTTCAGAGAGCGTTTTGTCCTACTGTCGGACTTCGGAGATGTTTCAATATAGCAGAATGTCACACAGAGCAATGGTTCCTTTCTTTTTTGTAAATGTTCAATTGATTTGGAGAAAGTTATCTATTGAGTATCCCATTTTTCTATTGGATGCAGATTTCCGCATCCACCCAACCTGGAGGTTCCGTGAAAGAAGAAACTTCCTCTCTATGATTTGAGGCATGATTGATTGGTTCAGATAACCCCATATGCCCATTACCGCTAAACGCTATTAACTTCTCATCCCATTCATTCATCTTTCGGACTTCTGACCAGTGAGACTCGCACAGAGTAATCTACTGGACAGCTTCCACGACCTTCTTGGACTCGGCATCGAGGTCCTCCTTGGGGAGACCGAGCTGCTCATTGGCCAATCCCTTGCTGCTCTCGTAGTCGCTGTCTCCGTTGGGGTAGAACAACCTGGAGTACATGGCCTTTGCGAAGCCCGAGAAGTCGCCCTTTGACAACAGCTCCTTGCCCTCAGCGACACGCTTGGCGGACTCTTCGTACTTGATCTCCCAGTCGGCGTCAGTAGTGCCAGAGACGCGGTTCAAGCTGTCGAGGATGTCGCGCTGGCTGACCCTGAAGCTCGAAGTGTAGATGGGCTTGTTCTTGTACTTAGCGACCTCGGACTCGGGGAGGGCGAGGAGGCCGGCGATGGCGCGGCCGCACTGGTCCCAAGTGCTGAGGTTAACCTTGGTGTTGCCGTCATCGAAGAAGGTGACCTTCTTGTTCTTGATGTCGATGCCGAACCCGGCCTCGCCCATGTTGAAGCCCCAGCCGTACCAGGGGCCGCAGACGAGGCAGATGTAGTTTCCGCCGAGGGATTCGATCTCGTTGCAGAGAGCGGCGTATTGGCCAGTGAGCATCTCCTCTTTGACCAAGACCTCGTTCTTGATGTCTGCACCATAGGCGTTGGGGACGATGTACTCCACGCCAGCCTTGATCGCGGCCTTGACTATCCGCGAGTGAAGGTCCTTAGGAGCGCGAGCGCCGAGTGTGATGATGAGGAACTGCTGGCCCTTGAGAGCCTCGACGAGCTCATCTTCGTTGTCGAAGTTGACGGGCTTGTTGACAACACCGGCGGGAGGGCTAGCTGAGCTGTCGTGGCGGGAGATGGCAGTGACGGTGTGTTTTCCAGAGGCAAGGAGGGAGTTGGCGAAGTGAGATCCGATGCGTCCACTAGCCTGTTCCTTGTCAGTACAAACTTCGGGATTTACCATACAAACGAGAAATACTTACACCGACAACGGCAACGTTCGTGATGGTAGACATCGTGAATTTGTGAAGGTGGGATTGTGGTGGTTGGAAGTTTGTCAATTGGGAAAGTGTGGAGAGTTTTAAAGTTCTGAGATGTGGCTTGCAGAGAGCTGACTGTTTTGCTTGATGAAGTAAAGGTCGATTGTTTGTTGATTGTTTGTTGTATGGAAGTGGGAGTGGTGGTGAGATGTGAATTGATTGAATCCTTCCAAGAGCTTACTTCCCGTGCACCTTTATACCTTCCCCGTAACCTACTCGGAAACAAGCCTTTGGTACCTCCGATGCCAGCCTGACGTATGTGTCTCGCCTCGTCGGCCTCGCTAACTACCTAGATTATCGCAATTCCATTGCACCAGAGAGAGACACAGAGGGAGGTCGGACCCTGCATCAATCCATCCGCGCGGGATCGTCCCTTTGTGACGATTGTCTACGAGGCTGACGAGACTACGCCGCAAACGGGCTATGCTTACTCCCCATCTGGCCAATCAGAATGGAGAGCATAGATGAGGTCGGACAGGGGGGGACAGGGTTGGAGGGCGCGGAGGGGTAGCTGTAGCGGCCGCCGGGCGGAGTGGGTGCCTTTTCGTCCATACACGTGACTTATCCCCACCACATTTGCTTGAATCAAGGTACAATCCAGCAATTCAAGTTAGTCTCCACCTCGTACGAATCGCTAGATTACAAAAAGGTACGGAGCTATTCCCCCTGGTAAAACCGGTGGTGGTGAATGGGCGGTACGAATGTATACAAAGGATGATGGGGGATGGGTGTGGCGTCGTCAAACTCCGTGTCCTTACGACCGCCGATCCGCTCTGATTGGCCGTACGGTCCAAACGGTCCATGATCGTCCTTCTTTGTCCCGACTCCGACGTCCCTCTCTCCATACAAGGTCGCTCCACATCGGGGGGCCGAGTTTCTTGTATTACCTTCGTCTATGTTTATGGGGGGTATGACGAGAATGGAGGGGGAGTCTACGGTCTCACTGGTTGCAAGGATGTGTTGGTCGTTTATTACAAGAAGCACTTGAAAGGGCTCAACATTTCTTAAATCTCGTCAAGGATCAATGTCTTGAGCATTTCGCAACCTCTACTAGAGAGGAGGGAAAACACACCGAAAAGAGATATGAGAATCAATTGAGGGTACATCATCGTGTTCGTGAGCAATGTCTACTTGTCTCAGTCTTCTTTATGCCTTGTATTACAAAAACACCAGAATATACTGACCGCACCAAATAGCACAATAAAAACCATCCAAACCACCATCTTCCAACCCACTTTCCACCCACCATGGATCCCTACAAAAGACCCCAAGTCTCCGTCTCCGAAATCCCCTCCACATCTCCATCCTCCTCAACTACTACCACCGCCTCCTCATCTTCCTCATCGACAACCACAGAGAGGCGCCCTGGCCCCGTCCGCCGAACCTGGAAGCACTTCATGAACGCCGTCGACCACGCCCACAGTCATGACGCAGGTGTCATGTACACTGTTTAATTCTCAATTCCAAGCTCCGCACGCTGGATGCGTATTGTGCTGGCTCTTCGTTTCTCTTTATTTGCAGGAGGGGAGGGAAGAAGGGATGTGGTATACCCGATGCATGATTTTTCTTTATTTATGAATTGATGATGTGGCTGCGAAAGGAGGAGTTATTTGTTCTTGCTGCTGCTCAAATATACATGCACGGCGGTGGTATGTTGACGTTTTATGAAAAGACTAATACAATTCAAAACTTTGGCTGGAATCACCCATCTTTACATCGTTTGAAGTCATCACATCAAATGCAAAGGGACGCTACTTTGTTCTCATCCGGCAGCAAAAGTCTCTTGTATTGAATTCGTATATACCAAACTCGAAGAGGCGAATAGATCGGGGGGTATCAGTGGATGGAGAAAAACGTTACAGCCAAAAAGGGGGTATAGTGCTGTCGACCCGTCTAGAAGGTCTAGCAAAAAGAGGTATTAAAATGGGGGTTATGTACGTGTGCTCCAGAAGTGAAGACAACAGGTACCCTTTGATCATGTCCAAAAAAAAAACGTATCAAGAAGAAAAACTAGGAACAAGTGAAAGGCTCAGGATGTAAATCGAGAACGCCACGAGCCGGTCCGACGTCCGGTCCTCCATGGCCTTTTGCTCCAATGTTTGGTCGTCAAAGGTCTTCGTGATCAACATGTGTGGGCGCGATCAGATGTCTGCATCTGCTGATTTATGGTCCACCGAAATCCATCCCTCGTTGCTCAGTTGTTGGGCGGTACGAGAGCTCTCGCTGAGATAGTCATTATTGAGATCGGTCAGCTGCGAAAGTGTTTCTTGCATAGCCGCCAACTGCTAGCGGTTGGTTAGTGATTGAGTCAATTAAAGGAATCGCCAAACATCGGCTATTGTTACTCACAGTACCAAGGACCTCGCGCGGGGCATTTGAGATGGGAGATCGAGACGAGGATTGAGCGCCAGAAGTCGATGTCTCATCTTCTTCCTCTTCCTCGTCTTCGGCAATCACGCCGATTTCGCGCTTTTCACCCATGGTGGCAGCAGCGCGTGCAACTCGATCGCCAGCCTTGAGGATGTTCTCTAGTCGGTCAACCTTGTCCTTCAAGGCCCTGTTCTCCTTCTCAAGGGGAGTGATGGCCGCAATGTGCTTCTTCACCACATCTGTCTTCATGATTTCGATCCTAGCTTCGGCATCATCAGCAGCAGCAACAGCAGCAGTATGCTTAGCTCCAAGCTGACGGTTCTCTTCTTGCAGGCGCTGCACGTCACGAGCGTGCATCTCGACGTCGCGAGAAGCCTGAGAGGAGAGTTCCTCGAAACGACTTTGGAAGTCGAGACCGCTTGCCTTGACAGCCTCTAGTTCAGAACCGTGGCTTGCCTTTTCCTCCTCAAGCTGCTTCACGAGAGCATCGAACTTCTTCTGCAGTTGCTGGACGGCATCGGTCTGGCTGGCCTCCATGCCTTCCATGAGTTCTGTAATGGCCTCCTCATGGGCCCTCTCGACAGCCAGCTTCTGCTCGGCAAGTTCGGCGTGCTGTTTCTCCAAGTCACCCAGGCTCTTTTGAAGCACAAGCAAGTCGCTCGATTGTCCTTCCTTGAACTCCTCTCTGAGCAGAGCAATAGCGTCGCTATGCTCCTGGTCAGCTCTGGAGAGCTTTTCTTGGATAATGTTATGTTCAGCTTGGAGAGCTGACAATGCCTTTTCATGCTGCTCTTGAAGGTCGTCCTTCAAAAGCGCAATGGCGGCTTCATGTTCTCGTTCCGCAGTCGCCTTTTCCGCTACAAGTTGCTCATACTTAGCCGTCAGCTCTACCAGACCAGCCTCACCTGATTGTTTGCTAGACTTGAGGTCATTATGTAGTGCTGCCAACTCTTCAAGCGCAGCCTTCTTTTCGCTTACAGCTGCCTTCATCTCTCGCTCCAGCACATTGCTGTCATTCTGGATGGTTTCAAGCAACATAGCATACTTCTGCTCAACCTCGGCTTGCAGAGTCTTCTGAGCTTCGGCATGGGCTTCGGCAGCGGCGAGCTTTTCCGCACTGACGTCTCCATGAATCTTCTCCAGATCTGCGAGTTGGCCGATCAAGCTATCACGCTGGTCTCTCAGGATTTCGAGCTCCTGGCTGATGGCATCTTCACTCTTGGCCTTCTCTTCGCGTAAGGCGTCGTACTTCTGTTGCAGATCCTCTACAAGCTGTCGCGAGGCCGAACCCATATCTTTCTTGAGAGCTTCAAGAGCTTGCGCGTGTGCATCCTCCGCAGCCGTCTTCTCTTCGAGGAGGGAGTCATGGCGGGCTTGCAGATCGGTAATGAGCTTTGTAGACGTCTCGTGAGCTTCGGTTGCTGCACTCTTCTCCTTCACGAGGTTATCATGTCGTTCCTGCAGCTCAACGAGAACGCTCTGCGACAGCGAGTGGGCTTCTTGAGCAGCGGCCTTATCCTCCTCAACTTGTTTGAGCTTTGCGAGGGCGTCCTTCAAATCCGAAGACGCGGAGCCTGAGTTCTCCTGGAAGGACTTGAACTCAAGATTAAGATCCTCCAGAGCTCTGACCTTTTCGTTCAAGGTTTGAGTGTGTTCTTCCTTGGTGCTCAGCAGCTCCTCTTCCACCTGCTTGAGGCGACCCAGTGTATCTGTCAAGCTTGACGACGTTGTATTAGAGCTGTCCTTGATGGCACTCAATTCTTGGGTGATTTCCTCAAGCGCGGCTGTCTTCTCGATAAGAATTTCTGCATGCTCCTTGTCGGCAACGAGCTTGTCTTGCTCGAGGCGAGCCAGCTTGTCAAGTGTAACGGTCAGCTCAGAAGACACACTACCGGAACTTTCCTTAAGTGCGGCGAGTTCCTCGGTGACTTCTTCCAATGCCTTCGACTTATCAGCCAAAGCTCGAGCGTGAGACTCAATGCCTGCAGTCTTCTCCTCTAGAAGGGTTTCGTATTCCTTTTGTAACTTTTCTATATCCTGCTTTGCGCCACCTTCGAAGTTGGCTCGAACCGACGTTAGTTCGGTCTCGTACTTCTCAGTCAACGCTTGCAGAGCCTGGCTGTGACTTTCAGTCAGGGATTCGAGCTCAGACTTCAGAGCGTTTGCCTGCTCATTCGCCGCAGCAAGTTGTTCGTTGAGCTTAGCCAAACTAGTGGCATGCTGCTCCTCTTCTTGGCGAGAAGCACGTTCTAAAGTCTTGAGTGTACTGCCGAGATGCTCGTTGTCCTCCTTGAGGTCTTCCAGTTGCTTCGCGTCTGACTCGAGCTGGTCGTTAACAGCATCGAATTGCGCCGAAAGCTCTTCGATTTGCTCGTCCTTCAAAGCCAAAGCCTCTGCATGCGAGGTTTTGAGGTCCTCGAGTTGTTTGTTGAGTTCCTCAGCAACCTTTGCGCCATCGGTCTGCCCCTGCTCGAACGTCCTGATCTGCTCTTGAAGACCACTGATGGTATTGAAGTGCTCGGCCACTTCAGCTTCCTTGGCCTGCAAGTCGACATCTTTGCTTTGTTGGATTTCGGCAAGCTTCTCCTGTAGCGTTTCAGTATGCTTGGCACGCTCGCTGTCCAAATCGGCAGCTGCCTTCACAATGCGTTCCTTGAATTCCTCCACCTGGCTCTTGAGTTCTTGCTCCGCTTGCTCCTTCGTTTGAATGGTCTCGTCCTTAAGGCGCAGGTCATCGGAATGTTGCTGTTGCAAAGACTCAATCTTGGCCTGGAGTTCATCGACAAGTTTGGACGACTCGGCAGACTTCGCCTCCAGCTCACGTTTCGCCTCGGTCAAGGCATCCGAATTCTGCTGGCTGGAGGAGGCAGCATCCGTCTCCAAGGTCTCGATCATCTTAGATAGGGCGTCGTTCTTCATGTCCAGCATGTGCAACTCGTCTGCATACTTCGCCTGCAAGGCGTCGATGAAGCCCGAAGATTCTGTCTTTTCGTGCTTCAAAGCGGCAATTTCCTCATTAAGAGTAGCTATCTGGGCCTCTTGTTCCTTTAGCTTCTTCTTCTCGGCATCCCATTGTTTACCCTGCTCTTCCAGATCTGTATTCAACTGGATCAAAATCTGCTGAAGCTCGTGTGCCCGTTGTGCCTCTTCTGCTTCCTTGGCTTGTGCTGCGGCGGTTTCTTCTTCCAGCTTCGCTTTCTGCTGCACGAGTTCCTTCGTCTCGGAAGCAAACTTCTTCTCCATCTCATCGACTAGCGTCGTGTGCTGAGAATCGGTAGATTCGGTCGATTTGGTTGCATTCGCGATGATCTCTTCCTTGTCAGCTATGGCAGCTTCCGCATCCGCCAATTGCTTCTTCAACTTGGTACGTTCTGCCTGCAACTTGTCAACTTCCTGGTTCAGATCGTCGCATTGCTCTTGCAGCTTCTCACGAAGGTTTGTCTCCTTGAAGAAGTCCTGCATGATCTGTGCGCTGCGCCGCCTAGTATCCCAGTCCCCATCAGTGACAGGCCCGCTGGGGGCGGTATCCGGTCGTGGGACATCTCCCGTTCCATTGAGCTTCGCTAATGCGGCCTTGACAGGTGATGTGCCGGCTTTGCGGATCTCGACTTCTGCATCGGAAGCTGCCTTGTCTTTCAGGGGTGTCTTGGGTGGAACGTCGATACTACTTGTGCTGGAAATCCGAATGTCAGTGTGCATATACTTGCATAGTAATTGAGTAATTGACTCACTCCTCTTCGGGGATGGTAGCGGCAGGCTCAGGGGCAGCAGCCGGAGTGGGTGCAGAAACCGAAGGCTTCTTTGCGTGTGACAGAGGAGTCTTGGTGGCAGCTGCTGGTGTAGATCTTGTCGTAGCGCTCGGGCGCGCAGTCGCGGTGGACAGTCTTGTAGACCCTGCGAGGGAAGTGCGTGTGGAAGCTCGAGCTGTCGATGGTTCGGCAGATGGGCGCGTAGTCAGGGGCCGTTTCGCGGTTGATGAGGATGCTGTTGAAGAGACGGTGGATCTTCCCAATGTGCTTGTGGTCTTGCCTGGCGATGCCCTTGTGGTTGAGGCGGCAGGTGTGAGAGTAGTCCTCCGAGCGGCTGTGGTCGCTGGTGTCTTCCTTTTCTCGTCCCCTGAAGTGATGGAAGAAAGATCTGGCTCAGCATCTGACGTGGCAGATTTCGAGGTCAGGCCAGTCCTTCTTGCTGTTGTACCGGGAGCAGGACGCGTTGGAGGCTTATTTAAACTTGATCCTGTAGTACCTGACCTGATTGTAGAGCTGCCGAGGGGTTTCGACGCGGTTGTTGAAGCTCTGCTTGTGGCCGTTGTTGTTGACCCGACCGCTGGGCGACGTGCAGCCGAGCTGGCGGTTCCAGAGGTGGCGGCGGGCCGACGAGGGGGTATAGGGTCCTTAGACGTCGATGAAGACATCTTTCGGCGGGTGGGAGTCGTCGTGGACGATGTGGATGGTGTTTTCTCCCGTATAGGAGTGTTTGTAAGAGAAGAGGAGGGAGAGGTGATGGATTCTGGCGGCGGCGGAAGAGCTTCGCTAGACGCGGGTGCAGGGTCCGCCATGGCCTTTTTTGGTATACAGTATGCAGCTAGGAGAACGCGACTAGTATGTAGTTACCCTTCTCCTATGAATAATCTTAAATCAGGAGAAGAAGCGGTGGGAATATGATGAACGAGGAGGAAACGTCTCATTCGTATGATATATGGAGTATCATGTTATGTTATAGCATGCTCGTAAGCTTTGCCTTGACCTGCAACACCCATTCAATGCGGGGGAATGCCCATGATGACAGGGGTGTTCATGCTACGAAAGCATTTCATCCCGCAGCGCCATCGCCAACGCATTGCATTGTCGCATTGGATCCCGCGTCGTCATCTCCTCTCCTCTCATACGATTATTGCCATCAATCTTCTTCGTCCATTGAAGTCACTCCACGTCGATGTACATCGATCATCCCTCTCCGTCTCCAATATGCCATCTCCCACCCACGTGGGATACCGGCGTGAAAACCTCTGGAGGGTACCCTACTATTCCACCCGATCCTTCTAAATAACGGAGCAGATTTGCATTCTTTTCCGTTTAAATGCTGTTACATTTTAATTGCAATGAGAAGATTTTTGTAGCCATACATATACAGTAGATCATCTATCCCCTTGCTCTGTAGCCCCATGCTGGAAACATGGAGGTATCAGCAAGCATTATCGGCTAATGGATGGCCTTGTGTCTAATACCACGTCCAACATCGCCATTCACCTAGAGGTATGATAACGGCCAAATACGTCCCAAGTACAATTCTAGACAATCAACCAAACTGTTCAATTCCGTGTCTTCCTTATCCCCAATCATGATGAAATTTTGCTCATGTCGAGAGAACGGTTGTGTCCATACCTCCCCCGTCATATTGAATGACTTTAGAGTCGGACACTTATAGCGCTCCCCGAGTCCAAGTTGTATGTGGACCAAATAGGATTACCCATTCAATTCTCACTATAGTAAGATAAGGCCCAAAGCCTCATCTAGTGCTATGATTAACCACTGTAGACAGACGCTTAGATCAAGCGAGGAGCTCTTCCTTGGAGAGAGATCATTGACAACAAGCGTCATGATAAACACGAAGCTTCAAAATATACTTGTAAATAGTCGAGAATATATCTGCATGTCAAACTAAGGTCGACCAGGCGTGTTTTGTTCATTTGACAGCCAACACTCAGCCTCTTTCAGCTGTCAACATCTCGGTGCTTCTACCAGCTCTCGTCTTTTACTTCACTTTGGAAAGACTCGGGTGGTTGTCTTGCAAAGAAAGTGATATTTATGCCAAGACTTGATTTTGTCAAACAACGAACAGGGCGCAGTGGCCCTCGGATTCCAACTCGCCTTCACTACAAGATCATCCTCCCACACCCACCCTCTCTGGTCTGAACAAACTTCTTCGTCTACACCACAACGTCGTTGTACATTCATCAGCATGGCTCAGGCCGAACAGGTCGAGATGGAGTCAGTTAGTGGCCAGCAATCTCATATCAATCAGCTATACATGCGAATGAAAAGGTAATACATTTGCCTCCCCCTCCCTCTGCCAATAACTCAACTTCACAGCTTGTTACGAGACGAGAAGAGATTGAAGTTCGCATGGGAAGACATTGATTATACGTGGCAGAGAGCCAAGAAGGATCATACCCAAACCATGCAGGAACTGAAATACACCCAAAGAGGATTGGACTCAGATTTGGCGCGCCAAAGTGGATGGGCCATGAAGCAGCTAGATAGTAGCTACTACCGCACCCGCGACCAGACTTTGGCTGCATCGGAGGCCGCCCAGAGCGCTGTGAACACCTACGGTCAAGTATTTTGTCGCGAGCTCTGCGATACGATCCAACGGAAACTCCCAACGGAACTCCAAGTACAGATATATGATTATGTGAGAGGCCCCGCGGAGCTCCAAATCGGGGAAAACTCCGTTACCATCGCCTCTGAAGTGGGAAAGATCACGTACCTAGTGGACTTCGATAATCCGCATGGTTTACAACTCATGCCTGGCTGTTCGATAGAACTCCTCCCACACTATCGGAACGCAGAGTACATGGGACGGGAGGTCGTCGACAGATACTTCACTGTGGATCTTTTCCACTCCTTAAAATTCGCATCCCAGACCCTGGTGGAGAAGTTTCTTTCCTCTGATGTTTTGCACCAGGACTGAATCCGGCGTCGTTGGCTCGGAAGGTGACAATCATTTTGCCGACCACACCCTATCCACCCTATCCACCCTATTATACCCAGAAGTGGACGGAGCCGACGCTTGTAAAATGGAGGAACGACAAGCTGGATGCGGAACGTGCGGTAGTAACCGAAGCACTGGAAACAATTCTCCTGTTTGATTCCAAGGCAAAGCTTAGATTGTATCTGCCTGATGACACATTTGCATATCCACCCGAGAAGCCCTGCCGTTGGTGCTACGGCGCAAGTCCGTGGTATCTAGACGAATATTTCCATCCGTTACTCAACAAACTGAAGTCACTTGGCTATACCTTTGAATTCGATTACAATCAGTGGTAGCGATTAACTCAATAAGAGGGGGAGCTTCAAAGGGATATGACGCAAGGGTCATCGACCATTGAAAAGGGCCGTCACATCCGTTTCGATGAAGAGTAGAATGGCTCATGTGCGTTGGGTAGTATAACCCACCGTGGATAATCGAATGCTATAGTGGAACTGATATGTGGCTGTGATGCGGACCTTGTGGACGAGGTCAATGTAAATGTATATTCTAAATTCTACGCAATGGACGTCATTGAGACCAAAACAAATAATAGCGATGCCTGGCTCTGATCCTATCTGTGTTTATATCCATCAAGTAACAAATTGAGCACGACTTCACTATTTTCAACTTATATTCTTGGCCTGTGGTTGAAAGATAAGAGATCATTGAAGACGGCCTGTGATTCGCTAAACTACAATCGTGTAGAAGCATTACATAACCGTTGGCCATTAACTATATCCATGGATGATGATCGTGTCTTCATCAACTACTGTCAACTTTGGCCTGAAATCCCAAAACTCACAATTTTTATACATTCGAGGACTATCTTGGAGTGACAGCTTCGCTTAGAAGGAATGTTGATGAGTTTAACATTACCATGACCATAGGACCAGAGATTACCGCCTATTACGGCACCGTCATCCACTCAACCTCACCGGCCGGTCTACGTATTCTCGACAACACTCTCTTGATAATTTCGCACGTCACGGGAAATATCGACCACCTGATACCAGGCCTCCAACCAGACCGGCTATCATCCACACTTGCGTCGCTTCATCACTCCAATATAACAATCAATCGCCTCTCCGCCGCTCAATTCATTATACCTGGCTTCATTGATACCCACAACCACGCACCACAATGGCTCACCCGAGGCCTCGGTCAAGGCATGCACATTCTGGACTGGCTTCGCGAAGTCACATTCCCAGCAGAAGCCCGATACGCCGACGAGGAACATGCTCGACTTTCGCACAAGCTACTAGTAAAGGGCATGCTTCGGCAAGGTGTCACTACTGCCAGTTATTACTCCTCTTTACACGGCCCAGCCACGCGGATTCTTGCAGATACATGCCTCAGCATGGGGCAGCGCGCACTAGTGGGCAAATGCAACATGAACCGCGGATCTCCGGGCAACTATATCGACGCGTCTACGGAACAATCAATGAAAGTGACCCACGAATGTATCGACCACATCCGCACCATCGATCCAGAAGCATCGTTCGTTCGCCCAGTCCTCACGCCTCGGTTCGCTATCTCATGCACGCCCGATCTGCTTACGCAACTCGGTGCCCTTGCGGCGAAGGAGCCCACTATTCCCATCCAAACGCACTTCAACGAAGCCCAGCAAGAGATTGATGCCACTTTATCTCTGTTCCCTTCCCACAAGGATGAGGTATCTCTGTACTCTTCCTTCGGCCTCCTCAACGATCGCTCGATCCTGGCACATTGCACAATCATGAAGTCAGAAGAAACGCAGCGCCTCGCGGAGTTGGGTTGCGGTATCGCACACTGTCCCACAGCCAACATGACCGTAGGAGGAGGCTTCATGGCTGCACCCGTGAGAGACTTCCTCAACAGAGGCATGAAAGTGGGGTTGGGAACCGACTCGGGCGGCGGCTATTCATCGTCCATGCTGAATGCAATGAGACATGCGCTTATTGCGTCTTTCGCTCGGGAAGCAAATCACGGTGATTCTTCCATGAAAGGCCTGTCTATTGATGAAGCATTTTGGATGGCTACGCTGGGTGGTGCGAAGGTCGTCGGCTTAGGTGATAGCATTGGCAATTTCGCAGTTGGGAAACAGTTTGATGCTGTGTTGGTTGATATGGATAGTGGCCTAGGGGGTGTGAATGCACCATTTCAAGGTTTCGATTCGCCCAGGACTTTGTTTGAAAAGTTCATATTGACGGGGGATGATCGGAACATGCTGAAAGTGTTTGTCAATGGCAGGCTTGTACATTCGCAAAGTTGATGAAATGGAACCGCATAAATGAGCCGATTTGTGCGAATCAATAATTCGTCATCTGGTTGTCATCTCTTTCCAAATCCGACTTTACTTCCAGCGATTTCAACTTCTCTTGAGCAATGTGACGAATCACGTGAGACCATCACCTGACCTATGACGTAGGTGTTTATGACTCTCATGTTTACAGCGTCACCCATATCAGCTCTTACCAAGTCGCAAATTCGTGCCCAGCGGTTAAACTATTGCATGATCTTGATGAGACTCGTTGCCTCTCTTGCACTACGTTTGACTCCCACAGCGAAACCAAAAAGATGGCTACCAAAACTCTAACAGCAACATGCCATTGCACGTCCTCAACCCTTTCGTTCGCTGTTCCTACGTCCTCGTTCCCTCTCGTCACACATTTTTGCAATTGCAGCATCTGCCGATATACCCATGGCACATTAGCGAGCATCCACACGAGCATACCAGATCCCCCTACTATCACCAATCCTGACACCTTCACAACCTACAAATCAAGTAAGAAGGTGACGAGATGGTTCTGCAAGACATGTGGAGCGCATCTTGTAGACTGTGCAGTGAGTAGTAAGGGGGTAGAAAGTTGGTGTGTTGCTACCTCTCTCGTCGGCGGTGTGGAGGGAAGTAGAGAAGAGTTGTGGGAATTCAAGAGGCATATCTTTGTCGGCGATACCGAGGATGGAGGCCTGGCGAATTGGATTTTTGAGTATGATGGAAAGAAACTTGAGAAGTGGATTGGCAGGGATGCAACAGTTAGAACTGAGGAGAACAAGCATGGGGACTGGGTTCATCATGACGTAGGAAACAAGGAAAAGAAGGAAAAATCGAATGTAGCTGAAGACAAGCTGAAAGCCTCGTGCCATTGTGGGGGAGTCGAGTTCTACATTTCCAGGCCTGGAGGAGACAAGGCATTTGACAGCCTCCCTTCGTCACTCACACCGAAAGATAGGGATAAGTGGTACGCTTCAAACGACGTGTGCGACTCCTGTCGACTCGTATCTTCCTCCATGGTCGTATCGTGGGTATTTCCGGATACATCGCATATTTCGCTACCAGATGGTTCGCCATGGCGTTTTGAGTTTGGTACCGCAAAGACCTACAAGACCAGTGAGGATGTGACGAGAAGCTTCTGCGGTACGTGTGGGGCATTGGTATGTTACTCTACAGCCGACAGGCCGGATATGATCGATATTGGGGTCGGTCTCCTTCGTGGGAAAAGCGTATTGTGTGAGGATTGGCTGGAATGGAGAACAAATAAACTTTCCTGGGAAGAGGACTGCAAATGGCCGGGATTTTCAGAGTCCTTGAAGAAGGGGTTGAAACAATGGGGTGAATTGAAAAAGCCTGCAGAGGGATCACGCGAGAGACTTTGAGGCTATGAACTACTGGCAATGACGACATGGCATCTTTTCAGCGTCATGAAAGACTCATAGACCTGTAGATGACCATCACATAGCCCCTTTGCGTTACGAATCCGTTTCTCCATCGAGCCCTAGGCAGTAATTTGGTCGACGTTCAGCCACGAGGACGAGCAAAAGGGCTCCAAGAGAGCAGGTTTCTTCGGAACCTTCTCAACTAGGAAGAGAAAGCCGCGTGCTCGACCCTCCTGACTATGTGTGGCTGAAGTTGAGGGACGAACGAACCGCGTTTCGAAGCTATCTAGGGTGGGCGCATGGCCATTGTGCGGTTAATGTTGGCCATACCTTCCTCCAACAAATAATGCAATGCTTCATAATATACAATTATTTGATAAGGTGATTCGCATCTCGAGCAAAGGCAAACGTTCGACAACGGTATGAACCAGCAACAATTCTACACCACACACTCAAAGATATCTTAGGACCGTTGATACTCCTTCGTCGTTGTAAACGTTCGCTAGGAAAGCTCGGTAAGACCGCCCTTCGTTCTTCGTTTATCTCCCCGTTAGCTGGGAATCATGGAGCTACCTTGAAACAGCCTTGCACAGATTATTATCGCATAACAATGGGAGGCTATGTACTACTACCCATTTGCCCGATTTGTGGCGCAAAGCAAGATTTCCCTACCATCAGTAACCTATCACGACCACTGTTTCGCGCCCAAAAGCCATGATACCGTCTACAGCTGCCTCAACCGAGCCTGACTTTTGGCCTTCAACATGCAAGAACCGCCTCCGTATTCCTTTCCAACACCACCCCATGTTAAGCACAAGCCTGGGGAGGTTTACGGTTTATTTCTGGTAGTCGTGCCCACCAATGAAAGTGCTGTTCACCTTGTCCAATACGATGTGGTCAAGCGAGGCTAGTCCTGTTTGGGGGCGTTCATACAAATTGTGCCGCATGGCGACATATGGCCCCCAATACCAGCCTCCCGTCTCGAGCGTTCCGTATCCCGATAAACGCTCTAGGCGACAATGAAGGAGCCGGAGCATAGGGATAATGATGGTATATGTGATGTGGAATACTATATATCATCCAGTACGTTAGACATTATACAGCATTGAGTTTACCAAGTTCTATTTGACACCATCTTCAATATGCTCTGTCATTTCTAAATCATTGTTATTATTTTGACCATATACTGGAAATTCACTCTCATATCCGAGCTCTTTGAAGGATGGCGTGCAATGTTGCTGGTTACCAAGGTGGTGTTAACCCGTTGCGTGAAGCGTCATCTTCAAACAGGCTTCCTGCCGTCACAAATCCAGTAACACCTCCACGATCGCGTCAAGGACTGAAGGAGAATCCAATTGTGATTGAATCAGACACGAGCGATTCAGAAAGCGAAGAAGGGAGCGAGTATGAAGACAAAGATGACGGCGACGAAGAAAGCGATGACTCCTACGAAAGTGATGGAGAGCACGATGACTTATTCGATATTGACGAGGAAAATAGAGCTTCGACCCCGGTGACCCCACCTATGGATGAACGGATCGGAAAGGACTACAATCTGCAAACACCCTCGAAGAAGAAAGATGGCAGCTCCTCGGATCAATGCAGTGACGATGATGCGGACGAGGACTCCCGGATCACTAGATCGGGGACGAAATACCCAAACCTCCGACGAGGTTCAAATGCCCAGTTTGCTGCTAGTAAGTGTACTCAAGTTTTAAGCCGTCTTGTAATTGTAGTAGCATCCGGCTGACTGTTACCTACTAGTTCAGAATGAATCATCCATTGGCAGCTCTGCTATTCCTATCAGACTTAGCACGTCTAGATCTTTCGGACCTGAAACCGAGAAATCAAGGGATAAAGGTCCCCAGACAGACGGAATGTGTTCACCACAAGCAGGCACGCTCGTACGCACTCAGATTATCAGCTCCTCCGCCAGCTCTAGTGGCGCAGCAAGCATCGTCCCATCCGACACTCGTGAGAAACTGCTAAAAGATATGACCCTATATACTACAACACCCACTCATTCTACCATGCGTCGCAATAAGAAGGTAGACAGAGGTAGTACGGCATTAGCAGAGCTTTACGGGGAACCCTCAACACTTGTCAACGGCTCCAAACAACAAAAGACATCAGTACATCCCTTCTCCGAAGAGCTCAGCGGCGACATCCGAAAAATCTTTGACAAGCCCCGCTGCAAGAGTGAAATGGAGGATGGATATGTGTACATTTTCAAATCGGACAGACACAAAGGCCTGATCAAGATAGGGTTTTCGGTGCACAATCCAGACGGGAGATTGAAAGAGATTGAGGGGAAATGCAAAGTGCCCTTGGTGTTTGTCTGGAGGACCGGACTGATCCCACACGGACAACTCCTGGAAAAGGCGGCGCATGCTGAATTAAAAATGGACAAGGCGACTTCTCCATGCAAATGCAGAAAGAAACACAGAGAGTGGTTCACCACCGATCAAGAGCATGTTAAAAAAGTATTTCAGAAGTATGCGAATTGGTTAGAGACAAAACCTTATGTGGAGGAGACAGTCGTGCGGTATGTTCTAGCTAATGAGAGCCGGCAGAGGATGGAGGAGGTGAGCAGGCCGATACCGAAAGATTCACATGATTGAACTGAGTGTTGATGCAACATAGCTCAGGCCGATCGGCTGACGATCGAGCGTAGCTGCGCGGCAAGTGTAGATGTACCTAGGTAGTCTTAGTATGATATATCTTGTATTTCGTAAATAATTCCTGATTCGTCCAACATTCCGAAGCATTCCTTAAATTTGATCATTACCATCATACTCCACTTAGCGGTCACTGTTACAATACCTGTAATTGCTGTTCAATAGCAGATCTTCTTCAACTCAATGCCTATATATAAAATGATTCCATTATCCCAATACTATTACAATATATTATAGTATACCTACTGTGCGCTGGCATCATGTCGGAATTATCTCCCGGTCTTGCTTTATTGTTTCACGTGACATCTGAATAGCATCATTCCATCCTACTAAACCGCCTATTCCAAGTATTACCCAGCATCAATATTCTTTCGAGTTTCGAGGAAATATGCTAATCAGTTTAAAAAATTGACTTGAAATACCTACTGCTGTGCCAACATTCCTTACCCTGCACATTCTCAGCATCTAGTTCCGAGGCCTTTCCTGGGTGCACGATCTTTACTTTCTCGAATAGCGACACCTCGAATATGCTACTTCGGAGTGGTGCATAGGCCAACATCTTTCTCGTGGGTTGACCTTGGTCACAATTCTAGGCGTCGTTGGCCACTGATTCATCAAACATCACCACAGAGAGCACGTTTAGCTTTGGTGCCGAAGACTCAAACTGGGTCATGGACCTTGTTTACACAGACGGCATAGATGACTGGCTTAGATTGACAAAAGGCATTTCACGTATTTTTGCATACATTCATGCCACTTTTGTAGATGCTAAATAAATTGTATCCACCTAACTGTAGTTTAAAGGCGTTGTATGAAGTCAAGGGATGAAGTAACGGCGTTCTGAAGCTACAAAGGTAGATGCACGGCTCTTGTGCGGTTGTTGTTGGCCATACTATCTAGCAACAAGTAGTGCAAGGCTTCAAGATGCACAATTCTTTAAGAAGGAATTTCTTACTGTAAAGCTGAAGCAAATGTGTAAAAATACCTTGCATAGATTGATCCGACTGACTAGGAGAAAATAGGGCACTATGCCTAGCACGCCTAGGTAGGTATGTACTGTGCATCCCCAACCCCGCATGAATTGACACTAGTATTGCTTAGGTGCTTCCAAACCACTCACACTTATTGGAACCACCCGCCACCTGCACCTAACCTACCTCCAACTACCCACCACCCACCCACCGTGCCACCAACTCAAGGTATTTATATTAACTAGGTACCTTGCCCATCAGTCTCACTACTCCGCCCGTACCGATTAGGTAGTCTTTGCTCTCTTTTCTACAGTCCTGTCCTGGCCTGCCCTGCCCGCATAGGGCCCGTCTAGAGAGAAACGTACGAGTATCTGCAACACCCACAGCACGGGAGAACTTCTTGGTCTGGATTGCACGTCTTCATTGAGCCAATTACTCCAACCGCAGAGCAGGCAAGTAACCATGCGGCCAAAAACAGTTATTCCCCCGTGCAAATTCTGTCGGAAACGCTTCCAACGTAATGAACATTTACGGCGGCACGAAAGAACACGTGAGTCTTTCTCTACACAGCAATCACCAGGAGGGGACCGTCCAACAGGAAAAGCAATGAATGTGGCTCTGAATGGAATATAGACACAAATGAGAAACCCTACTCTTGTCACTGTGGTCAGGCCTTCTCGAGAAGGTGAGTCGCATTAACCTTTGCCCACCAGCTGCGTTGAGTGCTACGGGCCTATCTCAACACTTCAAGGTAACAACTTGTTCACAAATCCGCAGCGACCTGCTCACCAGGCATGCGAAGCTCGCTCATGCAACGCATGGAACCGAACGCACGACTGTGGACGACCCCGCCAATAGCTCCACAGCATGCATCACCCAGGATGACCCATCAGACACAGGCGAGCATGCGCGCTCTTTCCACAATGTTGCAAGTGACGGTCGGGTATACCATACGGTTCCTGTATCTAACCAATCCATGGCCGTTGAGATCTCCGGCGCTCTTCACGAGCCTGGTCTGAATAACCAGAATAACGAGGCGGGTGACGACACTTCGACCGTTTACCACACATCCGACGCGTCCAATGCACACCCAAATGTCCTGGAATCCCTCAATAGCCAATTCGAAACAGGCTATCAAACATTTGACGATCTTGATATATTATGGAACGATTTCAATTTCTATACTCCACTGCCGATGCCAGCTTCATATGCCAGCAATTATCCAATGAACTTCGTGTCCATGTCGCAATATGGATTCCCTGAACTTGATGTTGCCATGCCCATCAATGCAGAGACCGTACAGGACGACCCCTATGAGTCTGGGGTTATGACTGCATCAGAATCGCGTCTCCATTCTGGGCAAGTGCAATATGTCAGCGATGATAGAAATGCAAATTTCAATCAGGAGAGAGTGCGAGCCGATCACATGAACACATTTAGCACGGCAGGAGCGGAAAGGGGTGTATCCATGCCATGGGTGTTATCAAAAGAGGACTACCGGGCGGCTGGGCATGTTCTTAGTGACTACAATGACATCCTGCCTACGGATTTCGAATTTCCGTCTCGGCACGCAATGTGTCGTTACATCGAGGGCTATTTCTCGGGTTTCCATGAACATCTTCCGTTCATTCACCTGCCTACATTTAACATTGCGACTGAAGCCCCGGAGCTAGTGTTAGCTGTTGCTGCTGTTGGCGCACGCTATCGTTTCCAACGCCAACAGTCCCATCATCTCTATGTCGCAGCTAGGATGTTGACAGAACACCAACTCCGCTATCGTGATGGAGATGAGGTCCCTACATCAATTTTTAGCACCCCCGGTTTGTTAAGCCACGGCCTTGCGAACCCAGACTCTCCGGTCTCAGATAAAAGCATCCCCAATTCAAGGGGCAATTCTTCCACATATCCACAAGCTTCGATCCATAGAATAAGAGAACGGGACATTAAGACCATGCAAGCAATAATACTACTTGTGGCCCTTGGTACATGGAATCATCGATCCCTTATCAAAGATGCCTTTTCCTTGGCCAGTCATCTGGCCCTGATGCTTCGCGAAGACAAGCATGAGCTTGACCAGGGTCCGCTCTCAGAATCTACCTGGAGAGAGTGGGTGCGCAGCGAAGGTAGACGACGTACTAAGCTCGTTGCTTTTGCGTTCCTAAATCTTCACTCACTCGCCTACAATATTACTCCCAAAATCATGATAAGGGAAGTAAGTGAAGTGATCCTACCTTCCCCTGAATCACACTGGAGAGCTACGAGTGAGACTCAGTGGGTGTCCGCACGCGATACCGATCCTCACGTTAGAGTCCCTCTACGCGAAAGGCTAGCCAGTATTCTGGCCGACAATGTCGAAGATGATCGTCAGCATCCATCCCATTTGTCTTCTTTCGGAAACTACATCTTGATACACTGCATACTTCAGCAGATATTCTTCACCAGACAATCAACATGCCAGTCCCTCTCACTAGATGGTCATATTCTCCCCTCCGAAGTTCTCTCTAAGTTTGGAAGAATTCTTATGATCTGGCAGCACCATTGGGAAGCCACGAAAGATTCTTCGCTAGATCCGTCTGCCCCCAATGGTCCATTGAGCTTCAACTCTACCGCCCTCTTTCGGCTGGCACATCTTAGACTTCACAGCGACTTGGGTTCTTCCCTTCAACTGGACACCCGGGATGCAGAAAGTATCACAAGAGCTTTCCGAGATTCTCCACTCCTAGTACGATCTCCAGATGCGCTTCGAGCGGCTCTTCAATGCGTGCAGTCCTTGAGCATCCCAATACGCATCGGAATCGAGTTTGTTGCACGGACTCAAACCTTGACTTGGAGCATCATTCATAGTTTGGTCAATCTGGAGTGTGGACTATTCCTCTGCAAGTGGCTAGAGACAGCCGCCTCGACCATCGCTATGAGTGAGCCACTACGGGAAGATGAGAAAAGACTGATTGGCATTGTTATAAGTACTTTAAACGAAACAGATTTTGGAGCCGTGGTTAGAGCCGAGTCTGCTGAAATAAGGCAACTCAAACGCATGGAGATGGCTATACTTCGCCTCTGGGCACAGACCTTCAAAGGCGCTCACGTTTTTGACATCATGGGGACAATTGGACAAGGGTTGGACCTCTGTGCGGAGATGCTCCGCCAGGAGCTCGATGAATGTTAATCCAAGATGCCCTCTGCATGTATGTTCAGGAATATCTGCTATCTATTTTTCTCCACGTACTATTAGCTTCTTGAAGATGTTGCATTGGGGTAGTAACTGTGGTACTCTTTTGTTGCTAGCTGACGAGCGGCCAGTAACGTCTGTTGGGGTAGAAATGGCACGTGGAGAAAGTGACTACCCCAACTTACGTATTTGTTGTAACGGCCCGTTTGGGCATATTATAGTACGGGGTCTAGACTGGACTGGTAGTGTACCTTTATTCGGAGAGTGGGGTAAGGGGTAGACGATACACGGTAGGAGGTGGATGACCCCATGGGGATTTGTTTTAGCACGGCGCATCCAGGTAAAGCTCGTCTGTGGCCAAGTTGGGGATCATGAACTTTCCCTCTTGGCTATATCGATATGTTCAGTTAAAGATCCCCCATGCCCCGGATCATGCAAGATCATCATCTCATTCAAGGTCTTATTCTACGTTGAAGAACTTCTGACCGTATCGTCATACTATATCATCAATGGGTTACACAAACTACTACAATTATCTCGTAGTAACTTTTGTTGCTTTGGGAAGCTTTACCTATGGTTTCAACTCTGCGTATGTGAATCATGCTTCCGATCTGAGAATCTGCCAACCTAACAATCGACAGAATCATGGGGTTAGTCATTGGACTTCCCGAATTCTTTCGTTACTTCAATATAAACCTAGATGATGATACCGGAAGTTCAATCACAGGTGGTAAGCTAACGAAATTACGACACCCTGTTCTTCATCAAACTCACAATTATTGAAGCTACCAATGGGCTTTACTCTGGTGGAGGTGCGATAGGATGTATTTTCGTCCCATGGCTCTTAGGGGCAGTTGGCCGGCGAAAGACGATACAAATCGGCTCAGTGGTTGCGATTATCTCGGCTGCTTTACAATCTGGAAGTGTTCACATTGTACATTATCCCAGCCAACCCAAGAATTCTAAGCAGTTTTGCTGACTTTGCTCATAGGCCATGTTTCTTCTCGCGCGTTTCCTTAACGGGGTCGCTGTAGGCATGCTAAATACTTCCATTCCAGTCTTCCAATCCGAAGTCTCACTGGCGCAAGAGCGTGGGCGCATGGTTGGTACTCATGGCGTTCTGGTAGTCACTGGGTACAGTGTAGCTGGTTTTGCAGGTTTTGGAACATACTACGCTCGACCGGAAATTACCTGGAGGCTCTGCCTGGCACTTCAAATCGTGGCTCCGCTGTTGCTCATGCTTGGATCTCCTTGGTGCGTTCTATGCATTCACTGACTTCTTCGGATTTTCTACTGACTAAGCGCCATTTACAGGCTTCCCGAATCGCCTCGCTGGCTGGCACTGAAAGGCCGTCACCAGGAAGCGTACACCACTCTAAAAGCACTGCATGCCCGGGGTGAGAACAGCTCAGACCAGGTTGCAAAAGCAGAATTCTGTCAAATTGTACAGCAGCTTCAGTTCGAGAGGGCCACAGCTGCACCTAATAGCTGGATCTCAATTTTCAAGGCACCGAGCTACCGTAAAAGACTGCTTCTCGGATTCGGAGTCCAATTTATTGCTCAGAGCACTGGAGTACTAGTCGTCAACAACTACCAAGTTTTACTCTACAACTCCCTTGGTATCAGCGGGTCACTGCCCCTTCTCCTGAATGGTGTTTATAACGGCATGGCGGCGTTCATGAACTGGATCAACTCCTTGTTCCTTGACCGACTTGGACGGATACGTATCATGCTGATAGGACTTGTAAGACCTGATTTGCCTAAGAACACCTATACCTTTCCAGGAAGCTGACAATTTATCATCAGACAGGCTGCGTGTGCTCTCTGATCGGCCTCACGGCCATTATCGCCGAGTTCAGCGGTACCTCCAACCGGATCGGGAACGGATTTGGGGTTTTCTTCCTCTTCCTATTCGTCTTTTTCTATGGTGGCACCATGGATGCGACTTCCTACGTCTATTGCGCCGAGATCTTCCCTACATCCGTTCGCGCGCAGGGCAACGGTTTTAGCGTCGCCGGACTCTTTACCGCAACCTTGATATATACGCAAGTGGCCCCGACAGCCTTTGCGAAGATAGGGTGGAGATACTATCTCGTGTTCATCATTATACCGACAATTGGCGCGCTGTTCATGTGGCGATTCTTTCCAGAGACAAAAACATTGAGCTTGGAGGAAATCTCAGGCCTGTTTGGCGACGATGTGGCCTCTGACATTACGCAGCTCAGCGAGCGCGAAAGGACTGGATTTGACTCTACCTTGGAAGAAATCCTGGACTCTGTTCTTGGTACTGCGAGCACACCGCCTCAGGGACTCCCTGGTAAGGACATTGGCCTGAAGAATGTGCATATCGAGAGAACTAAGGACTCAGGCAATGATGTTGTTTAATTGGCAGCAAGCTCTGTGGTGCTAATACCATCAAACAACGTCTGCAATTCTTGTCATAAAGAGGGAATTATATTTATTGGGAAGCATCTGTTAGCTAAAGGAAGCAAGATTACTGTAGCCTTGGGTTGTGTCTTATTGAAGTTAGATCTCAATCCTTGGAATATGAACCTTAATTCTGGGTGAACATCCACGCCTTGGAACAACATTCAACGGTAGCTGTGATAAAACAACCTTTGCCGATCTAGAAGTTCGTTTGCTGTTCATTGTTTAAAATTTGGTTTGTAACGGGAAACATAAAATGATCAGGATGTGGATTGATTTACACCACGGATGCGGTCTTCCATCTCCTTAGACTCAAGTAGACCGGGTTTTATAGGAGATGAAGCTTGAATAGGCTATCTTGACTGAATGAATAGAATCATTCCAATGCACCAGTGAACCGAAATCCTAACATTTTTAAGGCGTATATAAGAGAATAGATACGCTGTATTGACCGTTCAAGTTTAATTTTCTCTCATTGTGAGTTGAACGTATTTAAATCTAACTTAAATGCCCCTTCCACCATCTACAGGAAAATTGACACCAGTGATGAAGCTTGCCTCATCGGAACATAAGAAAAGAGCAGCATTAGCAACATCATCAACTTCGCTCAAACGGCCCAAAGGGACATTTGATATGTACTTTGCGCGGTTCTCCAACGTATCAGCAACCCCAGTAAAGGCTTCAAATCTGTGATTGTCAGTTTCCAAAAGTGAAAAAAGATCGCAATAAAGTTCTTACAGCCCTGTGCCCGACAACAGCGGGCAGATACTGTTCACCCGGATGTTTTTTGGTCCATACTCCAATGCAAGACCTTTTGTGGCATTTGAAACTGCGCCCTTGCTCGCATTGTACCATACCAGACCGTGGCGAGGCCTATCGGCGCCAACACTGGAGATGTTCAAGCAAACCCCACCGCCCTGGGTGAGAAAATTAGGGAAAACCGCTTGGATCGAATGGAAGATACCGAAACAATTAACGTTGAACGTCAAGTGATATTCTTCCTCCGTCACTTCCAGAGTAGGCTTGTTCTTGTGGCTTGTGCCAGCATTGTTAACAAGAATATCCAACCTGCCAAACTCTGTGATGATGCGCTTCACTGCTGCATCCCAGTCTGATCGTTTCGTTACGTTCAGTTCACCTGCAATGACCCGATCCGGGTACTTATTGGCGATGGCTGAAGCTCCGGTCAAGTTGATATCACCGATGAAAACTTTGGCTCCTTCTTCCGCAAAACGGGCTGATATGGCTGCGCCGAAGCCGGATCCACCCCCTATAGTCACCGTCAACACAAGTACACAAACAATTCTAATACAAGTCTTACCCGTAACAAGTGCAACTTTACCACTGAGTTTATTAGGCATATCGGTTCTAATCCAGCAAGCTGTCGTATTTAAAGCGATATTGCGTCTTTTCAGGGCTGCGAGAAAGACATTGTATTTAAGCAACTGTGATAGCCTTGATTTGGGGAAGATCTGGGGCGTAACCAAATCCCCGCATTACTGTAATAGAGCTTGGGGATGGCATGAGCTTGACAATCCCCAAAAAATGAAGGGTACATGGAGAGAGTCCCCAAATTACCCAATTGCTTGGCACTAGGGGAATCTTCCACTTCTTTACACAGTCGGAACCCTTGCGTGCTAATTGAGAAGACTGCTTTGGTGTTTTTGAAATACCATGTATTACCCCGACTCATGATTACCGTCGTTGTTGATAAATCTGGTACTATCTCCAGTCAATTGTGGAGTTCGCCAGAGGTCCGAAGGGAAAAGACAACAAGCTTTGGCCGTTTCGACCCCAATTCAAGTTGGGGCTTGGAGTAAATTGGTAACGCAGACCCGGAACTTCAATGCTGTTTCCGGGCCAAGCGTAACTGAGATGAATACCAAATCAGGTGACGATGACAAAGAGTTCTTTCTGTTCTGTGGATATAACAGTATTGATAAATAACCCAAAAAGCCTTTGCCGTCTGACATTACCTTTATGTCTCAACGGAGCCTTTGCGTTGCTATCAGACTTGACATTTACTCTGCATCTCTCGTCGTCGTTACGCTTTCTACCACACCTTACTACCTCCAAGAGAGTATCTGCAATGGCGCATTTTCCTTTCAAGGTTAGAAGATTCAAATCCAAAATGACTTCTTTACCAGGGGTTGATCAATCATAGATGGCGGATGTCGAACTACTGAAGACGGAGGCGTACGTGCAAGGAACCTGGACTGCGGCCTCGTCTGGCAAGCGCTTTGATATAGAAGGTATTGTTACGATTGCAGACATTTCTTGATACAGATACACGGACGCTAATGTAAAATGATTCATCAAGATCCTGGTACTGGCAAAGTCTTTGCGTCGTGTCCAGACTTCAGTGCATCAGATGTCGACGCGGTCGTAGAGTCGTCCTCCCGGGCATTTGAGGAGTTCCGTAAAGAGAATCCACGTTCGAGAGCACAAAAGCTTCTTGAATGGGATCGCCTTATTCGAGAGAGCAAAGATGATATAGCTCAAGTTTTAACGTACGAGTCAGGCAAGCCCCTAGCAGAGGCGCATGGTGAGATCGAGTACGCATTGGGCTTCACTTGGTGGTTCGCTGGCGAGGCTGAAAGAATCCGAGGAAATTTGAGCATACCTTCCCAGCCTAATCGAAGAGTGGTGGTTACGAAACAGCCCATCGGGGTGTGCGTGGCCCTCGTCCCTTGGAATTTTCCAATTGCGTACGTTCACATATCGTTTCTAACATTGAAATGCGGGTCTAATTTGTGTCTGTTAGCATGATTCTGCGCAAGGTTGGAGCTGCCCTAGCTGCTGGGTGCACAATAATTGCCAAACCGTCACCAGAAACCCCGTTGACCTGCCTCATCCTGGCGAACCTCGCGGTGAAGGCAGGATTTGCTCCCGGCGTCTTCAACGTAATTACTTCATCGATGGACAACACACCAGAAGTGGCTGAGAGGCTATGCAAGCACCCACTAGTCAAAAAGGTATCCTTCACAGGTTCAACGACAATCGGTAGTTTGATAGCCAAACACTGTGCCGAAGGACTGAAGAAGGTTTCATTAGAGCTTGGTGGCAATTGTCCATTCATTGTCTTCGATGATTGCAATCAAGAACAAGCTTGCGAAGAGCTTTTGAAGCTCAAGTGGAGGCATGCTGGCCAAGCATGCGTTACGGCAAATAGGGTGTATGTTCAATCTGGAATATATGAAGAGTTTGTCGCCACATTGGCAAAACGTACGAGCATCCTCAAGTTAGGACACGGTATGTCATCAGATACTACCATAGGTCCGCTGACAACAAAGCGTGGCGTGTCCAAAGCTCAAAAGCATGTCGAAGATGCCATTGAGAAGGGAGGCAAAGTGATCGTCGGGGGAAAATCCGGGAAAGGACTGGGTGATGGTTTCTTTTTCGAGCCAACGATCATCCGAGACGCCAAACAGTCTATGCTGATTAGTCAGGAGGAGACATTTGCACCAGTATTGGCTGTGTATCGCTTTGATAGCGAGGCTGAGGTCGTGAAAAATGCGAATGATACTAGCATGGGACTCGCTAGCTACTTTTTCACGAAAAACATCGACCGCGCCTGGCGCCTGCTCGAGAACCTTGAGGCGGGGATGATTGGCATGAACACTGGTAATTCTTCAGCTGCAGAGTCGCCCTTTGGAGGGATGAAGCTTTCTGGGTACGGCAAAGAATCTGGGAAGGATGTTGCTGTAGAGGAGTATCTTGTATCAAAGACAGGTACCATGACTTTAGAGGGGCATTATTGAATGCCATGAGAAGTAATAGGTAGCATCTCTAATTCCTGTTGGATTGAGACTATGCATTACGTACATCGCTTATTCGTGAAAGAAAATGGTCAACAATTAATTGTCGATGATAAAACAGTGTCCGGGGATAGGTACTTGGATCGACACTTTCCACGAGAGCTTCAATCACGTACATGTTTGCATGCTGCTCGAAACTTCACGACGATATTTGTTGCATTGCGAAACTCTCGATCTAATCTTCAAGCAATGTCTTTGTCGATTAAAATCACGGCCTTGCACTAACGGCACAATTACTTAGTTAGGGGTTGCGCGGGTTAAATCACGGTGGAAATGGTCATTCCTTGGTATGTTCCCATGAAGTTCGGAATATGTACATACTGATCATCTGTCTACGCCCTACTCTTCCCGGGGGCAATCAAGTGTACCGACAATATAAGAAAAGGAAGTCTTCGTGCCTCGTGAGTGCCCTCCCGTCTCCTTTTCTCCAACAAAGTGGGACAAAACTCGTACGAAGGTTTACTTGTGAGTACAGCTACCAACGCACAGACTTGCTACCCCGCACAATAATGTACTCCGTAACGATGGCCGCGCAAACATTGGGGTAAAAACGTGGCTCTACCCCAGTATTATGCATGGACGCATCCATGATCGATGTTAATGTCAATAATATAATGCGATGGCGTACAAATGAAACTTGCTTAAAATTTCGTCAATTCGATTCCTTTCTTGCCTTATTCTTCCCCTCTTCCTTCCAATAGCAAACATGGCGACCAACGTATGGGAACACATTCTGTCGAAGCTTTGGAAGATCTCCAATACTTTGAATGAAAGTCTGGCCACTGACAATCAACTCCATGCCTTCCTTGACAGCTTGGATTCCAATAAAGCCGTGCTTTTCGGATGGACTGCTTGCGGTGTCCAAGAGGGAATCCTTTGCTCAGTCCAACACGGCCAGGCATCTGTAAGGATCGGCAAAGTTACTGAGGCAGACTTCATCCTGACTGCTCGGGCAGATCAATGGCAGCAATTCTACAAAGATATTCCGAAGCCCCCTTTCCAAAGCTATTGGGGCATGTATGGCCAGAATATCCACCAAGAAGGTGTTGAGGTCCTCGGCAATCATGACCTCTTTTTGAACCTTGCAGCAGTTTGGCGGCGAGTACTTGAGTTAAGCCACGATGCCCTTTGTGGACCCATCCCTGAAGAGCAGATTCCTGCTCCTTCCGAGACCGATCATATCACCGGGAAATACACTTATCTTAATCTGGCGACTTGGGGCGCCACCAAGCTCTTCTACGAGCAGAGCGGAGACGTATCGAATCCCAGTATTGTGTTTCTGCATACTGCGGGTAGCGATGGCCGTCAATATCACGGTGTCATGAACGACGAAACCATGCTGAAGCGATACCATATGACGGTTTTTGACATGCCTGGACATGGCCGCAGTTTCCCAGGAGAGCTTCAGACCCCTGGGCGACATTCCAACAATGAGGATGCCTATGTTGGAGTCATCGCAGCTGTCATCAAGAAGCTATGTTTAGAAAAGCCGGTTGTTTGTGGTGCCAGCATGGCTGGACATGTTTCGCTTGCAGTGGCTCTGCGTGTGGATGAAGTTGGCGCTGGGGCTGTTATTCCATGTCAAGCGTGAGTCTCCCCTAGAAGTTGGTAGTTGATTGGTCTAAACTAAGAGACATTTGTTAGGTGTGAATTCACGGACATGAGCAGGAACAACTGGGCAAAGTCAGCATTCATCAACCAAGCATTGTTCAGTCCGGAATATGTTTATGGGGTAAGAAACCCCTCATCTACACCAACTGGTTTTGAATCGAGACTAACCAGATACCCGATTCAGATGATGGCACCCCTTTCCCCTCAACGGAACAAGAATCTTCTGTGGCACATATACTCCAGTCAGGCATTCTCCATGTATCATGGGGACCTTGATTTCTACTATGGAGGATGGGATGGGCGTGGACGCGTGGAATGCATCGACACCAAGAAGTGTCCCGTGTACATGCTGACAGGAGATTATGATTGGAGTACAACACCAGAAATGAGTGAGGCAACAGCAATGAAGATTCCAGGCGCTAAGTTCCAGCGTATGGAAAATTTGGGCCACTTCCCAGCGACAGAGAATCCTACAAGATTCGCACAGTATCTCGTACAAGCCATGGATTATGTTATTGGACAAATGAAGGCAAACTCATGTAGTTGATCTGTAACCTAAACAACATCTTTTTTATACCTAGAATCCTTTTGGCAATGAATTTTGCATGATAACATCGCTGAAGTCTCTTGTCGAAATTCTCCATCTATCGTTCATGTGTACCTGCATATGTCCATCGTGGCCATTCTTTTTCAGTGTTAGCAGCATTACTCCAGTCAATTGCATGCGACAATCAACACATCCACATGAACTAATAAGTGATTAGAATTATATTTGTCCCTAGTAGGGAGTTTCGGTATTCCCCCTTGTAGCCCCGCACTAGACTCAATATTTGATACCTTGGTGGGACTGGAAGTCCGGGCGCTGTGGCGTGGCTTGCTGTCTAACAACTTGAAGCTGTGAGCTCCTAGTCTGATTATTTGTTGGGTTATTTGTTGGGTTATTTGGGGTAGATTGATATTAGTACATTGCGGCCGACGCTATAGTTGGGGTTAGTTGGGGTAGATATGGACCCCTACACAATGGCCCCAACGGCTGCATTGGCAGCCTGTCTTAGCAGGCGTGCAGGAATTGGTCAAAATCTTTGATGTCATGCATGCATTCCGCTACATGTTTCAGTTGTGCGAATGTGTTCAAAACATACTTCCTAAGGGTGGGGTAGAAACAGGTAGCATGGTTAGAAAGAGCAGATTTCAATATCTACTGCTATGAAAATTCGCCATATAAGTTCACCATTGATCATCAGCATACCTGCCCGCACTCACCTGCAAGATCGACAACAGATAACAGAGCCAAAATGGGTCTGTTAGAAGCAAGGACAATAGGTTTCATTGGCCTGGGAGCCATGGGCAGCCCAATGGCCCGCCGCATCGCCGAGAAATTACCACCAGGTAGCCAGATGTACGTCTATGACGTCGTACAGCCTCCTATGGACGCCATATCAGAGGCCTTTCCCGGCAAAATTGTAAAGGCAGTGTCTCCCAAGCATGTCGCCGAGCACGCTGTAAGCTAGATAGTGGTTGCATATAGGAAGCATGAGCTCACCACCGCAGAACCTAATCATCTCGATGGTCCCCGAGGGCCGCCACGTACGATCAGTCTATCTGGATAACGAGACCGGCATCACCGCAGCGAACATCTCGGATCATATCATCTTGGAATGCTCAACGATTGACAGAAGCACGAGCTTGGCGGTGAAGAAACATATCAATACCAATTTCCCCAAAGCAGAATTCTACGACGCACCTGTGACCGGTGGGGTTTTAGGTGCAGAAAAGGGCACACTGGCGTTCTTCCTTGGTTGCAATGAGAATGATCCGAATTTCAAAAGCCTGGTAAAACTGCTGCAACACGTAGGACGCCAGGTTATATCTTGCGGAGGACCTTCGTTTGGTATAGCCACAAAGCTCACGAACAATTATCTGTCCGGTTTGATTGCAATTGCTTCATCGGAGGCAATGAATATGGGAATGCGTGCTGGTATAGATCCTCGAGTTCTATCGCAAGCGCTGGCCGCTGGGACTGCTCAAAACGCAATCTTAGATAGATTTAACCCTGTGCCTGGAGTTGTTCCGGATGCACCATCTAGTAACGGGTATCAGGGAGGTTTCAAGGTACAGCTAATGAGGAAAGACTTTGCCCTTGCAGTGGATATGGCCAAAGAAACAAATGCTAAGACCATCCTTGGTCCGCTCGGTCTCAAGACATATGAAGATGCCACAAATGATCCCAGATGTTGGGATCTAGATTCGCGAGTAGTTTTTAGGCATATTGGAGGAAATGAGAACTGGAAGAAGAACGCCGATATTTAGAATCTAGAATCGAACACGTACTGTAAAAATCTGTTGAATTATTGAGTCAATCAATGAATCATTCCTCGTTAATGTGTTTCCAGAACCTCCTTACGATAACTTAGCTGATGAATAATATCTACAGTAGCACTTGCGCCTTGCCTATACAATTCAGTTCACCTGATATGTATTACGCTACAGACAATGCTGCGTACAGACGCCTCTATAGTTGAGGCATTACGGTCGCGGTCTGCAATCGGGAGATAGTAAGACGATGAGATAATTGCCATTGTGGATTTGCCTCTGAAGGTAGGTGGATGATGCCTCGATCTGTCTAGCTGCGCTCTGCCTAGAACCATTTCCCCTACGCGTGGTCTCTAAATTGCCTCACCTATCGTGCTATACCACAAAAGTAAGCACCGACCAGAACCACGCTGAACGGGTAGTTAACAACTTGAAAATATACAAGAACATCATCGTATATGGAGGGGACTACTGTTCGGTACGTGCTCGCTAATAAGAGCTGGCCGTGAATGTAGGAGGTGAGCAGGCCGATACCAATAGCTCCGGCCGGTTGAGCGAAATGAATATTGAAACAATATGCAATGGATCTGACGGCTGATGAATAGAGTACATTATCACTACTGTACGCTTGTATCGTGTCGGGGTTGTTGCTTGGTACTTATTCCTAGCATACACCATACCTCTGAATAGCCTCATGCTATCCTTCTATGCCGGCCATTCGAAGTATTGGTTAGTGCTAACATATCTTCCAGCTATTTCAAACATATATTAATAACTTATATATGTCTCACAATATCTACGGCTCGACCAAAATTCTCTACCTAACGTATTTTCGGAATGCATTTTCGAGCTTCTACTGCCGCGACCATTACCACACAGAATACGCCGTTTCAGGGCGAGACCATTTGCTGTATGTCGCAACTTGCACTTGGGAGATTAACCTTCATCACAATTCCCTACGCTTTTGACTACTGCTTCGTCGAACATGACTAGATAGAGTACGTTTAGCTTAAGTGCCGAACACGCAGAGTAGAACCGCGTGTTCTTCAGATGGCACGCAATGGTGAAGGAACGCTTCAATCTAAAGTACCCTGTGGCCAATTATTAACATCACAAGGTCTTTGTGATATTGTAGAAATTCATGTAGGGCAATTTACAGGTTGGGTGCTTGCGAATATAGCGATAAATCCACAGTTGGACGCATGACGTACAAGCAGGGGTATCTGACCGCTGTAAACACCTATTAGGCAGTTACTGTTACTTTAATTAGGATGTTCCATACTGTTTGGTAACATGCCGTCTGCGAATCATGACGACCCAATCATCATCCTCTTGTGTGAGCTGATCTTCATATTCATAGTGATACAACATACTCTAACCACAGAGGCCTTCGTCTAATCCGTGACTCCACAAATGAATACTAGAAGAATGGCCTTCCACCTTCGAACACTGGCTCAAATATAGAACACCAACACAAAACCCCCTCACCAACCATCGACCCACCTCTCCACCTCCTCTGCCAGGTTTCTCCATCTCATATCTAACTATCGGGGACCAACTGCATGAACCATCGCGCTTAGCCCGCATACCTTCATCCACACCCTTCATCGACCCCGCCAGTTCCCCTCCAACTTCTTATCTACATAGCTAACCCAACAGGATTCTTATCATCCACACACACCAATACACCGCATGAAACACTCCCTTCCCCCCTGGCTAGCAGCCACAGTGCCAAATCACCGGGAAACCGAGTGGCAGATCGACATAACGTACTGTTGTAGGCCTTGTCTCTGCATGTGCGGGCGGCGGTTACCGGAGGAGGGGCGTTTACCACGAGGAATGGCGGTCGCGTGCCGAGTGAGGCGTATCGGGAAGGCGGTGGGGTGGCTTGAGAGGCGAGCGAGGTCGGGGGCGTGAAGCTTGGCGGTCTGTCGCGATGGGTTGGCTGGTTGGGGAACACAAAGTAGTACATACATGGGAAGAAGGGAAAGAGGGCTTATGATTAGGTAAATGCTAGGATGGGATTCGGGTTGTGAGTTTTGGAGGGTGATGGTCGGGAGGTGTGTCACTGATGTGTTGTGTACGTGAGGCATTGCTTGTTAGCCTCCCGAGAGCTTTTACAGGTTTGAGTCATGGTGTGTTATCACGTTGAATTATTCAATTGAATTAAATCAATGGGGTCAATTGCTCTATTTACATTTCCACCACGTTGTTCATTACTAAATTAGATCATGACACTTTTTATCATTATGCGTATCCAAGTCTATCCGTGACACAGTGAGTGACCTGTCATTTCGACCTTCCGACTAAGCTCCGACTCATTTGTCGGGGATGGCTGCAATGGCCTCGATCTCAATCAAGAAGTTGCCGGGCAACTTGCCGACCTCGACTGCCGTACGGGCAGGCTTGGGCGAAGGAAGCATGGCGCCGTAGACCTCGTTCATGGCGGAGTAGTCGTCCATGGAGGCAAGGAAGACAGTGGTCTTCATGACGTACTCCCATGAGGTTCCGGCCTCCTCAAGGACGACGGCAAGGTTCTTGATGACTTGGGCCTGGGTAGAGCATTACATATGGTGCTATGGAAGATGAGGAATTGGAGCGGACTTACGGTCTGCTCGGCGATTCCGCCGGCAACAATGCTGCCGTTGAAAGAGGGAACAGTGCCAGAGGTGTAGACTATGCCCTTGCTAGTCCAGGCTCCTCCAGCTGTGTGAAAAGTTAGTGCAGTTCTAAACCCATGAGGATTGTCAAGGTAATGAACATACAAAGGATGGGTCCCTGGTTTCCAAGGTAGGTAACAACAGGCTGCTTTGCGGCCTTGGGAGTTGGGGTAGCAACAGCGACGCTGGCAACGGCAAGGAGGCCTGTGAAGAGGGAAGTGAAGGAAACCATCCTGACTGATTCAATTGATCTAAAAATGAGAAAGTGACTCTGTTCGAGGAGCTTTGGATGTTTTGCTTGCCGTTGGTGATTGATGAGTATGGGACTGCCGACTTGATTTATAGTTATAGTCTATGTACCAAGACTCTGACAGGATCGCTGACATAGGTCCATAGATACGAACAATTATTGTCTTGCCAGGCAATCATCCAGATCATCGGCAGTAGGAGTCAGCGAGCACTACCATTCCGAGCAAACTATGATGCCAATAATCTTGGCTACGTTCCCTGGCCCGATAATTGCACAAATTTGACGTTCTTCTGCAACGGTAAAATCGTTATCGCGTGGAGTACCATGAAGGCCTTCCCTCGTGGCAGCCCGGCGGCCTGGGTACTGGGACCTGGACATCCCACACGGACCATTCCCGGAACGGATATCCTTTGCTCTAGATGCGAGGTATCCGAGGGAATAAGGCCTAGAAAGTTTTTTTTGGGACGCTGCCTGCAACAGTCGGTTGTAACTATGCGATGATCAAGCACATGGGTTGGCAAAACTCCCGCGGGATCTACTGGGGAAAGGGAACTTGGCGCCAAGGCGGCCATGACGGGGGACTGATTGGAGAGGAATCGGAAAAGGGCTTGTAGGGCGTGTTGACGTAAATCAGAGATAAAGGAATGCGAGGCTGTAGATAAGTCGAGAGACGGTGGAGGAGAGACGATGAGCGGAGTAACAGTAACAGTACCTAGGCAGTTTAGGTTGAGGGACAACAGACGAATAGACGAGAGACTAGACGACGCTAGACGAGCAAGGCGCTATCTAGGCATGCTTCCTTATCTGCCTGCATAGAAACTGATTCGCTTGTAGCGCGCTAATGAGCTTGTATCTCGTCCAATCATGGACCTCGGTAGCAGAAGTGGGTCCGATGAAGCGAACCTAGCGCAGCTGATCTGCCTATTGGTTGTTCGTATTCGGAACGAACTGAATGCCATACAAGTCAGTTATACCCGACAATTATGCTTGTATCTTGCCCTTGTAAACATCTCTTCCATACGCAGTACGGCAGATTGACGTGGAGCCCCATTGTCTATCTTACGCCGGGGAGGGGGAACCTTTTGTTCCGAACTTATGCGAGCTCCGTTTTTTTCGTCCTGTTCTGTTCATGTCAGGCCGAGCAAGGTATTGATTAACAATCATGTCACACAAACACCACGCCCTATTGAAGATGACCTTAACAATAACAATTGTGAGATTCGAATGTCTCAACATGCAAACAGATATTCTCCCTAGATGATTGCTCAATCATCTCCTCCATTCATCTTTCTCAATCCCTGTAGATTCAGTTCCTTTGGGATAACATTAATGTCGATTGCAGTTCAGACTTGCCGTTATCTTTATTCCGTGCGGCCAAGTGCCGATCAATAGCCATTCAGTCCAGGGTGACAACTCCCCACCACGCCTTTCCAATACGTGCCGCTACTGCAATCCTACCCCATACTGGATACATTGTCGGCCCAGGTCGCCTAAACACCGATGATAGCCCGTGTGTTCATGAGTAGTGTTCCGAACCTCGCAATGGAAAACGTCGTGCGTGCTTATCTTGAGCATCTGAATAATCCAGATGGGGCGTTGCGAGACTTTTTTTTACACGTGGGGTCAGATGTCAACCGCGCCCTTGAGATTACAATTGAGTCCATTAGCAAATGGTCGTAAGTCGTAAGATAAGCTGTAAGATGATGATGCCTGAAGCTGTACAAATACTGACGATCTGAAACACTTTTTTTCGAGTTCCTCACCTCTTCATCACATCTTCTCTACAGCATTGCGGGTTTTAATACTCTCTGTCTGCAATCATGAAGGGTTTGTCCACGGTCTCCTCGATCGTGCTTTCGTTGACAACTGGGGCGCTCGCGTCTCCGGTCTCCTCCCAGGATGTCGTATACTTCAAGCCTTTGAAGGTCACAAAGGACTCGCTCCATAACATCCACCTCGGCTTTTCCGATGAATCTTTCGAGGGCGAGCTTCGCCTTGTCCACGGTTCGTGTGATATGGTGGAGGCGCATCAGATGCACCATGAGATTGGTTCTACCTTCGTCCGTCGCGAGGCTCATCCTGAACGATTCGTATGGATCGTTCCAGAGAATGCCATTGACAATGGATGTCTGCATGCCTACTCCGGTTCCCACTTGCTTGGTCGCTCTACTCCAATCTCGGTGATGAAGAACATGCGAAAGCGTGAAGAGATCTCCGAGGTTGCTGAGATGACTGGTCCTTGGTTCGATGGTGTTGCATACATGCAGTCCAAGCAGAACAATGGATCGACCTTGGCTGTCGCTAAGAGCAAGAAGATTGCTATTGTCGGAGGTGGAATGTCTGGTCTTTTGACCAGCCACCTTCTTGACTCTGTCGGTATCCACGACTGGGAGATCATTGAGTCTAGCCAGCGCATCGGTGGTCGTATCAGGACCAAGTACCTTGCTGGATCTACTCCTGGTGACTACCAGTACCAAGGTATGTGGTGACTCTGACAATTTGACAACGTGGCCGTGCTAACAAGAACAAGAGATGGGACCTATGCGTTTCCCCGTCGAGGTTAAGGACAAGGAGACCAATGAGACCTATGAGATCCAGGTAAGCGATAATTACGAAGGTGCGCTGAAGAACCCCACACTGACCTTTCACAGGATCATAAGATGGTTTTCCAGCTTGCGGAGACCCTCAACAAGCTGAACGGAAATGCATCTTCCCTTGCTGTGAACTTCATTCCCTGGATTCAATCCAGCCCTAATGTTCCTGGAAACTCCAACGGATACCGTCTGCCGAACGGCCGCATCCCCAGTGTCTCTCAGATTGCCGCCAACAAGTCTATTGTGCCAGCTGCCCCCAAGCCCGCCAACTATGATTCCGAAGCTGCTGACAAGGCCGAGGAGGAGCTCCAGGAGTTCATCGGTTTGACTCCGGAGAAGATGAAGGAGATCGCTACCAACATCTTCAAGGCCCACAAGGCGGATGTCGACAAGGGTTTGTTCTCTTTCTCGGAGACCGCTTACTTGAAGTACCACCTCAACCTGTCCGCCGACATCACTGATTACCTTTCCGGCTTCAGCAACAACGGTCCCATGTGGGAGTATGACAGCGTTTACTTCGCCGCCGCTACCTGGAAGACCATCGACAAGGGTCTCGAGAGCCTTCCCCGTGCCTTCATGCCCCACGTCCAGGACAGACTCACTCTCGGCCGTAAGATCGACGGAGTTGTCTACAACAACGAGACCGGCAAGGTTTCCCTCACATGGCGCGAGAACCCTCTCGCTATGAAGCCCAACTCCAAGGAGTACGACTACGCTGTCATCGCCGCGCCTTTCACCAAGGTCCGCCTCTGGAAGCTCCCCCAGTACTCCTCCCTCCTCTCCCGCGCCATCAATACCATGAACTACCAGCAGTCTTGCAAGGTCTCACTACACTACAAGACCCGCTTCTGGGAGAAGCTCTCTCCTCCCATCATTGGCGGCTGCGGCTCCACCGACATCGCTGGCATCGGCTCCGTCTGCTACCCAGCCTACAAGATCAACAGCACCGGCCCCGGTGTCATCCTCGGCTCCTACGTGAGCGGCACACCCGCCCGCTCCGTCGCCGCCCTCTCTGCCCAGGACCACGTCGCAATGGTTCAGCGCGCTATGGTCGAGATCCACGGTCCCGTCGCCGCCGAGCAGTGGACCGGCGCCTACGACCGCCAGTGTTGGGAGGTTGACGAGCACCAGGCCGGTGCCTGGGCTGCTCCCCTCGTCGGACAGCAGGACCTCTACCTCCCCGCTTACTACCAGACCGAGTTCAACACCATCTTCATTGGTGAGCACACCAGCTACACTCACGCCTGGATCTTCAGCGCTCTTGACTCCGCTGTCCGCGGTACTACCCAGCTCTTGCTCGACTTGGGCCTCGTCGATGAGGCTAAGCAGGTCGTCCAGGAATGGATGGGAAGGTGGATCCACGTCTAAGTGGAGGCGGGAATAGAAGTAGATGTATAAATCATGACTGACGGTAAATGAGAAGAAACGAAGCAAAATAGATAGATTAATCTAGCAATGAAACCTTGTACATACGAATAGATTTTGTGTTAGTGAAGTGTGATGTTGAGAAGGCAAAGTGATGTGTATTTAAACAATTTGATCGCGATTAGCCGGAATTGCGCAATTCTTAGCCGCATGTCGTTTCTCTTGAGTGCTCAGTTGGCGACCAGGATGTCTCGAAGCCGTTATCGTAATTGTAGTTAGCGAAACACTTCGAGCTATAGGACTTTGCGCATGTAATGGATCTCACTTACAGGGCATTCTTACAGGGTACAAAGTTAGCTAAGTAAAGTGATATTGATTCTACGAAGGGTGGTCACATCGGGATAGCCACCCACTCGATTCATGTATCTTCTGTCCCGTAACTGGCTATACCGGGGTTTATTGTAACCCATTCAGAGTAATTTCAATGCATCATAAAATGACCATTTCAAAGGACATTGTATCCTAATAGAGACTTCACACATGTATCTTCCAATGTACGGCTATATACACAAAATACCAGCAACCGTCGTTCAAAACATATCCCTCGTCTGAGAAATTCTGTCAACCTTGGTTGAATTTATTCCACCGATGTAGTTGAGCAATACCCATGACGATAGTCACTGGGGCACAATAGTCGCTGGGACACGATAGTCGCTGGGACTGTTAAGCTTACTTTGCTAAGACTCAATAGCGCACTTCCCATGTAATGAAGAAGACATGAAGAAAAAGTATAATCTCATATATTGGCATCCAGTCATTCATAAACCTTGTGACTGAAAATCGTCTGTTAGAAAGGGAACCGATTGGTCGCGTAGGATTTTAACTTGTTTCGGTTATCTGTACCATAGGAAATGGTGTGGCGCAACCAGTAAAATAACGACCCATTCAGAGATTCAATATTATGGAAAAGTTGCAAGAAAAGTTGCAAGAAGAATTGCAAGAAAAATGTATAATACGAACGCCCCTTCCATTTCTCCCACGAATATTTCCCTTGCTCATACTCTTCTTCGAAAGGTACACCTTTCACTTCACCTTCTCCAACACTGAATATCTGACAACAAAACCAACAACTGGATACCGTTACATTGGTTCGCAATGGCCAGCAGCATTTGCAACAGCGACTGGCGTCGATGGTTGAAAATTCAAACCCGGGAATTCGCCCCAGATTCCGCAACCAAACTTGACTGCTTTGGAAACCTTCCTGGGGAAATTCGCAATGAGATATATCAAGAACTGATCTTTGGCGAGGATGATCAAGAAGACAAGCCTTGCTCGGTCGCAAAGACTGACGGCAGCCGTTTCAGCATTGCTGCCACATGCCGAAAGTACCGACAAGAAGCCATGTCCTGGTATTACTCCAATGCACATTTCCACCTCTCGTCTAGTAAGTCGTTCGTAAGGAAGTGGTTCCCAAGGAAGTGGAGATATCTACCCTGCAATCTACCAATACGTCTCACGGATGTCAAATATCTTAGAAGGCTTACGCTTTCACTGCAAACGGTACCCTCCACCCTGGATAGGGAGGTGAAACCCCAGGATCTGCTTGTACCATTGGTTGGACAGAATCTTAGAGAAGTAGCGATCCAGATTCGCGGGAGGCACGACGACTACGCCAACAGCGCTTTCGTGCTGGACCAACAGCACACAGTCATCAAAGCTCTCATAGTCCTTCTGCATTCTCTCAAAAAGGCTAGAGTTGTGCTCGAATTTGAGGATGTGTTCTTCACTCCCGGCGTTACTGAAGAGTTACTGGATGCATACTACGAGAACAGGCCACAGTCTGCGGAACACAATTTGGACATCTCCGGCCGATATACATCCTCCTTCTGGAATACCTTTCTCCTCAGCAATGGTTCAACCGGTCCGAAAAGGCGATTGCAATACCCCCACGAGGTGCTCGAACACAAAAAGAGAAGCACGACCTCATCTCAATTAGGAGATTTTCGATGGGCGGGCCCAATTACGATACTTGATTGAGAATACGCACCGAGCTTTCTTGCACGACATTCTTTTAGCACTTGTAGGTGTTCAATAAGAAACGTCCCCGCCAGTGCCAACACAGCCTAATTTTTCTTCATTTTCCAGCAAAACATCCAGCACATATCAACATCATCGCCATCATACGGAAGGAAAGTTTCTTGGCATTTACGGCACACGGGGTGCACTTGACACACATGAACGATGGGTTCAACGATGGCGTTCACTGGTGTACCAAACACGATTCAATCATGCTTCTATCTTTTTCTTCTACGGGAGCACTTGCGACTTATTTTCTTACTATCGATGTGCAACCTCTCCATGGATACAGAGAATGGGTGTGCGCATGCAATATGTTGTCGTCATTATCAGTGTCGTTATCGCAATGCGCAAACACTCGATTATAGTCACGTTCGGGTGTTGTATGTCAGATGTCAGATGTTGGGGGAACATTGAAGTCATCGAAAAATACCACCCCACTCACAAACTGTGATGCTTTTTTTTTTCTCCAAAATTTGTCTGTTTCGTCACTCTCCGCACGACTCATATCCAACGTCATGCGTCTCCGCATCCAGTCATTCACAAATGATTCATTCCATGCACAACATTCAAAAGTAATTCTGTGTGACCACCATAAATACTCTATAATGAGTTTCCCAATACACACCAAGATAAACTCTACAGAAAATGCCACCGCCGAACCGGCACGTTCCGTCGCGCGCATCACAAATACCAGTGATAGGATACCACCTAGAGAACCGAAGGATCAAGCGCGCTGCCACGAGCGACGACACATATCTCCAACTCAGCGAGTACTCTGATGTCCATCATCCTCTCCCTCCAAAGTTGAAGACTTGGGGCGTTGGTCAAGGGAAATCGAAATGGAGGAGGAGCATTCTGCCTTTCCGCCAATATAAAAACGAAGGATTTTGGATTCACAATATGCTAGCTGATGGGGACAAAAATAATTCGCAGAGCAGTGTAAACTCTGGAGCTCTGTTCGCCCCTACCAGGCCGCAGCGACCACGCCGTGATTCTCACACGAAGATCATCATCGGATTGGAGAGCGATGACTTTCCAGATCCAAAACCCCCAGAAATAGTCACTGTCGTGGAAACATCACAGTCATTGCGAAACAGTAACAACAACGTTGAATCAATGACGCCCACCCCGTTTCCACGAAGCCTTCACGATCCGCTGAGCCCACAGAACCCGACTGTATACTCAACACCGTCTTCGCCGGATCCACTGAACGTCGATCAAGGCAGAAAGAAGTCGCTCCAGCAAATGAATACCGACAAGCCATGTCCACCTCTCCCTCTACGACCTCGGCCACATCAGACACCCGCACTGGAGCAGCCTATGCCCTCACCGGCACTGGAGCAGTCTATGCCCTCACCGGCACTGGAGCAGTCTATGCCCTCACCGGCACTGGAACAGCCTATGCACTCGCCGATACTGGAGCAGTCTATGCACTCACCGACACAGGCGGAACGACTAGATCCAGCATCATTGACGTTGTGGGAGTACATTGCCTGGTTCGAGTCTACCTCAATCACGCATCCCAATTTCGCAGACGACACGGTGCAAGAAATTGAATATATGCGGTCCTGGTTCAAGAAGGCTGGCGGGGTCATCTCTAAAGATCGTATCATTCGTGATCTCCAAAATGATTGGGATGATATATGCAAATGCTTGAACGCATTTGGCAAACAAAAGAGTGCGAGGACTCTGAACAGTGCGCGGCTGCTGGGGCAGGTGGTGATGAAACTTCAGTTGAAGAAGAGTGTCAGCCAGAGATGTCAATAGGCCAATCCAACATTAGTTAACGAATGCATATCTTCTATTAGTAAATAGCACAGATCGCAGTCTGGACCGCTACGACAGCTGTCAAGCCTAATATGATGTTTTCATTTGGTTAGCGAGCCGTTGATGGAGAATTTTCCATTAGCTTCCTAGGTTGCCGGACGGGGGTTAGGATTCCTGCGGGCGCTGATACGAGCACAGCGTACGAGTTAGATCTATTAGAAGCACAATCTTCGGGGTCGATGGGGCCCCGTCCGATATGCTCGTAAAAGCCAAATTTAATGGACACCCACCCTCACTCCAGAGTCCAGGCTATTTCCACTGGTGGAGATAAATGTGCCCGCGACTATCGGCAATCACGTGACACTATACACTAACGGCCGATAGCATCGCATTGCGACAGCTCAACATTCGATCATTCACGATAACCACAATTTCCAACAGTCGCCGTTACGCCCTAGATGTGGCAAGCTGTTCGCGATGCAGTCGGTGCCGAAGAAACGTATGAGAGGAGCATGCCGGCCGTGTGCCCGAAAGAAGAGAAAGGTTGGTGAGCTTCCGAATCTCTAATTATTCGGAGACTAACATGAGCGACGTATCGGATAGTGCGATCATAAGTATCCACGATGCACACAATGCGAAAAGCATGACGATGTGTGCGAGATGAGAAACTTCAAGACATGGGGACAACCCTTAGACTCTCAAGCTTTCGTTGTCCCCACCGCCCAGCAAGCGAAGGTTACCAAAAGTGTCACTACTAAGGACAGTCGGAATGTGTTTCCAACCCATTCATCATCAAGATCGCCTTCCTTCAGTCAAATTCCCGATGCATATCTCAGTAACATGCAGGTCGCGGGAGCAATGATACATCCAAATGTTGTCGATCGCACTGCTAACGTTCTGGGGTCGTTTGCGCAACCGCTGCCGTTCGGGCCACAGGAGGCTCTAGAAAGAAGTTCATCATCTTCTGATTCTAGTTTCATTTACTATGATCCGAGTTATTCTACTAGCACAGGACCCGACAGTTTACAGATGAACATGACTGGCTTATTAACGTCGGCCTCGATGTATCAGGATACCCCATACGTTCCTGGGTTGATGCCAGATACTGTCGATGAGATCATAGAAGATTTTGTTGATGCTTCTAAACCCCAGCCGTATCTATATAATCCCTCGCCTTTTCCAGACGATATGCTTGTCTCACCTGAGAAACGATTCTTGTGGGACTACTTCTTCCATGGAGTTAAGGCTAACATATTGTCACTCGACACCTGCGACATCGCACATCTACACGATTTCCAGGATCCGTACAACACCATTTTACCTTGCATAGCTCTAGACAACCCAGTCTTACGAGGCGCGTTGCTCTGTGGCAGCGCATTACAATTTAAACATATCCATGGCCAAGACAGCTGGACTCCAGTTGCGGAATCGATTGGCTCCAACACCCTGCAACAATTGCGCATGTACAGAAGCGCTCCCCCAATGGACAGTTCCAACATACTCGCCCTAATGTTAGCCGCTTCATTCCTTCACTTCTTTCGCCGTGATCGGAGAGATGGATGTTTGGAGTTGGCGGCTGGTTATGCCATGGACCTCCGTTCTCGTTCCAAGTCCCAGACCCAACCAGCTTTACCGAGTAAGAATCTAGATATGAGCTTGACGGCATTTCGATGGAGCATCATATCGACTCTATGCTCTCTAAGGATGCCAGACGCGCCGCTGGTACCCAGCAGCGGATCCCGTATCATCGAGCTTGACGACGAGGAGGTCACGGAGAACTTCTCAAGCACATTCCAACATTGGGTCACACATCCGCTCTATGTCTTCTCTCCTCGCCTGGTAAATCCATTGCTCAGAATCGGCAAACTCCTTGAGCGACAATTACTCGGAGAAACCGAACTAGACGACGAGATCAGGGTAGCAGAAAAAATGCTGCACAACGCGCGAGAAGCCGACGACGCCTTTTTATCGTCGCCGTACGGAGTCGCGGACCCAAAATCAGCACTCGCTGCGAACGAAGCCATGCACGCTTCGAGCCTCATTCTCGTCTACGCTCGACTGAAACAGATGCCGTACACATCACCACTGATACGGAAACAAGTGCAAATCGTCGTCGACGAAGTCGCGAAGATTAGCGTGAATTCGCGCGTCTCACATACCATCTTGTTCCCGCTCTTCATCGCGGGTTGCGAAGCGGTGGATCTACAAGCGAGGGAATCGATACAAAGGAGGCTCATGATGCCGAAAGGGGAGTTTTTCAATAAGAAGACCGGGCCAGCTAGTGCTCTCGATCATATTTGGGAGATTCGAGACTTGGAACCTGGGCTTTTGTGGCCACATTGGATATATAAAGGTATGTAATGATTCTCTTCCCACATCTGTGGTGTAGACACCAACGCTAAGCTTTCGTATAGTTGCGCCTGAACATCGGGTCGATAGCTTGTTTTGATTTTGATCTTAGCTGTTTAGTAACGATTCATGACGGAGTTTTGGGTGGAATTTTGCGACTTTACTAGAATTGAGCATTTTGAGCAACGACCACGTTTACATTCTCTACGTGGACGCGACCACCAATCAAACCACAAACTGCGAAGAAAAGCCTTCGAAGTGATCGACCGACTGCCCGCACCCTCATAGTCAACTACTTGGGTAGCAGTGCTAAAAATGAAGAACCGACGGAAGTACTCATTTTAAGCAAACCTTCTTGGATGACTAAATTATCATCTGCACGAAACAACGTCTGTATTTCGCAATGTATCCGTGTGGGGTGCAACTCCGACAGTTACTCTAGCCCGGTGAATCACTTCCACCTTCCATTATGGACTAGGAGATGGTACGAGCTCGAGGGTTTCATGGCGGGGAAACATTGGCGAACTACCTGGGACTTGGGAAGTTAGGTTGTTGGTGTCTTTGGAAGAGAGCAATGATTACTTGACCCACCGGAGTCGGTGGGTGCAACCGTGGAGGGCCGACATCTTTACCATAGTTACATCACCTCATCCAACCATAGTAAACACTTATTCCATTAACTCATACCATCGTTTGAAACCTTCTGGGATAATATTTCTACTGCTAACCAGGCGAGCCCTTTCTTGGACTTAACCATAACAGAGCAAGCTTTTGAAGAAAAATTTGTACTTTGTACATAGTGTTCAATTGAAGTTTACCTTTTTGGTCATGTTCACTTCGATTTGATGGAAACCTCAATTTTGAACTGAGGATGCTTCTGCTAATATTGACGTTACATTCAGCTAGCTACTTCATTCTAAGTCAGGTAAGATCCAACATCCTGCTCTCTTCTACAATTCAAGTTATTAGGAAAACCTCGGTCATGCTGCCTGAATGTGGGGAAGCCCAATTTCCCCGGGATCAGCGCGAACAAATTCTCCGCAAAATGCATGACTCGTATCACCATAGCCTGACTTTTTACTGGGGGCGGTGCACGATGCATATTAATTTGTAGTTTTAGCCGGGCGGAAACAATGTCAATGTTTCTCCATTCGATGATGTCGTTCCGGTAGGGATGATCAATGTTGTTTATGTAGATGAGTTCTTTTGGATCTGCAACCTTGAGCAATTGGGATATAAACAGCGCCATCGCTGCCAATTGTTCGCGCCGTCCCCAAATCGCGATGTCCATCTTTATTCAACTCCCTCCGAACGGGGCGGGTGAATTACCTGAATGAAGATAGTTGAAGCTAACCAGCTTTGACTGCCACCTCCGGCGATGACCTCACAAGTGGGAGAGCTAGCTAGCAAACCATCTACGAATCTGGCAATACAGCATTCTTATTGCCCCAATTCCAAGAGTTTTGGACTTCTCCTCTCTCGGACGGCAATGATCCGAATGCCCGTCCAGTAACCCAAGATTTTACCGTCATGAGCAACAATTTTACCGGCTGCGCGTATAAGTGCTGGAGGGCTCCAATGGATTTGCGTCGCGTCGATTGTGTGCTTGTTTACTCGAGCCGTCCCCAGAATCAACAATGCTGGGATTGCGAATTCCTCTGACCCTCGCCCTCGCGGGTGCGGTTGCATGCTCTGGATACTATCCAGCTGAATCCGCGAACGACATCCATTTCCGCGACAATCTACGCAAGCGAGCGGCGAATGGAACTGCCTTCAATGGACCCTACAAAACGAGCGGAAGGGACATTGTCGATGCCAATGGAAACAAGGTGGTGTGGGCCGGTGTCAATTGGCCGATGAGTGGTACGTTTATTGGTGATTGAATGGGAGCCAAGTAGCTAATGGTAATCAAGGCGAGACTATGATTCCCGAGGGTCTTGAATGGGCATCTGCGGAAGACATTGTCGACGACATTCTCGGCGTTGGATTCAACTACATCCGCATGGGATATGCCATCGAGATGATTGACCAAGTGTACGATCGAAACGGAACCGACGTCCCGCTCGAAGTCGCCATGATCAATGCCCTTGGCTATGTCAACGGCACAAAGGTGACCAACGAGATCATCGCCAAAAACCCCGGCTGGACGTCGCAGACAACTCGATTCGAGATCTGGAGCGACATCGCCCGCATTGCTGCGACCAAGGGCGTCTTCATCAGCCCAGACGTCCACACCGGAAAGGCGAAATGGTGCTGCTCGCACACCGACGGAAACAGCTGGTTCGACGACATCCAGTTCCCAGCCGAAACCTGGCGCCGTGGCCTCGCATACGTTGCCAACTGGGCAAAGGACCACGAGAACATCGTCAGCATGTCCCTCCGCAACGAATTGCGCGACTCGTTCAACGACACTACTTTGATGTACAACTGGCAGACCCTTGCAGGAAACATGACGCAGGGTGCTGATGCAATCCACGAGGCAAACAAGGACATCTTGATCCTCTGGTCCGGCATGCAGTACGCGCAAGATCTATCCGCATTGACAACCGGCAGCAACCTCCTCACCGCCCCATGCTACAAATGCGCCGCTATCCGCGATGCGCGTCGCCGAACCCCCGAATACTTCAACCTCGACGACCACCCCTGGGCCGACAAGGTCGTCTGGGAGATTCACCTCTACTCCATGAGCGAGGACCAAGACACCGGAACATGCCCTATCATCGAAGCCGGACTGTACAGGAACGGCTTCAACGCCCTGGGTATAGACCCTCCCGCAGCGTGCAACGTCACAAACGACTGCCCTAGGGCCGTCCGCGAGACACCAGTCATCATCTCGGAGTTCGGTGGTGCGCAGGACGAGACTATCTTCAATCATACGCTTAACAACTGCCTGCGCGATTACACGGTCAAGCATGGCATTAGCTGGATGATGTGGTCGATTGCCGGATCGTACAGAATTAGATCCGGCGTTCAGGGTATGTCAGATACGTGGGCTTTGACGAATGCAAAGTGGGATGGCTGGAATTATGATAGGGGAATTGAGGAGTTCTGGAAGCCGTGGGTGAAGGCTATGAACATTGGGGGGTCGAAATAGATGTGTAGGGATAACGATTACCTATGCCTCCCTATTGCTTCGCGATCATTTATGAATCTGTAATGCTATCCAGATAGCCCTGAAAATAATGAAATATTATACAATCGCAAAGCAGAAACTTCACATGTGAAGTGTTTGAAGTCGGAGTGTTGCGTTGATATGCCAATGATATCGTAAATAGTATCTAATCAACATGTGGGTATAAAACTAAACAAGCCTCTATATAATGAAACACATGTACCTCAAGCACATAGAAAACATGAAATGACCCAGCGATCAAGACAATCCAGACGACCCAGGAGATCCAGACGGTGCATCAACTCCCGCCGCCGGTTCTTTACTTATGCCCTGGAAAAATTGCGCATGACTTGCATCGTCTTCCTCATCATCCCTGTCACCTACCGCCCAGGGACGGTAATCCAAGTTCTCCCAGTTCGCTTTCGATTTCTGTATAGTTTCCGTCGCCGATGCTTCGCTCTTGACGAACGTGTCCAGCGATGGCGCTGGGAAAACGACGTGCAGTACCACGTACACGACCGCGCTGGAGAAGAAACCGTATATATAGCTCATGAAGTATAATTGAATGAGACTGTCGGGAATTGAGATTGATTTGTTGACGGAGGCTACGAAGCCTGGCATTATGGGTGCGATGCCGACGATCCACTTAAAATGGGTTAGCAAAAGCAATATGATTGCAGACAATCAACTCACGGACACCGGTGCTCGCCAATTGACGCCAAAGGTGTACCAGTAGATCCCGGATTTATCGCTGCGGTACAGATCATCAGTATTGAGTTTTCGTTTGTTCACGACCAAGTAACTCGCGACCATAATTCCAGTCATCGGAGCCAAGAAGACAGAGTAGGAGGAAAGAACCGTGAGGAAGACGGTGGGTGTGCTGACCAGCTTCCAAGGATTGACCGCTATGCTCGTGAAGATCACGATGTATGCCCCTCGGCGGATGTTGATGTATTCTGGAAACGTCGCGGCGAGGTCAAAGCCGCCAATGAGAGCACCTCCGGGGACATTCAAGCCGATCTGGGACAGAGTGATAGCCAAGCCTGCGAAAAATGTACCTGCTCGTGTGCCTGCGGTAGGGTTCTCGGTGATGAGGCGGGAGAGCAGCAAAGGTGGGCTCCAGATGGCTTCTCCGCCGAATCGATGCTGTGTGGCGGCCGTGACGAGAATGCCGATGACGGAGCAGATGATGCTGTAGAATGGGAACGAGAAAGCCTGGCCTGCGATTGCATGTCTGGGCCGTTTGGCGAATCGCGCGTAGTCATTCTGGCTGAGGATTCCTGCTGCGATGGATCCGATTGTCGAAACGATCCCGTACACCGATAACCACGCTACACTGTTGGAACCTCCAGTCTTGGGAATTCCAGTCCCGCCGCTGATAGTATCTCCAAACCCCGCTGGCCCCATCGTCGCCAGTGCCCATATGAGAAGTGCGAGAAAGAACACCACCGTGATTGCGCTGGTAACGAGGATGAATTTGTTCAATTTGTGTGGTCGTATCAAGGCCACGGGTAGACATACGACGAAGAATACGATGTAGGCGATAAACTGTGCTGTTGTTACGCCCATACCGGCCGGCATGGTGTTCTTGACGTGTCGTTCTATGTTTACGTCCATGGCCTGTAACATCACATAGACACACTCGCCGCCTACCCAAGAGTTGAAGCCGTACCATACTGTACAAGTCAGCGACATTTCTAGGTTTCTTTGTTTTGCACTCACCCAAAGCCAGGAAGATGCGATTCCAGATGGGGAATTGGGATCCCCACATTCCCCATACAGATCGATTCACAACAGGAAAGCCGACTGTGTTTTGGATTAGCTTGGGGATTTTTCTAAGGGAAAATATCCACGAACGATTGTAGTAAGCCCCAGGAAGAGAATTGACAACGAGGAAGATTGTCGCAAGGATATTGCCAATGACGATGCAGATGATCGCCTGCCACCAGGTCAAGCCCAATGGTATCAAGGCGCTACCAGTTAGATAGGTTGGGATACTAAGATTGATGAGTATCCAGAAGTTGTTGAAAGTCAAGAATCCCCAGGTTCGTCTAGATGATTCAATGGGTCGGATATCATAATTCTTTTGAACAGCTCATTAATGACAACCTAAGTTATGTAGATAAATCGATACTTACAATCCATCTGTTCCCTGGACTCGTCTGAGGCACGCGTAGTCTCTCGCCCCAAGACATGGTGATTGTTGATGGTGTGGATTGGAAAAGGCCCGGAGACTTAGAAAGGGCAGTTCAGTCAAAACCAATAAGTTTTGCTTCACCGACTAATTCTCTCCCTCGTATCTAGCGCTCGTAACCCCACTGTAGTCGTACTCTATGCGCTGGGTTGTCTCGCGCAAATTCCATTATCTAGCATGTTCTTTTCTCCATTGGATTGTCTGTACACAGCAGCCTCACTGTCGCTGTCCTTTTGGTGAACTCGTCGTGATCAAAGATGTCGTTATCTCAATTTTGAGAGGTTGGCGCTAGCCCTCAGGCCCAGCCAGTCTAGACCCGATTGTAAGGAGCTAACAGCTCACGAATCGTACCAAGCTATGTCAAGGCAATAAGCTCAATGACATAGAGTTACGTGAATTATGACATCGACTGGTGCCATCCCTTTAGGTCGGTTGTTGGCACTATTTGAACATCGCCATAGGGATCCATCTCATATCCGGAACATCCGACTCGTCGACCATTGCGTTAAGCACGATGAAACTTGACGCCAACATACGGGTTAATCCGTTCTAGAATTGACGAGCAGATTGTCCCATACAGGTCGTCTTGTTGGAAATTTCAATCTGTGGATAACACTTCGCTGGCGTCCCTGACTGTTTGAAAAGCGGAAGTGGAATACTCCATTGTTGTGACAGGGTCGTATTTCTGAAAACCCATTCTCTTGACAAGCGAGGGTTGCGGTTCGATGACTCCATCACCAAGAGAGCACATAAAGTATGGAATCGAGTAGCGAGACTTCTGGGGTTTGTGTATGACTACTTGATGGAGAGCAGATGGATAAATGCCTTGGGGTAGGCAATTAGCAGTTGGTTTCAACTATCAAAAGGGCAGGTTCTACTAACCGTTGGAGATTCGCTCGAACATGTCTCCGATGTTCATGTAGACAACGTTGTCTATCGGTGCGGCGTCTACAAACGTATCGGTTGCGCGATCCATATACATCAAACCGCCGTTAGTATCTTGGAAAAGAAGCGTGAAGGTACTAACACAGCATTAGCGAAAAGATCATGAGAAGTGTTGATGACGAAGTTGTGGATTGAACACACCTCCAGTCTGTATGCGCACCCATGCGAGTTACAAGTTTGTCGGCTGCTTCGACCCTGGCAACGGGTGGATAATGCAGCAGTCGAAGCTGATGATCATGACCTGGGTGGAGGGCCCGTACTCTATCGGCCTCTTCATCAGTGAGATCCAGACTGATGATTAGAGCATCTAAGATGGCCAACGAAGTCTTATTCAGTTCCCAATAGAACTTGAGCGTGAATTCTCTAAAGCCATCATATACTCCTTTTGGAAGCCAAGTATTAGGCTCGTCCCGATTCTCCTCACTCCCGAGGTCAAAAGCCTCCTGTATTGAGTCAGCCCAATCCAGACTCATGAACCGGTATATTTATGACTTGCCTTGAAGTCTTTTGTCTTCGAATACATCTCCTTCTTCGCTTCGCTGGTCATTTCTTTCGCCGTTTTGGCCGCGACGTGATTTTTGTCGTCTGGGCGCGAATACCCACGGTGAGGCACTGGCGCGTCAGGATGAGGAGCTTTCATTTTCTCCTCCATTGGCATATCAAAGAATTCTTTCGCGACAGCGAATGCCTCCGTAATCATCTTTTGAGATACTCCATGACCGACGATGCCAATGCATCCATTAACTTTGAGCTTCTCGCGTAGGTCGATGGCAGCTCGGCGTTTGGATTCGGCATCGCCATTGGCAGTAAAAGCGGAGAGGTCGACGATTGATACTTCATGGTCTCCGCAGTAGGTATCGGATCTTGTATTCTTCGTCGTCATATTAGTACGGGTACGACCTCGCGGGTGCAAAAGTCTTCGCAAGTTACAGAGAAGAATTCTACATCGGAGCACTCCGAGGCCTTATAATCTACCGAGTGTTCCTGCAATACTCTTTGAACAAACCAGTTCCACAATTATCATTCAAAAGCTAGTGGACTTCCCGAACTTTATTCAACCCTTCTCAACGATTGGTGAACTGATACATTTTAATTCACTGCGCATTTCCAAATGCGTCATGTTTATGCTGTGTGATCCCACTTTTGCGGCAACTTTGCCATTTCCGTCCACGAATGCGGGAAGGCAAGTGTGGAGTAACGCGGTACCACAACCAAAATCGAACGGGTGCTTCTCCCGAGGGACGTAATACGTAAATTCGATGTCCACTAGACACTCAGCTATGGCTCAAGGGTGAAAAAGGAAAATGTGCACGACTAGAGCCTAGCGTGCGGGTATTCAGCCCACTCAGGGCATTGAGGGACGATGGGAGAACCACATAGCTAGTTTGAATAGGTCGGGTAACTCGTAATAACATATTAGATATAGCCATATTTGAACGACTTCGTTCAATTTCAATAGTCTTCTTCAACGAATCAGCTATCAAGACGGAAAGAAAACGGTGGCCTGACTTCACCGGGGACACTGCAAAGCAATGCGTTTCTACAATACATCGGGAACACCTAATGCACTGTTCTCCCGCCCATTGAACTTCATGTGAATCGGCGGTTTCTTCCAGAAACCAAACAGCGTCGACTCCCTGAGTAGATCCCGATCCCCGTCGATCAGTTGTAAATCATAGTGCCAAATGATCTTCGCCAACACAACCCGCATTTCCAAATACGCCAGATTGATCCCCAGACAAGCCCTCACGCCGAGAGAAAACGGCTGGGACGCACCCTTCGTATCGCCAAACCCCTCGCCAATCCATCTTTCGGGCCGAAACGCGTGCGGGTCGTGCCAGTACTTCGGGTCGTGCATTAGAGTCCAGTTGTCAGTTGATACGATGACACCTGCGGGTATGAAGTGGCCGTCGACGTTCGCTCCGGGCGATATCCGTGGAAGTCCGATTGCTACGGGTGGGAACAGGCGCAGTGATTCTTCAATGACGGCGTTGAGATGGGGAAGGGTGGCGGTAGAGTGACCCGTGATTGCATCCGCAGATGTGAACGTTGTTCGCACCTCGTGCTGCAGTGCGGCAAGACACACAGGATTCTTTGCTAGGAAGTATAACGCTGCGACTGATGTCGTCGCGGTGGTCTCAGACCCAGCAACAATGAGTGTACCTGCCTGGCCCTCTAACGCCTCGATCGAGAACTTGCGAGATTGAATGACTTGCTGTAGAAAGTCTGCTCTAGTGATCTTATCCGCTTTTGCAATGCGATTCGCTAGTTTCGCCCTCGTTAGGCCCTGGTGGATCTTGAAGTTCCGTGCCAAATTCGAAAAGGCGAGGAACGGAAGGAGAAGATAGACTACGACTACACGTCGGCTCAACGGGATGATGCTACCCCAGAATTGGCTGTCCACGATAGTAGAAACCCAGTGATGAGTTTTCGCCGTTTTGACGGCGTCGAAAGATTCTCCGAAGGTCAGATCGCCAATGATGTCGAAAGTTACCCAGTTCAGTGCTTCACAGATGTCCACTCCGTATGATTGGGTCTTACTAAGGTTTCCGATCTGTTGAATGAAGAGGTCAACATAGTAATGCACGATGTCTTCTTGCTCTCTGAGAGCCTTAGTGCTGAAGCCCGAAGCAAGTGATTGTCGTTGTTGTCGATGATCATGTGGATCACGAGTGGTGGCAACTGATGCTACTCCGAAGGGTCGGTCATAGAATGAGGATTTGAGGAACGCCCACTCGCTTGATAATGGGTGGCTGTATATGTCTTTGAGTGATTGTGTCGAACAGAAGGAAAGCTCATTGGGTGCGATGCGGACGACAGTGCCGTATTTCTGATGCACACCCTCGATAGCAGAAAACCAGTAGCCACTCATCCAGTGATACGCATACCAAATCTATATAAGGTCAGCGATCAGTTCCTGTCCTTTATGGTGGTGGGGTATACTTGCATCTGTAATGGCAGCCAATGTTGGCCCAGGGTACTTTGACAGTGGATGAAAATAGAGATTGTATATGGCCTTCACGAGCACGTACAAAAGCAACTGGAACATTCAAGTCACTACGAGTAAGCTTACATGATTTTTGAATCACTCACAAATGCACCTGCTCCCACTATACATTCCACGAGGCTGTATGATGTCACACTCAGTAATCCCATATTGAAAGACCCCGTTACCGTCAGACTGCAAGTGTAAAAGCACAATACCGAGAAAAAGATGAAGAGCAGAAGCCAGTAGATTCTCCAGCAATCAAGATACCCTCCATTTTATACGTCAGACGGAGCTGAACTCCTACGCCACCTTGTGGGATAAGGATTGGTGAGGTTGTGCGAGGAGCGAGGACATGCATACCACTGCCAGCGTAAGCTGTGATAGTGACGAACTGCATGCCAATAAAGCATTCCAGTTCAGCCTTCTGGAAGGACTTCATTCTTTATAGCAGTCACACGCTAATGCGCGTGATGGTTGCCCTTCCCACGATCCTTTGTTTGTCGTCCAACGGTGGCTTGGTGAGATTCTGCTGTGCCTCTAAGATTCGGCAGCATGCATCAGTGTACGCTTTTGGTACTTGATAGTAAGATGGCGTTCCATTGACACGTTTATCTGATTATAGAATTCCATATCCTATGTTTCTATTATGTTGATCTTCTATTATCACTCTCTGTTTGCTAGTGAAACCAAACCCAGTAGAATGCCATGATATCTCCTCAGCACTTCTACCATTCCTAAATTCGACTTCAATCAACTTGAATCAACTGTAAAATCGACCGATATGACAATACCAGAAACAGATATCCCCCTCAACATCAGCTCAACCAACACCCCATCTCATCTCCCCTTCTCCCCACCATCAAACACCCTCCCATCTAATCTCTCCACACAAACCCTAACGGGGCGTACAACCCCACCCACCACTCTCACCACTCTCCTCGCACTTCGTTTGCCTTCCAGCTACCCAGGTGTTCACACCTCAAACCAGCCAGCCAATAGGCAACGACCTCGTGCCGTCAGCACTGCATGCGAACCACCCACTCGGGCGATGTCTTCGCGAGTGGCTTGGTGTTTTTTCCCCGGGTTTGCTGCTCGGGCCAAGCCGAGATGGGTCGGGCGGGATTGCTGAGATGAGGTGAGGTGAGGGGAGGGGAGGGGAGATGATGTTGTGATATGCTGTTGCCGAACCGAGATACGGGATGGTGAGGGAATCATGCGAGTAGGTGAATTGGAGTCTGCGTCCGCGGCGATGGGCGATGAGAGCGATGGTGTGCGGCACGGCACAGGTGTAATATCCGAACAGTATTTAGTAAGAAGTAGGTTTAATAGAAGGTAAATTCATGTAAAGGAATACAGTAGTATGGTCTTAATGATTTATTGTCTATTTGTTTTGTTACTAGGTTGGTGTAATTTATGTTATGAGAAGATAGTTCCTTTAGCTTTAGATATTTTGGAAGGAATCTGATTAACCTCACAAGAAGATCTTGCGATGAATATCTTAATTCATTCCAGATTCTAAGAAGAAAAGACAACACGCAAATAACCCTTCCTACATACATCAAAAGCAGGATACAATTTCCTACTTATTGAGGCGAGCGCTTGTACCCGAAGCAAACTCTAACCCCTCCCGCTTGATCAAGTCACCAAGAATCGTCATTTCGAAACCTCGTGAAAGGCTGTCATTCACAAGTGCGCTTCGCGACTTCATTACGACCATGCTGTGTATTGAAGCAGATAACTCAACTGTTAACTTGCACTGAATCCAACAGAATAATATGAACATACGGAGTACATGTACATGTCCAAACTCCACGCCTTCCCCTGCGACACTGTCCCCGATTTTCCCCACAGATAAACCACAATCCCACTTTTCCTCGCGGAAGAATAGATTCCATTCCTCCATAAAATGCCGTCCCATCACAAGCGGACATTGACACCGTTGCGATCAACATGCTTGTACCCAGAAGCCAAGCCCATAGCTACCCCACAGCCCAGCCGGCTCTCTGGCGCGCGCCGGTACCCCCCTCGCCTTGTTCCAGACTCACTTCACTAGCCACACCGCCGCCGCAAGCGACTAACCCCTACGCCAAAACGCCGGAACAGGTTTTTTTTTATTTAGCCAATGAGCCACCAATCATGATACGCAGTACTCCGTATGGGGACCTTTAGATTGTTTCCTTGTTTTCTCGATAGAGCGTGTGTACTGCTGACGGTGAAGTTACGTATGAAGGAATCGGAGCTGGTGCATATGCACGCGCGTCCTGGTGGCCTGAAGTACGGAGTCGGCGCGTGCGACTACTACTCGTAGTTACTCGTAGGATTGCTGTCGCTGCTGTGTTCGAAACTTTCTTTTCTGTTGGAAGGGGAAGTAAGGGGTGGATCGTGCGTACAATAAATGCGTGGGTCGTACAGAAAACGAGGCAGGCGAAAAGCTGGAGTCGGTTCGTTTGGAGACGTCCGGTGCGGGGGTAACGATTCGAGGAATTGAGTCCCAGGTCGCTGGGGATTGAGGGACAATCGTATGTAGACAGATGAAGGGTTCGCCCTGGAGCATTAGAATAGGTAATTAAGTTGTTGCATTCGAATGTACAGTCACTAGGCAACACGTACGTGTCTGCCTGCCCAGGGCACGGAGAGCAACGATGCTTGGAAAATGCGGTGAGTATGTAAATCAGTTTGATTCGAAAACGGGTGTATATAAATTGTGTTTGTCGAATCGGAGGGGTATCATTGCTTGATGACCCGGGTCGTGCTGGATATCCAGAATCGAGCACGATCCCACTGACTGCTGATTGCTACTTTGCAAGTCTCTCTCTCGAAAGAACGAGGGACGAAGAAGGCGAAGGAAGCGGTGTTGCGAAGCAACACTCGACAATCCGATCCTAACCCGGGGAAAATTATCCCTTTCCTTGTTTATCCTGAACGCCATGTCCCATGCAACGCTGTAACCCAAAAATAAGGCATGATCTCATGCAGGCAGGTTCCTAATATCTTTTCTTTTCCAAGTATTCCCCAATAATTAAAATGTGTACAAAAGTGTACATGTTTGCACGTCAACTGAAGGTCCAACGGAAAGAAGCAGGACTAATATATCTGATTCTTTCCGGTCTCGACAACGATGCCGTTGGTGTTATCGGCGAACGCTTTCTGAATGGGAAGTGTAAGTGCTTGCATGATATTGTCGCGGTAGTCCATCTTGACGAGGCTCTTATCGAACCAGTAGTGGCGAACAAAATGCCCTGTGCAGTTGGAAATTTCCACTCCAGGAAAGCCGTTCGCTTCCTTGCAGTCAAGCTCCTTGATGTCGTCTTCGTAATCGTAGCGGATATATTCTCCGAATGCACTCTGCTCGTGGAACTTAGGCGTCTTCCATTGCGAGCATTCTTTGTACCGCGTGTCATCGGGGCACTCGTGCCATGCCTTGAGGATCTCTTGGATCTTCTTGTTATTCTGCACAATCATGAAGCCAGTGTTCGTGTAGGTGCGATTGAAGCGGTCGGAGTTGTATTGAGGAGATGCGGGGTCCCAAGGGTCCTTTGCCATAGTGATTGCATCCTTGGGCTTGATGTCCCAATAGTTCAGCATCCATTCGATGGGGAGGTGCAGGAATCGGAAGGTGGCATCGGCATCAAGGAACACAATGAACTTGTAGTTCTTAATTTGGTTGGCTAGGGCACTTGGCTTGATCCAAGTCGCATGCCTGTCTTCGAAATTGCTGGCTTTGATGAACTTGTAGTCATATCCGTGGATGAGGGCGTACGTGTAGTGGTTGAAGACACCCGCTGAGACGTGGTTAAGATCGCGCCATTCGAATTTGCCCTTCTTGTATTCCTCTGTTGACTCGAGAGGCCGAGTGTCCAAATCGAGGATTAGGATATCGTTGCCCATGGGTTTGGTATAACGCGGGTTCTCTGGGAGTTCAAAGACGTCTTCGCCGCTGCGGACGGACTTTGCGGTAGGCTCGAGTTTGGTGGGGGCGAAAAGGATTTGCAGGGCTTCATTGACACCGAGATTGGAACTGCAGGTTGATTAGTAAATGTGTGTATTCATGTCTTCTCCCCATGCATTGCAAACGCGCAAAGTGAATGCAGGCGGAGGAGAAGGGGGAGCTATGGGGGGGCGTACTGCGCATTATTCCCATGGTGGAACGGAATCTTGCTGGGAGACCGCCATGCGAGAACACCGAAGATGAACACGATAACAAAGCCAGCACAGGCGGCGAGCGCAAAGAACGGGGAGCGCGCTCCCGTGATGGGCAGCATGTTGGCAACAACGGTGCGAACGAGGTGGTGGGTTTGGGTGCGAAAAGGAGCGGAGCAGGATAGGCAAGAAGGGGGCCCGGGGCTCTTAAAAAGGTTGTCAGCCAAGCTTACTATAGAGGCGCAGGCTGTCCTGGATTGACGAGGGCTGGGCGCCTGTAGTGCAATTCCATACAGGAGAACCAGAGAAACCAGAGAACAGGAGAACAAGGAGACGAGACGAGACGAGCGAGATTAGGAAAAGGTTTAACGCTCAGGGCTCAGGCTTGTCAGCGCGGCGCTCGCTCCGAACCGTTAAGAAATTTAGGGCTCCTCGAGCTTCATGCGAAAGACAAGATCTGGCCAGGAGTGCAAATGCCCATAGGCCGACTATTACTTGCGGGTTCTCCCTACTCGACCGTGTGTTCCAACAGCTGCAAATGAAAAGGTAATGTGCCACGCCAAAACCGGACAAGATTGCCGGCCCTGGATTGACCCCGGAAGGATCGCTGCGGCGTACAGCGTGGCGCACCCGTAGTGCAAGGCGGTACTCCGTATCCTCGTACGTTGGATAGTTACACTTGACTGGACTGGACGAATAGTAGTACAGACTTGATGAGACCACGATCAACACGGAATTCTCAGTTCGAGTATTGTAGCAACGGTCGAGATGTGGTACGCGCAAGGAGGATGGATTTCTACACGAGCATTTCTCTATCAGACAGACGCCAGCAACAGCACAACAGGGGAATCGAAGAGGATCATGTGGAATTTTGCAACTGGAACAAACTTGTTAGATAAGGCAGATTTGAGGATGCACATCAACTTGACTTGACTTGACTTGATTTGACTTGGGGACTTTGTTGAAGCGGACGAAGACGGAGGTTAAAGGGAAAGGGAAAGGAGGAGTGGCGGTGGTGGGATAGAATTGATCCGTGCGTTGCATTCAGCAGCTGTGATTGGTCCATCGGCCCGTGTTACATCCATTAGGCCCATGGTCTTAATATTACTCCAGACTCCACCCCTGAGATAGACAACGACGAACTACGGACTACACCTCCTGAATCATCTGGTTTAATCGTCATCCACACATTGTTATATTCTTTTCAAAATTACAGAAATGTAAATCATGTGATGGCAACTCTGGTGGCCGACCTCACACATTGCAAAATGGTCTACTCCTCCCGTACTTTGACACAAATTATATGAGCACTTTTCGACAGTCAATTGGTGACAATCTAGATAGCTGCCTCCATTCCCACAATAAGTTGGACAGTACACAATCCCATTTTTGACATTGAAACTTGTCGTGCCACAAAACTATGCATGCACAGATCAAGATGCAATGATGGGCGACAGGGATGTGGTATACTCCCTCCACTCCGTCGCTAAACCGCCGATATACACAAAGCTTATAGTAACATTCGAAGTAAGAGAAGGTCTTTCCTGGGTACAAATATCAAAGATCATTGCAAATTCATGTTACCAGCAGTTTCTCTGCATCATGGACACCGAGCACAGAACACAGCACTGTCCTCACAGTGCTCGATGTCCACTTCCTCGAGTACGGGACCATCCATACTCGATGACTAGATCAGGAACATATCCTATAGCTTCACACTGACGAGATAATTACGAGGCACACATCGCTTGTATTATGAACAGTCAACACATCTCAATTCAATACAAGTATCAGTCATGAAACCAGAATCACTTCTTAAGGAAATGTTCGAGGGAATTCAGCATACACTTGCAATAAGTGAAAAGTCTTGGTACAGAATGCATAATCACCCACCAGGCCGAATGCCTCACCAATCATTCCTGGAGAAGGTCCTGCGCTATGTTGTTGTGTGATCTTTCCTGCTTTCATATTCACTTGTATTGATTCCTACATGAAGTTCGCTTCTGCTGGTTGTCATAAAAGATGAAGTACTGAACCCTGATCAATCTCTACCATACGGTTACTCGGACTGCCTTGTCATGATAGGAATATGCCAATTACGAATTCCCTTTCTATGTCCGCAGATTCAATCGAGCAAGATGAAACAGAAGCGAAAAAAATCTTTTCAGCAATATACGGTGAGCACTGTTCGCTGAGCACTGTTCGTTGCGATTGTTCGGCACCACCAGGCACCAATAACGTCATCCACTTTTACCTTTACCTTCACCTTTACCTCTACCTTTACCTTTACCTTTACCTTTACCTTGACCTTGACGTTAATTGCTTGGCAGAAAAGTGGTAACAACAAAATTTTCCTGCTGAGGTCCCTTTCCTTTCCTTTCCCTCAACCCTTCCTTGCCTTCTTCCTTCTTCCTTCGACACCCAAACACCATCCACCATTCTCAACCACTCATTACAACTTCATCCATCATTCCAAATCACACACTGCAGTTATCTACTTCGAAGCTTTGATCCTTCATTTCCCACCACTCATCACAACTACCACCATCAAAATCCCACAAAAACCAAACAACAAGATGTCCTTCATCTATCCCGTCCACTCCTCGCCCCGAGTAGCAAGGAAGTTTCTCGCCTTCCTGGACGAGAGAGATACTGAGGACAACAAGCGCAAGCGGGCAGAAGACGACGACGACGATGACGCCGACGGAACACCTGCCAAGAAGTGCAAGCTGATGGAGGACCTCGTCGCCGACCAACACGAGGCCTCCATTGGCCCCATCACTTCCACTGGCGAGGTGCCTTCCGTTCGGCCGGTGGTGGCGGCTCGTCGTCGGAGCCCAGTCGTCCGTAGAGTGGGCAGATATCTGCTCGAGAAGGTGAAGGTAATCCGCCGCAAGCTGAGGGTGAACATCCCGGCCGGCCAACACAGGCTGCGGATGCCTGGATCTTTCCTGGACGACACGGAGATCCTGAGAGATCTCCTCCTTCGCGAGGAGATCTTCTCTGCCCAAATCGCCGCGGCGGTACAGCCGACGACGCCTCAGCAGAGGCCCCTCAAGAGACAAGTGTCCGAAATGGACACACCAGCAGCGAAGAGGATGAAAACAGATCGGCCCCGGCAGCAGATGCCGGGTGCCTTTCTGAGCGACGAGGAGTACGTTCGGAGCGGGATTGGGGGCAACTCGACCCCAGTGTGCCACCCCCCAATCAACCCATCGCCTTTGACGGTGACGAGGACGCCCGCTCGCCCACAGGTGTCCATTCCGCAGCTGGTCCAACCGATGCGGCAGGCGCAGGAGAGGCGGGGCCGGCTGCGGAAGCAACGTAACGAAGAGTTAGAACAGGCGTATAAGGACGAGATAAACAACGCCAAAGACATTCTGGCGAGGCGTCGTGAGCACCTCCAGAATCCGCCAGGACCAAGACCAAGACCAGCACCAGCAACAGAACCAACTCCAGCTCCGGCTCAGGCTCCACCTCTAACTCCCGCTTCAGCAGTGGCCTCAAAGATATACAGTCTCCCTGTCGTATTCCCAGATCGCGTCAACCAGATCAAGAGACAAGCAGGCATTTCAGGTAGTGGAAAGTTCCGTATGTTCTCGTAGTGTCAGCGCCACTACAACCATCAGTTCCTTACCTCTAGTGGTCTCCTCAAAAGAGATAACCCGACCGACCATAGACTCGGCATCAAAACCACTTCCATCGCTTTCATCTTCGCCACTCACACCCTTCAATACGCAACCAGCACAATGACATGTCTTGTTCGAACAATCCCAGGGACTCTGTTGCAACCCTACCTTCACTTCAACCCTACATCAAGAAGCAGCATCACACACTCTCGATGAACCTGGACGGACAATGGAACCATCAAATCATCCAATCACAAAAGGCATGTCAAAAGCACATGGGACAGCTCAAATAGGAAGGTATCTTCCTAGTTAGCGCCCCATCGAATGTCCGTAAGTCAGCTAACCAATCCGGTCGACTTGGTACCTGGATCCCTGTGTCCTCTGGTCCAGTCGACAATGTTTGTTTCTTATCTGACAGTCATGAGAATAGATGTTTCACCAGCCCTGAACCTGTACCTAGTACGCATGCGCCCGCGCGAGTGAGAGAGTGCCAGAGCCTGGGATTGAGGAAAATGCCATGCTTTGTGTTTGCCTGCTTGCTCGCTTGCAGAGCATAGTAGGACACCTCCATAGCTCTGCCTCTCTTGCGATGATGCGCACCATATTGAGGAAAAGAATAGGAAGGGTGTGAGTTCGGCTGGAAGCTCTATCCATCAAACAACCACTCGCTGCACGTTCACAAAATCTCTGTTCACCATCATTCTAGCCTGGGGCATCTGGAATAGTTCCATACTCGACTCTACACTTCAGTACGACATCACCTTTCATCACAACTTTACTGTTCATTACGACATTATCTTTCATCACGGCTTTACTTTTCATTACGACATCACCTTTCATCACGACTTCAAACTCCATCACAACCTTACCTTTCATTACGACACTACCCTTCATCACAACTTTACTTTTGATCACGACCTTACACTTTATCACAACTTTCCTTTTCCATACTCAGCTTTACTTTTCATTCCGACTTTACACTTCATCAACACTCTACTTTTTCATTACGACTTTACATTTCATCAACACTCTCCTTTTCATCACGACTTCTCTCCTTTTCATCACGACTTCTCTCCTTTTCATCACGACTTCTCTCCTTTTCATCACGACTTCTCTCCTTTTCATCACGACTCTTCTTTTCCTTTACGACTTCTCTTTTCATACAACTTTACACTCCATCACGACTTTATAATTCATCTCTACTTTACACCTCACCAGGACTTATCAAGTATTACAAGAGCCTAGAAAGGTAAGCTCTTAACTAAAGCACATACACGTTTTTACAAGGCCACTGACCTCGGAGTTTATCAGGACATACCTATTTACCCCTGCATGCATAACATGCATCTAAACGAGGCGTCGCAGGTTACAGCAACTGCGATATTCCCGTTCTGGCTGTCATCACTTATCGCTTCCACTTACCCGCCTACCCAGGGTCTCTTCATGTCCTGTCATCATTTCACCCAGAGAAACATGTCGAGTAACTTTCACCCTTTCAATCGCCGGCCCACGATGCATTGTCACGGTCACATCACTTTAAATGACTTCTATCCAACATGCATAGCATGTACCTGGTCATACGGGCACGACACGCTGCAACCTACCTGTTACTCTCTAGACGACCAAGAGTACTCTCCAACAACCAATCCTACACACAAAATGCTTCCCGCCCATCAATATTCAACACCTGAGTCACAAGTATAAATGACTCCCAAGAATGAATATATTTCTTGACCCACCTCGCCATCGACCATTCTTTACATTCGTATACTTCCACTCGACCTTCACTCAACTTCTACTTCATTGTCCAGCCATGCGGTTCTTCGTCATGGGTCCTTTCTCAATCCTATGTCTACTCTCTGCCATGGTGAGCGTAGTTTTTGCTGGTTTCAATACCAATAGCAAAAGCAATATCGCTATATACTGGGGTCAAAACTCTGCTGGTACACAACAAACTCAACAACGGTTATCAACATACTGCAACAGTTCGTATCTCAAGTCACCAAGATGCACCACACAACTGACACATCCATAGATCCAGATGTCGATGTAATAATCCATACTACTCTGTCTCTGCATCTCACTCACACCAATATCAGGTCATCATACTTTCCTTCCTACTCCGCTTCAGCGGCACGGGAGGCCAGCCTGTCTTGAACTTTGCCAACCAAGGCGACCGCTGCACACTCTTCGCCGGCACTGAACTTTTTCGATGTCCTGAGATAGAGTAAGCCCTCTCACCCCACGCACTTAAAACCAATACTCACGCCAGACCCAGGGCCGATATACAAACATGTCAATCCCAGAGCAAAACCATCCTCCTCTCCCTCGGCGGTGACGCTTACACAGAGGGTGGCTTCACCAGCGCAGCTGCCGCAACTGAAGGGGCCAACAAAATCTGGGCCATGTTCGGCCCTGTCCAGTCCGGATCCACCGTCCCTCGCCCATTTGGTAGCGCTATTCTTGATGGTTTCGATTTCGATTTTGAAGCCAATGTCTCCAATATGGCTGTCTTCGGCAACCGTCTTCGCACTCTCTTCTCCTCCGTCAGCAAGAAATTCTACCTCACTGCCGCACCACAATGTCCATTTCCAGACTGGTATAACAAAGACATTATCGACAATGTTCCACTCGACTTTCTCAATGTGCAATTCTATAACAATGGCTGTGGAGCGAGCAGTTATGTTCCCGGACAAGAACAACAATGGAACTTCAACTTTGATCAATGGGACACCTGGGCCAAGAGCGCCTCCAAGAACCCGAATGGTAATGTCTTCTGTTTACCTACCTTCTTCTTTACCACGACTAACAACAGAAACAGTGAAAGTACTCCTCGGCGTTCCAGCAAACACAGGAGCAGGACGTGGATACCTGACTCCTAGTGCTTTAGCCCCCGTCATACAGTACTCATCGAAATATTCTAGCTTTGCAGGTGTCATGATGTGGGATGCCAGCCAAGCATGGCAGAATCCAGGATTCATCTCCAACGTAAAAAGCACTTTGAGATCGCTTGCGAAGATGAAGAGACAGCTGAGATGGGGACGCCGCGCCATCGACATTGTATAAATACAACCAACCCCTCGACAAACACCCACCGCCTCACCTGTCCACAGTTTTTGTTTCTCGAAGAAGCCTTTGCTTCCATTTTCAGTCGTTTTACAATTGCCTCTTATATCTCGGAATAATTCCGATCATACGAGAGCGAATTTGCTTGTTTTCGAAACTTCTCTCCAGACAGTCCTCATCTCTTTCGACGGTCTTGCTTCCTCCTTTTTACCGGACTTCATATCTTTACTGGAGGTCTACAAGAAGCAATGACATGGATCACTGTTTGTTCTTCAACGGCAAAGACCGTTTGCGTCTAGATAGTTTCATAATTGATATTTTGCACGTTACAACCTCAACTTCTTCATTCATCCAGCTGTGCGACACAAGTGAGACAAAATTATGACATTAACTTTGTATTTAATCCACGGTATCTAAATGTATTCCCTGATCCCGCCTGGCTTTCCCTTCCCACCTCCACACTATGCCACCGCACAACAACCATCCCCATCCTCTAATACGGCGCCCGTTGCGCAAACCTCATCTCATTAACGCCCACATCAAACACCGCAACCACGCTCTTCAAAAACGCATCCCCGAGCACCGAGTCCCCACTCACCCTCCCCTGGATACTCGGCACACACATCTGCGTCTTCGTAACGCCGCCCGCGACGCCGTCATGATTCTTCGTCACCATCGTGCCACCACCCGGCCCGATCAGATCCCTTGGGTCGATCTTGAGCAGCTTCCCGCCGATGATGACGCCGATGTCCGGGAGCGCGGCGTCGCAGTGTACGATCCAGAGGTTCGATGTCTCGTTGAAGATGGCGGGGGGAACGAAGAAGGATCCGATTGCCGCGGCGATGTCCCATGGGACGTAGATGAGTGTGGTGCCGGAGTCGATTATCATTTCGAGGCCGGAGTCTTCGGAGGAGGAGCCCGGGTCGGCTTGAGGGTTCTGGTGTGCGCGGGAGGAGGTGAGGTGGAAGATGTGGGTTTGGTTGTTGGTGGTCTGGCGGTGGAGGGGGCGGTGGAAGGGACGGGTCTTGCGTTGCCGCCGCCGTGTGGGCGGGATCCAGCCTTCTGGGGGTGTGACGGCGATGCCGTCGACGGGGACGGAGTAGAAGGCGTATTGGTCGGATATGATGGGTTGGATGGGGACGGACACGAAGTCGCCGTCGAGTGGGATGTCGGGGATGCCGCCGATGGCGAGGAGGCCTCCGGCCACGGGGTTGTCTACAGAGGGTCGACTGAGGGCAAGGCTGAATATGCTGGGTACGGTGCCGTCTTCGAATCTGTTGATGGTCAATTCAGGGTGATTTCGAGAAGTGGAAGAGATATCTTTGCAATTAGCGACAAGGGAGAAGTCTCACAGTGTAAATGCAATGCTGGTGTAGTTCAGATCATTGACGCCGCTCGCCAGCGTAGGGTATGCAAGACCCATCAATCCACTGCTCAGTCCATCTCCAATCCACCATCCTCGTTCCACAACGCCAATGGTCTGCCTAGTCCTCCAGCCTCCAACTTCAAGCTCTTCGGTTCCCATCTCGCCCAATAGATACTCTCCGTCCGTATACTGAACGCTGAAATCATGCGTAGGAATGGTCTCAAATGTAGGTGAGTCTGAAATGTTGAAAAGCTTGCCAAATCCGCAGGAAGACTGCGGGAGTCGCCGTCGCGTAGATGGCGAGAGACATCTAAATCGTGTAGAAGCCACCCAGGTGTCGGAAGAGCCTGTGTCAATCACCAGGGTATATGACTGGGAGGCCAATGACACGTTTGTCATATATACACGACCACCCAAAGTGAGAACGTCCTGCTGGACAACGCCAATCGCGCTCTGGGCTTCCTCTTCGCTTTCGGCGAAATCCTCTACAGAGGACTCATCTACCTCTTCCTCCTCGAAAAGCTCCTGACGCTTAGCTAGGTGGCCGGAGGAGGGCGTCAGGAAATGTGATAGAGGTTTCGCTTCAAGTTCCAACACATGGTTCGTCACTGTGGCATTCTAGCTCAATTATGACCAGCATTGCGTAGGAGAATTTACCTGTGAGTCCTGGAACACCGGTACGTTGTTGCAAGGCAAGTACAAGATTATCGAAACATGGTAATAATACAATAGGGATGATAAACTGAAGAATATGCATGGTGAAAAAACTGTAACAGAACGAAATTGCACAGGCGCACCAAAGACGCGTAAGAAGATCGAGAAGGATGAACATATTTCTATTGCTGGATTTCTATCCGGCCGAGCATGCCGAGCATAGCGCGTCTCTTCGAAGCAAGGAGATGCTGCAACGAAGCACAGATGTGGTATTTTTGCCATGCTACTATGATTATTCGGGGCCCGCGTGATGATAATTCGGTGGAACAAAAACTATCGGACTTAAGAAAGCATAAACGACTCGCCATCAGGGGCGGTGCGAGTCTCTTCCAGTACGTACCGATGATTCGTAGATACGAGAAGGTTTTACGGCGAAGGCAGGCTTGCTGTCCAAGGGAGAGACGCTTGGCCCATATTTCCAAGATCATGCCTCAAGGGATAGACTCACCTGGTCCCCGGACAGCATGAAAACATCACGCATGTACAAGTACCGAAGAAAAATTGGGTACCCCATTTACCGGTAGCACGGTGCTGCTCAGATGAGTACACAGAGGTCGGGTTGCTTCCGAAAAGCGGTCCAATCCCTTGTTGAGCGTTAGACAAGCATCGGCATGATGTACTGTGTAGTTTGAACGCACGTTGACTTTTCTTATGAATTTATGCTCGTGCAAAATGCCTCATTGGCAACGCTTTCTTCTTGATGTTGTACATGTAATCCTAGCCTGCTCCGATACAAGCTCTTGTCAATGCTGTGGTAAGCCGAACCTTTTGGGAATAAGTCGTAAATGACACACCTGAACTCCAACCCTGTGAGAACTACCATCCACCACGCCTACCTCCTCCACGACCACCACCTCGGCGCCCTCCACCGCGTCCTCCATAACCGCCGCCGCCACCATAGCCTCCACCTCCCCAACCTCCGGAACCGCCGCGAGGGCCGTCCATGCCGCGGTCATTGTGGGACGAGTAATCCTGGCGAGGGGGCACGCGACCCTTGAGTTCCTTTTGGAGGGTTTCGTAAGACTTCCGCATGGATGCATACCCAAGGTGCATCTTTCCGTAGAAGTGGTCCGCCAAACGTCGGTCGTTGTCCAGTCGACTGAGGTATGCACCACACACGTCACAGACTTGTAGCTTTTGATGTCCAGAAGGTCCTCCTGTGTCTGCCAGTGCTTTGAGCTCTCGTTCGCGCTCCTCCTTTTCTTGCTTCTTCTGCCTAACCTTGAAGAACTCGGTGACAGCCATATTCACGCAACCCTCCTCGCCCATGATCTTGATTTCGAGCATACCTGCTTCGATCGATTTGGTCAACTCATTGATTTGTTTGAGCTCCATTTGGTCAGTATCAAGTAGCATTCAGGTAGAGACAGGCATGTAAAGACAGGTAGGTAAAGGAAGGCAGGTGAATGCAGGCAGGTAAAGACAGGTCGTAACTCACCAAAGTATTAGTTTGTCGAATCTCGTCTGGTGTCTTCTCCAACCGCCGCTGAGCTACATCAATGCGCCTGTTGCATTCATCGACGAGCTTCTGCATATCCCTCAGATAGTCAAACTCGAACCCCCATTCTTTCTTCTGCTCTGGCGAGGCCTCGCTGTATTCGGTCTTGAGTGAGTCGCTGTGTGTCTTTGGACATGGGCCAAAGTCTTGTTTTGTGTTTGTGAAGAGGTCGTGTGGGCATTGACCGAGCATGTAGGATCTACAGACCTTCGGGTCTGTAATGCTGAGTTGAGGTGCGCGGACATCTGCTCCAGTGAAAGCCTGTTCGCCCATGAGCTGCTCTATAGATTTGTTAGCAGCTGCGAGACGTGAAGATAAATGATGGGAGCATACCGAGCAGCCTACGAGTCTCTGCGGCCGCCATAGTGGTTGCGCGCTCCTTCTTTTTGCTGCAGCAGTAGGTGTAGGACTTTTCGGGAGTGCGTGAAAGATAGTTTAGAGTAGAGTGGAGTAGAGGCGAGTAGAGCTACCTGGTAACGGTAGTGAAGAAGTTCGCGACAATGAGTATGCGACAGGTGAGCTTGGCGCGCTAACTTCAACAAATGTAGCCAATCAAATGGCGGAGTCCCCGAACCTCCACCCATGCAATGTTGCCTTCATCAACGTTGCCGTAGTTATTTCGACTCCGCAACATACTCTCATTCAGTCGCAGGCAGGCTAGGGCTGAGATGCTGCCATGCTTCCATTCCTTGTCCTTCTGCTCTTCAATGCTCTCCTAGCTTACGCTACCGACTACGAGGAGCGACTTCTCCTTCGACCCCTTCCACGATCTGCCCTCCTCGCCTCCTTCCAATTCCGAAGCAATGAATCTTCCACTTCGTTCGAGCAGCAGAACTTCCGATACTTTCCCCGATCTCTAGGACAAATCCTGCAGCACGCGCATACAAAAGAGCTTCATTTAAGATTCAGTGTAGGACGTTGGGACGCAGAGAGTTGGGGCCAGCGGCAATGGAACGGCGCTCGTGAAGGCGGTACCGGCGTTGAGCTATGGGCTTGGATTGAAGCTGACGATGAGGAACAGTACGTTGGAATCGATTGCAATTATTGTGCAGCAGACTAAGAATTTGCAGGGCTTTCTCACGATGGCTAACGCTCACGAATACTCTTTCTGGCCTCTTCTGTGCCTCACTCAACTTTATCGATGCCACGAAGACTATCCGCCCTGTGATGACGTTCTCTCCGGAGGGAGATCATCCAAACCCCTCTAAGCTACACCTTCTACATGGTACGCTGCCTCACGAGGTGGTCTGCACGGAGAACCTTACGCCTTTCCTCAAGTTGCTTCCCTGCAAAGGCAAAGCAGGCGTTTCAAGCCTTCTGGATGGGCATAAGCTGTTTGATGCGTCATGGCAAACGATGTCGATTGACGTTCGGCCAGTGTGTGAAGAGAACGGCGACTGCTCTTTGGAAATGGAGCAGTCTGTGGACATGGTGCTGGACATTGACCGATCGAAGCGGCCGCGAGACAACCCTATCCCCCGTCCCCTACCAATCGAGGATATCGAATGCGACACGTCCAAATATTATAATGGTCACGACACATGCTTCCCGCTCGACAAGCAGGCTGACCCGGCCTGGACCCTTACCGAGGTTTTTGGGCGACCCCTTCGCGGGGCATGTCCTCTGACCGACACAGAAGGCCCTAATTCTCACACTGTCTGTATCAACACGCCGCCGGAGAGGACCGTGAACGCCAATACTACCGGCCAGTACGAGGAGCATAGGTATGCATCTGATACCATGCGTTGTTATAAGCTGCCTACAGGCAGCGATATCGATCTCGAATTGCCAGAACAACAAATGACAACAGGCCTGGTCTTGGGCACGCCTCCCCTATACGCTGCTCGTGCTATCAATGGACATGGCCAGGAACGTGGTAGTGTTCAGGCTGTCATCAGGAATCCATCGACATCTACGGCTGTGGACTTCGTTTATCTGGAAGCACTTCCGTGGTTCATGAAACCCTATCTGCACACTCTTCGCGCCCAAGTGACCGGATCGTCTGAGAACCCTATCAAGGAGACTTATTATCGACCAGCAGTCGATCGCCGCCGAGGAACGCATATTGAACTCAAGTTGACCATCCCTGCGGGCGCGACTTTGACCATCACCTACGATTTCGACAAGGCCATCCTGAGATACACAGAGTATCCACCCGATGCGAATCGCGGCTTTGATGTTGCGCCAGCTGTCATTCGAGTGTTAAATCCGCAATCTTCTGATAGGAGGGGTGCATATTTGCGAACCACATCGTTGCTGCTGCCACTCCCCACTCCGGACTTCAGTATGCCGTACAACGTCATTATCCTGACAAGTACAGTCATGGCGCTGGGGTTCGGTAACATCTTCAATCTGTTGGTTAGGCGCTTTGTTGGGGCTGATGAAGTACCCTCGATTGGCGGGGGTCTAATCGGAATCTTGAAAGCAAAGGTACAACGCATAAGAGGGCGATTCTCACGATAGATCATGTAGATGTCTCGAAAATAAACGTAAAAGTCATTTTCTTGTCAAATGTGTATAATTTTCAAGTGTTTTATACAACATCTGAGAGTGGTATATTGCAATTGTACTCTACTTCAGTCACACCTCACTCTTCATCATCCATTCCCAAACCACCAATATCTCCCAAAAATCCAAGATTCCCGCTTCCTTGCAACAATTTCTCGACATCAATCCCGCCGCTAGTCAGATATCTCTCACTAACGCCCGTATTGATCCTCTGCGCCAGCAGCGACTTCAATTCCGCCCTGAGACCCTGCATCTCAGCCTTCGTCATTCCCTGCGCCTCCTTCTCCTTCTTCTTGCGTCCCGCACCTCTACCCCGTTTGCCCTTCGCTTCTGCCTCAAACGTCTCGCTGTCGTACTCCACGCCGAGATCTTCTGCAGCGGCGCGCATCCAATCGTTCTCGCTGTGTTTCTTCTCCTTGGCGATCACTGCGTCTGCGAGTTTCTTCGCGAGGGTGGCGCGCGGTTTGAGGCGAGACACGATGCGTCGGTCGATGTCGAGCGTGCGGATGAAGAAGGCGGTCTTCTTCGACTTCGAGGGCTGCGTTTTGGCGTGCACTTTTGCGACGAGTCGGCGCACACCGGCGACTTCTTCGGGAGCACAGATCAGGATGCTGGAACCTGATGCTTCGGCACGGGCGGTTCGACCGGAGCGGTGGACGTAGGTATCGGCGGCGCGGGGAAGATGGTAGTGGACGATGAGTTCTACTCCTGGAATGTCGAGGCCACGGGCGGCGACGTCGGTTGCGACGAGGATAGAGCCCGCGCGAGATTTGAATCGTTCAACGGAACGGAGACGCGCTTTTTGGAGCATGCCAGAGTGGAGGGCCAGGGCGGGGAGGTCGAGATTTTGGAGGAATGGGGTCAGTCTACGGACGGCTGCGATCGAGTTTGTGAAGATCAGAGCACGTTTCTTGGGGTGGAACATGAGGACCGAGTAGAGGAAGAGGTCTTTCTCCGTGCCAGCGCATTCGACAAGGCCTTCTTTGAGGCCCGATGCCATTTGCGCGGTAGGGTTTGCGTCGATGAATTTTGGTTTTTCTTCGCGGAAGTGGAGCTTTTTGAGGAGGTACTCCATCGATTCTTGCTTGTTCATGAGTTCTCCACCTTTAGGCCCTTTGCCGGCGAGCTTCTGTTGCAGGCCTTTATGGAAGGTGGCGGAGAAGACGAGTGTCTGGCGGTTGACCTCGATGACGGGCTTACTATCGTCCACTTCGTCTTCTGGATCGAAGTCATCGTCCTTTTCGAGGACGTTGATTATCTCTCCTAGCTCTTTGTAGTGGCCTTGACTCAGAAGACGGTCAGCTTCATCGACGACAAGGAATTTGATCTTTTTGAATGAGTCCAGAACACCGTGACCGCTGCTAATGACTTCCCACAACCGGCCGGGCGTCCCCACAATGATGTCGGCAGTCTCGAGTTGTCGGCGCTGTTTCTGTACGGAAAGTCCACCAGTAATAGTTGCGATATACGGCGCATCGAAAGTCTTGCCGGTGCAGAGAGCGGTTAAATGGGCCGAAATCTGATGCGCCAACTCTCGAGTGGGAGATATAATCATCGCCAACGGGGCCTTATTCTTCTTAACCTCGTCGCGCGACGCAAGGTACGATTCAAGAATTGGAATACCAAAAGCAAGCGTTTTACCTGAACCTGTCGACGCTTTGCCGATGACATCGTGACCTGCTAATATCTCGGGGATAGCAGATGACTGAATCGCAGTAGGTCGAGTGAATTTCAGCTTTGAGAGCGCACCAAGAGTCTCTGTGGATAGATCAAGCTCTTCCCATGCAGAGACATCCACTCCCTCGTCTTCCTCATCGTCGTCCGCTTGTTCTGCAAGGATCTCGAATGCGCTGGGTCCATTCGTTGCCAATTCAGCCTCCTGTAGCTTTTTCTGCTCCTTCTTGTTCTTTTTAGTCTTGCCCTTCGCACCATCAGCGTCTTTCTTGCCCTCCTTTGCCTTTGCCTGTGGAACGGAGTCTATTGCCTCCGAGAGCTCGTTGTCCACTACCTCGCCAGCATTATCTGTATCATGTCCGTTTTCTTCAGCGTCGCTGAAACCTCCCCACGATCCAGCTTCGTCATCATCGCCATCGTCTTCATCTTGGCCAACTTCTTCCGCATCGCCTGTAGGTTCAGGAACGTCCTTCGCAAGCTTCGATTCGGATGACTCGAAGGATATGACACCGGTAGTTTCGTCCCTCACTACATCCACATCGTCAATCTCTTCTAGCCCATAGAAGCCTTCAAAATCATCCAATCGATCAGGCATGTCCACATCTTTCCAAGCTAGCTCATTGAGCCTAACCTTCTGTCGTTTCGCGGGTTCTTTCGAGGCATTGCTTCGACCGGTCTGAGAGGACTTCTCGACTCGTTGCCGTTTTCGCGATTTATTGTTGTTAGATTTGGAGGGATTCGGCCGTTTCGCTGTAGATTCCGCCATGTTCGCTGGCATTAATTATGTATGGTTGGAAGTTTGAAGCTTCGAATGAATTTTTTGGAAAAACATGTCGGGGATCGGCGAAGTAAAACCCCGCGATGTCGGCAAAAATTGCCCCTTCGAAGCAGCTATGATGGTGCCCCACGTGAAGAAGCTTTTGCTCGATTTTTGACCAAACGAGCGTTACATATACATTGCACGAACCAAGGGCAGGGATCTCCTATATTCAAGTCGTCGTCGCTGATAACAATATTGGGTATTTGAGCCAGGCTGTATCAATTTCTCCCGGATCGACGTTCAACTGCCAGCATTTGTTTGGAACAAACACCCTAGAGTGCCACAATGGGAAAATCATCCAAAGACAAGCGAGATGCGTACTATCGCCTTGCCAAAGAGGAGGGCTGGCGTGCGCGATCGGCATACAAATTGCTTCAAATCGATGAGCAATTCAATCTGTTCGAAGGAGTCACACGAGTTGTAGATCTATGCGCCGCGCCCGGGAGTTGGAGTCAAGTCCTGTCACGCGTACTGATCAAAGGAGAGACCTTTGGAAGAGCTGGATGGGAAGAGAAACAGAAAGAGGCCCGAAACTATGTTCTTGGTATGAAAGATGAAAAGTCCCAGGCCACGGAAGAGAAAAAGCAAATTGAGCCTAGAAAACCACGTGAGGGAGTCCGGATCGTGTCTATCGACTTACAACCCATGAGTCCTCTTGAGGGTGTTACCACTCTGCGTGCCGATATCACACATCCATCGACCATCCCACTTCTTCTCAAAGCACTGGATCCCGATACTTACGATCCTTCTTCCACGTCTCCATCTGCCCCTGTAGACCTAGTCATATCCGATGGAGCTCCTGACGTCACTGGTTTGCATGATCTTGATATCTATGTCCAATCTCAACTGTTGTGGGCGGCTTTGAACCTTGCACTATGTGTGCTGAAGCCAGGAGGAAAATTCGTTGCCAAGATCTTCCGCGGTAAAGATGTTGATCTTCTCTTCGCACAGCTCAAGATTGTGTTTGATAGAGTTCGCGTTGCAAAGCCAAGGAGTAGTCGTGCAAGCAGTATCGAGGCATTTGTAGTGTGTGAAGGCTTCCATCCACCGGAAGGATTCAAGGCTAGCCTGGACGTGCCGCTGGGGGCTGGAATAGATCTCCCACAGATCGAGAAGGAAGCCGTGGATGCTGATAAGAAGCCGTCCAGCAAGCAGAGAGAAGATGGAGCCATCGAACTAGAACTCCCGTCCGAAGACGACGAGGGTGGACCAGAGGGTGGGTCCCGTTGGATTGCGCCGTTCCTTGCTTGCGGAGACCTTTCAGCGTACGACTCAGATGCGACTTACCAGCTACCGAAAGATAGGGTGTCTCTCGACCCAGTGCAGCCACCCACCATGCCACCCTATAAGAAGGTAGAATTACTCCGCCTCATTATGTATCGCTCTACTGACCTGACTAGGCACTTGAGATGAGAAAACTAGCTGGCGGCGCATACGGGAAGACGAGAGGGCAAGAGAACACATCAGCTTGAGAAACAGGGTGATATTGACAGGTGGGCGTCACATTTACTCTACACGATGTCCGAGCGATGCGACAAATGCTCGGATCACCCGCATTACTAAGTTGGCATTGTTTAATCGCTTTGTTTTCCAGTGTCTCTCTTCCACTCCTGGTACGCGGATATGAACCTGCGCTCCCATGGATCACTCGTGCAGAGGGAATCCCAGCTTTCAGAAGCGTCATCTGTCTCCCCCAATTGCGCGACACTCTTCCAGATAGCCCAGATGAGGGCGCTTGCACCAAGAACCACGGGGATCATTTGTCCTACATCGTCGAACCGGTCAGAGTGACCAGCTCCGTTCCAAAAGATCGTTAGTTCGATTTGCAGTATCACAAAGATATTTTTGAAAATCTCTGAGACTGCCCAGACGATTGGCAATGCAGGTCTCTTTTGTCGTGAAAGCCGAATGCTTGAAGCGATGGCAATGCACCGCTGAGAAGGCGCAGTGTCGGAACAGGTTAGGGCGGCATAGACCTGGAAGGGTGAACTGAAACCATTGAGCTTCCGCGAAGCATTCAGATGGTGGAAGATGATGGCGCAATGTCTTGGGAAATGGAAGGTCAAAAGTGCTCCGAAATGTCTTACTACGCAGCCGATGTAGGAAGGTTGTTTTCGGTATACTAGGTCGTAGGCAGAGTATTCTTCTAAGTCCGGCTGAGTTTTCTTGCCGAAAATGAGTCGGCTGAGCCTGGGATATCTTATTCGGAGACGTCCTTGCTCTCCCGCAGCAATGCAATCGTCCAAGAACTGCTCCCCGCGATATACTCCTTCGAACAGTGGGCTATGAAAGTGACGTGACGGGTCTTTAAACGACTTGATGCTGCTGAGTGAAGCAGATTTCTTCAACATCGAAGAACGTATGCGTTCAACCCGTTCAGACATATTGTCATCGTCTGCCAGTGTGGAGATCGTTCCCCATGATGCGTTGGAGCCGGACCTGGAATGCTGCCTCTCGAACGGACTGAATGTTCGGATAGTGCTATTACTGGGTGATCTGCTATGTCCCCTGGCAGATCTTTGGGATTGCTTTTGTGTGTCGGTCTGCATTGTTCGGGATAGTTCGAACGCCATGATCGCAGCTTTCGCATCCTCGGACTCTGCGAATTTCTCCTGACTCCAGAAGTCCAGGAAGATCCAGAAGAGCGAATTGAGATAGAGGCAGCCCACAATGATGCTTATGACCTTCATTAACATTCTGAACCAACCAAGCATATCGAACTTCCAGAAGAAGAAGACGGGCGTGGTGCTACAAGGACCTCTTTTGGTCTGTTCGATTGCGACGAACCAGAACCAGAGGTTGAGACCAACCAACGTCCCGCGGAGAATAAGGGTGGCTGAAACATGAAATATGTTTGATCTAGAAGGAAATCGGGTAGGCTGCTTCCTCCCTCGGATGTCCTGTGTTGTGTCAGCCAAAGTCAGGCACAGATGCCTTAAATCAGACATACCCTGAAGCACAGCCATGTCAGCAGCTGTAACAAAATGAAAATCTCCACAGTGAATGTGTTGCGGATGTTCGCAATGTGAATGAGGGTGGTGACGAAAATAGGAATGAAAAAGACATAGGTGCAAAGTCGGAGCACGTCCAGACGGCTCAGTAATAGAAATCTATCGATGTCAGTATCGGAAACCATTTAGATTGAGGACTATCTTACCGTGAAATGTAAATGGCTGTTATGCATGTGTAGATTCCAATGCGCATTGCAAGGCTGTACTCGGAAGATTGGCCTTCGAGCTTGACGGCGCATGTTTCGGCCGTCTGCCTCATTTTGATTGCAGGAATATGAGGTTCGATGGTGAAGATCCCGAAATGTGATAGGAGGGAGGCAGACGTCAAGCTGGGAAAAAGTATTAAGATCGCAGCAAGTGAGGGCACATAAGAATACAACACCACCATATTAGATAAAGAACATGAAGAAAAGATAATATGCAACGCTCCCAACAAAGAGTCCACCCAATGCTTGAAACTTTATATCAAGAAACATATTTTAACTTTTATGTCATGACTTTATCTACATAACCTCGTGGGGCGAAGTTCGTACCGATGTGCTTCGCCGTAGTTGACGCCCCCTGCAGTTTCAACTAAGCGCCCGGGTCTCACAAGCCCCCACAAACGCGGGTGGTGGGCTAGAAACAACATCTGCTGTTGGCTCCGGACATCGTAACGACTGACTCAATAGGGTAAGCTGCATAAGCCAGCGAAACATCTCTTTGTGCACGATATACTTTGACTATCAAAGAAGGTGGAAGGTGGCTTGCAGAATACCTCGTAGTAGCGTAAGGAAGAGACAGACTACGGAGCATTTGCTCAAAGATCAAACACGTAGAATGCGCTATAGCACGGCAACGGTCTGCCTAATACGTCAAACCAACATGTCTCCGCAACAGCCTCACGCGATTTCCCAGATTCATCATTCCTTCCCTTTTGTTCTCCTGGATCGAGTGGTCTCGATCTCATGACCATCAATATGACAGGTAACAAGGAACGCAAGGCCGAACTCCTTGTAGTGTATGTACGTCAGACTTCCCTCAGACCTTTCCGATGACGAAGGTGCATGATATTTTCAAAGCAGTCGGACTATATACGTCAACAAACTGTCACTGCCCCTACAAATCAGTAGCAATCAAGGGGGAGGCTGCAAAGTAATGCTTGGTCCATGTCGGTCGATTGTGATATGTCCGTTGGATACGGCTATAGGTACCTTGGACCCATGATCAGGGGTCCAACTCGTGAAGCTGCATGTCCGAGAACGCCTTGATTGAACACCCTCCTGCCAAAGACCCAGAGGCTCACAAATCCAGGCAAATCGATTCGTTGATATGCTCGGTAAATATACATCTTGGAGCCGCTGCTGTGCCGCAATTGTGCACTAGTTGAAGCGTCATGTAAACCCACGTACTCTACAAGTTGACGAGGCTTGCATGATAAATATCCTATGGCTGCTGTTTACTGTCGGTCTTAGGTGGGGATAACGTCAAGTCACCTCTAGTGCTCCTGTCGAAGGTGTTTGAACAGCAAGAATTGGGTTTCAGTGACCGGGACTGGAGGTCTAATCTAAGTATTCAGTTAAACGGTGAGACTATCATTCCAAGCCAACTCACTTATGGGATTAACTGGAAAATTTTGCTAGGTTGATAACTATCCCAAAAACATGTAGTTATTTTCATTGCTTTACAATTATGAGGATTATAATTTGCGGAGATACCGGAATCTATTCTTTCTTTCTCAAAGGATACATAATTGTAGTAAGGAAGAAAAAATAGCCCTTGAAAATTATCCTTCGCTGCATGAGGCTTTCCACTTTTGATATCGTTCCCGGACTTCTATGTCCAAACCAAAAAGCTCTTCTCTCGTATCGTCTTCCTCCTCCTTTTGAACCACAGCATTATCTCTTCCTGCCCGACAGCTAGTGATTTCATTCCCCTCTCCGGGCGGTTTCTCATTTTTCTTAACCCACCATTTGACCACCCACCTAGCACTCACTAGACACAGCCCCCCAACACCGATGATGAACGGGATCAACTGGCCGACATTCGTCCAAAGCTCCGTTAACCCTGAGACCTGGTTCCAAGCCAACGTCAGTTCGACTTGCAAGATCAAAATGACATGCACAGCGAAGTCGAATATCGCATGGTACCAGCCTAACGACACTCTTTTCGGCGCATGTTGATGTGTGACCATTAGTGTAGAAGCGAGGGAGACTGCCAACCAACTTGGAGCATCCTTGCTTGACGTCGATTGCGGGTATAGGAGGGCGGCATGGATTTGATAAGGTATGTCGAATGTGTTGAATTGGCGGGATTGGCAAATGTGAGAGTAAACAACAAAGGCCCGGCGGGAGAATCGAAATGTAAAGAAGCGCTTCCAGATCTCATAGTGGCATTGAGCCCACGATAGCGAAGAAACTTCATGTTGCCGAGAACGAGGGGTCGAACCAGTTGTCGGAAGCGTTCTTGGAGCTGACACTGTTCGAAAGAAGCTGAATGGTGTGATTGGTTTCTTGTTTTCCCAGGCACTATACGGACTGGCCGATATGGAGTGCACAATATATTTCTCGGCCTCATAGACCTGTTCCAAAATTTCTAGATCAGGAGGTGGTCCTTGAGTTGGATATGCATTTCTTTGGGGCCCAAGTTCTAGGTCTTCGGGTGTGTCGTTGGTGGTTGGAGATAATGTATGTTGCCTGCTTAGCTGTTGTTCCTCATGCTCAGAGGGATGCGATGAGTGATTGGATTGAGTATCAGAACGGTGATCAATCCCAAACGCGGATTCCTCTATCGTAGAATAACATTGTGAATCGATGTTCTTCTGGGTATTGTACTTTTCCCACTCCAGTAATGCGGCATTGAACTTTCGTCTCCTCTTTGCCAGTCGCATAAGCATCCAGGGTCGACTAGAACTGTCAAGCAGCCAGTAGATCGTGCTGATCAAGATGTATGTCGATAAAATTTTCATTACAATCCTCACCCAGCCAAATATGTCGGTTTTGACAACGTACATGATATACGTTCCACAAGGGGTTTCCTTGGCCTTGTCCACTCCAGTCCACCAGAACCAAATATGCAAACACACCATTCCAAGATTAATAGCGTCGTTCAGCATCTTACGCATGAGTGTGCTTTTGAAATTCAGGGCCGTGAAGCTAGATTTGGACTTCACGCCCATGACGCATGCGTATGCTAAGATCTGTAGGAGGACGAAGATTTCCACTGCATGAACCTCCGATGGAGCAGCTGCGTAGATTGCGGCAACGACGAAAAGAGCGACACTGAAGATCGTAACGCCATCACGTAGGACTTGTGCTTCGGAGACCAGGAAATAGTTCGCGAACCAGACCGCGAGGATTTGAGCGTAAATGCCGACTCGAATTCCGATGCCGTAGATGTCTTGATTGCCTTCAAATCCACACTCCGTTTCTCGTGTGACAATTGCATAAGTGTATTTTGAGCTGCCCATCAAAGGTGGACTATTTGGCGATGAAATGTACATAATCAAGAAAAAAACATGGAGAGACCGAAACTGGAATGAAGAAACTATCTTGTATTATGGGATGGATAGGCTTAAAGTACATTGGTTGAGTCGCACGAGCTGTGCAGTGCCCTGCGTTTCATCAAGCGCCAGGAAAGCGCTCCTGGCTGGGATCTCATGTACAAGCTCATCACCAGTGTGCATGGAAATTATGGAGAAAGCAACATTTAGACGCGAATCTGATAAGAATAGTAACGGTCGTGTATTCATAATGCGTAGCGATATTTGCGACGTAGCCGCGTATATAGGGATGTGTCCAGGTTTGAGTGTTCTGCGTCGCATGTTCCAATCGAATCGATGAAATCAATAACAGCCCAAATTGCTTCTGTTTCTTCCATGTCTCACATGTCCCAAATTGTCCAAGCCATATCCAAAAACAGCGAGATAGCAGAGCCAGTGGTAATCAACTACATGTAGAATCCCTCCAAGTTTTGCTCGACGTGATGTATTATTGACATTGTCTACATGACGGTGCATGGAATGCAGCAGAAGCTGCAATCATCACCACAGTAGCAGCTCGACTTGATGGGCTTGGGCTTGATTGATGCAATGGAGGAGGTAACGGAGCTGCCGGAGCTGGTTGAGGGAGGCATTGTCTATAGGCGGTGGTGTTGCGCTAAAATAAACAAATATGTATGTACAAATAAATAGCGGTGCGAAGGATAAGGTTTTTGGCTTATTGAGTGTTAGTGTTGGTAGTAGCAGTATCTGTCTGCACTTACTTTGGGGGATTTGGGAGTCGTCAGAACACAGTTGAGATGGATGAGAAGGAGGATGAGAACCAGGAGAGAGCTGAAGCAAGCAGATTAATACTCTTCGGCCTCCGCGCCGCTCGTATGCGTACGCGCCGCCAAGTTTGCCCTGATTCTAACTAATCTGTGACAAGCCGGACGTCTAAGCGCTTCGCATGATGACGTCGACATGGGCGGCTGTGCGACCCACCCTGTGGCGCACCACCAAACTTGTCCAGCATACAAAATGGAATATGATGGGCAAAACTAATCGTAGGGTAGAGATAATCTTTCATACCTCTCCAGATCAAAAAGTCATGCACACATAGAACGATGATTGCCGTAGACCAATTCTGCACAGGATCTCACATGAAGGCATCGACTAGATGATCAGCAGGACCAATCCCGAACTGGATATCGAGGCTGATCATGAATTGTGGTGATATGGTATTCATTGTTGAGTAATTTGTGGCTCGTCATGAGCGCTTTCAAATCAACATTGTCGATACTGGAAATGCCCGGTCGACAGCAATTACAAGTAGGAAATCCGTGTTCTATACACCAGCTCCGTTCGTGTCGAAATCCGAACCCAAGGTACCCAAGGATATAGCCATGAGAGCATAAGAAAAATAAGCCTATGACTTATTCAACATTTGAGGGAAACGAAGGAGTGCCTATATTAAACATCTCTCCATGTAGGCTCGCCCCTTTCCCAGGGGGTCTGTACCACTGTTATGAGTTAGTGCATGGGTACAAAACGGATGGGGGAGGGCCTGTCAACATACCATTAGCATCACTGAAAGGATCGTCGTCATCCTCTTCGGGCTCTGGATCTGCACGCTGTTTGCCAGTTGCCGGAGCAGGGACAGGTGGCATTGGGATACTGGTAGGCCTCGGTGGCTTCGCTGGAGGAGCTTCGTCTATTTGTAGATTTGCCATGGCCGCTTCGGGGCTCCGGGTTGCGACCCTTGGAGGTGGCGCTGGGTCTTCATGGTCACTGTCGCTATCGTCGTCGATGCTCTTGTCCATGATCTCGTAGGCCATTAGGGCTTTGACAAGTTCGTCGTTAGCACTCAAAAGACTGCCGATGTACTGTTCCGACTCCACGAGTTGGATATAGCGCAGAATCTGTCGCCGAAGAACTTTGCACGTCTCAAATCGCTTTACAACTTCAGGGTTTTCGCTAACGCGCTGGACCTCACGATTGATCAGTTGCATTCCATTCATCAAACTAGTGCTCGCAACTGTAGCGGACGCAATCGTCTCGAGAAGTTGATGCTTTTCCTTTTCAAGATTGAATGGCTTAGATTTTCCCTTCTTGTCTTTCTTGAACAGTGATGTGTTGGGAAGAGGAGCTGAGCCGAGTGCGACTGTTCTACCAGCTGATGATGACGATCCATGTGGGAACGATGGAGGAGCTGGAGCAGCCCGTCGAGCAGGCTGGGGCGATGATGGCGGAGAATGATCCTCATCATGTGCTTCTGCTTCTGTCTCGCGAACGACTTTGGATTGCTGAGGTTGAGGCCTTTTCGTGCGTGGGAGCTGCTTATAGAGTGTTGCAATGCCGCTCAATCCTGGCGTAGTTTTGTATGCAACTGCCCATTGTCGAAAGAGCACATTGACCTTTTGACGAACGTCTGAATCCACCATCTCATCCTTGGCGAGAAGTCTGAGGCGCTCGAGCAGTGGCTCGTCAGCAAATGACTTTTGGAATCTGGTGCCGGCGTTTTGAATCAGACCGTCAAGAATGACGAGAGCACGCAGTTGGCGATGCGCATTTCCATATTTACTAGTATGAATTAGAGCAGTGAACAAGATTGACGATCTTGAATCCATACAGTTTCTTACGGAGGGCTCGAGCAGCTTCGGTAGGACCCGACTCCTGTATCCTGATAACTTCGATCAGGTCTACGAGACCTGCAATATCTGGACATGCATGTTAACATAAAATTACTGAATGAACCACTCGGGACTCATACCATTCTCTTCGTACTGTTCAGCTGTGAGGCGATCAATGGTGACCGTGACGGCCGAGTAAGCGTGTTTCTGGTTTGGGGTTAGCGATATTGCTCCCATAGGTTCCGCAGGTGTCCGGAATCATGTGGAAATCTGCTAGAATGCCTGATGGAGCTTCGAAGTAGCTGGAAGCTCTACTAACGTATCATAGGAAAGGGATTAGATCGCAAGGAAACAGTGTTGGGCGTTGAAACAGACAATGGGGAGGGCCCAGCCATGTCCTGAATCCAGGAGACATGGCCAGAGATTGGGCTTACCGGCATCCTGGGGAGTAGTCGAATAGAAAGCTCGGTACGGATCCAGGTCGTCCAATGTATGAGAGCGAATTATGAGTAGACTAAAAGCTTTCCACGGGTGGTAGGGACTGAGAAGAATCCTTTGATTATGATGGTGTATGCCTCCAGAGAAGATAAGGAGGGGCTGTGGATATGTTAAGCGCGCGCAACGCTAGCAATAGAATCTAGGAAGGGTATTAATAAAGACAAGAATGACGGTGGTAACGTCGATGTTCGTTTGTAAATTTGAGCTTTACGCCTCGTTCATGTGAAGTTTACTGTTGATCGGTGGCTGTTAAACGGGGATTAACTGCATTGATAGACAGACACTCAGGGAGCCGCATGCTGTCTCCTCGTAGTGGGGTGGACTTGGCTCTCGCACGGACCGTAAACACTGTCGTCATTCCGCAGGCAGGCGACGCTCAATAATCCATTGTTGCAGGGTCAACCATCCCATCTCTCCTGACACCTCACACTTCTTCTAGGATTTTTCACGCTTGAACCAACTGCAAACGAGCTCAGACACTGGCGGCAGGGTCTATGGACATGTTCGACGAGGCAGCTGGAGCTGTCTATACACGCGATGGAGGCTATGTGGACGCGTGAGTTATCGCACGCAAACGCTCTCCTCCATCGTACCATGTCTTCCACGGTTGAAAAGGTTACAACTAACGTTGAATGAGTTAGTAGGCAGCCTTGTTTCACTGCCGTGAACAAACCTACCGCGACTACCGGGTATTTGACTCCCAAGCGCACGGCTGCCAGTCCTCCCTTGACCGAAGATTTACCACGAGACCGAAATCCTGCAATTGCCGAATATCTCCATCTTGGAGTGGATGAAGAGCCGTCCTCATCATTCACTATAGCGGCTAACTTTGCATCTCCGAGAGCCTCGCGTCGTAAACGGAAGCGGCCGGACGTTAGTCACGCTGTCGATGAAAAAGAGAACAACAATGGAGACTCTCGGCGTCCAGCAGCCTCACCTCATCGGGTTGGCAATGAGCCAATACAACCTGCACCGAGTATTTCGGCCGACTCCATTGACCTCTTCAATGCTGCTTCGTATCGGAGACGGTACTCTCCTGTGACGCCAAGTGATGACCCAATCCAGAGTATGAATGGAATTAACACTACCGGGGTGGATGATGCTGTTCGTCTTACCTTAGAAGAACTGCCTTATGAAGTCCATGAGGATGACAATGCCTTTTACGATGATCTAGAAGATATTATATCCATCATCGACGATGAATGCCCGGCTAACCAATTGTGTCTTCATGCGGACCTCCCTTACCGTGAGCATAGCTCTGACGAATTCTCCGACGACGACAATGTTTTTGACTCGATCTTGGAGTCGATAGACCTCGACAATGGTGGCGATTGCTACCTTATCGGAAATACAAGCACTCCAGAAACCCCGGCGCAAGATGTACCATCTATGTCACCAAGTGCGGATGCCACTACAATCTCGCCAAAGGCTCGAATCTCGCAGAAATTCATCTCCCCACTGATCAAGTCCTCAGAGATGCCCCAGAAGCAGGAAACCTCCCAGTTTGACCGGCAACCTATCGTCAGACCTCCTTTCCCCAATAAAGCAAGGGACCGTTCACCAATCGTCGGTCTCTCCCCTGCTCATGTACTGCGGACGTGTTTCCGTGTCGGTGAAGCTATCAAAGTTGGTCGCGATGCTGTTAAAAATGAGAAGGACGTTCTGATTGAGATGTACGCAAGAGTGGCAAGCTCATCAAGGACTGAAACCAAACAGTCATTTGAATTCCGTGACCTGTTCCATGACAAGCCACCTCATATCATGGGAGAGTACCACGCTGCAATATGGAAATCAGTCAAACTTTACAACGTAGACAGTGCTCGACTTCTCAAGGGTAATAAGATGTGCCGCTGCATCGGACAGATGAAACGAGACATGGATGGATACAAACTACTGATCTTGAACATTTGGGAGGTAAGTACATCCAACCAGTTTCTCTACCATCTGCTAAGCTATCAAAGTGTACATGGGAAGATATTGAATGGGTCGAGGGTATTCTGTGCGCATAGGCGTTCAACATAGGCAAGTGTTTCTCAATGGGGTTCCGCTTCAAAATCCAGGGTCCTTCCCCTGGTGGAACCACGCAGTGGGGAAGGTGAGGGGTGAGTAATAATTCATCTCGTGACCTATGCGAATGATATCTGGTACGGGGTACTCTACCATAAATGAGCGAGATGAATCCAATTCAATCTGGAAGTACTAGCATAATGTATTGTTTGCCTTCCGAAGCATCAATTCACCGTGGGTGAAAGACTGACATGGTGATCCACTCTGTTTGTTAGCGCCACGTGATCTGTAAGCAACGACCTCTAAGTAATCTACACCCCCGCTCAGCCTGAGCACCACTCGGCGGCACTGGCTCTCGAAACGCAATCTCAATCTTGACCTTCACGATCGCCCCTCGACTAGGATCGTCAAGAAATGTTCGTTCACCTCCCATCTTTCACCAGCTGGGCTGTATCGCCATCTTCGTACATTACCAATGACACCCGAGCTTCCTGAGGTGCCGGCCGTGAAGGCAATGATAAGTCGCCTAGCAAGCCAAATGGGATCCACGGACAATGATGACAACAACGAGGCTGGCCTAGGTTCGCAATCCTCTGTCAGGACACCGCATAGATCGCCGAATTCGAAGGGTCGCTCACTCAGCGACTCCACGCCCCAACTGTCTCCATCACCTAAATTCCGTGAACCGCCGCACATCTCCAAAGACGACCACCATGCCATACCGCCCCGGACTCCCCGTCGACCAGAGCTACTCTCACGCGGCCTCTCGCTCCAGATGCCTCCTCAAGAAATGCCCATTGCGAATTCGGTAGCACATTTTGCGGCTCGCGTTCCTCTATCTCCTCAGCTCGATGCCCACAACACGTATGCCTCTCCTGCTTCACTGCTCCCACGACGCTCGCGAGGCGCCGAATTCTCAAGAGCATGCACCAATTTGCACCACTCCACGCTTGTGGATCAATCCTCCCCCGATTCATCGCCGACCATTACCCAGAAAGGCATGATGATACCAAGAAAGCCTCGAACGAACTCGATGATACTCGATTCACCCAACATCAATCACTCTACATGGGGCATGGGCAACGGCGATAGAACAGCAGCGTCCAGCTCTCTAGGAAGCATCAACATGCTCGGTTCAGACGACTCTAGTTCTAGCTCCGATGAGGGCGACCCGATGGACCCCGATTTCAACGATGACCCAATGTTGATGACCCCACAAGCCATGAAATCGCACAATACGCCCTTTGGAGGCCTCCCCATTGGAGCTAACCCAGGCGGCTGGTCGAACATGTTCTCACCGAGCGGTCCTCCAACTTTCATGAGCATACAGCGTGCCCGACTACGGAAAGGCCGCAGCCGCAAGAGCTCCAGTTCCGCCAGCGGACATAGCTCGCTAGCAAGCCCCGGACCTGCATCGCCCCCCAATGGAAATGGGAAGGGAGAGGGCTATTTCAACCGAGAAGCAGTGATGCGCAAGCCAGGGTCTCGCAGAGAGAGCTTATCACTATTCGCAAACGATCTCCACATATCTTCAGGGAACGACAGTGGGGATGAAGCCGTTGTCGTACCCCAAACACCCGGTGTTGTACGAAGGCCTGTCACTCGAAGGGGAAACCTACTAGTATGTACACGATTGCTTACGCCTTGACATGATACTGACAAATACAGCCAAAATCCAGGCAATTCGGCCGCATAAAGGCGGAGCTTATCGAAGAGTCGGCTCCCATCGACAGTGAGTTCCGTCGCGAAGCCGAGATCATTCGCCAGGTGCGAGAGAGCGACGTAGACTTAGATCGACCATCAAACACAACGCATTCGTCACCCAATCTATTACCTACCGTGCCGGGTCTTGACGGCCCATTGGAGGGCGTTCCAGAAGAGGAGAGCGAAAGCAGTATGAGTCTTGATGGTTCAGCCACCAAAGGCCTCTTTGCAGCATTCAATGTCAATGTTGCACGAAACGCTAACGGACGGGGATCCTGGCATCACGTTTTGGCGCAAACACCACCTCCTCCTTCCTTTCCTCGTGCGGGCTCTTCCGCCATTAGCGAGGATATAAACATGGACTCACCATCAACATCGATATCACAACCCTCTACTAATGCTATGGCTGCGCCAGAGTCTAATAGTCATAACGGCTGGGCGTCTCGCTCCTCGACTCCACAACCTGTGGCACCCATCTCTGCTGCAGACGGTTTGAAAAAGTCAAACAAGCGGCGTCGTGATGATGATCTTGATGGCAACTCAATCAAGCGCCGGGCAGTGTCTCCTGGAGTAAGCGTCCAGAACAGTCCTGTATTGTCGCAATCTCCTGCACAAAGGGATAGCGGAGTTTGGCAATCGGCACCCAAGGCTAACCGTGAAAACACCGCGACGTCTGGCCACGCTGCGGGAGAAAGGTCGAACAGTGGCGGAAGTGTTAGCATGACACCGCTACTTGGCCCCAAGAGGGTTGGACTGCAGGGTATGACCGATGCTAACGATGGCTTCATGAAGATGAGCATCGAGTAGCTGCGTATTTCATTTTCATTTTACAAAGCATGGATCAGCGCGGCGTTTTGAGCGGAAATCCCAATCACAAAAGATTGATTTAATTACGGCCAATACCTTTACTAGAGAGCAGCGAATTGCTGCATGTATGAAATTCTGTTCAATGTATACTTGGGCACATTGGCCTAACCACAAAGTTGCTTATTTGGTGCCATGACATCGTGATGCTGATCCCTGCAAGCAGTGGGACCCCTCGCCAAGCCGGTGTCTCAGCTTGACTTCACCTCCACCAACAGCTTCATCCCCACACTTACAGCCACTACCCGGAACCTCAAGCTACGGTCCTCTACACATCCAATATCGCAATGTCAAGAACAGCAGCATTATCCTCATTCGTGGAAAGCACGCCGCCGGGCGAGGTAGGCTTTCATGTTAAACCCCACTTTGAACAAGTACTGACATGGCACAGCTATCGGACGTCACGAAAGGTACGATTGCTTCAGATTGTGTTACCTTACCCGTTCCTGTTGGAGCACAATAACTCTCACGAACCCAGCTGACCGCAATCAGCTATCAAGTCCATCCTCGGCGATGATAACGTCTCCTCCGAGCTGTCACCGGCATTCGAGAAGTACAACGAGGAGCAATTCACAACTGTAAAGCTCCCGGGCGGCAGCAACGAAGTACTTGTTAGCGAACACAACCGGTTAGGCGATGGAAGATATTACGATGTAGAAAGCCAGAGCTCGTTTGAGTTCGACCATGCCACACAGAAGGCTAGCGGTGTGCAATCCTACGTGCTTGAGTCGGATAATGCGGACCTAGTGTATGTCTTGGAGTTGGGGGCTTCATATGACATTGAAGAAGAGATAGAAGCTGACAACATGCAGGAAGAGTACTATCAAGAGCCTTTCGACCCACGCGGCGGAGCATTATCCTAAGTCCTCCATCGGAGTGTTCCCCGTCTCCGACGAGACCGCCCTTGCCATTTTGACCGTCGCCAACAAATACTCCCCTTCAAACTACTGGAACGGCCGGTGGCGCTCCTCGTACATCTACACACCCTCCTCCGGTAGCATCACAGGTACAATTAAGGTTGACGTCCATTACTACGAGGACGGCAACGTACGACTTCTCACAAACAAAGACGTGGACCTCAAGGTCGGACAGAACGCCAACGCCAGTGAAATCGTTCGAGCGATTGCGGGTGCCGAAAAGAAATACCAAGAGGATTTGAACAAGGCATTTGGCAGCTTGAGCGAGGGAGCTTTCAAGAGTTTGAGGAGACAGTTGCCCATCACTAGGCAAAAGATGGACTGGGACAAGATCTCCGGATACAGAGTTGGTGCTGACATAGGTGGTGGCAGGACCAGGTAGACCACGTCTGAGGATCTTGTTAGGGAAAAACCCTGAGCTCTACAAGATTAACTTGGTGGAAATAGAAATAGAAAGATTCAAGTACATTTGTTAACAAAACGATTGCCGTCTGTATTGGCATTCTCTCTTCATTCAGTCACCTCACGGACATGACTTTACTATGAAAATCCTGAGTTGCTGTATTTGTTTACCTTTACTTACGCGTACCACTAGGTCGTCTATTTTGATGGACTGTTTACCTTCTATCACTTCACAAGTCGGCCGGGGTTTCACATTCTCAGGATCCCTCTTTTCTAATCCGCCCACCTACCTACCTAGTTAGTTTCTAGGCACCTATACTTTGCTTGTATTTTTGAAAGTCCTTGCCCACTCTTGAGTTGCTTTCAACCAGCGCGCCTGCTTCAAGTGAGCAGTCGCAGTTGCCTCTTTCCGTACTGCCGGCAAAACATTTCACCATACCTTCACTTCACACCTTGGCCTTGCCCGCCACACTACGAGTAACATTGAGACTACCTCAACTTTTCTCCCTCTCTCTTCTCTCATCCACTACACTAGCGGCGCGGAGCTTCCACTTTCCATCCTTCCTGCTTGCATCTCTCATCGCTGCTTCGAACAGGTTCTAGCTACGCAGGAAATTGCTTGTGAGCCACATACGTACCTAAAGCATCCGCGCTCTTTCTTCTTACATCCATCGTCACAAACTCGCAAAGCCAGAGGTATGGCTCGTGGTAAGGGAACTCGTTCCCGCGACAAACCTCAGTTCTGCTCATCCGTGAACAAGCCTGAGGGATGCGCAAAAGCCGACTGCAAGTACTCCCACGCCAACGAGGGGAAACAATGCAACCTGTTCGTGCAGTCGGGGCATTGCAAGTTCGGGGCCAGATGTGTATACCTTCATGGTTCAGCGCACCAGGCCAGCCAACAATCCTCGGCCGGCAATCATTCAACTGCTCGATGGAAAAAGGCAAAGGGTATGAAGCCATGCAAGCAGTTCCTCGAATGGCAGACCCAAGCTACCAAGCACTCTCTCAATTCACCACTCACGAAGCACGCGCGCAAGAGATTCTTCAGTGACGCGCTCGAGCTTCTCGTCTCGGATCCTGCAACGATGCAGTCCGTAATTCAATGTCTGGCGTCGGAAGGCGGCACCAAGAGAGTGCTTGAACTGATCAAGGAGGACTTCGCCAGTGCTTCTTCACGCAGTACAGTAGATTCGATCCTTTCACTTCTCAAAACCATCACATTCCCAAAAGTCCTTACGTCCGGCCTACTCGAGAAGGATCTCGGTACTATATACAACGTGATCTATGGCCCAGGCGGAAGATATGCGCTCCAACTGTTCACTTTCATTGGGACTCAACTCGGCTCCATTGACGGAGAAGAGCTCGAGCCTGTTGTGGTGGCTTTTGCCAAGTTGTTTGAGTTCAACGAGAATGCCAGCCTGGTTGATGGGTTCAAAAAGTGTATCAAGCAGTTTGAGGAAGCTCTTACTCGTATGGAGGCTGATAGTCATGCCGAAACGTCAACGAGGAAGTGGCTGGAGCGTGCTCAAACTCGGCTTGGACTCAACAAGGCGCCAATTTCAGACGTAACGAATCTGAAAAGAACGCATGTTCCTCGTGCGAAGTACATAGTCCGGCAGGATCCTCCAGGCAATCTGCGCTCGGCTGGACCCCGTCATAACAACGATCACGAAGATGTACGCCATATTCAGATTTTGCCTACCTTCGAGGAAATCATGGCCAACATTAGGCCATATCTTCCTACGATCGATGCAAACGACTGGCATCTTCCTGGAATCACGGGTTTGCTTGATCGTCAATTTCGCCTGTATCGTGAAGACGTCGTTGGTCCCATACGGCAGGCAATCAAGGACCAGCTACATACCCGAACGCAAGCCAGTCGCATCCAACCTTCATGTTCGGCCACTAGAACAGTCTCCTACACCAACCTAGCGTTCGAGCGATTCTTTTGTAATAGTTGGAACGGTCCTGTCTTGACCATCACCTTCGACCAGCCTGCGGATGTGAGGAGGTTCCGAAGCCACCTTGACCGTGCTGCAGCATGGACTCGATCCGGCCGCCTGCAGAAGGATAATCTTGTCTGCATTCTCGATCCTGCAGGGCGAGTAGTATTCTGTACCGTTGCTGAAATCAAAGACGACACGCCGAAGCGAATCTCACCCTGGCATCATGACCTGGAGGAGGATTTCGACGATGAAGACAGCGACACTGATGAGATCCCCGCCCATCAGGATCTTAGCAACGACCAATTGCGAGCTCGACTCACAATCGCACCAATGGAAAGAAAAGACCTGGAAACTATTCTCGGATATTTTCAAGGTCAAGCTGCGTCTCGTAGATTAATCTTGGTCGAGTTTCCTAAGGTTCTAATCGCCTCTTTCCAGCCTACTTTGCAGGCGCTTCAATCAATGATCCAAATGGGAGACGTACCATTTTCGGGGCTAATCGCCCCTTCAATGGATTCATCGAGCCCAGTGATCGTTGACACTCCCTTGTACGCCCGCGCGCGAGATTTTCGGTACGATCTAAACTCTATATGCTCGAATGCCAGCAGCATGCATCTGTCCTTGAGAGAAAAATTCGATCTTAACGCCTTAATCTCAAATTCAACATTGGACGCTAAACAAGCAGAAGCCCTCGTCCATGCGCTTTCACGATGCTTGGCCATATGTCAAGGGCCACCTGGGACCGGAAAGAGCTACACTGCTCTCCAACTAATGAAGGTACTCCTCGCAAATACGGAAGCCACGAACTCAAACATAATTCTTGTCGTAACATACACCAATCACGCCCTCGATCAGAACATGGAAAACTGTCTTGACAATGGCATCGACAAAATTATTCGTATGGGATCTCGCTCAAAAAGCGAAAGGCTTCAGGAATTGAACCTTCGAAGCGCGAGCTCTTCGAGAGACTCGACTCACCCTGAACAGCGTGCGAAATGGTCACGGCTGGATGAACTGAATCATGCAGCGGCGTGTGTCAGCAGTGATATTAACGACTTCTTTTCTGCCGACAACCCCGAGACTCTGAAGGGGTACCTATGCAATGTTTACAACGAGCACTACACTCAAATATTCGGACCTGACGAAGATGGATTCGAAACGATTGCGTACGGTACCGACTTCATCTTCACCGCGTGGAAGGCTGGCCGATTCGGTTCAATCGTTCGCCACAAGTCGCGTAGTGTGGACGAACTCTTGGAGGATGAAGTTAGTGTTCGTGAAATGACATCAGATGAACGAGATGCGCTCTATGAGTTCTGGGTAAAAGACTGTGTGTGCAGGCGTCGATATGCAATCTTTTCAGCCTTGGACTCTTTCTATGAATCGAAAAAGCTGTACGAGCAGGCAAGATCAGAGGCCGATCTAAGATGTCTAGAAGAGGCCAGTGTTATTGGTGTTACCACGTCCGGCTTGGCTAGGAACATTAACTTATTGAAGAGACTCCCAATCAAGACTCTTCTGGTCGAAGAGGCCGGTGAGGTTCTAGAGGCGCACACCCTGGCAGCTTTATTACCATCTATTGAGCATGCTATTCTCATTGGAGATCATCTACAGCTGAGGCCTTCGGTAACTAACTATGACCTATCTTCTGAGAGCAAACTTGGCAAGCAATACTCACTGGATATGTCCCTATTCGAGCGGCTTGTATGCCCACCCGATGGGATACCAGGTGTGCGGCTGCCTTTCAGTACACTGGAAACTCAACGTCGCATGCACAATTCAATCTCTGAGTTGATTCGGCGCACTAAATATCCACGACTTGAGGATGCTCCAAATGTTTTCGACTATCCGGAGGTCGTAGGTATGAAAAGGAGACTGTTTTGGCTTGATCATGACGCGATTGAAGATGGAGCAAATGCCGATGAGATCGCCTCTACCTCGAAGTCGAATAAGTATGAAGTGGAATTAGTGGCATGCTTGGTAGCTCATCTCCTTTCCCAGGGGGAGTACAAGCCTCAAGACATTGCTGTTATCACACCTTACCTGGGACAGCTATTTCTTTTGCGAGCCCGACTTTCAAGCGAGTACGAGTTAGTCCTGGATGGAAAGGATGAAAAGCTGCTGAAAGAGATGAACAAGGATCAGGTGAATATCTTGAACAAGCTTGCTGGCAGTAATAAAGCCAATACATCCCCAATGAAGGCGACATTGCTACACAGCTTGAAAGCGGCTACAGTGGACAACTTCCAGGGGGAAGAGGCGAAGGTGGTCATAGTCTCACTAGTACGCAATAATCGGAACAGGAATTGTGGCTTTTTAAGGACTCCGAATCGGTAGGTGCATTCTAGAGCCTAAGTGGCTCACTTACTGACTCTCTGTAGTATCAACGTTCTCCTAAGTCGTGCGAAGCACGGAATGTATATCATTGGAAACAGCGGCACCAGTGCAGGTGTTCCAATGTGGTCCGACGTTTTGACTATTTTAGAAGAGGGAGGAAACCTGAGCAAGAAGCTAGATCTTTGCTGTCCGCGACACCCAGATACCCTCATACAGGTCTCAACGCCTGAGGACTTCTCGAGATTGGCCCCGCAAGGAGGATGTGATCTGCCATGCGACAGACGATTGTCTTGTGGGCACAAATGCTTATCGAAATGCCATGCAGATTTCCGCCACGACAGTAAGTAGAACGGCATCGATTTATAAGAGCCTATGCTAATGCTGAGTCTAGATTTCTTCTGTAGCGAGCCTTGCACTCGGCTCAAGAAAGGCTGTGATCACTTGTGCAAGAAGAAGTGTGGTGAAAACTGCGGCATTCGGTGCGAAGAGAAACTGGAGAACATTAACTTCAAGCTTCCATGCAGCCATGTCTTGCGCACCCTCCAGTGCTGGGAATACCAAGACAAAGAGTCTATCAAATGCCACGAGTGTGTCGACAAAGTCGTACCTGGATGCAAGCATGTCCTGCGAAGGAAGTGCACTGTCGATGTCGGATCAGACGACTTCCGATGTGATCATGTTTGTGGTGGACAACTAGAATGCGGGCATAACTGTAAGTTCCAATCGGAATTTTTCGCATTTCTATTAACAATTATCCAGGCAAGTTTCTTTGTTACCAGTGCGCCAATACACTGGTGAGCTTCGGAGAAAAGCATGGCCAATGCCAGAATACCTGTCTTAGACCATACACAAGTTGCAGCCACAAGTGCCGGGAGAACTGCCATCCTGGAACACCATGCCCACCATGTAAAAGCCAGTGCGATGTGGCATGTAGCCATTCAAGATGCAATCAGCTATGCGGAGAGCCCTGCACGCCCTGCTCCGAGGAGACTTGTGCAAGTCAATGTCCTCATAGCCGATGGTAAGTATCCGTTGTATCGGACTGGAATTGGACCCTAACAACAAAAGCACGATGCCTTGCGCTGCGCCTTGCAATTGGCTGCCCTGCTCCAAGCGTTGCTCGAAGAAGTTGGGATGCGGTCATCAATGTAAGTTGCAAAATCGGACTGCTTGTGTTCCAAAATGCTAACTGTTTCCAAAGGCCCCTCCGTCTGTGGAGAATTCTGCCCTGTGTGGTGCCAGAAATGTGCACCTGAGAGCATCAAGAACACGGTAGTTGACTTCATTGAGATGAGAAGCTATCATGAAGTGGATGTGGATGTTGATCCCGTCATAATCCCCACATGTGGACATCCGATTATAATGAGCAATCTGGATAGCTCTTTGGGGATGTCTTCTGTCTACACTATGTCCGATGACGGGAAAGTTCGAGGTATCAAGCCATCTGCCCCCTTCTCTGCGTCCGATATGAAAGACCTTCCAGGATGCCCTACTTGTCGAGGGTCGCTCCGGGGCGTCAATAGATACGGCCGTCTTGTGCGCCGCGTCCTATTAGATGAAAGTACCAAGCGATTCATTTCGACCGCCGGTGATCTGCTTGGGCCGTTGATCGAGGAATTTCACAAAGCCCAGCAGAAGCTATCAACGAAGAGTTTGTGGCCTCGTAGCACGATTCTCCCTCCTGAATTCAAATTGGAAGGTGATCGGAACGATCAACTCAGCGCAATCTTCCATTTATTTGGAAAATGGAATCGGTATTTCAAAATACGATCCGTTCGGCAAAAGATTGTCGAATGCTTCAGCAAGCTCAACAAGAACGAGACACCGTTCGCGAAGATCTGGAAGTTGGCGGAGGTTTCTCGTAGAAGGACAGATAAAACAGACAGGATCGACATGGAGAGCTCGGTGTGTCAAGTCACTTTCCACGTCATGGCACTCTCGCTTTTAATTCGTTGCGATGTCACCATCACCACGGACGTATTCAATGAACTGGAAAAGCATCGACGCGGACCACTTCGGATGAAAATCAAAGCAGACTTTAAGGAGAACCGCAAAGAATGTGTCGCATTAGTAGAGGACGCACTGGTTGCCAAGGACTACGAACGAGCAGTAGAGGGGCATGTATTCTTTGCTCGTTACTGTGCACTGGAGATCCCACATACAACTTCGCCGAACCAGGCAAAGAATCTCAAGGACGAGGGTGAAAAGCACTTGCAGCTTGCAGAGGAGTTGTGCAAGACACACGGTGGCAAGCTTTCGTCGCTTGCCTCTGAGATCGAAGACGCAAGGCTCGGCCTGAATGGGGGATTCTTTAACCAGCCGGTGACATCGGAGGAGCGACGTTCTGTCCTAGCAGCCATGGCCAAGGAGTTTGGCAGTACGACTGGCCACTGGTACACATGCGCCAATGGACACCCTTTCAGCATCGGAGAGTGTGGCAGGCCGATGGAGCTTGCGCGCTGTCCTCAATGTGACGCGCAGATTGGGGGTCAAGAGCATATAACCACGGCAGGAGTCGAGCGCGCCACGGATTTGGAGATGGATTTTGGACGGATGGCGTTGTGAATGAGCGTGGCAGTGGCTCTGGGGATTCACTTGGCCAGTCGGGCTCAGGCTGCGATCATCGACAGCATCGAAACACTATTTCGTTGCGGTGCATGTGCTCTTGGTTTTCCGAAACGAATATACGAGCAGTCCCATGAGCATGGGAGCAGATAGTACGATGCAACAAGACGACTTCAAATGTAAATTATAAGCATGATCGAGTGCCAGTGACAAGATTTGTGATATGCTGGCTATGCAACTATACTGACAAAGTATGAATTGAGAGATCCAGGAGCATGCAGTCATGAGAGCTCTCGTCATATGTATATACATATACAATTCACGCATGAAACCAAAGAAAGCAAATCGTAGAATTTTATATACCGAACAACGGATTGGACGGCTACATTGCCTAGTCCCATCCAGTCCTGTCGATTTAGAACTGTATATGAGTATGAGTTATGCGTATCATCATGATTCATGCATGTCCTTCAAAATGCTGCCCCAAGGCCGTTCGCTATCATCATCGCTTCAAACGCCCATCCGATGCATTCCCCCTTCCCCCGATCAATCGATCAATCCACGACATCCTCCCCCTTCTGCCCATAAACGACGTAATAATTATGCTGCAGCCGGAGCCTCGGGTTCTTCAGCTGCGCGCGCACCTGCGCGCAGAACACCTTGATCTCCGCCGCCGACCACCCCCACGCCGTCTCCATGATCCGCAGCGTCATGCCCTCGATGTTGTCGAGGAGCTGGATCAGGTTGAATGCGCCGATTTCTTTCTACACCCGGGGTTAGTTTCGTGATCCGAGAGTGTGGTGTGTGAAGGGTGAGGAGGATGGGAAATGGGGAAGATGGGACATACGAGCGTCTTATCCTTCGCCCAGGGCCCAATCGGCATCGGCAGGACCTTCACCTCCACATTCACGAAGCCCGCGTCTTTGACCCAGCCTTCGATCTTGGGGCCCGGGTCGGTCTCGACGCCGAACTTCCGCAGCCCGGACGTCGTCTTCTCGACCCATTGCGCGAACGGGCTGTCGGGCGTGTAGTCGCTGCCCGCCGAGCTGTAGAAGGAGCAGTCGAAGTCTTGGAATTCGACCCAGCCGCCTGGTTTGGTGTATTTGTAGGCTTGGGCCATTAGTTTGGGCCTACACCGGGGGGGTTAGTGGGTTGGTTCTTTGGGGTGGGGGATGGGGAAGGGGGGGAAGTACCAGTCGCGGATCGCGCAGGCGAGGTACCGCGCGTGGATGAGGTCGAATTTGGAGGAATAGACCCATTCGTCTTCGAGGTCGTCGACTTCGAATTTGACGTTTGGGGGCACGAGGGAGGGTTGGATGGGCGAGATGTCGTTGCCTAGGACTTCGGCGGAGGGGTACTGGAGGATGTTAGAATATGCGTACACAGCAACTAAAAAGTAGGAAGGACAAGAAGGAAATAAGGAATTGGCAAATACCTTATCACCCATATCAATCGCCCAGATTCCCGTTCCAGTGCCGATGTCCAGGATCCTCTGGGGGTCCTGGCCGATGGGCGCGAGGTGCAGTTCACCATCAAGTCGCAGCGTCTGGATGTGGTGGTACAAGTCCAGACGGTCGTTCTCCTCGTCGTCGTTGGGAAAGAAATACTTCGCACCATCGTCCTTGAATCCGTGGTACCGTCGCCCGTTTTCGTAGCGATAGCTATCATGGTCAGTATTCCGGATAGGCATAGTCGCAAGTCGTAACAGTCGTAGTCGCACGACAGAACGGATACCTGCATTGGGGAGCTGGGGAGCTGGGAAGCTTACTTCAAGACCGTCGACTTAAGCGACGTGGTGTAACTCTCTCTACATCAATCCATCAGTTGTGAGCGCAATTCGTGCAGCTCATGCTAAATTTACTCACAAGTCATCGCCGACCGCAGAATCGGTATCAGAGCCCTATTCCAAACCCAGAATCGTCAGCTTCATTCACTTCATTTTGCGTTTCCCCAAAACCCACAAACCCCTCCCCTCCCCACTCCCGCCAATTCATTTCCCCGCGTCACATCACACCGAGAGCACGTCGCACATCCAGATTCGGGACCGGGGCGCACGCTTACCTCCAAAGACTCGGCTTCCACATGGACCTGTGGTACAGTTGGGGCGTTTCCCCCCGCCGCCTGTTCTACCTGCTGCGTTCCTGGTTCCGGTTCCGCCTCTGGTTCTGGTTCGGGTTCTACCACAGGTTGCTGTTGCGTAGGCGCAGCCGGTGGTTTGTCACTTGACTCCGCCATTTCTCTCTCTTTTGCCCGCGCGCGCGCAAGTAAATGAATTAGTCGTCCGTCTGTTCGTTCGTTCGTTCGTTCGTTCGTTCGTAAAAAGCAGGCCAAACAAATAACCTCCAATCTTTTTTTCTCAAAGTGTCGTCGTCAGGCCGCAATCGAACCGTCGAGAGAAGGGGAGGAAAAGGGCCACAACCCCTTACGTAGGCGGGTGGGATTGTTCGAGTCGGGTTGCGGAGGAAAGACTCGAGGTTGCGAGATACGCGGGGGAAGGTGGAGGCAGGAGGGTAGTTAAAGTAAGTAACGAGACGAGCGAGTTGACGAACGCCACGCAGGGCAGGGTAAGGGCTCGCTTGCGGCCGCTGTGCTCCTTGGGGGATGGATGTGCGTAGTCTAAATGTAATGATCCTTGAGGCTTGTGTGCATGGGGTTGGCTGGGTGGATCAATGGATTTCTCGGAGGGTGTTTGGTGGTTCGAGGCGTTTTGATTGATGGGATTGACGACATTGGGCCAGGGGAGGGGGGCCTGAGAGGTTGGCGTTCACTATTTTACTGCTTGATAGAGGGCACAGTGAGCATCAATTACGTCTGAATCTTTTGACATCATCTGAATTGAAACCTCAGAAACAACATAGCAATACATAGAAAGTGAACAGCAGAGTTACTAGCGCATCGTGAAATCCTTCCCTTCCGTCCCCACCTCCACCCCCATCGGCCTCTTCCCCCCGACGTACGCGGTTGGCGGGCCGTAACACGATACTCCACCCTTTCTACAAACTCGTCAACTGCACCGATTCGCGAATCAAATAACCTCAAATATGCCCTCTCTCGTTCTGTTCCGGTGGCAGCTCTTCATCACACTATTCGCTCCGGCCGGAAGGTTAAGAAACGGAGTGTTGCTCCGCCGCTACACTACGCTACACTGCAACTGTGCCTCAACCGTACATACATTGAAAAACGTCAGCTGTTCGATTTATCTATTTCTGCGTATAGCGATCGTCCCTCGAATGATATGGAAACTTTAAAAATCGAAGAGTAGAGTACAGTAGAGTGCACTTCCCGTCTCGTCTTTTGCTCGTCCCGTGTTGGATGTGTACGAATAGGTTGTAGGTATGGATGCTTTCGTTGCGATCATATAGCACACCGGATAGATACTAACAAAGTACTAAAGACACTACATAAAGAACAAGGCATAATAGATGGCACCCATACGAAACCTACCCTCCCTCTCAACACATGAGACTCAAATCTTCCTGTTCCGGTATATCTGTCTGTGTTGAGTTCTTTCTACACAATACCAGTAGAAGTACTCCGTACTGCCATGGGACACATATGATGACGATGATGGCGTTGATGGGAAACGTTTGTCCTTCGTGCCTATGTATCAAACAACTCCCCGTCGCGATCATGAGGAATAGACCAGACTCATCTATGTCTCTCGTAGTGTCTCATTCGCAAACAGCAAAGAACAAACCCCCATCATTAACTCACTTCACCCCTCCCCCTCACACACGCACATTCACTTTGTCACTCGCCATATCAAAGCCCATGGAATGGTAAATAGGTGTATTGAAATACAAAAAGAGTCGCTAAGGTAGAAGCACAAGGAGCAAGATTCCGTTCTTTTTTAATGTGGCCGTAAAAAACTTTGCCGTCATCTCATCTCATCTCATCTCATGTCAAAAAAGAACAAACACACAAAACATATTTTCTCATCTCACATAGGCAGGTAGTAGACTCCCCGTGTGGCCATCTTGATGTTGATCAAACATGGCCAGTTCGGTCTACCCGAAGACGTAGGAGGCAAGTCTCTACTTGCGTCCGTTGCCACCACCGCCCCTCTTGATAATGTCGAGGATGATCTCCTTGGCCTCCTCGCATCCGTCGGGGGTGCCGATGATCTCGATGGCCTCGCCCTGGGCCTGGTCGCGGGGGACCTGGACCTTGGTTCCGGTCTTCTTCCTGATGCTGTTGATCGTGCTTCCACCGGGGCCGACGACGAAGCGGTAGCTCTTGGGGTCGGGGAGGATCAAGTAGCCAGTGGAGGAAGGCTTCGAGGCGGCCTCGATGGCAGCCTCGAGAGCTTGCTTGGCGCGAGGCAGGTTGTCGGCAGGGCCTCGCAAGATCCAAGGGATCGTAGCAGAGGTATCCTCGCCCTCAGCAGTCGCCGTGTTGTCGACGATCTCCCAGGAGTACTGCTCTTCGGCGCCAGATGTGGTGTCGTCGGTGATGAGGGGCAGGGAACCGCCGTTGGCACCCTTTCGGGCCTTACCGGCTTCGGTCGCAGCCGGCTTCGCGGGCGTCTGTTGACCGGCGTGGTCGACAGTGACCTTGTGGTCGTTGCGAAGGCGACGGAAGAACTGGCCGTTGTCGGAGATGGCATGGTGGAGGTAGCGTGGGACTTGGATCGTCTCGCCCTCCTGTCCCTTGACAAGCTCGAGGATGTGCTCCTTGGCCTTCTCAACATGGGCAGGCTCGCCAGTGATCTTGATCTGGCTGCGGGCAGCACCGGTAGTACCCTGCTTAGGGATATCCAATTGCACGTTGAATTGGCTTTCCAAGTTGCGGCGGGTCTCTCCACCACGTCCGATCAACAAGCGATGCTTGTCGGTAGAGATCTCGAGAGTCTCGGTGACCTGGTTCTCGAGGGAGGCAACCTGAGACTGGATAGACTGGACGATCTTCTCGACGATCTTGGTAGGTCCCTCAATGCGGATGCTGGATCCCTCAGACTCAGCACGGGGGAATCGGACCATGCGGGCAAGCTCGCGAGCATTGTCAGGGCCCCCAGCGGCAGTGACGATTTGACGGATGTTAGATCCTGCATGGTTGATTAGTACGAGTCAAGAATAATGTGATGGAAATGAACTTACCGCTACCGCCAATCAAGGTTCGGTGGTGCTTCCTGTCAACATCGATGGTCTTAACAACCGTGTCGTCGAACACCTTGGCGCGCTCCTGGATAAGCTTCTTGGCCTCCTCGACCTGCTTCTTCGTACCCTTGAGCCTGATCTCAGCACGGCCAGATGGGTCAGCACCCTCACGAGCACCGGGAACATCGATCTGGGCGCCAGTCGTCAAGCGAAGATTCTCCATCTCACGGCCACCAGATCCGATCAAAGACGGAACCTGACTTTGGGCAACGGATACAGTATCAGTGTGGGAGTTGTCCTGGGTGTATTGGAGGAGGTTCAGAAGCTCGTCACGAGCCTCGTCAGCACCCTTACGTGGGCCACGGATGGTAACCTCATCGGGAGCTTGCGAGCGGACGTTCTTCTGGGACGCGCCATCGGTAGCATCCTCGTCCTGAGCATTGTTCGAGCGGGGGAAGTTGATGCGAACGTGGTAACGGTCCTGGAGGCGATTGACCTGGCTACCCTTGGCACCAATCAAGTCACGATGGAACTGAGGCTTGATCTTCAAGACGTGAGTAGTCTCATCCTCGAGACGCTTGCCCAAAGACAGGATGTGTGCCTTGCAGGCGTTGGCCTTTGCCTGTGGTCCCTTGAGCTCGACCTTGCCGTCGTTGACCTGGATGTCAACATCAAACTCGTCTCGGAGCTTGCGAATATTCTCGCCCCGCTTTCCAATGAGGAAGTTTGCGAATTTCTGGGGGAAGTCGAACGAGGTGGTGTATCCGCGCTCGAGCTCGTCCTTCTCTTCTTGCTCAATGAAAGCAAGGATCTTGGCGTTGAGGTCATCAACAGCGCTTGATGGTCCGCGGAGGGAAATGCCGTTGGCGGACTTGGTGCGCGATGCCTGGGGTCGTCGATCACCGAAGCGGACCTGGGCGGGAATGCTGTCGTTGGGCAATTTCTGTTGCTCACGGTCGACGTAACGCTGGATCTTGGTGTGGAACTTGGGTGGTGCCTCCACGTCACGGGACACGAGGTCTTGCTCTCCGCTGCAAAGTTTCTCGATGAGCTGCTGAACTTGCTTGAGAGCCTGCTCGTACTGCTTGACCTCCGCTGGTGGGGGAGCACCTCGGGGGATAGCGTAGTCGGCAAAGGGAGTGGCGCCCTCATAGACCAGGACGAGCTCTGGCGTCTCCTCGGGATCCTCTGGGAAGACAAGGTGCACACCATGCTCCTCACGGATGCGCTGAGCATTGCGCTGCTGAATGAACTCGTGGTAGAATGGGTCAACCGGAACCGTGGAGAACCTGCTGGGAGGATGACCAGCAAAGACGCTCTGGATATCGGCACGAGCCTTCTGGGAGTTCTTGCCGTCCCGGGCGTAGATCTCCCAGGCAGTAGGGCCGAAAGGATCGGCGGGTGCGACGATGCTAGCCTCGTGGGCACGCTCGAGCTCCTCCAGGGTGCGACGTTGACGGAGGTACCTAGTCAAGTTGTGCGCGTGCGACTGTGCGTTGCGGCCGCGGTGCTCACGAGCAGCATCGACAATTGCCATCTGCATGCTTGCGGCCAGGTCCTCTAGTTTGTTGACACCGTTCTGGATCTTGTCTGGGGGTCCGACGACATAGATGGTCTCACTGTCATCGCTGCCAGGAGGAACAATGATGGAACATCCAGTCTCCTCCAAGAAATCATGCAGAGAACCGCCACGGTCACCAACAATGAATTGATGCCTACCACGCTCAATGGAACGCTGGTCAATGGCAAGCTGCTGGCGAAGCTGCTGGACCTGGCGCTCGATCGCAGCCTGAACTTCCTGGGCCTGGTTGCGATCTCCAGAGATCTGGATGGGGTATTTCGCTTGGGGAACGAAGGGAACAGGCTTGTTGCGGTCGCCCTGGGGAGGAGCTTGAGAGTCCCAAGTAGTGTAATGCGGGATCTGGACACGGACGTCACGGTCTTGCTCCAAGCTCTGAATGAGCGAGTTGTGGGGGCCGGCCAAGAAGGGGTAGTATTCAGCGGGGATATCCCTGAGACGGAGGTTGACGGTGGAGGTTCGCTCGTTGACGATGGCCTCGATTTCGCGGCGTGCCATTTCGGCGGTGAGCGCATTTCCTTCAATGACAACATCAATCAAGGAGTCTTCCTCCTCTGCTGCCTCTTGTCTGGGGACTTGTACACGGGCGCCGGTGCGCTTCTGGATTTCCTGGATCTTGGCTCCACCCTTGCCGATGATGAATGCACGAACGGAGGCAGGTACGGGAACCTTGATAGAGAGCTGTACACAGTTAGTAAAAAAGTCCATTGACAATGACAGGAGCAACGTGAACAAACCTTAAGACCGACTTCAGTAGCGATATCCTTGAGCGATTGGCGGACGGCATCAACCGGGCCGGTCGCCTCGAAGATGACACGACCGCTGGGACCAGTCTTCCATTCCAATTTGGCCTTGGAGCGCCTATTGATGTCGCGGATGAGCTCATTAACAGGCTTCTTCAATTGCTGACGAGGAGTGAGCTGGGAGGTAGCAAACGAGATCTGCTCGGTGTGCTTTCCCGGGATGCTCATGGTAGGCAGGGCAGGTCCACGGCCGACGGAGGCGGGGGCAGCCGAAGCTGGGGCATTGCCGGTTCCATTAGCACCGTTGAGACCGTTGGCAGTTACAGAGGCAGGCTTCTTGCCCCAGGTTGGGGCAGCAGCAGGAGCACGGGGCTTGACGGGACCGAGGGCAGGGAAGAGCTCTTCAGAGGCAGTGTTCAATCCAGCGGGAGCCTTCTTGACAGGAGCAGCATCTTCGGCCTTCTGCTTGCCAGCAGCTTTCTCGCTGAGGCCAGCGGACTCGGGAGCCTTGAGGGCGGCCGAAGGAGGAGGGTGGGCAATATCCTCTTCATCGACGACGTCCTCGACGGTAGCATGATGATCGTGTTGTTCCATAAGCTTCTGCGCAGGGGTCAAGCCCTCAGCGGCAGTAGAGCTAGTTGCAACAGCTTCAGATGCCATTGTAAGATCAAACCGTTCGAATTGTACCAAAGGGTGTAGCGGTCAGACGGCGGTGGAGTTGGCTTTAGGAAAGAGAAGCCACGACGATGGGAGGGGGTTTCGTTATATGTGGGTGTGGAGAGTAAAGTTGTCTGTGGATGCAGTGGTTAGCTTTTGATGCAGTGGATCGTGTTATTGTTGGGAAGTGAAAAGGGTTGCGGTGATGGTAACTATGGGGAATCAATGACGGGACCGCGGTTCACTCACAGGTAGCTAAGTTGATGTATGGGTTATTTTTTTGGATGAGGTGTGTGGTTCACAAGAGCATACTCAGAGGTAGGACTCTGTAGATTGGGGGAGCACAATTGCAATGGAAGAGGTAAGTAGATAGCTTTCTCAAGAAGAAGCTTTGAGGAAGATGAGGACAGAGGTCAGAACACGATGGACGGACTGGACCAGATGGGGGATGGAACGAGGGTCTACGTCTACTGTGTACTGTGTACTAACTACATAGACAGTAGACTGTTGCTGGAGGATGCTAGAGAGTTCCACTCCACTTCGAGGGTTCTGGGCGGAGCCGATTGACACGTGATCATCCTACCACCACGGTTAGCGTTTGTCAATAAGCATAAGCATAACCGTTAACCGTAGTTAACCACAACCGTAACCATAACCACGGTCCGACTTCATCCATTCACTCCATATATATATATATACATCATAGTCACTCCACTATCGCAATTGCACAGTACACCCCAGCATATCAAAAAAATGTAGTTCCACTTCTAAACATTATGGAACATATAAATCCCATGAATTGCTACATCCTCGTTGCTCTACGCCCTCATACTCTCCCTTTCATTCATCCATCCAGGCCCGATACAGAATATACGAAGACTTTATACATATTCACCTTTCTGACTATCTGACTACCTCAATTGCTTCCCTCTCAATGCATCATCCCGTCCCCGTGGCACCTATAAAAATGTTCACCAGCCCTTTCACCCTAAACTCCCCTTTCCAGCACAAAGGCTCACTAGCCTGCTCTCCCATTCCCATTCACCTAAGTCGCCATTAAAACAATAAATCATCCCCCTTCCTTCCTAATCCTGACTTCAATAGCAATCATACTCGACCTATACACAAGTCCTCACCCTTTAATACAAAAGGAACCAGGTCTCGAGTTTCGAAGCATACCTTAACAATGTCTTTCTGCATATACGTATGGGAAGCATTGTCGGCGACAAAGGAGCTACAATGGGATTTTTCTTATGTCAAAGAACCACGAGACTATTGGGTTTCTGAATAGGATTGTATGCATATGTTAATTTATATAACAAGTCGAAGGTCGCACTGGCATTTCAACTCTGCTTGCCTTGGTGCTTCAAAAGTCTCGTTTATAAGAGATATCATTATATAAAATCACATCACCATACATACACATACATATATACATACAAAGCCCAAACAAAACATCAAAATCACCCACCGAAAATGCACATCACCTCAATCACCTTCTCCCTCCTCGCCACAATCATGGCCATCACCACCACAACTCACGCCCACCCCCTCAACCACCCCCTCCACGCCCGCGCCGAAGGCTCCTGCAGCACAACGCACCTCCCCACCGAATCCACCTACCTCTCCACCATCCCCCTCTTCTGCCGGCACTTCTCTCCCCCCGCCAAAATCAGCACCTCGTCCCCCGTGACACTCACCTACACGCTCCCGTCCTACTCGTCCCCCGACGTCAACTGGGTGTACAAGATCAGCATCCCGCGGAAGGGCGACAACGAGGCGAGCACGGAGGTGAACGAGGGGGACTGCGTGGCGAGGATGGGGGAGGTGTTGACGGAGGGGAAGCTTGGGGGGGCGTATTGTGTGGTTGATGGGACGGAGGATGTGTTGTTCAAGGGGGGGAGCGCGGATGTGGCGTGGGGGGGTTTGGTGAATGGGGGGGTGGTGAGGTTTGAGAGTTATAGGAGGAAGGGAGATCTTTAGGGGAAGACGGGGGTGGACAAAGGGGATGGGGGAGGAGAGCGTGTTGTTTAGATGTTTATACACTTCGGAAGTACGTTGTGAAGGATTGGCTGTTGGGGGAGATGTCAGGCAATTTTTATGTTGAATTGAATCTTTTGCCAATGTCAATTTGAAAAGCTGGCGTAGCTTGTAGAATCCATATGACTATCCTGCAACAACATCAATGTAATTGTGCACAATATCATAGCAAAGACTTAGCATCCTGCTCTGTGCTTTCAAGTGAGAACAATTCCCCTACTCTCATCCACCCCAGCCCAAGCAAGCAACACTCCCTGCGCCCGCTTAAACCTGTTCGCAAACGCCGTCGTCCCCGGCTTAGGTCCCTCCTCCTCAGCTATAGAGCCCGAATACCACGCTCCAATCGCCTGACTATACGCCGTCCTCTCCCCAAACGTCCTCGTCGCACCAAGCGCAAGCTCACGCAAGTGCCCATGCAGTATAGTCCACAACTGCACTTCGCTTGGAAACCCATCCTTCCCAAACGGTATGTCTCCCTTGGGCGCCACGAGCATTCTCGAAATGACCTGCAAGAACTCGAGGAGATCGTGGATCCAGGATGGTCCGATGCGGCGTTCCTGGAACAGATAGCCTTTGACGCCGTACTTCAGGGCGGGTACTAGGGAGCCTTGGGCTTTGCTGACGCGGGACTGCGATATGTGCAGAGTGGGCCAGGGCTGGAGGTCCTCTGGCCATTTTCCGTTGGGGAAGATTCGACTCGCTAGGTTGTGGGCATCGGTGGAGAGAGTATCGATGTTGATGAGACGGATGGCTTCGTTGCTGCGGTCGATGAGGTCATGTTGGGTCTGCTCCATTTGCGGGATCATGCCGGGGGTTCGCTCCTCGTGGGCTTTCAGTTCCTTTTCACACCTTTCGCCTGGGGTTATTAGGAAATGAAATGTGTTGGACGCGATGGACTCACAGTGGCAATCGAAGTTGTAGCTGTCTTTCAACTTTCGCCCACGGATTAAAACGTCCATATTCACGTCTGCATAACACTGCGTGATTTCCTCCCCGCCCCGTAATTTTCGCAGGGAACGCACACGCAGCGAGTTCCCTTCAAACACAACGAACGCATTAGGATCGCAGGAATGGTTCATCAGTGACGCAACGACGTCTAAGCTTGAGCCGAGCATCCTTCCCTCTGGTTGGAAGATGCTAACGCTGTTGGTCAGTACCTGAAAGTCCGGTCAGTAGGATTGTGGGCTGTGTCTTGCTCTTCGGTGAACTTACAATGCAGTACAGTCTGACAACTTCAGCAAAGCTGAGATCGGTTTTCGTACGGGACCTGGCTGCCTCGGAGGCGCCGACGATAAGCTTTGCATTGTCTGAAGAAAGAAGTTCTGGCATGTTGGATGTCAGTCTTTGCATCGCGGCCCGTTGGTCGCCTGAAAGAATGTTATGCTTTATGCTGAGAAGTATTCGATATAACGCCCGGGTAAGAGGATGCATGGTGGGAGTTTCGCTGAGCAATTCGCATTCATGTTTGTGATGGGTTTTCCAAGCTTTTCTCTGGCATGCCTTTGGTACAGTCAGTACAAATCACGCTTCCCCTCGTAATGCTTGTCATCAGATGTAAGTGGACAGGCGAAAGGAGTCTTACTCTGGAACAGTAGTAGCAAACTTTACATCGACTGCAAGCTTTCATCTCCAGCTCTGCATCTTCGGCAGTGCGAAAGCGCCCGCTTGGATGTACCGTGCTAAGTTGGTAGGCACAGCAGTTGTCACATACAGAACGCTGCAACTCATTATCCACGCAGTTGACTAGTGGCTTTGATCCGAATATCTCTTCGCCATCATCCACATCTTTCGTGACGAACAATCCAATACCGGCTCCTGATATCTTCGATGGCAATATCTGGAGTGGGGAAGCTGCAGTGATTGTTTCCAGGATCTGCGTACACAGTGTCTCATCCTCGTGTAAAGCAGAATCCGCGATCGAACTCATGATGTTTTCATCCGCACTGTCGTTTCAGATGCGTGCTGGCGTGAAAGTTGGTGCATTAAAACGGTGGCTGCACAAGCATGCGGGGGAATGTTGAGTGACAAGGCTGCCATCCTGAGAAATAATGTAACAACCCCGGACTGGCGAAAGAAAGTATGCATTGAGGCCGACTACCGATAATGCAACTCTCCATCCAATCAAATAGAGGCGCGTCCATGTCCCAAAGCAGAATATTATGTGCATACAGGACTGTCGGTCAAGCTTACCAACGTCTACAGTAGCCAGACCTGATGCTTTTAACTCTATGTATTTTGGTGGTTGGCAAGTACTGTCAATGCTGTGCTTGATCGTAAAGGATGCTGGAAATCCTGCGGAATAATCCGTGGAGGACGAATTAGAGTCAATCCCTCTGTCCAACATGAAGCATGCGAGTTAGTAAGATTCTACATAGTTGGAGGAAGTCAACAGATCGCGGCTCTTGCGGTTATTTGTGATGTGGATTCGGCCCTGCGAATGCCTAATGCCGAATAGCGGCGCTTTATTTGATTAGAAATAGAAAGAACAAGCATGGAGATGCTCGATAGACGAGCGATCGCTTTGCTATGTGCGCTACTATAGCAAAAAGAATCTCGTGTGTATATGCAATGTGTACTGCTGGCAATGTCCAGCCCCTGTCGCTAATGAAACTCCTCTCATGATTCATGATACATTTCGTAGGGTCATGCAAGCGTCTTGAGGTTGTTAATACCTTCAATAGCCTGCCCCTCTGTTGCATTTTCCTTCTTGGGCCGTTTCCTCGCATTTGCACCAATTGCTCCGCCGGGGTGGTTTCTTTGGAAGACCGGCTTCGTTTCCTCCTGGTGGATGGCCTCCGCGACCGTCATGGCTAGCATGTCGCCGACTGCAATTGCAACCGTTGTTGACGTTGTCGGGGCACAGACGCCGAATGTAGCCTCCTCCGTCTCGTGTATTGGTGCGGGTAGGAGTATGGCATCTGGACGGTCGCGAAAGAGTAGACAGTCCGAGGCATTGGTCTGTGAGGTGATCGCAAGGAGAGGAACTGAGTCCGGGATGTGGTTAAGGAGTGTAGTTAGTTCAGATGTCTTTCCAGAATACGATATGAACATAACGGCGTCATCCTGGTCCTAGTCAGTTCTATCCACGCTTTATCCTGAGTGTGCAGACGTACGCTTCTTATATCGCCCAAATCGCCGTGCATAGCTTCTGCAGCGTGAAGGAAGGAGGCTCCCAGGCCTAGGCTTTTCATGGTAGCAACAGTTTTCCTGCCTACCAGCCCACTCTTGCCAACACCACATATTAGGAGTTTTCCACCGCGCTCATTGACTCGCCGAAGACAGTCTACCGCACTGATAAGCCCATCACGGGCCGTAGGATCACTCTCATACAGGAATGTGACCTGGGAGAGGGCAGTAGCTGCCGTAGAGAGGACGAGGACCGCACGGTCGAGCAATTTAGCGTTGCCATGGTCGGCTGCGGAAAGGGGAGGAGTAAGAGGCTCAATGTTGGATCGCTTTCGCTTCAACATGCGGGGCGAAAGGTCGCCCTCGCTTTCCGGAGAGGTGTACATTAATCTAACAGAGATTGATGAAGTCCTACAAGCACAAGCTGGACGTCGAGCTTTTGAATACGGCTTTAGATAGGCGAATCGGGATGTGGGCAAGGATTCGGAAAGCCTCGGAGGTGGAGGGTATATGTCGACGGCGGGGTTGTACGAGTAGATGAGGGATGTTCAAGGCGAGATTGAGGAGTGACGGGATGGACGGCGGTAGAAGTATATCAATTGCAGCAAGGCCCCGGGCATATTAATAATGATAGTCTGGGGCATCATGATGGATGGCAGTTGTGGTCGTAATGGTGGTGGTGTTGGTGTATTTTGGAGGTCGAATTAGTTCCATGAGTAGCCCGACGGCCGATAAAGAAATGGAATGGCGACATTCGGAATCAGCACGCTAAGCCTAAAGCAGGTCAACGTGTGCTCACCACTCGTTGGGCCCACGCTTCCAAGAGGGTTCGATACGTAATTAATCTGTCAAGGGATTCCAAGTTTCTTTTCCTCAGGGGGGACGGACGTCGGTTCTAGTCCTGCAGAATCCCCGATCGTGGTCCATTATCAAGGTGGATGGTCTGTCCTGTGTATCTCCTCTAGGCCATACCAGAGACCCCGCCGTTCCGAGCTGCCTTACCTAGACAAGATTAGAAATACCCATCTTGCAAGGGTCATGGTCTACTCGTAGCAGCAAACCATGAGCATATTCCTAAATTGGCCGATCGTTGTCATCATTCGGGCTCGGTAGCAGAGGGGCAGCAGCTACACAAAGTTTCGCAGTTGTTTTGCGAAGGGTCGGTCTACTTGTAGCTATGGACAGGTCGTTCAGAAGAGAGCTCGGAAAGCTTAGAAGCTCAAAAGCTCAAAGATTAGTTTGATACAATTGTAGTAAGGCGCTGGACGGGTCAAAGGCAATGGACTTGTATCCTGATTGGTCTTAATCATGGTTACGGAATACATTAGTGGACGATGCTATGTAGGCTAATGCAGGCGAACTGCGATATACACGATGCAGCAACACGAAACAACTAAACAGTCATGTACGAGTGTGGATGTTGTTGAGACACGGGGTCGCAGCCTTAGTTGGATATATGCTCTTGAAGCTACTCTCCATTCCTATGAGGTTCCATTGAAGAACACTCTTGCCTTCTCTGACCATGCTCTAGGCTCCCTTGCGAATATATATAGGGCTCTATATTGATGTTCGGTTTGCCTCGGGAGACAAGAGGGAATCGGTTGGAGGTGTCTAGGATCTAGGACGATGGGTTGGGGTTCATCTTCAAAGCCGAAATCAGTATGATCTTCGTCTGCGCCTGTTCGTTTCTAACGTACCTTGCGCTTCCCGCCTGTCACAGTGACATTCACGAAGCGGCGCGTGTAGATATCCCTCTTGTGGGCGCGTCCCTTAGGAGTCTTGGATTTCTCCTGGGGTTCAACCTTGGGCGTTTGGGACTTGACTTTTCCCGCGCGAGCGAGACTTCCGTGAACCTGATTTTAATTGAGCAATTGCAGTTAAGTCTGTGGTCGATCAACTTACTTTTCCCATAGTTGTCGTATGCAATTGTCCATCAAGATAAATTATTTTAGTGCGAAGGCTCAATGATACATGCCAAGCCCCTCTCTGTATGTGGCTTAGCGTCGATGACGTTGAATCTATGCTGCCTGGCATCATCCCATCACCAACATCCGACTTGCGTTGAACCTTTGATCAAACAACTCGACTCATTACACATTTATTTAATTTTGTCGAGTTAAATTGCATATCTTGAGACCGAATGTGTTACTTCACTGGCTAATTGAACTTCTTTGAAGGTGATATGGATTTCGTATCAACTAGCACTCCACATTCAATTCACTGGCTTCGGACTGATCACAATCCCGTACTATCTACTATCAAAGCCTTCTCCAATCTATCTCATCTCAGATGGCGCCAACATTCGTGAGGAAGTATCAATGCACCGAAGATTCCTCCTTGAAGACCTTCTTCGCGAAAAGGTTCCTGAAGTATTGACCCGTCAAGTAAGCTGGAACGAGGACTGCCAGGAGTACACCACTTATGATAGCCAATATGTTCATGGCTCCATCATATCCCAGCGACTTGATGGCAGGCACCGTGGAATAGCTCAGACCGAATGATATAAAGCCACGGCCTGCACAAACGACGAGCAGCAAAGGTCCTGCCTTCCTGGGAAAGCTATCGATGCAGTATGCGATGCTGATGACATTGCAACCGATGAAAGCAAAGTATCCCAGATGGTACGGCCCAACAATGGTCATCCAGTGCCAGCTCAGTAGATCTTGTGCTCCGCGACCGTAGAGAACAGCCGAAATGATCGCACATATCGCGGGGAAAGCGATTGGAAGAAGGCGATACTCGGGCTGTTGATGATTAGCCTTCAACTAAAGTGCTGTAGAAGCTAGGATTAAGACTCACCTTGAAAATGCCATCACGCCATCGGCTCATCGACTTGACGAGGAAGTCCGCTCCGTAACCAAGAACAGGAATCAAGATCATGCAATCGGCAATCTGCACCAGTTGCACGTAGCCCAACTCCATGCTCGTGAAGAGGTGTGGTGGCGGCATCAAGAGCTGGGCAAAAGTGGACGCCTGGTAAACGTACAAGCCAAGAAATGCCCCATTGAGACACAGCAACCAGAAGACATTGGGGATGATCAGACATTGCAGAGTTTCCTTGTAGAAGACTACTGTCGCCTTCCAGTCAGGTTTGAAGTGGAAGACGCGCAAATCGTAGCGCCAGGTTCTCGGCCCGAAGATTTCTGGCTGCAGAACATGTGTTTGCTTGGTGGTGACCTGGTACAGGAAGTTCTGCTTGCCTTCGCTATCGAGATTCCCCTGCTCGTCGAACTTCAGTTGCACCAAACCCCCTACGAATCGTTAGCGAAAATTGGGCGGCCATTTTGAAGTCATTGAGTGCTTACCATCAGCATCGACAGGCCGGTCATATTTCGTCTCAACCATGAAGAGAACGGACAGTATCAAGAGAACTCCTGTGACAATTGCGATGATCCCGTACCACCACTTCAGCCCCCAGACTGGAACTAGAGCAGTAGTTGCAATGAACATGACAGCAGTGCCAACGGTCTGTACACCAACAAACCATGAAAGTTTTGCGCTCCTTTCGTGTAAGAAATGAATCTCTTCGACGATAAGTGGAGCCAGCGCTTCGCTTTGTCCGGCTGCCATACTGAAGATGTTGCGGCCTCCGATGTGACTGCTGAGGTTATTGCCCGAACACGCGCACCATATGCTGGAGGCGAGCAGCAACACCAGAGAAGCCAAGAATACCGGTCGTCTTCCAATAGCCACCGAAAGGGGCATACTGAAAAGGTTTCCGAGTCCCATGAACAGGGTGGGATATGTCATCAAATCGGTCGCGCGGATTGCTTCTTCTGGTTTGTACATCTTCATCACCTCTGGATACACCGCGCCCAAGCCCGACGTCCCAAGAACGGCAAATGCAGAGTATACACCCACAAGGAATATCATCAAGTACTTGTGCCATGCTGGAAGATTGAGTGGATCTTGCAAATGTTAGCGAAAATCATTAGTATGCGACAAAGACCAACCTTTTGGATCGGGGCTAGGTGTTGGAATCAGCACGATGGCCTTGTTTTGATATAGATTCACACCGCCAGAGTTGGATTTGGTTCCGGCTGTGACATTTCCAGCGTCGACATCCTCTATCATAGATAGGGTGTTGCCGTCTTTTGTCTCGGTGGTCATGTCTTCGAAGGATTTTCAATGCTGTGGTTGTTGAATGCGTTCGCCAGAGAACGAATGGCGAACTTGACAATCGGAGAAGAAATTGTATCAGACCCTCTCTGACACCCTTGATCGAACAGCCCATGGCCTCATTTCTATATGTCGCCAACTTCATAATCTTTCAACGGATAGCCTTTGCCATCGGCATGTGGAGATGGAAATGGAATCACCCTGATTGGTTTACGCGGCGCTCGTCGCCTTAGCGTTGGTCGGATTTCTCCACAGCCAGCCCCAGACCCAAACCTTGGCCTCCCCGGTTCCCCCGCCTTTTACAAGTCTAGGTTCGGTTCAGTTCCTACTTTATCATTGAAAGCTGGGGTTGCCGCGGGATGTGCTCGAACTCCTTCTTCACATTCCGAACTTTTCACATCCCGATCTCATCTTGTTGCAATCCTTGCTCGCTACCATGCCATCGGACGCCAATGCCCTCACTACGTCTTTCACACCAAGGAGTAAACGTCGACGGCTCAATTTTGCATGCAATTATTGCCGAAGTCGAAAAACACGTTGCGACGAGCAACGGCCATCCTGTCATGCCTGCCAAGTCGCCCAAGTACCATGCGTTACTGAGGACCGACGCCGGCCAGGATCATTAGTTGAGCGTCGAGAGGCAACGAAAAGGACCAGTAACCTTCCGAATGCAGTTACGATCAATGACCCGACTCCGGGGCCCGACCTTTCGCAACATCAAGAAGAAATCAATGCGTCGTCCCGGGCCCTTGAAACCACGGCACGGCACGAAAGCAGCCAATTTCAGGGGAGACTGCCTCTGCTCCGTCAACAGCCCATACGGACTGTAATAGAGGCTCTCACGAGCTGGCTCGAGCTCGCTATCTACAGATTAGGAAAGCAAAAAAGAACATCCTTCAGTCCCAAATCATCACCTTCTCTGCTAAGAGGTCTTACGTTTCACCTTCCGGAAGCTCCTCAGCTACCCAATAGTCAAACGTGTGATGCATTATTCAACCGGTACTTCCAAACTGTGAACACGGTCTATCCCTTTCTGGAGGAGGGAAAAGCGAGACAGACCATATGGTTTATGCAAAGTCATGGACCTGAAGGTGTTGCAGAACGATATGGTCTACCGTCTCTGTTGCAGATTTATCTTGTCATCATCCTCGGAGCGTTTTCAGCTACAGATCTCCAACCTTCCAAGGATCTGATCGACGCAGAAACATATTGCAAGACTTTATATGGCCATGTGCTATGTTCCGGAGATTTTGAGGCTGTTCGGGGTGCGGCATTATTTGCTCTTCTCTTGAAGTTTCGAGGACGTGATACCGCCGCATGGGCTAACCTTACTCAAAGCATCTCCTTAGCAGTGTCGTTAGGCCTCGAAGGGTCGAAGAGAGCAAAGAAGTTAGAACCACTACTTCATCGATTGAGTGTAGAGGAGAGGGTATGGTGGAGCCTACGTTGCTTTGAAGCTTTGTTCGCGTTCGAGTTAGGTCGTCGGTCGCGGTCGTCTGACATGCAAGGTCCCCCGGCGATCGGAGGCAATGTTTTGTCTTACATGGGCAAAGCTACATCCGAGGAGGAGAGGAACTTCATCGTTATGGCAAGTCTGGCGGAGACCCTGGGAACGATAGGCGATCGATGTATACGGGCCACCGTCCGCGAGGAGGAGAGTAGCAGTGAATCCGAGGCTCTGCAAGCTGCGATTTGCGCAAAAGTTCAAACTACTGGCGAATGCTGTCTTATGCTAACAGAGTGGATTGAAAGCATTCCTATGGAATACAGGTAAAAAAGCGATCGACCATCTGAATAGCTGATGCTAACACAATTCCTATTTGTAGGCCCGCGAGCGAAATACCGTACGGCGAACGCGTTTATCCCTTCAGGGCCTTTATTTCTATGCAGTACCACAATGCGTAGGTTTTATATCCTTATAACCATTATAATATCAACTAACCTATCCATCAGCTTGGTCATGCTATGTCGAAATAGCCTTTTGATCAGTGAAGAGGCTGTCTGGCTTGCTGCAGAGATCGTAGCGAAAGACCAACCGTGGCAGCAGATCATCCGTAATGGACAAGCCATCACCGCGAATACAGCTCGGAAAATACTTGTCGCCACCGTTGAAAGCCATGATTTGGAACTCGAGGCAGCACTTCCCACTTTCCACATCACTCTCCACGCCTGTTTCGTTCTCTATATCTACACCGTACGCCACCCAAAGTCCCGTATGGTCACTACAGATCAGACGGTTAGTAGACATATACATTGTTAGAGGTGTATGTGACTAACGAGAATCAGCTTATTCTGAACGTGATTGATCAACTGATGGATGCAACAAACTGTTGGCGTGTTGATCTCAACCCCATATTGCAGAAGCTGAAACTGTTGATGGATGCCAACTATACAAGCCTCACGACGGAGGGGGACGATACAGCGGAAGACAGACCAACGACCTCTCAAGCATTGAACGAAGCAGCAAGCGAGTCGCTCTCCCACCATTCCGCCCAGTCTGGGATCTTAGTTGGCCCTGCCCCAACCGACCAGAGCCAAGAGACGTTTGATGGCGAAAATGACCGTATCTGGTCCGAGGTGCACGCAAATCTTTTCAATGCTTTCGACATTGACGATATGGGCTATTCGCCGTCTCTACCTGATCTAATCGGGTGGGACTGGGCAGCCTTTTCGCAGCTGCCTTCTATGCCACCAAGCCCCCGCATGAATTAAATAATCGATTCACTCATAATCATACCATCGAACATACACCGTGATTGAAACTTTAAATTGAATGGTTGACTACACTATATGATTGATACGAGAACTACATGCATTTTTAAAAATGTCAGAAACTATGCGGCGGCGATGTATGGCACGCCCGTCAATTTGATACCCCTCTCTGTCAAGTTCACCGGCTTCCTGGGCTTTCCCGTGTTATAAGGGCATGGCTTACCATTCCTCATGACTGGGATACCACCAACATGAAGAGCGTTTGGCCAATGTGTGGTGCTCTGCGTCGTCTCAAGCGCATGCTTCTTGCGGATGAGATCCTCTTGCGACGCATCGACAGCTGGCATGTAGCAAGTATACGCACAGAACCTAGGCGTGTTGCCAGTAGCACTGAGATTGTAGTGCGGCGTGCGGCTATCCCAGAGCAGCAAGTCACCAGGCTCAGCGTTCACCTTGATCCACTCGCAGCCCTTCTTCTCCAACCAAGCCATTCCCTCCTTGGTGAATCCGTACCACTCGTTCGTCCACGCCCAGATCTTGTTAGGCTCGTTGCGGAACTCGTCGTGGAATTCCTCGCTGAGGCGGTGGGCGCCTTTGCACACGATCAACCCGCCGTCATTGTCGCCGTTTGGCAGCAGATTGACGATGCCTTGCATGCAACGGAAGCCAGGGCGCTCGGGATCCTGGTCTTGGTGTGGCCATGGGGTATTGGGCTTGACGTCTGTGCGGTTGGGGAATCCGACGTTGATGGCATCAAAAGAAACGATGAGGTCTGGGGTGTCGTAGATGCGCTCGAAAGCCTCGATGACACCGGGTTCTTGTCGAATGGACCATGTGAAGTCCTCATGAGCGACACCGTAACCGAGCAGCATGCCCTTTTCGGTGATGATGGGCAGGTTCTCCTCTTTGATAGTAGAGGGGTCATCGCGCTTGAATCCAAGTCCTCCCTGGCTGTAATTGGATTAGCTATGGCTTGGTGGAATGGTAGAGACGATGACTTACAATTCTTCAAGGTAGGTCATCATATCATCGGCATACTTATCAGCACGCTCGCGTGGAACAGCGCCTTTGACAACGGTGAAGCCATTCTCAATAAGCTCATCTCTCCAATCGCCATACTTGATGTCGCCCTGGGCAAAGAGCTTGTTTGGGCCGCATGGCTGTGGCTTGAGAGCCCCAGAAGCCTTGATGACAGAGGAAGCTGTTTGCGTGATAGTTGCCATGGCTGTTTTGTTTGTTGTTGCTTGCAAGATGTTGCAATTGTAGTGCACTTGGCTTAGACCAGATCAAGCTCCGGATATGGTTTATAACCTGTGTCGGACAGGCTATGCTGCCTACGCATGAGATCAACATGAAGACATCGTCCCAGCTTTACCGAACCGAACCGACAAAGGCTCCACTCGAGTTACAGGATATTTCCCCGCATTCATGGTGGAGCCGATGGGGAGGCAATCGAATGAACTACACTTCTTACCATACAACTTCGATTATTTACTATGGGGCGTTCGGTTCGGTATCTTTTGGAGGTGATGGAATCAACCTGATTGGTCTAATGCCCGGCTCGGTTCGGCGAACAACTTCACGAACCGAAGCGAAACACCAGGCCCAGACATAAACCACTCGTATAGTGTGTCAACATACGCGTTCTTTTTATGAAAACTTCCCCAGATTCACAATAAGCTCGGTCGAGATGCCCCGCGTGCCGTGTTCCCCCACAACGGACCAAAACATCGTCCCTTCAACTTGACAACTCAAGGGGATGATATAGACCGGGGGTGGTCCCCGGGCTTTGATCTGGCTTTTGCCATCATCTTCAATCATGGGCGAAGCAATGGAATACAACAACTTCAAGGGCGTCAAAGTCCCCATCGTTCCAATATCTCCACCTCAGCCTGGTAGCGGAGGTTACACGGAATTCAACCCGCGCTCCGAAACACTCCCTGCTGGCTGGACAAGCCCCCATCCCAACTCCAGACCGCTCAAATCGAGTATACTCGTGGAACATGATGTCGCGATCACAATGCGCGACGGCGCGAAGCTCTACGCCGATGTATACCGACCACCACCATCAGCGTCGGGTGCGGACGAGCAAGTCCCAGCGCTGCTGATGTGGTCGCCGTTTGGGAAGAAGTTCAACGGTATCATGTCCCTCGGACTGATGACGCCTTGGAATCTCGGCATCCCAGATGGTACGCTCTCAGGCCTTGAGAAGTTCGAAGGGCTTGATCCCGCGGTGTGGGTGGATCGCGGATATGCGATCGTCAGCATCGACACGCGCGGGACGGGCGATAGCGACGGACGCATGGTGATCATGGGAACGCAGGAGGCTGAAGATGGATACGACAGTATCGAGGCGATTGCGAAACTCCCATGGTGTACCGGTTCTGTAGGATTGGCAGGGAACTCACACCTTGCAATCGCGCAGTGGTTTATCGCTGCGTTACAGCCACCGTCTCTCAAAGCCATCGCTCCGTTCGAGGGCTGCGGTGACTTGTATCGTGAGCAATTTGCCCGTGGTGGGATATACGCGGGCGATTTGTTCGATAAGCTTATCGTGAAGTACATGCTGAAAGGCAGGCATGGAATGGAGAGTTTCCGCGAGATGTTCAAGCAACATTCGCTGGCTAACGAGTGGTGGAATGATAAGCGTCCCGACATGCGGAAGATCAATGTGCCTACATACATTACGGGTACTTGGACGAACACGATGCATGGTATGGGTGCTATTCGAGCGTGGCTACAGGTTGATACCAAAAACAAATGGCTACGATGGCACCCTTGGCAGGAATGGTACGACTTATGGGGAAACCCTCAAGCCGATGAGGAGTTACATTCGTTCTTCGACCACTTCCTTCATGGAAAGAAGAATGACTGGCTACAAACACCACGCGTCAGAATGGCACTCCTCCGATTTGGCAACCAGATCCCGCAATCGTACGAAAACATCGTAGAAGAAGATTTCCCCATCCCAAGAACACAATACAAGAAGCTCTTCCTCCAGTCCGACCACACACTCTCTTTCGACGCGCCAACCACACAAGGACAAACCACCTACAATTCCGAGCACCCCGAATCCGCCACCTTCACGCACCGTTTCCCCGAAACAACCCGCCTCGTCGGCCTCCCTAAAGTAGTCCTCTACATGACCTGCCCCGACCACAACGACCTCGACGTCTACGTGCTCCTCGAAAAGCTCGACAAGCAAGGCCAACCCATGCTCAACCTCAACATCCCCTGGAAAAACCTCCCCATCACCTCCTTCGACGATATGAAGCCCGAAGAGAAGACAGAGGTCGTGCTGTACAAAGGCCCCCTAGGTATCCTCCGAGCGTCCCATCGCGCGATCGACGAGTCGCGCTCTATGCATCCGCACTGGCCGTTCCATCCGCATGAGAAGGAGGAGAAGGTTTCGCCGGGGACGGTCGTGAGGCTGGATATTGGGATCTGGGCGATGGGGATTGAGTATGAGGCGGGAGAGAGTTTGAGGCTGACGGTTTCGGGGAGGAATTTTGGGGTGAGCAATTTTGGGAGCGATGAGCATTCGCTGAATAAGGGGAGGCATATGGTTCATTTTGGGGGTGAGAATCCTAGTCATTTGGTGCTGCCGTTTGTGTAGAGTTATGTAGAGATTTGAATGAAGTTCATGTAGTTATTCTCGGTACTCTAGAAGCGTTCTAATGCGAAATACATGTCTATCTATCTTATCATACAATAATGTACATCTATCTTAGTCTACAATAATATACACCCATCTAATACACAATAATACATGTTACTCAAGCAACTCTACATCATACAATTCTGCGCTCCAGATTCAACCAACAACGAAGAATACTGCCTATGCAACCACCCACCCACGCCTCCGAACGGATCCTCTTTCTCGCTCGCCTCCTCCGTCCCATCAAACGTCGCTGCACGGAGTTTGAAAACTGCAGCTCTCTTCTCTTGGTCGATATAAGCTTGCAAGTCGATAAGGTTATCCACATTCACTGGTCTTGGCGTTGAGTGATGTGGGTCGAAGCAGCCGCGCAACATGATGGACGTTGGTGTCTTGGAGAGAACCAGGAAGTGGTTTGTGAGATATGTACCTGCCAATAATATAATGAAAATCCATTAAAAACACAAACTGGGGCGCGGTTGGGGAATTGAGGTGTACCTGGTGAATATTTGCATGCGAGTAGGTCTTCTTTAGACCACACGTCTTCCTTGTTCTCATCATTCTTCGTAAATTCCATGATCCTTCTCTGAATAGCATAACCTAGCCACACAAACAATCAACATTAATTCCATCTCCCCTCAATCCAACGTAAAGATCAATCCTCACCTGAACCTCCCCAAAGCCCTTGCGAAAACCTTTCAATAAGCTTCGTGCCCCCCGCACGTGCATCCTCAAGCAGCTCTTGATCCAGCCTCTCGAACGGGACCTCCCGCACACACGAATCGGCCGACATTGGCTTGTTAAAGGGATTCGTCTGCTTAAACAGCGAATGCGCAAAGAAAACTCGATCTGTCTCCGGGCCGAATGGTTCGAACCGACAATCACGTATCCTAAGGTACAACGCCGCTGCAGCGGTACACGAAGTACCTGCTACTGCTGTGGCCGCGAAGACGAGGCGCGGGCGTGTGCGAAATAATCGCTGCATTTTCGGAATTGGGTTCTGGGAATGACTGAATGTGAATCGTATGTTAAGAGAGAAAGTCAATTTTGAGGTTTGAATTTTTTTCTTGGCTTGGGATAAACATGTGCGATGTACGATTGAAGATGTACAATTAAGGTTATGAGATCCACATATGAGCGCATCGGCCTCCACGGAATCCGTAACCGTGTAGGGGAACGGATTTCCATTGGCAATTGCTGCAACGTTCCAAGACTTGGCTTCGTGATAATGACTCCTAATTTTTATTCTTCACGGGCTCAATTTTTTTATAATATTGCCCATCCACGATGTAAGTCAATTGTAGGCTTGTTGAGTTTTTGTAGCGCAGCTTGGGTTGAAGCGCGTTACCTTGCATTTTTGAAGTCAATGTTTAAAGAGATATAAAAGACACAAGCCATAAAGAAGGAAAAGGTAAAGACCGCAAACGTTGTCTTTAACTAATATTAAATGTGTGTTTTCAATATTGAACGCGAAATTCTTATTACAAGTAAGAGTGATCATTCTTCACTTCATCAAAAAGTTTAAACGGGAGTCTTGTTACAGGGCAATAGAATCATTATCACTTGTTGTAAACCAAAAGATCCATGAAAGTTGAAAGTTTATAGGGTTTTTATTGTAAAAGAGGGAGACTTTAGCCTGCAACCTCTTGAAATATCTATGGGGTATTTATCGCAAAAGAGGGAGACTTGAGCCTGCAACCTCTTGAAATATCAAGTCGAACCAAAACAAGACTCCTGGCCATGCCGCGGAATCTGCGCAAGATGTAAGATAAAACGCCAGCCCAAAACAAAAGGAAAAGAAATCTCGAGAACTCCATCATATCACATCATCATTTCCCCCATCATCTCCTTCGTCTCTCCTCCGAGCTGCTCAGGCAGAAACTCCCAAGAAATGCCTGACCTCGCGAACCTTACTGGTAAGGCGCTTGGTCTCAGCCGCATCTTTATGGCGGCCAGACAATCCCTGGAGCGCCTTGTGAAGGCGTACCACGCTCTCTCCGTACATCCCGGCCTCTTTGCCGGTGATGATGAACGGCTTTCCTGCGACGCCGTCAACGACCTTCTGGAGGAGGGTCATCAGGCTCTCGCAGAGTATGGAAGTCGGGCCTCTGCAATGTCGCTTCTTCTCTTCTACCTGGTCGACCAGGTCGGAGACTTCGTAAGAATCCGCAAACAATGCAGCGAGGACGCACCCCTTCTCATCATCATCACCTGCGGTGGCATTGGGAGTAGTGCCAGTGGTGACGGCTGGCGTAGGGAGCTGTGGTGACGAGAGTGCAAGCACATTTTGTGCAGGTGGATTGGTGGAGGTGAAGCAGGAGAAGGAGGCTTCTTGTGCCGGTTTGGCGTCCGTGAAGTTGATGGCGGGCTGGCAACCACCTTGGTCGGGAACGCTCTGGATCAGGACCGGTTCCGGAGTGAAGGAGGGCGCGGTCTGGTAGGTCTCTTGGACGCAAATCTGTTGGGGTTGGGCGACGGCAGGGAGGTCGGCAACGGCAGGGAAGTCGGCAACGGCAGGGAAGTGGTTGACGGCAGGGAAGTGTGCGGCGGCGACGGTAGACAGGATGGGAGATTGAGCGGTCCCCAACATGCTTGCAAACACCTCCATGGCCTCCAGGAGGCTTGATGCTGCGGCGGGTGGTTGCTGGCAAGCGCGAATCTTCTGGCTGATCTCTTCCATCATGGCCAGAGGCCAGCAAAGTTCTCCAACATCGAAGTGGAACACGGGTGCGGTGTTCCACAAGAGAGAGCATGCTGGGCGAAGGACTTCCTCAATGACGTGAGGAGCGAGGTAGAGGAAGGTAGCCTCATCGGCCGCAGTGTAGAGGGCGTTGTAGGCCCTAGTGGCCATTTCCGACATCATGGCCACTTGTTGCAGGGCATACTGCCTCTCTTGCTGCTGTTGCTGCTCTTGCTGTTGGTGTTGTTGCTGTTGCTGCTGCTGCTGTTGTTCCTGAACTCTGGCCATCTCGGCCCTCTCCTGCTCCTTGATGGCCTCGAGCTGTGCCAGGTGCAGCTTTGCTGCCTCTTCTTCTTGCTGGCGGCGGGCGATCTCGCGGGCACCAATTGCCTGCATCTTCTGCTCCCAGCACTGGAGCTCGCCGGGAGTGAATGCCCGCTTGCTCTGGTCGCGGCGAAGTGGGCTGGTGATGAAGGGCTTCTGCCATTGTTTCTACAAGCGAGTCAACACGACACGACGAAAAGGAAGTGATGACAGGATTACATACGTGAACGAATGGCGCCCCAAGCAAGGTGTAGCGGGCCTGGCGGCGGATGGTGGAGGAGTTGCGTTGGAGCATGGTGGTGGTGTGGAAGCGAAAGATGGAAGTGAAGTATGGAAGTGAGGTGTATTGGTATAGGCGAAAGGTCAATGTTCAAACTGAACTGGTCTCGTGGTTGCAATGGTATATAGAGTATATAAGGACTTGTGGTAGCAAAGAGACTAGAAGCGTAGGTTGAAGATTGATTTTCGTCGAGGTTGTATTTGTCGCTGAGGTTGAGGGTTGGAGGGGAAGAGAGTTTAAGTAAAGGAAGAAATAGGTAGAGGGGACAAGAGAAGGCTAGTCTCACTTAGGAAGTGGCCAGTGGGAGTTTCCTTGCGTTATTATGATCGCAGGTGGATGGTTGCCTCAGCAGTGATTGTAGTGATTGTAGTGAAAGAGAAGAGTCACCTTCTGGGGGGTTGGGATTGCCCACTCACCCAATGAGAGGTCACCAGGAAGATTGCGAGGGAGGTTTTCAATTAAACTAGAGCGTTCGAGAAGAATTTTTTTTGGTTTACAGATCAATTTGTATTCGGGTTTTGGGAGGCAATCGTTCATTACATCTTGCGCCGATGATTGTAGACAGCAAGAGAGTGCACCACTGTGATTGTTTGGATCACCCGTTGAGAAAGACCTCGCCGTATGCTTGCAATTGCCTTACAAATATCTAGATCATCAAGTATCCATAATTTCTAGAGATCAGATTCATCAGAACAAGAAGAACACCGCGAACGAGTGAGAGAGCAGGCGGGTGAAAGTGTGCAGCGATCGTTCAGCCCAAACGCGCTTGGAGCCGCCTCACAGATTATACCATTGGCTGAAAAGAGTATGCATAACTCTACGTTACTACTAGAATTCAATTTGTGTGTCTCTTTTCTTTGAAGCCGTATCCAATTCCCTTCTATGGGTGATATTAGATGTATGTAGTGAATGTCATGATGCTAGTCCTGATAAGGTTAGCGCCGCCCACGCTACTCAAAGCTTGTTACCCCAGATGATCGCCCCAGGTGGCATCTGCGTCATATCGAAAAGTGATTATACTGATGGCGCATTTGGTGGTATCTGTATGTACATCTAAATCAGTCTAACATAATGTTCTTTAGCTTAAGAGCCTCCCAGCTGATCGCTGATGATTGCCGTAGAGCGCGCACAGGTCGCGTCTCCGTGAGGATATGATCTAACCGTGTAGCGTACAGCTTCCCATACTGGCGAGAACGTCAGCATATGAAGGGTGCCACTAAATTGCTTGTACCCGTTCTACAATTGAACATCCGTCGTAGCCCTACCAATCTCCAGACGTCCAACTTTGAAATCATCATGTAACCCCACATCTCCACAATGATTCCATGCGTCCTTCTTCGCAGCTATACCAATATAATGCTTAGTCAAGCCATCGGTCGGCGGTTTTCCACTTGTGGCACCTGTAGCGCTGCATCTCCAGGTTGTCGGCAAAAGTGTCAAGCATATTTGCCGGGCGATCGCTTGCCCATCATTGTTGTACTAATGTCTACCTTACGCCCCTCGAGCTTCAACCAACCAATAAAATGAATGCCTCATGCAACGTATGCATGAGGGGTCTGGCCCTGAATTTATTGTGAAGTAACTACCGGGTCCGTGGAGTTCCATGGGGTAGCTTTGGGGATAAATAGATCGGCCAGCTACATTCAAACTATACCTTCTCAATCATTTTCTACTTTTTCACATTGCCTCAGTTGCTTCAATCGCAGTCCCAATCTTCGAGATGGCTGAACAAAAGGCCGAAGACAATCAAATCGAAACAACGCGGGTCCTCCACGAACAGGAGATTGGTCACGAAACCGACGTCGTCCTGCTTGATGCCGGCGCTGCACACTTGGAGAAAGGACAATACAGCAATCTTAAGCTTGCAAAAGATGGGTAAGTTTGCTGGTGATGTGTATTAGGTTTGCTTCCTCGTGGATTGAATGTTCGATGTGGGCACCGATGATGAAATTAAGGACAGGGATTGGCTTTATCGGATATTGATGTACCCTGCTAATAGATGATTGTGTAGACACACCGTTCTAATTCCTCAACCGTCGGCAGACCCGAACGATCCACTCAATTGGTCATGGACACGAAAACATTTGATGTTGATGGTAATCTCTACCACGGCGTTCCTCGGCGACTATGGTAGCGGTGCTGGTATACCTTTGATCGTCCTCCAAGGAAAGGAATGGGGGCTATCTCCTCCTAAGGTCAATGAGTCGGGCAATTTGAATGTTCTGATGCTGTGAGTTGCGAGCGTATGTCCTCTGACTTTCTGCTAACGGAGTGCAGTGGCATCGGCGGCCTGATATGGATCGTAATATCGTCTTGGTGGGGACGAGCACCTGTGATGTTCTGGTCAACACTATCGGGTACACTCTTCACACTTGCTTGTGCCGTCACGGATAGCTTTCCTGTCTATTATGGATTCCGGGCAATGATGGGTCTTACTCTCACGGCGTATCAAGTGAGTATGGCGTTCTAGTGCTTAGAGCCTCAAGCTAATCGTTTATAGGTTGTCGGACTGGCGTGTGTTAAAGACATCTTCTTCTTCCATGAACATGCCCGAAAGCTCGGAATATGGGTCGCTATCTTCATCCTGTCGCCATATCTAGGACCTTTCTTCGCGAACTTTATAATCGCCGGCGTTGGCGACTGGCGCCCCGTAATGTGGTTGGTGTTTGCAATGGGATGCGCCGACTTGGTGCTCATCATTCTGATCTGCGACGAAACATATTATGAGCGAGGCATACCGATCGATCAGCAACCAGCTCGACCACAGACGTTTGCTGCGCGCATGTCGCGTGTACTAGGAATCTGGCAGATCCAGAACCACAAGGGCTACTTTAAGACTGGAGGACATTGCTGCAAGCGCTTGTTGTCAACATTCTTAAAACCTATCATCATCCCGGCCATGCTGTACTAGTAAGTACCAAGCCTCTATCGGACGGAAATATTCTTATCGTGCATAGTGCCATGTCCTTCATGTGGGCAGTCGGAATTAACATTACCTCCACCATCCTTCTCGAGACGCCGACTGAGGCGGGAGGCTACGGCTTTGGTCCCAAAGCAGTCGGATATCTCTATTTTACTCCGCTCGTTGCCGTCGCCCTGGGTGAAGCCTTTGGCCACGTCTTCAACGACTGGATCGCCAATCGCTACGTCCGAAAGCACAACGGTATCTTTAGACCTGAGGCGAGGCTGGTGACAAACTACATCGCAGCAGCTTTCATGATCCCAGGACTCATCATCGTCGGCCAGACGCTTGAGAAGCATCTAAGCTACGCCGGCATCATCATGGGATGGGGAATGTATGTGTTCGGAGTCATGCTGGCGACTGTAGCGATCACGGCCTACGCACTTGATTCCTATGGAAGTGCCAGTTCGGAAGTGTCCGGTCTTTTGAACTTTGCGCGAGGTTTGTTTTGCAAGTCCTTTCGTGAAATAACTTCTAACAGTGCTTAGTTATTGCTGGTTTCGCCGTGGGATATTTCCAGATGCCTTGGGGTGTCAAAAGCGGATTCGGCCTGAGCTTTGGAATTCAGGCAATTATAGTCGCGGTCGCCATGGTTATTATCGTTGTGCTTCAAAAGTATGGCGGCAAGCTGAGAACCAAAGGGGGGCCTGTTGTTTAGGCGAGTTGATGAAGGAGCAAGAGGTCCAGGATGGCAATCCCACGTTACTTATCGAACCAAAGTTAATTCTTGTAAACGGTCACACGATTTGGGAAATGTCTTGGATGATCAGTACCACGTATGGTGGTGATGGAGCAGATACAGATAGGTTCCCCCTTCACCGAATCAGAATCTAGGCTGCTTTCTTGGGTCGCGACTTGCGCTGCCACAGGCAAGAGCAAAACTGCAAATAGAAAGACAAGAACTTAAACGGCACGCTTACAATTAATCAACCGTCCAGTGAATTCCATCGTAAGGCAGACAGCTTACCTGCAGGCCGTACAAATGCGGACGACTATACCAGCATTACCTCGCGCCAAGACGAGGATATTTTCCTGATTGGTTTAAGCTTGTTTCTTGGATGGGGCCAAAACGAACGATCCCGTGTCAAACAATTCCTGGGGAGCTTCATCCATCGGCATCGCAATTTCTTCTGAGATGGTAAAGTGGAATGGATATTCTAAGGTAAATCAATTGTTTGGAGCTTGAAATCATTAAAGATTGTTGTTAACCTTCGATAACAGAATCCGGAAGAGCGTACTGTGAATGGGTATCAATTTCGAGGCCGTTACATCTCTCTAAGCATCGATGACGTTGGGAGGATCAAGGTGCAGAAGCATGGCACATCGCGATCGCGTCAATGGCTTTTGCCTAGGGTGCCCACAAGGCTACCAATCTCCACCATATGTCACCGTGCTGTGTGCATAGCAGGGATATGCTATTCCTCTTAACAAGGCAGAAGCCCCTCGTCGTGTAGCCTAAGGACCTCGCGGGCATCTCATCGCTGAGGAAGTCCTTACTCATTGCGACCATGGTAAGATAACTCTGAACGAGCGATTCGAGAAAGTGTTAACAGTTTACAGCGAGGGTTTCTCGCGACTCTGCTTCTGGCAGCGGGCGTGCCACTATGTTCAGCCTTGTCGCCTTTGTCAGTTCGGGGAGCCAGCCTGGTAAACAAAGACGTAAGACCAATTCAGATCAACGGGTTATGGTCAGTATTTCTGAATGATTTGGGTTGCCGAATTTGACAGGTCGCAAGGTACTTCACTTCGAATTCGACAACAGACGTTTACGCTATGGACTCCCTGAGGAACGAGGAAGACTGTCGTCGCGATGCTGCTTTGATGTCCAGACTGGGCATCAACACAATTGGTGTGACGGATCTGAATCCGGAGGTTGATCATGATATGTGTTTCTCGATATTCAACTCTGTTGGTATCTACGTCGTCGTCATGCTCAGGTCTATGTTCCTGCTCAGTGGCGAGCCAGACTTGAACTACGAATACAAGGAAGAGAACATGCGCAAATCTCTCGAGATCATCGACGCAATCAAGGACTACGAAAACCTTCTGGGAATAGAAATCGGTTCGTTCCCTTACCCACGGAATTTCCGGCAGAATCCAGGGATTTACGCAGACGCGCAGAAGATGGTTAGGGTGTGTATAGCTCAGTGCTTCAGAAAGGGCTCTTGAACTAACAGTAGTAGTCCCTCGTGAGAGATACAAAGCAATATGTGGCGCTCCATGCGACGCGTAAAATTCCAGTTGGGATATCTTTCAGCGCAGCGTGTGTAGACACTGCCTAATCAGCAACAATCGCTAACCACTTCGCAGATACGGGGATTACCTTGCGATATCCCACATGCAATATGCCACGTGTAACATAGCCAACGAGGAGGACAATATGTCTAGTGTAGACTTTTTTTCCTTCGTATCGATCGATTTTGCCAATAAAAATGCTACCGGGTAGGTCCTAATTATTTCCAGATCTCGCAAAAGAGAAACGGTCATTTCTAATCCAACGTGCACAGATACCGCGAGGATCAATTCACACAATTGCGTCGCAACATAGGCAAAGCAAACATAACAGTCCCGATATACTTGGGGCAATACGGTCTAGTGGTGAGTATGCTTGCTGTCTCTTAATTTCATGTGCCTTTCTCGGGCAAATTGGACTTCCAGATCTGACATATTCTGATGAACAGAATGAAAATCAAACGGTTACAAACGAGACCTTACAAGAGACTCCATACCTGTATGACTATAATAATCTAATGCTCCAACCGGCTGGACCATTGTCGGGAGGGGTCCGATGGGAATGGACGAACGTTAAATACTCCGACCCAACGGCGAATTGGGGATTGGTGAACACGGATCCAGACGGCAACGTACTCTTAACGGAGAGATTCGACATACTCCAAGCATACTTCGACTCTCAGAATACCGATGGTTGGACAGGTATGAACTTTGTTGTGCCTGAGGGGGCTCCCCGGCCCGAATGTAAGGGGGACATGTTCGTCAACACTACGATAACAGATTCTCTCGGAAGTGAAGCAACGTACACAGCCGCTACTGACTGGGAATTGCCAACGGCACCGCCACATATTTCCTCGATGATTAGCAATGGAGTAAACGGCACCAGAGGTCAGATGGTTGATGTTGTTGTCACGACACTCGTACACACGATCCGAGATAGCAAAGGAGAAATTATTACAAACGTGGAACTGAAGCCATCTAGCAGTCAAAGCCGCACGACAACTGCCCGCGGTGCTGGCAACACCAGTCCACCACCACCTAGCAACAGCGGCTCGAACGGACTCAGTACTGGTGCCAAAGCGGGTATTGGGGTGGGTGTCTCAGTGGGGGTATTAGCTATTGCAGGCGCCTTGTTGTTCTTCTTATGGAGACGAAAGCAGAAGAAGAAGTCCTCGGTCACACCAACAGATGGAGAGAAGAATGATCCAACTATCAATGGATCCGATCCCAACAATACTTATGCATACAAGAGGGTATCGGAGTTGCCATCCGAAGGGACTGCCGCGACATCAGAATTACCTGGTTCGGTCGGCAACAGGACATCTGAGCTACCAGCTCCATTAGCGACGAACGGGGAACAACCAGTCCCGATAGCGAGGAATGAAGGGCAGCCAGCTGAGTTGCCGACCGTCGAGGCGATGCCAGCAATGGATAGTAGCTTCTTGAACAGGCCAGCAGGATCACCAAGGGCGAACTGACGAAGGAACTATCTGTAGTGTTCTTTCATGTCTGATATTCCATCTTCATGTTTGCCGTCCGCGGGGAAGGGGGGAAATCACCAGTCACTGTTTGTATTTAAATCTCGCTGGAGGCACATTTTACGATACCATTTATGCGAAGAGATCAAGAAGAGGTAGGAGTGATATAGGTCAATGTTAATTTATATTGCACTTGATCTTGAGCACGCTGATGATGCGACGTGTCTACATATCATGCTACTAAATTACAATCCCCTCTCTAGCAAACCCTCTCTTTTTATAGTAATATGCCTCTATAATGATGGTAGATATTGAAATCAACCATTTCCATTTCGCTCCCACGTCAAACCTAGCGATGAATTAACTCAGGACTTCAAGCCTGCTGGCTGCGTTGATCGCTCGTCGCAAAATGAGAGACATTGCTGGTATCAAAGAGTACATAAACGAAAGCAGCGAAGAAAATGCCTTTGAATCTAAGCCCCAGGTCTAGTACTTTGCGAAATGTCTCGCTCCACCGGACGACGTGCCCTCACCATTGAAGAAGAGCAAAACAACTGGGTTGCAATCTTCCATACCTCCCAGGTTCTCCAAATGTATGGTCGCTGTATCACTACCGGAAATCTTGCATACGATATAATTCCATTTCGAACGCCCTAAACTCGAGATGCATATCCAGACACAGTCTACTTTCAGTCTTCATTGGTCAAGGCGAAGTATGTTTTCATTTCCTGCAATTCATGGCGAGTCTACACAATGCTCCCGCAAACTCGGAATGGCTGTAGTGTTATTGTAACCATCATTAAACAGCATCAATATTCTTCATAATTATTTTGCAATGAGCATGATTATGAAAATATAATTTTCGAAGTTTAATTCTTAATGTTTACTAGGGAAAGTGTGATGATTTTTTAATGTACAATCGTTTCTTGGTTGTTCACGGGAATTGAGTACTTGTTGAATCTCAAAGGTCGACTTGAAAGTTATCATACACTTCAATTTCATTAATTACTCCAGACTAGTTATTACGGAAATTGGAGATTACGAAAACTGCAATGGCGCTGAAATGAACTTGTGGATCGATCTATTGAGGCATTATCTGGGTATGAATCTAGAATCGCATGGTCTCTATCCGCGTAATTTCCTACAATAAGCCTGAGGTTGAGGTGATGACAGAACATCAGCCATAGTCAAGGCCAGCCCTACATAGCAGAAAATACCGCCAACAGAAGAGCTATTCTAGGCCCTCAGCACCAACATTAACTTCTTCTAAGCATTCAATCTCAGATCGTAAGTAATTAATTGCATCAGTATCATTCTAGATCAAATACTAAGATCCAACCAACAACCACCCAATAATCCCCACAATAAACCGCGGTCCTACTTCAACAGCTCCGGATCAGCACCCTGAATCCAGCCCTGCGCCTCATCCTTCCAATCCTCCCTCCACCTGGTGAGCGGCGGCCGGCCATTCACGAGGTCACCCGCGGTCCACAGCATCCGTTTCTTATCGAGGTCCTCGCTGACATCGTCGTCTGGGCACAGGATGTAGAACTTGTTGGCCGCGATCTTGGAGTACATGTAGTCTGCGACTTGCGAGGCGTGCCAGGCACCGTTGGGTTTGGTGGATGCTGAGCCAGGGGCGTTTCCGCTCTGGATAAATTACATTTGTTAGTTATTTGCCAATAGATGAAATGAGACTACACGGAGAGAACAAGATAACGTGGGGAGGGGAAATTGGGGTGTGGGGTACGACGCATTTTCGTGAATTGAGTTATCAGAAATCGCCACCACCGGCGGCGCGCAGAGAACCGCAATAGGCAAGAGGAAAGAACTTTTGATCGGCAATCAATAGAACCTTTTGAACTTTTCAACCCAGGTTCTTGGGAAATGATAAGCAAAACGGTCGTGCGAGTGCGTTACAATTCAGCCATCGTCAGCCATCGTATGTCTGGGCATTTTGAAACGCAAGACGACTAGAACTTCGCAAGGGCCTCGCGTACCACACAGGGTTCTTGAGGGGATGCGAAAGGTTGGGTCCTTCGCACGTGGGAGCTTGATCGGCGGGGACAAGAACCAACACCTGCGGATAGACCATCACGTAGTGGTGCGCAGGCAACGGGTGCAGGGGTTGTGAAAGGGTGGTGGGAACTGCTAGGCGACTTTGTCCGGAGTCCGGTACCAGGGTCGAATGGGGGAAGGGGAAAGGAAACTGCATGACCCGTATCCGTCATGCAGGTAATATTTTAGAAGGAGATATTGGAAAGTGTAACCTACCAAACCTGTAAAAGTCCAGCCTGGAACAAGTAAATGAACGGAGGTCTTGGTATCTTTGAGGTCGAATGAAAGATGCTCCGTCAGGGTCTTGACGGCAGATTTGGAGGCGTTGTAAGCTGCGTTTCCAGGGGGATTCGTGATTCCCTGCTTCGAACCAGTCACAACGATGGCAGATGGTGAATTCGAAGTTTGAGATTTGAATGACGGAACGTAGGTATTGAGACCATGGATAACGCCAAAGAGATTGACAGCGAGAGTCTAGTAAAGCATTAGCATGATTCTGCGAGAAATCTCTGTTGATCCTTGGTCGATTGCTTATCGCCCATTGACTTTGTCACTCCTTCCAATCAATCATGAATCATGCGTATATCAAGAACGACATCAGGGTTTACTGATATTCGATCTTTGCGGCACGATCTGTTGCGCCATCCTTATTGTCCGTGGGGAGGCAAGTCACGTGGGGGTGACATTCATCTTCGACTTTGTAGCACAACTCACAGTCGGAACTGCCCATACGTGACAATTCCGCTCTTCAATTGCATGAAGACTTACCTTATCGAAATAAGCGTCATCGCCCCACGTGCCTTTAACTTGCACACCTGCATTCAACATCAAAAAATCGACAGGGCTTCCGAATCTCGTCTCGACCTTGCCCTTCAGAGTCTTCCATTCGTCCTCCTTGCTGACATCTGCCTGGAAAATCTCCACATCTGAATCTTTGCCTTGCAATTGTGCCTTGGCGTATTCGAGCGTATCTTTGTTGATGTCAACGACTCCAACACGCATGCCGTGCTTCAAACAGAGCTGCGCGACCGCAAATCCGATCCCAGAACTGCCACCTGTGATGAGCGCAAGAGCGTTGGCACGGAAGACGGACATTGTGTAATCAGAATATCTTCTTTCTTGCCAATTCTTGCGGGTGTGTAGTAATCTTGCGTACAGCCGTCGGATCCGACTATGTTCAAGCAGTGACAACAAGGATCGACAGTCAATTACGACGTCAATGGGGCTCTGCGATTGATCGTTCTCTTTCGGTATCCTTCCGCACAGTCGCAACAACTAGTACGAATGATTGACTTGGATGTTGAAACTCCCGAGGCGGTCCGTTTGCGGGCTAGCGTGTCTGGAGGTTCGGACTTGCTGTGGCGTGTGGAGACCTTTACGATAAGGCTGGTAGGAAGCTAGGATTTCAGAATTCCGATTCGGTACCCTTTCGATAGATGTTGAAATGCGCTCGTTGAACCGTGCTGTTAATGGGGCAATTGAGAAGTGTGAAGGAGGTTTGAAAGCGTAGATGTAGGAGAGATGGACGATTAGAGTGGTTGACGTAGTTCGAACCCCACTTCTCTGCCGTATTTGTCAAAAGCCGCCCTCTATCTCCGATCTCTCCGTGCATTTTGCTACAATGAAGAAGATCGTGAGAGTATCATGTTGTGACAGAACCAATTGAGCATTATGCACCGAGTGAGGCTTATTCGCAGGGCTGGCGTGAGATTTTGGTGGCAACAGTACACGAGGAAACTTGACAAGATTTAGAAAGTAGAAGCACGCGCAACGTAAGCTAGGCATGGTAATTGTTTTAAAATGTCTTTGGTATTTCATGATTAATGAACGTGCGTAAGGTTGTACATGGACCGAGTCATCGTAAGTTGATGCTTACGGGGTATCATTGAGCACACTCTGTGTGCCAATCAAGAACCATCCTCCAAATGATCGTGGTATCATGGATAGAAAATGGAAGAAAAAGATAATGTACAGAAGAAAATGACAGCCCAAATGCTGCGGAAAAAAAGACCAGAGGGAAACTCTTTGGTGTATTAGCTTCCGGTGCGCCAGCCCAATGCAAGAGAAACCGTGAAACCATGCTGCTACTAACGAAGAAATACTTGATCCATTGCTCGGGGCGATAGCATGATTTCTAAGTCCATGCTCTGCATGCTCTTCCGCCTTTCGAATGTCCTTGCATGAGGAGAAAGCATAATTGGGAGATGCATGCTGTGAACGCTGCCTGGGCTATGCGGAGTTTTTGGCGTGGCCGGAGAGGGTTGTGAAAGGATGAGGCTCAAATCGGTCTTGGAGGATGTCTCGCTGGTGGGCGAACAGGGTTTGGAGTCGTAGTGCAAAGGGAAAGGCGTTGTTGGCAATGCCTTCATGCGAGTGTGAGGTACTGTAGGGTCGGGATGGCTTGTCGGCTTCTCACGGTAGGGGATTTCCTCGATATCGCGATGCGTCTTGCGCCACGTTGCGCGGCTTTCAACTTGTGGGGTCGATCTGCCACTATTGAGGAGCTGTAACTTCGGAGTGGCAAGGGTTGTTCTGTCATCGATGTCCGGCTTGGTGAAGTGGCAAATCGTCTCATACACAGATGGTATGCACGTGATTGTGATCGAGAGAGCGATCTCGGTTATGCTTGTAGGCCATCAGTGTTGGGTTTCTAAAGGCCTTTGGGGGTAAGTCTTACATGAGTGCCGTGTGCGGGATCTGAGCACCTGTCAGATCATTGGTTTGCCAGGACTTGACTCGATAAATGGCCCCCAGCAGGCTGCAGATGCAAAGTCTAGACTACGTTAATAGTGTTCGTCAAAAAGGAACGTAGAACTTACATTATCCCGGCCCCATATATGCCATAGACACCACGCTTTTGGAGAGTCGTCAATCGCAATGTTGAGATTAGAGGGAACGGAAGCAGGAGGATGTAAACATTGGCGGCTGCATTGAAGGCAGTGGTGAGATTGGCCATGATTGCGTTTGCTCCATTTGGCGATGTGCACTGCGCACGATTGAGCGCTTGGAGATAATTGATGGTGTCGGTACCATTCCTCGGGGTGCATGACATGGTGATGACGATCGTATAACTGGAGAAGATGATTCCCGTGATGATAATGCCAACGTACACGCAGCTCTTGAACCACCGAACATTATCGAATATGTTCAGAATGAACATGAACAAATTAAGTTTGAGAAGCCAAAAAACAGGACCGAGGGTAATCCAGAACGACATCAGGCTCTGCGAATGAATTAGTGGGCATCATACTGTTGAATAGTCTCTGACACGAACCTGAACATCACTCTTAGACACCTCTGTCCGCACGATATCCCACGAGTGGTGTCCATTAGGACCTTCTACGACTTTGCACTTGTTAGTAAGGAGATTGACATGGTAGAGCTCATCCACTTACTGGCAATTGAGAAGCATGTGACAGCAACACATAGAGCCTGCACAGGATTAGTGACTGCTGCTTGGAGATACTTTCACATTGAACGTACGCAAGTGAGGCAGAAGATATCTAAAGCCTATTAGTATGAAGGAACCACCAAGAACTTCGCCATGTACTTACATTCTTCGAAACGCCATTTACCGAAAACGATGACACGCGAGTAAACGCGGCCAGCTGCTGAGAAGATGATGAGGAACAGAGCGATGGGAGCAACTACAATTACAGGTGTTCCGAGAAATTCGGGGTTATCGAAATTCGCGGAGACACCCTAGGTGTGATGTTAGTTGTTGAAGATAATGTTCATACCAAACAACGTACCGGAGGTGGAAGTCTTAGAGGGAGTTCCATGGGCGCATCTCCAGGACTGGCGCGATGGGCTCTTAATGTGTTCGGGAGTCAAGGGACAAGTGGAAGTTGGTCCACTAGTATGATGATGGCGTAGGATTTGGATGCTCGCTGCTGGGCGCACACGAGGTGGATACACGTGGCTCGGCGTTGCGGCGAACGGCGGCGAACAACGATAGCTCGTCAGTCGAGCTACAATCGACCATGCGGTCGTGGGGAATGGGTCTTAATGAGTCTTTGCGATATTGAAAGGCAAGACTCCTAGACGCGCAGAGGAGGTAGTCGCTGAAGTCCTGCAGGTACAACAGTTTGATCTTCCCGTTACAATCGTCTCAACCTTCGTTTGACCTTAACAGAATCGGGCGGCCCGTCAGACTGGTAGTCGCAAGACGCAGTGTGGCGGACGGACAAGATGTCTCTACAAAACAGACCAGGGTTGTCCGTTCCAGACTGGGACCGCGGCTACCTCTGTGATGGTATACTTATACCGGGGTTCGTCAGCAACTCTGAATCCTAGTCTATCCTGCGATGGTGACCAGTGATTGTAAATGCTCGTAAGTAGACCGTCTGGTGGAGAACTGGGAGGGATACTGCGTGTAGATAGGACCTGTTGCTTCAGGACAGTCGCACGCTGGGATTCACGCCAGATATGAGCAGTAGTATGAACAGTTATCTTGCCCTTCCATCTCCGGAGGATGGGATCCTTGATGACTTCCCGGAATTGACGCATCTAGGTGGAGGCCAACTTTTGCAGAGCGGCGGAGCCGACCTATGGGATGCTAAGAGCCGTGTGATCGAATACGGTCAAAAACGTGGAGACCGGGGGCTAAATTGGCAAAGCCTCAATCCCACATCATCGAGTGGCCTTGCTCGGTAGGCGGTAGAACTCCACCTGTGCCCTGGATTATTTGTGTATATGTATAGAACTCTGGCTAGTGCCAGATCTGTACATTATGACGGTTACTATCAATTACCAACACGAAAGGTCAATATTGACAACAATGCTGTCATGATCTGGCTAGCCGTCCTCACGGCTCACGATAGCAGTCAGTCATCTGGTAGGGGATCTCGGATTTACTGCAGCATTAAAATGGAGGACCACGAAGATTATCCAGTGGCCAATAAGTCTTGGAAAGCTCTGCCAGTGTCCGAATGCCGCGTAAAACCATGAAGTGGTGTGGGTAATTGGGAGGGTGTCAATGAGGGACTTGGGGTTGGAAAAAGCAGCCGAGGTAAGAGAGACTGCTGTCATGGAGGGGTCTGTAAGAGCCGCTCGGCGTGATAGAGCAATGGATATTCGCTTGATTAACACTCATTTGGCGAATCTGTAAGTCGTAATCGTGATGGTGTCGGGGATTGAAAAGGATAGTGTGCTGCTCTACATGTCTACGTATGCCCGTGGATTGATGAACACCGAGCGCTAGGCCTATTTTGGCGCACCGAACCCTGTCATCCCAACTGTAAACCCACGACTACTTGTCCGTTACCATCGACATTATCAACGCCTCAATTGTTGTATCTTTATTGAACAGCCCATAGCTCATTCTCTCGGTCTCTCTAAGTTGCAGTTATGTCCATCTACATCTCCATAATTTTCCCTCCGCAAGCCTTTGTCCTGTAGCGATCACCGAGGGAGCTTACATTCGGATCCTCGTACGAATACGTGACATACACAGTAGTCGAGATCCTGGCAGCCTGACGACAGCGCCTTCTCTTACGCCGCGTCCTCGTAAAAGGTTACATCTATGTGATTCAGAGTGCCTTATCCTCCTTCGTCCCCAAGGGGGTTGTGGTGGGGAAACATGGCGGACTTTGGCTTATTGGCCATGTCGAAAGACGAGCGCGGTTCGCCCCGTCGCAAAATGTGCCTTGTAATCTGACTGACCAATGACAGCCCGCAGCACATGCAGCCTTTCGCGCAGCATCTGTTTGCACCGTTTGAAATACGGAACTCTTGGCCAAAGTCGAGGTGGAGTAAGATTGAGGATTCAGCAGTCGTGCACGTGTCTGGTCGAAGACCGGCTTCTGGAAAGAACGCACTGCCTGTGGTTGTTTTACCAATAACACCAAAACCGCAAGGCTGTTGCTGTATTTCCCACCCCATCCCGTTTGTTCGCTTCGACACTGGCATGGTTCCAACCACGCGCCGGACTCCATCTCATAGGCCTGTAGTGATGATTTTGATTGGCTCCATACCGCCCAGCCACACTCTTGTACTCGAGAAGCGCCGACAACTTCAGGAGGCAGTCCTCAGGAGACAGGAGAGATGAGGTTGTTGATATGCCTGCATGTTTGATCGTCTGAAATATAACTCTCCCGCAAGGGGTCGAGTCTGCTAGTCCAAAATCCTCCACGAACCGCCCATTAAGCGGCCACATGCAAGCTATCACCAGAATACCGAACCCTTATACAGCGGGTAGGTACTCTTTACTGCAGGCCACTATGTGGCTTGCATGTGTTTTATTTTCCGCTACAGGTCCAGATGCAGGTAGGTATAGATGGTCATTGGACCCGTCAGAGGCATGCGATGATATAGAAGCCCTCTGATGCCTCTTCATAGCGCTTCCCAACCGCTGCAATGTAGCAGAGATATTGATCTGCTCCCTGAATTCACTGACATGCAGTATCTAGGAACAGCCAAGGGATATTGAGTAGCAGGCATGTAGCGAATCCAAAACAAACTATCGCCTCATCATATCCAGAAACAAAGGTCCCACGAAGTATCGCCGACGATCTTTCCACTGTTGAACTCAATTTAGATTCGTTATCACCATACCTTTGAGGAGTACGCTCTATTTGCGCAGTATCATGTAGCGCTCTCGTGCGCATTATGATCGCAGAAATGCGAGCCAGAATCTTCAGCACACTTCTACTTCTCCTGCGTCTGCCTAGCACAGGAAAGTCCGGCGGCTCAGTGAAACCGCCTTACAAACATGCTACAGAGACGTGACTGCGATTCTAGAGAAATGCAAAGTTTGATTCTGTCACGGACCTATCTCAGCCTGGATCAATACACCTTGCTCCCTTCACTGAAGAGAATCGCGAGTCCTGTTGACGACTTAGACTTCTCCCAGAACCATCTCTGCTGTCCGCCACGGGCCTCGGAATAGCATGGAGTGCATAGCCAGACGCCTTTGTGGAGGTCTTCAGCAATTCGTCCGTCGCGATTCATACGTCCAGGAGGAATGACCCATAGGCCAATGGGGACGACATTGATTTCTGGTGAATAGGGAAGACACTCGCACCAAAAAGGGTGGAATAGGTCCCTTGGGTTCATTTCAGACTCATCTGTTGTTTATGACATGGACTCTGCCTGCGGAGCAGTGAGTTAATCTAACGGCTCAAATCGACAAAGCTGGACCAACATCCCGTTTTTAAAGGTAAATAGTGGTAGAGGGCGGGCCGTCAAAAATTCGTTCGTGGAGAAAGTCGCAATGGTCTATCTTACGCCCCATGCAAGCCGCTACAGAAAATGACGCGTGCAATAAGCACCAAATCCCATCTGGTGAAGGCAAATTTTGCGATGCAAGCTACTGTGTAGACACAACAGACTAAACGTTATAGGATGTTATTGAGAGTTTTGAAAGGCTATACTAGCTGTTCTAGGTGACGTTGGTCGATTTTGTACGTTGAATGTTGACCCTCGGAGGGTCCGCATCGTACATGGCCGCTGGTTTATAAGTAATCTCGGGTGAGATCCTCCATTAGACCGACATGCCGTACCGCTTACCCAATCATCAAATGAACAGCGACGACAACATTTTGAAGGATTCACATCACATAGGGTAATTGCGATGATAGTAGCTTCGGTCCAAAGTGTCAACGAAAGGGCGCGCGTTGTACATAAAGGTTTCTTCCTGCAAATTTGTGATCTAGAAGACTGCAATTGACATTCAACTACTCACTAATATGCGCTTCTTACCAACAATTGCTGCCTTAAGTGGCATCGCATATGCTTCTACAGACCCGACGTCTAATCCATTTGACGTGTTTAAAGGCAGCTCGCTGAATGCATCCGATGCCGTCACGGTCGACTTGGGCTACGAGATTTATCAAGGTGCTAGCAATGCAACCACAGGATTGAATGTGTTTCAAGGGTACTTTCATCCGCGATTGTCTGGTAACTCTACTAATGTTCATAGCATTCGATACGCTGCAGCCCCTGTTGGGTCTTTGAGATGGCAAGGTGAGATCGCCGTTTCTATGAGTTAAGATCTATTCTAGGCTAACCATGGGTAGAGCCACAAACACCAGTGACAAACCGTAACTCAGTAATTGCAGCCACATCGTATGCTCCTTCCTGTCCACAAAGCCCAGCAAGCAATGGATATGGCATCAGCCTGTTGCCTAGCAGCGAAGACTGTCTTTTCCTGAATGTATATGCGCCTTCTAATGCTTCAAACCTGCCCGTCTTAGTCTGGATCCACGGTGGAGGATACGGCGTTGGCGATGGTGCTGTGGATTTCTCTTCCATCATCAATGCGAATAACGATGGTTTCATTGGAATCTCAATCCAGTATCGTGTAAGTCTATAGCGAGATGCTCTCATACTCAGCTGATCGGCTGTAGCTTGGTGCTTTCGGATTTCTTTCCTCGGACGAAGTGTTCCGAAACGGAATTGTCAATGGGGGTTTGCTCGACCAGCAATTAGCTCTCAAGTGGGTTCAGGCATATATCCACCTCTTTGGTGGAGATCCCACTCAGGTCACCATTTCTGGTGTCTCAGCTGGGGCAGGATCCGTTATGCTACACGATATCGCGTACGGCGGATCCTTGGGGACATCGCTCTTCACGAATGTACGCAATCAACAACGAACTCCTTTTCAAGACTGATCTGACAAATTGCAGTCAATTTCTGCTTCACCATTCCTACCTCAGCAACACGGATACAAAGACTGGATCCCCACTCAATCCTACTATGCTTTTGCCACGGCAGCTGGTTGTCCACCAACTTGGGCCTATGGTAACTCATCACAGACGATATTTGAGTGTCTCATTTCTAAGGACACAGACATTCTGCAGAAGGCTTCAGCTGTGATCTCCAGTTCCGGTATTACTGGAAATTGGGCATTTTACCCAGTAACTGATGGTACGCTGCTGCAGTCTACACCAAGCCAAGCTCTACAGGAGGGCCATGTCAACGGCCTCGCTCATCTATCTGGCAACAACGCCGAAGAAGGCATATACTTCGTAGCGCAAAACATAACTACTCAAGAGGGCTTGGTAAATTGGGTCAAACTATCCTTTCCCCTCATTACCGACAACGACATTGCCAAACTGCTAGAAAAGTACTCTACTGACAACTACACTGGACCTAATACCCTTCCTCGTTTTGCGACCGCTGGTGATACGGGGCTCACAGCCGTCAACGTTAGTCAAATAACCAGCGGCCAACAACAGCGAGCAAATAATATCTATGCCGAGTCAACTTTCGTGTGCCCATCATATTGGCTCGCCGACGCATACAGCAGCAACGGGAAAAGCGGCTACAAATATCAATACTCTGTTCCCAACGCAGCGCATGGTGCAGATACACCTGCTTACTTCGGTCCGCCTACACCTAATCTTGGTCCTGACTTCGTGCTGGCTGTGCAGCATATTTGGGGCAACTTCATCATCAATGGAAATCCTTCAATTCCAGTCGAGATTGCCCGTGGTTCCAGATCAAATGCAACATCATCTCCTGCGGACGAATTAGCAAATTGGCCTCAGTTCACGCTCGAAGACCCGAAAATGGTGAATCTGAATGAGACTGGAGGGACAGAGTATCAGATTGATTATACGAACTTTGGGTTTCCTGGGGTCATCGTCATACAGCATATCGATCCTGGCTTACAGAACAACCTGCGAGTGGTTGATGCCAATGCATGGGAGGGAGGACGCGGTTCCAGGTGTAACTTCTGGAGAGACAATGCGGTTTCCAATCTAAGATAAGGCGAAGAGAACATTTATAATATAGAATATATAACTATTGTATAATAATCGATACTTTAAATGTCAAATCTATCTTGTTCATTGCGTTATCGCGAATTCAAACACCGCCAAACGCCGGATTTCCCGATCCAGCAAACCCGGCCGATAAACGGTGCAACTACCGAAACTTTCACGCAACATCACCCCAGCACACCGCACCACGCACAACAACACCTCCCACCTCCCCATCCGCCATCTCTGGTCCCCAAAGATGAACACAATCGCCCCCCCTCCGCAAATAAAGCGGCTCCCTCCCAATCGCCGCGCCCTGGGCATCTTCCTCGGCTTCGTGGGCGGCGGCATCGCCAACGTCGCAATCGGCTACGCTGGCTTCCAATTCTGGACGCGCAAGACGACCTTCGTACCCTACGACACCACCTCCCCCGACCTCCAGACCCCGGTAGCGCGCGCACACAACCCCAATGGCAATCCCCCGGTCTGCATCGACCATGCCGTACGCACGATCCCGCTCTCGCAGCTCAAGTCGCAGGACCAGAAGCAGTTGACGACAGATTTCTGCAGGGGCGTCTGGAGCGGATTAGGATACGCGTACCAGAGGAGGTACTTAGATAAGAAGTACAGGTCGCTGGAGGGCAGGACGGATCATCTTTGGGATAGGGAGGAGCTTGGCAAGAGCGAGTATGCTGTTGGCACGAAGATCACAGATCATTTTGAGGTTGTGGAGCACGATGACTCGAAGGTACGTTGTTGGACGATGCCCGAGATGGAGAAGTGGGAGAGAATATGCTGAGGAATTTGTGCTAATCAATTGGTTGTGTAGGTCATCGTACGATGCGGCGATTCACCTTTTAATGCGGGACAACGACCCAGCGATGGATTGTTCACCATGGGAGTCACCAAGGATGAGGAAGCTCAAACCGCTACGTTCCACCTCAAGAGCGTATTCATAAATACCACACCCGAGGGCAAGGACGCTCAGCCACTGCCCTGGAGGTTCCAGTTCGCACATCGCCTGTATACCAAGCTTTGGATGGAGACGGCTGTGAGGAAGTTGTACAAGTAAATGGAGATAAGCGGACAACATAGTTCTAGAGTGTGGATTATACTTGTAGATGCCATAGATGGGAATACCCTTCTCTCGGTAAAGCTTTTTATCATGTATATATGAGGCATTTATAATGAGTTGTACCGCCAGACCATGTCCATTTCCTCACACACCGCACTCCGCGTCAACGCTGGAAACATTTTGGCAGATCGCTGTGTTTGTTGGGTGTATTGTTCATGCATGTCTTTGTGAAACCACTATTTCCCTGGATGCGCCACCCCCGCAAGACCGGGAAGCAGGATCATTTACCCCCTTATATCTCTGTTTGGTACTTCAGGGTTTACCTTCGGTGTCCAAGGAAGCCTGGAATTGGGACAGTCACGGAGCGCCAGAGAATTTCTCGAATACAGGTAGATCATTGGAGAGATATTACAACATCGATTTCAAAGTTGCGAATTGTGAATTTGAAAGGTCACTCAATAAGAAGGTGGCGAGGCGAGTCAGCCCGAATGCTTGTTTGAGCGAGAGTGATTGCAACCTTTTGGGATAATTCCTTTCAGGTACAAATGAAACTCCTCCAATAGAGAAAAACAAGATGCATGACTTGCCTAGAAAATCCTGTGAAGAGTTTAGTTTGATGCATTTATCGACAATCCTTTACGGCTGTTATGGTGTTTAAAATAATGTGGTGAGCTAGGTACCCTACCCAATGCTGATACGTTTGTCTCACATCAAATGAATGTTCCTTTGTTTGAGAAAGGCTATGGGTAACAGAATTTTGTACGAGGGCTTAGACAAGGAAAAGTTTCGGAAGCACTGAGATGCGTCTGTAAAATAGTAGCGAAGTCGTTGTAGCAATGGAACACTCATCACAACTCCAAATATCCCGATGCTTACCCAACAGAATCGACAAAAGCCAAACGAATAACTGAAGACCTACCATATCGACAAGAATTGAGTATCCTCACGGTCAACTTCCGTCATTCTGTGCGAGAGTGAGTGCACCAGACCGTGACTACTTAACCCGGAACGGGAAGTTTTGCCAAGTGGTCTTACACTAAATTTCGTCTCCAATCGGTTGGCACAGACTACAGACGATATACGGCATTCTCCCCTCCTTTAACCACAGTGTGTTGTTGGTTGCTGTAAATCGCGTCAGTAATAACGCGAAAAGTTTGCAAATGGCGCTTCACGTTTTGGGCACGGAGCAAGGAAGCGGTTCATGATGATTGTAGCCTTCATTTTCGTCAGGCTCGGTAGCACTCAGTCAACCACCGACGTCCGCGCGGCGCAGTTCACACCGTGCTAGCAAGCATCCGGTATTCGATGTAAGCACGAGCCATGAGCGGCTGAATATCTTCTTCATGTTCGATAAGAGCTTTGAGTTACAGTTGATTGAAGTGGTATTGGAAGCCTTATCACAGATAGAAACTCACCGGAGGTAAGACAGGCAATGCGTTCGGCACAGTTCAGAGGATGAGCGTTTAGTTTTCATTACTGGCTTAATCATAGTCATGTGTGGGTATCATGGACGACAAAAAGGTCGTAACAGCGGCAAGGAAATTCTCAAGCCTTCACTTCACTCCCCGTACTTTAAGCTCGGCGGTGCTTGTTGCTCGACGCATTCGGGAGGTGGAGACCTGGAGCGCCCGAGAGTCACCATCTTGTCGCTCGCAACGGGTGGCTTGGGACGGAGGTAGCAGCGGCCTGAATGCTCCAAGAAACCTTCTACTGGAGTCCCCTTCGTTATTTCCTCCAGAAATACGTACTCGACATCATCAAACCATTTGTGCCTCCAGGGACACCGTTCACCCTCTTCGCAGCGTTCGTAAGTGAAGAACGTTTTGAAGCACAGACCGAGTTCCCATCGCAAAGTGCAGCCGTATTTCTTAGGGTTTGTTTTTCCGTCGGTCTTTACGCCGTTCACATAGATCCACTTGCTAGGTGCAAGTTTCTCGGTGCTCATTAGGGTCTTCGGGATTTCGACTTTTGACTTGGCGAGACGGTTGATGCGAGAATCTGGGTCGCGAATGATGTCGACTGAAGGTTGCTTTGGTTGGAAAGCCGTCGGAGCTTCTAAACATATGTGTTAGCAGAAGTCGGTGAAGCAAATGTATCGCGAATCACTTACTGCCATCTCTCGTAGAAAACCTCCGAGTTAAAGTATGGGCTTCTAGTGTACCTGCAGGGGCTTTGCGGCGCCATGGCGGGGTAGAATCCGACTTGGGCTGAGTTGGCTCAGGGACATTGGCGTTTTGACTGCCTGAAGCCGATGGCGAGAAATTTGTTGTCGAATGGTGTGATACCGAATGCGTTTGGGTTGCCATGGAGGTCGGTACCGGCGAGTGCCTTGTGTTCGCTGGTGGAGTGGACGAATATGGTAACAGAAGGTTATGACTTGGCAAGAATGGATCGTAGCCCTTCAGATCGTCGAGGAATTCTTCAGCCATCCTCATAATAATCAGCAGGTGATTTAACTCCGGAAATCGGAAAGAACGTACGTACTTGGACAGATGCTAGTTACAAGTAGGGTTGTCTTTGAGAGCCTGAAAAATCTTCAAGAGGGGCGAGTGAGATAAAAGAGGGAGGGTGAAAAGATTTATACGTGGGTTCGTGCGCGATAGAGACAGGGAATGATTCAAATCACTCGGAAGCGGCAAGCCAGGCAACAACGGGCGGGACAAAGGTGAAAGATGTTTGTCTCGTCTGATGACTGTGGAGGGTGAGCAACTTTAAGTACTATTTAAACTAAGATTTACAATGCAAACAATGACGAAAGGTGCTGACACAACGCTGTTCTCTGGCTGCTGTAACGATACAAACAATGCGATGCCCGACTGGTTTTTTTTATCAATGTACACAAGAGGAAGATGAATTCCAGTGAACGTCACAGCTTTCACATCAACTATGCAACTGTGGATAATAAAACTCTAAACCTCATTATTTCAAAGTATTCAAATCTGAGGCTCATGCCCCACTCCCCATAGAATATACAAAACTTAATGTATTTTTCTCAAAGAATTAAGGTCATTGGCCTTTCAAGGACCAGTCTTACCTATGCGTTCAATATATCTCTGAGTGTTGCCGCCATGATTGAAAACTGTTGCATCGAATCCTTCTTGCATGGTATATTTCTCTTGTAGACATAGTTGTTTTCAGTCCCCAGGACAGGTGAGTGGCCTACGATTTGACCGCGAAGATTTTGAAAGAACCTGATAGGTGTGAGTGAGACGTTACCTGAGAGCAAAGACACCTACCAGCCCACTCGTTAAGATCAATATTCGCAAGACTCCGATGAGCGCCCACATCATCGGTCGTTGTTGGATGAAGTTCAGAGCAACATGGTGTTGCTCGCACCGTCCCAGAAACAGATTCTGCAGTTGATGAGCCGCAGCAGCCTGAGGCTTGCTCAATCTCCTGGTTTCTTTCAGATGACATGTCAATGTACACATTCAGATCACTCTCCGTATCTATAATTGCGATGTCTATGCTGGTTAGCTCAGATTGTGGCCTGCAAATTTGAGTGCGTACCACTAAATCCGTTCTCGGCTAGAAACCGTTCATAATCTTGCTTTGGACTGCATCCAGCCACACAACCTACGTAGGCCGCAACGCTCTCTCGAAGCTCTGTTGGAAACGGTTTTCTCGCGAGAATGTCCGAAACAGCAACTCGTCCGCCTGGCTTAAGCAATCGGGCAATCTCCGTGAAAACGGCCGGCTTTTCAGCCTCGGGCACCAGGTTGATGACGCAATTTGATATAATACAGTCCGCGATAGTGTTTTCAAGTGGAATGGACGTGATTTTTCCCTCGATGAAGGACACATTGTTTGCGCCTCCCGACTTCTGATGGTTCTCGCGAGCCCGGGCAAGCATGTTCTAAACCAGAAAATAGTGGTTTAATAGTCTAGTGGCTATTAGAATCTTAGATTAACTCACCTTGTTCATGTCTACGCCAATGGCACGACCATTCTGGCCAACCTTCTTCGCAGCAAGAAAGACGTCAAACCCCGCGCCGCTGCCGAGATCAATCACTGTTTCGCCCTGCAATTAAAATGACTTAGTCTACATCTATGCAAGGTGTGAGTTGAGGTGACTCACTTCACGAAGGCTCGCTATTGCGAGAGGGTTTCCACAGCTAAGACCAAGATTGGCGTCGCGAGGGATGCTCTTGAGTTCCTCTTCGGTGTAGCCGAATGCTTGCGCTATGGCGCTAGAATGTGAGGGGTTTTCGGCTTGAGCAATGGAACCATAATGGGCTTGAACTTGCTTGTATACAGTATCAGCGTTCATCTTGCTAAGAGTGTTGATATGTCCGATGGTAGATTGCTCGAGTATGGAGAGTAATAGTTGGGTGTTGCGAAGGTACTTATGTATGTATGCTGTTTACAATACGTCGAAGAGAGACACAGGGAGCCTTCTGAATTTATTCTTGGTCAAGATGGCCGTGTTGACGATAGTATGTCATCATTGAAGGTTGCGATATGTGTTTCTACTGTTTGTGACTGTAGTATGTCACTACGGTATGTCATCGGTATTCTTGGCATTGAGGGGAAGACTCTTCGGAGGTCATCACCTTAATGCAACAAAGTACATCTCATGAGAGGTATAAAATTGAAACACATATGATTGTAGAGACTAGATATTTATTTGTGTACTTCGAAGGATGTAATAAAGTCACAAGCTATACAGACTACCGTCTGATTCCAATTAATCCCGGGGCTATGAGATTTCGGCAAGGACACTGATCAAGATCTTGTTGTCGATACGACAATGCTGAGGTGATAAAGCACAGAATTTATATCCCACTCGAAGTTTGAGGTCCAAGTCGGCAATGCTGTAACCTTTGAGGTTGTTCTTGAGAACTAGCGAAAAGGCCGACGAGCAGAGAGTTGTCGTATTTGATATATCCTCTGTCGATATGACGAGACTGGATGCTTCTGCTCCTAGAGTATTCATTGTAGACTGAATAGAATCCGCGACTTCAATATCTGTCGGCAGTGACTCCCAAACAGAACTTGAAGTATTCGGAAAGTCGAAGGGCTCCCATGACTGAGCCACATCTACTTGCGTAGAGCTTTCAAAGTGTTGTAGAGCATCTATTGAAGCCTCGGAATCACCGCTTGGTAAAACATGTTCGTGTGCTATCTGTCGTTCGTGCGTTGCGGGTAGTGTAAGTTCAGACTGAATGAATCAATGTTGAAGCCGGTTTACAGAAAAGAGATCCACACACCTGCAACATCTCCAAATCTAGAGAGGAAGAGGAGTAAGCTTTGGGTTCACACAAGGTTTCGTTGCCTGCCTGGGCCCAGGGAATATCTGAAGCAATCTGGGCAGCCTTGCTATAAGCCTTAATGAAATCATTGCCCAGCCCTAAAGACTGCAACAGTCGCTTGAGGGATTCATTTTCTCTACTCAGTAATTGCAATCTTGGGTCAGTAGAAGATTGGCTGTTCGCGGTTTCGTACTGGCGAATCTTGTCTTCAAGTTCCGCAATGTATTCTTTCTGTCGAGCGCGACACCGTCGCTGGTTATTGCGAATGCGCTCAAGATTTATAGCCTGACCTGGAGTCAATGATTGATGAAATCTTTGGAACAGCAACAGTGACCTCACCTTTGTCCTTGTAGCTGAAGCCGTACTGGCCTTGTTGGCCGACATCTTGCCTCGCTTGTACGCGTCACCCAAGTTGACGTGGTTGACGGGAATTGTCTTAGAGCAATATTACAGAATGTTGATCTTTAAAAATCTGCGAAAGGCACGGCATAGGTTTATTACCTTGGAGGTCAATGAACCCGCAGATACATTGCTCAGCTTCTGGACAACGAAGTTGGCGGGGTGCTCACGTGACATCAAAGTCATTGAGATCTTGACCTCTCGCGATCGCTTCCTACACCGTCATTCTTCCTCCCACGATCAATCATTGGGTGCTGGGTGACAACAACCGGTGGGGTTGTAGCAAACATTTTCTTGATCTGTAAAGTAGATAGGTATAAGGATGGTTTTCAACACATACAGCAACCTGTTCTCTGCGACTAGCATTACTTCTATGTCGCCGGGTACTAACGGAAGAGCTTATCCTGTTCTGCTATGTTCATGGCATCTTCCCAGCATTCACTATCCGGCCAGCCTTTTAGTTGTACGCAGTACTGTTCTTGCAAACCCTGGCGAAATATGCTTGTTCTGTGGGCATAGACAAGTTCAAATCCGGAATGTTCAGTATGCCCGTGATCCTGGCTGCCTGGTTCGAAACTTTGTGTACTCACTCTCAACCCCGCGCGCTAAGGCGTTTGGAATGGCCCGTGGACCTAAAAGGCCGGCCTATCATTATGGGCCGACCTTTGGTCCCGTTTTTTTCGTTCTCTGTAGCTTGTATTCGGCAGAGAGCTGTACGGCTTTATGGCTTTACGGCATTATCTCTGGAAAGGTTCAGTGGACGGTTCGGCTGGCATGAAGAAAATTGTAGTCAAGTGGTACGATGCGGTGGCCGAAATCATTCATTGCAGTGCAAATGCCAATATATATGTAGTTGCCTGCTACATAGCTACATCCAGTTTTATTTCATCAAACACTATTTCTTAATACAAGTTATCGTTCACGCTCTATCTACTATGCTTATTCTAATTGCAGGCATTACTGGCTTTGTTGGCCTTCCATGTGCCGAAGCAGCCTTGGAACGAGGCCACACCGTTCGGGGTCTGAGTCGCAGCCCTGAGAAGGTCCCTGAAGATCTTCGTCGGCGATTGGAGGGATTTGAGGCGATTGAGGACATGTACGATATTGCGGCGTTGGATCGCGCTGTGGCAGGCGTTGACGCTATCATCTGCGCATATTCTTGCATCCCCGAATCTATATTGGAAGGACAATTGTTGCTTCTTAGGGCTGCTGAGCGTGCTGGAGTTAAGGTTCGAAGCCCAAGGTTATATCAGCCTGAAGATCAATTACTAAATGTTCGGCGCAGAACTTTCACGCCTCCACCTGGAACTATGACTGGACCCTTGGGTACCTGGGACAACATGAGATATACGACGCATTCATCAGTTTCTGCGCACATGTCCGGCTGAGCTCAACCATTAAGCCTCTATATATGTTTACCGGAGCGATCGTGGAATGGATCTTTTGTCGCAGTGCTCAAGACTGGGACAGTACGACGAAGACGTTATTCTATTGTGGAGATTCCAATGCTACTATTCGTTACACGACGGCTAGGGATCTTGCAGCTTATACTGTTGAAGCCGTTACATCCCCTGAAGCTTCAAAGGGAGGTTTTGTTCGCGTACAGAGCTTCGAAGCTTCGCCAACAGATGTTGTGGAAGCATACAATGCTGCACGGGCCGGGCAAGCTGTAGCACATGCGAAATGTCTGGGGACTTTAGAAGATGCAGCAACGCGTTTAGCAGAAGGAAGAGCAAATACAGATCCGACCGAGTTCATGAAATTTACGTGGGATGGATACGCGGCCTTGATAGGACGCGGTGTTTGGGACTATGAGCCGCAGGATTGTGCTCGCTTTCCTAATGTAAAGCAAACAAGTCTCAAAGAATGGTTTCAAGGACACGCAGATGTTTAGCTCTCTGGAGCAATGTTTTTAAATGTTCCTTTCAGTTGGGAAAGAATATTTTATAAAATTTTACAATAGAAGAAGATTTTTATGGAAAACAATTCTACTGGAAATACAAGTGCTTAGAATGCTAGACCTCCTGTTATAATGTAGTATCTATTAACTCCATCCGCCAATGCTTACTAGATGTAACACCCCTGCGCCTCAATTTCCTAGCAAAATGAGAGGTTTTACACCTTATAGTTGTTGCATACTTCATATAAGGCGGAGCAGAGCGTCAAGCGGTTCGGTACAGTCGAACTAGGATGGGCAAGACTTGTCGATATCTGGAAACAATCAATCTTTAGGAAATTGACTGCGAACCTCCTTAGTTATTCACAGATGAAAGTCTTCCATTATATACAAATCTATCGCTCTGTTCCGCCTGTTATCCGTGAACTATTCTGCTCTTGCCCCAGTAGTCTTGTCAAGCATGCTATAATCGTTCCTAACGTCACTGGCGAGCCTTTCTTTACATTTGCAGGTGATTATTTTACCCAATGTGCACTTTCATAAAAGCACAATCATATGCACCGATAAAAAATAACTCCCATGTAGCATTTACTACCGATGAGCAACTATACATATTTTAAGCAAGAAATCAACATCATAAACACATGATTTCCTAGCGTAGACGGCTAGATTATTGTCCTCGTATCTATGCTGACTATTCACTCGGAAATCTGATCTTGTTACTGATAGTACCAAGTTTCTCTATCGTGACCTCTATCACGTCGCCATCCTTAACGTATCCGTTCGGTGTCATGAACCAGCCCACCCCAGAAGGGGTTCCGGTCATGCATACAGTCCCCGCTCGCACCGTTCGACCTCGCGTCAGATGCACGATGATTTTCTTGATATCCCAAATCATGTCCGAAGTATTCTCATTCTGTCGAACCTCGCCATTAACCTTGGTAACTAGTTGTAACTTGTGCGGATCCCCCACTGCGTTTGGATGCACAATATAGGGCCCGAATGGTCCGAACGCGTCGAAGGATTTCCCGTAGCTCATCTGGAAACCTGAAATCTCTTGGGGGATGTAGTTGCGGGCAGAGATGTCGTTGCCCACGGAGTACCCAAGGATGTTGTCGAGGGCGGCGTCTTCGGATACGTCTTTACAGTCACGGCCAAAGATAAAGCACAGTTCACCCTCATAGTCGAGTTGGGAACGTGCGTCAGGGTGGACGTAGACCGTGTCGAAGGGCCCAGCCACTGAATCTGCTGGCTTGGTGAACACGATGGGTTGGCTGGGTACGCTGAACTAGTATTGATGTAAGTTCGGAGCATTAATACGTATTGGGCTTGTTGGGAGCTCAGGTCTTGTTGGCGTACGTACATTTGTCTCGCGTGCATGCCGCTCGTAGTTGACTCCGATACATTGGTATATTGGTACTGACGCGAGAGGGCAGAGAATCTAAACATACGGCGCAAATTAGTATGCAAGAACAGTGATGTGGACAACTATAGGCAAGTAGTACTTCCCTCTTTCACGATCTTAAAATCCCCCGTGTGCTGTAGGCCTTTTATTGGGACGCCGACCATCACAGGAACCTTTGAGCCAATCAGATCTGCGATTGGCTTTTCCCTCAAGAGATTGCCATAATAGACTTTCCCATCCTCTGCTTTGAACCGTAGGAGATATGTGAACTGAGACATTTCTGATAATTTCTAATGATGAGAACAGCTGTTGGGGAACTTGGACTTCACAGCACTCTCCCAAGATCTTGCGGCGATTTATCTTCCATCCGGGCTTGCTACTGCTAGTCGTATACCTCTAGCTGTAGACAAATGGCCGCTTGCCCCGCCCGCACACCACCCGGGGCTTTCCTCGCACTCAGTGAGGCACACTACGTAGCCAGCAGTGGTATATTTCCGTCCGGAAACGGCATTATAAGTAAAGCCCGTGTAGACGTGCCCATCTATCTCGTAGCATATATGACATAAGCCACTGCCCCCCAGTTTTCGCCATGGTCAAATACAGATCGATTCAGATTTTAGTTCAATACAAAAGACACTCTGGCAAATTACAGTAATTGACTATTTCGCACTCAAAATGAACGGCACCTTGCCAAAGATCCAACTCATCAGGTTGCTCTACACGCATTATCAGCATGTCAATCTTGGCGCAGCAAACAAATTCTTCATCGATTTCGGCCTGAAAGTGGTTCAGGAAGACGAAGAGAAGATCTTCTACCGTGGTTTTGGCGAGAATCCGTTCGTTTATATTGCAGAGAAGTCTCCCGGCGATTCAAAGACCTTCGTTTGTGGCGGCTGGCTCGTCCAATCGAAAGCGGATCTAGAAAGAGCCTCAAAGCTTGCAACTGGTTCAGCTATTCAAAAGTTTGAAGGTCCTGGTGGTGGTCATTTCGTGGACCTCCTAGATCCAAATGGTGTCAAGATCCGTTTGCACTTTGGAATCACGATGCGGCTCGAAGATGAAGTTAGGTCTGAAATGCCGAAAGCGGTGATGATGAATTCATGGGTGGACAAGCCACGGAAAGGAGAATTTCAACGATTTGACAGAGGCCCTAGTAATGTTCACAAGCTCGGTCATTACGGTCTAGTTGTGGACAAGTCGAAATTCGAAGCCACCGTAGACTTCTATATTTCAACATTTACATTTGCCAAGACTGATTCTCTATTCGACGAGAAGACTGACAAAGACATGATGACTTTCATGCATATTGATAGGGGCACTGAATTCTCCGATCATCATGTAAGTACCAAGATCCCGCGAACAATATCGTTGCCACTAAATGGGTATGTGTAGAGCTTCTTCATTCAATCGCCGCCCGAACCGGTGCCGTTTGCTCGGCCCCATCATTCAAGCTTCGAAATTGACAGTATGGACTCGCAAGTCATGGGTCACTATTACCTACAGGAAGAAGGTTGGACGAACTGCTGGGGTATTGGTAGACATCTCCTCGGCAGCCAAATTTTTGATTACTGGTAAAAACAATGGATTTACTTTACGTGCGATCCACATGCTGACAACCTTTTCGTAGGTTTGATCCTTCTGGCAATATTGTCGAGCATTACAGTGATGGCGACTTGGTTAACAGCAAAACCATTTACTCGCGGGAGGTCGCTGCACCAAATACTATGGCTGTGTGGGGACCAAATGTGTCCCTTGCATTTTTGACAACAAGAATGGAAGATTTATAAAAAAGGGCACCGATATGTCGGACGTATAGCTAGCAGCATGGTGAGGTCGCACCGTGTATACCTCTACATGGCTCTAATTGTATTTGTGCATTACATACGTAACATCTCCTCATTTATAATTTGCATTGGCCCACTCTACGTAAATGGTTCAAATGTATCAAGATTCAAATGTATCAATGTTCACAATTCTGGTTATCTCTGCTCGATGTCTAAAGTAGAAATAGACTACGTCATTTAGTAGGTGGCATTAACCTGACGATATGGGCTTATCAAAATATCAACCCAGAGGCTGAACGCAGTGCAGTACACTGGTAGTTTTGATAAGTGTTAAAAGAGAAAGGTTTAGCGGAATGATAAGTACACTTAATGTCTCTTATTTTGTAGGAGAAAGTTTATCGTTTTTTGGTAAGTTGCTCTATGGCTAACATGTCCATTATTCCTCTTTCTCTACGAGCTACATTGTGCATATATCTTCTCGGCGGCTTCGCTCGATTGTTTAGGGGGGGCTAGCCACAGCCAGCGTCCGCCCACACGGCATTTCGGTCTAAAGTGTTAATTCCGTCGTCGGCACGACGGTATTTCGATATAACGCCGGGGAAAGGGGAAGAGGTGGATGTTCGGCCACTTTCTTGTAGCCCCGCGCGATTTTAGGGTCATTATCCGATGGGGCCGTCAGCGCATCAGCCTTCGTTTGATAGGTCCGACTCCTCAAAAGCAGATTTGCGTTCACAAACTTGTCGAGTATTTTGGTTATATATAATCTAGATCATAAGGCCACCGAAATACAATATAAAGTGAATGAAACGTTCACTCGTACCATGATTATCGATCTACCTATGAAGAAAATACCATGACCGCAGAAATCCAGACTGATAACTTCAAAAACATTGCGATTGCAGGCGTAAGTGAGCTGGTTATCCCCTAAGTGCGATGCTAAATGTGAGGAATTCAGGGCACTGGTTATCTTGGGTCGAAGACCTTGTCCGCTTTGTGTGCCTCCAAGAAATACACCGTCACTCTCCTCACTCATGATCGCAACCATCGGCCATCTTCGACACCTGCAGCGGTTATAGAGGTGGACTATAGCTCTGAAGAGAGTTTGATCGCCGCACTCAAGAATCAAGATGTACTCATCTCAGTCCTGGGAAAAACGGCGATGCCACTTCAAGGAAAGCTGATCGATGCAGCTTTGACTGTTGGAGTACGGCGCATTATACCCTCTGAATTCGGGTCGAATCTACAGAATCCGAAGTCCAGAACGTACCCCACATACGCCTCGAAAGTGGCTGTCGAAGAACAGTTAGTGCGTGGATGTAGAGATAGCCGGTCTACCTATACATTTATCTATACGAATTGCCTGTTTGACTGGGCAATCTCAACTCGCGGTGCCCTCTTGCTGAACTCTTCCCTCCAAATGATTCCAGTGTACGATGGAGGCGACAATACATTCTCGGCAACTACTACAGAGACAGTGGGTCGGATCGTGGTGGCAGTCTTGGAGCACTTTAAGGAAACGGCGAATCAATCAATATTCGCTCATGATTTCACAATCAGTTCGAACGAAATCCTCAAAATAGCGCGAGAGGTCGCCAGTGACGTAGAATGGACTGTCTCACATGTTAACACTAAAGAGGCAGAGACCAGAGCCCGGATGGCCATTTCAACAGGTGTCACTTGGGAAGTATTCTATGGGTTTGCAGTTAGAGCAGCTTTTGCCCCCGGTTATGGCGGACTCTTTGATGGCGAGGATAACAAAATGCTGGGCATTGAAGTGATGAGTCGGGAGCAAATTAAAGCAATGGTAAAAAGCATTCTCGCTGAGGAAGATAGTAGCAGTAGGCAAAGGAGGATTTTATAGACGACATCCTCAATTGGTATGCGTTGGAACCTCCGTGGGATCATCTTCGTAAATCCAAATGTTTCGTGGCGTCCAAGCCCCATTGCAAAGGCAAAGAGAAGTTTTCATTAGAATTCGAAGATCCGCGACGCGATACATTACGGCTGAGGGTAGCCTTGCTTAACAACCACTAAGTGATATGATCATTTACGAGTTCATTGTCTATTATGTTCAGCTGGGGCTCGAGCATGTCTCATGTTGACCTAGTCGTGATTAAACCAGTGTTTGGATTGCGGATCCGTACACTTCTGACTGTTACATCTACTATGACGTACTTCTTTCAATGTCTCCATAATGTTGTGTTGTCGAATTTAATAATCTGGTGAGTTCTTCAACTCTTTACTGCAAGACCTGCGCAGAATGCCACGAGGCCACCAATACATGCTTCGGGAGGTAGTAAAAGAGTGCAGCTGACTATTTTAGCTATATGAAAGTGATTACACTTCCTGCTGATGAGCGCGCATCAAGAACGGCTTTCGCTCTTTTATCATGTCGATTTTCTAACTCATATGCTTAGAATATTAAAGGTCCAAGATGATAGTGGTCACGGAACTCCGAGCCCCCGAGATTTTGACTATATTAGTGAATTAACTAGATCGTGGGGACTTTCGTCGGTTAGTGCACCTCAACGGGCCACGGGGCCAATGTTTGCGGGGACAAATGCTTAGCCATCGGAAACTCCTGTAGTAATGCCGACCAATCTAGATTTTCCAGAACCCATTATATACTCTATCGTCAACGTCGCTGACTCCTGAGGTCGAACTCTCAATCTGTACGAAAGTGATGCAGGCAGAGATAGGATAACGTTACCACTGTTCCATATACGATCGAAAATGTCATCGACCCGTGACTTTGAGGAGTCAAGCAGTTCACCACAAATGAGCGATGCTAATCGACCTAAGCGAGCTTGTATAGAATGTAACAGGTGATCATTTCGCCGACATATCTACTGCATGAACTAATTATCCACAATAGGAAGAAAACAAAATGTTCGTCTGCAATCAACAACCATATCTCTATGCGCCTTACATTTGTTTGACCATCCGAAAATGATCGAAGTATGTACAACACGTCAAACTAATGTCTCCACAGGTGATATGACATTTCCTTCTTGCCTTCTCTGCGTGAGAAGAAAAACTTCTTGCACATATCCCTCGAGTCGTAAAAAGCGAGTATCGAAACGACCAAAACCTCAGGTTCAAAGCTCCACGTCGGGGGATGTCCAAAAGAAACTTGGTAAGCACCAATGGTCCTGGCCTGCACCACGGGAAGATCGTTGATACAAGCAGACAATATTCTCAAGATGCTGTCTTCGCAGAGCAGTAATGCCGAAAGCGGAGTTGTCAACAATTACACCAGAGGCGACGGCAGCTTGCCCGTTGAGCTGAATCTTTTACAGAGCTATCTAGAATCAAGTCGACCAATACGCAATAGGAGTCATTACCCGCCACAGGATGATGGAATCAATGCCACCGATCGACCCGGCCCGCGCGAAAGCAATTCCATGAATACTGCCATGCTGGACAACGGTCCAGTTACATCCAATTCTGTATTGTCCACTTCAAATCAGCCTCTCTGTCAAGATGATGCAGAGGCTACGGTTGGCCATTCGAGTATAAATGACAACGACTGGGTACCCGTTTCGACCGTTGCAGATGCTCTCCATATACCAACACTCCAATCGCTGGATCCAGATGAACCACAGGGTTATGCAGTTCACAGCCCTTGCTCAATTTATCCGCTGCCTGCCCTGAACGGTTCCGAAATCAATCGTCCTGGTTTCAAACCGACCTGGATGATGTCGTTATGGCCAGCCGAAGACCAACCTTTTATGGATGAATTGGATTCTTTAGAAGAAATACTTACCAATCCCGACCTTGGACAAGAGGTCGGGGCCTTTGATGCTCCTTGTGCCGATGACCATTGCGCTGTGCCCAGCCCTGTTAGTCTTATTGAGCATACCGTGGGGAGCTCTGTGCAATCCATTGACCTAAGAGAACCGGATATCAATCGTCCAATATCAGGTCTCCTAATTAGAGAGTTGTGAGTGATATGGTTGATACAAGCAAAAGCGGACTAACAAGTGACTAGAATTACGCTGTACTTTGAGAATGTGCATGTCTTAGTGCCAATACTGCATCGTCCCAGGTTCCATGCGAAAAATATGTCCACGATCATGTCCACATCCGACGAGGACATGTCAACTTTGATAAGAGACTCGCTTCTTCTTAACAGTATGTTTGCACTGGCATCGAGGTTCTCGTCCTCACCATACTTCCGCAATGTGCTTGATGCAGAAAAAGGTACAGACTTCGCAGAGAGAGCAAAGAGAATCTACTATGAAAAGCTACGTACGATCAGGAATCCTTCACTTGAATTTCTGCAGGGTTGTACGCTACTGGCTTTCTACTCATACAGCTACAACCCAGATCTTGAGGGCTGGCTCATCATAGGAACTTGCACACGGATCGCGAGCGATCTAGGACTGAATTCTATCGATATTAACTACGGAGATGAAACGCGTAAAATAAGTGCGCTAGAGTGGAGCAATAAAGAGGAACAACGGCGCCTTTGGTGGTCTATATGGGAGCTAGACACATTCTCAGCAGCCATTGCCTGTCGACCGCATACCATTGACTTTGCTAAGATACGAGTCCAGCTTCCTGTTTCTGATGACTTCTGGTTTGCCGATATTCAAGTCGAATCAGCTATAATCAATCCAGATCCAGTACATTCATGGCACGCCTTGAGAAACTGTCCGAATCAAGACGAAAGGGCGTGGTTCCTTGTTATGAATTACTTGTTGCTTACGGCCCACGACCTTGGTCAACGGCAGTATGTAACACAAGATGAAGTAGAAGAGATTGAAAACGCTCTTTCCTGTTACGCACTACTGCTACCGCGACAATTCCATTTACCGGGTGGTCCAAGTTTACTTTCTTCCTCGCCGAACGTTCCCCGATTCAATTGGATCATATCCACCAATATCATGCTGCAAGGTTGTCGGGTTTTTATCAAATTCCTCTCTGAAGGAGTCACGAGCCCCAAGATTCGAACTGTGTCGACGGATCTACTTGCACCGCTGGCGGCAGAATCACAATTTGGTACATCCGAGGCGATGTATCGAACATACGCGGACAATATCTTCAACATCATAAAAGTCTGGCCGCCCGAATACATTCCTTTCAACCCACCATTTCTAGGATGCCTCCTCCTTGGGCCAGCGGCGATGCATCTGCGGGTGGCGATTAACGATGACCGAGAAGATCGCTTGGAGATCGAAATGCTCAAACTCGCTTTGTCACAAATTGGACAGTTCTGGAAGTTTGGGTCGTTGTTATTAGGTGAGTAACCAATTCAATGACTAGTCATTATTCGTCCTAACTGCATCATAGATATTGCGAATTCGTTGATTGCAGCTAAACTATAAACGAAGACGTCTAAGTCTTACTGTTTAGTCAAAATAGATGTTGCTCTCTTTTGAGATAAACTTAATAGTCCAAGGGTGTTTTACCATATTTCACACTTGGGGCATTTATAATCATTCAATATCTTCAGGTTTTGCAATGTATTCATTCTTTCTGCCTGGCGCGACAGCGGCCAGAACCTTTTGTTTCTTCGGACTGGACATATTGACCGGCATTTTACCTCGTAAGTAGCACCCGGGTTGGCGTGAAGAGTTGGAAGTGGCCTTGATGCTTATACAAACATGATACCATAGACATACTCTTTTAGAATTATTAGACTAAGAGGCTATTAAATGAATGACAATTTTCAGGTGCCCCAACTTGAGTTAGTGAGATGATCACGTGATACTGAAGCAATTGAAACATTGACCTTTCACGAGAACTTCCATTACATTATCTTCGTACTCTTTCCGCAATCAATCATTGTTTTCTTGGTAATGTCAATTAGTGGAGCTGTAGCAGGACTGCACTTTCCCTCCGAACTAGATAGGCGAAAGGCTGTTTCTCCAGCATATTTCGCTGCGACTCACGTCGCCTAGATACGAACGGACGAGCGCAGCCCTGTCGCTGTTTATGGCGTGACTCTTGTGAGGAAACGGGACAAAATTACAACGAGTTATCTCTGACCTACAACACTGATAATTGTACTCCGTACAAATGCTTTATATTCGTGGCCCATCCTTGTGAGCAATATTTTACATGCTCACTCCATGCCAAAACAAAAAACACTGGCATCTGCACCCGTCAGCGCTCCTGCAGTGAGCAATTGAATGAGAGACATTGCAGCCTCAGGTTGTACAGGCGGGAACTCGTTCGTAGCCATACCGTATTGTCATAATCTCTCCCCACATCTGCTCGTGTCCGAGAATGCAAAGCAAGGCGTTCTCGATCGCTAGCTTGGGATGCGACATGGTTATTTCTATCCAAATTTCGCCTGATCAGGAACCTCAGGCTGGGCGGAACCGCTTTTGGGAGATGGAAAAGGACCGTAGATCGTCGCAAGAGCGCTATTACTCAAAATGCCATTGGCGGTCCTGGTTGTTGGTGTACTAAGCCACCGCCATGCACGCTGCCACGGTCGGGTGTTGAAACCAATGAGCAAGGGGAAGCGAGGACCTCCCAATGCAATGCTTATTACTGATAAGAGCAGCACTTTACCACTGTTTCCCATCGTTATTACTTCCTAGATTTACCAAAGAGAAGAAAATTACCCCAAAGCATCATCATGGAAGCCGCCGCTGCGGTCGTCAGTTTCGTCGGCCTGGCAGGCCCGGTCGCGCAAAGTCTGAAGTTCTTGTATGATTTCTCGACCGATATGAAGGACTGCCCGAAAGACATTCGTGAGATGAAGACCGATCTTGAACTAGTGGAAGATTTGATTACGCAAGTGATTCGACAGTGCAACAATCGCGACGCGCATCTTCGAGAAAGCGCGGCACTAGCACGCGCAATTGGTCACGCCCAAGAAAGCGTTCAAGATCTCAAGAAGGAGCTGACTGCGTATGTTATGGATGGGAAACGTCAACGATTCAGGTTTGCGGCCAGGGTCAGCCAAACGAAGAAGCTTAGGGCAAGCTTGGATAGGACGAAGACCATCATGTTTGAATTCAAGAATCAGCTTCAAAGGTCGGTCTATACGGAAAATTCGCTTGACGAGCGCTGACATGAAATAGCGATTTATTATATGACATCCGCGATACAAATCAAGAGGTTCTCAGAACAGTGGAGAAGACCAACAGAGATCTGGAGAAATATGACAGAAGCGTTCACGAAAAGATCGCGCAGCAACCCGAGGCCCAAGCAAAACCCTCAAACGATTCGCAGGATAGTGTAGAGCCGCCAGTTCAGCCTGAAAGCCAACCCTCATCTGAAGGTCTGACAGACATTGAAGTTGTTGCGAGGAAGCTCGAGCATATTACGGACTTGTTGACTGAAACAAGGATATCACCTTCACCCAGTTCAGTACCATCAACGCCTGCATTTTCACGCGAAGTTAGTGATGTCTCCGTTATGACCTCGTCCCAGGAAACAACCGCCAGCAGCATTGAAAGTTCGCGAAGCATTCCACGGTCATCGTTCGCATCCCAGAGTGCAAAACAAGAGAGCAGCATTTCCGAGCACCCCCTTCTACAGTTCAAAGATAATCAGGTAATAGTAAGCGTCTACACACCGCTATTCATCTAACATATCTCTGCAGTTCCAATTCTTGGTCGCAATCATCTTCACACAACGCACCACCAAGCAGAAGCTCGCTTGTCAACGCGCCTCAGAGTGTCTAGCAGACTATCCAACACCCGCAGCACTTTCAAACGCATCACCTGAAGCCCTTAGTCAATATTTCGGTGGAATCGGTTTGCAAAACATCAAGCCACCACAACTGATTAAGCTAGCACAAGCATATATCAACGATCCACCAAGACAGGGTAGATTACGTTCCAAAGGGAAATCACCTCAATCTGAGATTTCGCATCTACCGCAGATTGGAACATTGTCTATTCAAGCATGGCAAGTATATTACTGTGAAAGGACGGATATTGAGACCCAGGACAAGGCATTGTTGGAATACATGGAACATCTGAAATCAGGAGCAGGAGCCAATCGCTACTATTGATCGTGTTCTCCCAGGTGGTAGACTTCGTGGGATTTCACATAGGCTCAGGCCTGATCAAGAGCGACTCAGAATCGGGTGCAGTTGACCTAAGGACGATCGAGACCGATAATGGCCAAGGATCTACACTTGTATTTCACATGATAAAGGGCAAGCCGAGTGCTGACGAGAGAGACGCCCACGAACCTGTTCTTCTGGAATGCCTGTCTGTTACTTGACTAGTTTCTCCAGAAAAGCGCTTATGACTATAGCGAGAAGGATTCCTATCGTAGGGGAATTGACTCAGCTAGAAACACCTTTTGAATATTGGGAGCTTCTGCTCCAAGTTCATTTCGAGTCGCAGACTCTCAGTGTCAGGGTTCTGGTCTGATGTGAAGGGCTTGGTACAGGCCAATTGCGGTGGCATACTTGAATCTTGTGGCAGAAGACATAATGTAAGGCAATTGAGACATGTACATACAGATGGTTTCGGGACTGTTTGGCGATATTGTATTCATGTTGTTAAGCTATTCGATGTTTTATATTCAACATCACAATTGACATCCAGCACGTAGGGTGCACCTCTTCCATAGCTACGATCTGAGCCAATCACCGTTTAGTAGTGAGTCACTGCAAATGGTTTCGGCTCGAACATATGCAAGCGAATGTACTTGTATCACATCACTTGTAGGAACAACAAACATTGTACTTCGCTCGACCACTCTTGCGATCTCTTCTAAATCTTCTGATTATTTGTGATCAATAATGACCACCGAAAACACCGCCACCACGCCCCCACCATGGCACGCAGCATACCCAGCACCCAGGAACAGCCCCGCCACCATCAGCCGAGAAGAGGTCCTCGACATGATCAAGCGCAGTGTTGAAACCTCCACTAGCGACTACGTTCTCGTTGATTTGCGTCGCAATGATCACGAGGTATGCAATTGACAATTTATACCGCAAGTTCCTGTCACCCAGCTAATTCGACTTTAGGGTGGTACAATCCGCACTTCAATCAATCTACCCGCGCAGAGCTTGCATCCTAGCATACCAACCCTTTATGCGCTGTTCAAAAGCGCAGGTGCCCGCAAAGTGATATGGTATTGCGGTATGTTCAGTCTGTCCTTTTCTCATCACAATCCATGTTTGGGAAGAGCCATTTACCAACTTACTTATGGTACGAGTACTAATTGATTTGGTGCGCTTTAGGTTCTTCGACAGGACGAGGTAGTCGTGCTACGGCTTGGTTTGCTGACTATATTGAGGACCAAAAGGATGAGGAGATGAAGAGCCTCGCCCTAGCTGGAGGTGTGAAGGGATGGGCGAAGGCAGGGGATGAGTATGTCCAGCAAATGATTGAGTATGATGCTAGCGTATGGTCGAAATATTAAAGTTTTGGTTCTTATACTATAGATGATCAACATTCCCGATCAGTTCCTTTAATTAGATGTCTTTCTAAGTAATTGAACGCTGAGTGGAACAACTATGGAGAACCAAAAGCAACGATGGATGCTCACACGTGAATGATTGTACTGTAGCTTAGTATTTCTCAGTTATGGCATCTATCTGCTGGCAATATCAGCTGAGGCATAAACTGGCACCATGACTACGTAGTAATTTTTGTTCATATTGGAAAACAGGATACCTCTACCATATATCATTTCCTACATACCTAAACCAACAAGTACTCTTTATAGTTTTACTTTCACAGCGTCCCCATAATATGTAAGCACAAAATGCCACTTCACCCCTACCATCTCAATCCATCCATTCCCACAAAGACCCTCCTTCTTTGCCCGCTCTAGAATCCCCTCTAGATTCTCCTTACCACGAACACCGACGGTAATCGAAACGATACCCTCATGCTTTCCCTCCTCTCCTGGTACGAATCCCACTCTTGCATTCGTAAAAGCCAAAAGATCCCTACTTCTTACCACTCCGAATATCTCCTCCCATTGCCGTGCCGCAGCCTCGTGGCCCACATCCCCAGGCGCGAGACGCAGAACACAGCCTTCCAACGAGAGATGTGAGGCGCGTTTCATACCAGGGTAGTAGACTTTGTGGTCAGATCCGCATGCGTGCCATGGAGAGAATCGGGATTTAAGTGGTGTCGGATTATTTGGTGATGGGGCATGCGAGTCTAGTTCTGGTATTACACCGCCTGTACATGACGAAGTTAGCGAATGATTGATTGCGCAGTACGTTTAGGACCGGACCTTTGATGCCTTTCGGATGATACTGTACGCATACGGTATCACCGTGGTCGTATCCCCAAATGACCTTGGAAAGGCTGTTCTTCTCGATAAATTCTCGCCTCTTTCTTGCATCTTCGGTTTGCATGATTATCATGTAGCCGCCATCACCGCGCTTGTCGAGTTGTCGTCCAGCGGTCGTATTCTCTTTGACAGGGGAAACAACCTGGTTGCATCAAGTCAGCCTCATTTATGCAGATATTCACCCAATTCTTACCTCAATTATCTCGCCTCCAAGTGGAACTGTCATCATCAGCAAAACATCATTGACACAAAAAAGGATTCATATCGCTCACTTAGAAAGTTTTTCAAGCCCCATTGTCCCACGGCCGGATCTTCGTAGATTACTTCAGTCCCAATGACATGAGTCTATATCTCATCAACACCACTAAGTGTCATGCAAACATGTCTTCTTACCAGTTGTCTTCTCGCACACTCCAGATCACGTGCCACAAGCGCAATCTGTCTCAACCTCGTGGGTGAGGGAGAATTCTCGGACCTGGGACCTGGTTTAGACATTATTTTCAACTAGTCATGGAATTTTTGGTGATAGAATGATGCGTTGACGATCTTGGATGGCCATTGGAATTGAGTGAGTACTTAGTATTCGAGTCGAGCCTCGGTCAGATAGCTTCCCCGCATGAGAGCTAACGGGTTGGAGAATCATTCCCTGCAATCCTGCGTGGACTTTGAATTTTGTTATACCACTTTCAGTTGATTACACCAGTAACACGGTCCTGCTTTTCAGATAGGCTATATTATCGGCTATTCAATATTGGTTACTTGGGAATCCTGGTACAATTATCAATACTTAGTGCACGTCATAACACATCATCTCATCAATCAAGCTCAATTGTTTTCTTTCCAGTGAGGCAAGTCGGCATTCAATTATCGGTCAGATCTCCTCGGTGGTTCCAGTGTCATACCCGCTGTCTTCTTGAAATTCGACCCACGTCGCCATCTTCTTCCTGATATGCTCACCGTATACAACTGATTCGCCATCACCAACCACAGGAGTTACTACACAAGCTTCGCCAGGCTCAAAAAAGAACGGAATGCTGAATCGCCCCGTCGGAGAACCAGCTGCGTCCAATCTCGGCGGAGGCGCTCGGACACGATGCATCGTCGCAGCGAATTTTCCACCCGAAACGCTCGCCATCAAATCTCCAATATTGACAACCACCGAATTGGGGATGTAAGGCGCGGCAATCCACTCGCCACCTGCATTGAGAACCTCAAGGCCGCCCGTGCTGTCTTGGTGGAGAAGAGTTAAGATGCCACTATCTGTGTGTGGTGTGCAACTCAACTTGACTTCCGTGTCGTTGGCAGACTTGACATTTTCCGGAGGCACGGGAGGGTAGTGAAGGATGCGTAGAGTACTCAGAGAGTCTACAAGCCAGGAATCGAAGCTCTTGGAGTCTTGACCCAGAGACATTGCAAGCAAAGAGAGCAGTTTCGATGCAAGTGTCTGGAGTTCACCATAGACCTGCTCCAAACGAACACGAAACTGTGACATATCATCAGAGGGCCAGACATTTCTTTCCGATAGGTTGATGTTGGTCTTGATCGTCGGCGACCCTGGCCCTAAGTGACTGGCATCTGGAGACCCAATTTCAAATCCCTCTTTTAAATTATCTTCAGCAAGACGTGGTTGCGTCGGAAAGTATCTAGAATCGTCAGTCCCAATTCCACACCCTTTCACTCTACCTAATCAAACATACCCTCGGTAAGTGTTCGCATGCGTCGGCACGAAAGACTTCTTAGCAAGCTTCATTTTCCGCTCCAGCGGGAGGACAAAGAACCTCTTTGCAAGAGCGAACAACTCCTCTTCGTCGAAGCTCAACGGCGCGTTAACGAGATATGCAAAACCAGTCGTCGAAAATACATCGTACAATTGCGCGCTCAGTGCATCTCGGTCCGCACCTGCAAGCTGTGGAGTCGCTAAAGCGCTGACGTCGATAATAGGCAGTGAAGTAAACGAAGTAGCCATCACAACTGAGAGCAATGTCTTCTAGACAGATTCCTTCACAAGATTCAGAGTTGTTATGCAGTTATTGTAGGTGGGGTTGTCGAAGTTACGTACCTAATGCATGACGAGTGCCCTTTTCGGGAAGGTGGTCGCGTGACGGTGTCTCCTCGCAGTGTGCGTCTTTCAATTCTCATTGGAGAGAGACGCGAGTGTCTATTCCGTCATCTTCGTTGTCTCTCATACTAGGTTCTCTTATTTCCTTTCCGCATTGACAGTATTGGAATGATTATAGTTGCTGCATAGATATTCACATTGCATTCAGTATTTTATGCACTTCCACAATTGAGTTATCAAGGAGATTTCATTTCAATGCCTTACGTTTCAAGCTCCTATGTCGTGATTCAATCTTTATCAAAAGAGTGAAACAAAATTAATCTAATTATACAAACGTCCATTGAAACGATTGTCCTTGGAATTATCCCATTTTCCAATATAGTACAAAAAGATAAAGAAAGACCCGCACCTCCAGTGCCTTCAAATTTCACGTCGACTGATCCTCTTCAAAATCCGTCTCTTCAAGTCGAACCCCATTCAAAATCCGCCCAAGATGAGTTTTCTCGACTCCCTCGCCCTCGCGGCGGATCTTCATCAAGAGAGTGCGGAGGAAGGGTACGGGGGACTTCGTCAAGCCCCACTTGCCTGTCGGTGGGTCGATAAATCCGTCGGCATACACCTGCTGGCCCTCTTGTGCCACGCCGTGTAGCAGGCCAAGGAAATCGCATAGTTCTTTGTACTCGGCAAAGGATCGGAGGTAGAGAGAGCCCGCAAAGAGGTTGAGTTGCACGGTCAGGCTCCTTGGAACCATGCTAGGGTCGAATGCGCGCCCTACGGTGTGCAGGGTGAGTTCGTCCAGTGAAGCGAAGCTAGAATTGAATCGTGGAGAAAAGAGATGAAGAATGACTTTTGAATGCTTTCTGACTGTGTCTAAAAGCGCATTCGCTTCAAATGGACTCAGAATTATGAAGCGCCATGTGACCTTGTCGTTGCCGGCGACGGACATCACCCATTGAACTGGTCGCTGGTACTCGTCAGATACGAATGAAGCAATTGCAGTTCCCTTCGGCGGCTTGACGGTGTCGATATAGTCGATAGTTGCGTGCAGATCCAACGGGAACTCATCGAGGTTAAAGAGTCGCGCAGTGCTGGTGGAAGCAAGGAGTCGAAAGGCAGAACGGAATGCTGGCCCTGGAGCATTTGGGATTACGCCAGTCGTAGCTAGCTGAACTAGATACGGATGAAGCCTGTGCTTTTCAGGTTTCATACGACGCGGGCGTTCCACTTGTCTCTCTTCTTCGATCTCTGGAGCAAGTTCACGCTCCTGCTCTTCGCTCAAGGCTGCGGCACTGAAACCCATCGCTTCGAAGTCTCTACAACGCGTTATGATTTTCATGACGGTCTCATCAGACGTATCCCAGTCCTCAGTTAATTTGTTACTTGCTTGTTCGCGCGTTCGTGGTTGGTAGCGCTCTTGGATAGTCTGCGCTTCGTCCTCTAAGAAGGCTTTTGCGTCGGCGAGAGTGGTCTCAGCTCCTTTGAAAAGGTGCTTATGCGATTCATAACGGTGACCCTGGACTGCCCACAGAGGCATACTTCGTTTTAGATCGTCCCAGGTCTCTCCTATACTCCAGCACAGTACGTGATTGACGTTGATCTCGATTTCCGTTGAAATACCCGTTCGTTCACGGATTTTAGTTGCAATCTCGTCTGGTACAATGAAGGTGATTGCTTGTCCCTAAATAGTAGATTAGACATTACTTCAAAAGCTAAAATCAATCTACAATGCAACTTACCTTTCCCAGTTGTCGCATCCTCATGCAGGCTTGTGTTAACGTATCCTTCGTCAATTGAGCACCTAGCGTAACAGAGGCACGGTAGTTCCGTGGAAGTCTTAGATCTGTCCCACGTGTATGTGCCTCATCCAGATATACAATGCAAACGTCCAGCTGTTTAGCAAATGGAGACGTTTGAAATGCCTCAACTCGGCCCGTCCGATCAAGAACGGACAACTCTTCATCATCGAAGAATACGGCTGCTTGTATCTCCTGGGTGCGCAATCTAAGCCAGGTTTGGGCGACCTCTTTGTTGTTCTGCTCTAATATCGATGCCCCACAGTCTAATAGAACCCTTACTTCAGGACTAAGGGAATTGATGAATGTGAGCAGATGATCTGCATCACTATTGACCGTCCGTAGGGGTAGAACTTGTACAGACGTCTCGTCCTTCAGGAGATAGCTAATCACAAGAGCATTGGTGTGGCTCTGGCTCGGTAGATCGATATGATGTACATTGAGTGGTAGCAGGTGGTGCGTATCATTTGTGCCGGAGAATCCACATGTTGGTTTTGATTTCACTGCACCAAGGTCCCAACCAGAGGCGGACAACTTCTTGGGGAACTGTTTCATTTCCTTGGGGAACACCAAAGCAGAGAGAAAATAGTCGATGGCCTTTTTAGAATATCGGAGCGCTGGGAACAGCTCAACAGTGCATTGATGACGATCCCGGATGCTCACACCTGAAAGATGTTTGAAAGCAATCGGGAGATCTGAAGCGGTCGTGCTTATCCACTCGTCATAGTGTACTATCGATTGATCTGATTTTGCAAGATGACCAATTGCATCAAATAGACTTTCGTCGTTAAGACCCCCGTAATAGTACGAGAGCAGGCACAGAAGAATTACAACTTCTGGATGCGAAAATTCTGACCTCGGCGATGGGGAGTCCTTAGAGCGGTAGGGTACTGCGAGTGAAGTATTCGGCTCTCGTGATGAATCCAAGCCAAAGTTAACTCGCCAGCGTTTCGTGCTCAGAACAAAACGCAAAACGCCCCCAGCTATCAAACCTCGGACAAGTAGCAGTGGCGCCTTCGTAAGATCGGTCCAGAACTTGCTTTTTTCAACTGCATCTATCTCTTCACCGGTCAGGTCGCTCTCTGTGATGTACCGAAATATGGAAGCCTGTATATCGGGAGGCTGTGAACGAGTAGGTAATCCAACGATTCCGTAGTCCACTACATGCCTAGCGACTTCCGATAGTAAACAATCCGCCGCTTTCATGTTCAGAATCCTTATCCGTGGAAATCGGCCATCCTGTTCATTTTCAAGTTCGACGCCTTTGGGATGAAGGGTCTTGACATGGGCAGCAATTCGAGGTAATAGACCCAAGATGCTCTGAATGACCAACCATCGCTCTGGAGCGTATTCAATGGGTTGCTGTGCGCCCATCGTATAGACCAACTCGAACTTGGGCGAATAGTTCAAATCACTCTCATCCACGATGTCCCTCGATACTGTATCAAAGAATTGCTGTGTTTCAAGCAGACGCTTCGCCAGTGCACCATTTTCACTTAGCAAACTCTCAATACCCATCAACTTGAAAGACAGCAAGTGCTCTGGTTGTACCAATAATACACCACGGTTCTGTATGCATCCCTGATACATCTCGCGGAGTTTGAGAGCATCCGAGGGTTGCAATCGGACGGACCGTGAGAAGGGCATTTGATAGATACGGCGGTTGAGCATGCCGCCAAGTTTGGTTATCAGGAACTGAAGCATCTGTTTGCTCTGAGGTTTAGCGACTATGACTCTAACAAGTCTGATAGTCATAGGTTAGCTTTTTTTCGAACAGGCCATAGATATGGCCGACTTACGTTTTGGTATCTGCAAGAGAAGCTGCAAGAACAGGAACTATCGTGCTTGACTTGCCCGCGCCCATCACAAGCTGTAAAACAATGTTCTTGCCCTCAACCGGGTCTCTCATTCTAGAAGCAATATATTCTTGTTCCTCTCGGAGAACGATTTTACTCTCTGCTTCCAAGAGTAATGTTTCCGGATGTTCTGTCGGATCCCAGTTGCAGTGGCCAACATGTTGCAGCTCTTCAGCCAGCTCCGCGGGCCTTCTAGATAGAGCATCTAGACGCTGCGCACGATGGAGTTGGGTAATTGCAAGTCCGTAATTAATGATTGTTTTTTTCCACGCTATTGAGAGTGACTTGAATCGATCAAGGTTGAGTTGCGCAAGCCAAAATGAGGGCGAAATACGAGGTGGCTAAAAGGTCGCTTTTCGAGCTATTCCGCTTAACGGAATCAATCAGCGCCTGATCGTTAGAAGTCATGTTTGTGGTGCAAGTGGCCAAATATGTCTGAAAGACGCCCACCGTTGTTTCCTCCAAAGCTGGACTGAAATCATCTATGTCAGTCCCCTGAACCTCAAGTGAGGCGCAACTAGCACGCAAGGTCTGGACATAATCCTTCTCGCATTTCGCGACGGCTTGCATATCTAGGTCGTCGCAAAGCTTTCGGATTCGGCGCTTCATATTCGACTTATCCTCTGAGGGATGATGCAAGATAGCTGGTACTTCTGGCTCCGCAGGGGTGGCGACAGTGCCGGAAAGACTGGCCGACAGACCACTCTGGAAGATATTTTTCATACTGGAATATCGAAGACTATCGTCCACTATAGACTTCTTCTTGAGTTGCGGTGGCACAACTTGAAATTGTTCCACCTTCACGACAGTTTGCCGTGCTAGGATTGTGGACACTTGCTTGAGATATTCCAAGAACAACCGGTTGTGATACCAAGTCTCAAACATCGAAGATACATTTGACATTGCATTGGAGACGTTGACATATGTTACGATCTCGGGTGTAATTGGATTGGATGGCCTCAAGCACGGCCACTGGTGCTCGAGTGCAGATACGAAAGCCTCCAAGGCTGTGTTGCAGCGCTGTTGAAACAGATTTTTTATTCGGTCACTGTGTTGCCTTTCTGACTCAACTCCTTGCTTGGGAAGTCGCGCTTCAGCAGAATCTCGGAACCCTTTGAGGGCCCGCCGAGCGAACCCCCGTACTTCGTTCTGATTGAACCTCTCTCCATAACTCAAGGCGAAACTAGGCCCGGGAGGAGGCTGAATGGTAGAAAGATCCGGTAGATTGTGTAATCCTGCAAGTGCTTGAAGAGCATTCATGTTCGCCGATGTGCTATATGCCAACGTCGAGAGCCAAGCTGCTACATCATATTTGTTGCTATTCGTACCTTTGAGAGATAGAATCCGATGAAACTCGCACCAGTTATGCTGCAAGATTGAAGACAGTTCGTCCATCCATCTTGTGTCGAATTGTAGGCTAGAGATATCAATTTGCCCTTGAAGACCTGTGACGGTATCATTTCTGAAAAGTTGCACGATTCTGCTCTTAAAGTCGGACACTGGCTGAGATAGCGCGGCTTCATCTCGTAGGATCAATCTCGAAGCTTCATAGGCTTGACGGCCTCTGGCAGAATTGTGACTGTTGTCTCGGCCTTTATAACGGACGTCCTCCTTACTAGTGAACGATTCCGCCCCATAGGTACATGTACGGAACATAGAGGATCGAATGCTGTCTCGAGCGTCAAGATGCTCATTTGAAGACTGCATTTTTGGTAAAGCCAGGTTGTTGGTAGAGCCGAAAATAGCGTGCATTCTTTGTGCCTGAACTATGATATCCTGTGCACACTCTCGAATTTGGCTATGCTGCGAGAGATTTGGCAACCTATCGTTCCAAACAATTGTCTGCATATCCATGAGATGTGCTGGATAAAATGCTCGTACTGGCGATATCGCAGAGATTAGTTTCAGGAGATCGACGTCCTCCCCCTCCAGACCATCATAAGATCGGACCGCTGCAGAGCGGAGGATGTTCAATGCACTTTCTGTTCCAGTGTACCCAGTAAACAAATCTGGCAGACAATGCGAAGTCAACGCATGTAAATAGGCAAGGAGAAGTTTGCTCTGCAGGTTTCCACTATCCACAATGCGGCCAATGGTGGAATCGAGATTATAAGCAAATACCTTATCTACCAAGTCTTTGTCAATGCAGACATTAACATGGTTCAAATAATTTGACTTGTCATAGACTATTTCATTGGGCCCAAATTTGCGAGATACTGGTATTAACACCAAGCGATCCTGGAGCTTGTTTGTGCTCTTCAACACCAGCATACTTGTAAGACCAACAAGTGTGCCAATGCTCTGATCTGGATCGATCACCATTCCACGATATTGGCGAGAATGTATGTCGTGATGCTGAGGGTGAAAGGTGAAATCGAGCTGCAGCCGAGGAAGCATGATTTGAACAATGGAACTAGTAGTATGCAGCACAATGTGTATGTGTCGTCTGTGTTCTACGCGACTGAACATTCTCGACAGAGAGTTTGCAGTATGGCTAGACTTGCTAACAACAATGCTCTCTTTCATGGCAAGACGCCACTGATTGCCGATTCGTTGGAGCCGCCATTGGTCTTCAGATGTGGTCCATGGGTTTTCACGAGGCCGGAAGAAGACTTCGCCAGTATTATGGTTGTACCAATGAATGAAGTCACGAATGTACGCAATAGGCAGTCGATGGCGGAGTACTCGTGCTGGAATTAGCTCCCATCTGTTCGTAATCAGTATCATTCAGAAAGATCCAAGTAGTGTGTGTGTGTCTCCGATAAGAAACCTACCTAGTGTCATTTGCTACTGCAGTAACCAGCATAACCTTCGGTGCTATTGAGACCAAAATGTAATTTGAAGTTATGGTAGACGGACTTTACTGAGAATCTCATCCCAGGCTCGCTGGTAGGTACCACTTCAAGAGTTGATCCACCAAAGAGAGGCTTATACATCTCATGTTTTCTGTACTCGGATGGAAGTTGCGCTAGTGGTAGACCATTTACAAGCAATTCTGCCGTCAGGATGTTGAAGTGCACTGGAAGTACACCTGATTTAATTTGCAACCAATTCTTGCGAGAATCATCGAGAACCGACCATTTTGCTGATGCACGGGGTTGGAAATCAGCCCAGTTTGCGGACAAAGCTTCATTGAGGCCGGCATTGTTTTGTAGTATCGTTCTCAACAACGACTCCCCAATTCGATACATCATAGACCTCCAAGCATGGAGAAGAATATTCCAAAGTTTCTTATCATCGCTCTGAATGGTATCAACGTTTTCTTGCACCACTATAGAGCTCTGAAGCAGGTTTGTGACAGTAGATGGCTCCAACAAGATTTCTTCGATGATCTCTGGCTCGACGTCGTAAGTGTTTGTGCAGATGAGAGCTATTTCAGCCATCCGTGAACGCAATTCAATTCTCTGCGCTTCATCCGTTGATCTTGATACCCGATCTTTCAAACGAAGAATCCATTTGAGACAAATTTTGCGAGCATATTCCAGGAATCTTAGACTCTTTTGTCGCACTTCCAAAGATGATGTCATGCTAAGCACGCGCTGCGCGAGTTGGATATAGCTAGCGACCGCTCTCCAAGACTCCCAGTTTTCTGAGGAGCGCTCAATAGCTGACTGCAATTGTGCAAGCATTGCAAGACCGAACTGCCCTTCTACCAGGATGTGATGGCTTGCACGCTCGACATGATCGTCCTTGGGCGGGCCGGTCTGGTGGATGATCTGAAGGATAAGAGACTGCACCTCTGCCTTCGCAAAGTCCACGGCAGGCATCGCTAGCTGTGTGAGAATTGAGTAATAAACAGTCTTGTGACCTAAAGGCAAAGCTGCGAAGGCTTTGAATTCATCAATCGAGAAATGTGAAGGACAATCCACTAGATTGGCCTGAAGGTTGATGAAACGTCAATAATGTATATCAAGCAATCACCATAAAGCGTGTAACGTACCATAATCTCATTGGGAAACGGTCCATCCCTACCGGAAGGCGGCTTGTACATGAAGCGCTGGAGCGATTTCGATCGATTGGGCATGCTATAACCACATTTTTTGGGTATGCTTTGACTGGATTGCACTCTAGCATTGCACACACCCAATTCAGTATCGAAATACTCATATTTCAGCGCGTTCTTCAAACAAACATCGTGATTTTTCAGATATTGGACTCCTGTCTTGTTTCGCCGATGCGTCGTGGTGTGTGACTTCACTTCGGAGAGTGGGACAATGCGTCTTTTGTGATAATCCGATGTCAGTATCTGTGACAGGCCATGGTGGTTATCCAGTGTTCCTTGGTATCGAGGCTTCCCGCTTCCCTTGTCGCGAAATCCAAGCACGTTTGTTATTACAAAAATAGAAGTGTCACGCCAATCGCTGTACTCTTGTGGCACCTGAAGTTCGAAAACAGTGGCCTTGGCTTTCAACGGCTCTGGCGATAAGGGCCACTCGTAAATTTCTATGCTTTTGTTCCTGGCTTGATTCGGTAGGTCACATTTCGCGCAGTACTTGCTGTGCGCCTTCCGTTTGTAGTTATGATAATAATCATAAACCTCATCGTAGTAATCACATTGTGTTTGAGGATCGTTGTAGCGATCCATAAGTGCCTTGTGTTCGCGCTGTACCCGCTCGAGTTCTTGGTATTTTTGTTCCTGCCGTGCTGAAGCATCGCGTTCGATTCTGGCATGTGTGTCCTTTAATGACGGCGAGGAATCATAATAGGCAACACCAAAAGACATCGGGTGCCCAAAATCTCGGAAAACGGAAATAGCCTTCCTCGTCGCTGCAGTTCTCCTCGATATGGCATACTGCTCAACGTCTGCTAGTCGTCGCATCTGACTCTTCAGAGGAAGAACTAGGCACTCGCATTCGTCCAGTACAAGTTCATGGTCGTAGTGCTTGAGCATTGGATGTATGCTACAAGCCGATTTGTCGCATGCAACCCACAGCTCAAGAATTGTGAGGTACATGATTGAGAGATTGATGGGCACTTCCTTGTAGACTGCACTAGCATGGGGAAAGTAACTCTTCATCAACTGTCGAAGTTTACCACAAGTGTTTGTTTCTTGTATGTGCAGAGCCAACCAGGATGACAGATGATGCTCAACCCACATTTCCAGTGCTGCCAAACGAAAATGCCGCTGCTCACCAGGATAATAGGATAAAGATGGTAAATCATCAGCTAGGTATGTCGGGTACATTGAAGTAGGGTCAAAGCTAGAGCATGAAGCATTGCCCTGCCTAGAAGCGACTTGTGAAAGGAAAAGATCCAAGTCTGGAATATCTATATCGAGATCTTTGTCTGGTTGCAACTCTGGCAGGTTTTTGTTGTCTAGGCGTGGTTGTGCGGGTGCTTCGGTATTTCTCCAACAATTCTCCAAGAGCTTATGGGCGTTTTGGACAATATTGGACACCTCAGCGAGCCAATGTGGCTGAAAATATTGATCCTGGTTCAGCAGCTCAAACTTTCGCAACCGCCGACACAACTTTGCGGAGATAGTATGTATCGACTCGTTTTCCATGCAGGATGGGTTAGATGTTGCCATTTTCAGTAGTTGTAACAGCATATGAATCATGAAGCCTTTGTAAAGACCATCGGGAGGATCGGTTGCGGGTAGGGCGCGAGAGAAGAGCAGGTGTAACGATACACGGACAAGAAGCCAAAGTGGTGACCGACGCCATGGACTTCTGCAGTCGGACCACAAGACATCATCGCGAGTATTCTTAGTGATTTGATCCGTCTTCGCTGTATTTCCCATGGCCGTGAGGAGGTGAAATAGCCAGTCAGTTACCATATCAGGCTTGCTCGTGTCACGATCTTCCTCGACTGTATAGCCATTCTTTGACACTCGCGGCTGCATTCCAGGCGCCTTTTGTACCGCTAATGTAGACATAGTCCGAGCAAGTGAACTAACAATAGCTGGATCTTGCATGTCGACAGATGCAACTTTAGCTGCCAGAGCGGGGAAGACCCTGGTCAGTCGACCTTTGGTTTTCATCACCGCTTCGTTGTTGGGCGATAGTTCCATGAGCTCGAAACGTACGCCATCTTCACATCGAATAGCGATAACGGCGGCATTTTGAGTGTTAATTTCGAGCGGAGCGTAGCCATCGGAATCGCCGCGGGAAAGCCTAGTCAAGACACGCTGGGTTTTGGTCTGGCCGAGAATACCAGAACCGTCTCGGCTATCGCGCAAATTCTCGATTGTAGCAATGGCAGACTTCACAGTCTTTGCATAAGGCTTGCTGACACTTCTCTCTAGATCTTTCAAAGCTAGAATCGTGACATCCAGGAGCTGCCACTCTTCAGACACATCTCGGTCGTCTTTCTGAGGTAGCTGTGGTGGAAGAACAACGTGGTCGATCAAGTACCGCAGCGTCCCAGACGAAATCTCGTTGAATGGAGCCATCGTAAGGACTGGCCTAGAAGTTTGCGTCGACATTCGCCTAGACATGTGGTGTAAGTGAATTTGACGCACGACAACATTATCGTGTACACCAAGTAGAGGAGGAACGTACTGAGTATCAACCGAGAACAGAGAGTGTCGTGATTATGCAGTTTGATGATTAAGAGCTTGTAGATGGATCGAAGGATGAGTGTTGCTCGTCGGCAGGGCAAAAGTATACCCAGAAAGGGTAGGGGAAAGGGTGGAAGAGAAGGTAGAGGAGGAGAGGATAGAGTAGAGGATAGGATAGAGCAGAGGGTAAAGTAGAGGGTAGAGGAGAGGGTAGGAGAGAGGGTAGAAGAAAGGGTAGAAGAGAGGGTAGAGGAGAGGGTGGAAGAGAGGGTGGAGGAGAGGGCGGAGGAGAGGGTGGAGGAGACGGTGAGAGAAGTAAGAGAAAGTGAGAGAAACGAGATCAAGTGGCAGAAAAACAAACAAAACCTCCTCAACACAAGCAATCTCCCGCACTAGCATACAATTTCTCGCTTTATCATGCAATCTCTCTCACTTACCTACACCTGCCTTCACCTATCTTCGCCCGCCCTTGAGGTCTAGTGCTATTTGCGTCAGATTGCCTTTCATCGTTTAGTAAACATCACAAGAAAAGATTCACTATTGACAGGTCTGGCTTAAGTCACATTTGAAGTTTCTTGTGGGGAGTTTGAAAGCAGTGTTTGCCTCGATTACTGCCTAAACAAGGGCAAATACAGTGCGACGTTGAGCCTATTATCATAGATTCTTTCTTAGAGTAGATTGCGAATCTACTAGTTACTCATGAATGAGATTGTAGATTGCAACCTCTTGAAGACTTCCGTTCCTCGTTCGTTGTCTCTTACTAGTTTCCAAGGCAATTTGAGCACATCTACACTCCGTGTTACAACCCCACAATCATCCCATGAAAGCTCGAGGCCGACCGGGACCAACAGTATTCTAGTCCTTCAGCGCAGAACCACCGTTATCTTCGGATATGAATCGAAGTGCGGACTGTACCCTGCAGAGCAGGTCTATGATCGCCTACTATCACATTAATACACATAACCTTACACAATAGTTCATGTATAATACCACTTTTAACCTCTTACCACGGTTTGTATCATCTTCCCCCATTCCCATTCTCTTCTCTGCAGTGTGACGTCGCGTGGTGACTGACAACTTCGACAGTAAATGAGGCTGAAATTCTGATTGATTGAAACAACGTAGAAGGCGATGAGGCCGGCGGCTGGATGGGAGGAGGTAGCGGCTGTTTCGAACGATTTTCCAGCCTTAAAGAAGACGACGGGTTTGACATCTCAGTCGAGGCCTTACAATCACTTCCACCTATCTTTACCTCCGATCCGTTCGTGTCAGAGGCTACCTCCGACCTACTCGTCCCTTTACGGTTCTGTGCGAGGTTTTCACTAATGCTGAAATGTCTCGCTGAGGGGGATCGAGCAGGCAGTTCTAGCTTAACAGGCTGCAGTCGATCAGGGTGTTCTGCTTTGATAGGCGGTGGGTGGGCAGGTGGTGCAAATGGTGGTTTTTTGGGTAGGTCTGGAGGTGGTGAGGGAAGCATCTTAAAGTAACCAGGCAGACTATTAAAAGAACATAGGGTACAGAAGATTTGTAGGAGAACTGGAGATGTAGAAGAAGTGAGGTGAAGGTTAGAGGATTGTGATGTGGAGGAAGGGACGTACCTACTTATCTAGGAGTTACATATCAAACGGAGAGAAGCGCATCACGTGATTGAGCTTGAATCCATCTACATCGAGCTGCTTCACAGATGTAACTCTGTGCAGTTAGAGCGGAAGATGTGGATAGAGGAAGTTTAAGTCTCTCAGATGATTCTCATTCCCGTCATATATACTGTGCGGTTGGGGGTATAACTACACACATCAAAAAGAAATCTACAAAGATTAATCGTCCGTATCTCGTCCTCCATTCGTCACCAATTCCCCCTTCCATTCTCGAATCCAAAGTTGCGCCCCATGTAATAAACAAACAGTGTAGACAAAAACTCCAAGCTCCTAGCCTATATCAAATCTTTTCTTTAAGCTCTCTCTTACAGGTCGAATCATCGCTTCTGATTGAACCTCCACTTCGTTTCTTTGCAAGCCCAATCCTGCTTGATCTTCTGGATTCTATCCAACATCCAGCCACTCGTCCAGGTCGGCTCACCCTCTTTCTTGGGCTGCTTTCTTCCGAGGCGGAGGACCTTTCCGGAATAGCACTCGCCCTCGCCCTTCGTCGAATGCTTCCACTGCACGCAGTCGGTCGCCAACTCGCACACCTTCTTGCAGTCCTCGGGGCTCTTGACCGCGTTGCGCAACTCTTCGGAATACTTCGCCCAGTCGGAACTGGGATCCGCCTCGTTGGCGCCGGGGGGTTTCACGATCTTAGAATCCGCGGAGATGTTATCCCAGTCATTCTTGACGGCCTCGAGCTGCGGCTCGATGATCTGGACAAAGGCATCGCCGTAATGGAACGGCTTCGACCAGCCGTGCTCGCTCGTCCAGTTGCGCTCTGCTTCCCAGATCATGGAGAGGTCGTCCGCGTTCATAGGATGCCAGCTCACCATTGGGGAGCACCAATGCAGATTCGTCCAGTCGATGGTAGCCGGCGTCTCGGATTGGAGCTTGGGGAACGCATCGTAGAACTCGACGTGGGCTTGGGACATGGCAACCGACAACACCATATCGCCGCAGCATTCTTTGCTGACGCGGGGCTCCCATGTGGTAGCGTAATGCTCCCTGTACGATTTCGCGTACAAGCGCATAGCGCCTTGGGAGATGAAGATGCCCGCGCCGCGCTGTGCGAATTTGACGTCGGTGAGGAAGGTCGGGGCGCCGCTGTAGTACGGAATGCGATAATCAAGGCGGTTAATCCATTGTAGAACGTTGGTCCAGCTGAGGCTCGTGTCCGCCTCGATGAACATCCAGAAGCGCGAGTCCGGGTTCATTTGGTAAGCGCGGTAGACCATGGGGAGGAATTTCCACTTGTCGAGCTCCTTGTCGACGGTGCCGGCCTGCACAGCTTGTGTCTTCATGTCCTCATACTGCTTGAACTCGGCGTGCTGTTGTTTGAATTTATCGGAGATGTCCTCGAGCGCGTCGTGCACTTTGTGGCCTTCGAATGCGCCGGAATGGTCGCTAAAGATGGCGAAGTTAGGGGCGCAGGCAAGCAGCGTCTTGAGGTGTGTGGACAGCTTCTCTTCGATCTCGCCCTTGCTCGTCCGGAGAACGATCATAATTTGTGGTGCGCCCTTGACCTTGTTGCAGAATTTCTCAATCTCTTGTTCCTCGGGTTTTGGTGCTGAAGGGGTGGGTTGCGCGACGACGGCGGGTTTGGATGTGCTTATCGCTTTCACCAATGTTGTTGGGTTGCTTGGGGTGCCTGCCTTGACTTCTTCCGTTGCAGATGTCTTTGCTTCCTGGACTGCAGCCTGGGTATGCGAAGACGACTCGGTAGTTGACGTCTCTTGCTGTTTAATTGTTTCCGTGGAAGCCTCCTGCTTCGACTCCACAGTCTTATCACCCACAACATTCCCCGCATTGTCCTGCTTCTTGACGGAGGTCTCGGTGTTCTTCGCAATTGGAGTCGGCGTGGAGGTATGGATGGGCGTCGGTGTCAGCACAATGCTGCTCAACATGGAAGCCCTGATGTCGTCTTTGTTATCTCCATCAACTTTCTCCCCTGGCTGCTGTTGCGGTGTTGCAGGATGGGGCGCGGGATGGGCCGCAGGATTTTGAGGCTTCTCGGTTTGCCCACCCGGGAAAGCCTGTTTGACTTCTCCCGAAGAGGTTCCCCATGACCAGAAGAGTGTGAAGAGCGAGAACGCGGCGATGATGACGATGATGCGGGAGGGGGTGAAGAGAGGCATTGCGGCGGTTGGCGGTGGCACGCGACGTGCGGAGGAGACGAGGGGTCCGGGATGTCGTCGACGGGAGTTTGAATCCCCCTTCTTGGTATTATTGTATAGAGCGTTCTTCAAACTACTCGAACCTCATGGCGGGAGGGAATTGCAGACGAAGCGGTGGTTCTGCAAGGGGAGGGAGTGAATGGGAGGAGGAACTTGAAGTGGGAAAGTCGCGGCCATTTCGGCTCGGGGGTTTTGTTAGGGGGCGTCGCTATACGGATTGGATAGGAGGCGTTAGCGGGCGAGACCGACTCTATTCGAATGGCTCCAGCAGATCTTATGCGCAACTGGCTTAGTAGAGGAGAGGAAATGCGAATGTAAAAAAATGTTAAGAGTGCAGAAGTCGTCAGGGATGAAATAATTGTCATCGTTAGTTATGGGTGTACTTGTACGTGCGTCACGGTTATATGTTCCCTTGGGTCCCATCTCGTGGCTGCTTTGCCGCTCACTTAGCGAAGGGATAAATCGACCGATGGGGAACATTAATATCAATAGATGAGTTCCATGATCTTCTTGTAGCACCCGGATGTATAGATATTGATGCTTAAAGGTAACTATGTAAATCCGCCAGAGGAAACTGCGTGGTATCAAACTTCCTACCTAAACCTTCAAAGACGTCATGCTTACCTGCATCAGGGTTTTCCGCCCCCTTTCAAGCAGCAGCTGAATGCATCCGTAAAACAGAAACTCGGGCTGAGAGCCACAATATAACTTGTGGTGATAGACCTCCACTCAGGTCGCTTGTGCATTCATGGCTTTCAGCCCTAGCCAATCGCATGTCGCCAGCTCCTTTGCGAGACCATAACCCTCTCATCCCCCGCCATACAACCTGACATGGGAGGCTCAGCCTCATACAAGAACTCTTCGACAACCTCTCCGCTCTCATGATCAGGCAGAGAAAACGACACAGACAAGATGCTCGATCCCTTCTCATGTCTTTCCATCGCCACGGGCGCCGTTCAATTCATTGACTTTGCAAGTAAGCTGATCTCGAAAGGGATCGAGATACATCATTCCGCCCATGGCATGTCAGTGGAGCATCTCGAGCTTGAAGCTGTGGCCGAGAACATGCTACAGCTCAGCAAAACTCTCCAGACTGCGGAGCAGAGAACGAGTTCTGGAGGCCTTTTCGGGAGCATTGACCTCGACAGCCAGCGGGCGAGGAGACATATGACCTCTGCAGAGATAAAAGAACAGGAAAGACAGGAAAGAATGCAGAGACAGTTGAACGAGAACATTCACGAGATCTGCCAAGCTTGTAACAAATCAGCTGGTGAATTCCTTGTGGTCATTGACGATTTGAAGATCGCGGGTAAGCAGTCGGGATGGAGAAGCTTTCGACAGGCTTTGTGTGAGGTTTGGGGTTCCGTTGAGGTCGAAGCACTTGCAAAACGTCTAGATAGGCTCCGAGCCCAATTGAATTCCAATTTGATGAGTTCTATACGGTGAGGAGGGTACCACTGCCGCTTTGTTGCTGGCTAACAAAACGATGCAGGCAGCAGATAGAAGCCGTAGAGAGTCGCCAAATGGACCATACAGAAACGCTCAACAACTTGGATCATCGCACGCAGGCTGTTCTTGACAGAATATCGACCATGGCTAGGACAAATGAAAGCTGGCAGACGGAGATTTTGACTGCCATCTATCGGCAAGGCATGAACAAATATGATTCGAATGGCTTCCGTGCGCTTTCAGAGGGCCTTTCAAAGCAGGCCAAAGCGCAGTGGGCAAATCTGATGGCACCGAAACTTATCAACCGTTTGCGTTTCCCAGGCATGTTTGAGCGGCATGCTAGGATCTCGCAAGCACATCGACGAACGTTTGACTGGATCTATCTTCCGCCCGACGCAGAGAAGGCGTCCTGGAGCAACTTCGTTACATTCCTAGAGGAGGACAGCGATCTCTATTGGATAACCGGCAAGCCTGGATCCGGAAAGTCGACTTTGATGAAATATCTATCCGACAACCGTCACACCATGAAGCATTCTCGCCAATGGTCGGGGAATACCGAGCTCCTTCGTGCAGGCTTCTTCTTCTGGAACTCCGGCAGCGACATGCAAATGTCAGAGTTGGGACTGATTCAAACTCTGCTCTATGAGTGTCTAAAGCAAAAGCCAAATCTTGTGAAAGTGGTCTTTCCGGATAGATGGCGCATGTGCGAACTGTATGGCGACGATCTCCATCCGTGGACTTGGGACGAGCTCTTGCAAGGCTTCAAAACTTTCTGCAAGATTACATCTCAGAGTAGTAAGCTGCTGTTCTTCATCGACGGTTTAGATGAATTCCACGGAAAGCATGAAGATCTCATCGAACTCGTTCAAACCCTAGCGAAGTCACCAAACATTAAAGTCTGCGTGTCCAGTCGGCCATGGCTGGTCTTCGAAGACGCCTTCAAGACTGGAGCGAGCCTGCTCCTCGAAGACCTGACGTTTTCAGACATTGCAACTTTCGTAGAATCTCAGCTTTCCGCGAATAGGCACTTCAAGGAGTTGCGGATTAGGGATCTCGAACAGGCGAGGAATCTCGAAATACAAATCGCGAAGAAGTCGCGTGGCGTCTTTCTTTGGGTCCGCCTCGTCGTGGAATCTCTCCTCCAGGGTCTCATGAACTCAGATCGGCTTAGCGATTTGCAAAAGAGGTTGGACCTAATTCCTTCCGATTTGGACGGATTCTATGCAAGCATTCTCGATCACTTGGATCCTTTCTATTTCGAGCATGCATCACAGCTATTCCAGATTCTACGAGAAGCGCAAGGTTCTCTGTCTCTCCTCGACTTCTCTCTTGCCGACGAAGAAGACCCAGATGCAGCTATAAAAGCGGAAATCCAGATCCTGAGTCACAAAGATAGGGCACATCGGTGCGAAACGATGAGGCGACGCATCAACAGCCGCACCAAGGGTCTTCTGGACGTTCCCACCCTCGAGCATCATCGCGCTGAAGCCGAATTCCTCCAGGTAGTCACAACAAATGGCCTAAATCGCACACCTTCAGCAGGCTCTGCTCGCTCCGGCGCATCTGGATGTCGAAGCTCGCATTACAAAACAGGTAAAGATCCATACGAATCGTATTCCCTAGTGGAGCTAGATACTCTCAAAGTTGAATATCTCCATCGAACAGTGAAAGATTTCCTACAGGCTCCTGCGGTGTGGAGAAGGATTGAAAATGGAACGCATCCCCCGTTTGATCCATGCCTCTCGCTTGCACAAGCATTCCTCATGAAAGCGAAGGACAACGGCCCCGACAGATTGACTGGAGTAGACGAAAACATGTGGCACATCATTGAGAAGTGCGATACCTATATCCGAAAAGCAGAGTCCCGAACATCGACAACCTATCCTGCGCTATCCCGCGAGTTGGAGCGCGTGGCCCGCGAAATTGATGCCGTGCCTCTGGGAGCAGAGTTCCTAACGCAATCCGATCGGCAAGTCAGAGTAGTCACAACAGATGCAAAGAGAAATGCGGGTTCGCGAAGCTTTTATATCGAATGGAAACGGTCGACAATTGCGGGCGCAAAATCAATTGAATTGCTTTCTTTCGGCGAGCAGACTGGTCTCTTCAACTATGTGGAACAGCAGCTGCGTAGCGGCGTTCTCTTCCCACAGGATCGCGATGAACGACCACTTCTTTCGTATGCATTGCTGGATTTCGAACCCTTCGCGGTGCTTCGGCTCAGATTGATAACAGCACTACTCGAGAATGGGGTCAGTCCAAATCAAGAGTATCGGAATGCCTCGGGACGGATGTCTACCCCTTGGAAAGATGCATTAGCACAGCTGCAATGCGACCGCATGTCTCGAGACGTTGGATACGACTTGGTCATATCGCGGTGGGCTGACATCATTGAATTATTCCTTCGTCATGGCGCGGAGAAAGCTGATGTTTCGTCCAGTGGACGGTCGTTTGAAGAGCTATTTTCAACCGTCGACGCTCAGAAAGGTAGAGAGCTGGACGCGCTTTGTCAGACCGAATGTGCTCCTGTAAAAAAGAAAGAATCGCTACTGAAGAAGATTTTCTACATCAGATCTAAATCTAGCAAGAAGCTGGAATAGGTCATCAAAATCCGTATATATCGATCTGAAGGGAGTAAAGGCCATGACCGCTTTGGCGTTATTCTGTCTGTACCTATAGTAATATTCTTGAATGAAATGTAATGAGAAAGATGGGAATCCGTTGACCCTACACTATCGTCACCATCCCTTTATATCATTTTCCCATCGAATCCCATCAACCCGCCACATCCGCATAATCCATGATGCAACCATGAGATCTCTCTTCCAGTTCGCACCCTCTTGATCTTTCACCTTTGGATCCACAATCTCGAACCCGTTTCCATCTTCAATTGCAACTTTCCTCCCCTCTCCATCTTCCCATATCCCCTTTTTCACAAGGAACAACAGTTGCTTATCCCATTCATCGCGTGAATGATATCCGTACTTCTCGATCTTTCTTTCGTTCTCAGGATTCAAACTATTCCTCTTCCTCGTCTTCCTCAAATGCCACACCTTAACCCACTTCCCTCCAAGCAAGCCACCCCCACTTTCAAACTGAATGCTCCCTCCCAACGTCGACGACCGAAGTCCGCGCATATCAAACGTCGTAATCGTATACATTGTGCTGTCCTCGTCATAACGTAGCCGGTCTGCTGAATTCAGCGAAGAAGCGTCAGACAGGGAGCTCTTCCGTGACTCCGATGCCATCAGCCGCCGAATATGCAGCTTCTTGGGTCGACCCGACCTCGTGAACTCTTGCATCAACTGGTAACGCGGCGTTGTGCTCGTCCGCGTCGCATATACAAGACCTCCTTCTATATGGAAGACATGCGCCAGGGCATCAATTGGCGTGTAGTTTGGGGGTGCTTCGAGAACTGCTGGCGCGGTGGCTACATGTGTGATAGGGTCATGCGATGAAGGATACGACTCCGCATATGCTCGGCTTGGTCCCTCATCTCCAGACGTGTATGTTGATCCCGACGACGACATGCTCGACCTATTAGTCTTCCATCGCACTAGCGATGCTAACGGATCTTCATGTCTTTCATTCCATCGCGGGATGTGGAAGTCATGTGGTAGACGACCCATTTCATTAGAATTCGCAGTCGGGGAATATGGCGGTGCGTCGTTCATGATGATGTTGTGCTAATAGCTGAATGCTATGTTTACTTTGAGGATCCGCACTATGCCGAACGAACGAACGAACGGCCGGGGGCACGACCTAGAATATATATACGCAAGCTACCTCAGGGCATTCGATAAGGCTATGCCAAAGGGCGTCTCGCGCATGGCTTTGGAACACGCGCCCTAAGCTATACGGCTGGGACTAGATCCATCAAATCAAGCTTCGACTATCGACGGACGCGGGGCAAGGCTTGTTCAGTGGAGCGAACGAGGGTTGACGGTTGTCGGGAATGGAAGGGAGACGGAGATGCCCCGCCCCGCCCAATATCCCTCTTCTTCCCAGGACATCCGCCTCCCCACAACAGTCGCGCTATTTACCGTGGACTCGTCATTGGCGCCGGATTCTCACGGGTCCAGTGGTCTACCAATGGAATGATAATACGAGGTGGTTACGAGGTATATTAGGGCAATCGAGGTGGAGTTATTCGAATTCCAGTCATCTGTGGCGTGCCGAGGGACTTGTAGGTAGAGAGAGGGAATAGGATATGCACGCCTGATATGCACGCCCTCGACTTCCAAGATCCGCCGAGGCCCGGATGAGATGGCATCTTGGATACAACTGGTAGATCCCCAAGATCGACAATATAGACAAGACAATGTGGCTCTGTTCAGTGGCAGTGCATTAGGTCTCGTGACTATGCAATGCATTCACATAGCCATGCTGTAGTCAGCTTGCATGCTGCATTCATCGATGCCATGATACCGGCCGGTCAAGTTGAGGCAAATGATGTCCTACATCAATAACTCGTCAGGTGGCGCGAATGGGTTCGAAGATAGGATAAGGGTTGATATCTGCTTCTGTGCCATGATACTGTCAAACCTCTCTGCATTCTACATCAAACTGAGAGCACTGATCTACAATTTATACCGAGAAAACACCATAAAATCGAGGACTGTTATAATTTTATAATCGACATAGACGACCCTAATCACGGCATTCGTTCTAAAAACCAATTCACCTCGAAGTTCGCCCGTCGCTCGATTATATTGGGTTGTAGAGAAGCACATCTTCTACCCAACACTAACTAGGAGCTGAAGGCAAAAAAAAGGAAGGCAATGGTCGGAAAGAGCACCGTAGGGTATGTCTTGACAGCAAGTTTTTGATTGCTCACAGTCCTAAACTACGCGCAAGATTGAACTTTTCAAGAAGTTGCCGTACTTGCAGTCAACCTACTATGCTACGGTTGACGCGGACTTAATATGCTTAGGCTCCAGGGAATAGTAACACTGACAGGGTAAGTAGCTGCTTACAATACTTATCTTGTATTTCTGTATAAGTGCTTGCAGCCAGACATACAATTTCGTGAACTCGTTCAGTTCAGTATTCATCAACTTGAAAGTCACTAGCACAAGCATTTTCCAACAAGATCTGTTGGCCGCTTCCAATAAGGCCTGCCGTTCTCTAATCGTGTCCCCCTTGATCTCCACGATATAAAGACAAGCCCATGACGATATAACAACGGGGGTGCTGTTCAGTCTGTAAAGCCGGGTTTAATTGTCTGTTTTAGAATCAATTGTGGAGTTATCGTGTGGCTCCATACGCCCTGGCCTGACCTGAGCCTATAGCATGGATCAAATCTTTTGCCACCAACGGATCAACTGTGCCCTTTTCTAAGAACTCAACGGTTCGTTGAAATTGTGATTGCAGTTCCTATCAACCTCTGAAACTTGATCCTCTCCTACATCTTACACATTGCCTCACGCTACTCGTAAAAACATACTCCCACAGCTCAAAGTCTCTTAGTCACAGTTCACAGAAACAGTTTCGATGAGCGAGTTTACTATGATTACGTTTTCCTGCACGATGAATTCTTCCGATGCATTCGAAAGCCTCCAGAATATTCTCCGGCATCTTTGTTCGAATCAATCCGCCCAACCAGGTTTATGTTTTACCCGAATGAACTTCTATGCTGTACCCCAAGATACCATTGAACCCTTTAGACCCTCTGAACATTTTCTACACCCATCGTTCTAGAAAAAAGTACTAGGATGTACCCCAGACGGAATCTCAGGGACGTTCGGCTAAACCTAACCTGCGACGTCGGATGGCGCAAACCGCTTTCATGCATCCACTTTACCCCAGATTTGCACTCCTCGGCTATCATCCGATCCACAACGTTCTCTGCTAGGCACTTCAGGGCCCCATGCTGGAGAACCCAGATTCAGGTTGCGGCTCTTTCAATAACCATATGCGGCTGAGTTCCGTAGCCAACTCGCCTTCAATGGCGGCTCTAATATTCTGCCAGTATCCATCCCATCGACGACTACGATCACATCTCCAGGTCTTGCCAATCTCTTTTTCCTATCTTTTTTCATCTCAAAGATTAATCTACTTTCATTGTAATTTTGGAGCGTATTGCAATCAAATTCGCAATCTGAATTCAAGAGGTTTACTTCTAGATCATCATGCCTGTGTATCTCTGGCGTCGTTTCAGATCCAGGCACTCTGCGTGTTTGATTGGATCGGAGAAGAGTGTGAATTACACTTCACATCATCTGAGATGCGAGCAAATCAATAGTTCAACAAAGCAGCAACTATGTCAGCAAACATCACAACAAGTTGGCATCTCAAGGTATGCTTTACACGATAGAAAGATTTAACTTACTAACACTATCCAGATCATGGCCTGGAACGGCCCAAATTGTTGCAAGCGACGAGGAAGATAGCTTCTCCAATGTCTTTTCTCGAATACCAGAACTGCAATATACAGATGCTCGCAGCTCAGGACCGCAACAAGCTAATTGTTCAACGTCAAGTTCTCAACCGCCGGCAAACTTACACATCAGCTCCGTGAAGCCACCTCCATTGTGTCGATTGTCGAGGACACCACATCTCTCGATATTTTTATTGTACCTCACAGTGACACTGTCACTACTATCTACACTAGCAGAGGCTAGCCCTCTCCTTGGTCTACCTTCAGATCTCCATCTCAACCTTCATCGCCGACAAGCAATTCCAGACAAGTTCGGACGAACTGGAAATGAGCCTGCCCCAGTGGCGTCACAACCACCACCACAGCCTGCAACACCCACAATCTCAATCCTCCCATCTACCACAACAGCATCCACTTTCAATTCTGCCACTCCCCAACCAAGTTTTCCCGCCACAGGCACAGATGACAATGATAATACACGGCCACAAAACGAGTTCGGCATCCCTCCACAATCTCTCACCTTGATATCCTCTCCACTTCGCCTGTCTCCTGGGGTGATCGCAGGCATTGCAGGAGGCGGCGCCGCAGTACTTTTCGCCTCCATCGGCATTGCAGTATGCGTATATCGACGGCGTCGAAGAATCGAAGTCAACGAGATACCGATCCGACGTTCACGTTTGGGTTCTCGCCTCGCACATCGTTTCTTTGGAGACATGCCATCTCGCGGTCCGTCGCGAAATGTGTCCCGTAATGGATTTCGTCGAGGAAGTGACGAGTCTGATGCACGTAGCGAGAAGCAGCTCGAGGCTGGATGGGTTGACAAAGGATCAATCAGCCGACCTAAGAATGCCTGGCTGGAGAACGGCCTTTTGAGCGTTCCAAAGCCCAAATTCATGCGGGAGGAGAAAGATGATGATGTAGCGCCTTGGGTTATTGGGGTTCCAAGGCCTGCCCGGCCTATCAGTGCAGAGCCACTGGGGCGTTTGAGTGGGATGGGGATGGGGATGGGGTATTTGAAGTAGAGAGGTCAAGCACGGTCACTGATTTGGGTGGTTACAATTGGTTCTGGCGTTGATGGTTGGTTTCTGGAGTGCGATACCCTATTTAATTTCTCACCATTCTAGTAGTTAAATCCAATCTTTCTTCACCATGTCTTTTCAATTCAAGGAAGCGCACTTACAGTGAATGATCTTTGCACAGCTATTGGCTAGGCAAACGCGGTCACCCAAACTAATGAACAAAGTTTCCTTAAGCAACCACTCTCTTCCTCTCTATTTATTACCTGCCTTTTCCACATCAAACAATATCAACACCAACCTCAACCGCAATCTTCCACTACAACATTCCCATTCACCACATAGCGACAGTCAATTCCCTTACGTCAAACGCCATGGACCTCGACGACCGAAAGCTCGCACTGACCCTGGTTCTCTCTTTCCTCATCGCGCTTGTCGTACCATTTCTCCGCAAAATATTCTTCAGTATCGTGATGCTGATTCTCGAGGTACCTTTGTACATCCCCCCCAAACTTGCCAGCATCTTTATCAGCCTTACATATATGGCGATCATGGCGATCATTCTCATGATAATGCCTATGATGCGCGAGGGCAGAGGTTTCGTCCTGCTTTGGATCCCTATCTCGGTTGGTATTATGGTGCAGATTTTATTACTGTGGAATAATAGGTCCGATCCATTGCCAGGAGTTCCATGATGGCTATAGTGTCATTCCCAGAACCTTCGAATACGCAGAAGCCAGTGGGAAACACAATTCGAAAAGTCGTATGGACAATCAAAACAATATATACATAATCTTCAAAATCCATTTTGTACCCGAAATTTGTTAATACGCGGTGATTCGCGCCGAAACCTGCTTGTAACAATACTCCAATGGCCCAATGACATGCGTCCAGATATCCTTCCTCCAACTCCCATCGCTCAGCTGCTTCGCGCGCAGACACCACTCCACTGCCTGCGCGAACTCCGGCCCCGCCTCTTCGGTCACTAACTTGCTCCAGTTCAAGGCAGCTGCATAATCTAGAAGGGGGGCAGATGTGGCGTCTCCGGCGGGAAGCTGTTGTCGGAATTTATTCTGCTCGAGCGAGGTGCCGAAGCAGAGCTCTAGGAGTCTGATGCCGAGAGCGGCCATTGTGTCGACGGTGTCAGTGGCGCCTGATTTCGACATTTCGCCGCAGAGATATGGTGTATCTAGAAGGACAGACTCGTCATTTTTGGGGTCATGCAGGAACAAAACATTCTCCTTCTGAAGAGGAGTGGTTAGCCATGGTGTAGATGACAATTGAAGGTAGGACGACGCCAGCGTGAGAGCCAACCAGTAGCGTTTTCGCCGTGTCAGAATGCCATGGGCATCGGAGAGGATCTTTTCCAAGGTGACAATCTTGTAACCTGAAATCGATTTGGTCGGGTCCCCAGGATACACAGAAAAGCGGTAATCGTCCTCGTCCATGTATCCAAAGCATTCAGGTACGGTCGCTCCACCAGCGCCGTTAAGCCGGCCTGAGGTAGCTGTTAGGGTAGCACAAAGGCATTTTATATTCATCGCTTCGGGCTGAGTGACAGTCGGTAACAGAGTATCGCTGCTTTCGCTCCAGCGAACCTTCCGGGGACTTTTCTGCGGTGTAGATTGGGGTACTTTGACGACAATGCCTGGACTATTTGGTGTTGATTCCGCTGGAAGCATCTTGATTTTGGTCTCCTGCCAGCCTAATCTTTTATGATCTGCTCCCAGGTTGAACAAAACATCGAATTCCACCTTTTCTGACGTTCGGTGCTGTAGTTGGAGATTTGCTACATGACTCATGCAACTACATTGCCATGATTTTATCAGAGCATGGTGCAATCTCACGGCATGTCTCCAGAAGTCGTTGATCTTTCTGTTGACAGCCGAATTGGGCTTAATGGTACCAGTCTTTCGTCTAGCTTCCGAGATATGATCGCTACTATCCAAAAGGTTTCGCAATCGGTCATTGGCATCTTGGAGTTTGTCGAACAGTCGCTCGCGAGAGGACTTTTTCAAACTGAATCTGATTCTCTTGGCCTCAAATTCAATGTTCGATATGCTTAATCGATCTCTTCTAGTAACACCTGCCTTTACTTTGCCCTGTCGGTTTGCTGTCAGTTATACGGCTTTGTCAACGTTGATCTAGATTTGTACCTTATCGACCTTCGCGAGAAACTTAGAATCATTGACGCCAAGTTCCTTCTTTAGCGACTCTATAAGCTTATTTATGTTGCCCATGATATCCAGGAAAAGCTCGTAAGACTTTGGCAAGCGCTGCTTCAACCTCTTCTCGAGCTCTTCGTCCTCCCATGCCTCGCCTGCCGGATTGTCCATAAGTGCTTTGAGTTCATCATCATCCACTACCAGAGGTAGTAGTAATCTCTCGATGTTACCTTCAAATATGGTATGATGGTAGCCGAGGTCGTGTTTGCATTTCTTGTAGGTTGCTTGGATTCGCCACCAGTCGTTCAATAGCTCAGCCCCTTCACGATAGCTTTCCAGCGCGTATATGAGAAGAGGAAATGCACCCAGAACCAAGCCGGCCAGCTCTATACCGCTCATCTTGGTGTTACAGATGTATCAAAAGTCATATTCACAGAGATGAAATGTTGAAGCTTGAGAGGTGATAAGGCTGAGGTTCAGCTCGTCCGTTTGGGGGCCGAAAGTGGGGGGGTTTCTCAGCCCGTCTTCCCCTCATCTTGTGATGTGCAGATGCAGCCGCATTTCCTCAGAGCCTTGTACAAATCTTTAGAAATGAATAGATGATCCAAAACAACCTCCGAACAGGCTCTTTCCAAAAGACATGCAGCGATCGTTGGCAACTTCTGCCATAGCATGCGCCCAGCTGCTTGATCAGGTCTCGACGCTTCTTCGTGACCCTGCGAATGAGGCTCGCTCTGCTCTGCGGCGCGGAGAAATCGAAGATCAAGCAGGAAGATTTAGAGTGTGGGCAGGAAATCTAGGAGCATTTCAACGATTGCCATCGACTTCATCGCTCGATCATAGACTTAGAGAGTCGCCGAAGGTAGCAGGGCAAGTACTAGAGCTTCTGCAAGATTTGCAAGATACTGCACAGATAGGTAATAGATCTCTTCATTCTTTAGGTTTTGCTCACATTGTATTAAGTGTCTGATATCGCCTCTGGCGAGAGACCAAATCGTCAATACGATGCTGAGGACGATAGTGAGGACGATTTCGTTCCAGACGATGATGATGAACTTGAGGAGGCAACCAACGACTGCACTGAAACTGAAAAGCTTCATACACCCAAAGAACCTCTATCCGAAGGTCAGGAGTTGTTCGAGAGCATAAAGGAGACTATTGCAAGCCTGTTTAGGATATCAATAATCATTCGCAATGCCAGTCCCAGAGATCGCTTCGCCAGGGCGTTGCAATCGAATCAGCCCTCTTTTGATAGCAGCTTCGATATCAACCATGTGGGTCAGAAATTCCCATTATTAGACTCGAAAGAAAAGAAGTGGCTCAAGGAACGACTGGGCAAGGCCATAACTAATCGAAGGCAATACCTTCGATATGCCCGTGATCACCGCTACAAACTCGGCAAAGAACGACAGGATGTTTGGCAGCCCAACGACAAAGAGGAACGACGCACGCAACCAGCTCTAACGGTGGATTGGACGAGAGCTCCCCAAGAATCACAATTGAAACCTCCGGTGGCAGAGAGTACGCTGGCTTCTACCTCCGCATCGACTTTGCGTCCTACAGATGTTCAATTACAAGAGGAAGACTTCCGGGACGATCAATCTCAGACCTCATACGCCATGTCTCTCAACGACGAAAACGAAGCTCTTGAGCTTCCAAGACTTGAAGACGTTGCGAAAGGCGTTTTCCCCTTTGAATGTCCGCTGTGCTGGACGATTCAAAATACCAAGAAGGAAAGTTCCTGGCGAAAACATGTCTTCTCTGATCTACGACCGTATGTCTGCACCTTTGGAAAGTGTGATGTCAAGCTATTTGCCGACCGTCGCGATTGGTTCGACCACGAGATGCAGGTCCATCGAAATCAGTGGGTTTGCCACTTCTGCGACAAGGAAGGCTTCCAATCGCTCGAACGGTTCCACGATCATCTGCACAAGCACCACTCCAATGTCGCGACGGCTGATCAACTGGATGCAATTTGCGAAGCGAGCAAACGACCCATTGATCAGATTCCGGCATCAGATTGCCCGTTTTGTAATGTATGGGAGGGGAAGTTGCGTGAAGTAAACCCCGATATCCCTGTCGAAACAAGCATTGTGGTCACGCCTGCCCAGTTTCGGCACCATGTCGGATCTCACATGCAGCAGTTGGCATTGTTTGCCATTCCTCGGGGCCATCTACAAGTTGAATCAGAGGGAGATTCTGCTGCGAGTGCGGAAGCCGTCGCATTTGACAAGATTGGGTCATCCAAAAAGCATTCGAGTGTCAGCTCTTACGTATCCATACCGAGTTTGGGTTCAAACACCGATGCCTTGGAAAAGCAACGACTCGCCCTCCAACAAGCTGAGATCAAATATGGATCAAACCATTTTGACACTTTGAGGGAGTTGGAGAATCTTGCATTTCTACTGGTGGACATGAGGAAGCACGACGAGGCGGAAGAATTGCTCCAAAGAGCTCACGCAGGCTATGAAGGATCGCCTGAGTGTGGATCATATCATCCCTTGACTCTTAAGGCTCTTGCCAATCTCGGCGACTTTTACAGAAATAAGGGGCTTTATGAGCGGGCAGAGAAAGTATACCAGGAGGCACTCTTGGGCTATGAACGAACTAATATTTTCGGTGAGGACCATGACAAGTGCTTGGCTGATGTGGTCAATCACTTGGGCGATGTTTACAGTTCCCAGAATCGACTGGAGGAAGCAGAAACATTTTATCAACGCGCTAAGAAGGCATATCAAGCAATGTTCGGGCCCCAACATCCTTCGACACTCGACATGATCAAGAAATTGAGTGACCTCTTTGTCGAGAAGACCGGGCTCGATGAAGCAGAAAAGAAATACCGAAATGCACTAGAGAGTTCAGAAGAAGAGAACGGCTTGCTCCACAAAGAGACACTCCAAAGAGTCGGTGATCTCGGCTCGGTGTTGTTCGAGCAAACGAAATACGAAGAGGCAGAGTTGATGTACAGAAGAGTTATGGAAGGATACGAGAAAATGCATGGGCCTAAGCACCTAATGACCCTGGATAAAATCCACTACCTTGCCTTAGTTCTTGATCGACAAAAGAAATATGAGGAGTCGACAAAGATGTACAAGAAAGCGCTCGAAGGATACGAAGAAACTTTGGGTCCAACAGAATTGGGCACACTTCACTGTTGCTTCAATTATGCCTTAGCTTTGACCCATACAGGCAATAACGAAGATGCTGAGATGCTATACCGACGAGCATTGGAAGGGTATGAGTTGCAGCTTGGTATGAAGGATTTGACTACAATCAATACACTCAAGAATCTCGGCTTGGTTTTACATCACCTCAGCAAATTTCAAGAGGCACGGGCAATGCTTGCGCGCGCAGTGAGAGGATTTGAAGTGGTACTTGGGCCCGAAGACCCAGCTTACCTGAACACTTTGAGTTACATTGGCGCAACTCTCGACGCACTCGGTCGCTACAAAGACGCAGAGTATTATTATCGCGAGGCTTTTCTGGGCCTGAATCAGGCAACTGGGCCTGAATCCTCCGATACACAGTCGACCCGGCAATTCCTTGCCTATAATATGAGCTATCAAGGTCGTCTAACAGAGGCTATCAATACGCTGGAAATCTATTATCAGATACAGCAACAGCATTATGGAGACCGAAACAAATATACCTTGAGCGCGCTTAGGCAAATAGAACAATGGCGAGAAGAAGCTGGGTTGAAGGTCGAAAAGCCCGTATAGTCAATATTATCATGCTAGGAGTAAATTTAAACATTTGAAGAACTGCAGTGCTCCATGATAGATGCTAAAGTAGTGATTCGAAGCTATAGTATTTGACGAGCCAAGCTTTCCTGATCTTTGTGATACAAATAAAACCTTGCTAATTCACCGGATCGGAAACACATACGGTTCAAAAACGGGGCACTCTATTACCCACCCCAGCTGATATGTAAAAGTTGATTGAAAGGTATATGACATAATATAGTAGTGGTATAATTCCCTCGGCTGCCAGCACAGTCTCCTCCATGTTGACAATTCAATGTTACCGTCGTTCTGAAATGTAGAGCGATGGAGAGTTTATACATTGGCACCATTCACTCGCTTACTGCGCAGACTTTGTGATTTTGTATCAACTCATACGCATTGAACAAGCAACTCATCGCTTCTGCATTAATGGCATACGTCGAAGACAGCACATTGCATATGGCAGAGAACTTTTGTTCAAAACAATCCCAACTGCCGAATGGTTTAGATGCGTATCCGAACTGCAAGCGTGCAAGAATATTTCCTGGTCTGCCCATGGGCAATGTGGGGGGCGATTCCAGATTCATAGGCGCAAGCTAAGGTCTTTGTGTTGCAAGATTCTCGAGATAAAGACGACAATGCCTCCGACGAAGAGCGTCACACCCTATTCACTTATTAGCGCCAATTCATCGTATTCCTCTTCTCCTAAACATACCCCGAAGACGATAAGGCCCATGTATCCAAAGGCAAAATCTGTAGACGATTGTATCAACGACCCACCAATAGGCGAGCCTACCAACTGAGCAGCAGCCAAAACAGTATATAGTGCACCGATTCGTCCCCCAAGTTTGTCTGCTGGGGAAAGTTGTGCGGCAATGACGGGGAGAACGGCGATAAATACCCCTGAACAGAAACCATACAGTATAACGAAGACCACAAGGACTCCTACGTCGCTTGTGACGAGCCACATGCCGAGGCACTGAATTCCAGACAAGATTGTCATCGGATAGGTAATGTTGGTGGGCCCAGTTTCATCTGCTGCTAGGCCTCCGCTGGATCACAGTCAACATTGCTCTCATCTCGAGATCATTGGAAATCTGGCCTACAGGATTCGCCCGAGTATACTAGCAGCATTCATCAGGGGTAGAAGGTAGTCCTTGGCGGATGAATTGGGATTCGATGTGGAACAATAGGAGGCTGCTTGACTGTTAAGATGACAAAGAGTGGAAATGGCGTATGACACATACTGATATAGTAGTATGGCACATACTGGCCGAGCATGGCCACGAAAGCTCCCACAGCAAGGACGGAATATCTCTTATCGAGGAAGCCTTTGAAGTCAAATAGTTGGCCAGCTCCTCTGAGCGGCTTCGGAGGAAGTTTAGTCCATGATATACTGAGAGCTATAGCATAGGATACTCTTTTTAAGGTTAGCATTTCTCACTTCATATTCGAGTTACTTGAGTAGACTCACGCCACGACTGTAGCTACGACTCTCAGTGTCCACGCAAAACCTACTTGAGGCATCAAGCGAGCGAATATGATCGGGAAGCATACGCCTCCAACGCTCCCTGATGCTGCTACAATACCCATAACTAGAGCACGACGACGTTGGAAATGTTGCCCGGCAACCACAAGGGCGGGTTGAGCGCCTAATGCGATCGCGACACCCAGGAGCACACCCTGAATAAGAAAAAGCTGGTATAGTTCGTCTGTTTCACTGAAAGACAAAGCTAAGAGACCGCCAGCACAGCCTAAGCCAGAAAGTATGTACAAGTTCTAGCATAGTTCAGCAGTGTTTCCGATCAGTGTTTCCAGAAATCCAAAAAAAAAAGACCGGCAATAAACACATACCTTTAGGCCATAACAGTCGAATAGAGATCCAGCAGGAGCAGCCAGCACGTTCATCAACGTGATTTGAAGAGTTCCAATAAAAGAGATTGTAGAAGCAGGCGTATCGGTCAAGCCTGTGCTTTGATAGTATTCTTGGAAGAAACCAAAGCTATTGATGATTCCAAATGCAGAGAAATAAACCAGACAGGATCCAAGAACGGTTAAGAGGGGCTTGAGGTCTCGGTCGGTCTTTGGAATATCAGTCTCGAGACTGGAAGCATCTCCTTCATCTTCCTTCTTCTTCTTCTTTTCGAGGAAGAACTTCATTTTGGGCGGCAGAAACCCTGCGACTGGCGCAAAAGTTGCTTCTTTTGTACAATGTAGTCAAGGGGAGAAATTGTTTCAGAATCATGACGACAATACAAAATTATGGCGGGTATCTTGCTTTTACGTTCTTCGCATGCTTGGTGTGGAATGCTGGCAAGCAAGTCACAGTGAGCTGTGACGCAAGGCCATACTTCCGACCACCCGTCTTCCTTTGCCCGCGCGGATGTCCCAGATCGTGCGCTTCATGTGCTCTAGATCATCTCTATAGAATGACGGTTTTGCGGCCTCAACCCGACGGGATGTTGTCATGTGTAACGGCATGAGCGGACCAGCAATTACACACCGCGGGTCAACACAGGTGGCAGATGACATCTTCCTGCTAACATGTAGATCTGTCAACCGAACTGACAGATTTTGGCCTCGATGACAATGATTATTCTCTGCACGAGACTTTGTACACAGGAGTTACACATCTCTACACCAGATTCAGGCAGCGTTGTTGAGGTGAATCTCATCACGTGGCTTGTAGTACATTCCGCACATCATTCTCCACTTAGGCTGATGTAACACTGGATGGTTTAACTCTATCTTTAAGAAGTCTATTGTGACCGATCAAATGAGGAAATGAAACTCTTTCATCGTGTCCGCACTTGATAGTTACTGGCCTGATCTCAAAAGGTCTCGGTTGCAGATATCAAGCAATTGCGCATAATCACCAGCTCATATCAACACAACTGTTGAACCAAACAGTTGGGCTGAGACCTACTAAACAAATAGGAAGAATGAGCTATCGCCAAAAGGTATAGCAATTGAAGATACTCGTACCCCCTTGGACCATCTTGGCCAATGGCAAGCTTTTGCCGTGGAATGATGAAGTATGTGATCTCGATTGGCGAGTTGGGCAAAAAGAATAATCTCGTATAGCTTATTTTCACATACCTTTGATATGGCCTTAAACCCAGGTCGACAAAGATGATACCGATAGGCCTTTGCCTAGGCCCCTGATGCTTTCTCCAATTGGTTCCCGAATCCGCAGACCAGGCCAACATTGGGCAAAGAGTTCGGAACTGTTTCACAAGTTTCTGTACTTATCGATTCTGACACAGGATGGTAGACTTTACTGCTAAAGAAGTTTGATCGATCCGACATGACCACCGGAGAACACATCACACATCATTTCGTAATGACGTTTCCATACTGAAGATCCGAAAATAGCGACACGTTATGTTTCGATCCTTCTGTGGGTCGCGTTCCACTCTATCTCGCCTTCGGTCGGTTCTGAACAACATCGTTGCCTTTTGATTCCCGAATCCATCAAAACGGGCCGAACGTTGGGTCTGCCAACGTCAAGGGTCGACAAGGCGATCTGTCAGTCATATCAGGAAAGCGTTTACAATTAGCGCTTGATCGACAATCTACCGCCGGTGAGGAATGTTTGCATGTTCCTGCGTGAGGGGAGCATCAAGCACGCAAGAAGACGGTGTTAATCCTGGTTATGCCAAAGCCTTCACGCGGTCGTGATCCGCGGCTGGAACAAAAATCCGAAAGTTTATCACCCTGGAGGTAGGTGGCACGGCGGCGGTGGAATCTTTTGTATGGAAGAAGCCAAGATTGTCCATGACGCTATCTTGTTGAAATTATCTAGCATATCTAGACAAACCTAATGTCTGACTCTTTGTAATGAGATAGACATCCACTGTCTTTTTGGTGTAACCATAGTCTATTCACTCAGAGCGCGGTACGACTGTTCGAAACGCCCACGCATTACTGTGTGGGCTAGACTTGTATCGTTTCTATCTCAAACATGTGATCTACCATACGAGTCATTTCAAAGTTTTTACTATGTAGACACGCTTGAATAGCCAGGCAGTAAAGTCTGCTAAGGTTCTGAAGCCTACACTTCACTGTCTATCTTGGATCTACTTCGTGATCAACTGCAAGGCCAATGCGATTAGAGCCTTCAAAGAATTACTACATAGACGTGGCGGTCAAAGAGGTCTTTAATCTTCCTCGTGTTTCTCGGTAACCGACCCGGGCGTTGAGGTTGCAAGGGGCAATACACTCGTGTTAGCGAAGAGAAAACGGGGAAACCAACGCCGTGCACCTGGAAGCGAAATCCACAACTCTTCTATGAACAAAGGCGAATCTCTACTGTATCGGTGGTGATTGGCATAGAGTGGAGCTGATGAATGATGATGCTGTCATGGCTGGCTGCGTGCGCAATTCAGCCTCCTTCCCAAAGTACCACCTAACTCTATGTGCTGTAGCGCCGGGAACCTGTTTGATCGTTACGGACCTCACCGAAAAGACAACGCATTTGGGGAATGGTGTTTCGTGTTGTAAACAAGTCGCAGAGTTACTGTGTAGATACACCTACGGAGTTGCAAGATACGGAAATCCTTCGGAGGGGCAGAATTATAATGATTATTGCCCACTGTCGCGAATTGGGCATTCTACTATTTTCTGATGTTATCCTAGGTACCGCCTCCTGAACGAATTAGGTTGGGACTAAGTCTCCTAAGTAAACTATCAAAATCCAGATCCCAGCCCTTCTCCTTTAAGCGTGCCAATCTCAACGCCCTCGCAGGTGGATCACATTCGTGTCCTGCATTAACGTCTGCACGAGAGGGGAAGGTTTGGTCACTGTTTGGGGAGACGCTCGTTGAAAACGGTTCACGTGGCCGCCACTGGAAGCATACTTTCCTCCGGCACTCGATGCACGTTCCGACTGCAGTGAGCATGGATCCGATCCTGGACAATCGGTTTTGTAGCATATCATTTCCCTTTCCGGGCTTAATACCAAGATTAGGACAAGGGAGAAACCTGCAATCGCAGGCTACATTCAGCACGACCTCCGCCCGTTGTCACAGTGGATCCAAACGTAGTTGGTCAGTGAGGGGGCGTTTGGTTTGCGGGACTACAATGCTTACGGTGCCATGAATCGCAACCGCAGCGGCGAAGGGGTTGATCTTCGCATGGCCATGGTACACGAATGCCTTAAGTTTAAAGTAGTCCCGGCCATTGTGCGGGCGCGATGTTAGAATTCAATTGCGCGTCAAGAGAGTGAAGTGTTTACCTTATGTTGCGCGGCGTACATTCGCCATGTCTGCACCAGCACCAAACTACCCTGACGCGGACCGAGGTGTCAGTCTTGCAGCTACATACATTACAGGATGTGTAGTATCACTGGTCTTTGTTGTCATGCGGCTATGCGCACGATATAGCATAGCTGGCGTTGGGATTGACGACTGGTTAATGCTTGTTACCTGGGTAAGTCTTCTCCTTTGAACCATTCCAATATACACAATACAGATCTTCCCTCTGAGTATATGTACTCACTATTGCTAGATCGCTTTCGTTCCAGTCACCGTCTTACTGTGCATCCTCTGTGTCAATGGAGGCACTCGCCATCTCGCCTACCTTGCCGCCGACCCAGACAAGCTCGTCTGGTCTATCAAAATGAATTGGATCTCTCAACCCTTCGTCATCTTCTGCCTCGGAACCGGAAAAGTTGCTGTCTCCTTCCTCATCATCCGCCTACTCAATCGCGCCTCGATCTGGCGCCGCTATTCTCTTTACTTCGCCAGTGCTCTCACAGTCGCCAACACCATCATCATGATAGTCCTCACCTTCGCACAATGCAGCACCCCCGCCGCACTCTGGGACCAGGAACTAAAAGAACGGACGAAGTGCTGGAACCCTCAAGTCCAAAGTAGCTTCAGCATTTACGGAGCCGCCGTTCACACGGCAATGGATTTCTTCCTCGCCGGGCTTCCCATCACCTTAGTGTGGGGACTACAGACAGACCTGAGGAAGAAGATCGCCCTCTGTGCATTACTGGGATGTGGAGCATTGTAAGAATCACTCCGGCTACGAATTCGTCTCATCAATCATGCTGACTCGGCACTTCATTAGGACTGGAATCTGTGCAGGCGTTAAAACGAGCAAACTCCTCTCGCTCAACGAGAGATCAGACATCACCTGGGAGACCGTCCCATTATTCATGTGGTCAGGGTAAGTCGTGTAAATGTATTGCGCCATGATCCGCGTATACGAACCTCACTTGCATTCATATTTCGATCGTCGCCAGACTAACCGATCCCCCACTAGAATCGAAATCATCCTCCTCATCGTCTGCGGCTCCATCCCCGCGCTCAAACCCATCTACAGCATTTGTCTGGGGAAGCGATCATTCACGTTGCGGTCGAGTCAGCGGAATACATTGAGTGCGAAGAAGAATAACAATTCGCGGCGATCGTACATCCGACAACGAGACGATACTGAGGCTTCGCTTGGTCTCAACAATGTCACACAGCCTTCGGCTGTGCATGTTAGTCGAATGTCGGAGGATGAGATTGCTATGACTGGGAGGTTCGATAAGGAGGGGACGATACAAATCACGAAGACTTTCGATATCCAGAGGGATTGATTCTTATGTTAAGAGATACATGTATGATGTGTAATTTTAGTTTCTACGATACCCAACAAAGCAAAGAGAAATATAATATAAACCTACATAATATACACAAAACTAGCAGAAAACCTTGTGCGAAATCGTTCGCATTGTAGGATAATCGACGACTAAAGAGATCGGTGACAGGCATGAGAATCGAACTGCAGCAGGTACCTACATTGGGTCGATCTGATGACCAGGAATGCTTGTGCAGTTGTGCAAGGCGTGCCGATCACGGTGGTTACGCACACACAAACGAGTCAGGGGATTCTATCGATGCAATATATTCTTCTATATATATTTTGCGCAGATCAAATTCTACATCCTTTCAATATGGTATGTATGATAGGAATAAACAATACTCAAAACGCTCCGCTCAAATGCTACCGATGTTATGCAATGCGTCGCGACAAGCAATCTAAAGTCTACATATGCCAACACGAACCGAAGTTCGATCTACCACTTAAAACTTTCTTCAAAATACTCAATACCTCTGTGGCCCCTCTCCAAAGCCTGGATAGTGGCTCTCCGCGCGTCGTCCGCCATCTGCGCGGGCCCGCATGCCACCACAGCCAACCCTCCATGATTGGTCTCTTCTAGTTGGGCCTCTTCTTCAACAGCGGCATATACGTCTGGTCGACCTGCTTTCAACACGCAGCGCTTCAATCCTTCGCCGAGATCGTCGTCCTTGCCTTCGTCTGTGTCCTCCTGCGTGACGTGGACGGTTAATGTGACTTTGTCCTCAGCATCTCGATCTTGTATGATCTGTCGGAAGTCGCGTTTGAGGACGTCGGTCAAGAAGCGGTGTTCTCGTACTGCCCAGAGAATGTGTATGCGAGTTGATTTTGAGGTAGAGTCGAGGAGAGCGGCGAGGTAGGATAGAGGAACCGCTATACCCGTTCCGCCGACAACAAAGAGTACGGAAGAAAATTTGCTCAGAGGGTTGGTTTCGCCGTAAGGTCCCTCGACTAGTACTCGTAATTCAGTCGGGCCAGAACTGGCAGACTTCTTCAGTCGAGCGGTGAAACCGTCGTATGGGCGGACGAGGAAGACTAGCGATGGATTTGCCTGATCCGAGGTCGCATCCGATGCCAGTAGAGCATCAGACTCGGTTGATGATTCGGATTCGGAACGATGAACAGAGGCTCGACGAGTTTGAAGTCTGCTTGGTCGTTCCATTTCGCTTTTGTCCTCTGGGTGTCTCACATATCCAAGAGTAAATGGGTGGCTTTGGTGCATGTAAAGTGGGTTACTCAAAACGTAGATGTAGTAGTATGTGCCTGGTTGGGGATTCGAGAGTGCTCGGGAATGGCCGAAGGGGATATCCAGCCGGATTAGATTAGAATCAAAATCGTAACTTGCTATGCATTTGGTGTTCCAGAAGTGAGAGTCGAACGACAGGATGCGTGCCATGCGAATGACTCGGTCTAATACCCACACGATTACACAGGGCCAAATGAACCAGTCGTACTCGCCCTTGAAGATGTAGACGTGACTGTGTTGTGGTTAGCCATGATATCGCAATGTCATTACAATATGTAACGTACTAGTACATCGTCCAAATAACAGCCACAGAGGCGGCAATGTGAATGATTAAAAATATCTCATAGTGGCTGCGACGCAGACCATAGACGGAGAACACGCAAATAGCAACCATGAAAATGGTCGCCAACTCGCCATTCCAAAAATAATGCTTGTACAGATATTTTTCGAAGTATGGCCAACCTCCGTCTAACAGATTTAGCTGATGTCATATGCGTCATTTGCATGCAAAACTTACTAGTCCAGATAATCTTCGTATACCCAAGAGAGTGTACGACTGCTTGCACGGTTGATATTCTGGCGACCCAACGATGGAAGTTGTTATATGTGCCGAACCCCCAACCGGTAACCCATAGTAGGACGTTATTCCTAGTACCGAAAAGCCATATGAGAGGGAAATTAGCGAGAGATATGATGCCCGTGCGATCGGAAATATAGCGAAAGTATTGTGCGGATAGGCGCGGCCAAAACATGTTGCCAGTGAACGCCTGATAGTTAACGACGCACAGAATGGTGTTCAACAAGACGAATGCGAATATTGTACAACTTTGAATCCTGGGTGGAACGGTGCACCATCCAACGTTTTGGGAGCAGCGATAGCCAAATGTTGCTGGTACAAGGATGTACCTCTTGAGTAGAGTGTATGGCGAGCTGAGCAAAGCATGATGCCTGGCTGGGGAATGGCGTTCTACGTCATCTTCACCACTTGAGATAGGTTGCCACTCTTGAGTTCGAAGGTGCTGAATGAGGTGGATCAAACGTGTCGATAATCCAATAACCACGACCACAAGCCAGAAGTAGTACATGCAGAATCCATACAACCAATGCAAACGGTTTTCGTACATGGCCGTATCCTAAAGAAATGTCAATCGCATCATTCTAAAAAGACAATACTTAATATACCATACCCATGTTCTGAAACAGCGTAAAAAGAAGGATTCTTCTGGAATAACGACCTCATCGAGCACAGTGTTTGCTGACCATATGCCCTCTTCCGCTGTAAGTCGCCTTATCCGCTTCTTGTCGTCATCGCCATAATGATCAATCACGTCCCACCCGGGCAAAGTTTGATTGAAATTCGCACAAAGGTCCCCCTGCTCTTTTAACCAGGTCTCTCTTCCCGACGGTCCGCAGTAGGCATCCGCGCAAAGATACAGACTCGTGACATGTCGCAAGCTCGTACAGTCCCTTACCTTCTTCGGCAAGGTTCGGGCTGTGTCGTTGAAGTCGACTGAGCCGAGTGAGAGCTCGCAACCAAGGTAACAATATACTCCCTGCTGGAGCGCGGATGCTACATTGTACGGGATCAGGAAGAGGAACACATGTACCAACCTGGGAAGCATGGGGACGAGTTGATGGTAGGTGGTGATGGGATGGAAAAAAGATCAGATTGTGAGTGGGGTCTTATCAGATCGAACCACGTAGTCCGTGCGCTCCTCCGCGAACGGCCTATTTTCTCCTAAACCTGAATTAGTCCTAGTGACTGGTCACATGCATATGCCATACGCCATTTAGTATACATCAGGAGACCATCTTTCTCACAAAGTATGATGAACTTTCTAACAAAACATTGTATATGGTTTGCAAAAATGTTAATTGTAATAATTGGTTATATTTTTTATTTAAAGCATCTTGAAAAACCAAAAAAGTGACTCGACAAAGCGTACGTTTATTTTACTGACATATGACCCCATCAAGCACCGAGTAGTGCTAAAAGAATATTTGTGTGAGATTTGATAAGTGCAAGCTCTGTCTGGATTTCTAACTTCAGACTACTCTCTGGAATCATAGCTAGAAGTCCTTAGGAAGGTATTATAATGGCTATCAATACGAGATCCCAGCACTACTTCATCACGCGTACCAGATGCATCACATGTTCTGGAACGAACCGAAGTGAAGATTATTACATCTCATTACTAGATACCTGGATACTTGTACGCTCATGAGGCCCCTTCGTGTGATATTCCATAACCTTGCTGATCATCAATCATCGAGTCGTGACGTGATCTCCAAACGCCGCCAGTACGTAAATTTCCTGTCAATTGAAGTCATCGAACCCGCCAGAAGCAGCCCGTTCGACGGCCTATAGGCCCCTAAAGCTTCTACATCCTCCCCGAAAGCTGTGCCAGGAATCGGTTTCGTTCCGTAACTCCACCCCATCCGTCAAGGGTGTGCTTCTTCGCCAACGCTGCCAACACACTAGGATTGCTACTGACTACTTGCTCGTCGTCTAAGGCAGACCAAACACCTCGAACGTCAGGTAGGGGGAGGCCATCCTTCCAGGCGTCAAGTACCTGTACTGCAAGTTCGGGGCGACAGCGGGTATGCTTGAGAGCACGTGTGATGTCCTGGTCGCTGAACCCCTCACTGTGCTGTTCGGCAAAGAACTCATCCATCTCCTCGGGGTCAAGGGGCGGATCTGGGTCACCGGATTCTTGGGAAAAGAATTCCGAGGGACTTGGTGACCCGGCAGGAGATCGACTCAGGTTCACTGGGGTGTAGAGGTTCAAGGACGGGTATCCGGGACTCTGTGCTCCATTCAGGGAGCGACGAAACTCTTGCATTGAGTGTGTATTGGAGTCTTCTGATCCAATATCTATCGCAAGGGGAGAGCCTGGCGCCGACGTCGGTTCTTCTTTTATAGATGGAGTGACATCCCTGGCTGGCCTGGGAAGAGCCATCAGGGAGGGTCCTTGGGAAGGGGACGAAAAGATATCCTGGGAATCAATCGGTTTGGGAATGGGCTTTAATGAAAATTCATTGGGCGGCGAGGAAAGGATGGCTTGTGTATCAAAGGCAGAAGCCCGGGAGCGAGCAGCACGAGGCGTTCCAGTGGGAGTATCATTGGGGAGGTCTGAACTCCTTCGCAGAGTTGGATATCGAACTTGCCGGGCTAGTGGCGTTGGTTGATCAGACTCTGCACCCGTATCAACGTTCTCCAATTTGATAGCCTGGTGATGGAGCTGTGGCAGTTCTTCATCCTCATCGTCCTCGTCCTCGTCATCAGCAAGTGCGGAGGAATTTGTTTCAGAGGACACCTCCAATGGCTGGCGCTCTATCCCACGCGGAGAAGTTTTTGTGGCTTTCTTTGGTGGCGACCGTTTAGATCGATGGATTTTCGAAGGGCGAGATGGCGAGGCTGCCTCCTCTTCCACTTCACGTACCCTTTTCGAAATCTTATCAGATGCCTTAGGTGTAGGGGTAAGGGGGGCTAGTGTTGAGGATGTCGCGACTTCAGAAACCTGATTGCGCTTTTCCGATTTCTCCATTTCGACACGTCGAAGATCTGCGACTGCAAGAGCAACATACGTTGCCTGCACATCAAAACTGAGCCTCTGCCACCTAGGCCACAAGACTTGTCGCCGCTGAGCTACGTACTAGTCAGTCAATAAGTTCACATGCTGCTATGATTAGACCTACCTGAACCTCCATCTAAATCAGACTCATCAACTGCTCCCGCCTCCTTGGTAGCCTGAACATAGAAACTAAAGGCATCCTGAGCTTGTTCGATACCTCGACGCTTGGCCATCGCCTTTGCAATTGAGGGATTCACGGGCCTGTGAGCGGATGATAACTTGGTTGCTGTTTCTTTTCCACGCGCTGGCGCTGAAGGACTTGGTTTCGATGGTTCATGTTGTTCTTGTGCGTCTCCACGATCGCTATCCAACACTTCCTCATCCTGAGGCTGACTCTGGCTCCAAACTTGGTGGCGCTCAGGTCTCTGTCCGCCTTGGTGACTCTTTTGTTCATGCTTTCTTGTTACCCTCTTCTTCACTCGCTCTTTTTTGGCCGAATCATCCCGTTGATAATCCGGCAGGACGACCTTCTCGAAATATTGTTTCCATTGTTCCGTCGTCCTCTTCTTGTCATCCACTTCTGCGTACCGCGCCCAGGCCTCTTTAGCAGAAGCTTCGTCAATCGCTGTGATGACATCTGCATTGGCATACAACTCTTCCCAATCCACAAATGTGAACAGTAGCTCAAGATCAGATACAGTGTATACTTCTTTGATCGTCGCCTTGTCAATGTGCCGCTTCGGGGAATCATTTGACCTAGGTGATGTTTTGACTGTCTTGTCCTGCTTCTTCCCCGGGCTCTCATGAGATAATTCCGCTCGAGATTTGTTCCGAGGTACCTGTTCGACAGATTGATCCGATGGAGGGGAAGGAGGAGCATTGTCGGGCACGTTCAGACCCGCGGGAGGTTGGTCTCGTAGTCGTTTGAGGTATCGATCGCGCCACGAATGCCATGTATGTCGTGGATACTAAAGCGCATTAGTTGAAGCCGACCAAAAGCGTGATTGGAGGCATACTTTTGCTTCGAGTTGTATGTAAATTTCATTTCCAGAAGCCCTGCCACCCATCTTCTCATGATCGCGGACCCATTTGTAGAGTATCCTATCCTCCTCGGCCGTATACGCCGCGCGAGAGGTTCGGGAAGATTTGCTGCCTGCGCTCACCGCTGAAGCCGTTCCGACGGGAGGGCCGGCCAAATGCTCGTCAGGATCTTGAATCTCGCCATTTTGAATCGACGCATCAATAAAAGTATACGATATCGTCCCGGGGGCGTTATCCCGCCTGCAATGATCGGCGATGAGATAGTCTGCTTTCTTCTCCAACTGTGTTATTTCTCCACCGTTACTCTTGATCTTGTCCAGGATACTGTTCCGAAGGGGAACACGCTGGGCAATCCAGAACTTCTTGCCAGCGAACAATGTTCCATTCAAATTTGCTCCAGCAGCGACATCGTCATACACGATCGGCGCGGCCATGACGGTGCCGATGGAATTGTCGGGATGAATGGTGGGGATAGAGTGTCATTCGGAATGTGACGCGCTTCGACACGGTCTCACGGGGGCCTTGGCGGAACGCTCGCCTATCGATAACGCGCGGGCCGGTGATCACTCGTCCTGTGTATGATCAATCTTAGTTGTTGTTTACACCTTGGAACACCACCTTGGGTTTTTGAGACAACACCTAGATTCTACCAGTCTTTCAGACTCTCGAACTCCATTGAAAAGCTCCAGAGTTTCGAGAAGTCTCTTACTAGTCTGCCTTCCTTCACTTGACCCCGCCATGCTGGCGTCTCTTTGCCGTCTACATTCATTATGGGCATGACTACTTTGGAGATCGTCATATTCGTTGTTGGGTCAATATCTTTCTGGACCTTTGTCGCCTTCTTTGGGCGTCTCCCTGCTTTTAAGTAATCTTAGCGCCCTCAGTTTATTGATCTAAATACTGATTAACTCAGGAACACTATCATCGGACGCATACAGCGGCTCGTCTTCGTTCACCTTCCTTCTTTCCTCCACAAATTGGACGTACGCCTCACAAATGGCCGGATATCGAATGGAGGCTCCCGCTTTGGGCACTATCTTATGCATGAGAAGCATCCTCTAGTCGTAATATTCTTCTTGGGCCTCGTTACAGGCAGCGTCGCTCTTTTCGTTCCCGTTGTCTGGCACCATCTGCCACTCAAACACAAGCTGTTGATACCAGTTCTGGTTCCTACGCCTTACATATTCACATTCTTGAGCGCTACGAGGAACAGCGAGTCATATATCACTCCAGAAAACCACGCGGCTCAAATGCGACTCTACCCATATGATCGCGTGCTCTACTATCCTGGCAATACCTGCTCGACCTGTGAATTTTTGAAGCCTGCCAGGAGCAAGCACTGCAGTATATGCAAAACCTGCGTCGCGCGAATGGATCATCACTGTATATGGGTCAACAATTGTCTTGGGAAAGGCAATTATCGTTGGTTTCTTCTGCTTTTGTTTTTCACCACTGTTGCGCTGGCGTACGGAGCGTACTTAGCGTACATGGTCATTTCCCCTCTCGCAAGCTTGCAGTATCTACGAAACGAGAAATGGTACAGATACCGGATCAAACCAGGAGTGGATCCGAACAGCTGGGGTACATATCTCAGTATGAAGCTCTACTACTTTATGACTTTCTTGTCTATCTACCTCGAGATTGGAGGTCTCCGAGCATCGGGGGTAGGGTTGCTGGCACTGCTGACTTGGCCACTTCCATTGGGCTTGTTGGCCTACCATATCTATCTCATTTGGGCAGGCATGACGACAAATGAGAGCTCCAAATGGGCAGACTGGCGAGACGACATGGCAGAGGGTGTTGTCTACCTAGGGCATCGTATGGAGGATACGATGGGAGTTAACAGACAGCAAGCAGCATCGTCTCATCACGGCAACTCTTCGCCGTCTTCCAAGTCGAACCCCACGGCTGTGGAGCTACCATCTGAAGAGGAAGAACCAACGACAACATGGCCGCTAGAAAGTAGGCACATATTGATTCGTACCACCAACGGTCTCCCGCCACGGAATCTCCCAAGCCGCATACGCTCCGTTGCGAAGGAGGATAGTTTCGAGAAAGTATGGAATTTAGGAGCGGTTGAAAACACATTCGACTTAGGATTTTGGGATAACCTCGTCGAATCCTTCAAATAGGTTACGTGTCTTACGCAACGCACTGCATTGTACATATGTACCATTTAATATACATACCTTCTCGCACAGCTATGATACCATAACCCACCCATGTTTCAAACAGAACCCTCAAAAGGGTCCAAGATCGCCGGCAGGGGTCTAGCGCCAAAAACAGGTTGTTCAACAATGATTGTGAGGCATAATGCTTGCTTACCTTACCTCACGGCGCACGCAAGCCAATTCCCTCCTTGTTGTTTTCGGCTCTCCTCTCGATGACATCACTCCCACATGGTTCCATCCCTCACCCAACCAACCGCAACACAACCAAGAACGTCCCTTTCAACGCCGATAAGTATACAAAGCCCAGAAGTACCATTTCCTTTCCAACTTTTTCCTACTCAATCTTCTCCCCCATAATCCTGTGATAGTCCCATATACCAACTTGCATTCCAACCTCCCCACAATTCCAAACCTACATCAAGCTACCATCCCCAAGATAAACTCCACATTATAATTTATACATACCCACCATGTCCCGTCAACTTAGCAAGAAGGAAGCCCGCGAGCAACAGGTCGCCGCGGCAGGTCAAGAGCAGAACCAATATGCGCGAGATGTCGAGACGCGCGAGCAGAACGCCAGCGCAAGCGGCTCTGTACGTCCATTCCATTCATCTACTTCCATCTGTCTTGAAATCACAACCTCAAATTCCCTTTCAAATCCCACCTTTTCCCAAGGAAAAATACCATCATCTCTTGCTTTCCAATTGCCAGTAGACCAAACCACTGCCGCCAACTTCCGCAAATCCCATCTCCAAACCATTCAAATCCCCTCCCCATCTACATCACCTGCCCACAGCAAACCTTCTCCCCCCTTCAATAAGAAAGAAACATGAATTTAATACGATCCACCAGGCCGGCCTAAACCTCAACCTCTTCGGCGCCCTCTCGGGAGCCCTATCGTCCAAATCCAAAAAGACAACCCACCACAACCCAGACGGCTCCTCCACCTCTGTCGAAGACCGCCATGACAAAGGTATTTCCCCAACGCCCCCTCTTCCAATGATCCCAAATAAAGGTCACACAGCTAACGCAAAACCGTAGCGGCAGCAAACGGCATAGCAGCAGGCCGGGGCACCGCGTTCGCAAAGGCAGACGCAAACCAAGGGGCCAAGCACACGAAGAGCAGGGAGATCGGGCAGGGACAGTCGCAGGCGAAGATGGTGGAGGGGAGGAAGGAGGTCGATCATTTGGGGATTGAGGATGCGTAGATATCCTTTGCCTCTATCTTCATATTTTTTTCTCTGGGGGTTCTTGGGAGGGGAGGGATGGGAGGATGGTAACTTTAGGGGGAGGTGCTTTGTACGAGTAATGTAGATGAAATGAGAGAGTTCGAACGTTGACATAGAAAGGTGGTTTGGATTGTTATGTTTGATTTATGTGTTTATTGATTTGTATTGATTGATAGATTGAGTCGTATATCCAGAAGGGATTCGTCACATATGCTACTCCTATCCACCGTTCTTCAAACCCAGAAGACGGTCGGAATATATCTCCAAGTACGTTACTCCTATACAGATGAACATCCACATGGCGGCACCGAAGTGCCAGACGATTAAGAAATTTCCAATGTCAAGTCCCTAGATGGCGAAACGAAATAGGGCCAAGTATGGTCCAAGGTAAAACCCCAATGAAAACGCCGTCGCTAATGATTCTGATAATAACAACAAAACATGTAATCAACCCGAAGGTGATGCAAGACATCTGGTCAAGCCTTCAACGCCTCTTTTCGCGACCGCCACGTGCCAGGGAACAGCACCTCCGCGAGTACCTTGAACACCCTTGAGACGCGCCAATGTGCCTAGGGCCCTGAACTGTCCTATCATCTCTTTCAGTAGATTCTCTGCAGTCGTGCGCATCTGCGCGGTCGGTGTCCACATGAGACTACTCGTAGGTCGCTCTTGCACCGGACTAGGCCCCGGTGAGGTGCCGTCTGCACTGAGTGGGAATGGTGATTGAGGACCGGGGGCGCGGTTGGGATTGGTTGGGTTGACCGCTCCAACCCAGAGTATATTGACGCCGACGACGATCGGACCGGGCTCAGAGGGTGAGGGAAGGCTGGAAACTGCCGCTGATGGACCAGAGCTATCGGAGACCAGGCCTGAAGGGACACCGCGTTTCACGAGAAGACCCGAGATGAGGGCTGGTCGAAATTCGACGGTCGAATTCGAGTTGTGCAGGCGGTGAGCGAGTACAATTCCCCAAGACTCATCTGTGACATCGACAAGTCGAGCATCAGGATCCGTCGCTGGTTCTGGGGCGGAATCTGCGGACGGAGTTGCAGCGGGCGTAAGGTTATGTGGATCAGGAGAAACCCCTGCCTGGGGAGTTGAGCCTGGTGTGTTCGTCGATGGCTGGGTGTTACCGGTAGGTAGGGAAACAGCCGGAAGTAGGTTAGGATGGATTTGTAGACTCGGATGAGGATCAACCGTAAGTAGTGTAGTGAACAGATTGAAGTGGGTTGGGCAAGATGCAAGATATTTCCAGGTGTCTAGCTCTTCCCTCTCCATTACGCCCGATTTGGCAATGCATATACGCCAGGTGACCTTTCTGGCTTGTAGAATTTCGATGGTGGTTGCCCATATCTCTTTGGCAATCTCGCCGAAAACACGTGTGCCGAGATTGTACGAGACAATCGTTTGCGATTTGCCGCATCTGTCGGTCCAGGCAGCTGTCAACCAAGCGCCGTCGAGACTGATTGCGTATCCAATGTGCATGTACGAGTTCTCGCGCAGAAGATCCTGCGGTGTGTCTGCATTGAGGCTGAAGGGGATTTGCCTTGGTATAGATTCTTCCAGTTGAAAAGCTGGCGCCGAGTAGATGCTGAGCGGAGTCTTATCCTCGCTTGGAGAGCTAGGAGGGCATCGATCATAGACTTCGCGAGCGAGATTGATATAAGTGCTTGTGCTCAGCATGACGGGCGAGTCGAATGACGCGATGTATTTCATTGGCACGATCTGCAGAACAAGATCAGGCTTAGGCATCTGGTCCGGTCTTGATTGGGGGCCTTGGCCATACGACTGAAAGAGTGACCAGAACGCAGAACAAAGTTCCCACACAGACGACGGGTTATCGAAGGGATCGATCATGTAGATGACGAACGCATCAATTTTCGGTTCGTCCTTTTTGCGCATCTGGGCGAGTTTCACGGCCAGAACTTTTCCCAGACTGTAACACGTATCCCGCAATGACTTGAAGGCCATACGGAACGAGGGTTGGGTACCCATGATGACAGGTATGAGACCATTCTCATAGTCGGCAAGAGTCTCTCCTTTTGTATGTGCCCCCAATTTACAGCCCTCATACGCGACTTGCATGTTGAGCATAAAGTTTTCCAGGCATGGTTTGAGAGAATCGCTGTTCGGGTATATGCAGAAGGTAGCTACATTCTTCGGTGGGCTGCAGGGAGACAGACCAAGGGTCTCCCAGAAGGCCAAGGCTGGAGGCAAGAGGTCCCACAGAGTGTCTGCACGACGAATGCGGATATATGATGAATTGATTTGGTATAAATGGTTTCCAGGCGTTGGTGCTGGCTCGTTCGGTCGACGAGGCGGAGCTCGTTGTGGCCCTTTGGGCTGTGGTAAATTCTCAGGAAAGACATCATGTATGGCAATTAGACTTGACACGGTACATTCGGTGGCATTCGGAAAAACTGCTGTGACAGCCGGTTCTAGTTGTTTACTACTGGCGGTAGAGCTGCTGGTTACTGGCTGATCTTCGTTGTGTTGGTGGAGGACATCGAGAGTCGAAGAAGCAACCTGCTCGGTGACGACCTGGGTAACGGCAATACAATCGTTTCGGCTCAAAGGCTTCTCGTCCGGAGGATCAAGATTGAAGTCGGGTTGTGAGGTTGGGGTGCCCGGCAACGACGCAACAGCGGGAGAGAACGTAGGAATGCTGTAGCGGCCAGTGGAAGCCGGAACCTCAACAGGGCCGGGCACGAGTGCCAAAGACCAATCCCAAGGAGAAGCATCCATTAATGCCAGACAGCTATCATCGGTTTGCAGCCCACCAAGCTCAAAGGATTCTCCGAGGGAGTCGGCGAACGATACAGACGACAAAGGAGTGGCGTTTCCATCCGTTGGAAGCTTCCTCTTCCCTCCTCCCATGATAAGTCCCGCTGAGAGCGGCTCAGGAGGTAACGAGACCACATCGACCACGTCGTCTACATCGTCCTCGAACACAGAGGATGTTTCACTCGACGCATCGGTAAAGTCATCGTCCGCTCTCGCGAGGTGGCTAATCTCCGGTATGCCTTTCGAAGTAGCTACCCCTATGGCGTAGCGTAGCTTGGTCATTAGAGGAATGTCCCGCAAACTGGCAGGTCGCCGTTTGAGGTTAGATTTTGAGTCGGTCTCCTCGTCGGCTTGCACTAATTTGCCCTGCAATGCTCCGAATCGTCCGTCGAGATATTTTGCATCCGATAACTTCATCTTCTGATTGAAAATTATTGGATCGAATGCGCTGTCAAGTCTTGGCCTTTGTAGCCCTGATTGGTCCATTGATGAAGGTCGCAGTTTGTCGTGAATATCATTGGGACTTAGTGGTGGTGTAGGACCTCTATCGACAGGTGCTACAGCATTCTCTTTCGTACTTGGTTCGTTCTCTTGGCTTGAAGCAGTCAGAGGAGGTTCTAATTCAGCTTCTTCTTGCTCAAGTTTGACCCCGGAAATGGAACCATGGGTGGCGGATTCCATTGCGAGTGCATCTTCCAGCGCAGCCATGGGATTGGAGGTATCCTCCTTGATCGGAGTTTCGGGTTTCGACTGCGGAGCTTTTTCTTTAGAAGGCTTCTTTGGGGGTGGCTTGATGTCCTGCATGGTGGAGGCATCGAGCATGTCTACGTCGTCACCATCGGGCTCGTCAAAGAAGTTGAAGTCTGCATCGGTGACGCCGTTCCCCTCAAATCGATCCTGGTCCATCTCTTCGAACAGATCATCATCATTGCCACCTCCGCCGTTAAACTGTTCAAAGTGCGTGGAAAAATCCGGCGATGCTGCCGATGCTGCCGATTCATCAGGCAGCGCGGCGTCTTGGGGCGCCGACAGGTTGATGGCAGGATTACTTCCTCCGGGTACCAGAACAGTGCTCGTTGCGACACCGGTCACACTAGGAGTGTCGCCACTGGTCGCGGCAGCTGGAACGATGCCGTCTGGAGGTGTCGGATACACGCCGCTGATAGCCTGGAGCTCCCCGTAGGCTCCTGCGCGGGCATTGAGGGGTGACGAGGGGAACAGCCCGCCTGGCATCTCGTCCTTGGGCCGAGCAGCCTCTTCTTCTGCCTTCTGTGCCCGCCGGCGTGCTTCTATTAATTTGTCTCGCTCCGCCTTGCCCACGAACCACTGTTGTGCAAGATCTATCGGGTCGCTGAATCCAGGTGACTGTGAAGTTTCGAACCAGTCAAGTGGAGCAGTGCGAGTAGGTAATAGACTTATGTTTGGAGCGCTGGGGTCGTCGTAGTAGAATAGCATGGCTGCTGGCCACAGAATCTCTCTACTTTTGGTTGGAAGGCCAGGAATAGGGGAGGTGAGGGCGGTTTGAATCGTTGGGGTGATGCTGATCCGGACCCAGGAAGTCTTGTTCTCAAGACCGGAAAGAGAGTAACCTTTCCAATGCAGCCATCGCTTGACTAGAGCTTTCCATCTTCCTATGCCATGTTCCACGGTATTCATTCTGGCCCGCTTTCTTTGCATCCGCTGAGTCGTATCTTCTGCCGCAGAATCCAGGGGATCGTCGAAGCTCACAACCATTGCTATAGCACCGAAAGGCGATACACGCACCACACGTCCAAGGAAATCCTTTTGTACATCCCGTAGTATAACATCCTCTAAGCAGCGGATCTCGGGGCGCAATACTGAGGTTATGGATACAATGAGCGTGCCTGAGCTTGCCCAGTACACATTGATATCGTTCAGCTGGTAAGGTGTGTCGTCTAACTTATAGACACGTCGGTCGGGCTCCTGCGAAGCAAACGGTTTCGATAGAAATGTCCGGTAATTCAACCCAATCCCGTGATAATCTTTGGCAATGAAATAGGCTATTGATGCGACGACAGATGATGTGAACAGCTCATAGATGGTCCAGATATCGAACGGCTGTTGAGAATCTGGAGGGCGACCTGTCCCAGACTGGGGTGGTTTTGATTGTAATGGCGTTGCGGGAGACATTGTAGACGCGCTGGCGCGATTGAGGGGACGTAGGGGTGGCTGCGCCATGAGTTCTGAAGCCTTCATGATGCCCGAATGTTCACCTAGCGTAAGTTAGCAGGCTGATAATGCATTCCTTCCAATATTTCTCACTAGTCAACTCATAGCCGGGCACTGTGGGCAGCTCTCGAGGTGCCTGGCCAACCTGATCGACCTTGGTAGCGCGGAAAAGCCATATCCAAGGCCTGGATGCATCTTGTATAACCAGGTGTTGTTGTTGGCGGAGCTCTGCCTCGACTGCGCGCGGATCTTCGGACAGCTTCCTTTCGTCTGGTCTTGCGAGAGGTTGGGCAGGGTCGCGCTTGATAGAGAATGATTGATACTCGATTGCTTCAAAGTCGCCCTACCATGTCGGTTAGTAATTCGAAGTCTGGCTACACAGAGACGGGGACCCACGATGGCCTGCGCGTTTGTATCGCATGTCTTGAGAAGTTCCATTAGACAGACAGCAGCTCCTATGGCACGCTCCGATGATATTGTTTCTGTATATGCCGTCCAAAACCCGCGCTGTGAACCTTCATCAACTCTGCCTGTGCAGATTGCGACGCGTCGAGCGGGGCTATGGTAGATGGGAAGAAGGATCCGATGATTTTTGTGGAGATTTAGATATTATCGTGGAATCATAGTATGGCCAAGATGTGCGCGCTCTGAGCATGTTGCTCAATTCGACAGTGAGATGGCGCAAATGCAATGAGGAGCGTGTCGCTGGAGGCCCCAGATGCGGGTACGATGAGGCGCCTGCGGCCTTGCAGGACGGGCAAGCGGACGGTGTGATGAAGGATGAAATGATCTAATAATAATAATGAAGGGACCAATATCGGTCTGTCTCCCTCCCCGCGCGAAGCCCGTGTATATGGTTGAGGTTGAATGTCCGAAGTAGATAGCCCGGTGACGCCCGGTGTGATGGGTTGGGGGATCGACTGGGTTTGGTCTGGAGGGAGTAGAGACAAACGAAGGGCACGTTCACTCAGCGACTCTGCTCGTCTCCGATTGGACGGAAGTGGTACGTACCCTAAAGACGTCAGGCGCGGAAGGCGCGCAGGGTCCACCTAAATTTTTCTGACCTATGCTTGCTCTACCCTCTCTCCTCCATCTTCATTCTCCAAAACCATTTTCTGTGGCATCAACCGGCCATATTTGAACAAACTTTTCGGGGAGGAATTTCTTGAAAGGTCTATTTGGAATTTCATCCTGCCTTTCTTCTTTCTGTCACGGGAAGCTGGCAGTATCAATTGCATTCGTCCACTGATTGCGACTCGCGTGTCTACCTTTTCGCAATCTTGCCCACGATTCTGGATCGAAAGCAGGGAGGAAGGTAGCAGAGAGAAGGGTTTATAAAGAGGAGGTAGCATCTGGGCGCATCGATATGAAACTTTCCGCACATTCTGGCCAAGTGCCAGTTTACACTGTTTCCGGAGCGGATACTGCTCGACCATTGCCCGAATGGCTGATACGGAAAAGGAAGCGGTCCTTGAAGAACGATCCCGAGTTTGCGAATCGAATTGAACTTTTGCAAGACTTTTCCTTCGAGGAGGCCTCGCAATGCGTTCGCGTGTCGCCAGACGGAAACTGGCTCATGTCCACAGGAACCTACAAGCCCGCAATCCACGTCCACAACCTCAATCAGCTTGCGCTGTCATTCGAGCGACACACAAATAACGAGAACGTCACATTCCAAATCCTCTCCTCCGACTTTACCAAAAGCTTGCACTTGCAAGGCGACAGAACATTGGATTTCCACACAGGTGGCGGTATACATTACTCGGTTCGTGTTCCCCGATTTGGCCGAGATTTGCTCTATGATGCGAACGCTGCCGAAGCTCTGGTACCATCCGTTGGCGTGAATGCTGAAGGAAGTGGCGAGGTGTTCCGTCTCAACCTTGAAGTGGGACGATTCATGAAATCCTATGAGGTAGATGTGGGTGGGGACGATATGCTGTCAGTGGGAGCTGGAGCGCTGCAGGGTGGAATCAATGCAGGAAGTGTGAATACTGGCTCGATCGCAGAAGAGTCGCATAATCTACTGGCATTTGGTACTTCGTTGGGTACCGTGGAGTAAGTCTGCATTTGGCGCACATGCGTCATTTCAGTTCATTTCAACTAACTTTTCTAGGTTTTGGGACTCGAGATCGCGGAACAGAGTTGGTATTCTCTCGGTCCCGAGGGATTCGATAGAAGGACGCTCTGAGATTACAGCACTTCAGTTCCACCGCTCTGGACTAGAATTGGCTACCGGAAATTCCAATGGTATCACTCAGATATTCGATCTACGGTCACCAGTACCTCTACTCTCGAAGGATCAGGGCTACGGAGAGGCGATCAAGAGGTTGATCTGGCTCGAAAGCGGCTCGTCCTCACGTGGTCAAATCCAGGAACCCAGGATTATGAGTGCAGACAAGAAGATCATCAAGATCTGGGACCCGAGAAATGGTGATGCATGGACGTCCGTCGAACCGGCTGTGGACCTTAACCACGTTGAATGGGTCAAGGATAGCGGGATGTTCCTCACTGCCAACGAGGGCAAACAGCAGCATGCCTTCTTTATTCCACAACTTGGACCTGCGCCAAAGTGGTGCGCATTCATGGATAACTTTGTCGAAGAAATGGCCGAGGATCCAGACGATCCTAATGCGTTCGGAAAGGCCAGTGCCGGAGATGTCTATGACAATTTCAAGGTAATACCATCAGGACTCTTTTTTATTTCGTTGCTAATGTTTTGTTAGTTCTTAACTCTACAACAACTTCGACAACTCAATCTCGACCACCTCGTGGGCCAGACAAGCTTACTACGCCCATACATGCACGGATTCTTCGTCGCACAGAAGTTGTATGAGGAAGCAAGATTGATCTCCAACCCTGATGTGTGGCAGGAGCAACGGGCGAAGAGTATTCAAGAAAAGATCACCAAAGAGCGTGAAAGCCGCATTCGGGGTAACAAGAAGGCTACCGTCAAGGTCAATCGGAAACTGGCCGAACGCATCATGGAGCGTGAAGAGAAGAATGAACGTAGGAGGGCTAAGCGCGTCCTCGAGAAGGGCGGCGATGACGATATGGTCGACGTCGAGAAAGCGCCTGCTGTTGGTGGCGACGACGAGCAAGACGATGTCGCCGAACCCAAGCGTGCCGGTGGCGTTCTCAGCGATCCACGTTTCGCGAGGTTGTTCCAAGACGAAGACTTCGAGGTGGACGAGGCGAGTCACGAGTTTCAGATGGTCAATCCCAGCACCAAGATTCCAAAGGGTCTTACTGCTGTGGAAGACGAGGACGCAGAATCTCGAAAGGGCAGTTCCGACGAGTCTTCCGAAGACGAGCAAGATACCCAATCCGCGCGCAAACAGGCTTCTGATGACAAGAATCGCATTTCGTCCTCATCCTACAAGAAATCTGGACACAATAAGACGAAGGGACCTCAAATGGTGGTTTCGTCCTCGAACAAACGTCACGATCAACGCAACCGCGACAAGTCTTTCGGTTCTCGAGTGTCCAAACTCAAAGACAGAGACGTGCCGACAAAGAGCAAGAACACTATTGTCGTTGGCGAGAGGGAAATCACGTTTGCACCCGAAAAGAAGGGCAGAAAACCAGCCGCGGACGCGGAGAGTTACAATGGAGGTGGTGGGCAACGACATGATCGGAAAGACAGACGAAGCGCTAGTAACAACGTCTTCAGGAAAATGTAAATCCAGTAGCAATACAGCACAGCATTCTCTTGGAGGAGCGATCAAAATACAAATGATACCCTTACTTTCTAGACCCCCTCGTTTCTACGTGATAGGCAGCCGTTTTTTGACCATCCTGAAATGGCGATGATGAGGTCCAATATCTAATGGTACCCCACAACCCCAAGCCTACCAGGTAACTATGCCACTAGCTTTCTCGCATCCGAACTGTTGCACCTGAAGATCGGAGGAGATTCGGACATCTCCCATTCTTGCCCCGGATAGATGTTCCCCACATTGGAACTAGGGAATTAGTCTCGATGATGGCAGCATGGCAGTAGAGTACGGTATGTACTCTAATCTTGGCGCAAGGCATTGATTATGCGCAGGAAGAAAGATAGACGACGTTGACGCTGGATTGTATCATAGATTTGGGAAGACGGGAGGGTGCATTATCCCCTCAAGTCTTGCGCTACAATTGACAATAGATGTTATCTATCGACAAGTCTACTTAGTGTAGAAAGTAGCATCTGACCCACCCGTCTGGTATCCATATGCTTTTGCTTTTCTAGAATGCAATGCTTGCAAGGGCTCGCCGGGAAATGTTCCTAACTGCAGCCAAACCTTTGATGTTACCATTCTGCATCGGGTATCATCTTCCCGCCTCCCGTAGACCTCACGTCCAGTCCCCTTCTCAGCCTCAACAATAGAAGTCCTCAGCCACAACCTTGAACCCTTTCCTCTGCCCCTCACTACTGTCCGTTGTCGCTGGGAATCTTAAACCCCCTCTTTCCGCCCGCCTCCCGTTTGTTTCCATTAACCGCGGGAAGATTTCCGTAGGGTCTTGCGCCGCCCAAACAGCAGGCAGATAGAGGTAGGCCAGGTACATCGACGATAACTGATGGACGGAACCGCATCATCCCCGCGCCCGGATTGCGTGCGCTCTCGCTCTAACTATTACATGAGTGCTCGTACGAAGATAGTGGTGATAAGGTTGCCTTCATAATTGAAATGTGTGCAGCCACTGGAGACTAAATAGTCATTGGACATGGCTGCGTAGGAAGATAAGTACCTAGACAGGAAGATCGATTACAATGACTACATTGCCGCCAAGTTGATACCGTGTCTTATAACCCCACATTTGAAGAGATCGAGGGACAGGTCTGCGACTAGAGAGATAATCGACGACTTGCTGTTCCCTTCGGTGTTTTCTTCCTGATTGGGACATCGTTGTCCGCACATACGCTGCATGGGCCGACAGTTTCCCCGTGTGGCCAATCACAGCACCCACATTTGAAAGGCGCTAAGAGGTCAAGACACAGACACTTTGACACTTTACCGACAACCTTAACCTGAGCATTCATCCATCTCTGTCGCTGTCTTTGCGTTCAATACCATAGCCGTTTCTCAACACCGACGCTGCTTGACCGCCGGTATCGTTTCATCCCACACCAGGCCCGCTTACCTCACTTTCACTAGTGTTGTCTCTTCTTTTTCATTCCCGACCTTCTTATTGCTCCCACTCACTCTCTACTTTCTCCTTTCACCATCCCAACTCCTGACTATCAACCGCTCCCACCTCGCACCTCGCAACCTCCCTTCGATACAACAGCTTCTCACGAGAACAATTGTCGTAACACCCCCGAATCTTCTCGATTACCCACATCATCAGCTACAATGGCCACCAAGGAGTTCACCTATTCCGATGTGTCGGAACACGCAACCAAGAAGGACCTCTACATGGTCGTCCACGACAAGGTCTACAACTGCTCCAGCTTCGTCGATGAGCACCCGTACGTCTGCGCCCAGTCTTTCAATAATAAATTGCACCTCGGTTGTGCTGCATTGCACATGCAATCGTTCCCCTCCCTTCCAATCATACAAGCCGTACAGCGCCCTAGTGATTGCGCATTGCTAATATGGATCATACAGTGGTGGCGAGGAGGTCCTCCTCGACGTTGGCGGACAGGACGCAACAGAGGCATTCGAGGATGTCGGTCACAGTGACGAGGCTCGCGAGATCCTAGAGGGTCTGCTCGTTGGCAACTTGAAGCGACAGGTACGGCATACACAAACTTTCCAACCCCTTCTCCGCCATTCCCCACACCTTTCTATTCCCATACTAGGTGATCTGCCTTCAATCGAAGAGCATGCATCTACTTTTTGCATTCAAGGATCATTTCCTGCATTTTCAAGATCTGGTCTCTTTTTTTTTCTGGTGCGGAGGTGGTGATAGTCCTGTTGGGGTATCGCTCGGCTTCGGCTCGGAACCATTCCGTGCAGCTGAAAGTGGTCCCACATCGTGGTTCGAAACATGTTTCTCCAGATCATCCAACCACGTACCGCACAGATGCAACCCGTCTGCGCTCGTTTATATACGAGGATCTGGAAATTACATCATGAGACAAGAAAACATATGCTAACATCTCTACCCATCCAGGACGGCGACCCCAAGCCCAAGTCCTACGGCTCCACCAACACCAGCACAGCAACCTCCACCGACGGCGCAACCGCAGGCGTCGGCCTCTACGCCGTCGTTCTCATCGGCGGTGCCCTCGCATTCGCAGCATACCAGTACCTCCAGTCCCAGCAGCAATCTACCCAGTGAGTGTTGCTACATCAAGCAGCAGCAGCATCACCTCCTCGTCGATAGCTTCTTCCGCGGCGTTCGCCTCTGGCCGAGTGCGATGCCCTTTTTTTAACGAAACACCCTTCTTCTAATTAATCTTCTTCTTCATTTGCGAAGAGCGCCTTTCACAATCCGAAGCGCTTGGTTTCACCTCACGATTGGAGTTGATAGAGTGTGTGCGTGTGTGCTTACGAGTTGAGACGGGGGAGAGAGACCGGCGTGTGTATGTATGTGATATAGAGACCTGGATGTAGAGTTGTAGAGTAGAGAGACACACAGCGAGAGAGCGAGGAAGAGAAATACGAAACCTCATTACCCATCTACATTTGCTACAATGGAACACAACAGTACACGATGCTTCTTCGAACACCCATCTAGGTCTACGTATATCCAACCTACCTATACACACACATGTACATACGACCAAATCAATATCAAAAAAGCAACCCCCACACAATCCATAACCTCCTTCCTAGTCCCCGTGTAGAATAACGAGATCCTATTCAATCAATCACACCACCCACAATAATCAACAAAAGAAAATCCTCACACCAACCATCGAGCCACCGACCCATCCTCCCACCCTTCAACTCCCCATCCCTACATCTACCACGATCTATACGGCTAGCTAGTCAGGTACCTGGCTGGGTGGGTAGATATACGATGGATTCTCAACACAGTTTAACCTCCGCAACATCTCACGCCAGCAAGATCGTACCCATAACTTCCTTCCAAGCGTAACCTTAACCTTAACTCTAAAAGTTGGGTGGTCCGTACTCCATTGATACGAAGCCCCTAAGACTTCTGGCACAGTATTGTCTGAGCATTTCATTATATGGAATCTCTTACACATTAGGAGGTAACGTTCACAGATAAACTAGATAAATCTAATGAAGACACACACACACACACACACACACACCCAAGAACATGAACGACCGTCCTGGACCCCCTTCTTCTTCTTCCATCCGCAGGCCTCCACCTGGCTGATCGCGGAAATTATAGTTGTAAAGCTGACTGACGAAGCATGAGAAGTGACCGTTTCGCTTCTTCTGTCTCCATACTAACTACATACTACCCTAAAATCCTTCTCCCTCCCGGATGAAAACCCATGCTGAATCTCTTGCTGAAGGTGGTGGAGAGAGGGGGGGGCGGTTACATGTACATATCCCGCGGGAATCCACAGTTCAGCTGCGTAAAAAGGTACATATGTAGGCGATATGTAAATACCTACAAAGGTATATATTCCATGTACTAGTTTTACGTGAACTCAGATGACAACAGTAGCGATGTTACAATGGTGCGTGGTCTTGGTGGTGGTGTATCTGTTTCCCTCCGTTTGAGGATCTTTGTTGAGTGCGGATGTGGGGAGAGAAGATACCGTTTCTGCTGTAACTATGGATGCAATGCAAGGGTGGATGAATAAATAGATGGAGGACAAAGTGAAAGTATGGAGAAGAAAATATATGGTCTCGATTAAAATAAAATGTATGTAGCATAGCATGTAGGTAAGCCATATCGTAGTATCGTATCGTATATCTCCCTCCCTCTTGCTGCCTCCTATCTTTCTCTTCTCTTGCTTTCTGACTTTATCTTCTTTCTGTTCTCTTGTTCATGTTGAAGTTGCGTTGGGTTGAACTGGATCGATCTTTCTTGTGGGTTTGGGGTAGGCCTGGTAGGAAGAGGATGGGTTGGGCTGGATTGGGACGGAGGCGTGTGTTTGTGTGGTGCAGCGGCGATGCTTGTTTGTCTGTTTGTGTGATGTGATGTGATGTGATGTAATGCGATGGCGAAGTCGTCTGACCCAACCCAAGCCCCTCGAACCCCCTGAGCACGTGGGAAAACTTAACGCAGCATCTTCAATCGCCCTCCACGATCTCTGAACTCTCCCACAACCGTCGACAAATCTCCTCGACCTCCGATGCGCGCGAGCGCCCGCCGCCGCCGTCGCTCTCGAAGCTCTGCCGCCGACTCGACTCCTCGAAGCTGGTGCGGGCAGATCGCCGAGTGCTGTTGCCTCCCGACGCACCGTCCGTCTCAACGCCGTTCTCGTTGAAGCTCGTGCTGAGGCTGCTGGTACCGTGGACGCTCGAGTGGCCGTTCGTGGTGGCTGTCGTCGATGTCGATGATGACAGTTTCTTCGCGCGGGTCCTCTTGGCGACACCGGGTATCTGTTGGATTCGCGAGACAGCGTCGGCGAGGGGGTTGCGGTACCGCCGCACGACCTTGTACTCTACGGCGACGTGATTGAATTGTTGCTGTAGTCGAGGGTCTAATCGTCCCTCGCCGCTTGCTGTGTACGTCATGCCGGACTGGAGAAATGTGGGGCCTCCAGCTCGCGGCAGGATGACGGGGATGAGTTTCTGGGGTTCGATGTTGGAGGAGGCGCGCTGCAGCATGAGTTTCTGCTGTGTCCTCGATGGGGGTAGATTCGAGGTTGGCGTGGTTGTTCCCGATCGTCGATGTTCCTTGGTGGGCGTCTGAACGCCTGCAACGTCCTGCATGGACTTGTTCCGTCGTACTTTGTTGAAGTCTCCGCTACCGGCTGGTGAATTGCGAGATGGAAGGAAACTGCTGTCTTTCGGTGTGTCCGCCGAGCCATCTCCATCCATGAATCGAGAAACTATATCTCTTCCAGGTGTATCGATCAAGGTCGAGCCGGCGCTTTGGCTCAGGATGCGCGCGTCGTGGGAATCCGATACCACCGTCGCAGCCACAGAAGACATCTGAGGCGGCGCGTTGTGAGAAGCACTCCGCTGAAGCAGCCGCGACGTGATCATGTCCGCATCTGGTGGCCTCGAATGCTGCTGATGTGAATTCCCCCCGTTCGCCTGCCTCGCGTAGTGTGTGCGGTCTGGTAATGCCGTGCTCGTCGGATTCGGTGGCGGTGGTGGAGGGCGGACTTGATGATTATGGGAATTTGACTGGGAAGCCTCTCCTGTCTGATCTGTTGGTTCCATGGCTCTATGTTGGGGATCTAATATGACAGAATTGGAGCGCGTATTCGATCGCGTCGTGGTTGGGGATTGTGATGCACTTTCTTCTGTCCAGCCGTCGTCTGGGTTTCCGTCTTCGTCCTCGTCTTCCTCTTCCTCTTCCTCTTCCTCTCCTCCTTCATTAGCCACGTCGAAGTGGACCGTGGGGTGAGGATCGGGTGACTGTTGGCGAGACCTGCTCGTCTGCGCCAGGGACTTCCTTGGGGGCGCAATCTCGCTCTTCGATGACTTCAACACGTTCTTCGAGGAACCCTGTCGGACGAGATGAGTGCTGGAATGGTTCTTGCGTATCGCTGCGTGTGTATGGGTCTGGTGGTTGGCTCTCACGACGCCGCCGTGCGAGGCATTGCGTTTGAAGGTAGGGCGCGGGCTGCTGGGTGCTGAATTGGAGTCTCCGGACTTGGTGCGGCGGTGATGTTTCGCAGCGCTGCCGCCATCACCGGCCTGCGCCTGGGTGAGCTGCTTGTTCAGTTTGTTGAGGTTCTTTCCGAGGGATAGGTTCCTTTGCATGCGGCTCTGACCAACGACGTGTTGTCGCTGGACTTTGTGTGGAGCGTGTCTGTGGCCAGCGTCGGTGGGAGACTGCGAGACATGAGAGGATGTCGAGGTCTGTCTGGCCATGGCGGTTGGTCGTTTCGACTGCGAATGAGCATCGGCTGAGGAGGAGGCCATGCTTACTCCGCGCCTGTGGCTGTTCGGCGAGCCAGGTCAAGTCCGATGCAGGTTGATGCGCGTTGGTTTGGCAGTGCGTTGCTTCGCTTTTGCTTTTCACGGGAGACGGAGACGGAGGCTGTCGATCGCTTAGACAAGCAGCGGAGCCGAAAGCGAACGTGAAAGAAAGAGGGTGTATGTGGTAGAGATATTTGCGGTATCACGAGCTGGCCATGGACATCGATATCAATTGCTCTCGGCGGGCGCAAAGGGGCAGTGGAAGGGGTATGAGTGAGTGAGTGAGAGGTGTTTGTGTGAGCTGCCACGTTGGGGGATCCAATGAAGTTGAAGGGACCAAGACGATGATGCACGTCGACTGCCAAATCATCTCCCGTCCGCGACCAAATCGGGCAAGGCGGTGAGTCTCCGACCGCTGCCGACCCATCCATCCAGTCCCATCTCATTATTCATTCATTCATTCATCATCTATTAATTGTCACTACGAGGACTGTTTCGTACCACGACGCCACGGTACCGAGTAATTACATATTACCATACACTTCCACCTGCAAGAGAACATTCCATATCCGGATCTATTCTCGTTCTCGTCACAATCTACCCAGGTATCCTAGACTCACTTTGTCGCAAGCAGTAATCGCATCCGTTGTAGATACATATATTCACTACTACTAGTAGTAGCTATGATGCCCAACTATGTCTATGCTCCGCTGCTCTCTATATTTACTGTAGACACCCCATTGCTTGGATGCATCCCATCATTCCCATGATCCGCATTCTCTCTAATACAACAGTCTTCTGCTGCTGCGCATCATCACGGATGACAGCCGGCATACATATGCGCCGAGGCTGTCGTGATTCGCTACGGGCCGCCGAATGCAGCTCATTATCGATATGGGAAATCATGCTTTTGGTCCTCTATAAAAGTCGGAAAACCATCCGAGAGTGAGTCCGACGGCCTTTGATGCCCGACACGGTGGTAGGGTAACATGTGGTATGTAATGGGGAAAACCTGCATCTCTCATGGGTATTATCATAGTCGTATCGTTCATCGCTCATAACCTCGTTTCTTCATCCTGTTTCGTCCATTATCCATTTGCGACGTCCCCTGAACCCCCTAGCTCAGATTCACAAGCTTCTTGATCTTTCCCCTTACACCTCGACTCTGATGCGCAACTCGCTGGCTGCTGATGTTCCGGTTTTCCGCTCTCATCCCATCTATACAGCCAAATGAAGATGTAGTCACTATCGAAGCTGTTCGCGACCGATAGGATGGCGGAGGCGGTCCCGTGAAGTAGGATGGGGCATCCGATAGATTACCAAAGGACTCCTGGCTTGGTAGTCGGTTCCTCATCGTTGAGGGGCAAAGAGTATTCCCTGGGGGGATTGAATGTCCCACTGCTGTATCCGCTTTCCGCTCTGGGCCATTACTAGATTGTGTGGGTCGTAGATTACCGTCCCGATGGTTTCCAATCCGAGCTGGTAGTGGGCAGTAGAAGTGCCCTGGCCCCGGGCCCAACATCGCCTCCGTGTCATATAATGGTATCCTCCGTGCTCCAGATCCATTCTTGGTCAACACTGGTGCTCCTTGGGAAAGGCTTGAAGCCTGTAGTGAACCCTTCTGCGCGGGAATTGGCGGACGAGACAGCACCGATGCTCTCCTATCAGGCTGCTTATTCGGAACAACAGTGACCTTCTGCGACTTTGTCTTGAGAAGAGTCGGCATGCGCACTTGAACCTTCTTTGCTCGGCGACAGAAGGATCGGAGGTCCTGGGTGCTGGACGATGCTGCCGATCGCGCACGTCGTGATGCTGGGGCTTCAAATCTATGCGATAGTGAAATGGCATATTGCATATGGGCCGGTGACATCAGATTGTCCGGTGTGGCTTCTCTCCAATATGGCAAACCGCCCATCAAGGGAGGCGAAGGTCTGTTGTCGCTCGCATCAAGCCACTCGTTGACTTCTCGACCGAGGCCTGTATCCAGTCTCGGTGGACGAGGGGGAGGAGGAAGGGGAGGTCGAGGACGCGTAGGCAGTGGTGTTTTCAGGGTATTGGTATTGTCGAAACGCTCTAGAGGTCTCAAAGCTGTTCTAGTGGATGGTGCTGTATGTGGGCGTATGATGGAGGCATCAGGTTCAACACTGCCATGGTCACTGGCTTTGGTCGATCTCGAGGAAGGCCACAAACGGCGGGTAAACCAATTCTTTGAGGTAGCTTCCTGCCTCTCCCTTTGTGCAAATTTTTGTTCGGCTGATGATCTTGAGGCAGTAGTCTTGGTTGTCATGATGGGTTTCTATCATCATTTGAGACTTGCGATTGAGATTTGTGTGTTCTTTTGAAGAACTCGTGTGCACGATTGGAGCTTTAGTTGTAGGTGGAGGTCTGGATGGAAACAGGATTGACCACACTTTGGTGCCAGGTAGTGAAGATGAAAGTGAAAGTGAAAGTGAAAGTGAAAGTGAACAGGCATGATTGGTGAGTGAAGCTTTGGGTCAGTGAGTGAACCTCAGTGTCGGTGAGGCAGTCGCGTTCCTACTCGACGATGGCACCAGAACGACCATCGCTCGGACGAATCAGCATCCTCTGCGCATCCTCAACACCCATCACGTCTTCTATCACCAGGCTCTCAGAAATGTATTATCGAGATGTTGTGCGATTAAAAAGATCATGGCGATATGATATTGGCGAACCGAGATACATCGCCACCGTTGAGTGACATCACAGCCATCGTTGACTGAACTCGCGTCGTTCACTTCACTGACTTGAACCATTAGATCAATGACATATTCCCAATAGAAACATTTTCCAGCTGCTCTCCTCTTCTTCTCTTCTATTTTGCCCCAAATGTCTAGTTGTAGGAAATCTTCCACCATTATTCACTGCATTAGGTACCTAGGTAGGTTGCGCGCAGCGGATCATTTCCTTAATTTTCATACAGGTATAACGTTGTCGGGTGTACGATTTCGGTGTCCTACACGATCATCGTCAAAATGCATATTGCGCTTACCGGCCTTTTCACAGTTCGTGTAGCCAGATTGTGCAAGTCCATGCGATTGCTCGGACATGCACAATGCACACATTCAATCTGTTCCCGAGGTGGTGTGCTGTAAGATGGAATGTCTTTCGTTGTACGGTGTACCTATGGTCATGAGTAAATCCATGAGGCGCATGATATCATATCATTGTTCGACAACAGTACGAATAGATATCATACAATTCAAACATTTCAGGAATTATCGCATGAGGATTTGGGTCAACTGAGAAGAAAGCATTTAACTAAATGCCATAATGTACAGTAAGCACGATTGGGCTAATCATACGTTGGTAGTGTCCTAGTCTCTAGGCGTAAGGCTCTATGTGAGGCCATAGCAGAGGCACTATGCTTGTACTCGTAAGCAGCCCAACTACGAATAAGTACAGTTCCTACTAGTTATGAGTACAATGGCTATGGCATGGCCGCCCTGACCCGAGAAATAGAAGCTGAAGCCATGTATGACGTGACGTAGTTGACGTAGCGAAGAAAAGTGTCGAACGCGTGGAAAGCTGACAATGGGCGTGCGCATGGAATGGGGCTTGGCCTATCCTTGCGAGTAAAACATTTGTATGATGAATGGTGCCCGAATAATTGTATGGAAACCAATGATAACAGTAATTATTATACAAATGGTACGGGTCTACATGTTCAGCTAGAGTCATAGGATGAAAGTACCAAGAGTTATTGTACAAGACTATAGCTGGGCGCGTTGCTAAGCCACAAGGACAAGCGCGTCATTATCGCCTTCGAAGGGAACCATATCCCTCTATATCCCTCTAGTTACTGTCCTAGAGATAATAGTAACATACTGCACAGTGTACAGTGTGGAGGCTATTACTTGTAGTGCTCGCTCGTAACACCCTACTGGTACTGGTAGCTTGTTTTCCCGCCTCCGCACCGCAGCAACGACAGCAGCGTGACGAGTGACGACCCCTCCCGCCTCTCGCTGGTCATTCAATAATCCCAGGAACATTACCTTAACTTAACTGGACTTGCCCCATACTTCTCTTCTTTTTCTTCCTCACTCTTTCTACCTTCCTCTCTACCATTCCCACTTCCTCCTTCGCGACACTCGTTGCGAATCACCCATCATGCCTTTGGGTCTCAATAACCCCCTGCCCTCTTCCATGGGAAGTACGTTCAACCCTCCCTCGGCTTCTGCCCAAGCCTTACCAGCTTCCTTCCTTGGGCCTCTGTAGATATTTACTAACAACTCCACAGGCGAGTGCAGGAAGACTGGAAAGATTCTAGCATCATTCGTAGACCCTCGACAAGCTTTCGGTCCAGACAAAATCATTCCTCCCTCGGTCCTCGCGAATGCAAAGGTATGTTTTGCGCGCGCCGACTCCACCCGTCCGGAAGTTCCGCTATCTGTCGATGCATAACAGAGCTTCCTCCCCGCAAGCCTTGCGAGCTGACGTCGTTGAAATAAAGAAACTGACTTGAAGAACTCCACAGGGTCTTGCAATCCTCACAGTATTTAAAGCCGGCTTCCTCGGTACCGCACGTTTCGGATCAGGTGTCGTCGTAGCTCGTTTGTCGGACGGATCTTGGTCCGCACCCTCAGCCATCGGAACGGTCGGCGCAGGTTTCGGTGGACAAATCGGTTTCGAGCTCACAGACTTTGTCTTTATTCTCAACGATGCGAATGCAGTCAAGACGTTTGCGCAGGCTGGCTCCCTCACTCTCGGAGGGAATGTGTCGATTGCAGCAGGTCCCGTCGGCCGGAACGCTGAGGCCGCCGGTGCGGCAAGCTTGAAGAGCGTTGCCGGTATATTCAGTTACAGCAAGACCAAGGGTCTGTTCGCAGGTGTCAGTCTCGAGGGCAGCGGTATCATCGAGCGAAGAGACGCAAACGAGAAGCTGTATGGCAGGAGATGGACCGCAAGGGAATTGCTCAGTGGACAGGTCCCCGTACCACCGAGCGCCGACCCACTCATGCGTGTGCTCAATTCGAGAGCATTCGGTAGCGGAGGTGGAGGCGCAGGACAAGATGCTATGTACAACGACATTCCAGTCTATTCAGAAGCGCAGGATGATGTTGTCTGGCAAGGCCGACGAGGCTCGGCGTACGGAGAGGGCGTGCGATCGAACAGGACAGGCTCAATGGGCGCGGCAGATGACGATTATGTTTATCGGGACAGACCTGCGCGTGCTAGCACATGGCAAGACGACGTCTACGACCGCCAACCCTCGTCTGCTGGTATCAACCGCTCATTCTCCACACGCGCCAACCCCGGTGAGACATTCGACCGCATGGAGAACCGTACACGGAGCGGAACGGCAGGATCAGGATTTGGGGACGATTATTCCTACAGCGACAGAGGGAAACCAGGCCGACCCACAGCTCCCAAGCCAGTTTTTGGCGCAAAGAAGGCAAACCTCGGTGCTGACCAGGCGATTGCGAAATTCACATTCGAGCCCGATCAGCCCGGTGATCTAGGTTTCAAGAAAGGCGAGGTCATTACCATCTTGAAGAGGACTGACAACGAGACCGATTGGTGGACCGGAAGTGTAGGAGACCGTGAGGGCATCTTCCCAAGGTACGTTTAACCACATATTTGACTTACATCCTTACTTACTTTATTGCCAGCAACTACGTCGAGACTGTATAGCCTGCCGATATCATTGCAAAACGCTGATTTATTTCAATGCTTCTGATTCCCTTCCTCGCGCTTTCCATTACGGATAGATTGTCTTATATATACACAGCGAGAATTTCATATCCCAACGGCCTTCTCTACGTACCTTTCGCTGGAAAAATTGCACTGCAAGTCTTCCGGGCATAGCATGGCGTCTAGGGATTTTTCGCTTTCTGCTCAACCGGCACGTTACGTCAAATTGGGCACGACATACCTAGGGTAGACGCTGGAAATGGACCTTTCACAATTGCTATCAATGCGATTCTCTTCATGACAGCTTCTGTTTTCATATAAAAATGTGCATTGAAATCATGCCCCGCGCTTCGGCAAGCAATACCGCGAAGCGACTCCTGACGACTTATTTCAATAAACGTAACGTTTCAATCATGCCACTTCCCCACATATCGGGAATGACACCACTCGAGTTGTTTTGTCGACCTGCGTATTCCTTATCACGGACGGAGGCGCATCCTCTAGTGCTTCTGTACCTCTTACGTGCAGTTCTCCCGCCCAGCTCGGGAGGGGCTAAACAGTTACCGAGCTCAAGCTTGCTCCTCGTCTCCTATGACTGTCATCTTCCCCCGCCATTCGCATATATGCATGCACGCCTCTTCAAATGCTTTTGTGTAACGTACTCCAATATTGATACAAACTCGACCTCCAAATCTTACTCCAACAGCTCCAACTCTTTCTCCCTGTGACCTGGCCCGAAGGCTTTTTGCGAGGGTACATAAAGTAGCCTATCCTATTTCGCTCAGATCTGTATACAGCTTAAACGCTAGACACAATCGGATTTATAGTTCACATCCTTCTACAGAATACAACGACATATCAAGTTCGTCCACATACAACAAACAAACACTCACCATGGCTGGGACCTGGCAAGAGCAGGCACAGAAGAAGCGTGAAAGCATACTTGCAGCCATCCCGCAGGAATGGCGCATTGAAGCTCCTCCAAAGGAAAGCCAAGTCGACGTCACCGGATCATTCGTACACCAGTTCTTGAACGAGAGGGAAATTGAGATCACCGAGACGACTGCTAATGAGATTGTGAAAAAGACTACTATCGGCCTATGGAAGGCAGAGGAGGTCATAAGGGCGTTTTGTCATAGAGCTGCATTGGCTCACCAACTGGTATGATTTGTATCCAAGTATGGATGTCTTGATATGTATTGACTGAGCTACAACAGACCAACTGTCTCCATGAGATCTTTTTCGATGCCGCCATTGAAGATGCAAAAGCCCAGGATGAATACTTCGCCAAACATAAGAAACCCATCGGCCCACTCCACGGACTACCCGTCAGTCTGAAAGATCAGTTCCATGTCAAAGGAGTTGAGACCACCATGGGGTATGTCGGCTGGATCGGGACCTTCGAAGGCAAGAAAGGAACCGGCAAAGAGAAGGTCTTCGAGAGTGAGATGGTCCGCGAGCTACGCAACCTGGGCGTCATTCTCTTCTGCAAAACCGCCGTCCCCCACACACTGATGAGCGGCGAAACGACAAACAACATCATCGGATACACTTCCAACCCAAAGAACCGCAACCTCGCGGCTGGTGGCAGCTCCGGCGGAGAAGGAGCACTGATCGGGCTGAGAGGCTCACCCGTGGGCTTCGGCAGCGACATTGGAGGTTCAATTCGCATCCCCGCTGCCTTCAACGGACTCTATGGCATTCGACCCAGCGTCGGCAGACTACCATACGAAGGCGTAGCCAACTCCATGGACGGCCAGAACTCCATCCTCTCCGTCGTAGGCCCCCTCGCCCCCTCCGTCGCCGACCTCCGCCTCCTCACCAAAGCCATCCTCTCCCAAAACCCCTGGCTCCACGACCCTCTCGTCCACGAAATCCCCTGGCGCTACTCCTCCGAGCAAGAAATCCTCGCCCTGACCGGCGCCATCGGCGACGCCTCGCAAGTCGGCAAACTCTCCATCGGCATCCTCCACACCGACGGCGTCGTGAACCCCCTCCCGCCAATCCGCCGCGCCCTCTCCATCGTCGCCACCAAACTGCAACAACTAGGCCACGAAGTCCTCCCCTGGACCCCCACCCCCACCCACTCCTCCCTCCTCGCCACGGGCCTCAAATCCTGGGCCTTCGACGCGGGCGCGGACGTCAAATCCGCCTTCGCGCTCTCCGGCGAGACCCCCGTCGACCAGGTCTCCTTCCTCATGCACTACAAGCACCACTTCTCCGCGTCCGAAATCGCCGCCACGAATGTCGAGATCAGACAGCTGCGGAAACAGTATCTTGAGTACTGGAACGACACTGTGAAGCAGACGTCGACGGGGAGGCCCGTGGACGCGGTTATCGCGCCCGTCGCGCCGTTCCCTGCCGCGAGACCGGGGCTGTATAATTATTATGGGTACTCGGCGTTCGTGAACGTGCTGGATTATACTGCTGTTGCGTTTCCGGTTACGAATGTTGATAAGGCGGTCGATAAAGTCGAGGAAGGTTACAAGCCTATCAGTGACTCTGATAAGGGTACTTATGAGAGCTGTAAGTGTAGATCCATCCCTCGTCTATGTACCCGTCTTTTTACATGCAGTATGAAATTAAAGCTAATCATTTCACGATGGTGGAACAGACGACCCGGATATCTACGACGGCGCGCACGTTTCGCTACAGCTCATCGGCAGGAAATTGCAGGAGGAGAAGATGTTGGCGCTCGCGGAGTACATTGGCAAACTCATCGGAAAATAGTTGTAGTTAAGGAGTCAATTCAATTCACTCGCCCATCCCTATGGAGATGTTTCTATCCATTCATACATACATGTCTTGTCTTATATACCATGCCTACCAATCTAGTATCTTCCATCCCCAGCCATGGACAAACAACTCGTCGATTTCACTCACTCCGGCCCACTTCCCCACCCATCCTCCCTGAAAATCAAGCACCTCTCCCCGCCCTCCTCGTCCGTCCACGCGCGAAACATGCCACCGCAGTTGTAGTCGCAGACGACCTCCCCGCGGCTCCCGACAATCTCGATGCCGATCATGCCGCCGACGCCCTCGTGTACTTTGCCCCATCGGTCGCCGGCCGAGCGCTGGAGCTCGCCGTTCGGGCCGGCCATCCAGGGGAGAGTGGTGCTGAGGGGGAGGGATGCGAAGCGGGATTTTGCGGCGACGGTGCGGGAGGAAGAGAGGCGGAGGAAGGTGTCGCCGTTGCCGGAGGAGGAGAGGGCGAGGGCGTGGCGAACTGGGTGGGCTTTTTGGGGGATGGGATGAGGGTGTGAGGGAGAGGAGGTGGTGATGGGGAGACAGTCGGCTAGGAGGGTGGTGATGTTTCCGCGGGAGAGGTTGTCCAGGGGAGAGGTGGTGGAGGGTTGTTGGTATAGCATCTTGTGTGCACTGGAGGCAGCGTCTTCGTACCACTCTTCAGCCCAGTAGCCAGCTCCCAGCGTGGGAGTGTCGCCGATGCGGCCGGGCACTTTGTTCGTGAGGCCGCCTGTCGACGTCGCGGTGCAGACTGTGCCGAAGCTGTCGAGCACGACGGCGCCGCAGGTCCCGAGGGGGATGTAGTTCTGTCTCTCCCAATCGCTGAGTTCGTCCACCTCCATCGTCTTCGACTTCGACGTTTTCTTCTCCTCCTCTTCCAACCCCCGCTTATGCTCATCCCACTTCTTCTGCGTGAAATAGTACGCCGGATCCACCATCTCCAACCCCCATTCCCGTGCGCGTCGCTCGATGAATTCGCCAGCATACTGGCAGTGGTCCTTCGCCCCGCCGCCGTCCGCCTCCTCCCCACGAACCAGCACCTCTCGCGCCAACTTGATCGGGTTCTTGACATGCGACAGCATCATGCAGCCGACACCCCGCTTGCGGTACCCGTTGGACACCATGATGCTGCATTCGAGTTCGTTGGTTCCGGCGCGCGTGAAGACGGCGCCCTTGCCGGAGTTGTACAAGGGGTCGTCTTCGAGGAGGGAGACGGCATGGGTTGCGACGTCGAGGGCTGTGGCACCGGGTTTGGATAACAGGGCGTTGGCGGAGGAGAGGATCCGGAGGAGGGAGGAGTGGTAGGCGGCGTATTGGGAGGGCGTGATGGTCGAGCGGGTTATGTTGCCTGCACCGCCGTGGATGATGATGCGTGGGGTTATGGGGTGGGATTTGGTGTCCATGGTGTCTTTCTTCGTGGTTTTTATATCTCTTTCTTGGTTTCTTGGTCTCTTTTCCTTTTGGATGGGAGTTTGGTGGACTGGGCTTTTATGTTCAAGGGGATTATTCTACTACTAATTGTTGGAGATAGTGACGCTTTATGTTTCAAGGTGAGGCCTTATTTGTGGTAGTTCAGATTTGAAGCCGATCTCGGTTTGAAATGGAGAGTTTACACTGAGATCCAAGCAAAGGGAAGAAGTCTTTATAAAAGGGACAGAGGGGAAAAGGTAGTTTCGGTGATCATGGAGTTGAGTGAGTTGATGTACATGCATGAGGTCGGGGTATAGATAAGGGCTAGAGCAGATATGGATAAGCGGGATGCAATGTTCCACCTATCTCTTTCTATCTATGCATGCTTATATTGTTTCTTGCAACTCATTCAGCTCTTGTAATAATTGTAATCTTCTTCTGAAATTTTTTGTGCCCCAGCTTGAGTCGTCGTGGAGCTATTCTATCGGTACGATTGTTAGAGCATTACCTGTCTTATCGTTATGTATGGGCCTGCTTTCTACTGCTGCAACAACACACGTCATATACGGTCCTGATCGACGATAGGATCAGCATCTCAACCCCAAATATCCGACATGCGTTTGCTGAGAACCTCGACCATCGAGGTTGAAGAATTCATTGGTCGAGAGATTCCTGAATATGTCATCTTATCTCATACATGGCAAGAAGAGGAATGCACTCTTCAAGACGTTCAATCCGGAGCTGCCAAGGGAAAGAAAGGATACACCAAGATCGTAAAGTGCTGTGAAAAGGCTGCTGAGGATGGCTACTCGTACTGCTGGGTCGATACCTGCTGTATCGATAAAACCAGCTCTGCTGAGCTATCGGAAGCTATCAACTCCATGTACCAGTACTACAAGAATGCACGCATCTGTTACGCGTATCTTGCCGATTTCGACGCTGCGTTTGACTCCTTGTCTGTCATGGAGGACTACAGGGGATTCACGAAAAGCCGTTGGTGGACTCGTGGGTGGACATTACAAGAGTTGATTGCTCCGCCGATCGTGGAATTCTACACCGCCAATTGGGTTGAGATTGGTACGAAGCTTAGCCTCCAGGAGCAGATCACCGAGATTACTGGAATCGACGAGGGTGTGCTGCGAGACGTCGATCCACTGAGACGCAACGTTGCAGTCAGGATGTCGTGGGCAGCACATCGAGTTACTAGCAGGATCGAAGACCGCGCCTATTGCTTGATGGGTATCTTTGGTGTCAACATGCCCCTGCTGTACGGAGAAGGGAATCGAGCTTTCTCACGGCTGCAGGAAGAGATATTGAAAGTGCGGGAAGATTATTCGTTATTTGCATGGTCCCCGGTTCTCTTCTCCAGCCCCATGAATCCCCAAAAGGTTTCGAAAGGTATGTTGGCGGATTCACCGTCTGACTTCGTCGACTCCAGAGACCACTGGACGAATAGAAGCCTTTCGAAATCAGCAAATTCGCAGTGGAGCTTCCGGGATTTATCGAAAAATTGTTCGTCCTTGTTGACGCCGTCGAAGGATCACGAACCACCATATTTAACCAGCAGGGGTCTCCGCATCTCGTTGCCTGTCGTAGAGCGCCAAAACAGACAAGTGAATGCCTGTATCACACTACTGCGTCCGGAGAACCACGAAAAAATGATGTTGTGCATGACACTGCACCGCTTAGGTCCGAAATCAGAGCAATACATCCGACGAATAGGTGCTGATCTTACCTTATCCCCAATAAGCTCCAGTGGGAGTTTCAAGTACAGATCGATCTACGTTATACAACCGCCTGTGCGATCAGACATACCTCGACCGATTTCCTCCCCATCTGGAGCACCTTCTCTACTTCTGGTCAAGATGAAAGTTATACCTGGTGATCATTTGGTGTGCCATTGGTCATCTTGGATTAATATGGAAAGCGTTCTCCGTGCCAGGTTCGGTACCAGTTCCTCAGATTCAAGTCTAGCCGATTCAGCATCGGGCGTGAGCAAGCAAGGAGGAGGCGTCTATAAGCATCGGCTAAACAAGATCGTAGATGCCACTATGCATTTCAATTGTGAGGACATACTGAAGTTTGCGTTCAATAATCCACCAGAACTCTGCTGGTTTTCTGACGCGGACAAGTCGCGGAGCCACTTGACTACTGGTGTCCGCGGTATTCTATGCTTTGGCGAACGCGAGCATCCCCATAGTTCTTTTCTTATCCAGATAGGTCTGTTTGATGATCGTCCACTCTGCAATGTACTTCAGAATTTTCCGAAGCCACCAGAGGGAGAAACCTTGGCACCAACTGAAGAGATGTCATCCAGCCTGATATTAGGTACACTTTCGAGAGATCGAGTTATATTTCATGGCAAAAGATCAGAAGCTGATCATCCCGACTTGCCAGATATCGAGACGACAGTCAGTATCAGGCGCATGGCAACATCTAGCGAGGGAATTCAGAGATTCATGCTGTCAATTACCCAAAAAAGTGTACCCTTTCAACCTGCTTCCCAGCGAAGAGTCCCCACTATAGGGAGTGTTGATAGCTGGGAGGATCTAACATCTGGAACTACCAGTGCGTTAGACAGTATGTTTCTGGGTAGATAGACTTTAGTCAGGAACACAATGTAAAGTGCACCAGTTACGGCATCTCGTAATACGATTCCGGTCTTCGGAACCCCAACAATTGGTCGGAACAGGTGTTCAGTGTTCAATGTTGCTTGCAGCACATCATATACACGTGGTTTGGTGATGATAATCGCTGAACTAAATGGCCAATACTACTGAATTCCTTCTTGAAGATATGAACAATTATACATGACTTCGCGATCTTTACTTCTGTAGCTATGATATCAAGGGATCGTACGATACCGAGGACTGGTTTGGCGGGAAATTCCGGTACTCTGGATCCCATCAATTGGGATGCAGATAGGTTATTATGTTCTCTGGTAATCGGTTGAGGATATAATAAGAAATCCTTTTAAGCTACCCCTCATCCTCATGTTGTGCAACAGAAAGTGTCGCTGCTGCCGAAACGTGTGAGGCTTGCAGCCGTCGGACTTTATCGTTGTGGCCCAAGCTTCTCTTCCTCTGCGGCTTTCCGATCAACCTCAACCGCATTCCCGACTTCCATCCATCCCCCCAAGCCATGGACGAGTTGTCGCACGCTCTTCGTCCTGAAGACGACGCGCCGGACTCTCCGAAGCGCAAGAAAAAGCGGACCAAGTATACCTCAAAAGCTTGGTGAGTCTTCCCTCGACGTGGACGATGTGCCGTATGCCCTTTCCGATAATTCCGCATTGCTAACCGCTAATCTTCAGCGTGACTTGCCGGCGCTCAAAACTCAAGGTATGTTAGTCCCAGGGCCCCCAAAATGCAGCAATCATTGCTAATACTTGATACAGTGCTCTGGCGAGAGTCCGTGCCAGCGCTGCCTCGATAACGGTCGAACATGTCACTACGATGAACAGCCTATAGCTTCCAACGGCACCGGCGTGATGCGAAGCATACCACGACAGGATGTAGTGGAAAGGGAAAGACGTGGGAGCGATTCCAGCGTCTTGGGGATTGCTGAGGTGCTGCAGAACCTCAGTCGGCCAACACTTGCACAGCCATTAAATACAGCCAACAGCCCTGCGCTTTCACGAAGAAATCTGGTACCACATAACGAAGGAAGCGCTATAGAGCGAAGAGCTAGCGATGCGAGTTTACTTGGGCTATCTATGGAAGCGCGCATGGCTAGAATTGAAGGCATGATGGAAGCTTTGATCCAAGATCGAAGTGTGATGTTGTCCCCTCGAGGAAGCATGGAGCGAGAAGATACTGCTAGTGATAGTCTACGGGGTGATGCTACATTCGATATACGTATGGAGACATTCGGGGCGATTTCCAACACAGCTAGACAAAAACTGAAATTGTCGAACGACTCGCCCGAACTTCAAGTACGCCAACCTGTACCTGCAACAAGCCCACCTCAGCAGGAAGGTCGATCTACCATCCGGACTGGAACGAAGGACCGGACGTTTCCAACCCTCACCGACTACCAACGCTATATTGATTTTTTCTTTTCCAGCGTTAACCCATATCTTCCCTGCATCAATGAGGCCGAGTTCCGTGCGCATAGCGAGCAAATGCTATCCTCGGTGGACATCCCGGAAAGGAGCATGTGTCTTTTGGCCCTCAACTATGTCATCTTTGCTTGCGTAGATATCCTGCTTCAAATGCTGGATACTGGTAGCAATGTTCCAGGTGGAGACAGCAATACTGCCGGTTGGCATTGGTTTCAGATTGCTGAAGAAGTCCTGGGAAACCGCCCGAAGACAGGACGGGGGAGAATGGTTTTAGTACAGGTCCTCACTTGGGAGGTTCGTACTGTTTGATCGCTGTTCTGATAATTCGCTAATGCTGTACAGGCATTCTATCTCATGCATAACGATATGCCGAATGCTGCTTACAATGTCGTAGGGCTGGCGTGTAGGCTTTGCTATCAGTACGACCTACACCAACAACCATTCTGGAGCGGATACACGCCATTCGAGATTCACATGTGTCAACGTATTTTCTGGTGTCTGTATTTTAGCGACCGCCGAATTGCATTAAGCTGTGGGCAGCCGTACTGCTTACGCGACTCTGATATTGAGGTTGACCAACCGCCATATATTGCTGATAGAGTAAGTTCTCTCATTGTAACTGAAAGACCCTGGTCTAACTTCCGCTAAAGGACCTCTTCCCTGATCGACCTTTACCAAACATAGACCCATCGCGATCGGCCAATATGTATCTGAGATTGATGATCGCCTGGGGTAGATTCGCAGGCGAAGTGTACGACCTGGCTTTTGTTGCAGTAGCCGCCAAACACGGGCTTGATGGGGAGAAGGCCGCTCAACTTGAAAGCCGTATAACCGATTTCACAAGATATACCTTGGCAGCAATGCCCCTGATACCACCCAATCAGGCTCCCGAACCTAGACATTTACGACAGCACATCCTATCTCACACACGCTTCAACAACCTCCGACTGTTTCTCAGGCGGACAACCATGCTCTCTCTTAACTACGACGGGAAAACTGGTGTCACGTACGGCGATATCGCTTTAGACACCATTCAGCGGTTTAAACCCCATGCCCGCGAAGCAAAAATACCCAGTCCACTCCGTTTCCACATGGCCACCACACTCTCACATTCCCTTCTCATCCTTGCGAGTTTAATTCTTCGCGATCTTTCTTCCATAGGCATACAGGATCGCAAGGACTTGTACACGGTGGGTTACCTGGACGCCAAAAACATCCTGCAGGAGATCGCTGCCCACAACCAAGTTGCCCGCCGTATCGTAGACGACTTCCGAAGCCTGTTTCGTAGCGTGTCAACGGCTTTAAACAACAGGGAAATTGGTACCCCCAATTGGGCTAATGATCACTTCAACCCAAGTGACTTTCCCGTGCGGTCAAGACTGGGCCATCTGCGCGAGAAGTCTCTACCATCCGATTCGTGGGATGCCGAATTTCAGCAGTCTCCTGAAGCTGCTTCTGGCATCATCTGGACTTGAGGGTGCAAAATTTCTGCTTTCTATCTTCACGGATTTGTTTCCCCGTGGATCTGTATATATTTCGCACTTTGGTGCTGTATTACGTTTACGTGTATTTTCAAGTTGTCATCATGATACCATACCATCTAGTAGTACCTTTCAGATATTTCAAGGTTAATCAGAGCGCGTTTCCCGAATCCATGAACGAGTATGTGTTATCTGAGCCGTCGTATCATTGTTGGGCGGAAATTGATAGAATCTAGGATCTAAGTACTTAGCACTTATGACCGTTGCCAACTCAGATTCACCCACTTTACATCAAGCCGTTGGGATTGCTGCATGGGGGAGTGGATAGCATAATGCGAGAGTATATGCACCAAGAGATCTGAAATCAAGTCAGCAAAGGAAAAACAATGCAAGCTTGGCTACTCGATAATGTATAAGTTATGCACTTATGACAGAGCGAGATATCAGGAGCAACAGTGACATGAATTGAGATCTTGCTTTCATGTAGAACATGTTTACGTGACTAAGCAAAGAAAGTAGGCTTTATTTTTTTTGTCATGCAAAGCTTCAGATCGCTTTCTCACACTCGAATGTCAAGAGTTGAGGAACGATCTGATACGATTCCATTGGGCATATCTTTAGGTAGCATGATGTTATTTCCAAAACGGGTTCGCTATATACGCTTCTCTTACTCATTACCATACCCAGCATCTCTGCTCAGGGATCATTCACCTCGTACTCATACTAAATCATTTGCCCATACACTTGCAGTGACTAAAGTTGCCTTACTCTGCAGTTCTTAGTCTACTAATTCATATGCACATCATCATCCCTCGCCTCGAGCACAAGACAGCAATGCAAAATGATCAACATATCTATTACCTTGATCGCTCGAGACTGAAAAGGATGGGGGTACGAGTGCATTGGATAGCTATATCTCCACTTACACCAAAGACCCTGATTTTTCCCTACTCCACAAGGCGGGCAGATCCTTGCTAAATCTCGAATAACGGCGTACTTACAATTAAAATACCGTGTCCCCACAATCTACGTAACTTACCTTCCAGAGAAAACCGGATTTCGCGGTGGGGTACGGGCCCTCTATTTCGAAAAGAACTCGGGGACTATAAAATGCATAGTGGAGCAAAAAGGCAGATGACCCAAACGACGCATCTCAATTGAAAGCAAATGAAGGGATTGACACGGTGAGATGGATACGAGGACCCTTGAAATCTACAGATCTGATTTCTCCACATTCACTATATCTTCCCCCACGCGGAAAGATGAGTGTAATGGCGACTTACAATTTCGTTGTATGCAATCGGCATGGGAAACGGATGGCAGGGCTACTGTACCGCAGTACAGTGCTTACTTTACATGTACCAATGCGAGTCTCGGTGTTAGTCCCTGCGTATGTACACCCATGTGCCCTTCTACCGACACCAAGCACCCCAGTCTGTATTTTATATTACACTGCACTGCAGTGTGCCATGCATCGACAACATGCGCTAAGCTACGATGCAGAGCAATGTATTCATTCTGTAACATGAAAAGCAGGGCAGATCTTTACCGAGAGGCGGTGAAGCCCTACATATGATACAATTTTTACAAATCACATGCCTATACTCGCCTCGCCTACGATGGCAGCAGTCACTGTGACAGACCCTGGACGATTCTGGAGACATGCAGATACACTACTTCCATCGTGTGTCGGAGGTCGCCTCAGTACATGTCCTCGTACACTTGCTTTCCTTGAATGTGCCCCGGAGAAACGGGACGGGGCGCGCTGCAACGCATACCAAGCTTCCGAGTATACTTTTACAAGCGATATACCAGATACAGGTATGTATCCATACTCATGCCAAACCGTTTCCACTGTCCTCACGGGCTCCGGCGGATTTGGAAAATTACCCGTTGGAAACGAAACGCCTTGGGCGACCTCGAGGTCTGTATTTTACCGGTGGATGGGATTTTTCTTTTCACTTGAGCTGCTAAGTGGGCACGCGTGGGGTTGCTCGGAAGCTATCGTGGTTCATGTGGGTTGGTGAGCAAAATATGCTAATCGTCAATGCCATGCTTTTTCCTTCTTTATAAATGACAAATTTGATTTCGGGATTTAATTACAGAGACAGATTTATCAAGAAGAGCCAATAAGAATTACATAGAGATAAACAATTAAATTCAAGAGTATCCAAAAACCTGTACCTCCTGCAGCTTTCCCTGCGTAATTATATCATCGACGAAAGAGGACATGCCGAGAGAGATATCAAAGCCCGCTCGGACCGACTTAGAGAAAACGGGAATTTCGATCATCACCAACATCCAACAACGCACATCATACCCGCCGACATACAATACATGCACATGTGAATCAACAAAGTAAGAAGGTATCCACAAGCAAACCCTGCTCGCTCGTCTCACGAACCTCAACTTGAACCTCACTATCAAACTCGGCCGCGGGCGGAAAATCTCTTTGTATGAATTACAGCAGCAACAGGCAATAGCGGTGTAACTCCACTCCACCCGAGCACCCTACCCACTTTGCTCAAGATCCACCCCGACGCAAATGCAAGCAAGAAAGTAAAGAAAAAGAAGGAGAGCAAGAAACAAGCCTGGATCCCTGGACCCTGAAATCCTTAAGTTATTACTCTTGCACACTAATCCCCCGAGAACGGCTGGGGTGAGGACCGACGAGAGAGCCAGAACAAGTCGTCGGATTGACGGTCAGGTGAGCCGCCATGGATACGCCACAGGCCTCTGTGACAATGCCTCACGACGTTTTCCCCAACCCGGTAAACGAAGCGCAACAGAGTCGAAGCGAATTTTCGACTTGGAGAGCAAGAGGAAAGATATCCTGGCGGATATTCCTCGGGTCAGCCGACGCTGTTAGAACTCCCTAACCGGGAAAATTTAGGAGCTCCTCCCCTCCTGCTCCTCCTCGTATTTTTCCTCCATCGGGAAATCGCAGGGAAATAGAAAAAGAAACGAAATTCGAAAGCACGTGCAAATACAGAAAACGAAAATAATAACCACCGGAACTTGATACCGTAGAGCGTTGAGAGGTCCAGGCCAAGGGAAAGCTTAAGCGCTTTGTCTGGCAGAGTCCGCCAAATGTCCATCGTATTGTCAGCATAACGAACAAATCAAATGAATGAACGAACGACATTTGCATAAACATTTATTCTTTCTTCGTCTCGTGAACAATTGACCTTCGGAATTCATTTCCAGAAAAGACACGTGATAGGCAAATAAACTCCCAACTTACTCCAACGACTCCAACAAAGAACTCCACATCCCGGCCAACATTCAGTAGAAAATCATCGTTGATCATAGCATATCCCCCGGGACATCCCCCGGCCCCCGATACGTGCGTGAATCAGTTCACACGAGAGATTCCATCTTCAACTTTCCTTTCCAAGAAACACTCAAACCAAGAAACAAAATTAATGCCTCAAAGGAATCCATCCCATCAACCACCAACAACCTTCCAAACTTCCATCCGAGATCCGTCCCCTGTCCCTCCACTGACCGCTTTTACTTGTAACATTCAATCAACGCTCTTCTCGGAGTCTTTCCTCGTCTCGTCAAATATTCCTACCTATAATTCTGTACTATACTTTGATTACGTGGAAACCTCTTCACAATGCCCACCGGAGCACCCGGCCTCTCCCGACAGACTCCATAGTTAACAACCCACAGACACCGGCCGGTCCGGCGAAAGAAAAAAAATACCCACCACCACGCAGGCGTCCGAAACGGCCGACTGTGAAAAATACGTCTCCAGCCCGGAGACACTAATCGTATAACAGACTCTTCATGTAACAAATCCCCTCCTCTTCTTAACAAATAAATTACCCTCCCAGCGCCGGCCTCCCATCCGCCGCCGCAGTGCTAAACCCCTCCCCTCCTAGTCTCCAGCCGGTCGATTTCTCGGTCTTCGCCCACTCAGCTCTCGACATACCCTCCCTAACCCTCCATAGTCCACCTTCCCAGCATGGAAGCTCCCTGCTGCCCTGTATTGTATTATATCTTCCACCGGCGCCCACCGGCGCTGGTCCGCTCGCACGCTTGCGATCGGGGAAGGTTAGGCACGGCCAAAACGCACGTGGAGCCCACGTTCCCAGACCCGCGCTAGAAACGCACTAAGATCTTACATGGAAAGGTTTTTCCACTTTGTTGCGATGGAACGGTGGTTCATTGCGCGGGTGTGTGCGCATGTGACGCTTTGAGTACCAGACAGTGGCAGACACCAGGACTAGTTGATGGTACAGTATACGCAGCAGTGGCGGTGGCGAGGAGGGAAGGCATGGGAGCCACGAGGTCGTCGTTGGGGATGGGGAGGGCGAGGTGAGGGCTAGGGGTGGGCTAATTGGGACGGACTGGTGGTTGTTCGGGAGATATTCTAGAAAACTTCGATTTGCCTCCCCTAGTGTTCACTGTGCCTCACATGTGTGAGAATAGGGAGGGCGGTAGGATGTTCGGGGCCGGGAATGCCATACTGTACATGTTACGTTCTAGCGGCGTGGGTGGTGTTCGGTGGTGGGTCGTTGTGGTCTTGACAAGACGTGCATGCATGGATAGAGTAGAGTGGGATTCAATACAGATCATATGCCGATGCTACGTTGTCTCTTGAGCATGTCGTTGAATTTTTCTTGTTGAGGTACTCAGGTGGAGCTTCACGTATGGTACCTAGACAAGCATTGATACTTTCAAGTTTTTTATCCAGGTGAGGCGGCCGGGATATACCGTGCATGGATGTTTCTTTCTTGACGCCGGACAGAGAGTTGATGAGTTGATTGATACATTGAGGGAGGAACGTTGATGGTTTGATATGTAGTTGATTGGACGGATTGGTCGAGGAAAGGATGGATTGATAGAGATGTATCGTGTGGTTGATATGCTATAACTACAATCATGACCATAAGCAATCAGACATCAACTGCAGAAGCTCTTGCAACGTATTGCACTGTATCAATGTGACTGCTTCTGATATCGTTATGGTCCGATCTTCATAATGATCATGGATTTCTTTCACGCCCTCCGCTTCCATTATCTGCCTGTCTGTACGTCTGTACACTTACCATCAAGTATTGTACTTGTGGAGCAGACACAGATACAGGCGTACGTCATCGTATAGTTGTGTCGACTCGCATGCACATCATGAAAGATGGCGTTCATACCGAAGATGTTATGACTTATTGGCACTGCTGCCGCCTATGCGTTTGTACTTCCTTGGATCTAAAACCAGTCGTTAGTAACTGTTGGTTCATCGCGTGTGGTTTCGGTTCGGTTCGTGAAATGCATATCCTCGACTACAATCTTCATAACATACTCGCACGTATGTTGAAGATGTTCAGGCATGTAATGTGCTATGCAACATGCAACCCAGCATCTGATATCACATGACTGGATGCATGGTGTAGTGCAGTGTGGGGATCGAAACGTACCTTTCCTCGACATCTTAGTCCGATCGCGCGTACCTGCATACAGATGAAAAGTCACCATGTCAGCTGAACAATCCCCATGATCTTCATAGTCATCGCCATCGTCGTCATCGTCATCGTGCATAATAAAAAACAAGTCCAAAACAGACGAATGAACAAAAACGAAAGTAAGAAAACAGGAATGCAGAATCGCGTCCCTTAATCCCCCATAGTCGTTGATATTGGGGAAGGGAAGTCTGAATGTTGGAGTTAGAGTCGCAGGTGTGGAGGGGCGGACACGCCGCGATATCCGGATCCACACCCGTTCATGCTTCTTCGAGGATGGTTCTCTCCACCCCATTACAACGGGACCTTCATTTTTATCGTGGGGAAAAGCGATTTGTTTGCAACGCAATGATTCCGAGAACCCTCATGGTACTTGGTATTGTAATGCGCGATGTCGTACATCTTGGTGATCATCATCGTCGTTCTTCCGTCCGTTCCAGTAGGCAACTCATTAGCCCTGACATTTTCGTCGTTCAAGGCTGTTGATCATCGTGAGTCCATCACGAGATGAGAAGAGATCTCCAGGAGCCAGATGTACCGCCGTCGCTGTAGTCGAGGTGCGGGTAGCCTCCACTGTGCAGCAGGTGACCTTGAAAACGACGTCATACATCCCTTCCCTACAGCCCACACGACAACGTGGGACCGTTATTCTCGTTTGTGGCGGAATTCGAGTCCCGTAGCCACACACACATGCCGGTAGATCCAGACAACGTCGCTTGGAATCTTGCTTTTCCACCCTTATGACCCAGCTTGGGTATGTCGTCGTCCCTTGCCTTGATATGTCGCAGAGAGCATGTGAGATGGGTGAATCGCAAACCATGACACTAACGCTTAACCCCGTAGGAAGCTACCATCGGCATTGCGCCAACATAACTGGCCGATCGTCCCTCCGGTCCTCTGGTACCAACATCGTCACCGCCATCGGATGTGGGCGACGGTTGTCGAGCAAACCGCGGGGTTGGGCCAATTTGGGACATGGGGTTCAAGGAATCTTGGGACACTTCCCCGGGTAGGGTAGATTAGTGCCAACATCGCCATCTCCCCATCCAATCGCCAGGTGAATGTCGGTCCGAAGCCGATGGGTGCGTAGGAGCGCCGGATTGGGGTATTTGTCCTTGGAGGCTATTATTGCATGTGACTGGCATTGCCCATGCGCATGCCTGTTTCGCCCACGTGAAAGACAGAAGACGGTCCGAAAGTTCAAGTCCCGGCGTCCAGGCCGAGTTTATGCCAGCTGAGAATGGAGGCGCGCGCATGGTTTACCCCCGACGCACACGAGTGTTTAACTTTCGAGACGAGGGGGGAAGCAGGGACGTGATGAAGCAAAGTCGGCCCGGCTCTCTTCCATCCTGGGTATGGCTATGCGGTGGCGGGCGTAGGCATAATTGCATTCGAACAAGAAAATGAAATGCACAAAAACAGAGAATAGAGAGAAAGAGAGAGTAGAGAAAATACACGTACCAGTACCGCCCTCCCAGAACCCTTTGCCGGGTTTCATCGTTAGCCATGCGTGGCATATGCCGCAATCATTGGGCCGGTAGTTCTGTTCTCTCGAACCTATGTCGAAAGTTAAAAAAGGAAGAATGGAAGAGGAGGTTTCACATGTCAGTCCAGCAATAACTCTTTCGAGTATTCGTCGTTGCCGTCGTTGTTGTTATTGTGTTGTCCTTTCGAAACAAACAACTGCCGTCCGGTCTAGGCCGGGACGACAAACGACCACTGGGAGGTGGAGGAGGGAGAGCGGGAGCGTTGGACTCCAAACTTACAGAAACCACTAAAGCGTCAAGAAACAAACAAGTGTCAGCAAGAAGCCCAAAAGCCCAAAATAAAAGCCCCGAAGATCGTTCCGCGCGTCAAACGCAGAGAGGCAGACAAAGAAAGACAAGATATTGGGAGGCGTTGTTCGCTGCAACAGGGGTTTTGCTAGATATGCGAGGCGAGGGTTTGCGGGGGTGGGTGGTGCAATGGTTGTTTGCGGGGAACTGCATGCGCTCGCCTACCCTACGCCTCCAAACGCGGGGGGTGTGACACCTGACGATGCAGCCTCCAACGGCGGCATGCAAGCCGCATCGCGCGAACGTAACACAAACAACACAAAAAGAGGGGAGAAAAAAAAAGAAAAGAAGACAGGTCGACGTACCATATCATACGATTCGCATGCTCGATAGCATGGTCCGCAGTTTGATCGTGACACCTACACATTCCCACATATTAACATCAAGTTCAATCACCATCAAACGCCGACGCGTTGCGCGTTTGTACGAGTAGCATAGGGAAAGGGAAGAACCCTACCTATCGCAAGGGAACACCTTGCTACAGCACGAGAATCTAAACCAGCGATAGCTCTTCCTGTAGTGCGTGCAGCGGCCGCGATTGGGCAATTCCTGTCCGGCGACGATGCCCAGGTTTTCCGCGCGCTGTTTCCGATTGTAAGTTCTGTGACATGTATGCATGCATGTATGTACTCCACAGAATACATACAATACAATACAAAGGACAGGAAGACATACCTTCTTCCGCACCGGCGCGTGGCTTGCGCGTTCTGAATCGAAGCAAACGGTCAGTCAGTAAACGGTGAACCCCAGCGCACGAATTGACATGTCTTCTCGTTTCCACATCCCCTATTCGAACTCCCTAATCCGGGGTGCAATTCGCACGTCTCTGCATCGGCGACGACTCCGAATCACACTCCTCTCATGACCAATCGTCACGCACTCAAAAGGGAAAAGACAACGTTGGGAAAACCGTAGCTTTGCTCTAACTCACCTGTCCTAGCGCTCACCCTAAGGAACTTAATCTCCGGTAGACCAAAAGCTGCGAAGTGAACGGTCAGCCTAATCACTTAGATCCTAAGCTGGGGTAGGAGAGGAAATAAAAACGTGGCAGCCACACCAACGGCATGTATCATTGGAGGGGGGAAGGACTAAACGTACTCATCTTCCGATGGCACTCCCGACAGAACGCCATTGACGTATCGCCACGGACGGCCGTGACTCCGTTTCGAGGATGCATCGTCGAGCACTCTGCACATGTCGGTATGAACGAACTGTTTTTTGCCGACACATGATATTGTCAGTCAATGGATCAGTTGACTCTTTGTTTCAAACGTCGACTTTGAGAGAGGGAATGAGTGGACGTACCTCGGCAGCATGTCGACGACGGTGCATCCGTCAAGGTCGAGATATCCAGCACGTGTGGAGTTGGCGTGCAGGAACTCTGCTCGGTAGCCTGTGATTGTACACATGTCGGATCAGTATCATAGTCGTCTCTATCACGTGCGGATTTTCTATCACAACGACCCCAATGTGGAATCGCAACCGTGATATCAAAAACGAACACATGCAAACAAAAGAAACAACATACCCAAAACAAACGGCGAAGCACACTTCTTGCACGAGTCCCTGCGCGTGTGATCCTCCCCCTCGACGCTATTGTTCCTGAGCCCGCCGACGTCCTTGACGTCCTTGCAGCGATCGCACTTGACCGTCAGGTTGAGCACACCGATCTCGAGGAGCTCGACGCCGTGGAGTTCGAGGTGCGGGAAGGACATTAGTATGCCCTTCTCCACGCTGGTGGTACCTGCTTGCGGCGCTGAGGCGGTTTCTGAGGAGTGAGGGTCATTTGCTTCGTCTGACGAGGCTTCGTCGCTGGAAGAGGAAGATTCAGACTCAGACTCGTCGTTTTCTCCAGGCGTGCGCCATTCCGGCGGTCGCGGTATCGTGACGACGTGTGGTCTATCCAGACTGTCTCCAGGGACCTGTGTACTCTGCTTCGTTTCGACTTGCGGTTTCTCCTCCACTATCTTCGCTACCTGTGATGTTGCCGCAGGCGTAGTCGTAGGCTTCACTTCCACCTTACTCGCCTTCGCCATGACGTGCATATTCTGCGCCAGATAATTCAACTGGCCCAGCAGTGACGAACTCGCCTCCTTCTGTCCCCCAGCTGCCCTCTCCGCAAAACCCCTCTCAACATTCCCAACGCCCTCCCCACTGACCCCCACAAGCTTCACCCGACAAGGCTGGAGGTCGTACAGCTCCGGCACAATCAACCGCACCGTCTTCACAGCCTGGAGTTCAAGCGGCAGCGCGGCTTTTTTGGCTGGCTGGATCGGCACCACGAACTCGATCCCATCGCGGGACTTCGAGAATTGAGGGAGTCGACCGAGCCGCGTTTCGAGCTGGCGGACCTCTGCGTCTCTTGTCGCTTTCGCTCGAGCTTTGGCTTCTGGGGAGTGTGTGACGGGTACGGGGACGACAATGTTGCTCCTTACGCTTTGCTGCTGCTGCTGCTTCGGCGGCGGTGCTGGCACCGGCACAGAAACTTCCTCCTTCTTCTCCACAGCATGTCTAACAATCTTAACCGTCTCCGCCTTCTCCCCCGTCAGCATCCCCTCCAACCCCCTATCCAACTCATTCAACCCCTTCAGCAACGTGCCCCTCCCCTCCGCCAGCCCAAGGCGCCGCACAATCCCATCCCACCCCCTCTCAACGTTGATCTGATAACCCCTTGGCATATCCCCGTTCGTCACCCGCAGCGTCGGCAGGGACTCGCTACCACCACCAGGGTAGGTGAGCGGGACGCGGAGAACGCAGTCCAGGGTCTCCATGTCGAAGGGGAAGTCTGGGTCTGAGGGGCGGAGGGGGAAGGTGAGTACTGTCGCTGATGCATCGTCGCGTTCGACGACGGCGGGCGAGAAGCGCCGCCGGAGTTGGGAGAGCTGGTATGTTCGGGGGGATGTGAGCTGTGATGTTGGTGTTGGGCGGGCTGTTATTGTCCTTGGTGCTGGGGTTTTTGGTTTTGGCGCTGGAGGAGTGGGTGTAGATTCTTGTGTTTGTACGTCGTCGTGCCGAAATGGACACTCGCTTCCCGCTCTGCATTCTATACCTCATGTCAGTTACTGTGTATATCAAATCAAAAAAACATCATATCTTCATGAACATCCGTCGCCGTCATGTGACAAACAGACAAACACACACGTACCGCCGCGAGCGTAAAACCGACACTTGCGTCCCCTCGCCTTATTCTTCTTCTTCTCGTCCTTGCTTATCTCTTGTCTTCTCCCCTCGTTACCGCCAATATCATTCGTACTAGTAGACGTCGCGGGCACTGTGTTCGGCATTGTTATGTCAGCACTTTCGCTCTGCCCTCAATGCAATCAATCAATCAATCCAGTCAATCCATTAATCGCAATTGGCTTTCAGAGCGTCACTTCAATTGACAACCCCCATGCCTACACATCCTCTCACACGTCGTTCGTTCGTTCGCCATCGCTCGCTACCCGCCCACCCGCCAACGCTAGCCGGGCAGCAGCCTACCTAGCACCAGACGCACACACAGCGCAGGTGACCGCGGCCACCCCAGGGGTCCGGGGTACCGAGACGTGCCAGCGCATCAGACATTTCCATCGCATGCCTTGTCAACACACATCCCCCCCGCGCGTGCGGCCTCGTGCACCATTGTCGTTTTTTTTTCCTTTCCTTGTAGACTGAAAAGAGAGAGAGAGTTGAAACTCACCGGTGGTATTATTGTTGTCGTCGCTCATCATGTGCAGTATCAGTCCGCCGCGTATTATGGCGTGTGTGTGCGGGAATGAACGAATGACGCTTTTCCAATGCTTTTTCGCTTTGATGAACAGAGGGGAGGTTCGGTGGCGGTACTTGTCTTCTTTTATCCCATTGAAATGGTAATTGTTGATGCTCCGTTTGCCACTTGTTGACGGAGTGTTTGGTGAGGGATGTGAGTGTGTATGAGTCGAATTCGACTAATGAACACACGCAGCTATTGTTACCAATAACTAATTACTGCAGCTAGTTGCGTGCGTTTATCGATAGGTAGGTAGGTAGGTGGGAGGGATTGAGTCACCGCCTGGGGGTTACGAGGTAGTGGCCACCCCTCCACACGCAAGGCTGAGCTGGCTCGCAGGCCACCAAGCGGATCCGGAGCACATCACTCAGCCCCAGGCACCTCTCTCTCCTGGCTGACTTCCTCCTTGTGTTTTGCGTGAATGGAAATTGCAAAGTCACGATGTATCAAGAAAAGTGAAGGAGGAATCAAATTGTTTTGAATCAATTATCTGCTTTTTTTGTATTTCAGGTTCTGTATGTACCTAATTAAGAACTGCAACTAGTTACTCTCTCTCTCCATTCTCTGAAACCTCACACCCTTCGGCCGTGATTCCAAACAATGTCGCGACGAGGGAAATGCTGCTCGTCAGATGGCTTTGCCGCCAACGAGTCCGGGCTCTAAGAAGTCCCATCTCGACTCGATGTAAAAGTACAAAAAATGCAGATACTAGTACAGACCCAGCGGTCGGGGCGCGCTGTGCTTCCAAGAATGACGCGGTAAACAGTGTAAATCCTGCCCACCCAAAAGCCGGCGTGAGCCGTGTATAACTTTCTTTTGAAACCCCAGAAGTGATCACCCAGATTGTGTATCCCGCCCAATAGTCCAGTGATGATGTGAAAGGTAAAACGATATGTGGCAAAGAGGGGAAGAAGAAGATGAACAAAGGATAGGAAACTCGTAGCCTCGTGGGCATACTCGACGCCCTTGGTGGTGGTGGTATCAAAGAGATTGTGGGAACTGTCCCCCATAATCGGTCGTCCGTTGCTGAACAAATAAATGCGTATGGACGCAGTGGCGAAGAAGAAACAGAGAAGGGAAGAATCATTAATAAAAGAGGAAAAAGGACGCCATACACCAAATGATCCATGCCAGTCCATATATGCCGCTGGAATAAATGCTAGAAATCGAAAGTTGCGGACGCAGGGCCATCACCATCCTTTTTGGTGGTATTCCTGGAGGCCCTGGTCAAAGTAGTCGTTATAAGAAGAGTTGTTTTTGGCCGGCTCGTTGGGAGTCTGGGCCTTGCTGTTGACCGCCTGCTGAGGGAATGCATGGAGACCCTTGATGTCGTTGGTGGTGGCCGCCCGGCGGAGAGCTGGGATGGACACGGCACTCTGCACACGCTTGTTGACCGCGTTGGTGGTCGCGTTCTTCTGCTGCCTCTCCCAGAGGAGGTTCTGGCGGAGCGACTGCGTCAGCTCCGTCTGCAGCATGTTGCGGCGCGTGGTGCGGGGAGAGAGCATGGGCGGGTGGACGTTGGAGGTCGTCATGATGATCGGCTTCGAGCGGGGGATCTGCTGGCGCATCATCAACCCGCTGTCTTCCTGGGGGGAGGTGCCGGTGGAGGGACCGTTGGGGGTCGAGGTCCTGGATCGTCGGATGGCCGGGGTGGACTTGGACGCAGCGTTCTGGAGAGCTTGCGCGCGGTCGCCCTCGTTCATCAGAGTCGTGAGGATGGAGCGGCGGGAGACGAGGTTGGGCTTGGAGTCGACGCGCTGGAACATCTCCTTGTCGACCACGCTGGATGGGCCGCTGTCGTTGTCGTCCTCCCAGTCGTCCTCGGAGTCCTCTTCCTCGATGGCGTTGTCGTCGGAGTCTTCCTCCTCGCTCTCGCTCTCAATGGCGCTCTCAATGGCCTCGCTCTCCTCCGAGGAGACTGCCTCCTGGTAGGTGCGGGTCGAGACCTCGTTCTTGAAGGAGGCCGTCTTGCGCATGAGGGTGGACTTCTTGAGGTTCTCGGACAGCGAGCTCCGGCCGGCCATATAAGAGGCCTCGAACGAGCTGGTGTTGTCCTCGTCGGAAGAGCCGCCGAGAGTGAAGACTGGCTGCTTCTTCTTCATTGGCTCAGCCTTGGTCGGCTCCGGGCGGGAGTTGAGGAGACTGTTCTTGAGGATGGGAGTGGGGTTGAGATTGGTGCAGGAGCGGATGGAGGTGGAGATGCGGCTGGGGTCGAAGCCGTGGACGACGCTGTGGGTGCTGAGATCTGTCGATGTGCTCACATCGGATCCGACCGGGGGGCTCATATCCTCGCTACCGAGGATGGTGGCGACCGTTGAGGTCGACGATTCCGTGGGGACGAAGCGAGGGGCGGCAGGAGGCGACGAGGGACGAGGAGTCGTATCTTGGACGGCTCTGCTCTTCTCCTGGGGAGCCGGAGTGTGCGCGAGCTGTGCGGGGAGGGGCGAGAGAGGCTCAATGTTCTTCTTCTCCTGTATCGAGCTCACGACCTTCTCAAGGTCTGTGGGAGTGATGTGCTTGCCGCGGGCCTGGCTGTTGGCAGAATCGTGTCGGCGGAGGTCAGGTCGAGAGGTGGAGGAGTTGGAGCGGGTGGTTGAGGCGACGGCGCTTTCGAGATTTGAATCATCCGAGGCGACGCTAGAGGAGAGTTCTGGAAGTTCTGCTTCCCGGTCATTGGCCGAAAGCTTTCGCTGGAACGACCAGTGGGGAGCGAAGAGGGGATCAGGTGCGCAGCAGAAGGTTTCTCTGGACCACAATCTCCAGGCCATGTTTTCATATCGTTTGCCGTCTTCCATGGCGATGGCACATTTCGAGAAGACTGAAAGCAGCACATGTGTCAGTGGCAATTGAAACAATCGAGCGGAGGGGAAAAAGTGGAGTGTAGAGCAGCGGTCTGCAGTCATATGAAAGTCCTGCGAGCGAAACAAAGCGCGCGTAGACCCTGAGGACACGACTGCTGGCGCGCGCCGGACGGGAGAGAATGAAGGGTGCTGGAAACGTGGGATTGGGGTGGGACTTTGTTTTCCCAAGCATGTCAAAGAATAGAGAAGGAGTGGCTCATACCTGACCATAGACCAAAGAGGTTCTCTGGATTTCTGGTTTCTATTGTGTGCATCGAGCCGGGCTCGACGCGGACGATGGGACGTTCTGCGTGTAGAGGCATGTTGAGAATGTGATGTGGGGATGGAATCTGGGGGAGGATCGCTGCCGTAAAAGGCGAGGAGGAGGAGAGAAGAATTGAAAGGTCCGCGGGCGGTTCCTGGGGATCGGAAATATGGATATGGATAGATGTTCGATGTTTCTGTATCGAAATTGGTGGATTGGGATGGGGAATAACCGCTTTCGTCTGGGGTTCTGGAGAGCCAAGGAGCAGATTGCGTCAACAGATCGCACGCCGGATCTATCGAGCTGCGGGCAGGTGTCAAGAGCGGATGCTCAAACCCATATGGATTTTTGAGGAGAAAGGATCGATGGTTACGGTGAGAGGATGCGGTGAGGAAGGATGGTATCGGCAATGAGGTCGATAGGAGGGTGTTTGTTGTCGGTGGTGGTGGTGGTGGTGGTGGTGACGATGATGTTGGTGTTGGTGGTGGTGGTAGTGGTAGGTGGGTGTATGAGTGGGCGGGTAGGCGCGATGGAGTGGGTATATGATACTGATGGCAGCAACACAAAGCCAACAACGACGACAACAACGAACGGCGGGGAGAGCAGTGGTTATTGTAGTGAAGGTTGAAAGTGTGTTGTAAGGTAAGGTAAGTGTTGGTGTCGGTGTAGATGTAGGTGTAGGTGTGGGTGGATTATGGATGTGGATGAGGGTGGGCGGTTGAAGGGTACATATGTGAAGGGAATCGAATTGGGGGTAGGGACCTAGACTTTGACTAGCAACCCACGACACTAGAGTAGTAGAGTAGGCAAGTACAGTAGAGTAGAGTAGGTATTAGGGTAGAATTACGGTAATGTACTCGGTAAAGTAAAGTAAGTTAGAGGGAAGAGGGAAGATGGGATCCCTGCAATAAGGAAAGAAAGACGCCGCAGCAGTAGAAGCAGAAAAGATGTGAGTTGGGCAAGGGTCATTCAGTAACAAGTTACAGGGGGGGGGGGACAGTCAGTTGCCCAAGGGTGTGTTAGGGTTGTTAGGGGGGGTCACTTTAGGGTGGGTGTAGTGAGTGTACTGTGTAGGGGGGGGGGGGTGTAGGTGTAGGTGTAGTAGGTGTAGTGGGTGTAGGGGCCATCGGGGGGGTCGGGGTGGCATATCCCATCCCTCCATCCCTGCATCGCCTCGCCGGGATTGCGTCCGCCGCCCGACCGCCAGACCTGCTAATTTGCATCCTCACTACGGATACCTCACTACCTCTTCTGGGTTACTCTACACTGACTACTGTCACTAACTAGAGTTACTTGTGACTTACTAGAATTGCTTGACTTGCTAGATATCGTTATTACACACTCACTGACAAACACACAGGTAGGAAATGCTAGCAAATAACTTCCAGGACTACCTAGCACCAGAGAAACTCCGGAGTTGTAGTACACTATTACCAAATACACGTCTGTGTGTCGGTTTGACGAATTAATACGCACTGCTTTTCATTCGTCTTCACTCTGCCACTGGTGACTGGTGACTGGCACTGGCTGCTGGCACCGACACTGGCCCGGATCTTTCGCCATTCAAGCCCTACATCCACCCATCGTCTTGTGCTCCGTCTGAGTCTGCCGTCTGTGCATTCTGCTGCATTTGGTGGATGGTGGAAATGATGGAAATGATGGATGGTGTGGGTGAATGTGCGCGTGTGAGTGTCAGTGTGTGTTATGTGTTGTCTGTTGTCTGTTGCGTGTGGGTGTGGACGGAGGGAGTATGAGGGTGTGTCTGCCACGCTTTGCATGCAAGATGGACGGTTTACGGTTTACGGTTTACCTGCTACGTAGACGGCGGCCGATGTTAGCCCTCGCCGGTACCCATCCACCACCACTCTCTAGATGCTACACAGTACTCTACTCTTGATGATGATGATACCGAACAAACTGTAATGAACTGAATTCAATCGAATTGAATTGACAGTCGAGGAATTCAACCCAACATGCGCCCTTAGTTCTTCTCATCTCCCTCTCTCTCTCTCGTTCTTTGATACCATCTACTCCCTGGCCACCCTCACCCGAACACCATACGGCCCCTACGCCCACCCCTTGAGTTATTATACCAAACCTTCCTCAAGATTAACAAGAATTTCGACATCGTTCGGCTGTTATAACGGCTTTACTTCCGCCGTCACCGTGCCTGCGGTCTGCCCTGCCTAGGTAACGAGTAATTGACTTTGGGCTTCTGATTCTCTTCTCTCTGTTGCCGTCCGTAATCATGCCCAAGACTCAAGAGGGAGGTATACAGGACAGGCGACAGGATACTACCCTCGGTCCCATTCCCTCCCACCTCCACCGGCAGATATATCGGAATCATGGCGGTGAACAGACAAACACGGTACAAGTACAATCTCCAACAGCAGCCCCAACCAAACTCGCCGACTCCAACCTCCAACCCTCCCTCGGCTCTCTGCCCTCCCTCTATCCTTCCACCCATCCATCCACAGTCCCTAGAAATCCCGAAACAGCACCACATGGCAGAAGCAGACATCTTTGTTGACACATGCAAGCACATGTAGAAAGCACAAGTATACCATACCTACCACCGGGACGGGAGAACATGAATTGAACATGCTTTTTTTAAACCTCGCTTTGTCTGCCCTGCCCTGCCTTGCCCACCACCACCACCTGCGTTATTGTTCAAAAACACGCATACACATGGCGTTTCCAACCTTGCCCTGCCCTGTCTTGTCCTGCTCTGCCACCCTCTCTGCGCTGCGCGGGCGCGGGCCATGCTGTCTCCAACAATGTCGCAGGTCTCGGCGTGGGGAGGGCAGGGCAGGGTAGAGTAACTTTTGGTAAGGATAGGGTACTTGACCGGCATGCCATGGGATGGATCCGCGCGGGCCAGGTCGCGTCGCTTTCCCACCTTCCAGAGCCCTCCCGAAGAACAAAAACAACAACAGATGAGAGAGAAAGAGAGACAAGGGAAAAATGAGTGAAAAGGCTGACGACCTCATTGGTCGGATTCCTTTCCCCCTGGCTCATTTCTCTTCGATTGGTATTGTCACCCTCGCCCTGTGAATCGTCGAGTACCGGTACCCTTTGACTCGCTACGGAGTACCTCTCATCCATCCATCCCATCCCATCTCATCACATCTTCAAGTCATTGTCTTGCATCGTTTGTCGTTTTGTGTTCGTGTCGCGTCGTGTCGTGTTGGGTTCTCGTCGCTTAACGTTGTTATGTCTTTGATCTTTGATGGATCAATCAATCATTCATTCATTCATTCGAGCAATCAATAACATCTGCCACAGTATGGTACAGCAATTACCAACTAATTCATTCGCCATGATTTGCCAAAGCCTCCAACAGTAGCCCATCAAAAAGCTGTCATGTGCATCTTCAGAGCTGGCGCGGGCCCGGTCCGACGAAACTTTACGAGCACAAGTACCTATGCCAGCCGGTAAAATACCGGTAGACGAGTTTGTTACGAATCCCTCCCCTGTCGTGGGACTTTCGCTCCAGAACGTGACTGGTTCGGGGCTCGAAAGAGATTCATCACCTGAGCATCTCAGCATCTCAGCATCCTCCAGCTTCCTCTCTTTGCCCCCGCTCTACTCGAATCCCTGCATAAGTTGACTCAGCAGATCTTTCAATACCATACACTCATTACGTTACGACTGTCGGACCGTTTCCCGCCTGCCTGCCCTGCGTCATTTTCTATCAGAAGTTGGAGGAGAGAGTTAGGTACACAGTGGAAGTGACCTTGTCCTTGTACTCTCGTACCTTGACATCCTCCACTTCACCTTCACTCCACTCCACTCTTCACTCCACTCAAACGCTCGAGACTCGACAAGACTCAACTCCATCCTGCCATTCCAGCCCATCACATCACTCAACTGACCTTCACTGCCACTGCTAGCCACACCTGCTGCTCCACTCTCAATGCTCCCTCGAGTCCCTCCCCCAGTATACTGTTACCGTTCCTTTCCTAGCGGTACCTGCCCTGCTCGTACACAATACGGTACCTGGCCAGAACATCTCGCCCATTCCGACACGCTGCTCATCGCTCTCTAAACTGGCACCACTGGTTGGTCACTCCGGTGTACTCGTAACTCACTCTCACGCCGTTCGAACCTCGCCTCGAGCCTCGACTCTGACTGATACCACCTACCAATTCAATTCCTACCTTATCATTCCATCCACCTTACAAACCCTCATCTCGAGTCACTCAACTCGATAATTGCCCCCAGATTTCCAATGCAATCCAAATATTACCACTAATTACACAGTATACGATCCCGTCGGTGGTAACCTTCCGGGCTTTCGTACCCCATCTCCCCATCGCCCCCAATATGGCTCTAGACGGCTCTGGGAGCCTCACTTCCATACAAGCAAGTCACAATACCTACCCACGTCTCGTCTGTGCGAAACGTTTCCGCTCGGCAATCCATCACATGAGCCATTGGGTTTTTTATCTTCCGCTGGGCCTTACCCTACCTATTCGCACCTATTCGTAACTAGTGATCTCGTCACTAGTTACTCCGTAACTGCTTTCCCTTCCCCATGCCCCAATCCCGCTTTCCGCCACTGGTGTACTGTGTACGGAGTAGCGCTGTGAGTAAGTATCGCCTCGAGAGCTGTTTTCGGTGACGCGCCCTCTGGTGGACTCCGCTTGTATCTCTGCTTTACAACTAGTGAGAATCAACCTGCGATTGTTGGCCAGGTTTGGCACCGTCCGTCCAGCTAGATTACCCCATGGGAACGCTACCAAGCCGACGTTTGGGGCACGCGGTCGCCTCCAGGCACCCTATCCTAGGATCGCTGACCTGGCTGCGGAGAAAGCATGGCATGGCGATGGCGATGTATGGCGATGGCGGCGGGCGGGCGGACAGGTGGTGGCCGGCGACCCTCGCCATCCCTCCCCTCTGAGCGTCTGAGACAGAAACGTTTACCCGGGGGAGTTGCCAGCTCAGGGCCTGAACATCTCGAGTCACCTCGTCCCTAATCGCGCGCAACAATGATGCCGTCCTAGTTACCGCGAATGGGCGGGAAAATGCTACGTCAACCGCCGTCCATCTCAAGTCCTCGAGGTCATCTGGACGCCCCGTCGAATCACTGCGCCGCACGAGAATCATGTGCGACGCTCCTCTTTGACTGTATGCGGCGTGATGACCGACCGGTTTCATGAGTTGTACAAACGCTTCGCAACATCGTGACCCGTCGCCTCCCCCCGTCATAGCAGCGCACTGCGTGGCTTTTCTTGTAAATCCACCCTTTCTGCTCGACACTGCCGATCGCTACCATGCCCCAGGTTCGACGGCTCTTACACAATGGCTTGCCCGGCTGCATCTCTGCGATTTCATCCAAAGTGCCTTGTCTTCCTGCCTGCCCTTCGACCGGCTTCGGCTGTTACTTGACCTGTCGCAACCGTATTGTTGTCCTATTTTCCTTTTCCAAATTCCCCAGACTGGCCTCACTTTCTTCGCCCCCTCCTACATGGAACGCGTGACCAGGCAGAGTATTTTTTTTTTCTTTTCCTCCAAGCTGTATCTCGGTCCGTGGGTCCGGCTGATGCATCTTGTGCCCATCTTTTCCCCCACAGCAGAACCCCACATGTACCGGCCAGACACCGCCAGGGTCCAAAAATGCAGTAAAGGTTTTGTAAATCACCACTCTTGCACGCTGCCATTGGCTGGGAGTCAGCGATAATTGTCTGCGGCTCCAGGTCGAGACCGTAAACGGAGTATTATTGTCCGGCATCGAGCCTCTCCATGTCTACCTTCCACTCTATGGGCTATGCATGCTCCGTCTTCGACCCTGCTTAAGCGCGAGATCCTCATGATTCGCTTCTCACCTGCAATTCAATTGATGTAAACACGTTACTCCGAACGGGGCAATAATGGACCACTGGACGAAAAGGGAAAGTCATTAAGGGCAAGGGGATTGCAGATATCCTCGAAAACGAACAAACCGGGTGTCACCATGAGCTTCCCCGGACGTGCGATCGCCTTTTCTCTTCAGGGAGAGTGATTGACCTGGTTTCTCCTCTGCCTCGCAAGTGTGCTGGCATCGCCAATCACGCATTTTTGCTATTACCTACGCCCGCCCTTGCTGATGTTCAGCATTTTGCAGGAGGTGCTACCTCACATCACGGCTCTCCTGTGCATCGGTACGACTTTGAGAGTCCTGAGTCGTTGATGAAGCGGAGAACCCTTCGTTCCCCGTCGTGTGCAAAAGTTTATTAGTTAGTTAGCTAAAGGGAGAGCGATGTGCTCGCCAGGTTCGTCGCACGAAGCGGTGCAATGTGACCCGCAGTCCGGAGTATGCATGCTCGGAATGTACCCATGGCATGTATAGCTTTCTCCGTTCAGTGCCTCCCACAGCGCGAAGCACACGTCTGACCTCCTCGCGGCTGATACCCGTCCCGTCCATTCGATGTTGCTAGCTATCTATTATCGATATCTTGCGTGGTCGACGAGATTATTGAGGCAACATGCCCTTTTTGCTTTTTCCTTTCCTTTTTGTTCGCGCTTGCGGGGGGGCTGCTTACTCTCTTTCTCTCACGACCAGCCAGGCTAGGCTGTGCGCTGTAACATACCTGGGCATGTGTGAGCGTGACTGAACCGTATCTTAAGCACCCCCCAAAACGGGACAAGATGGAAAATGGACATCCCACGTCGACACTCCCACCTCAGCAAACCAACAACAAACCCAACTCTCCAACTCCCATGGTGCTGAAAGAGGTGGGTGGGTGTAGGTAGGTATGTGTCCTGCTCGCACGGCTCCCGTACCAACAAGAGGAAGATGACAGGCATTCGTCACAGCTCATATCCCGAAATGTTGGTAATTTTGGAAATGGCGACGGTGACCCAGGGGGGAGGGGAGGGGAAGGGAAGGGAAGAAGGGAAGGGTCAGACACAGACCGCTCGCTCATACATGTGCTACACAGAGCGTCCAGGGACGAACCCTATCGGTCTCTCCATCCCCAGACAGAGCGCACAGAGAGATGTGCAGTGCGTTGCGTCGCGTTGCGTTGCGCTGTGCTGCGGTGCACTGCACATCTCTGTGCTACAATCCCCATGAGCTGGGGCGAGAGGCACCTCACCTCACCTGGAGTGGACTGGAGTGGACTGGACAGTATTATTACTGTGTACGGAGTATACCATACAATACCCTCCATGCATACGGAGTACCAATCCCACGAAAGAGAGAGTACCTACTGTGTAAGAGAGAGCGTGCCACACCACCGGACACTTGGCTTTACGCCCTGGAAACCCGACAATCTGGCTCTGGCGTTTCGTCTTATGCCGCTTCGGGAAACGGGATCAATGGGGGGGGATGGGGGAAGGCGGCGCGGGAACTGCTTCCCGCTGGGGCTGCACGAATCGCGTGGCGCGCAAACAAATACCAGAACCAACTCATGCGGCACACCCACCCCCCCGGGGTACCTACAGTACAGTACTGTGTATACGTTCACTGATACCTGGACGGTGTTGTACATACAGACGAAGACAGACACACGGCACGGTTAGAGCAGAGTTACGTCTGATTCTCTGTTCTGTCTGGCGTCTGTCAGCACCCGGCTGTTGTCTCGGTTGTTATCGTCGCTCGTCTCCTTTCGTCTACTTGTACTCAATACAGCTACGATGCTGTAATACAATAATAAGAATAATGCGCTGGGTGTCGCTGCAACATGGAACATAGGGAAGGATAGGGATCATGACTGCATGATACCACATACATACTCCTACGAGTAGCATTCATCTCTGCTCGCATTCCCACGCGTTTCGGCGTTGGCCTATACGCCATTCTCACCAACATCATCTACCCATTATTATCGACCTACCGATTCGAGATGCGATGCTCCGAGCCGGTCCGACTTCAATCATCTTCTCACGCACCCGCGGCGGTACTCACATGAATGAACATGGATGAATGGCCGTGACTCTGTTCGCGTTTGCCGCGGCCCTTACCGACTTTCTGCATTATTATTGTTATTGTTGTTATTTGCTTTATCTCGCGATATCATCACATCACCATGCTCGCACTTATCGATTACGCCGCAGTAGAATACCATTACCATCCATTACCATACAATACCGTACCGTGCCAGCCATGCTGCATGCATGCATGCGCACATCCATCCATCCAACAGACAGGCCGTTTCATACACACAAGGTACATGGACATCGACCCGACAGACCTACCAACGGGAACCATTTCTCAATTCCCTTGTTATTTCCATTTCCGCCTTTGTTCTTCTGCTTCTTCTATCAAATTTCCCCCACACTACGAGGTACATTTCCGCTTCCGCTTCCGCTTCCTTCTGCCGACGATGATGCGTCTGTCTGATATGCGATTTCTCGTCCTCCAACATCCCCAACCTCCAGCCTCCTCCCCCTTTCAGCAGGCATGTCTCCTTTCACGTTTTCTTTCACATCCTCGTGCTCGTTATCCTTTCCTTTCAAAACACACTCGCCCACCCACACATACGCTCGTCCCCCCTCTCGCAGCCCAACGCCGCTCGATAAAAGACACAATCTCCAACGTACCTCCCCCAACCAGCCTAGCCTAGCCTCCCTCGCGCTCGCGGGGAACTCCCAAACCCTTCCCGCGCACGTCCACCACCACGCAACGCACGTCCACGCCGCCCACGCGACGAAAGACGAAACGCATCCCACCTTCCACCTTCCCCGAACGCACCAGCACGAGCCTCGCCCTGGCGCAAAAAGAACAGAAAAGCAGAATCTCAAATCATCACCACCACTCACCACCCTTTCGGCGCTTCTTTTTCCTTACACTACACGCACGATTCATGGCGGCATTTTTCTTTTGCGTTTTGGTAGGTAGGTACATAGGTAGGTGCGGAGGGGAGCGCGCACCACCCCGGGGACGTGGTGTCGGCACGCACCCACGCGCACGCTCCTTCACAGGTATTGTATTGTACCTGTATCGTGAAAAGACGAGGACACCGTCCCCGTTCCCTCGGGTACAGTCCTGTTCTGTTCGCGGTTGCCGCCGTCGTCCGTTTACGGTAGAGTATCGATCACGGTTTATTATATACGATCATCATGGCGCAGGTACGAGTTACCTAGGTTAGGCTCGGGTGCCCATTGCCTCGGGCTCCCTTCCCTTCCCATGGCTCCCTTTGGAGAACGTGCGAATGGTGAATGCGCCCGAGGGTTTCTTGACGTTCACTCCACTTCACTCCACCCACCGAGAGATTTGAGGGAGAGAGAGGTAGGAAGGGATGGGGGGTGCACATGTCAAATCTCCCCATCTCCCATTCTCCCAACGTCGTTCGCCTCGCCTCGGGCATCCGTCTGGTGGGTACGTGATCGTTCTTTTGCTTGTGCTTTTCTTCAATTCACTCATCGCGGCGGGTCGTTGGGTTTGCAGTTCGCTCGCTCGCTCGCTCGTGCCATGCCATCCCATTTCGTACCCTAACTTCCCCCCCCCCCCCCCCCCCCCCCCCCCCCCGGAGGCAAAAATAAAATGAAGACTGTACTTGTAATTAGCTGTCGTCCGAGAAGAGCAACACAAACGCATCCGGTGCGTTCCCCAAGCCCGTGTCGCTGGGTCCCTGGGTCCCACGGTCCCACGGTCCCACGGTCCCCACCGCGTGTCTGGCTGGGTGGGTGGGTATCGTGGGCTCAAGGGTATGTGGGTACGTATGGGAGTTGTCGGAGCGTGCGGTGCGGAACGGGTTGCTTGCTGTCATGATTAGTGGTTTGTCTGCACGGGCTTTTGGGGTCTTGGGCGGTTGTGTGTTGGAGGTTTTGGGGTCTTGGGGTTTTTGGAATTATTGAGGGTGGGAGTGTGGGTGAGGAGGTGTTGTTATCGTTGAAAGGAATGCGATGGTCTATGTAGAGATTGTAGAGATTGTGGTACGGGTAAGGGGTAGAATAATCGAGAACCATTGAATAACTGGAGGGAAATTGAAAAACTTCATCTTCCAGCATGAAAATCATTTATTTCCAATACTTCACGTTAGCGAGCGGAGTGGACAAGTCTGATAACAGAGGATTTAGATATGATCGTAATTGTGGTTGTAGTGAGTTGTATAGTACTGATATCAAAATCGCACTTTTTAGTGTTTATAGTACTAATGAACATTACGATTTACTGTTTACCCGGCACCTCACCTCACCTTCTCGCAACGTCAAGGTACATAGCAAGTATGAGCGTCTACATAATTTTGACCCTCAGTTTGTATGTCTGGTACAAAGTAAAGAGTATGGCTTGTTTAGACCTATATTTATAATAGATAACTATTTAACCAATAAGTTCTTACGTTGAAATTCAACAGCAAGTGTGTACATTATATGTGATCACAATCCTAACTATAATTTTGAAATATATTGATATCAAGAGAAACCATTCTTGTATCTATTATATCACAGTACCAGGAGTAGCTATAATCTCAACTCTATTTATTAAATATTTCTTACTTTGTTTCCTACGACTAGTCATTAAAAAATCCCGAGTCTACATACACGCGATTATCAAATCAACGACATACAAGAAACCGCAACTATCAATGTACATATTCACCCGCATACTTCAAAAACATTACACATACTCGCTGCTTACAATCCCCAATATTTTACACACTCATACATCTCACAAACCCACATACATACGATATTCCCTCCCCCTTTCCCCAACTCCTTCAATCCTTCCATCCCATGGGGCTGAACATGAACGCCCGACAAATGTCTCACACGGCAGTTGAGCGCGCTGAACCCACCCCGTCGGTGCTCATGACATCGTGTGGTTACACGACAGTCGTTCGGTGACTAAGTAGGATTCTAATCTTGGGGCACCTGGGGGATGGCTTACGGTCGCGGTGTGCGGTGTACGTGTGTGTGTGCGTCTGCAATTTCATTCATGATGGAGGTGGGAGAGAGGTGGTGGTACGATATATCTATGTGTTACGCCGAGGTAAATTGTAGAACTATGTATGGATGTATGTATGTATGTATGAAGGTTGAAAGATGGTCAGCTGCGAATTTCCGTGACGACGGTTTTCGATACAATACAACACGGTACACATATCAATATCAATGTCTTGATGGAGGTGAGATAGGTGAGATTCCCAAGATGAGATGAGATTCGACGTTTCAATGCCCTCTCTCTACAATTCCCCAACCACCCTACCTCCGCCCGCGAACGAGCGAACAAACGAACACATCTCCCTCCGGAGGGGGGGCAGCAGGCCAGTGTCAGTGTCAGCCCAAGTCCAGACATTGCCCTTGTACCACGAACACCTCGAATTTTCCCTCTCGTCGCATGACAGGTCTCCGGGCCTCCCAGCGACGTTACCAATCCCTCGGGTCCGACCAGCGTGTCGTGTCTTGTCTCACGCCTGCGCTGACATTTCGCTCTACCATATATCTTTCTGCGCGGGTCCCTCGTCTCGTCTCGTCGGTGGTGTGTTCATCTATTCCACCACCAGCGAGCGGAGAGTAAGTGGGAGGGAGGGAAATAAACGGTGAACGGCAGACGAGCCGAAAGAGATACTGCAGCCAGGGAGAGGGAGGAAATATATCGTACCGTACGTACATACATACATACATACCGTGCCGCGTGCGTGCGTGCGGTGCAGTGCAGTGCAGTGCGGTGTAATGCATATGTCATACACCCTCCCTCCCCTCTGCTCCCTCCGACATGCCATGTCATCCAGTATGTATGTATGTATGCTGAGGCTGCTGGTGGTGTAGTCCGATCCCCAACTACCGGCTCCCAACCTCAAACGAATCGTATTACATACATTACATTACCACACTTCGTCTTGGTATTCCCATACGCAACGACGACTCTCCATTTGCCGCATTGGGTCCCTCATGCGTGATATCGAATAGTGAGGTGAGAAAAGGGTAACTAGGAGAAGGGGAGGGGGGCAGGGCCAATGGGACAGCTGCCGCGGTGAGGTGGATGTGTGTGTTATCATGCCATGTTGCATGCACATGCGCGGGCGTGGTTCTGGTTCACCGCGTTATTAACGGGTGTTTATGGTATATCTGCAGTCTTCTCGAATCATGATGCTTCCCGAGTGTGAAACTCGGGCCGAGGGCGGTGCGTTCGGGTCGGCTTGGTGATGGGTTGGTTGATGATGGGAGCAGATGACTCGTTAGGGATTGGGGATAAAAAGGGATAAATGGATTGTGGATGGGGATGGGATGGGACGGGACGGGTAAGCGGTTGGGGATTCCTGTTCTACGCCGCTTGAGCGTCACAGGCAAGAGGCAATGGTAGTGATGGACGGACTGACTCGATGGGGAATGTCTGGTGAGCAGGTTGGTTTGTTGGCGGGTTGGGAATGAAGCTATCATCGTCGATGTGGGAGTATATGCGAATAACACACCACCAGATACATAGTTTACAACAGGATCAATATACTAAACTGTCAAATATCCGAACCTCACGTCCACGGGTTTACAGCCACAAACGAGATAGTATCCAACCGTCTCTCTTCTAAACCAGCCTTTCATATGATATCCAAAGTACAAGTAATTGCAAGGCGTGCGGTCTCAGGACGTCTGTGCCCTCGAAGATCTCCCCATAACCAGACTCTCCAGAGTCTGGTAACATTCTAGAGTCCAGCCATGTTCCCTACCAATATCTCCCTCGAAAGGATTCACAACCGTCGCCTATAACACTAACATTAAGTCCAAGCATAGCATTGCCTTACTCTTACCCCGGAGGTCATCCGCCTGGGGCCTGGCCTCCATTCGGTCAACGTTTGCCCGAAATCGTCGTCCCTCCGTCTCCTCCGCTCCCATTACCCCAAAGTCACCGAAACGTACCTCGTAGATCTCGCCCCGGTTTCTCCAGAATATAGCTGAGAATGGCTCGTGCTAGGTCTGTATTTTTCAAAACGCGAAAAACGCAGATGCAGACAGACGCTCATCTCCACAGGCTTCTTTCTCACCGCATCCTTGGTAACTACCGTCCAGGACCAATGCCAGTCCAGTCCATCAGACGAAAGAAGCATCCATCATCACATGCAGATATCAACCCCCGGTTCGAAGGGCTTCGCCAGCTCGCTCGCTCCGCGAGGCTAATTCCCTTCGCGAGAAACCGCCCGCCCGCCCGTTGCTGACAACCCGGCCGCATTCGTGTGTTCCTCGTCTCGCCTCGCGGAAACGGAATTGTCAATCTCATCTCATCTCAGATCGAAAGGGTAAGGGGGGTGGGAGAGGCAAGGTGATGTCCATCGCAATTCAATTAAACGGTGAGGAACGAACCGCTCACCCGTTCCCGTCGCATCATCCTGCCATCCATGATCCATCACGCCGCGCCGCGACGCGGTCCCCCCCAAGCCACACACGATTGCATTATCATGGATCCTATTATTGCAGGCAGAGTAGGTATCGTGCGTGTTAGGGAGGGGATGGGGATCCTCTTCCACCTCTTCCCCGCGAGACGATCCCGGCCCCCACATCAATCATGATTGCTGACAAGAGGTCTGAGCTGAGGAGGGCGGGGGTCTCGTGGGCATCTTGTGACTCGAATCCGCGACGAGTATGACGATGATGATACGAGTGTATCTAAGGGGGTTGGTCCAGTGGTAAATTTCCTACGTAAAGTAAACGTGAGTTCGAAGATTAGCACCGAGACACGCACATGAACGCGGTCTTTCAGCCCCACCGGAGAACTGTGATATGGTAAGGGGGAGGCACAATGGCTCCGGGGGTTTCGTCGACCTTCGTTTGCTCGTTCTGTGCTTTCGCCTGTCTGGGTCTTCTCGTCTGCCTTGTCTTGCCCTGCGCCGCGGTGCGCTGCCCTGCTGGTTCTTTGTTTTTGTGCCTGTGCATACATACATACACGCGCACGCGCGCACATGCAGACGCACATGGCGAGCGAAGAATGAAACAGCCTGAAAAGAGGATATGTATAGAACAATCGATGCACCGTATTCATTTACACCTGTGACAGGGCCGAGTTCAAGAAGCTCTGTGAGTATGGGGTAGGCGGTAACTATGAAGTGTATATTTAGATCACAATATCAAACAAGTGGGAAGGAGTACCATAGTTGGCATTCATGCTTAGAAAGACTATTGGTGATGATACATGACTATGACTATACATTAGTTATAGAACAACATGATCTTCGACACCAATAAGTATTATTCACATCTAGACAGTAAGATGCCCAGATAAGCACTTCACCATTCTATTCCAATCCACTACACCACCAAACTCGCCACAATCCTATCCTCCCCTTCTCGCGTATCCAAACATAACGCCCGGAGTAATAGCACACGTATACTATAGTATACCCCATAGTATAGGCAAAGTACAAACGCGCACATGCGTCCAGACTCACGCACGTATGTACATACATTGTACCCATCCCAAAGCTTAACACCATCCTGCTATTCATATAGAAAGTCTAAAACATCCAACCCTAACGCCATGACATTAACATAGCATACTGACTTACCACGCCACGTACAAACCGACTCCCTACGATGTCGGACCTGGTAATTTTGATTTTCTTTTTCCTGGGTTGGGGGAGAGGGGACCTGGGGTAGGTGGGTTCGTTGAGCCTGGGGTTGAGTTAAGTTTGGTCGCTTGGGCGGGTTGCGGGCAAGCGAGGGAGGTGGATGGGGTGTATGCAGGTGCGTTATGCGTGCGTTATACGTCGTGCGATAGCATCTAAGCATAAGATAGCATAGCATAGGATAAAGACCATTTGCTTGTTTGTGTGTTGAAGGCTAGGCGTGTATTCTCTGGAGTTAAGGTTGGGATGAAGACGCGTGATGTACAGTATGTATGTAATTGTACGTATGTGCGTTTGCATATGCTTAGCTGGAGCTTAAGTTGACTTGACTTGGATTTTCTGAGAGTGATCTATCTGCTGTGTATAGTCGGAAGGGATGGTGTTAAATTGATTTGCTCTTTGTTTTGAGATATACCTACTTAGATTCACTTGGCCTATCGATATGATACATGTAAGTAATTGGGTAGAAGAGTATGATACGCTTCGTGCTGTAGAGGGGCTTCCTGCGAGTACAATGAGTTGAATTTATTCATGATTGTTGTAGTCCTCTAGTTTCGTTGATTCTAATCACAATTGCTTGATGATGAGATCGAAAACATGCTTGCCTTGCAATTTTTTCTATTTTTCTGTTCGTCAAGATTCAAATCCAATACCACGCACTCCCATAAGAGACCAACATCTAGCATCCAAACCCCCCATTCTATAGAGAGTTTATGATTGTAATACTTGAGTAGAGAATAGATGTGGTAAAGTCCATTGAACATCTCAATTGTTTGGGGTTTTCTTGTTTTTGTTAATTTTTTCTTTTCTTCGTCGATGGACCTTTGAAACACAATTTACTAGCACTGTATTCGCATAATTCTCCCATGGTAAATAGAACGGAGTTTATGACTATACTGTATATCCGAGAAGTATGCGGCGAGTTTATTGCATCATTCGGTTATCTACATTTAGTTCGTTATGTTACTTTTCTCTACTTCTAATGAGCTTTTAACTACATCTTGCACGGCTTCCATTTGCATAATACTCCATAATGAATGAATGGGAGAAAGCAAGACACCATGACCTGAGATATATTGCAATGGGAATTCAAGTTTGGGTACGAACATACGTGAAAACAAAGCAGTGAAGAAATGTGACTTGTAACTATATCCTCATAACCATTGTATCACGAAGTGAACCAGATATTCAGAAGATTAGATGATACAAGAATGATATCAGACCGGTGTACTAGATTATCTCTCTATCAAGGTGTCTAGCTTTAAGTACCTACATTCTGTCTAAGAGCAGGAAAAATTGTATGTATCGCTGTGAGTGACGAATAAGGATGTTCAAGTGCGGGGATAATTGTACAACAATATCGAGATAAGACGAAGCTAACGGGAAGCTTTCCCTTGGGAGAACACTAGTAACTATCCTTTTTGGAGCTGCTTTGAGAATGTAGCGCAGCAGTGAGAATTTGGAAGATGATTCGGGTGTATACTGTGAAGAGACGTCGCGTACAGAAAAGGTCTCTGGCAATACAAAAATCGATATATCATTATTGAAAGAGGTGGGAGTACTGTATACTATTCACAATTGTCACAAAGCCTGCGGTATGGACTACGCGGTTTGGGGTCGTTACATTGGGCATGTAGATGGTTGGCTCTTTCTACAGCTAGTTCTTCCCGGATTCGATAGATCGTAGAGGTCATATTTCCATTCACACGTATCCAGAATGTATTGATCGGGTGTGATGTTACATTGTGATTCCGTTGAATGACGCTAGAGATAATAGGTGTGTCTAGATAATCGGCTTGACACTTAAAAGTATTGGGTAGTGCTACAGAGTTACGACCAATCTTGAGGAGGCAATATCATCACTCATGCAAGGCGTGAAAAGGGCAAGGAAGGGAGCATTCTTCGCTGCCATCTAACCCGTTGTACCGAGTGCAAGCTTTTGCTACGTGAGCTTTCGATTTTTTTATTTCTTCTAGTTTGGTATATAGGGCGTCATGACTGCAAGTGAATCGTCCGCCATTGTCTATATCTCACATGTGGGTGTTCGTGTCTAGAATTCGTTCTCGTCGCTGCCGGCGATGATGACGTTGTTGACCTGTGATTCGATTGTTAGTCCAGTAATGTGATTGTATTTGGTAGCGAGAAATGTAATGTGACGACTGGTGAAGATCATGGAATGCCGCATCGGCGTCAATAAGGTTCAAGAAGCGGCATTCACCGATGCGAGATCGGCAAGGCAATCCCATCAAAATGTCCCTGTTGAGTCGAATGGGAGATCTCCAAGATCCCTCGCTATCCCGACAGATTGGCGAGCGGTAACCATGAATGACACGTTGCGTTTGGTTTGCGCTCTCCTCTTGTGCAACGATTGACTCGCATCCTCGTGTGCATTTCTGTCTTTTGAACTTCTTCCCCGCCCGCTTCCCCGCACCGTATGTGGCCACGAGTAAGGGAGCGTTGTGCGGAAAGCAAGGCGACAAAATGCAAGCGAGGGATTGAAACGAAAGAAAAGTGTATGGCAAGAGAACGCCATTGATAAGAAACAATACCGAGGGTTAAGGAAAAGTAACGTACCTTCAATACCATCCTGCAAAGCTGTGTAGCCAACAACAATTGTTGCCTCTTTGAGATTAACGGATCGATAACAAAGTGCTCCTTCATGTCTGCAATGAACAGTCAGCATAGTCCCAATCCAGATACTTCATCTCCACCATGTAGCGCCGGGCATGTTTTGTGTGATCGGGCGATATGAAACATCTCCATCCAAAGCCCTATCCCCGATGATCGAAAAGTTGTCGTGTGTTGTTGCTGAATGGAGATAGCATGTGGGGGTACTGGTTCGGGCTATCCCACGAAGGCGGCGGTCGCGGGTTCCGTGCAGCTGCATGTGCTCCACGGGACCATGCACACTCAGATCATCATGCAGAACCAACAACGAACACTAACAACGGCGGTGTAGAGTCGAGGCGAATAGGCGTTCAGAAAGAGATGTCGTGCGGCCAGTGTGATCATCACGAGGAAGGAGTCGAGGAAACTGCCGTGGAAAAGACTGTTGGGAGACAAAAAGAAACCTGCATAGTACTTACCATTACTTCCTGTCTGCATGCAGTCGACGCCTAGCCTGGAGTTCTTCTCCTTGGCCTGTCGCGACTTGATGTTTGCGAGGGTCTCAATTGGGCTGAGACCAGAGTTCTCTGCAAGAGCCATCGGGACGGAGTCGAGTGCATCAGCGAACGCGCGCATTGCATATTGTTCGAGACCAGGACTCTGCATTTGATCAGCATGGTAATCGACATTGATATGGAAATAAGGGTCCACTATACCTTCACAGCAGCATCTTCGACGGCAAGTGAGCAGGCAATCTCCGCGGCACCACCCCCGTAGACAATGCGGTTGTCTGTGACCAGGTTTCGGACAACGCAGAGAGCGTCGTGGAGTGAGCGTTTCGCCTCATCGATGATCTGGGGTAATCTGTGTCAGCAAGTTCTGGGCCATGCAGTATGCACGATAATATGTAGTCCAACCCAACAAAAGTAAATCGCCAATGAAAGTGCGTAGGCCAAACACGTACCATCTTGTTGCTGCCTCGAACAAAAACAGTCACCGCGCGAGTGTTGGCACACTCCTCGATGACAAGCATCTTATCTCTTGTAGTTCCGAAGCTCAGTTCTCGGACGATACCGGCCTTGCCCAACTTCTCAGCGCTCAAGTCCTCGAATCGGGGTACGATACGGCCATTGGTAGCGATGGCAATGAGCTCGATCTCCGGGCCTCCGACCCATCGAACGGCCGGAAGCTCGTTTGTGAGGAGAAGGTGGTTGGCCTCATCATCGAAACCCCATTGACAGATGACAACGTTCGCGCCCGTATCCTTGATCTGCTTGATCATCTCGGTGAACTTGTCCTGCTCGTAGTTCTGCAACTTCTTGAATTCCTCCACGTTGGTGATGTCGAGCTTGTGCTTGGTCTTTGGCTTGGGAGGCTCGAATGCGCATGTGAGGATGGCCAATTTCGCGTCCTTGACCTCGGAAGGCATTTGCGGATGGGAGAAGTCCTTGTCCACGATGACACCTTGCACGAGGAGAGTGTCCTCCAAAGCTCCTCCAACCTTGCCGTCCACCTTGATCAGCTCGAAATCAACATCTCTTCGCTCGAGGTCGGCCACGGAGAGGACGGCGTCAACTGCGATGTTTGCAAAGTGATCGTGGGCCTTGGACACGATCTTGCTGCCCAAACTTGTCTTCGCCACCCTGAATAGCTCTTCTGTGTTGTCCTTGGAGAATTTGATCTCGTCGCTGATCTTGTCCAGCTCGGCCACAGCAACTTCGCATGCCTGGTCGTATCCGTCTGCTATCCTGATGGGGTGGATGCCCTTGTCAATCAAATCGGCGGCTTGCTCGAGCAAAGCACCGGCGAGCACAACAACACCCGTAGTACCGTCGCCAATCTCTTCGTCCTGTGATTTGGAGAGTTCGACGAGTAATTTTGCAACGTGGTTCGAGATTTCCATCTGGGCGAGGATCGTAGCTCCGTCGTTCGTAACCGTGATGTCGCCGTCGGGGGATATCAGAATCTTGTCGAGACCTCGGGGACCCTATATGCTCATCTTAGTCTTCGTCCGCCTCATGGAGCAGGTCGTGGTACCAGAGATGTCTTCACAAGATTCGCCACAGTCCTGGCGGCGAGGATGTGCGATTTCACGGCCTCATTGCCATGTTGTCTCTTCTTCTTGCCCTGGCTGTTTATTCTCTTAGTCTCTTATCCCCTCCATAGTGCTTGTAGCCTCGTTTCACATACTCTCTGACGATGATAAACGGCCTGCCCGTCTCATCCTTCATAACCTGGGCTTTATTTCATTGTCAGTTGAGGTCCGGGGTAAAGCGGGGTTCATTTCCGGTCGAGGAGGATTCGTAGGCATACCATTTGATAGATCGACCTCTATAGATTCATCGTCAGCGTAAATCCTAGCTCAAGGCGCAAATGTACGGTGAGGGGTCATTTTGAAGCTATGTTGGAGCCTGCAGTACTTACGCATCTTGGATGTGATATTGACCCCGCGGTGGGGTTCTTCGAAATTTGGAAAACGAACAGGTGCAGACTGAAGAAAAGAGACAATAGCTACCTCAAGCTATGCTCCGAAAATCTTGAACCGTGGTGAGAAGTCTATGCACGTGTAAACAATCGCCTTTCACCTTTGGTGTCGAAATTTCTCGATTACCTGGGTCTTGGCACAATGGCCCGTGCACTATTTGTAGACGCGCTTGTTCATTGAGCTTCGGAAGAGAGCTATAACTCTCGTTCACGACATCTATGATAGCGATCGCGCTGAGGGAGCATATCAATGCTAGTTTGAGGAAACCGGAGGAGATATCGCATGCGACTGCTGCCTTTCAACAAAACTTTCGATTAGCAGCGTTTCCCCATCACCATGCCGCGTGAGCGTCCTCCTTCGTGTCTCGAGCGCGCCCATTCACTAACAATCGCATAGCTGCTCTCAGCGATGTCGACAGCGGTGTCTCCTCTGACGAAGAGGACATTCCATTCCGCAACAAGGGCAAGCCTCCGGCGCCCAAGAGCTCTACACCCGAAGCTGAAGAGCACGAGGAGGATTTAGACGAAGAGGGAGAGGACGAGGAAGAGGAGTACGCGCATATTATCTTCTCTTCGGAACGGATTGATACTAATACGCCGTAGATACGTGGTGGAGAAGATCCTTACTCACAGATTTCGTGGAACCACCGTGGAATACCAAGTGAAGTGGCTTGGATTCGAGAAGAAATCAGATTTGACCTGGGAGCCAACAGAGAATCTGTGAGTTTGTTCTTTGGCGCACAATGTGCGCAAAGTTAATAAACTGTCAGCGAGGGAGCAAAGGAAATCGTCGTCGAGTATCATAATAGCATTGGCGGTCGTCCAGAGCCACCTACAGGCAAAAAGCGCGGTAGGAAATCCGCTGCCGATGATTCCAATTCAGCAACACCCGTGGTTTCCTCGAAACGCGCGAAGCAGAAACCTGCATGGACACCACCACCTGGCTCATGGGAGAACGACGTGGATTTCGTGGATACAGTGGAGCAGGGTGATGAGATCGACAGAGAGACGGGCGAGCCAGTCAGGAATGCGTACTTGACTTGGAAAAATGGCAAAAAGACACAGCATCCTCTGAAGCATGTGTACTTGAAGTGCCCACAAAAGATGTTACAATACTACGAGAGCCATCTGTCCGAAGCCCATTCTTGGAATCACAAAGAGCAATCAACTGACTGTGTACAGTGTCTTCACTTCTCAACCAGCTGCCAATGGCGATGAACTCTGAATAATATAAAAGGGAAGGAAGGATTTTCATGCTATACCCAGACACTGGCCTGAGAGACCAGTGATCTAATGTGAATACTTGAGGCATAGGGTGATTTCGGCGCTTGCAGCTATTTCCTCAGCTCAATGGCGTTATCATAGGTCTATCTTATTTGCATGGTTAAATCTCTGGCATCTGGCGCATACCCATCCGCTCGTACTTCTAGATTGGGGCTATGAACCCTTTAGTATAAAGCAAGCCAGTGAGATTTCGGTGGTACACGTCGTTATCTTTACAACAGCGACATAGGCAACTACCAAACCCTCCTTCGGCTGGGAATCAATTTCTCAAAATGAGACTGATAGTTCTTTCAACTAACTGCTGAGAACTATATCCATCAGGGACTGCGCCGCCATTGGATATCTGTATCTAATCTTCGATATCGATGAATAGAAAACGTCACATTGAAGGAGCCATCAGTATCATGAATGACTGAAATGTATTGATCAGTCTAGTCTTGTGAACAAAGCCGTGAATCTACATAAAACGTCTCTGTACTAAGAATAAAAAAGGATTCTACGAGGTAACACGAAGCATAAGTGTTGCGTTACGTTGCGTCTCTGACCGGGTATCCAGAACTCGTCCTCGCATTAACCCATATATCGGTCTTTTCCACGACAAAAAGAGAAACAAGAAACCATGCTTCCATCGCAAACCGGATGCCCAAAGAAACGCCAGATGCTATGCCGTAAAATCCTAGGAACCCATAAAAAACCAATACCTTCTCTTTTTGTACAATTGATGTCGTCGTCAGTCGCGTGTATCGTCCAGTAATTCCTCTCGCTCTCATAGGGCGCTATGTACCCCGTAACTTATATAAACCGTATTGAGCTGGTTTATACTTCGGAAGTCTCCACACTGGTGGTGCTACCGCCACCGCCGCCAACAGCCATGCGCCTCTGGAGGTAGTAGATCATGTAGCCGATAAGACCGATCAGGATGAAGAGCATGAGGACGATGACGAAGATGACGAGGTTGCGCTTCATGATTGCGGTGTTTGGAGTGGGTTAAGTGGGGCCGAAAAGTAGTGGTCCTTAATGGATGGATGGATGTTGAGAGAGAAGATGCAGTTGCGGGCTTGATATCTGGGGATGCTATTAGTATTTGATGACCGAGGAAGATGTTGGTAAATTGTGCGCACATACCTCAAGTCCTTATAAATGCGATACTAAGAATGGTGAATATGTTCGTTGGTTGAATTGATAGTCGGAGTGGTGAATAGTGCCAGCAGCTCAACAAGGTCCAAGCTTCAAGAAATGGTCGATAGCACAACAAGAGGTCTGGTTCTTCAATTCGTAACTTCGAAAAGAACCGTGCGACAATATGGTGATTGATGAGTAGTAATATGCAGATGGGATGAAAAGGGAAGGGCGTGGAATATAGCAGCGCTCTGCATGTTTTGTACGCCGTTGTGGGGTGCGTGCGCGGAGGGGTTGGTCTTGAGGTTGGGGATATTCGTGAGGCTGGTCAGTGGCTGGGCGAATCCAGACGAAACACATTGACTGGGACGGGCTGCCGTTAATCTGACTTACAGCCGTTGACTCGTGGAGAAATCAAGGAAATTGAATAACATGCGATCATCGATAAACATTCTCTAATCTGTTCTCATGTCAAAGGGGAGATAGACGTAGGTAAAGTCTGTACAAGTGCAAGTGACGATCACGTGATTTATGATCACCGCGACTTCCTGTTAGCTGCTCCTCCATTGTTTGTTCGATGTCCTTCATGCCTCCACCACCTGTACTCAACATCTCCGTAATCATGATTCCGAACACTTGCTCGTGACATAATTATCATATGGCGCATGAGTACTTTGTACAAGGTCTGGAGAGCACATCGATGGTTCGTTGGGCCGGTTGGGGCGCTTAGGGGGCGGACACCAGTAGTGACGGGAACGGGTACCTGGACCTAACCTTAATCTTATCATGACCGTTGCAACATTCAACACTGCTCTGTTCCCAAGCTGACTTTGCAAAATATCAGCGACAATGGTGTGTACATTGGATGGTCCACTTCAAAATTTGCTTACCTGAAAACTATTAGGAATGTCGTGCTACCGTCCAAAGGCCCTGTCGGAAATTTACTGTTGTCGCACGAGACAGCTCTACTCGATCTTCCAGGCGGGTAATGATCCTCCAGCGCGTACAGGGTCTTTCCAAATGATTTCTTTTCTACGCGCCCTACTACTGCACTTCCTCCGCTTAAGGCCTTCAATCTTGACATGGAGAAGAATCTTAGCCCCTTGCACTAGTAACATATGGGAATGATTTGTACCTATACCATGCGTTCGACCACTTAAATCGTCTTTTTCCTGGTCAGCGAACGCCCTGGTGAGCTTCGTTGGGCCTAAGTACTAGCCGTCTCACATGGGGGCTGAAGATTCACTGCAATATGTTCTCTTGGCATAATGCGCTTGCGATCTCTTAAGTTCTGCTGCAAGGGACGAGATGGATCTATTTTTTGTTCGTCTGTCTCGACGTGAGTTGCTCCTGGGAGGGAATTCGACGGCTACCGTTCATCCATCTTGTGTGGGCGTCGTATGCACTCATCACAACTACTGGGACTGGGACGGGATTTTACAACTTTTTAGAACAAAACCGATTGGCATATAATCACCATGACCCAACGTGCAACGAGCCCAGTATCTCCTATAGAGGAGTCCCACCGTCCCCATCTGGGTGGTAGCAATGGTTCACAACGAAGGCAATCACTGGCTAGCTCCATTGCTGGATCCCCCATTTCGCAGTTACAGAATGCTACTGCTTCGTCCGGTTCTTCGATAACACGGCAACCCAGCAATCCAGTTTCCATCAATTCCGGAAGCGATCAAACACAGACTCCACCAAATCCTGCGGGCGCCATACAATCGCAATCTCCAACGGACACTTTGCCAACACAAAGATCTCCAACACAGTCTGGGCCAGGATCATCGATAGCTACTTTGCCTAGAACGAACACAATCCGGGAGCGTGACTGGTTGCCTTTCACGTTGCGATGGTACTTCGTAACACTTGCTATCCTTATTAGTTTGAGTCTTGGTGTAGCCACGGTCATTTTGTGTTGGTATTCGACTCGACATTATGGATTAGGTTACGATGACGGTTCTTCCGCGATCCGTGAGTATATATCGACTCATCTCATCATTGTTACTGACATGTCTCTTCAGTATTTGGCTGGCGATTTACACCGACTCTGATTGCGGTGCTATTCACGCAAGTAACGGTCATTCTTTTTGAAGACTTGAAGAGAACAGAGCCTTTCACTCGCTTAGCCAATGCACCCACAGGAGGCGCCAGCGCTGCAGGATCGATATTGCATACTCCGAAGGCTTGGTGGGGTATCTTTTGGGATGCAGCTTTCCGGAGAAAGAAGAACGGAAAGACTAGCTGGGCCCTTCTTTGCATTGCATCCGTCAATATCATCGCGCTCCTCGCTATTTCGCCCTTGTCTTCTGCCCTCCTCACTTCAGAGGAGGTCGCCATACCTCGAACGGTGCCATTCACGAGAATCGTGTTGAAGCCTGAACCGCCGATCCAGCCAACAAGAGATACATCCTTTCGTATAATCGCTTCTGTAATGCGAAATATCTCTACATCGGCGTGGGCAACTGATAGTTCCTTTGTACTTCCATTCTGGCCCAAGAAAGAAGACCAACAACTTGACCCAAAACTCAACTCAACATATGGAAACTGGAAGGCGGGTACCACTGTTCTGCAGGCCAGTTTCGAGTGTCAAAATATGACCATTAGTCAATCGATCGTTCGGAAGCCATATGAGATCCTTGACACACATCCGAGCCTGCAAAAGGGAATTCAACCTATGGTCGTATTCAACATCTCGTCCGCTGACGGCTGTGACTACGAATTGAGTCTTCATGCTGTAGGTTCCCAATTGTCTTATGGTGGAATGCTATGGTCTGATACGTCGGTTCTTCATGAAATTAGTACTACTCACCGCTTACAACCGGGTTATCACCCTGCGCCTGAAAAGGTCGGCCCAATGTCACCATTCGCTCGGGTCAACATTACAGAACAATGCAGGAATAGAGAGATTATCATCGCCAACACAGCGTGGACAAAGCCATGGCTCTTCGATGGCATGCAATATCTTCAAGGACTGCCAGAAAACGCAACTTATGAGCAAAGACCCAATTTTCGGATGCGAGCGCTTCTCTGTGATACTCGTTATTCCATGGTAGAAAGATCCATGTCTGCTTCAATTTCTAGTACAGAGACTGTGCTGGAGAATGCCCCAGGCGTTCAAGGGGAGCTAAAGAAAATACCAGAAAACATGTTCAATACTACAAGATTCCGGGAATCTAGTCTCCACGACAACTGGCGGTCATATGTACTTCGATCCCGGTACGATCCTCATGTAGATCAAAGTAACGACACCATCGAATCGAGGAATGCCGAGTTCACCGGTTTATCTGCGGTTCTGGGGGCTTTCTACTCTTATAATTTATCTAATGTCATTGACGAGCCACGCTTGATCGAAACAGCAGCAAAGATTAGGGGAAGGATTTTTGCGGAAACTATGCAAGACATTGTGACAACGGCATCAGCGGTCAGTAGAGAAACCATGGAGGGACTAGTAGCCAACGTTGAGAACCGCGTTGTTGTCATTACTGAGGTCGGAGTCACGATTGCTGTTCTCTTTTTTACATCTTTCATCTTACTACTCCTCGTTCTGTGGTTTTCTCGATTGGCGCGCCGGCCACTGAACTTGCAGAGTGACCCTGCCAGTACGGTTGGTATGGCTGCATTACTTGATCCAGGGCGGGCAAGGACCTCTACCTTGAGAACCATGCACAAGGCTTCAAAGAACGATCTGTACTCTGCTCTTCGGAGAGATAAGTATTCAACGTTTGGTTCGGCCCTCCTGTCTGAGGGGCCTGTTACTGGCGGTCAGTATTGTCTCCTATTGTCCAACTTTTCCTGGACACTAACACGTCCATTCAGTTTCTAGCAAGAAGAAGCCCAAGAAAGAACGTGATTGGCGGCCTGTGTCGATCCATTTGCGGACTTTGTTTGCTTTAGCGTTCTTTCTCTCGTTGATATTGATTGCCATTTTGATCTTGAATGCGTTCTCGGAGCAATCGCGCCTGTCGCAACTTGCTTTCATTTACGAAGCGGATGTCTCGAAGTTCGATTTGAGTTTTAAGACTTTCGCTCCGATTTCGATTGTACCAACCGTGGTATCGGTCATCATTGGATTATGGTGGGACCAGCTTGATCAGTCGTTCCGCATCCTACAACCATACATAGCGCAATCGCAATCGCCGACGCCCATTCATTCAGGTGCTGGGTTGACATATCGATCGAAAACGTGGATGGGGGCAGCCATCAAGGCCCTGAGACATAGGCACTTCGTGCTGTTCACGATCTGTCTTGGAAGCACGCTTTGTCAAGTTTGTAAGTTCTCTACTACTGATTGCATTTGGCTCGTGTTGACAACCGTAGTGACTGTATCAATGTCTGCTCTTTTCGAAAGAAAACCAGACATTGTTTCAGAGCAAGTACCGATCAATCGAACCTTAGAATTGCGCCAAATCCCAATTATCACAGACATAACTTCAAGAAACGATTCAGTAGGCTTTGAGCCACGTTCCATTATGGATGGATTCTTTAAAGACTTCAACGGAAACTTCCTTGACGGTGCTACAGTGGAAGTTATGACAAATGCTTCTAAACCTACCTGGAGCCATAACGAGTGGAGCTTTATCCCGGTAGATCTCTCAGTCATACCCGATATGGATCCAGCACGGCGTCCCGGAGACACGGCAAACAAGGGCACAGTATTCTCGCCTACGAATGTTACCGTCAATACCCCGGCCATTCGTGCTAGATTGGAATGTAGTGTCATTGAGGAGATGGCTGATCAGAACTCCTGGTTGGCCACATATAAGGATCTGAAAACCAGAGAACGGAATCAGAGCATAACCCTGTTGAAGAAGAGTTATGGCATCAAGTCGAGTTTCTTCCAGGAACTGAAGAGCAGCGATTCAGACTCAGAATCCATGAATACATCTCGGGATTTCGAATTTGGCTGCTGTGCCAATGGGACTGAAGGCAACTTTGGAATGGCTACCATCGCATATTGGTCAGTGTTCAATTCGACGCGGGAAGGCCTCTTTGGAGGACAAGATTCCGACTGGCCTGTCACCTTCATACCTAAATGGATCAGAGGAAAAGGCCGATTGTGGAATGACGAAGATTCAGGCGATGTAGATGTATTCGTCTTTGAGGAAGCCCCGAGAATGCAGGCTGCGCGTTGTTCGCCAATCATTGAGACAGCCGCAGCAGCAGTCACCGTGGAAAAGCAATCGAAGGCTGTGGAATCGTACAGGATCCTGAACAGCCCAGTTCCTGCAGATTCCGCCTGGATGGAAGTTTTTGGACGTCACCAGCCTACGCCTATGACCCGATCGTACTCGGACGGGTTCGGGTCGAGCATTACTACCAGGTGAGCAGTGTGTGAGTTTATCCTGTGTTCGCGAAATCTAATCATGTTTCTAGTTACGGCGTGTTGTTTTTCTTGGCCCTGTTTTCCTTGGTCGAGCCGGCTCGTAGTGTGTTCTACCAGCCCGATAGCTTCAGGATCGTAGACCGTGAATTTGGAATGAACATGGACTACATCTCCTATGCGATGTTCCTGCTCGCTGGCAAAGACCAAGACGCCCTGCTGAACTACGACACTCTCGTGGACAGCGCAAATCGCACACTGCAGACCTACTTCCAGCACTATGTTGCCAATAAGCTCTCGCTGCAGGATGGCGGATTTGCTTATCAGAAAATTGGTGACAATTCCATGGATTCACTCCCACCAGCTGTGGACGATACCTGGACGGTCGAGCAGCCCGAAAAGGTGTACCCAAGCCTCAACACCAATCGAGGAGGCATCGCCCTAGTGACGAGCCGTTTTCAGATCTTGCACATGAACAGCGTGGCTACCTACCTCAGCGCTGCCATTCTGATCTGGCTCATCGGCACTTCGGTCGTGGTAGCTGCTCTGCAGCGCAGATACACTCGCTACATGTTGCGGAATGTCGACTCCATCGCAGATGTACTCGTCCTGGTTGCTGGCTCTGAAAACTTCTTAAGCCTGGTGCAGCAGAGGGGCCTGACATTGAGACGTGATCGAGACATCAAGACAAAGCTGGGATGGTTCAAGGGGAAGGACGGGGAAGTTCGATGGGGTGTGGAGATCGTTGGAGGGCCCGATGCTGTAGAATGGGTGGATAGCCCGGCGAACGCTGCGGCGATCGCGAAGAAGCCTAATTTTGTACGGAGGACCACGGGCGGGCTGATCAAGGTTGTGACGAGGGGGAAGACGTCGAAGACTAATGTTGCCACGAGCCCTTAGGCTCATATTCCCTTGCTTAATGATACCCATTCATCAATCAAAAGACACAATCCATAGATAATTCAGGTTGACGATAATAAACAGTTTTACACAAATATACTCTGCCAAACTCAGGAGACTCAACCTCCAACTCTGACATCCCAGTGCTCATTCATTCAATCATCATTCATCTCAAAGACATCATCACATACACACATAATCCTACAACTTCCCCCCTCCACTTCTCCCACCACCACTACCACCCGCACCATCATCTAGTCACTCCCCTTCCTTCTTCTCCCCAGCACTGAAATTAATACTGACACTATTAACACAATGCCTCTCATCCTTCGGATTCCCAAACCGCTCCCCCTTGAAAATATGCCCCAGATGTCCCCCGCAGTTATTACACACGATCTCCGTGCGCGACATTCCCAAACTTGAATCCGTCTTCTGGCCCACGGCACCGGGGACCGCGTCCCAGAACGCAGGCCACCCGCACCCGGAATCGAACTTGTGGTTCGCTTTGTACAAGGGCGCGGCGCATCCGACGCACGTATAGACGCCGGTAGATGGGTAGTGCTTGTTGTAGGTTCCTGAGCCGGGGGCTTCGGTGCCTTTGTTGCGGAGGATGCGGAATTGCTCTGTCGTTGCGCGGCATGTTAGCTATTTGTTTGTCATGTAGTCATTAGACTTGAGGAGGGGGAAGTGGGTGATGGATGGAGGACGTACCAGGGCTCAGGATGGCCTGCCATTCGCCCTCGGTCTTCTGGACGGGGAAGTTCGTGTTGTCGGACATGGTTTGCGACGAGCTCGAGCCGAAGAGGTTTCCGAGGAAGGGTAGGTTGGGCATTGACTGTAGGAGGATTGGAGAGCTGCGGTGGTGCGGGACGCGCGAGATGCTTTGGAGGGATGATCGCGAGGCGATTGCTGGTGCTTTGGTTGTTGTGAAGGTGTAGAATGTTCGTAGGAGGGTTGGGAAGCGCATAAAGAGGTTGAGGATGCGGTGTTATATATGTATTCGCGTGGTGTATGGTAGTTGAATGATTTGAGATATTGGGAGGTTGATGGATGTAGTTGGTAGGGCTGTGTATATTATTTTATCAGATTGATTGGCGGAGCGGGGGAGAGCTGTTCTGCGAGCATGGACGCCACCCGCCCGCGGTGAGAGCTAATTTGGAATTGCGTCATGATTCGTTGTGGCCGTCATCAATATGCGTTCTCGAACGTGTACTGTCATCGATGATTATGGGAACATTAATTGCCTTTTTGGGATGATAGAGATTCAACTCAAATGCTGTCACGTGGTGCATATATACTTATACTTGCTTTCTGGGCTGCGGAGAAAGTAATGCTCTGATGGAATTGCGATCTCACACCAGTTAAATTCGTAGAGTCGAATACTCCGAGATGTTATCTTGTTACACAAACAATATGTAAATATCATGAAAATCGGATCTTCCGTTGATTCTGTTTACGTCCCACTTTGCAATCAAATACTCGCTCGTCAACGTCTGACAGGCTGACAATCTACTCGTAACGTCAATCGACATTCAGGCCTCCCGCCTCACAGTCTCGTATACACCGTCACGTGGATGCAATTACGCAAGTTTTGGCTGAGTCGCGTTTGATCCTCCTAGGCAACTTTGGTCGGACGGGAATGATCTTGGCTACTGACCGTGCATGCTTTCTTCCAGGAATAACTCCGATAATGATCGTTAGCAAGAATAGTTAATGGCTATGCAAAAATCTCTCTCGCACCCGCTCTCGGAGGTTCTGTAAGTACCGATGCACTTGAGGAAATCTGACATCCAATCTCTTTCGCCACTCGTAAACGCAATCTCTCTTGGATCGCAGTATATTGTACTATCACAGAGCTCGAGTTGAAGCTCTTTTTATTCCGCAACTCGATGCCCGAGAACCACAACAATTCGCATGGCGATTCGCGGAGTTCGTCATCCTCCAGCAGGAAGTCCGATGTTCGCCCGTTGATAGACATCGATGAAAACAACGCGCAAGTGCAAAGCGTAACTAATAGCGAATCAACTGCGATAGAGAATGAGGACTCTGGTAGCAGTTCATCAGCACGCAATGGCGATGTAGCAGGCGCTCTATCAAGCCGAAAAGATCACCGTCAACTGCTGCCTGATCTCGAAGTAGATCCAAACCTGCACGAATTGGAGGTGGAAGCAGACCTTGAGGAAATCGAACAAATCGAGGCTGAAGAGAAGGACAAACCCATTTCATGGAGCTCGCTACCTCGAAAGGACCAACTCACTGTCCTTGTACTATCACGTCTATCTGAACCTCTCACGCAGACTGCGCTCGGTTCATACATCTTCTACCAGCTACAATCTTTTGATCCAAGCCTTCCAGAATCGACAATAGCGTACCAAGTCGGAATTATTCATGCATCGTTTCCTGCTGCGCAATTCCTGACGGCCATCCTCTGGGGGCGGTTCGCGGACTCACCCCATGGAGGCAGGAAGCGAGTTATTTTCATTGGCCTCCTGGGTACAATGCTCTCCATGCTTGGGTTTGGATTCTCACACAGCTTTCCTATGGCTGTAGTGTTTCGATGTCTTGGGGGCACTCTGAACGGAAACATTGGCACAATGCGAACTATGGTCTCCGAAATTGTCGTAGAGAAGAAGTATCAATCACGAGCCTTCTTGCTCTTACCTATGACTTTTAATATTGGGGTAATTATTGGACCGATCCTTGGTAAGCAGTCATCTTTCATTTTCGAGAGATACATCAACTGAACAATGCTAGGCGGATTGCTGGCAGATCCCGTGGGCAGTTATCCCTCCGTATTTGGCCCAGGTTCTCCACTTGGTGGTAAAGACGGCGTGTACTGGATGACAAAATGGCCATACGCACTTCCGACCGTCGTCAATGCCGCATTTCTCCTCTTTTCCTCTTTCATGGTCCTGCTGTTTCTAGAAGAAACGAGCGAATTGACAAAGCACAAGCCCGATCCAGGACTTCGCATTGGGCGTTGGATAAGGCGACACATTCTGCGACAAAATATTCCTGATGAGGGTTATGTTGCCATCCCAACAGACGAAGATGATGCAGATGCCGAACTGCAGCAAACGCCAGTATCTGGGAATCCCACTTCGAACCCTTTCCAGAAGGCCAAAATTCGAAACATCCTTCCCTTCAGGCGGATCTGGACCAGAAATATGACTGGCAATCTCGTATCCCGCGCTGTAATGAGTATACACGTCGGAACTTTCAATTCCCTCTGGTTCACCTACCTCTCCACACCTAGATATGATCCCAAGAACCCCTACCCTCCGGGCTTCAAACCACACGGACTTATCCATTTCACCGGCGGACTCGCGCTCCCACCTCCACGCATCGGGCTTGCCCTCTCCATTCTTGGATGCATCGGCATAAGCTTACAGCTCTTCATCTACCCGCGACTCTCCCATAAACTTGGCGCTGCTAGGTCGTATAAGATCTTCCTAGCCCTCTGCCCGCTCGCATACGCTCTCACCCCGTTCCTCAGTATAGTTCCCAGCTGGTCTTCCCCACCTGCCGGGGTAACAGGCCCATTTATTTGGATAGCCATCTGTTCCGTGCTCTTTGTTCAAACGCTGGCTCGGACATTCGCGCTCCCGAGCTCTGCCATCCTCATTAACAACAGCTCTCCCCATCCCTCGGTACTTGGCACTGTTCATGGAATTGCACAGACTGTGGGAAGTTTGTCTGGGACATTCGGCCCCATCATGTTCGGTTGGACGTATGGAAAGGGACTGAATATGGGGGTTGTGGGGTTGGCGTGGTGGTGTTTGGCTTTGGTGGCAGTCGTGGGAAGTGTAGCTGCCAGGTTCATATATGAGGGTGACGGACATGAGATTCTGATGGAGGGAGAAGTTAGAGGAGAGGATGGGGTGGTTAGGACTGTTGGTTGAGGATAACGGCTACAAGAATTCATTATACTTGGACGACCAGGATTCCAATTTCAATTCCAACACTTAATTGACTTGGTTGCGAGAAGGAAAACAGAAAACGACCAGTAAGGAAAACTGCATCAAAGATACCTAGGTAGATTTCATGTAACGCAAAGTCACTTCTTTATGTATCAGACATACTGATTACGTATTCCATAGCACGACCTCCAGTCGACTTATGATCATCTGTACTCCTCCGTGATGCCCCCCTCACCTCCGCTTGAAATCTAACTTAATCTGCATGTTTGATACCGTAAACATCCACGGCTCTGGAATTATCGTTGCCTGGTTCTGGTGAAACATCACGTGGGTGCAAGTTTGCTTGATCTACAAACATCATCGGTCAGGCAGCAGCAACTTTAACAACTCGATCGCCACCTGCATTCGCACCTCCACACATCCCTCATCATGCCTTCACGTCTTGATTTCCTAAACGAGTAGGAGTTTAATTCCATTGATTTTCACGTTGAAGATACAGGCTAATTATTTTACAGTTACGAACTCCCTCGTGAAGCGGAGCACGAATTCACTATCGGTGGCGTCGATGCGTTTTGGGTAGTCGGACATCCTCGCATATGGAACTACGAACAGGACAACTTCGAATATCCGGCGAATTTCCTGGGAAAAGATATCGCATATGGCAGTCTATCTACTGCAATTAGTGGTGATGGCAAGCTACTAGCCATCAGCAGCAGCGAAGAACGCATTGCCATCTACGACATTGCGAGCAGAGAACTGCGACAGGAGCTGGAAGGGACAGGCACCGTTGCGTTCCGACCGACATTGAAGCTCAAGGTCTCGAACGGGGATGAGACACTTGGGATAGATGAACATCGGCCTGCATACACTCTGGTCAGCAGCGTCGCTGATGTTGCAAATCGAAATGGCATCGACAATACGTTGGTGCTCTGGGATCTCGACCGGCACGGTCGCTTGCTCGTCGAGGAAGAGGCTCTCGATGCATCTGAGTTCGCTACGAAAGCATTGAAAGCCATCGCCCCGGAGCTTGCAAGCCACGAGTGGACTGAAGCGTTCATTTCATCGTCGTCCCTCCACGCAGAATTCACCGATGCCCTGAGCAAAGCCGCGAAGCAGCACCGACGTCGCAATCATACCTCGTTCAGTGACGCTCGACTGCCCACTTTCGGAGCGTTTCCATTCTCTCCAGACGGCTCGCGTTTGCTCTTCCACACGAAGAACAGGACCACACAGAGCGGACCGCGCGAGATGGACGACCTTCCACAAGTCGTCGTCTGGGACACTGATGCCGGCAAAGAAGTCTACAGGCTCCACGGCCATACCGACACAATCACATGGTCCAGTTTCAGTCCAAATGGGAAAAGCATTGCCAGCATCTCCTGGGATGGCACACTACGGATGTACGACGCTCTCACGGGCTCATTGACCTGGGTCGCAGGGCACTCCGGCAAACAAGCATGGACGGGCGCATTCTCCCCCTCCTCGCAATTCATCGTCTGGAGCTCCGAGCAGGGACGAACAGTCAAGGTCCTCCGCGTCGCCACCGGCGAACTCATATCCACCTTCCCCGAAGACATCCAATCCTGGTGCAGGAATCTCGTCTGGCACCCAGACGGCCAGCAAGTCGCCTTGACCAACAACCATCGCGTCATTGTATGGAGCCCCTTCGACAACGCACCAGACGGCTGGATCACCCAGCGCTTCGAATTGCGAGCAGATCCGTCCTGGCGAAGAGCCCCCATCACCTCGTCATCGCAGTGGCTCGCCGAGGGCCGCAAAATCGCCGTCGCTCTCACCGACGGGACGAACCTCGTATGGGATACGCAGACCAACGGAAAGGAACTCTTCCAGCGTCCCAAGGGTACGCACGTAACTTCCACCTCGCACGGCCTCTATTTCCTCCCGGCGGAAGGAGACGAAGAGGATCAGTATCTCAGCGTCGACGGCGATGGCAAAGTGAGGTACTGGAACGTGACGCCCGCTTCTACACCCGGATGGTGGGAGAAAGAACCCATCACGACGGAGGTGGTGACTAGGAAGTCGAAGCCGTTCCCCGAGACGGGAAAGTACGTGAAGGTTACGCGGAAACTTATCGCGAAGAAGGTTGCGGAGAAAGGTGAAGATGGCAGGGATGACTGGGCGGAACAAGGTGCTGGGCTCTGGACTGCGGAGTGAACAAAAACATCATGGTCTAGGGACGTTTCGTCTTCACCGTTTTTCCCCACATTAGTTTACCACTGCTATTTTGCTTGGTTTTTACGACTAGGATCTTCATTGCGGGGTGCAAATCAGGGATAACATCAAAAGACATGCCTGTCAAATACGACATGAATGTACACAAACTATGATTGATTTTACTTGTGGGGTGCCTTGAGTCGTCCCCTTGTTCTGAGCTTGTTGCCGATTTATATTAACTAACTGCCGAACCCTTACTTACATACACACGACATCAGATTGGACATATCCCACTAAATGCACGCAACCACCAAATAAATGTAGTCATGACAAATCATCTCATATCAATCATATCTATCAAGTAATCCAAAATCCGGTCGCAACACAGAGGCTCGAAAGAAGGACAACCCTTCCAGATGAGGATAATCTCCCTCTACGCTCTCTCTTACACACTTTCTTGTCTACCGCCCATTACCATTATACGCCAAGCGATCCTTACTCTCCATCAAATCAGTAACCAGCCCCGTAATCGCCAAATCAAGAACCTTCTTCTTGATGACCTCCGCAGTCGCGGGCTCGATACCCCTGAGATACGACACCAAGCCCGCAACATGCGGACTCGCCATGCTAGTGCCCGTCAAGCTCGTCGTTGCACTATCAGACGTGCGGTACGCACTGATGACGTTCGTACCAGCAGCGAAGATGTCAACGGCAGGCCCGTAGTTCGACCCACTCCCCCCACCGTACCTCTTAAGGTTACTCTGCACATTCCCGACGCAGATAGTTTCAGGGGAGCGAGCCGGGGAGCGGGTAGACGCGAGCGTGTTTTCGTTTCCAGCGGCGACGACGACGAGGACGCCCTGGGCCCAGGCGGCGGTGATGGCTTGGTCCCAGACGGTGGAGCCCGGGCCGCCGAGGGAGAGGTTGAGGACGCCGGTGGATTGGCGGGACTTGCTGACGACGTCGTTGACGGCCCAGTCGAAGCCCTTGAGGACGGTGGATGTCGTGCCCGAGTTGCCTTCGAAGATCTTGACGGCGATGAGGTTGGTTTTCTTGGCGACGCCGTAGGTTTTGCCGCCGATTATGCCGGAGACGTGGCTGATTTTTTGCGTGCATGTTAGCATGATGCTGAGGTAGTTATGGAGTGTAAGTAGAAGATACGTACGTTCCGTGGCCGGCGTTGTCAGTGTCGACAGTGTTGACGGCGTTGAAGCCGAATGAGGCGCGGCCCTCGAACTCCTGGTGGGTTGTCCGGATGCCAGTGTCGATGACATAGCTGTAGGTGCCCTCGCCGGCACTTTCATCGAAGACGTAGTCACTTGCGGTTCCTGATTTAGACGAGATGCTGCCGAGTCCCCAGGGAGCGCTGGACTCTGTGTGACGAGTCAGTATGTGACACCAGGACTATGACGCGAACTGAGCAATATATCTTACGGGTCGTTAGGTCGAGAGTGGTCATGATAGAATCCGCCTCGACATTGAGGACCTATAGGGAATGAGCAGGTTAGCTGTTGATCTGGGGTGGTTCTGCAGGGTCTCGCAAATAGCCGGAGTAGAATAGAGCACCCACCTCAGGTAGACCCTTGAGCTCTTCGATGGTCGCGGCATCGAACCCTCCAGAGTATCCGTGGAAGTTTCCGAATCCATACTCGTTCTCCACGCCGCCGGTCTCAGCAGCAGTGAGGTCGCGGCGGTTGAGGATGTTGCGGGCGTGGATCTCTCGAACCGTGTTGTGATGTGCTGCGATGGTTGCAACATCTACGTCCGGCCGAAGCTGGATGATCCATTTCCCTTCGACGCTTTCTGTCTTTACGATGGGTGCTGCTTGCGCCAGGAACGGAACAGCAGCCGCGAGGGCAGCCAAACGAGAGATGAATTGCATGATGTTTTGCAGCGAAGGTGTATCAGAATCGAAACGAAGAGCACGCACGAGCTGGATGAGCTACGAATCGAGCGACTCCATCAGATACTTATACCATTGATCTTCCCGGGGTAGAGTAGGGATTTCACTCTACCTGCATCAAACATCCCATCGCATGAAGCACGACAGTGCAATCCTACCCCAAAGGAGATCAGCAGTCGCAATAAGCATCTCTTGTCAATCTTGACAATTCTTCCTCAATTAAGACGAACCCCGGCCTCAACCACGTATTTTGCCCTCGCCTGGTATGTCCGCAGCAAAGCACCAACTGGAAACAGCTCGAACCAAGGCGGCTCCGGTATTTGCACAATCTAAATTGAATTGAGGCTTGGACCCTGTTGGACGAAGGTTGGGGGGCGGCGGGGCCAAACAATGCGCCGAAACGGAGCGAGGGCGTATAATATGCGCGAAACGAGTTGCTGTTGATCCATCTCATTTATATCCCGGTAGATATCTGATGCTAGATGCGGCGGCTTAACCGTTCGCTTGCTCGCTCACTGCCGAGGCGCACTTTTTGCGGAGGCGCCTGGCCGGGTATGTGTGAACTTGACGAGTGGTAGTTGGCAGCTCTTTAAATGGCACGCATGTCAGACTTAGAAGGGTGGATAAAATAGCGGAAACATGACTGTTGTATTATAAGTGGCAGGTTCGAGGAAACGGGCGGTGCATGATAATGTACATCTATGTTGATATACCTAAAGGGCAGACAGTAGATCGCGTGATTGGTAAACAATATGGGATGCTGTGATCGACGTTGCAAGGTCGAGCTGTGGGTATGTCCCGGACTGTGATAGAGGTGATGAAGACCAGATGGTACGTTGGTCATAGCTCATCAAGATCTACCAATTGTGCCAGGACCTGCAGTCAGATGCTATCCACTCGGAGTGTACCCATTGTAGGCTAGAGTATAATGTGCTTTGTATTCATTGCTTGCAAGTCGGATGATATGAGTGAATTTTTTATTTATCTCTCACATTCAAGATTCCACAAACCGTGCGGCACAAAACTCAAGAGAAGATCCAACACCTCCTTTCCTCTATCAAAGTCGTTGGATGTTTCCTATTACTATTCAAGAGATCGGCGAATAAAAGTTAAACCTTCCAAATGGATCATACTGCTTCTTCAACTTCCTCAGTTTCTGCAGCCTCCAAGGCTCATATCCATAAATAGATTCCAAAGTTTCATCTCCGTGAACGTAGTTAACATAGGCGTAATACGGATATCCTGACCCTTGCCAAATCGCCTCGCGAAGCTTCTCACCGTACTCATAAGCGGTGCTATCGAGTGTCGAATTGGCTTCGTAAAGGATGATGATGTCTACCAGTATCTCGCTGTTCCGGTCGGCGAAGGCAGTGCTTTCGGCCGGAATCTGTTTCACGCGGTGGGTGGTGTAGCCTTCCAGCAAGACGAAAGAGCCGTGGTACGCGGGAGGTAGACTGGAGAAGATGTCTAGGGCGTACTCGAGGTTCTCGAGAGGGTATCTGTTGAGGGAGACTGGGTACATGTGGCGGGAGCCGCCTTTCGCACAAGCGGGCATGCCATATGCACCAGCTGTGTGCGTATTCAGTTCGGTTAGGTCGGTGATCTTAGACGTGACGCTGGCTGGGCCGAGTTTGTACAGTGGGCTGGTGTAGGCTTCTGGGATGGAGGTCCCTTGGTAGAAGATCCAAAGTAGGAACACCGCCTAGATGTGTGAGTGCGAACTCCTCTTTTCCAAGATAGGTAACATACCTTTACAGGATCGATCTGTGGGTTAAAGATGAATGCTCCATAGTGCGTGAGCTCTATAGGTCGGTTGGGCTCGTCTATCCATCCATTCACTACAGCAAAAACACTCTGGATCTTGTCACTTGTAAAGGTGAACCCAGTGCCATTCCAAAGGTCTTGCTCGGGTGTTCTGTCGTAAATCTTGATCTTCAACTCGGTCACTATGCCGAAGTTGTGACCCGCGCCTCGAAGGGCCCAGAATAGATCTTTATGCTCTGAGGCAGACACACTGATGGCAGACCCATTTGCGAGAACCAATCGTGCAGATATCAACTGGTCGGCAGGCAGCCCATACCTTCCCTGGAGCCAACCATGGCCGCCACCAAGGACGGGAGCAATGAATCCAGGACAATCGCACACAGGGGTGCCTTTGGAGCTATTAGCATCTGGTTTCATGGTGCGGGGAATGAACTCACTTGTTTGTTTGCCTTCGGCCCATAATCGTCGGATGACCTCTCCATTTTCGATGCCACCACCCACGACTGCTGCCCTACCTCTATCGACAACTTTTAAATCATTCATTCCACGCATCCAGATTCCTATTCCGCTCTTGACGTTCTTCAAAGTCTGAGTCTGACCGTGACCTCCAGAGATGGCCAAAAATGGTCTTTTATGTGCGTTTGCATATCGTATCTTGCACAATTAGTACCAGTACCAAGTATCATCAAATGGCGGACAATGCATACCGTGCGCTCGACATCTCTCTCGGTTTCGACCTTGACAATGATATCCAAATGTGGTAGAGCCGCAGCATTCCAGCGTAAAGTCGCATTTGCAAAGCCTTCTGATCCCGGAAGGTATACCTCCGCCTGTTTTGAGAGCTGTTGGCTCAGTTGTTTCAACGAAGGCGCTGTAGCAATCGCAAGCCCAGCCAAGAGATACACTACAATCGCTCTCCCGATCCAAGATTTGACTGTCGCCATGTTAAGATTGCGTATATTTTTCGATCAGCAATGTGTTGCTGGGATGCAATTGCGGGGTATCGATGCTTTTTATGATTCCCCAGCTAAGATATCGCTGCACACACTGTTCCACGACATGCCCAATAATCCGTGCGGTGCAGTTTCCGCCATGTTTATCGCGGTTTTCCCGGTTTGAGATGCATCGGAAAGACCTTGCATGGGATTTCGTCGTTTGGCTGGAACTCGGCCAATTGTCGAGCGACTTTGATCAAGCAGCATCCGCCCTCGCTGCCTTCGACTCTCGATTGACTTTCGCAAAATGCAGGAAAGCCTAGTCAGGTCAGTTGACCCGGGTAGTCGGAGGCAATGATGTCCAATGTTCAGGAGACGAGTTCCCTCATCATCTGAAGCTCCACAGCAAGCGACGCTTCTCAATTGATACTGGCAGGTTAATGGCATATATGTTGCAACAACGAAGTTCGACAGGCTTCCTATATTGGTCTGGGCCAGATGTTCCGAGAAACTTGTTGGGCATACTGAGTACGAAATGCGAGGCTGAAATGTGATTCGCGTTATCCGCCAGCCAGTCAGATACATGCGTGAGTAGGTAGTCAGCTCGACAAGCCAGCCACGAAGGGCGTCGCTTGCAGCAGAACGAATCAGCCCATCCGCGATGGAGGGGCAAAGGGCAAATTCCAGCCTCTTGCGGATATTAAAGACGCATGTGTGACCCTCGCCTGGTCCTGTCCACGCTGTCGTCTTCCACTCTTCAAAGTTTTCAAATTGCCTTCTTCGACTCGTTGGTTCGGAAATGGATTTTCAACTCAAGATGCATCCGATGGCCGAAGCGGATACGACCACAGAGATGTACTGGCCGGTAGGAGACATTTCTTGGGTCGCATTCGGTCGCGGATGGCTGACATGCCGCAGACCTGGTCAGGCTTGTCCGACCTTGTGCTGTTCGACCAGATCCCGAATGTTGATATACCGAAACTTTCATTCGATGATGACGTAGCGCAATTGTTTTTATCGCCAATTGATCCGTTCATGTGGTTAGTTGTTTTTTTCACGGCGTTTTGCATCGTCCCACTTGTGCATCGGAGATAGTCGCTAATATAACGTGCAGTGAATCTGGCCTTTTGGGTGTAGAGGAAGGTGCTTTTGGGAACCCAGCTTCTGCACTCTATGATAGCGAACCAGTTCTGGCGGACGTGCCGTTAGTATATCTGATTTGTCCCTTCTACTAACACGCTCCAAGGCTGACACGTTCGGATTGGGGATTTCAATCTTGATGTTAATGCATTCGACTATAATCTGAGCCACAAGAACTCTGAACTCTAAAACTCTGGATCCTCGACTCTGGATCCTCGACTCTGGATCTGCAACCAATCTTAAGAAGTTCCCAAGAGGTTTGTCCCCAAATTTGCACGGGGTAAGTATACATGGATATCATCGACAGCGAATACGTAGTTCTGCCTGAAGGCACCGCACACGGCTGTGCGAATACGCGCATGAAATCTAGCATTGCAAATCCCCTTCCGAGTATTTTAGTAATCTTCTAGCTAAATCGTGTTCGCCGCCATCCATGGATTCATACGCGGCAGCGACTGCTGCTGCATCCGACAAACTGGTCAACGTTGTACCACGTCTGAGAACCTGCCCCCGCCTGGACCCCAACAATACCGCGGGGGAGAGTGGTGCAACGTCCAGTCCCTTGGTCACCATCACCTCATCTGGAGATTTATTATCCCCCGGCACTGGCATTAGCGACTTCGACCTTGATGAAGATCAGACACATCATAGGCACCAAAATCCATCTGGAAACCTACCAATTCCCAGGACGGGCACTCCCGACATCGATCTTATTGTAGATCAGACACATCATGGGTATAAAATTCCATCTGGTGCCACAAGCACGAGCACGAGTACAGCCGACGTGCAGAGTAGAGCCGAGAATGCTGGAATAGGAAATCAATCCAGTGCAGACGCCAAGGAAGTGTAAGTGTACACGCCCAACCTCGCTGCGACTCGACCCCATCAGCTTCTGGGTAATAATCGGGAATAATCCACAGGCATGCAAATCTTTCATTTCGAAGCGAGACAATTACGCGTACGACCTTCGTCTGCACGTACAAGTACGGTCAGCGCTGCTGCGGCAAGCGGTTCGCGAGGATCTACGATCTTCGGCGGCATCACCGCGGTGCACACGAGGGAGTTCGTACGTTCTTATGTCGGTTCCAAGGGTGTGACAGAGGGAGGAAAGGTTTCTCTAGGAAGGACAAGCGCGACGACCATGAGAAGAAGATTCACTTCCGCCGAGTTGTCGATGTTTGAATGTTCTAATGTGGCCCACCTATTGCCATGGCGTTATTCCGGTTGGAGGATAGCAGGAGTTTTGCGAGTTCTCATGTATGCGTTAACATTTCAGATTCTTCCATCATCATCATCGTCACCAGCTCTGTGAACGTGACCGTAACCGTGATGATGATGGGGATCGTGATCGTGACTGCGTCTAGGTCTGTAACACGAATGGTCCCTCGTTGACCTGACGCATGTTGTGTGAGAGTGATATTGCATGAACATCCATGACAGCATATGTTGGACAATAATGGCGAACGGTGTACAGTGTGTAAGGTCGAAGGTTCATGAGATAGAGGGTGAGTACCTATGAGATCTGTGGTGTATACTAGTAGGTAAGAGAACAGCTGTTCACCGTCAGACTGATGACCTATTTCCCCAATCGAACATTAGTGACGGGTCGCTTGTTGACTGCAAGGATGATTTGACTTATCGGCTTCCCGAAGCGGTAAACAATCCTAGACGCCCTTCGTTCAACATACTCTAGAGTATAGTTACTACTGCGTACATCCTACATTCTGTGTAAGAAAATCAACAGTTGTTGTCGCCAAACATAGCACCGGACGGTCCGACACAATGGTTTTGTGTGTTGGCTATCGTTTCTCGCATCTCGTTTACACCAATTGTCTTCTATCGGTTTATCATCAAATTTAGGCGCGGGGCTGAGGGTCTGGATGGGCATGGATTGAGGTGGAGCTGGTTACAGAGCATGTAGGATGGATGGATGGATTGATGGATGTTGTAGAATAGAAGGACGAAATACCTAGGTACTGTGTATGCTGCCGCGCTTAAGCATGTTGGAGGCGTTTCCCTCTTTTGGCAGGGTTGGTGGATTAATTTGGAATAAGCCTACGACTATCATCGACCGACTACCTATTTACCTTCGGAGTCCATACAGTTAATTACTTTTTGACGCTTCATTACGCTTGACCTTTTACCCTAAACCCTAACATTCTGCATTCTACAATGACACCTTCATCTGCATACGCCAACGTCTACGCTACATAACAATCCCATATCACCTCATCTCGGCTTCTTCATCCCCTATTCCACTCCTCTTCCTATTCCTTTTCCTCTTCATTCGTCTTAATTCTGCACGATACCCCTCGCCATCGTGAGCAGTCTGACTGCTTCATCCCGCCTGGCTACATCCTAATTATCCCTGACACCATGCACACGATTGCGATAGTCGCTCTGACCGGCGTCGCAGCGCTATACATTTTGGTGTCACAACTGCTGCGCCTAACGCAGGACACGCGAGAACCGCCAGTGATAGAGACAGCGATACCATTCGTCACGCCCGTCGTCGGCTCCCTGAGACACAAGAACAAGTACTATTCTCTGCTGAGGTTGGTATCCCACCACGCACCGCGCAACAATGTTTTGTTTCAAAATTCCCATCCTCCGCTCAGTTGAAGGCGTCACTGCCCCCACCGCAATGGATGCATTCGATCTGAACACGTGACTTGCGTCGAAGACGTCCAGAAAAAGAAATCTCCCGAGAGGATTTTGCTGGTAGAATATGATGATAACCATGATTACAGGGACAAATATCGCTTACCAATCTATACTTTGCGACTCCCTGGCACTCGCCTCTACATCGTCAACACCCCGCAGCTCATCTCGGCAGTGCAGAAGAACTTCAAGGCCCTCACCTTCCAGGCTGTGACTGACAAGTTCTCGGGTCTCATTTGTGGGACATCGCAGGAGGCGCAAGATGTCCAGAAGAGGCTTTTGGACGAGTGGCAGGCGGCGGCCAATTCTGCACCCAGCCCAAGCCACACGAGCTACAAGGCCTTATCGCCGGGAGAGAGTCTAGATGAAATGAACAGAACGATGATCCAGCGGTTAGCGAAAGAAGTTGAGATCATTGTCTCAGGGGGTGAGGAGAAAGAGGTAGCGTTGTTCGAGTGGGTCAAGGAGGCTGTGGGGGTCGCGACGACGGATGGCGTCTATGGTGACAAAAACCCATATCGAGATGCTGGGTTCAGACGGTCGTTCTGGTTCGTCTGCCACTCAAGCCAATACAAGGACAGTTTCAACTGACACACATATACACAGGGAGTACGAAGCCGGCGTACCGACCCTCTCTCTCGGTGTCTTCCCCACCATCTTCGCGAAACCCTGCCTCGAAGCCCGCCAGCGAAATGCACTCATCCTCGAGAAGTACTTCACGTCAGGGGACTACCTGCACGGCGCGACGCTGACGCGCAATCGCTTTGACTGGCACATCGCGAGCGGGTTCCCCATCCCCGACGTCGCGAAGCTCGAAGTCGGGAACGGCATCGCCATCCTCGCGAACACAGTCCCAACCGCCTTCTGGGCAATCTACCACATCTTCTCAAACCCAGCCGTCCTATCGTCCATCAGAGAAGAGATCATCCAACATGTCGAGACCACCACCTCCCCAGAAACCTCCACCACCACAAAACACATCGACATCTCCCTCCTCAAAACATCCTCCCCCCTCTTCCTCTCCTCCCTCAAAGAATCAATGCGCCTCCACAGCGTCGGCGTCGGCGTCAGACAAGTCATGACCGACACCACCATCTCCACCCCCTCTCTCCCCCCCTTCCTCCTCAAGAAAGGCAGCCTGGTCATCATGCCCTCCCAAGTCCAACACTCCGACCCCGACCTCTGGGGCGCCCTCGACGTCAACGCCTTCGACATCGAGCGCTTCGTGCCAAAAGCGAAGCTCAAGGGCCCAAACCCCGTCTCCTTCCGCGCGTTCGGCGGCGGCACGACGCTGTGCCCTGGCCGCCACTTCGCGATCACAGAAGTTCTCGTCCTCGTGGCGATGCTGACGCTCAGATTCGACATCCAGCCCGTTGCGAAGGGCACAGCGTGGAAGGAGATGACGACCGAGAAGGCGCCCATGACGGCCGCGATGCCGAAGCCGGACGACGATGTCGATGTCGTGCTTCGTCAGAGGGACGACGATAAGGGCGTCAAGTGGGTGTTTAATCTTAGTGCTGGGGAGAAGGGGATTGCGATTGCGGCGGAGGATATGTGAGCGTCTAAAGCGAGCGAGCGAGCGGGCAGTCACTTCGAGTTTTTGAGTCTTTGCGTCTGAGGGCGGTTGATTGCCCTCGTGGACGAATGATTGACGATGGTGTTTTCGTTATACCCCAGATCTTGTCAGCCGTTTTGGATTTGTAGGGAATCGAATGGAAAAGCGTATACAGTAGGCAAGACACTAGCAATGAATACAGGCGGGTGGAGATGGTCCATTCGTCTGCCTTATGACATTATCCCCTATTACACATTGGCCAAATTTGCTTCCAACTTTAAGTATCGCTATGACTACTCATTCATTCCCCATGAAGTAACAAGCCAGGCGTTAAGCCGCACTGCCTCTCAACGTTCATCCACATGCTCCTCAAGACAACTCTACTCCACCCCTATCATGATGATATTCTTCTGTCCAAAAAAAAGTAGACGAACTCATAGAAGCCATACCAGGAACTCCTAACAACTACACTTACCAAGTCAACGACATCGAGACCCAACATCTCAAACCCGACCTTCTTTTCACCACCGCTTCCTTCTAGCCCCCCGAAAGAGAAGGCACATACACAACAAGCAAGCACTCCCTACCTGCCCTCCAATCCCTTCACCATGGCGAACCCAACATCTCAACACAAGATCCTCTCCATCGATCATACCATTCACTACACATCACCATCTCCCCCACCCACACATACACACACACTCGCTCACACACGCATCAACCCCTAAAAATGCCACACCACAACCCCCCCACCCCAACCCTCCTCCACACCCTCCTAACCCACGGCCCCCTCACCACCCTCCTACACCTCATCTCCGGCCACCGCACCCAACGTCCCGTCCCTACCTCCCACACCGCGCGCACCCGCCGGCGGTACGTCCGCATCCGCCGCCGCGGCTCCGCTATCCCCCACCACGACGGCGAGCGCGCGGGCGTGCACTACTACTACGCCAACCCTATTCGCCGGGAGGAGGACACGGGAAGGAAGAGGAGGGGAAAGGGAGCGTATGAGAGGGTTTACATGCCTGTTTCGAGGTTTGGGAGGGGCATTGTTGTTACGAGGGGTTGGGGCAGTAGTGGGTATTGGGTTCAGCGGAGGGGAGAGCTGTCGAAGGAGAAGGAGCATAAGAGGAGGCGAGAGGAGAGGGGTGGGGAGTGGGAGGTTGTGAGGAGGCGGCGGGGGAAGGGGAAGAGGGTTAGTGAGGAGCGGGAGGGGAGGTTGAGGGGGATGTTAAGTCGGGTTTCGTTGGGTGGTGATGGAGGGCGTGGAGGAGAGGTGAGGGGGATGGGTGGTTCTTCTGCGTCGAAGGTAAAGGCGAAGATGAGGGCGAAGTCCAGGTCAGTGTCGGTGGCAGTGTTGAAAAGGGGAAACGGCGGTGTGTCGAACGACGAACCGGAAGTGGATTCACGCAGACATCGAAGAGTCGATTCACATCATCGCGACCATGGGAGCGGTATCGACAGTGTCCCCGTCGGACGAGAAGGAGTATCAAGGACAAGAAGACCATCGACCTCATTCTTCAAGCAACCCTCGCTATCACGGGACGAAAGCATGAACTTCGTCTTCGGGGGCGCGGAAGTCGGTCATAAGACCTCATCGTCGTCAAGACCAGCGCATCGCCATCGTCCGAGTCGCTCTCCAGAACCTCGAAACGGCCGCAATACTACTTCGCCTCATCCGCGCTCAGGTTCCACCGTGAACAGACAAACACAACCATCCCGTACTGGGGGGAATCTTCCATTGTTACTTCACGCACCGCGAAGTGATACCAACATCAACGACGGAGATAGTAACAGTGCCAGTGATAGCCACGACCACAGCAACACTGCCCCTCCCGACCGCACGAGAGAAAATCCAAGATTGACTGTCCGGCTGGTCAGGAATGAGAGAGATGAGACTGTCACGCTGCAGCGTATTTGATATGTTGGGTTGGGATTTGCCATCAGGGATGAACAGTACCTACGCTGGTGTATGAATCGGATATCAACGGGGGAACGGGAAGGAAGCAGAGAAAAGGCACAGTCGTTGGTAAACTCTTAGATTCGTTCATTCAATCATTAATAGCGCGGGTGGATTATTTTGGATACGAATGGGAAGATTCGTAGTGGTACTTCGCTTTACTTTTTGATATCCCCTCCTTTTCCCCATGAGAATCCCTCCGTAAGCGGTAGATCCGTTTCCCCAAACAACCAGTCAGTCTACATACAATCAACAGTATGTCCTTCCACCCCCTCAACTCCCCAAAATCTTCACCCTCATCCACTCACTCGTCCCAACCCCCAAATTCAACCCATTAAGCGCCCACCACTTCCTCACCCCCTCCCCCTTCTCGCCCTCCACCCCATCCTCCAGCGCCTCCTCGATGTCGCACGTCTTGTACTCGACCCTCAGCCCGCTGCGCTTCCACCACTCCAGCACGACGGCGTGGCCCATCTTGGTCGGGCCGACCAGGACCTGGTTGTCGAAGAGCATTTTCTCGCCGCGCAGCTTGCGCCAGTAGGCGAGGACGTGCGTGTGGCCGTGGGTGGAGGCCAGCTTCGCGATGGAGTCTTCGTGGGAGAACGGGATGGAGGATTCGACCCAGAAGTGTACTGCGGGCAGGCTGCCGGCTTGCGTGGCGTAGATTATGGATTTGCCGACTTTGAGGGGGAGGTCTTGCTGTTGGGCGGGAGAGGGGGTTGTGGTGGAAGGGGAGGGAGGTGAGGTGGGAGGGGTAGAGCGGTACATGGAGTGTTGTTTCCACCAGTTGAGGACTTGGATGTGGCCTTGGGAGCTGGCTTGCTCGAGGGCGGCTTCGGTGTATTTGAGGGGCAGGCCGGAGTTGTACCACCATTCGAGGGCTTGGATGGAGCCCGAGCGCGAGGCGTTGTCCATGGCGGTCGGGGAGTATTCTTTCGTGAGGAAGGTGGGCGAGGTGCGCCAGTATTCGAGGATTTCCGTCTTGCCGAACACGGAGGCTTTGTGCGGGAGGAAGGCGTGGCCGAATGTGCCCCAGAAGAGTTCCTTGTGGTAGAATTCGAGGTGGCGGAGTACGGGAACCATGCCGAAGCGCATTATGACTTCAATTCCGAGGCGGGAGATGCGCGTGGGCTTGTCGGTGTCGAAGAACGTGGAGATTTCGGAGTAGGTGCTGGTGAGGAGGGTCCATTCGAGCTTTTGCATGAGGGTTTTGGGGCCCTCTTCGCTGGCGGATTGGCGCCATTCTGGGGGGATGGGGAGGGTGGTGTGGATGTTTAGGGTCGCGGCGAGTTCCCAGTCCTCGGTGAATTCTAGGATCATCGACCAGAGTTCTGGGGGGAGGCGTGGGCCTTTGCTTTTCGTGGGCGTGAGGGTGGGGAGATGTGCGATGGGTAGGCTTATCGTCCGGTCGCCGACCGCCATGAGGTCGATCTGGGTTTGGATGGATTCGTTGAAGGCGCGTGAGCCTTCCCACGCTTGGTTCTTCCGGCCTTGACTGTCGAATGTCCAGAGGTATGGGGGCAGTACCCGGATCCAATTCCATTTCCGCCGTATCTTGCTGATCTGCTTCCTTGACATTGGGTTCTCCCACATGAGGGTGGACATGCCCGGGATGAGAAGTATCTTCTTCGAGACGTCCCAGCTCCGCAGGATCTGTAGGTGGAGGTTGTTGGTGAAGCCGTGCAGCATCCGCGTTATGTTCTCTGCGTCGAGGGGTGCCAGCACCAGCAGGTCGGCCCACATGCAATATTCCGCGACTCGGGTGTCCATGAAGCTTTCGTGCCACTCGGGCTTCGCGCACTCGTCGCTCTTGTAGCGGTGCCAGACATTTTCCAGGCAGGAGGGGACGTTGATGTGGGCGGAGCTGGGGAGATCGCAGCAGGCTATGACCTTGAGAGAGACATTGTCGACGCGCTGCAGGCGGGAGATGATGCCGCCGCCGAACTTGAGCGAGGACGGGTCGGTGACGGCGACGAGGATGTTGAGGGATCTATTGCGATCGTTGGCCGGCATGGGGTGGCGGAATATGTACGGGGGAAGAACGCGATCGCTGGGAGGAGAGACAGTGCGGTCAGAGTCGAGGTTGCGGTGGTGGTTATGGTGGTTGTGAAAATGTTGATAGAGGTGCAGGCAAAGGGAGGAAGTTGGGATGAGATGGCGGTTTGGGTGGAGTACGGCTAGTGCGGTGTGCGTGTATGAGCAGGAGTTCTGCGTCGGGCGGCGGTGGGTGGCGTGTTCGGAACGGCGCGATTGGCGGAACAGACGGTTTTCAATGCATGCAGTGGAGTCTCTGAGGTGCCAACGAGTTGGTGGTGAGTGTTGTTAATTGTTGTTGTCTGCTCTGTTGTCTCTGTTGTCGCTGATTCTGCGGCCTGATGGTTTTTGAATAACGTCGTTTGTGTGTCACAGAGCGGGCAGTCAAAGGGAGGTCCGCGGCCCCAAGGAGGAGGAGCTACAACGCGGAGGCCTCCGTCAAAGCGAGATATACATCGAATAACTGGTTCATACACTGCAGGTGATTCATTGGGGTACAGAAAACGTATACTAGTAGTTGTACTTAGTTGCTGGTAGTTGTAGCTGTAATCGGAAGTATACCCAGGTTGGTGTATGGTGATAGTGGTTGAAAGCGGTGAAGCAGCATTGCACGTGTAAAAGAATGCTCCTCTGCCAACGGGGTACAGAAGGCAGACATGGCGCTTGGCAATGGTTATTTGTATGTTCTAGGGATTCATGATGCGATGGAAGATGCAATGAAAGTTACCCAGTAGAGTAAGTACTCAATGAAACAGAGTCAAACTGTGAAACATGTAGCAGCATGCAAGCGGTTGATTTGTGCTCGGCGATGGTACGAGGTAAGTAGGTCTAGTCTAGTACGGAGCAATTCCGTGAGACACATAGACATGTAGGACGCACACCTACAACCAATTCCGGCTTTGAGTTAGATTATTACTCGTAGTGTAATCCAATAGTGGTGGGTGTTCTATGTAGCGAGCCGAGGCGACGGGCTGGATGCATCATGTCTCACCCCTCGTTCAAGATGGCGAGTGTCAGTTGAGACATGGTGAAAATAGGAATGAGGATTGGATAAGTGAGGAAACTTGAGAATGATGAAATTGAATGGATGCATAGCATGAGTGTCAGTCAGAATGACAGTAGTGCCCAGGCTAATGCTGTACCATGAGTTCAGTGATGATGGTGGAGGGGCGGATGATCCATGTGAGCTTGGGAGCCTGACCCTAATACGGCTGATACCGATACTGACAGTTACATGTGCGCCTCTTACGAGTAGGACCGCTGTGGAATGACGAGGTGACGAGGAAGGCGAGTATCATGACAGGCAGAACGTTGATACACAACGGGTCTGATCTCATAATACATGAAATTCTTTAGTACGAAAGGACAAGATCCCTACTCGGGTAGGGATCACTATGCACTGACGAGGTGAAGAGAGAAAGGGTTCGGAGGATTAGATTATCCTCTTCCGTCCGATGACGTCAAAAACTTGTGATCGGAGGTGGTCGGTGATAATCAACAACGCCACTGAGGTCGACCCTGAGAAAATAAGAAAAGACATACGCAATCGCTGTAGGGTAATACCTTGTGCAGATAACTTGCGAGTAATGACTTGTGCAGACTCCACAAGACAAGGCGAGATAGGGCGAGAATGTGGGGTGACTTTGTCGTTGTGGCGTTGATGAAGTGGCGAGGGTGGCTCAACCGATCGTCCTTGATGCTCCAGTTCTGGTAAAGATATGACCCTGAATATTGGAATGAATGGATCTCCGACAATTCAATTTCACCGAGACCGAAACCCTTGATTTTCATTCAGAGGTAATGGCTGCAGTTAGTAGTTTGTGCACTTCATGAATGATACATGTTTTAAGATTACGAGAGGTATGAACTGGCAGGTAGCTACAGTGAACTCTCGAATACGCTAAACTAGTTATGGACGATACTGGGAGTATTATGTAATCGAGGGTTGAATCGAATTTTCACATTTCGATTGAGGAATCCTCATGATTTGTCGGCCGAGTCCCCCCATCTCCGCCTCCACCGCAACCACATTTCCCACAATTACCACCATAAAGGTACCGATTATTCCGATTCACCATCCCATCCCATCCCATCCCATCGTTCGAGGGAGAAGACCCTGATCATCGCTACCGGACCACATCGCCCACATCTCACCTTTCACAATAGCCACCATCCCTCATCACATACTTCATCAGACGTATACACTGAGTGCACACCTACATACTTGTCCCAACTAACAATTTATATGATGCCAAGCAGATAACTATGTTACGGCGTCTCCGCGTATTTCATTCCATCGCCCGCAGTTCTCCCACTCATTCAGGACACGGGCGGGCAACCTATGTCCAATCCATTGAGCCAATGAAGGAGCCGTCTTGCGCTAATCCCCCTTCCCGTGTGTGGTATCCATAGTGTCGATCGCCTACCAACATGCAGCATGCTACATGACCATCGGCCCTGGTGGGAGATCGACATTCGTGAGCCACATGCATTCAATCTGGTTTCTTACCGTGCAACTCTCTTGGAAAACTCACAAGATCCCTCTCCATCTATTCTCTTCCATCTCTAGTAGTTACATCTGTCCCTCTTTTTTTTCGCTGCATCCCACTACAAGGGACTGCTCGTAGATCCTACCATGTTCCACCCCTCCTCTCCTCGTAGTCTTCTAATGCCTGTCCACTCGCATCTCCTTCTCTCTTCTTCCTTCCTTCCCTAACCACCTCTCCGCCATATTTTCTCTACATATTTCCGTTCTGCGGTACTACGCCATAGTTCGCTCCAACCTAGCAAATACTATCCTGCCTTCTACCGTGCTTTGTGAAATCTCCGTTCCAATCCATTCTCTGCCGTACCTTCCCTCTTTCCCTCCTTGTCCCTGACCTTGTCCTTGTCTACCTGTTCGTAGTTTAGTGAGTAAACCCATCGACCCTCTTGTGTGTCGTTCCTTCCCTATCCCATCCTATTGCCTCATCATTCTCCTTCGCCTCGCCGCCCACACTCACCCATTCACTCTCCCTCCTCCATACCCATATCCACATTCAAATCCACAACATCATCATCCTCGTCATCCTCGTCACCAGCCTACCCTACCCACCTACCTCCACTCCACTATCACGACTGTATAATCGCCGCCTTATAGCCTTCTTCATATCCTGACTCCAACTGCCCCGACAACGAGCCCACTCTAACTGTTCTAAGCAGCCCAAGTTTCCTTCGCTTCTCGCGCTATCGTCAGTGGAAATAACGGTTCGCTGCTTGCTATTCACTACTTCCGCCGCCGACAACCACCGCCATTACCGATTCTGCTAGATATCATTATTACCTCCACACTCCAACACCTTCTCCTTCTCCTTCTCTCCCTCCTCTTCTCCCACTCAACCTCCTTTCCTCCCTCCAACTCTCTACAGAGTACCTCTCCTACGTCTCTACCTCTTCACCTCGATCCTCTTCCCTACCCGATATCCGAATCCTATTTTCTCACATTTGCATGCGACACGGACCCCACACCGGTGCTATCCCGCCACACCTAGCCCCCCCTCCTCCTCCCGACCGCCGACACTGATACCTCATATACACACATCGCCTCTCGTGGAGCAACAGATACAAGAGACCCCCGACTTGGCCTCAATTCCGCCTCGAATCGCCGCCGACGGATTCGTACATCGGCTTTTTACCCTGCATAGCCAAGCGACTGCAGCATCCATTTCATTCCCAGGACAGGCCAAGTTTCGTGGGGGCATTCATATTAGTGGATGCCAGGAAACCTGTGCTCCGTTCCGACACACAATAAACGTCATACGCAACCACCTCGCATATCCATGGACTCGTAGCTTCTTTGTGTGCGCGAAACATCGTGGTCGCGACCTCAATTCGATCCCACACCCACCCCTCCAATCTCGGCCCTTCCCGCCTCCCCGTTCCTACCGTTTGCGCTCACTTCTCTCTGGAGAGAAGCTGAAGCGCAGTCTTCATGTCTTCAGATCAAGAACGTCCACCGTCTCGATCGGGTCTCGAAAATGAGACTTCCACCATCGACTTCGCTCCCGGTCGCGGGCCTGGACCAGAGCGATCCCCAACCTCGCCCACCCAGGAGAACACCAAGATGTGGTCTTCCCCACTTGCGTCCATGCCATCCTCCTCCGCAGTCATGTCCCCCTCAGAAGGTTCGGCGCTCAGTCCGTCCGCCACAGATCGTGTCTTCCCCGTCCGAAGCGTCGTATCGGTAGACCCTACACCAACGCCTTCGCAGCGCCCGCAAGGCGACTACTTCCACCCTTACTCGAAGATCAGCGAATCTCGCATACCGAGCGAGGCACGGCGGCCCTCCCAAGGCTCCTCCGCCTCAGCATCGTCATGGTCCTCACGACTCCCAATCCGATCCATCTCGGCATCAACTCCGCACGGCGAAGAGACACCGTCTGCACCAGAACCGACCCCGCCGCGAGAAAAGAAGGATGGCATGAAATTGGGTCCGCCACGGTTACCAGCGCATTTTTTCAATGATGTGATCACGGGAGGCGGTGGGGACAACAGCCGCCCGTCGTCCGTATGTCAGGATAATGTTCCGACAGTTGGCGCTGAATCTTCTGCAAAGAGCGTGGCGAGCAGTCTGGGCGATCCTGGGCCCTTGATCACCCACAGGTTCAAACATGTCATGACGGAGGGCGGTCACGCTGTAATCACAGGCCGAGATGGCGACGCCCTGCAACGGTGCGAGGACGAGCCAATACATATTCCAGGCGCAGTGCAGGGTTTTGGTGTATTGGTCGCCCTGGAGGACACTGCCGAAGCGGGGGTCCTGCCAGTTCGCATTGCCAGCGAGAACTCGATGCGAGTATTGGGGCGATCACCGAGAGAGTTGTTCGCTCTGGAGAGTTTCACAGACATCCTGGGTGAGGAGCAAGCGGACAATCTCATCGACCATATCGATTTCATCAAGGACGAAGATGCTGATGTGGCGAGCAATGGACCAGAGGTCTTCACTCTAACATTAAAGATCGGCAAGACACGCTCGAAATTGTGGTGTGCGATACACCAAAACCCAGCCAATCCTGGCCTCATCATTTGCGAGTTCGAAATCGAGGACGACCAACTACATCCTCTTGTACCTCCGAACGATATGACGCCGGAGCTTCCCGAGGACACGCTAAACAGTGAACCCACCCCCGAGGAATTTTTGGAGAGCACGGAAAACAAGAGTAGACCACTGAGAGTGCTGAGAAGTGCCAGGAAAAGGAAGGGCGAGGCGGCTGCAATGGAAGTCTTCAACATCATGTCACAGGTGCAGGAACAGCTCGCAGCAGCCGCGAATCTCGAAACATTTCTCAGAGTATTGGTTGGTGTGGTGAAAGAGCTCACAGGCTTCCATCGCGTGATGATATACCAATTCGACCAAACCTTCAACGGTCGGGTTGTTACGGAGCTTGTGGATCCGCGAGCGACCAAAGATTTATACAAAGGCCTTAATTTTCCGGCATCTGACATTCCAAAGCAGGCCAGAGAGCTGTACAAGCTGAACAGGGTGCGCATGCTATACGATCGAGACCTGGAAACCGCCAGACTCGTCTGTCGAACTCCCGAGGATTTGGAGACTCCTCTCGATCTGACACATTCCTACCTCCGCGCAATGTCCCCAATCCATCTGAAGTATCTCGGGAACATGGCAGTGCGATCATCCATGTCAATATCAATAAACGCCTTCAACGAGCTATGGGGCCTCATTGCGTGTCATTCCTACGGTGGCAAGGGAATGCGCGTGTCTTTTCCGATACGGAAGATGTGTCGATTGGTTGGCGATACTGCATCTAGAAACATCGAAAGATTGTCGTATGCTTCGAGATTGCAGGCTAGGAAGCTAATCAACACAGTTCCGACACAACACAATCCATCCGGCTACATCATAGCTTCTTCAGACGATCTTCTGAAACTCTTCAATGCAGACTTTGGCCTTCTTTCCATTAGAGATGAGACGAAGTTCCTCGGAAAGCTCGAACAGTCGCAAGAGGCCTTGGCCATGCTAGAGTATCTGAGGATGCGAAAGATCGAGGCCGTGATGACATCGACCAATATCTCCCAAGATTTTCCCGATTTACGATACCCACCAGGATTCCAGGTCATTGCTGGGTTGCTCATAGTGCCACTTTCAGTCGGGGGTAGCGACTTCATCGTTTTCTTCCGCAAAGGGCAGTTGAAGGAGGTGAAGTGGGCAGGCAATCCGTACGAAAAGTTCATCAAAGAAGGCACAGAGGGCTACTTGGAGCCTCGAACAAGTTTCAAGACATGGTCCGAGACAGTGGTCGGCATGTGCCGAGAGTGGTCTGAAGAAGAAATAGAGACTGCTGCGGTTTTGTGTCTCGTGTACGGAAAGTTCATCGAGGTTTGGCGGCAGAAAGAGGCGGCCTTGCAGAGCAGCCAGCTTACGCGCCTGTTGTTGGCGAATTCGGCACACGAAGTCCGTACACCTCTCAACGCCATCATCAATTACCTGGAAATCGCACTCGAGGGATCACTGGACAATGAGACGAGAGAAAACCTATCAAGATCACATTCCGCTTCGAAATCACTCATCTATGTAATCAACGATCTCCTTGATCTCACCAAAACAGAAGAAGGTGTTCCACTGATCAAGGGAGAAACGTTCGACCTGCGCGCCACTCTGAAAGAGGCCACCGATATGTTCCAGGGAGATGCTCGACGCAAGAACATCGCCTACGACGTGATTGAGTATCCAGAACTACCCTCACACGTCATTGGAGATCAGCGACGTGTTCGGCAAGCAATCTCTAACATCACCGCCAATGCGATACAAAATACCACGGAAGGGGGTATCAAGGTTGAGATGTACGTTGCGTCCAAGCCGAGCCCGGGTCGCGTGGACATCGAAGTTGCTGTGACGGATACAGGCGTTGGCATGAACTCAGAGACTCTGGATAAGCTTTTCAACGAACTTGAGCAGGTGCAATCCGAACCAGCTGGCTTGTTGGAAGATGCTATCGCTCCAACTCCCAAGCAAGGCGAGAAGGGCGAGGCCCCTACATTGGGTCTCGGCCTTGCGCTGGTGGCTCGCATCATCGGCAACATGAATGGACAGCTACGGCTCAAATCCGAAGAGGGGAAGGGCTCCCGCTTCGTGATTCAATTTCCGTTCGAAATTCCCGACTCTGAGGTACAGAACGCCGAAGAACAAGCCACTTCATCCCCGGGCAGTCTTACACCACAAGGAGAGTCCAGCTCGAGCCCCGTCCCAGAGGACGGGGAGAGGATGCTCATTGCCCCAAGCCTGTCGCGCAATGACTCTGACGGCAGTAGTAGCAAAGTGGCGAGGAAAGAGAGCATGGAGAGTCTGACGAGCCAAAAGAGCCTGACGAGTACGAAAAGCCTACGTAGCCTCCAGAGTGCAATGAGTGGAAAGAGTGGAAAGAGCGGCAGGAGCCAGAGGAGCGACGTCGACAGATTGATAGAAGCAATTCAAGAGCCGCACCTTGTGGGGCAGTCGCGGCCTTCGAGTGAGCGTAGTATGAGCTCGAAGTCGCTGAGACCGACGCTCTCCAAACGAAACAGCCGAGAGCACAGTGCGCCAACTTCTCCAGTCCGCACGAGATCAAGGAGCCTCGAAGCGGTTGAGAGCGAACGGGTCATCACGCACCGTCATTCATTACCAAAGGACTTACCTGGACAACAATCCGTAGCTGACTCTGGGCATCCAGTCAGAGCCATTAAGATGCCTGACGAAATAGGCTCCCCTATTTCGACAAAACCCCCGCAAGGCATGATATTGGGACAGATTCATGACGAGCCGGCGAAAATCGAGGCTCAGCCCGAAAGCTCAAGCCCCGAGCATCTTCGGGTTCTGGTCGCAGAAGATGATCCGGTAAACAGTAGGATCATCAAGAAGAGGCTCGAGAAGAAAGGTCACCAAGTTTTCCTTACCGTCAATGGAGAAGAGTGTGCAAGCGCATTCTGTGAGGATCCACAGGGCTTCGATGTCGTCCTGATGGATATGCAAGTAAGTGAGATTCTGATCCGTCACATAGTCGAGGTCTAACTTGCTCCCAGATGCCCATTGTCGACGGGCTTACCTCCACCAAGATGATTCGCTCGTTCGAGAAGACTCACGCTGGCACGATGTCCGCTCGCGCTGAGCTGTGCGGTCGAGTGCCCATCATTGCTGTTTCGGCCTCCCTTGTGGAGAGGGAGAGAGAGACGTATGTTCTCGCAGGTTTCGATGCTTGGATCCTAAAGCCGATCATGTTTGATCGTCTATCAAAACTGATGACCGCCATTGTCGACACTCCCACTCGCGAAGACTGTCTCTACGAAGCCGGACAGTGGGAGCGAGGCGGATGGTTCCACAAGGGGCAGAAGAGCGCGGAAGAAGCGTCTACGGCACCATCTGACGCACCCATCCAGTCCAATCCGCCCGAGATTGCGAACGTCACTGAGGACTCTGCTATCATCGATGATGCAACCGCTGGCGACGAGGAGAACAAGATTCCAGAAGAACGAGAGAGGTTGCTGCAGGCCCAGGAAGAAGAGAAGGTTTCCCGATCGGAAACCATTCCGGGCAAGCATGTTCACTACGAAGATGGTCCCAGCGACGATGCGCAGCCACTACCACCCACGGACGAGTCGTAGCTAGCCCACCCCACCACCACCCTTCTAGACCCTTCATCTGCCACACCAATAGCGACGACGTTTGTCCGACGTCGATCCCGCTAGGCTTTGATTCTATCCGTCCACGTTGTTCACATCGTACCATACTAGTACTTGGTTATGGAAAGCAGGCATACGAGCACGGCGTTACTTAGTATCTTTACTGGTCATTCTGCGAGATCATGTCACGGATTCATTCGCTCAATAGATTTCTGTCCGCTCGGCTTAATTCGATTCTCACTCCTACGTTTCTGTATGCCGCTTGGGTACGGCGCAGGGCGGTTTGAAATGTATTCTCCACGACACGGCCACCACTGTTGTTTTTCTTTTCTCCCGCCATGGTTTGGTCAGCTCGACCTTGACTTCTTTCTTGCGGGACGCATGTGTTTGTACATGAGCGCGAATTGGTTGTATACGTCTTCCCTGGGACGGAGTGGTGCCTGTCTTTCAGTGTTCTTTTCCTTTGTTACCTTGATTGTTATAGCGGGGCTATCAGCGCCATTCGACTGCCCGCGTCTGTCTTTGAACGGCTCGCTCATCATTGTCTGCATTCTTGGGTAGCAGGGGATATACACACACACATGTTCTTCAAGATTCGAGGGTCTGGAGTTCTGTTTCCGTTTCTTTCTGGCTTTTACTTCCATTGTTCAGCACATTCATCATCGGCGGGCAGGCGGGCGGTCAGGTTAACTCTCTTCTTTCGTCAGGCTTGGCATATATGTACACACGACACACGCGCGGGAGTCCAACGTAAAAACATGGGTTATAGCGGAGCATTGGGGCGTTCTTGTTTCTTTTACCTTTGGATTGTTTCCTGGTTGATTGATGACGAAACATGGGAAGTCCGGCGCCGGGGGGATTGATCTGACAGAGGCGCGAGAAGAAATATACCTCCTTTCCTGGGTGTCTTGACGCTTTTGCGGGCATTAGTGCCTAGATGGATGGTCGTATCGAAGATCAAATATCAACATCATTATGAATTCCTAGAGACTATTTACTATTGTGATTTTGGTGTTGTGTTGTGTAGTTTGGTGACTGCTTTGCTGGTGAGTTTATGTGATGATACGGACGATTGACGATATCAGAGGTTTATGACGATAACAACAACAATACCAAATGCATAGACTTTTCCTTCCTTCACACGATGCCAGTACCCCTTGAATCTCACACCACACTACGTCTCATCATCCAACACTGCTAGCAACCACCCTCCTCTGTCACGAGAAGCCAGACAATCAATGCTACCTACTGCCTACTGCTCTCTTCCCCTCAGTTCGCATGGCATAGACCTGGCACATCCGTGCTGTATGTATATACATATATCCCCCTCCCTTTACTTTTCCTAACACCAGAGATCCTAGTGACTAATCTGATTCTCTAGACAGCGGTACTAGGGGGAGGGTAGGTGATGAGTGATAAACATCCATACTTGTTCTCAATGGTTGATGGTTGGCAGTTCCTGGTGGTTCACAATTGCCACAGTCGTCGATTTAATAGTAGTTAGTAGCTTATAGTTATTAGTAGCTGATAGATGCTGACGCTTGATAGATGTTAAGGCTTTAAAAGGTGCTAGTGCTTAACAGGTGCTGATGCTTGATAAATATTAATGCTTATGCTGGTGGTTGCTTGTAGTAGACAGTTGCTTGTAGTAGACAGTTGCTTGTAGTAGACAGTTGCTTGTAGTAGACAGTTGCTTGTAGTAGACAGTTGCTTGTA